ACACGCCCGACGCCGGTCCCAAGGTGACGCTGGTCCGGCCGACGGACGCGGACCCTTTTGCGGTTGCGAAAAGTGGGAAGCGCAAGGCGGCCAAGCCACCCCAGTTTCTCCCGAGCTTTCTCTTCGCGTCCTCCGACCTGAAAGCGGTCGGGCTGTTCGGCTGGGAGCAGACGCCGGTGGACGATGCGAGCGTGTTCGATCCGAAATCGAAGAAGAAGCCGGAGGACCGGTTTTTCGAAGCGTTTCAGTTCAACGTGAACTGGGACGAGTTCCCCATCGTGAAAGTCACTAAAGTCGACACAACAGCCCCGAATTCCCGACCCAAGAAGTACGGCTTGAACGTTGGGGACTGGCTTCTCGTCGTTTGCGGAGAGAGAATGACCATGGTGATGAAGATGAAAGGAGCGGACCCGAACGACGCAATTCTGAACTTCGTCGGTGACAAGCAGGCCAAGGGGAAATCGAAAATTGCGAGCTTCGTGTTTTTGAAGAAGGATATTGCGGAGAATGAGTACTGGCAAGGGCAAATCAACGGTGACGCGGACGTCGAGGCCTTCGGGGAGGGCACTGGGATCTTGGAGTTGCGGAACGAAGGGCACAATTGCATCAACGAGATCCGGAAAATCGAGGCGAATTCCTGGGCAGAAAACATGGGGCTGCGGGTCGGCGACAAGTTGATCATCGTGAACGACAAATTTGTCGCGAAGGAGAAATACGCGCATTTCGCGACGGAAATTTTGATCACAAACGGTAAGGACACAAAAAAGCGCCCGATTGACTTGCTCGTCCGGCGGTACAACGGGAAAATTTCTGCCGCCATGCGAAAGACCGAAATTGACGTGGCGCGAGATTTACCCGCGCCTTGGAAAGCAGCGCTGAAGAGTGGGGGGAGTGGGAAAGCGACGCTATTCTTGCCGACAAAATCGGAGAAAGGGCCACCGAGATTCACGCACCGGGTGAATATGGACGACGATGACCCTTTCAAAGTCCCAACTGTCCACGTCGGGGACTCGTCTTTAATGGTAGACAAAGAGAAAGCCGCCTCGGCTCCCTCCGTGCAACTGAAGGTAGCTCCAAGTAGTGCAGCGCAGGTCGGAATTTCGTCGGATGCTGGTCCTGAGACTGCGGCTTCTGCTGCGCTCACGCTCACTGTGAGTACTGTGGAAGAAGGAAGGAAAGATGACGTCGACCACACCGCATCCCCGAAACCAAAGAAGGACAAAGTTCTTTACACCCCTGACAGCGGCCCGAAAGTGACGCTAGTCCGTCCGACGGACGCAGACCCCTTTGCGGTGAGCAAGTCGGGAAAAAGAAAGGCTGCAAAACCGCCGCAATTTCTCCCCAGTTTTCTTTTCGCCTCCTCCGATTTGAAGGCTGTCGGACTGTTCGGGTGGGAGCAAACCTCCGTGCAGGACGCCAGCGTGTTTGATGGCAGTAGTACCAGCAAGAAATCCGCCCAAGACCGCTTCTTCGAGGCCTTTCAATTCAACGTGAACTGGGACGATTTTCCGATCGTGAAGGTGACAAAAGTTGACAACTCCGCGAGCTCGCGGCCGACGAAGTACGGCTTGGCGGTTGGGGATTGGCTTTTAGTGGTTTGCGGGGAGAGAATTACCATGGTCATGAAAATGAAGGGAGTAGATCCGAATGACGCGATCTTGAATTTCGTCGGCAACCGGCACAAACAGCAGAAGCCGAAGATTGCGAGTTTCGTGTTTCTGAAGGGAAAAATCGCGGACGACGAGTATTGGCAGGGGCAAATCAACGCGGACGGGGATGTCGAGGATTTTGGCGAGCAGACCGGGATCTTGGAGTTACGCACGGACAGCACGGTGGTGAACGAAATTCAGAAGATCAAGGAAAACTCCTGGGCGGAGGCGATGGGCCTGGAGATCGGGGACCGCTTGGTGATAGTCAACGACAAATTTGTCGCGAAGGAAAAGTATGCGCACTTCGCAACGGAAATCTTGATCACGAACGGCGCGGATTTGAAAAAGCGGCCGATCGATCTCTTGGTGCGGCGGAAGATCGGGAAGATCACGGCGAAAATGCGGAAAACGGAGATCGACGTGGCGCGGGACTTACCCGCCCCTTGGAAGGCGGCGTTGAAAAGTGGCGGGAGTGGGAAGGCGAGTCTGTTGCTACCGACGAAGTCAGAGAAGGGGCCACCGAGGTTCACGCACAGAGTGAATATGGACGATGACGATCCGTTCAAGGTGCCTGTAGTGCATGTTGGAGACGCGTCTCTGGCGGTGGACAAAACGAAAGCGGGGGCCACGTCAGTAGGTGCTAGTGGTGTGCAGCTTGCCGTGCCAGAAATAAAGAAGGACTCTGGTGCCGCGCAGGTTGGCATAATGACTGTTGTGCAAGAGGAAGAAGCGGAAGAGCCTAGTGCTAGTGCAGCGGATCCGGCAGGCAGTCCACCAGTGAAGCAGCAAGACAAAGTCCTGGTTTCCCCCGACAGCGGTCCCCAAATTGCGCTTGTCCGTCCGACTGATGCCGATCCTTTCGCGGTCGGGAAACACGGGAAGCGGAAGTCCGCGAAACCGCCACAGTTTCTGCCCAGTTTCCTGTACGCCGCATCCGATCTGAAGGCCGTCGGCTTATTCGGCTGGGAGCAGAGCTCCGTCGAGGATGCGAGCGTGTTTGACGCAACAAGCAAGAAGAAAATTGAGGATCGGTTTTTTGAAGCCTTTCAATTTGCAGTCAACTGGGACGACTTTCCGATCGTGAGAGTGACAAAAATCAACACTGGGCACCCGAATTCGCGACCGAAGAAATATGGCCTATCGGTCGGGGACTGGCTTTTGGTCGTTTGCGGGGAGAGAATCACGATGGTCATGAAAATGAAGGGAGAAGACCCGAACGAGGCGATCTTGAACTTCGTCGGCAATCGGCATAAACAGGGTAAGCCGAAGATTGCGACCTTTGTGTTCTTGAAGGGAAAAATCGCGGACAATGAGTACTGGCAAGGGCAAATCAACGCCGACGCGGACGTGGAGAATTACGGCGAGTCGACCGGGATTCTGGAGTTACGGACCGACAGTTCGGTTGTGAACGAAATCCAAAAGATCAAACCGAACTCCTGGGCGTCGGCGATGGGGCTGAAGACAGGGGACAAATTGATCATCGTGAACGACAAATTCGTCGGGAAGGAAAAGTACGCGCATTTCGCCACCGAGATTCTGATTACGAACGGGGCCGATACGAAAAAGCGGCCGATTGATGTACTCGTGAGACGTCCTACTTCTTCCAGCGGTGTGACCATATCGGAAGCGATGCGAAAGATGGAGATCGACGTGTCACGGGACCTGCCTGCGAACTGGAAGGCGGCGCTGAAGGGTGGGGCCAGCGGGAAGAGCCTTTTAGTGATGCCGACAAAATCAGAAAAGGGGCCACCGCGATTCACGCACCGAGTGAACATGGACGACGATGATCCTTTCAAAGTGCCAATCGTTGTGCACGTGGGCGACAAGTCGCTCCTCGTCGATAGAAAAAAAGCCGAAGCGGGCACGGCAGCTCTGGCTACGGTGCCGCAGGTCGGGATCGTGCAAGTAGCTGTTTCGCCCAGGGCGGCGCCGAAAGATGCCACAATTGCACAGGAGCAGCCTGCAGTTTTCGTCACTGTTAAAACAACGTCTCCGCGAGAGGCGGGAAAAGAAAAAGTACAAGTTACCGATACCGGGGGGATAGAGGCGACTGCAACTGCGAAAGCGAAGCCGCAATCTCCTCGCTCGGTTCAAGTGGGCATCGAAGTTGTTGCAGGAACGACAGAGGAGTCAACCAGCGCACAAATCCAAAAGCCGCCTTCCCCTCGGTCCGCACAAAAGCAACTTTCCCCTCGTTCCGTGCAGGTTTCTGTAGACGCTACGAAACCGGAGGAAGTGGTGGTTAGTGTCAAAGTTGAGGAGGAAGGACAAAAACCAGAGCCCGCTGGAACAGTATCTTCTGACGCCCCATCTTCAGAGCAGCCGGAGCCCGTTTTCATTCAGGTCGGTCCAGCAGCGGGCGCACCACCTTCCGCATCGGCTGCGAACGCAGCGGACCCTCAAGAACCGAAGCAGCCGGTCATTCCACCGCTCGCGCTGATGGAAGCCCCGGCGGAGGAGGCTAGCGAAACAATCGACGCGGCGGGAAAGGATGCAGCTACCGCAAAGGTCACAGTTGAAGTGAAAGTGGATAGTGGTCGTTCCGGTACAGGAGCAGCAGCTCCACCACCCGTGATCGACGTCAGCAAAATGGTACCCGGAGGCGCTGGTAAAGCTAAAGCAGTATCGGTCGGCCCAGATGAAACCACAACCATCGTCGTTCCACTTGCAGCTCTTGCTTTTACAACTGGCGGAGAGGAAAAGCCTGAGGATGAGAAAACCAAAAAAGAAGGTGTTGCCTCTCCCCGATCTGTGAAAGTCGTCATTGCCTCTCCATCGGGCAGTCCGCGAAGCGGGGCAGCTAGTCCGCGAAGCGGTGCAGGAGCCAGTCCGCGTGAAGCTGCGGAGGAGGAACCAACTTCCGCCGTGGTAAAAGTCACCGTGAAAACAGAGGACACAGCAGACCAAGGTCAGACTGCTGTCCAAAGACAGGAAATATCTGCACAACCGGAACAAGCCGCCGGGGCGACTGTGATGACTGAGTCGGGTGTGGAAGTCAAAGTCACCGTTTCGCAGTCTCCGCGACAGGAGGACGGCGGAGAGGATGACGATGCTAGAGAGCAAGTCACCACCGTGACAGTCGTTTCTCCTCGACGGAAAGAGGAAGATGATGGAGACGATTTCGAACCTGGACAGCAAGTCACGACAGTAACAGTCGTGTCTCCCCGAGGTAAAGAGAAAGATGTTGACGAGGGAGATGACACAGGAGACGCGTTGGCATCTCCCCGGGTTTTGATCGAGATTGCGTCGCCTGGTGCAAGTGCGCGGGATAAACAAATAAAAGCGACAGGGGACGTCGAGGACGCAGGGGAGGATTTGGACGAAATCGCGGCAGCAGTGCCAGCGACCAGTATTCAGGTGACGGTGTCCACCTCAACTCCCGGGCAGCAGGCTGGTGTTTTTGATCAACAAGGAGGTCAACAGCATACCTTTGCACAAGCCCCGGATCATCCCGCAATCGTTGAAGTAGAAATAGCGTCGCCGGCCACAAGTCCGCGGCGAGGAGCAGAGGAGGACGCCGATGGTGCGACTCCGCAGATCGAAGTGCGCATTTTGGATCACCAAGGGCAGCCGGAAACAGTTGACATTGAACCCGGGGAAGACTTGGATGTTCTGATCGGGCAGGCGACAGGGAAGGCCGCTGATGTCAAGGTTAAAACGACGACTGCATCGACGCAGCCTGTGCTAGCTCTAGTTTCATCTGCGAAGGAGGAAGGCACTGCTGTTGCGCCGGTGACGAAACCTGTCGCGATTGAAATTTTTGCAGCCTCTCCTAGAACCGCTAGGGAGAAAGAAGCTAAGGCTGCGCAAGATGATGAAGGTGCAGGTGAGGATTTGGATGAAATTTTGGAAAAAGCAGGGACTTCAACTGCTGCGACTCTCGGTGATCAGAGGAGACAAGAGAAACCAGGTACTGAGACCACAAGTATCATCAAAACTGCCGTTGTGCCTCCTATTTCTGTTGCACAGGCAAAGGCTGCCGCTCGTCTTGCGCCTGTACCTGAAACCGTCGAAGAGGAAGAGGAGGAAGAGGAAGAACTAGGTATCGACCTGGACGAGCTCGCTGCCAGCGTCCAATCCACCTTCAGCGTCACCATTGCAGCGGGAACCGAACCGGGGCAGACCAGCAGTACGAAGATCGTGAAGACAAAGAGGGAGAAGAAGGCAGCTGCGGAGTCCGATGCGTCTTCACGCCGCGGTACAACTCCTGGTGTACTCGTGAAAGTCGTGGGTGTTTCGTCAGTGAAGATTAGCCCGCGGGGCGCTCCACCTCCTGCGTCGGTTAGTGCTGCAGTAGCTGATTCGATGACGAATAAATCGGCGAGAGCTCCTAAAGCGCTTGCACCTGCCGGAGCTGCTGCACAGGGATCGAAGGCAACTACCACAATTGCTACGGCGCAAAAAGAAGCTTCTAAGACGAAGACGGCGGCTTTTCCATTTCGGTACAAGCCACCGATTACAGCTCCTGGTACTGGTACAAGGGGTCCGCGGCTGGGGCGGAGGAGAAATAAGGTTGGAGAAAATACGGCCGGACCTAGTTCGGCAGGAGGAGCATCAACTGCGAGTGTTGCAGGAGTGAGTTCCGGAGCAGGCGTTGAACAAAAAAAATCCACCGGTGGTGAGGCTGCGACAGATCGCGAAGAAAAAACACTGAATGCAGCAGGGACCACGACCAAAACAAGCAGTGCCAGCTCGGCCGCTAAGATGAAGGCCGGCAAAGAAGAGGCTAAGCCCGCTGGTGAAAAGAAGACAATTCGATTTGAGGAGCCTCCAGCAGTTGCTGGTGTCACGGAGGTGGAAAAGGCTGCGAGACTGACACAAAAGCGGAAAGAAGCTACCATTGACCAAGATAGTGGCATGAAGCCGGCTGCACCTGCACCAAGAAAACTTCACGATTTGCTGGCAAAGACGAAGGCGGTGGATAATGCTGCGAAAGAGAATTCGTTGAAAGCTAAGCCCCCAAAAGCGAAACCAGTGCCTGTTTCCCTGGAGATTGAGGAAGAAGAAGTTTCTGGCCCAAGAGAAGAAAAGTTTCTGTGGGACGAGCACATCGTCGATGACGACGAGTTGGAGGACCAGGAGCTCCGACATGATCACACTCCTGCCGATCGGCGTGCACCGTCCAAACAACAGGATGCGGCTGCTGAGGTTGACGCGACCCCACAAATGATCGATCATGATAATCTCACTCCGCGTACCAGACAGCGCGAAAGCTTCCTCGAGCATTTCAGTGTGATGTTTCACTTCTCCAAACCAGGCAACACCGAGACAGGGTCCTCGCGGCAGGAGTCGCTCAAGGAAAGGCGCAACCGGGAAATTGAGCTCGAAGATTTGCTTGAGGCCCAGCATTTTCTGATGCACGAGTGCGACAAAATGAGCGACTTCTTGCTGTTGAATCTGCTGCAACTCAACCTCTCCATTTCGCAGCTCGCGGAACTTTGGAAAGCGGTGCAATTCTGGGAGTCTTTCCACGTAGACGAGGTGATTCGCGGGTTAGTCTTGCTGGTTCTTGCAGAGATGCTTGGAGGTGGGACCAGTGGAAGTGCGGCGGCAACGAGTACTGCTGGAAATAAAGTTCTGCAGAACAGCTTGGATCTGCACAACAGTAAAAGTTTGACTGTTGTGAAGGACTTCGATGACATCTTTATGAAAGCTGGGGAGAAGCGGAAGCAGGTCGTGTTTGACATGGTGGGCCACTTTCAGCGCGTCGTGGCGGACGATCATCACTTGAAACTCGAGGGATTGGAAGCGGAGCACGGAAACCACGACGAGGTTCTTGAGTTCGAAACCGAAAATGCCGACGCAGCGAGCCAGCAGCACCATTTGGCGTTGGTGCAGAAAGACCACGACAAAATGGAGTTTTTGACCGGCGGCGCGACGGGTAAAGGACTGAAGACTTCTGGAGGCAAAAGGAACAACTCTCCACCGAGCCACACTGTCGCAGCGGGACAGCAAGAAGTTTTTACCGCTCCGAGTAATTTCTACCTTTCCGGTCAAAGTCTGTGGTTCGGTAGCCGTGCAGGGATCTTTCCGAAGCATTTGCAAAAGATGCTGATGGAAGCAAGAGGTGCCGAATTATCGGCGCAGAAGCAGAGAATAAAGGCGCTGTCCGCGGAGGATGATCCTGCGGTGGCTATTGAGCGCGAAAGGCGGCGCAACCAGACAAGAAGTCAGAACGCACTAGTCCCAGTCTACCGGCACGAGGAAGACGAGGAAGGAGCACTTGCTTCCATGATGGCTGCATCTCCGCATCACAACTTGCAGGTCATGAGCCTACAACCAACGAGCCCGCATCTGTATCAACCAACCACTACCTCTCCCTCGCTCTACGTCCCGCGGAATCTAACCACGGGCACAGAGATTTTGGCAGCCTTAGCCGATTCAGAAAAAAAGTGGCGACGCTACGAGAGACAGAAACCGCACTTGTTCGATGTAGACGATGACTTCACGAGCAACAAAGCCTTGGAAGCGGAAAGGCAGGAGGAAGTCGACAATGCGGAGACGGACGCCTGGCTTCGCCAATTGGAAAACACCCCACCGGCGATCGACGACGTGGCGAGGGAGTTGCAAAATTCTAACTCCCCCCCAGGTCGTTTTCGGAATCGCACCAGGCCACAGAAGAGTGGACATCACCAACACAAGTCTCATTCGGGGCACCATCACAGCCACGAATCGCATCACCATAGACCACTGCAAGAGCACGGACATCATCACCATCGTCATCATGATCAAATAAAAGAACAGCACAGTGAGACGCATCACGGCAGCACTTCTCACACTGACCATCACGAGCACACAGGGCCGGATTCAAGCGGAGCAACCCCACCTGCCGGCGTTCCATCACATTCTGAAGAGAAAAAGCTGGATAAGGCACTGGAATTCCTTGACCGCAAAGACCTGAGTCTGCGGGCCCTGTTCTCACAGAAGTGGCGCAAGCTGGAGATTCTGAAGCACAAGGCGGACACGGCGAGACTGAGTCCGGGGTTGCAGTTCGAAATCAGTCCGGACCGCCACATTCGTGGGTCGCTGAACCCCAATGCTGTGGAGGTTATTACCGCGCCGAGAAAGCACATCGTCGCGCCGCATCTGAAGCCGATGGGTTTGGGTGGCAAAAGTGGTAGGGCGGATGAGGGAGATGCGGGTGAGATAAAAAATCACTACGCGCATGCCAAGCGAGAGGTTCTCGGACGGAATGCCGCGCTCATGGCAGAGGTGTCCAACATGCGCAAAGCTGAGCGGGACAGAAAAGGAGCGTCCGGAGCTTCAGCTGAGAGCAACGAAGTGCAGCCGGGGCGGAAAGTGAAGAAAGACGTTGTCGCGCGATCGGGAAACGAAAAGAATAGCGCTGAGCATTCCGCACCGTTGCCGCACCGTGGAGAGCATCATGAAAACAAGCAAACAGAAAAAGAGGCCGCCTCGAAAGGGATGATGAAGGAGCCGAATCACCAAAAAGCGGAAAAGCCAAAAGGTGATAACGAGGACCACGAGCTGCGAGCTCATCCGCTGTATCGCAGGTACAAAGAAGCCGCCGACCGGGGAAACGCGAAACTTGCAGCCGCGTATCTGAAAAGAGTAGAAAAAGACGTGGAGCTGAGCAGGAAAAAATAAAGAAGCACGCTAATCGTTTACTGTCGTGACACTACACTGGATTTTTTTCGAAAGAAGCTGCACCACAATACGACGTCAAGAGGGACGTATCTATGACCAGTGCGAAAAGACGAGAAGCTGCCACTGGAGTTCGCTTGACCTCCCAAGCGAGTGGCAATCGTGATCTTTCTTTTGTGTCCAAGAATTTGCAGGCCTACAACGAACCAACTAAGATCCTGCGGGGTCTGGACCACTGGCACATCAACATGAAAAGATAGTTTGATCATCTCCGCTGGTCTGATATGATGCGACACGTTCCACATGCTGCTGCACTTGGATCCTTTGATATCGTGACGAGAAGACCTTTCACTGTAGAGCGTAAGGTGACAGGAGATCACATAGTTCTTGGCTCGTCGCATCAGCACGCTGGACAAGTCATAGTCAAGATAACTAAAGTACGTGAGCAAGAATGTCAATGACGCCTCTTTCTCCCCAGTCACTGTCGCTCGGTTCTTTATCTTTTATTCGTGATTTGGTGTAATGCCTAACTTGATGTTGATCTTGAGTACCGAAGATTTTTTACTCTGTGTAACAACGGCTACGGCAAGGCTATCGCTGTTACTACGAGCAGCTGCGCCGTACACTTGTCCTCGTGGTCTCGCCGAGGAGGCAGGACTCTAAGTCCATTCGAAACTCGCTATCTATGCTGTACGTGTAAGCGTAACACGAAAAGGAAAAGAAACGCACATGAAGGATGCAGTCGATTGTGAGCAACAGCAACCTGGCGGCTGCCCAGCAGCAGCAGCAACGAGCACAGGGGATGTCCGGGAGCTCTTATATCCCTCCAGAGAGGCTGCGAGAAATGAATGGTGAGCAGCTAAAGCTGCTCTCACAGATGAGCGGATTTAATAGAGGAAACGACACGCAGACGCACATCTCGGGACAGCACTACGGAAATGGTCACCAGCAAGCGCAATGCCAAGATCAGGAAGCACTGAACCAGCTCACCCTAGGAGCAATGCAAGACCCAAGATTTGTCGAGGTGTACAACAAACACGTCGCGCAGCTGGCGAACCAGCAGGGACAACTGGCGGGCTCGAGAGGAGCGTCTGGCGTCGCGGGTGCAGCCTGGTCTGGGTGGTCTCAGCCTACCAATGCAGGAGGAGCTAACCTATCACCGCAACAGCAGCTGCTTCAGATTCTTAATAGCGGTCAACAAGTAATTCTCCCGCAGCAACAGGAGCAAAACACAACAAGAATGGAACTTCAAAGGCAAATTTTTAAGCAGTTTGTTGATCAGGGTGTTATTCGAATTCCTCCCGAAAGCCAAGAAAGGCCAAAAACAGTACTGCTCCCGACGCCGAACGCAGCGCAGCAGAGTATGCAATACAGGGCAACAACAAGAAGTGACACTCCCGGCGGAGCCTCTTCGGGGGCCGCACTAGCATCGTCCGGGCAGACCAGCTTCTACACGAGCGCCGTGTATCAACAGCTTCATAGCGGCGGAGGCGGTGGGCAGTTCAACCCGCAAAGCAACGAGGGTCTGCAGCACTTTGGCGGGAAGAATTCGCAGTACAGCAACAATTACGCGAGTTCCTCCAATGTGGGAACTGATTCCCGCAGCGTCGTGGCTTCTGCGGAAGCCTTATTGTTACAAGAGCAGCACAATGGAAATTCCAATTGCAATATGTCGAAGTCCTGCGGGCCACAAGCACAAGGAGGGATGAACCAGAATAATCAGCAGACAGCAATAAACGAGTTCCAACAACCCGGGCGTCCTGTTGCGCGCGAGGATACGCCGCCACGTGCTGCGGGAAGCCAACACCAACAGAGCGCGTCAGCAATCATGACAAACCAGCAAGTAGTCCTCCACCTGCTGCCGTTGCAGATCCGGCTTCCCGAGTCCCGGCAATTCTACCTTCTCTACACCGCAGTGCCGACGATGGGAGGCGCGTTTACGCGGTTCGAGGAGCTGCGAGAGGACAGTGAGTACTTGTGGTTGGATGGACAGAAAACGCAGTCTAGCTCAAAAACAAACACTCCGCGGCATCACCAGCAAAACGCTGCCGAAGGGCCCGCTGCCGCTTCTCTCAATATCGCGGACGATGTGGAATGGCCCGAGCTTTTGGATGCCGTCTGGGAATGCTACAGCGACGCGGTCGTCGTGAGCGTGGTTGGTAAAAAGCCGGAGAAAAAAGAAACAGATGACGGCACTAATGCGCGAAAACGGCGACCCTTTGGCTCTTGTGCCCGCGCATTCATGGAAAAATTTCGCGAGGCTCAGCGAAGTGAAAACAGCGGAGGGAAGCAGCACTTCGACTGGCAGACACAAGTGGAGGCAACGCCGAGCACCGTAGCAGACGAAGATAGTAGAGGAGCGAACTACAGCAGCACGACACAAAGCGACAATGCGCCCACATCAAATCGAAATGGGTCACCAGTGGTCGTTTCGACAGCTGCTGCGGTTTCTGCAGGAGAGCAGCGTTCTCCTCCAGTAGCTGCAACGCCAACTACGACACCGCCAAAACAGAAAAGGTTTTACCTCTTCACCGGGCAGGCTTACAATCTGGCGATGTTAATGGAAGAGAACGACCTCGACCGCAGCGTGTTTGAAGAAGGTACGTTTAAAGTTGAGGCGCTTTGTTCTTCGGTGTGATTTGTCCATCTAGGGGAATAAAATTTGATTGAGAGGCCGGTACCACTACGGCTTTATCGTAAATCCATCGCAACCCGACATAAAGCTTCACTGAAGTTGCAGCATGGTCCTGTTACCAAAGCAAAAGAAGAAGAACGATAATGGGCAATGAGTGTAGATAGACACACGCAGCTTCATCTTGACAAATTTTCGAAAAAAACAGGCACGAGCTACCTGTTCGACCCGCAGCAGTGCGCGGACCTGACGCTCTTGAACGGAAGGCGGTCCTGGGGCGGTGCCGTCTCGTCTCCCAGCGCTGTCCAGATGAAGACACACCCTCTCTGGCACATGAAGATGAAAATGGAGTGCCGGCGGGCCATCGCGTTGCCGTTATCTCAGTCCGAGCAAGTCCGACTGCCAGTCTTCGTTCGAGGGGAAATGAAGAAGGAGATGGCGCCCGGCGGTATTTACTAATATCTAGGTTTTTCTGCTTTTTCTTTACGTATGCATGGACAGGCACTCATAATCATGTTCATTGATATTTCGTCTATGTGCTGAGGGAAACTACATACTTGTTCCTCGGCGCTGCGTTAACATCACACGCGAGTCCACTGCTCCCGCTGAGCATACCTACGTAAAAAACAAAAATTGCTACGTCGTTCCGGTGAATACAACCGCATATAATCTACAAATACAGAGATCTTTGTCATCCCGCATCCGAGTGGTGAGCCGGCTTGTGGGACGAGGCTCCTGTTGGAAGCCCGCTGGATCACCCCGACGAGTTCGCAGTCGCACCATTCGCAAGCAAACCACAGTACTGGTGGTGCCGGTGATGCTAAATTGATGCCGAGAAGTCGACTTACCATTTTTTCCGGTGCGAGTGGCGACGTTGTCAGGGGCAGAGCGTTGGCGTATGAGGTGGAGCAGATCGCGGCGGAGGGGTTGGAGTTGAACTCCGGCGGAAGATTGAAGAGCTGAGGATGCAGACGCGCTTGCGCTCCCTCAATCAAATGTCAATGGCTAGCAAAAGTACTCTAGAAAACTTTTTCATGCTTAGTAGACAAATAATGTAAAAAAAAAATCAAAAAATTTTCAGCGATCTCTTACTTCTACTTTTCATCGATCGCATGTCTCTTGCGACAATTGAATTCGTCGCGTCAACTATTCCCAACATAAAAAAACAGTATACTTTGAGCTCTAGGCAGACAAAAGAAAAAGAGAATTGCCATACATGATGCGTGAGCAAAGACGAAAAAAACCACGTTGATGGATATCATGGAACGATTGAGCTTTCGCGCTGAACTTGAAGCACAAAACTGACAGTAAGAAATCTCTGCGTTACAGCACTCCCTGTAATCATATGAAGCTTCCGCCTTGCATTCGACAAGATGGTTTGAGTGCTTTGGCTTCACCTCCGACGCAGATGATTATCGAACGGCCTCCCCTTTCGTTCATATGCTGTCGTTGCCTTTTTTGTGAAGAGGTAGGAATGTTGATTGTATTCTATTCTGTTCTAATTATCTATGCGGTTGCGGTTGCGCAACGGACCAAAAGAAGTCAAAAGATCAGAGAATCGGATGCACTTGTATTTAGACGAGCAAGAGTAACAGATGCAGATGGAAACCAATAGAAAAGAACAAGATCAAGAGCCATGCTCAAAGTTTTCTGATTTGTCTCTCGAGCACCGATGTTTCTCCAAACTCAGTGTGATCTTCTCTGTGGAGATTGCAGTTCTTATATATTAAAAGATTTTTCCAATGCCTTGCGCTTGCAGTTGCAGCAGCTGCAAGTCATTGGAAGGGAGATGTTGAAGAAGATGATGATGATGATGATGATGATGATCAGAAATGGCCCATTGATTCCGCCGGGCGGGTAAGCGCCTCGGTTTCTTATTTCTAGCCATGATTGTGTGTGTGTTTTTAGCTACCTGATCCTGAATCTTTTCTTTCGCACTCATAATTTTGTAGTGATGTATTGTTCGCCTCGTCTGCGAAATAACATACATGGATGGGAACAGCACAGTCAACACACTTGTTTCACTGCACTATTTTGATCTGACAACAGGCCTCTTCCGGACTTCAGTACTATCTCGTGACTGCTATTTATTACGAAGAAAACGCCTCTCTGCATCCAGGGAGTGGCTGGCTTCAGGGTGGGCACACTCGGCTGGGCTGCGATTCGACTTGAACCTCCAGCAGAGCCTGAATGATGCTCTCGGCGTCAGCTCGGGTGCCAACGTGAACAAGGTCAAGAGGGAGCAGTCGCCGCATATTCTCCTTAGATGGATTACAGTATGGATGGATTAGAGTATAGAAGTAGAACTCAACACGGGACGGCTGAAGATTGAATAGCTAGAGAAATACGTACTGTCGCCGTGGTCGTGTGCAGGGCCTCAGAAAATTTTGACACAGGTTTACTTAGAAGAACGACGGCTGAGCAAGTCCATTCCTCGTTTTATGGTTTAGATATGGGCTTGTTAGATTTGAAATATTTATACACTCAAACAGTCTACTTTACGTTTACCTTTAGAGTGCCTTGGATTTGCGCTTAAGTTTAAGTAAACTAACTCGTGTCCAGATGAGTATCTTGCTCCGTTTTCGCAAGTGGGCAAATAGGCTACAGGGGTGTATATTTATGCCGCGTCAATGATGAGGAAGCGACGGTGATGGAGATGACGAATCACGCATGGCAGGTCGGAGCATACAAATCGCCGCTGCGGCCCAGCTGTGTAGTGTTGGCCCCTGGCGTGAAGCAGTTTCTGACTTTCAATCCCGGTCCCGGTCGCAGTGTACAAGATGAGTTACTGGAGGAAGCGGAGGAGAAGTACCAAACGGTCAAGCCGGCGAACGATCGTAAGTCCTCCTCACTCTGCGTGTTTATTTTTGGAGAGAGCTTGCCAGTTAAGTTCCTGCAATGATTTTCATATTCTTTCGGATGAATTACGTAGAACGTGAGCCAGACTTCTAGATCTAGGCGTGCCCCCGCGGTCGAACTGCAGAGCGACAACTTTTCGTTGTTGTTCTTCCCAGGTGGTGCAGGTTCGGGTAGCCTAGTTATTGCAATGTTGTGAGATGCTACAGCTAGTAGAAAAATTGATCCAACAAGAAGCTAATCCTTCCCTTATTTTATGATTTGATTGCAAAACAAAACAGAAACGGCAATCAAAATAAATGGCGCCGGCAACGAGATCGACAAAGCCGACGGGTCCATGTTTCTAGTTACTGATTTTTTGTGCGATCTGTATCAGTCTTCCGTGGTCGTAAATTGTTGCACAAGTGCGCCGGCTCGGCAGAAGTGCCGTGCCGCGGCAGTGTATCTGCCGCGCCGGCTCCTCTGTGTTTTCACGGGACCTACATGCTTGCTTCTCTACGCAGCCGACAGCAGCTCCCTCGAGAATGAGCCGAGGGAAGGAAGAAACTACGTATTTGATTTCAAAAAGAAGTCTTCTTTTGGAGTCTATCTGATAGACCCAGAAGTCTGGATGAACCGTGCGTCGCCGGCGAACAAAGATAAGGTCTGGATGGAATTTATCCAGACGCAGCGCCACATCCTACGCTGCCGGCGCGTTTTCCGATGGGACGACCAGAGCGGCGACATCCCGATTCTCGCTGGAGAAGTGAACAACTTCGGAACCCGGGCCCAGAAGGCACTCCTGAGCCCCGGAGGTACATTATAGTTTTATATTTATATAACTATATTTATAAGCTTCTTTCTTACTTTGGTGGGGCAGCATATCCATATTGCATCTCCTCGTCTTGTCCTCAGGTTTTTAAGCGTGAATCGACGCACGACGGATACCGGCAGGAACATGGAAGCAGCTGCGTGCTATCCTTTTAGCAACGGCCGAATTGCTGGTCGAAGATGCAAACTGATCCTCGCTTCTATTTGCGCATATGAAGAATGAACATGAAGTCTTTGCGACGTCGCGCGTATTTAGACTTACTCACTTGATTTGATTCAACATACGCCGATCATTAGGATTGCACTGGCAGGTGGCGCAACCATTCGAAACTCAGGTTTTCTGATTATTCCTTTCGTCGGGAGACTGGGCGAGAATGTGGTCTTCGAAAACTGCTGGTGTATCGGAAACGAATCCGATTTCCTGAATGTTTACTCTGGTGGCAGCGATATGAAGTGAAAATATCAATATGCAAATAAAACACGACCATGTTGACGCTCATGCATAAGATTAGGAAGAGGTTCTATGCATGGATTCATTTCTTGTATTCTTCCACGTCGAACGAAGTACCACTACACTCTCGTACCGATCGATTTCACTGCAGGCGAGACGAGCCTCGTCATATCATCTCCTCATGGTCATGGTGTGCGTGCATGTTTTGCGAGGATTGAGCACGTCACGGGGTATAAAGAGCTGAAGGACAGGGAAGCATTGATTAGGGATACCCACTGAAATAAAACTTTGCACCATTGCCATCAGTCTGGGACTTTTTTATGCATGAATGAGCGGAATAAATTGTAATTGAAAATAATACGTCGATGTGGTAGTTGTGTGTAAAGATAAAGAAAGAAACAAGATTCCCCACAACTGCGCGCATGAGGCTAGTTTTTTTATGGCTCCTGAATGCATATATGATGGCAGTAGTAGTACAAGTAATTTTTTGTTTCACAGGCTGACGCCTAACAGACCAGGAACAGTTCTCGCAATGGAAAGAACACCGGCTCCGGCAAGAGCTGAACAAAATCCCACGCCAGCTACAATGCCAACTCCCGTACTCAACCCGATATGTGTCTGAGCGATCACCCGACGCACGATCGGAAGCTTTGCGTCTACTTTTTGATCGAATTCGCTTAGCGGCCAGACTTCCATCGCTCAGTGGCAGGGAACCTCCGAAGGAGGAACAGTGGAAAAGCCGACCAACTGCGCCGTGTGATTTCTATTCGTCTCCGCCCTATGGAAGCACACAATCATGCCCCCTGTCACGAATGGCATATGCCAAATTGCAATATAACTGAAACGCTTGCTGGCTTTGGTCTTGAGCTCTGTACTGCGAAATTCTCAAAGCCAAAGAAATTCTGTGACGGGTCAAAGCGCACCTCTTTTCCCATGCTACCTTTCTATGCAGACTATTCATTCTTGGACCCTCCCTAGGGGCTCTTCGCTCAAATACTACTAGACAAATTTCAAAATATTCGGGGCATGTTTTGTTGCATACACAAATTATTCCAGACAAAGATGATGTTCGTACCCCTTCGACCGCCATTTCGGAGTCAGTCCGCCCCTCGTCTCCGAATACCCAGGAAAACCGGGAACAGGCCGCTTCGTTTGCTTGTTTCGATGATCCGACGTTTACAAGCTCAAGCTGGCTCCTATTCAATCGATTCATCAAGCTGGCTCCTATTCAATCAGGCCGATCGATTCATTAAGTTGAGACGACCTGACATTGTCTCTGATCCTGCCAACTCGTTCTTGACGGACCTGGAGTTTCTTGGCTTTTTAGCCAACTCGTCTTTGTCGCTTTATTTGGCGAGTGGAAACCGGGAGGAGCGACAACAAGAAATGTAAATCGATTGCCCTCGCGAAGACTTTTTAGTACTCGCATAAATCTACTGCTCCGACCACGGTTGGATAAATCTGAAAAGAAAAGGAAGTCCTTCGGGCATACGAAGCAGCATCCGCTGTAGAAGATGCCCGATGGTCTTCGCCACTGATTCCAAGTGAAAGAAGAAACCGCACGACTGAGCTGAAAGAAGAACGAAGAGAAAAAAGGCTGAATCATATAATTTCAGCATAGCCAGGCGTGCGAAAGTAATCGCAAGTCATCAGCGAGCAAAGCGCGCCCGCGCTCTCGCTACAGCACGTTGTGTGTTTGTGAGAGTGTATTAATCTCTGCGCATGCTCCTTTCCCACCCTAGCAGAGCACGTAAAATATGAAGGTCGCCGCGAGCACAGATCTAAATCTTCTTCATCGAATGCACGGTCCAAAAGGCTAGGTGGAGAAGTCTGCCAGGAACTGCGTCGGGCCACGAAAGGAAGCTCAACTCATGCGTTTATTAATTTGTGAAAGGCAAAGTGATCATCCGATGAAGAATTTACAATTTTAACTTTAAGCATAAGTACTAGCTTTATGACGGTTCTTTACACCATTCGAAGTTTGCTTCTCTAAGGCGAAAATAAAAATATTAGCGGCAGCCTCCGTACGATTGCATTCACTTCGAGGTACTCAATGAACAGGATCGCGCAGCGCCGGTTTCAATTACGTCGTGCAGCGTTAGAGTTTGAGTTAAAGTTAATGTGCGGCCTGCAGAAGCCAGTCACAGTCATCAGTTTCCAATTGACACAGTGGTTGCTGGAATTACTCGTTTGTATGTCATCCAGGTTCACTCGTCATCCCTTTTCTTTGTGCGAATTATGCGGGAATAGGAGCTAGTGTCGAGGCAGTGTTTTGCTTTTCCATGATTGGAATGATCCGCTTTAGTTTTTCTCCGATCGTCTTTTTTTGACACATTTTGATGCACTGAAATAAGAACTTTTTGGTGGAAGGAGGTATAATAAAAAACAATAACAAACTGTATCACTGGCTATGAAGTGGTTCGTCTCACTCTGTTGATTCCCAGCAATTAATTTGTTCAAGGAACAGCTTTTGCGAAATATTTTTCTTGCGCTTGACTTTCCTTCACTTCGCATCCATAGGTGCAGACGCAGAAGTGTGCTATAGTGTACAAACCGGTGGATATAGTAATTTTAGAGACGTTTAGGAGGACAACGACAATAGTACAGCTGCCTGCGAACAAGTCTCATTTTGGTTTCTTCTGCAAAAGCAACTGCAAAGCTGACGGCGAGAACGAACCTGTTCCGCGATCATGCGTTTCACGACGAAGAAGACATCGGCCATGGCTCGGGCGTGGGATCTGATCTTTCTGTCGCTGACCGAGGCAGCCGCGACTGCCACGCACCACGGAGAGACTGCAGCCGCCCGCGGAAATTCGTCGATGCGCATCGGCGTGGTGGAAGAACCTGCTTCTTCGAGCGGCGCTGCTGTTCGCGGTACCTCTGCCACTGAAGATGTTGCGATGGTTGAAGAACTACCAGACCAGCTGCGCAATTCGGACCAAAGTTTACTCCCTTACAACAGCGACAGAAAAACTGAAGAACTGTCGTCTTCTTCTGCTGCATCATCGGCGGGAACAGCACAAGCACTAACTGCCTCATCGGCAGGACGACAAGCAGAAGGCCGCAGCAGAACCACTAGTAGCAGCACAAATGCATCAACCGTGACCTTGTCCGCGACGGCAGCTACGTTTACGCCCGGCGCGGCGCAATATGTTGATCAGAGCCAGAGTGCGCAGCAAGAGACGTCGTCCGCGCCGGCTCCTGCAGGGTCGCTTTCGCGCGGAGAGCAGCGGTGGCGGAGAAAAGAACACACGAGACAGCTAGAAAGAGATTTTCTACAGGTGGCACAAGAACAGCAGTTACAACCCATCCACATGCGCGATATGCTTGTGCATAATCACACACCACCTGCCGTTGCAGTTGCAGTCACGCCAGTAGCAGCAGCAGTGCCCTTTGTTCACCCAGAGCAGCACTACCACAGCCACTTTCACGCGGGCACAGCAGGAGCTGCGCCAAGTAGTACGCAGTACAATATGCAGCTGCACGCCGGCGACAGTTCAGCATCAGCTTCGGCTTACAGCACTTGGACAGGGCCCTGGCAGTTTGCTTCCCCGGATCCGGTCACGGGTACAACAGGCGCGCACGACCACCTTGGTCAACAAGTTGCACAGCCGCTTCTAAGACCCACCAATCAGCAGAACGATCAAAGATACCTTCACGGAGGGCAAGAATTCCATCCAGGAACGCCGTGGCTTGGTAATACAGCGGCACTGGGAATGTATATGCCTGAGTCTGGTACGGCTGCAATACCGATAGCCCATGACAATGCTGGACTTGCTGGTGACAGAGCAAGTCGTCAAAATGTGCAACTGCCGACGCAGCCGCAGCCGCGACGGCAAGACGGGCACAGCGAACACCGTGGTACTCGACCCGATTGGAGAGGCGGGGTTACCGGTAGTTCCTACACTAATGCAGTTGTTAGCCCAGCGCCAGCATCAGCAACTACGGCTGCGAATGCCCGTTCTTCCATGGGACAAGCACGTCGTGGCGACACTTCCTCTGCAGCAGATCCCTGGTCTGGCGGTAATGATCCTTGGTCGACAACAAGCTTGGCATCTTCGAGTGCATCTGGATATAAGGAAGAGGTCCCACGGGCCCGCGCGCAAGGAGGACAATCCACTGCTCGTCCTTCGCGTCCTCATGCGGCCAAGCGAAGTGATCCAGCCGCTGTTGCACAAGATCCTTGGACCGCAGCCGGGGCGGACCCCTGGGCGAAAGCCGCAGCAAAGCATCAAGTGGGGGAAAGGAAAGCGGAGGAGCAACAGTGGCAAGGCTACGCGCCAGGCGCTACAGCGTTGCCGGACCCGTGGCCGACACAACAGGAAAGCACCCTGCAGCTGCCGTTTCCGGTAGGGGAGATTTCGTCGCTCGGCATCGGTGACGCGACACGATCGAGCGTGGGCTGCAACGACGGTCGTGGAAGCGTAATAGAGAAAACTGCACGCACGTGGTCGCACGACCCTTTGCAAACCAAACCGCCAGAGAGGATTCTGTCTTGCCCCGTGTCGCAAACCACCGGAAACGGGGGCGTCCAGTACTTTGTCGGGGCACGGAACACCCGGGCGGTGAGCACCAGTGCAGGTAGCAAGGATCATCAACAGTACGTTCTGGCGCATGACACTCAACCGACATCGCCAAAAAACGTGTCGTTGCCGCTCAGCAGCGTGACGGCTGGAGTTGTCGCCAAGTCCACGCCGGGCAGCAGCGTGTTGAACGCCGTTCCGGCACCGAAGAGAGGAGCTGCGCACGAAGCCAAACCATTGAGAAAGAAGGATTTTTATGCCAAACAAACGGAAACGAAAGCCACGATAGTAGACGAACAAGTCACCACGTCCCGCCTCCGCGCTGACCTCGGTAAAGATGAGCCGACAAAAATTACGGGCACAAAAGTCGGCAACGTGACCAGTTCACAGCTCGACCAGCGGCTCCAGCAAATGAAAACCCTGCAAAAGCTCAAGTATCAAGCGCCCGAGCAGGCTCTCCGGCAACTCGCCATGTCGCTGAGATGGCAGCTAAACGCGTTTGGTTCGCTCGACTCAAAGTACGTCGAGTACGCGGCTGTGCGGGAGATGTTCTCTGAGCTAGATTTGATTTTGACTGCGATTTTGAACAACTACGAAATGGATAGCAAGGGCAGCGAAGGCGCAGCAGGAGCCGAAGCTGCGAGAAATACTGCCCGAGCTGGACCTCAAGAGCAAGCCAGCTGCAACGCCGGTAGCAGTGGAATAAACCAGCAAGCGAAATTTCAGAGGCTGGTCGGAATACTGGACCGATTGCGGATGTTGTTAGGTAAAGTGCAGAAAATCCCGCAGGAGATTGCGAAAGCCCACGGGGATGCGAACCGGAGGACCAGTCCGGAACACGACCAGTTTCTGCAGGGGCTGAACTTGCAAATGCAGGCTTTGGTGTTGGCCGTCGTGGAAACCTGCTTCGCGCAGATTGAGTATCTGCAGTTTGTGCAAGAGAATGGCGTGGAAGAAGTGAGGCACATGATCAAACAACAAGAAAACGATGACCACGACATGGGCGGTACAACCTCTGAGGAAAAATCTGAGATGAAACAGGGCACGTTCATCCATCGCGAGAACGACAACCAACATGGTTCTACTGATGATTTTTGTCTAGCAGCAGCAGACGAGTCTTACGAGATTGGTTGGGCCGACATTGCAAGGATCGCTTCCGCGGTGCACGTCCTGAGACCGGATGACAAGCGACAGTGGCTCCGGGTTCTGGACTTGCTGTCCCGACACATTGCCATGCTGGAGGCTGCAGAGTACGTCTCCGTCCTGGGCGCTCGGCCGAAAGACGAGGCTCGTCGTGGCGCGGGCACGGGTGCAGCAGATACAGCTCCTTCTCCTGCAGCTGTTGGAAAAGCTGCATTTCTTTCATCTTCTCCGGCTTGCACCTCGACCACAGCGTCAGCGGCGGCGTCGCCGGATCTGAAGCCCGGCTCAGCGCCGCACAATGCAAAACAAGAGTCGTGCGCCGAGTCTTTGTCGGTGTCATCTGCAGCGCGCAACATTAAGTTCCTGGGTGATCATAGTCATGTTGTCCATCAGGAGCGTCCGCCTCGGATCCCGTTGCCGAAGCGCATGGAGGAGATGATTGCGCGAGAGGTGAAGCGTGCCGCACAGTCGTCGCACAAACACCGGCGTCAACAGCTGCTCTACCAGCCGGCAAAGTTCACCAACTTCAACACGATTTTGACAGCGCTTGCCGAGGGTGTCCTTGGCAACGAAAGACTGCTGGCCGAATTTTCCATCCACGAGAAAGTCCAGTTGGAAGCCATTCTGCACCGGTTTGTCCTGCTTCAGGCGACGCGGACGACCAGCAGCCTAAAGTGGAACCATTTGATTCGCGAGTGGGTGAAGTTGGACGAGATGGTCACGGTGTTTCAGCATCTGACGCGGCTGAGTCTCTTCACGACGAATCAAATTCCATACGGCCCAGAGGATGGGTCCGCGCCGTCCCGAAAAGGAGCAACAAGTGAACAAGCCACAAAAACGTCGTTTATCAACACGCCGTCGATCCTGCTGCTTTTCAACCAGCGCCTGTTTCCGATTATCATGAAAAAGATCGAGGATCAAGTGAAATTGGACCAGATCTACGACCAGTCTTTGGACGAAGCGCAAGCTGTTGCGAAGTTGTCACCGACGCCACTTTCTTCGATGCAAGAGGCAGGAACTGGTGCTTCACGTGACCAGGTCGTGGCAGCGACATTGCAGCAAGGAACCGCGGACAGTAGCGGCAGCAGCACGACTCGGGTGACATCTTCCCAGCATACTGACTGTTCGTCACCTGCTAGTACCAGCTCTTGCACTACTGCATCGCGTGATCCGCTGTTGGCGAGCAAGCCAAAAAAGTCAACTCTGTATCAGCATTTGCCGAAAGACACCAAAACGGTGAAAAAGCTGCTTCAAACGCTTGTGACGTTCCTCTCGGAGACCCGGCGTTCCCTTGTGAGCCGGATTATGCAATTTGAAAATGACATCCTCACGTCGAAGCAGGCCGGCATGGATCAGGGCGCGCGGCTCTTGCAGCACGAACTGGATAAGCTGACGGGCTACGAAGAGAGTCTGAACCGGCTCACGCACCATTCGTTTGCCTACGCAACCAACGTGTTGCATTTGAAGCTGAAACGGTTCAAAAACCGGCGGGCAGAACTGGCTAAAGAAAGCAGTGAGCAGGCACCTCTATTGGACCACGCAGACACCATCTGGCAAGACACAACAGTGCCGATCGTGGAGATCTTGACGCACGCGGTCCTCCTCGACGAGGAGAGCGCAAGTTTGCGGATTTCTGCTGCACCCGGGACGGAAGAGCGGGACCAGGCACTCCAAAAACTGGAAGCGAAAACGAACGAGCGCTTCGGTTGGTTGCTAACGACCAAGCAACCCTTTCACTACCAAGAGGGGGCGAAAGAGAACCTGGAGCTGAAATCACTCTACGAGTCTATCCAAGTCCAGGGGTTGGTTTTGAAGGATAGCGACGATGGTGGACGACCCAGTACAACTGCAACACCCTCGGGTGCGAACGCAGGCTTTCCGCTGAAGGACTTCTTGTTCGAACTGATCAGATCACTACTGGAGCCGTTTGTAGCGCCCTCGTCCAGATCTTCGAAAGCAACTACCACTGCAGCTGCTGCGGACGGAAGACAAGCTGCACAAGACCCAACATTGCTGCACCTGCAGCGTCACGGTGCAACAGCTTTGCTGTCGATGGGACACCAAGACAAGAGTGCGCAGAACCTCAACGCGCTTAAAAATGTGTCGGAGGAGGAGCAAGAACTCGCGGATCACCTGAGCCGCAACCTGCCTCTGCATGACCGCTACGACCGCCAGATTTCGATTGAGAGCACCCGGTCAGGAGCGAGCAATATGACCTTCACCACCATTGCAGCCGGGTCGGTTGTTGGCAGCGGTACCTCTGGAGATGCTGGTGCGGCGGGACGTACTAGTACCGCAAATGTTGATTTTTTCGATGTTGGCAGTTTCATTCCAGATGATTATGATCCCAAAACCGGAGCGCCGCTGTCTTTCGCTTTTGCGAATGCGGATCCAGAGCAGAGCCCGCATTTTCAGAAGATGCTCGATCAGCGGCAAATCAGCCTGGAATTCCTCACCCCCTTGTTATACATGCTCTCAAAAACCGTCCGCAGTGTAGTTATCCTGCAGCCGCAACAGAAGATTCCGTCTTCTTCCCCCGCCGAAGGAGCTCGCGCAAATACGGATCCTATCGCCTCGCAGGCACAGCTGATTACGAAGCAGGATAGAAGCGTGCTGCGAAAATTCCTGCACCTGGTCGTGACCGCGGTGCTGGTGCAAGCAGATACGGACGTGGATGTCGCCCATCGGGATCAGCAATCCCGTCCTGTGCAGCCGCGCCTGCCGAAGAGGAAAATCGTTTCTCTTCTTGCGGCATTGGTGGAGTTGGAAAATCTCGTGCCGGAAGTTACTCCCTACCCGTTGCTGCTGCAGAAGAAGCTCACGAAACTCGTGTACAATTCCGTCCAGGTAGACGAGTATTGGAGCGAGCAAGATCGGAACATGTGGTGCCAGATGGTCCTAGTGCCCGCGATCATGGACAGCTGTAACTCCGGACGCACAACTTGCCCGGGCGAGTGTCTTGCGCGAGAGAAGGAGCAGCGGAACTGCGCGCGGAGAGAAGCGAGAGTGGCGCTGAAAGCGGAAGAGCGGCGTGGAAGCAAAGGGCAGAACAGTGAAGACGTGGCTCTTGAGGCAGCAAGTTCGGAACAGAACGTGCAACACCAGCTGCCGAACAAAACAGTCTGCGAGCCACGAGCGGGGTTGAAGTCCTTTTGCCAAGCGGCTTGCCTGCGTGGCGTTTTTCCGAATAACAACCCCTTCCGGCTCCAGTACCGCGACATGCAGTCTGCGAGGGATGAAGCGAGCTTGCACCAGAAGGCACAACATCAAGTTGCGACAGGGAAGACCACCGCAGCTGCGGTAGTAGAACAGCAAGCAGGGCCGTCCGTACAGCAGCAGAACCAGATGGCAGAACTAAATCACGGTCAGAGTTATCATGGAGGCGATCATGGACAAGAATTTGTTGACACCTCGTCCCAGTCGCAAACACTAATGCAAGCATATAATCCACAGGTTGGTTTTGGTCGCACTGTTGTGTCTGCACAGATGCTCCGTGCGTTCAAGAAACAAGACAGAGATGAGCGAAACAGGCGTATGCGATTGGCGCAGGGCGTGGTGCAGAGAACACCCGGTGGACAATTACAATCAACCTACCCGAAAAATGAAGGACCAGCACCCGCAGGAGCGAGTCCAACATCCACGGTCAACAACACAGAGCGGATTGCGCAAGCGGCTCGGGACCTCCTGAACGCGGACTACGAAAAGGAACCGCGGCTGACGTTTTTGCCCCTGAAACAGCTTCCGGACAAAACCAAGGAGCAGGGATGGGAAAAGGCCTTGCAGGACTATAGCCCCGACGACGACGCTGCCGGAGGGAAGTGGGTAGACGGCCTGATCGACGCGGTAGAGGCTTCTCGGGAGAAAGAACAAAGGGGCCGAAACAAGAAATCTAGCACAAAGTTGTTGCAGCCCGCTGATCATGGGCGAAGCTACCGACACGCACACTCAGGAGGAAATCACGTCGATGATCCCTCTAGTCCGTCCGCAAAAACCGCTTCTCCTGCCCGAAATAGCACAAGCAGGAGCTCTCCTGGAGTTGTTGGCGTACAACAACCTCCTGGAGGCGGCATTAAGTCGAACCCTTGGTCGTTCGCGTCCACTACCAGCACGCAGGAGCCTGCTGCCACTACATACTCGAGTTACGCAAGTAAAGACTCGACGGCTGGAGTTCTTCTCGGCGACTTTTCTATCGGCTCGGAAAGTCGGGTTCCCACGGGATCGCCGGTGGATCGGCAACGCCAGCACGTTTCAATCCCCAGTTCCTCTGGTGCAGCAGGCCCGAGAGGACTTGTTCGCCAGAAGATACCACACTCACAGTCTTTCGGTTCTATTGAACAGGGAAATTCTTCCTCCCAGGGCTTTGTAAGTGTGGGCGAGCAGGAGGAAGATGCGTTTTCCTGCAGAAGTCCGGCTCCGGAATGCTGGCAGTCCGTGGTGTCATCCGCGTCCTCCTCCACTGCGATAAACGCGAAGGAGGTATTAACAGGTGCCCGAGGATCTTCCTCTGCGCCATCGGAGCGTGCCCAAAATTTCAATATGACAGGACGAGAGCCAGAACAACTAGGGGAGCCGCGACCACCTTCCCCTGCGTGTTCCTCTAATGCTTGCTACGAGCATGTTGCCGAACAATTTGAGGACGACTACCTCGCGGGCTGGGAGGCGCACGCGCATTTACTCGCAAAGCAGGCGGCGGAGCAAGAGGCAAGAAGGGAAAGAGAAGAAGAAGCTGTAGTGGCGGAGCGCATGGCAGCTGGAAGTAAAGATCAGCGCAGTCGTCGTGCATCTGGCAGTGCACCAGATATGATGTTGTCTGACGACCAGCAGTCTAGGAAAGGCGCGAAAGACCGTCATCTACACAGCAGACGCGGCACTCGCGGTGCTCGGAAGCTGCAGGGCTTCGATCGTCAGCGATCGGACGAATCTGCTGCTGCTGGTCAAGAGGAGCCACACGGTAACACGCATGTTGCCCCGGCGTGGAAAGCTTATGGTGCTGTCCGTCCGGCGCCAAAAGCGAAAGCGATGAAATCAAGGGAACAGCAGGCCTGGCATGATACCGAAAATAATAAAGCAAGTACTCGAGAGAAGGACAACGTTCCCCGTTCGGGATCTTCAAGTAGCGGGATGAAAACGAGAACGGATTCTCCTATTTTCCGCAACGCGGACGAATTCAATGCAAGACTGATGAAGTACAAGCGTACTCCAGTCCTTGCGCATCAAGAAGCCACTGTTGTTAAAAAAAGTGAAGACAGTGCTCCCGCCGTCTTCACAGCGGGTCATGACCCAGCATCGGACGAAAGAATGTTGGACCGGGAATCTTTTCCAGCTGTTGAAGAGAACAGTAGCGCGCGGCGCTTTCCAATCGGACAGGAGCCCTGGAACCGGAACCAGCGGAGCTCTGAAGCGGAGGAGCAGGAGCGGAGTGGAACTACTCAAGAACACCCCCAGAAGATGAAGATGAAGCCATCTTCTCTCCAGTTCGGGCGGGGTGAGCTGCAGCGCCCCGCGCCTCCGAGGCTTGACGAAAAGAACTTTGGCACACCGGTCGCAGGAGGAGCCTCGTCATCTAGTACTTCTCGGCGAAAAAGGAGGCTTCAACTTGAAGATTCTGCAGTGAGCAACGATCTAACGCCGGCGACTCACTCCCGCTTCGAAACTCCGAAGTCAACGGCAAGTTCGTCGGGAGGAGGAGCTGCAGCAACTGCATCCGGCACGACAGCGGGCGCGGCAACTACAACTCCGTTCTACCTCAGATCCTCGTCTTTTGGAACCCCCTCGAGTGCGGCGGGGGCCACGCCTTCCAGCACCAAAAGGGAATTTCGGATGGAAAGTTGGGCCGACATTCAGGAAGGCGATGATCCGGATGATGACTTGTGGCCGGGGACAATGGAAGCGCCATCAATGCCCGCGCCATAATGCTGTTGCCAGTTTTGGATGCAATAGAAATAAGTACTATAACACATAGGACAGTTTTTGAAAAATTAGCATGCAACACGGAAAGAAAAGGACAGCTTCGGAAAGTAAGTACATAAAAATTGGAAAATAGGCCTGGGCTCCTGCTATAATTAGTTTCTCTCGTTGCGTTGTTGAGATTGAGAATATAGCGGCACCTGGCTGCATGAAGTTCACGCAGACGTGACCAAAAGGCGCGCAACGGTTCGCGACTGTCTCGACCGGAATCTTTGGCGACAAATAACCAAAGGGGTGCAGCAAGGCACCCAAAAAACAGCACAAAACGACAGCACTTCTTCCGCCGCGTCTTTCCAAAGCCAACAACTACCTACTCAAGCTATAATGAGACTCCAGGGACGTAGAAGAATAGGAGTCGATAAGGGACAATCTAAGGCTTAGAGTCGAACAGATTTAAATCATCATAGCGGCACCTGCTGTGCTGCAGGCGCTGAATCCACATTGGTATCACGACTGGTACTACAAGTATGTTGTATTCGACAACTTTCCTGCCTCACGTGCACTCTAGAGAATATCGCTCTGATCGTCGTATGGATGTAAAAGCCCGATCGTTTTGAACTTTGATCTAGGTCTAGACCCTCTACGCGCCTGAATGTCCAGAAGAGGCAACCGAATATACTTGACTAAAAAAGAAAGTATACCTCTTTAAGTAGCAAGAGCAACTATCATCAAGCGTTACAATGCATCTCAATTACATGCAAGCATTCTTGTCAATACAGATACTTTTTTTTCGTCACGCAAGCAATTACGTTAGGACTAGTATGGCTGGTACGAAGTGAATCTCTGTCTTAATGATCTTCTTCCGTTCTACTCCTGCAATAAACGAACCCTTATCTTGTGCTCAAATGTAGAAAATCGCTGCTGCAAAAACAATTGCCGCCAAAGCACATTAAGTTTCCATCCGCCAACATGGATCGATTTACGAGAATACTGTGCTTGTGTGAATGTGGTCACAATTGAGATTATTTCTTTTTTGTTGAATTTTGTCAAAAGGACAGCGGTTGTAGCATGCATGCAAAAAGATAACTAGTTGCTTGTCGGCACAACTTCCGCACGCAATAAAAGGCGGACAACGCGTTTGTGTGTTTTTTGGTACGGGAACTTGTTCGTCGCAGCGGAGTGGCGTGGTGTTTCAAAATTTTATGCGTGAGATGAAGACGAGTCTAGTATAAGGTTAAGGAGCAACAGAAAGTGCCATCTCACACGCCGCCTATGAGCGAAAATCATGCAACGCAGAAAGTCTACGTAGTCAGTAGTAAACAGCCTTCATCAGGCGTGTTGCGCAATTTGAGGATGTCGGCACGTCGTTGACCATGATGAGAAGTGGAAGACACATTCAATTTCAGTTTACAAGAGGAGCAGCATTTTATCTACCACCACCCACAGCGGTTTGTGTGTAGATTGATCCGAATTCGAGAAAGATGTTTGAGACCGAAAGATGCGCGTCATCTTTTATGTTACGGCGCTACTTCACAATCGCACGACGAGCATCTTGTGTAGAAGTATAGAATGTTCGAAAGCCTCAAGACTTCGGCCACACGACTCTATCATGGACGTATCTTTGTTTTCTGCCTATCTTGATCTCTTCTGACCTGATACTCAAGTATAGATACCGATCGCGGAGATTGTTCCTAACAACATTGACGTTTTCAAAGATGCCGCCCCCGCCCAAGAAGATCCAGATGAAAAAAGGCGCTGCGCAGAAGGTGAAACCAAAAGACGCAAAAAAGCACAAACCTGCTGCGAAAAACGCGAGACGGGGGAGTCCGAGCCCCGCTCCGGTCAGGAAGAATAGTGCGTCGGTGAAAAGCAAGAAGCCGCCACCCTCGAGTGCTGTGAAGAAGAAAAATACAACATCAACAGCGCTGGTTTCTGTGAAGAAGAAAAGTGCAGCTGCCAATGAAAGAAACGATAAAGCGCAGCGGCAGCCGAGCCCAAAAAAAGACCACGATAAGAAAAGCAAATCTTCGGGAGCGAGCAAAGCCAATAGATCCCCAAAAACTGCTGCGGTGAAAGAGAATAAAGAGCGGGACATCAAAGGTGACAAAAACGCAACATCCAAGCCCCCGAAGGGTGCAGGCGCTGGCGGTGCAAGTAGTGGCAAATTAAAGCTGAACGACGAGAAGCTGCTGCCTGATACCGATGAGGAAATCGCGGACGAAAAGAACAAAAACAAAGCCCCAGAGCCTGCTACTGGCTCCTCTCCACCCGCTCCGGCTAAGAGCAGCAGGCCGAAGAAGATAATCAAGCGCCCAAGCTCCAGCAATAAGCGGGATCAGGAAGAAGTTTTGGATGACAACGACGATGTCATCTGCCTGGAGGACGAAGATGAAACTTCTTTGGGTACTAACTTCAAAAACAAGAAAAGCAGTGCACTCGTGCTATCGACCAAAAACAAGAGGAGTAACAAGAACCAAGACGTCGACGGAGATATCAACCTGGACCTCGAGGAGGATCTCCCGGCGTCCACCACGAATGCCGACCAGGCGTCGGTCATGAATGTGCGTTTTTGTGACGAAGACCAGCGCAATACGTTTCAGCGACTGTACCGGCATCAATACGAGTTCGTCATGAGCGACGTGTTCAAACATAGCGACGGAGCAGCTGGGGACAGTGGCAGACACGCGGCCTCGTCCTCGTCGAAGAAAAACAAAGACGAGGAGCACAAGAATTTCCAGGTTTTTTTCGGGGCGTTTGGGTCCGGTATTCTGGGCGTGCAGGAGGCTGGCGTGACGTGGGAGACGATGACCCCGTCGAACAGCTGCATCATTCTCTTCGTGAACCCGAAAGAAGTGAAGGTCCAGTTCAACAGCGCGCACGGCAATCGCTACGCCGACCGCTACGACCGCGGCGCCCGGGTGTTCCGCTGGGAGACGCAGAGATCTGATTTAGATGGCGCGCGCATCAACTTTATCCAGCAGGTTTGTAATACGAGAAAAGCGAAGGTGTGCATCGCGACGCGGGCCGAGAGAACCGATACCTACTCGACCCTCGGCACGGCAAAGCGCATGCAACTCGCCCGGGGCCCGCAATTTCTCGTGCAGGACCGCCAAAAGGTGAAAATCGACGCCAAAGAGCGGATCCACTGCGCCATTCGGGAGGATTGCTTACCAAAAAAGGCTGGGTACGCGACGAAGATGTACGACGTTGCGTCTGTTGCGTCGGGGCTGAAGGACACGACTTGGCGAGCGACAGAGCGGGAGTTGAAGCTGATGCGGAACAAAGAGATACGGGAGCTGCACAGATCGAAAAAATTCTGCTTGAATTGCTGTTTTCTACCCGCGCTGGCGGACATTTACTTCGCAGACGATTTCCAAGAAACGATGGCGGAACACGTGAATGTGAAAGAAGGTGGGATCATGCTGATCTAGATTTGTCGTGTTTTTTGTTTGATGCATCGCATTCTATTGCTACAGCGGTAGCTGTACTATATCAAAATCATCAAGGATTTTGCGTCGGTATCGTTTACACGCAGGAAGTAACTATGGGTACGACACGCAATTCTGCTTGTTTTTCGATACATATCTTCGTACACCTCCTGTAGACAGCAAAACCTACTAAGACACAAACCCAACAGGCGCCGACCCTGCACGACCGAAGCTCGGTGCTACCGAAAAGGAGAGCGAGAAACCCCGGGATTGCTTTGGTGCGGTCGTGCCGGAACTGCTTCCAGTGCAGATTGGAGCGAAGTGTTTATTTACCGGGTTCTACGGTGTGCCGCGCAAAGCAGGCGAGACTGCCGCGTCCGCTGCAAAAGCCAAGAAGGAACTAGCACTGGGTGAAAAGAACAATGACGCTACCGCGAAAACTAAACCCAAAGCAAAAATGAAAAGCAAGACTGCCACTACAGCGTTGGAGAAAAAGAGCGCGGCGGCCCCTGCTGAGTCTTCTTCAGGAACGCCGCCGACGAGCAGCGGGGAGTCATCCTCCGACGAGCTGCTGAAGCCGAACTATGCGCCGTGGCCGCGAGACATCTCCTATGCTGATATGTACCGACGGAAGACCGCGCCGTCGACCGTGAGACTACGCAGTGTGCTGGACAAGATCCGCCAAAACGCGATCGCCAACGGAGAATTTGATTTCGTTCAACAAGATGAACTTGGGGAGAGTTTCGCAGATTTTTTCCCGGCGGCAATCGTGGGAGGTTCGTCAATAGTACCAGACGGTGGAGCTGCAACGGCTTCAAAGATGCGGCCAACAACCTCGACCTCAAATAGCGGAAAACGGAAAATCTTGAACAGTCCGAGCCCGGTGCGAGCCAACCAAGCAGGAGCGTCTTCAGCAGACCTCCTTGTTGCAGGAACGGAAAGGAGCCTTTACGTCGAGACGGGAACAAACCAAAATAGTGGAGTTGTTCCTGCGAGGAAAAAGCAGTCAAGACTCAAAGAGGATCTGTACGAAGACCCGGAGAGATCGCTGCAAAAGTATTTCTCCACGACAAAGCGCATCCACGTCGACGCGGTCAGTAGAACGGTCGGGTTTGAGGGCAAAGGGTGGGCTGACATGCGGTTCAAAGAGCAGGTGCAGGGCTTGTACAAACGACTACTGGACGAGCACCAGGGACAAGAGCGCAGCATCATATCAGGCGTAGGGGCAGACGGGAAAAACAGTAGTACCAGCTTCAGCAGCAAAATTGGCTTCGAATATGGAAAAGAGGCCGCGCAGCTGGTTGTTCGTGCGACAAGAAGCGAAGGCGCAACTGCGAGTAGAGTTATCCCATCGGAGCAGCTAACAGGGCATTCATCCTCCTCCTCATCATCCGCGGCCTACGCAAGAAAAATGCGGCCACACGGCGTGTCTCTCACGCTCACTTCCCGCGCCGACGAGTACTTGCACACGACGGACCTAGTGCAGTTCCCGAACAACAGTGGCGAAAGTGCAACAACGCGGTCCTCTGGAGCCCTCCGACCAGGACCCAAGAAAGCTGAAACCTTGCTCGGCAATCTCGACGAGGGGTCTGAGAAAGCAACCGCGGATTGCTACAAAGACCTGATAGGCAGTGGCCGTGCAGGTGCGACAGGGTTAGCGACAGCTTCTTTGATGGATCCTACAAACGCCTTCGCTACTATTGGCGGAACCGCGAGGCACGGCAAAGTCCTAGTGACGACGGACGACTCAAGCGAGGAGGTAGATGAAGTCAAGAACGGTACTAGCACTGCGGCTGTAGAAGTATCACGGCACAATAAGCGCCAGCAGCACTTCTACCGGGGCGCGTTTCCGAATTCCGACTGGTCCTACACAGACCATTTAGTCTCGGAGGAGACCGTCGTTAGCACCGAGAACGAGTACACCGAGCTGGAGTACTCGTTCGAGTTCGACAGCTCGGAAGGGGAGAAGGACCAAACACTGGTCGAGCGGATAGCAGGAGAAGACCGCAAAACAATAGGTGTGGATGATGTGGAGGAAATGAATGAGCACGACCCCAATAACATCTCCAACAAGCTACTCCAACCCTCGATCCCCACCGCAGCAGACGGAGTGGCTTCACAAGCAGCAACGTTTTTGCAGCTGGATTCGGATCACTACGAGGATAGCAACGAGGAGGCGTGTCTGAAGGGCGGCAAAACCGAGGCGGCCCTGGACGATTTTTTTCACGAGGAAGACAAAATGGACGTGGACGACGACAACAGCAAGACGAAGCGAAAACACCGCACGCGGGTGGCGTACGAGGTCGGCGAGATGGTCGAGGTCCGCGACTGGGTGGAGGACGACTGGGTAAAGGGACGGGTGGAGGAGGTGCTGAAATCAGCAAATTCTGATGCTACGGATAGCACGAAGAACAAGCGGGTGATCGTCGAAGTTCTTGCCGCATCGCCGAGCGAAGAGGAGGAGGACGGCGTCGGCGCAGCGGCTAGGGGCGATGCTGGCGGGAAAAAAGCCTTCAACTTCATCCGCCCTCTCCCCTTCACGAAAGGGCAGCGCGTTCGCGTGGTGACGAAGGACAACGTGGCTCACTGGGGGCAAGTCGAGTCCAGCAGTCAGCGCCCGCGGGTGAAAGTCGACGCGACGCAGTGGGCGCACAGCGTGTTCGCGGGCACGACGATTGGGAAACTTGATTACACGCAAATCTCCACGGCGACCGCCGAGCCGCACAAGCAAGACGGGCTGAACAAGGGCACCGTGATCAAAGCGCAGGCAAACCGCGCGTGGTGGCGGTTGGTCCGGTGCAAGTTGGCCATGTTTGACAACCACGAGCAGTTCGTCAAGCATTTGCCACTGGCGGAGAAAACCGAAAAGTTGAAAGAAGAGCAGAAATCAACGAAAAAGCAAGGCGTTTGGGAGCGGGTGCGGAGGGAGGTCTGCCACGATTTACGTCAGGACAACGGATTCGCGAAACGGGCGGAGAGAAGAGCAAAGCGCTTCGAAAAGAACCACCACACGATCGTGTATCGCAGCAGCGACTACTGGGCAACCGTTTACCCGAAGTTCAAAACGGGCTTGGAAAAACTTGAAAAGCAAGTGAAAAAGAAGGAGGAGGAGCGCAGGAAGCGGGAAGCGCAGCTGGAGGAGGCGCGGAAGAAGAGAAAGGACAAATCGGAGAGAGTCATCGCCATGTTCACCTCGAACGACACTGGAGATGGTGATGGAGCAGGAAGTTCTGGTGCAAATGGAGGACAGGAGGGTGACCAATGCGGTGACGCTGGGAAAAAGCCGGACAGCGACGAGGACGGAAAGACGCCGGAGGACTTGTATCTTCTGCAGCTCGACCAGGACAGCCTGGGAGAGACCGAGTGTACCCTGCATTCCTCCGAAATCGAGAACGACAGCGATTTTTCGCTGCAAGAAATGAACGAGGAGGAGGTGCAGCACTGGCTACGCCCTTTGGACGTGCTTGACGTGGAAGTAAATTCTTTAGCAGCGAACAAGAAGACGAACAAATTGCTGGAAAAGTTCAAGAAGTCCGAGTCCCGTGTGTACAAAGCTAGTTCGGAAGACAAAGCTAGATACCTGGAACTCTCCAGCAGAAGGTAGGATGGCCGATAAGCGACAAGGACATGGGTGGACTAGGCAGAAAAGTAGAGTGAGGATGTCTAGCTGTGATTGGAAGAGAGTCGCAAAGAAAAGATACGCCCGTTCAAATTGCTCGCGATTCGATTTCGATTCGAAGGTGGAAACTTGCAATGTACTTGTCGACGGAACATAGCACCAGGACGATGGACTTGCTTTTTCAGTGGACAAGACGGCATGCCGCACTGTTTTTTTGTTCATAGCGAAACTCTTCGCCGCACTTGCACAGCTAAGAAAGCATTGAAATGGCGCATGAACAAGATGAGCCTCCGTTGTTCCGAAGTACTATGACTAACCGGGTTTATTTGTTCGCTCAACTACCAGTACCAAGTACTACAATTTTTATGGTACCTCGACCTTGTCGCTATTCGAGAAGAGACTCCGCAAAGAAAAAGGTGTTTGATTTCTCCAACGCGGAAGTAGACTGCCTTGTCGAGGAAACTGAGCCAGAGAGAACCGAACCAGCGGAAGTTAGGTTATTATCATGATGCAGCAAGCCGAAGGAGAACAGCAACTGCGAGTGTGCACCGCAACTGATGCAAGAAAGACGAGTATTAAACCCATAAAGTTTTACCAATCTGAGTTATTGAATTATCGCAATTAGTCAAAATCTCATCTGAGACGCGCAAGAACATGCTTCCGTGGTGAGCTGGCGCGTGTCCTCACCTGTGGCGACGGTTTCCCCCGGCAGCGGAGTGCGTGTGCGTGGGTGCCGGCTTTTGGGCTTTCTCTTTGCATTATTTCGCTACTGCTTAAAGCGGCCCGAGGCCGAACCTCTGGGGCGAAGCGGCCCGCCGCGGCGCCGGTTTGGAAAAAAGGCCACCTGGCAAGCGGTGATGAACAACGTCGGCGCCATGAAGTTGATCGAGCAAGCCGAAATGTCGATCAGCGAGGGCGACGGACATGATGCGGCTGGGCGGAGACTCGGGCGATTTTCAATGGGTGCGCGCGGCGCGCACTGCCCCGCCGGAACAGCGCCGCCCAAACGGCTGCGCCAACCTGGCGCGCGCGCGCGCCTGCCCTAATTCGCAGGCCGCGCCGCCCTGGGTGTCCGCTATGCTTACGAGCCACTTCGGCGGGTGGGCGGGCGTTCCCGCCGTGGAGCGGGGGGGGGGGCCTGCGCGCTAGTGTGCTCCTGGTCCGGCCCCTACGCCCCGGGCGGCGTCACCAGTATACATAGTGCGCTGGGCCACGAGTCAGCGAGACGAACTTGCTGCGCCGCCCAGGGTCACACCTGCGTGCCCCGCGGCCTTTGCGTTACGGCGCCTGGCCCAGCCCGGCTGTGTGTATCCTCAGTATTGAAACGCAAGTGCTCGCAAGAAGGGCCGCAGAACAAGGCGTGTCAAATGTAAAAATATAGCTCCGGCGCCAGTTGCTGTTGCAGCCGATCAGAGTTTCTGTTTCGTCTGCGCTTTGTTTTCCGTTAGGCAATGTGTTCTCTGTCCGTAGCCATTTTGGCTCAAGGCTTTTCCTTGTTGCCTGAGATCCGAAAAATCTAGAACAGGGGGAGCTATGCCGTAGAGTAGTTGTTAGACCCATCGCACACACACATTTACCACCACTGACGCCACGTCGGTATCTCCCCCGACTCCTTGCGATGGAGTTTCGAAGCAAAATAGTTAGACACCCGTACGTGGCGGGTCAGCTGTGCCCATTTACAGTAGAAAGTAGGTAGAGCCTCAGCGCCCCGTGCGTCTGTGTGCGCATTCCATCCAGAAATATGGTCCCTGTCGGCGATTTCCCTCTCCACAGCGCCGGCAGAGTTTCATCTTCTTGTGGCGGGCTCTGGCTCTCAACATCTTCTTTGGACGGGTTCACATCTTCTCTTCCACTGCCACGAGCGTACAAGGTGCAAGAACGAAAGCTAGCAGGTCACGCCTAGTCTAAGCACAAGCAAACTAGACCACGACGAGAAAGCGGAAAACGAGGGCGCGGAGCCTGGAGAATGAAGAAAAGATATACATCTGGACCAGGAGCTGCTGAGATGTCGATAGATCCTGATATTGATTTTCTCTGATAGAGATTCCAGATGTATCTCTATCTTTTCTCGATTCAAGGTGCGGATCCATACATATTAGAATTCCCCACGATCCAGCGCAGCCGCCTAGTGGAAGAATCTCAGATTTTTAGGGCGCAGCTAAAGTTCGCGTCTTGCATTCGTAGACGTGGACTTTGTAGAACGAGACGAAGGTCCGGCCAGAACCACCCGAGAGAAGGTGGCAGCATGACAAATATGCTACCACCTTGAAGCGCCTGATCGTGACAAAATCGGGAGGTGAGCTCTGCCTCAAGCTGCTCCAGGGCGGAGGCAGCGCAGTGTCTACAGAGTTAAGGGACAAGCACCTAACACATATGGTGCCCGATATGACCCTAAACTCGCCCAAGCCCCGGACCGTCCCAGAGTAGACAGCCGCACCACAGAGGGTAAGCTTGTGAGCAGACGGAGCGCACCCGGCCGCGGCTCGAAGAGAAGAAGCTGCAACAGTGTACCTCAGTGCCCGCAACTCGAAGAGTGGTAGTTGCAACATGGCGCGTCTGGTACAAGGAACAGGAGCAAATGCTGGCCGAGTAGGTGTTTCTCCTGAGAGCGGTGCCTCCCTGCTCGTTTCCTCCGGGTGGTCTGCGACATCATGTTCCACTTGAGTAGCAATATGTATAGCTAAAAACAGGTGTGAAGGATCCTCCTCCTCCTGTCTTTGTTTGAAATGAAAAGGCTATCGGAACTAGACTGTCTTATCGAGGAAACATGGCTAGAGAGACGAGAATTCTTTCGCCGAGTGACGCGTAAAAGAAAACGACAGCCGACGCGCGTTTCTGTGAGTGTAGGTTGATCGTCATCGCTCAAAAACGATGTTGGAGTCCAAGGCAAGGCCAAGAAGTGCTGTGGTAGCTTCATCGTTGAGTCCCGAAGCAACTGTTGTCATGTTCATTGGCAAGCAGCAAAGGCACACTGATTCGAAGTACGAGCAAGAGGCAGAGCTGGTGACCTAGGTAACTACAACCAGGAGCGAAATTGACAATGTCCGCGGAACACCACCACCATCACCACCACCATCATCACAAGAAGGAAAGCAAAGGTGGTGAACCAGGAACCCCACCGCCGGAAGGAGTCCCGGGCACAACCACCGACGCGGCGGCTGCGGACCCGGAACCCGCCCCTGCGAAGCAATTCGCGACCATCTACGAATCGACGTTCCTCGAGGACATGTTCGCGTGCTGTATTGGCGAGCCTAAGCCGTTGTACAACAAGATTATCGGCCGGGGAATCTTGGGCACTCCGGTGAACGCGGCGACCCAAGGGTTTATGGACCGGGAGCTGTTCGGCGAGGACACGCAGCAGCAGGCGCTGGAGCAGATCCTGGACGAGGAAGGCTTGCACATCGCGCATTCGATCGACCAGCACCCGGACGAGTCCTCCGAGCACCCCTCGTTGCCGAAGCGACCCAGTCGGCTGGGGGTCAGCGTGGCGGAGCGCGTAGGGGAAATGCAAAAGTCGCCGCGGCCCAACCCGACGAAAGACCGGAACTCGTCGTCGGAAGAGGAGGGTAGTCCCGGACAGTAGAAGTGATTTTTACTGCAAAAAGCAAGGTGAATATGTTTATGTTTGCGTTTCGTTCGTTTCGCTTTCCTGACGAAAAAACTGCAATCGAGAAAGTATGAAGCAGTTTCAATTTGTTTCGTTTTCTGAATATGAATTTCCAAGAATCAACACACTGATCGGTGAGAAGTACAGATGTCTGTGTCTCTTGGAGGCGAAAACTGGCAATATCCAGTCCACCGTACTGGCAATGCGAGGCCGGTGATGAGTCAGCAGTCGTCTGTTCGTCGGAGAAGGCATAGGCAACAGAGTGGATGAAGAGCGTCAGAAAGAAGATTATCGAAGATTTTACAAAGCCTAAAGACAAAACCATTGCTCCACCACCTCGTGACGAACCAGGCAAGACAAAGCGGTCGAGAAAATTCTTGCTAGTGGAGTTTTCTGTGCGTTTGCGTTTACTTTATTACTCTATCTCTTTGCTTGGTGTTTGTCAAACCAATTCTGAGTTCGTGGTTTTGGGTGTGATTAAGGTTTTGGTTTGATTCAGGGCATAGCGAAGCGAGACTATGAGTTGACCCTGTTCATTTGTCTTAGAGTCAACATGGCGTCCGATAGTGCGGTCTTGTTGCGGCGAGTGGAGGTGCACCGCGTGTTCGCTCCCAATAGCTCACAAATCACGAGCACTCCCGACAGTTCCTCCCAACTGGATGAGAGCAGCAGCCATGCGGGACACTGCGTGCTACCCTGTACCGCTAGAAGTAGAGCTTCATACGGTGACGATCTACAACATCAGCACGCTTTTGCTCCTCCGAGCAAAGAGTTTCTCCTCTTTCTCACCGCTTCCACACCCACGAACCTTTTTGTCAAGTGCTACGACCACGCCTTACCCTTGCCGAAACAACCGACGGCAACGTTTGCGCTGCCGCCGCTCGCGGAAATCGGGCTATGGGCCGAGTTATCCTGGAAAAAACACCCATCGTCCCCATCCAATTTGTCATGCAAAACATGCATAAAGTCCACTATTTGTCATGCAAAAAATGGATGGGGATCGATGGGTGTTTTTTCCTGGATACGAGTACTTCGACATGCTGTTGCCGCAACTCGATCCCGTGGCAACCATACGGCTGGATGAAAACGTGCGCAGTGCAGCATCGAGTCGCAGGAACAATCTCGCTAGTCCAGCAGCAGCGCGCGCACCATCTTCAAACTCGGTCAGCGTCGCCGTTTTGGTTCAGTGGTGCCCGGGGTGCAGATTCTACAAGGATTATCAGCAGCAGCGCGCAATGATGAACAGCAGCACGAGGAGAGAACAAAACGAACAGAACCTCCGAAGTGGCGTTGGCGGTGCTGCGGCAGCGATTCTCTCAGCGCCGGCACAGTTGCTATCTTCATCATCCTCGAGTGGGGGGACACGTGGCAAAGCCCGGCGCCGGCCATCCGCGACTTTGAAAAACAAGTCTGAGCTGCGGACGGTCTTTCATTTGCACGTCCCCATCGAGCAGATAGCAGGGTCTACTCCTGGAGGTGGACCAGAAGTCTCTCTGAATGTGGAAAAGCTCACGCCAAGCTGGTGCGGCGTAGTGCTAGAGGAGGGTGATTGCGTTTGCGTGCTAGAGGACGGCGGGGCGACGGTTCCCGGTGCAACGCGAAGGCAGGAACAAATGCAAATGCTCGTCGCGAACACAAAATTCCGGCACTATCTGGTGTACTTTTACGCTTTCTAGCTTGATTTAACAAGTATGACTGTGCGCACGCTCGCAGCTGCGTTGAATAATTCGCAGAGTAGCTGCTGCTAAAACAATATTCGGATTCGGAATGCGCGAAAATATGAAAGTATATCTTGTTGCAATTGCATTGGTCGTATGGACACAGGAGTGACGCCTGGCTTCCCTATTTATGATGGAAAGCGAATGAAAACTGGAACAATTATTTCCAGGTACCATCGGGGCAGCAGCTCCGGCAGACCTCTCTGCCGCCCGGCGTTGGCCGCGCGACGAAAATTCAATCGCTGCAGGGCAAGAAGAACAGCGCAAGCTTAAACACTGCCGCCGAGACGACCGGGGTGTCTTCCGAGCCGCCCAAAATTGCGATGAGTACGAGAAGCGGGACGATCTTGGTGTACGCGATCTATTCCAGCCAAGACCATCCTCAAGACCTGCACTTGCAGCTGCTCCAGACCTACGAGGGGTTTAACGTGACAAAACCTGGAACAAGTGGTAGCACTTCATTGTGGAAAAAGCTGGCAATGAGCTGCAAATCTTCTTCCTCGTCGGGGAAAAAGAAGAGAAATAGCGCCCAAGAGCAGACGTCCGCAGGAACGACAAGCAGCAGCGCGATCATGGAGCAGCAGCAATCAAAAAAAACTGGCCTGTTTCCGACCGACTTTGCACTCGTGGAGAATTGCTCCGCCGCAAATGTTGACGACCTGGTGATCGCCTGCGGCGCGCGCACTACACCAAGCGACACGAACGCCCAGCAGCGCCCACAGTTTCTCCCAAACAGTGGCTGTTTGTGCGTGTGGTCGACCTTGACGAGCAAGAGGCTGATTATGTGCGAAACCTGGGAGCTGAACTCAATCCATGCGGTTCCGGGAAACTTTGGGAGTTCTAGCCGAAGCTCCGCTCCTACGACCGCGACTTCCCACCTCCTTTTTGTCGGTGGACGGGGCGGAGTCCTGTGTTGGGAAGTCGTCGCTTCACCGACTGCAGCATCAGCAACGGCTACCGCTGCTTCAAACATGGGAAGCAACAGTGCTCCGCTGCCGAGCGCCAGTGCGGTTTTGCTTGCAAAGCTGGATACCGCGTTTGCTGTGACCAGCATCACGTCGACAAGGGTTTCGGGCACCAAAGCAACCTCTGCTAGTACCACGAGCAACGATCATCGCATAAATGACGAGGACGCACTCTTTCTGATTCTGAACGGCAACATTTGGGTGGATTTTCGGTTGTGGCTGGCTTCCAGATTACAACTGTCTGCACATTTTGCAAGACCGCGGGACTTCTGCCTAGGAAGTTTTTCATCATCTCAACACTCAGTGCTTCTACCTGACACGTCTTTCTACCTTGTCTCACGATCTTCTGGACTGCACACAGCACAGCTGCTTCGCTACCGGACGCAAACAAATGCTGCAGCTGTCGGCAGCTCGGGGATGTTGACTGCAGCCACAACAGCTGCGGGTTCCTCTTCACTTCACTTTGATGTGATTGACGTAACTCCGCCGGCGCCATCCTCCAAGACGGGCGGAGAAGCAGCTGCAGCGCAACAAGTGACAACTGGCATCGACATTTTGGATGCCATTTCGCTGGACATTGCCGATTCGCTTGGTAAATACGCCTATAACCCTGCTAGGAGGAGGACGACTACAGAACATGTTGCCCAAATCGGCGAGAGGTCCTCTAAAAAGGTCACGCTGCTGCTTTTGCGCTTGCGAACGGCAGGAGACACGAGCCAGAAAAGCAGCATGGTGCTTGTGGTTCTGGACGACAGCGGAGCAACGTCGTCCTTCCCAACTAGTGCAAACGAGGATCACGATTTTGGCTCCGGTCCAACGGCCGCGCTGTCGGATACCAATCTTGTTCTGCGGTTGCATGATATCGAACCGCCGGACACCAGCAGCTCTCACGCCGCTTCGCCTACGAGTGCGATCTTTCTCTTACCGACCGGGATTCTGTCCTTGCGTGAGAGGGACGCGGAGATCACCTTCCGGCCCATTGCATTCAAAGATCTTCTCCCTATTTTGCTGAAAAACCACGACCGTCAGCTTCGGAAAAAGGAACTCTCGGCGAGGTCTAAAGCCGGAGCACTCAGCAGTGGCAAAAATGTCAAAATGGCTCAGCCTCCTGGGCCTTTTTCACAACACCAGAGAAGAAACAACGAGGGTGCACCTGGAGACCTTCATCCTGCAACTGCGGTGCAGAAAAATCTCGCCCATGGGGAGCTCGAGCAGAGTGAAGACAGGATCAGAAAGCCTGCAAAGAGGACTACGCGAGGACCCTCTGGAGTTGCACATCACGCGTCAAGACGACCGAATAACGAGCGAGCAGATCAGAGAGAAGGTTTCCGTGAGTCACCTCTTGTCTTTGACCACCAGCAGCATCAGGAGTTTCACGACGACGACGATGAAGCGCCCCCCGGTGCTGACAAGGAAGATAATTTTCGTTCCGATATGAACAATCCGTACGCAAAAATGCAGTCGAAAACGAACACTTACGAGGACCTGCCCACCCCCTCCAAGCAGAAACGCCGCGCCCCGAAAAACTTGCAAATCGAAACAGGGTCACCAAGCTTGGAGCCGGCGGGGAGCAGCTTCGTATTGGAAGAGCAGCTACAAGGGGGCAGAACTAATGGTCGTGCTGGCATCAGAAGACCTGATTTATTGCAAGAAAATAGTTCCGGCACCGTTTCCTCCCCAACCTACCAATCTGCACAGCAGCTGGAAACGGTCACGCCCGCTGCCTGGCTCGGTTCAACCGTAAGTTCGGTCGACGACGTGCCACCGCGGCTGCGGCGAGCAAGTTCGGCGCGGTCGCGAGCCGGACGTGTAGAAAATTTTGTCGGCAGTGACAACTACCTGTTCTACCCGGAGCAACAAGAGGACCACTTTGAGGTCGGTGGAGCCGATTTTTTTCCTCCAATAAACCGAGAGCCAGACGAAATGCACAACATCAATCCGAATTATGGTTCTTGGGGTCGTGATCGTGAACAAGGAGCCGAGAGCGCACCTCCAGGGTCGGCGGGGACACAAACACTCATTACACGGGCTGTGCCAGCTTTTACAGGGACCGTAGCGAGGACCACCAACACGAATGTCGTTCCCGCAGCTGGACAGCAGAATGCTGCAACCAATACAAGTAGCAAGGTGAAGTTCCAGGGGGAGTTCGAGTTTCCGATCGAAGCCGTCCCGACGCCGTTTCTGGACCACTCGGCGGTATTCTACTGGATTCCGACTCGCGGGATGCTCGTGGGCTCGGCCAATCTTCTGGCAACAACGCCGTTTCTTGGTTCCGCACAAATAGTACCTGGAGGAGCGGGCGCAACTACTGCGGAAAGTACTAAAGTGATGAGGACCAACCCACTTCCAGCGTTGAAAGATCCGCAAGCAATAGAGCAAATACGGCCGAGTCGCTTTTCTCCTAACGATTTCAACCCGTATGGCTTGCGGTTGTGGCAGATGTCACCCGCTGCGCAAAACAGAAGGTCGGCTGCTTCGGACTCACTTTCTAAGCCCAGCGAGAATTCCACACCAACGGACCTGGTTGCAAGGCCAGTGTGGTCGAAACTCCGAGTTTCTGCAACTCGGCCCCGGAAGATGAGCCGCCAAGATAAGGATAATCCCGGCCTACCGCAACGCGAGGCCTGGCTCGTGGCGCTTCCCATGCTGCAGTGTGTGGCCTTGCTCAGAGTGAGTTTCCAAGAAACTTTGTTCGTAGAACGAGAACGAGCTTCATCACAATTTCAACATAATAACCAGCCCGCTGCGATGTACACGAAGCCACGGGTTTCAGTGGAGTGTGTGCACATGATCAGCACTCTGCGGACCGTGTCGGCGATGCTACTTACGCAGCCGCAGGTAAATTATGGAGAAAACATGGTCTTGATGCGAGACACAAGGGAGCAGCGACGAGTTGACTTTTTCTCAACAACGAAAAACTTGTCAACAAACCCTTCGCGACAAAAAAAGTTACTTCTGATTTCAACCGTGTCAGATATCCACAGCACGACTGTGGTAGTTGACGACGAGACGCGCACGACCGTCGACGAAGGAACGTCTGCAACCACTAGCACTAACGCGGGCTTGGTGACGACGGTCGACACTGAGAAAATCGACAAAATTTCCCTCGATGTTGACACGGAAAGGTTCTTGCACCTCGTCGCGGTCACTCCGGAGTTTGGCCAAGCGGTGGGCATTCTCAACAGCAGAGGAGGTTGCACAGACTCCTTCATGTTGGGAGGTACAACTACCCAGCAGATGATCATCACTAAACAGCTGTCACCATTGTGCGCGCAATTTCTCAGTCCGTTGGCCCCCGCTGCGGGACCTGCTGCGCTAACGACCTCAGCAGCAGCAGCTACGAGCAGCCTGCGGTATCAGCGGGGCGGTGTGGACATCAACAAAACTCCTACTAGCGCCAAACTGGCCGGTCGCCAAGTAGAACGCCATTCTGAAATTTTCAAACTCGAACACTTGGTGGACGAAAACGAGGAAAAACTGGATCAGCACTTCACGATTCTGTACGAGGTCTTCCACTTTGTGTGTGTGCGTTTGGTACTCGGCAGCAGCCAGGAGCACGACCTGCTGGCGAGCTCCGAGCAGTTGCTCGACAAAATCACGCCACGCTCTCCGTCACCCACGCCCCGAGCGGTGGAACAAATGAATAGTAGCAGGCAACAATTGCCGCCCTTCACGCCGCGATCCGTCTCCCCGTCGACTCCGAAGTTCACAACCCCCCGCGCCAAGACGCTTTCCGCCCGCGACTCGGAAAAGCAGAGAGCTGTTGCTTTGCGGAGGGGGTTCGAGCAGAATTGCGCCCGGGTCTTAGCGTACGACGGGGGGCTGCTTTTCTACGAGCGGTTAGCCGCAGTGGTGGAGGTCTTGCTGCTGAAGCTGCGGTTTGTTGTTACCGTCGGGGTGGAGTTTTGTGACCTGGCTAAGGCAGAGATCCGCGAACGGGAGGTCAGATTGAAGAAGGAAAGAAACGCAAACGCGAAGCGCGCGGGAGGGAGCATGAGCAACAACCCAGTGGCTGGTACGAGCAGTAGTACCTCTTCTTCGTCGTCCTCGAGTGGGGCTAAGGCAAGCAAGGAGTCATCGTCATCCGGGAATTCGAATTCGTCGAGTTCAAGCAGCAGCAGGTCGTCTTCCTCAGCAGCTGCCAACGGGAAGAACAAAGATTCGCACGAGCCCAATAGCAGCAATTCTTCCTCCTCAAGCAGCCCTGCCTTCCCGAACTCCACCAGCAAAACGACCTTTCAGGCGTTCTCGCCAACTCTGTCATCCGCCGGAGCGCAGCAGCAGCATCAAACTTCTGGCGGAGTGAAGAAACCGATTCCGATTTCCATGAATCTGGCGAACAAAGGAGCCTTTGGAGTTGGAACGTCATCACATGTTGCTCCTCAGCAAAAGACTCCTCAGAGGACTGTTCTGACGCACCCGCTTGCGGAAGCTTTGTCCCAGATCAATCAGGAACAATACGCGACATTGTCGAAGCAGCGGGAGAAATTTCAACGATTCCTAGATCTGCACAGAAGTAGCTCGGCTCCTGCACCATCTACGTCCGACGTCGACCAGGGTATACTGCTGCTGGGCGACTCGCATAAAGATTCCAGTCTTCACCCATCGCTCGCGAAAGCAATCGCCAGGTTGCTGCTTCTCAGCTTCGATGACGAAGAGAAGAAAGCATTCGTGCGCAACATCGAGTTGCGAGCAAGCCGGTATGCTGTGGTGGTGGGTCTCGACCATTTCTTGCGGAAAACGAACCAACTGGAACGGTTCTTTCCCGGACGGGCGAGTCAAGCAAGGGCTGCGGGTGATCGATCAATACGCAGCAGCGCAATCGAACAGATCCAGAAGGTGGTTTCTTCCCAGATCGAGAAAAAGGAGCAGAAAGTAGAGAAAAAACCTGGATCTTCATCGCGTAAAAGCAAGTCACAGCATGCGTCGTCGGGCAACTCCGAGGACGATGACGATGACATTGTCCCGCGCACGAAAAGTAACGACTCCACGGAACAACTCAACCGACAACAAAACGTTCTCGGACAAACGCAACAGCAAGACGTCGCCCCCTTGCTGCTGGGTCTTCTACTGGGCGGCCACAGGAGCTCGAACCTGAAGATCGGCAAGTCTTTGAAGAAGAGGACTGCAAGTCGTGGCAGACGTTCCAATGCTTCTGTCTTGAAAAGCATTCTCGGGTCCAGTTTCTCGCGTAGCCGCGAAAGCGTTGCGTGCCTCCAGTATTACTTGTCGATGTCGGTTGTCGACGGGGTTGGTGGTAAACAAGAAAACGAGTATGGGCATCAACAGCGACGTCCGAAGCCAGGCGTTTCTGCAATGGAAAGCCCGCGATCCGGGGACGTGCAGCGTTCGTTGTCGATGCTGCCCATGATGCAGAAGAACGAAAGGGAAACGCATGGACACTCTGCGGTAAGTACGGCTGAACAGGTCGTGAATGCTGTGCGCTCGGCAAACGACTTCGACGTTGGAGAACTTTTGACAAAGAGCGGACTCGTCGCGACAGAAATGGAAGTACTGCAGCACAAAGAGGCAGGACACCAAACTGAGTTTTCCCAAGATGGCAGCAGTACGTTGCTGGCGTATTTTCGGTGCGCGGAGCTCTTTCCTAGAGAGAGTAAAACAGCAGAGAGTCGTCAAGGTCTTGAACTTCCCTACAACTACACCTGCACGCAAAAGCTACAAAATTCCTACAAACCCGACGGCGGAGAAAGTTCCGTTGGTATGGACCTGCAATTCGGCAGTTTTGGGGAAAGACGCGGCGGAGAACCCGGAACACCGGGGTCGAGGCAGATGATTGATGCTGCCTATCTGGTGACCATGAGGTTAACCACCGATCACATGACCACGTATTCACCCAACATTAAGTCCCGCACCCCGCCCAGGACGATGCCGCAGTGGGAGCTCGGGGACATCGATTTTTCTGTTTTCCCCGTTGAGCAGGAGGACCAGTGGGGGACGGCATTGCAGCCCAACCGCGCCTTGCGATTCCGTCTGGCCGCACGCAGCAACAACAGCGTGCTGTCTATTTCCGCAACGGGGCAGCCTCGAGCAGAGGCTAACTACGACGCGCAAGGGCGAGCTGCTGGCTTTTTGAACAATGAGTCAGCCTTCAGTTCCCCAGGTCGGGCGAGCAGCAAAAAGCTCTCTCCCGTATCGGAAGAGCGACTTGGGGGCTCATCTGGTGGTGTGGTTTCTCTAACGTCAAAGGACAACATGCAGATGACAGAAAACCCCATCAAACGGAAGAAGCGGAAGTCGTCGCGGGGCCTTCACGATCGTGAAGGGCAGCACTGGATGCCAAGCCCCGACCAGTCGGAATTTGGCTTTGATTTCAGTGACATACCGGAGGATCTCCTGGTTGAACATATGGGGATAAACACTGATGCTACCGATGGGCGACAGGAACGTGCAGACGGCGAGACCGACCCCCCTCCCGCACAACCCACCGGCCCCCCGTTTCTGTTCTACCGGCATGCCTCGGAGATCGGGAAGCGCGTGTACCTCACGACAAGAATGGCCGAGGTTGCGCGCCTCCACCAGTCCCACCAGGAGACGCGTTCGCAAAACGCCTCCCCAAGGCCTGGTCAACAGGGTTTGACGCCGCGGGACCCTGACAGCCTGGCGACTCCTCGCGGAGGACCTGCAGTTCATTCCTTCGGAGCTGCTACTTCCAGCAGCGCGAATGCGCGGACCGCGGACGAGATCTTTACGCCGCGTGGGGGGAGAAACCTCGACCCACGACTGAAAAGTCCGCGGTCCGGGGCCATAGCAGCCGCAATGCAGAAGTCCGGGGGTCTACGCAAGAACTTGCTTTTTCCGCCCGGCAGTACGCCGGGACGAGGCAGCAGTGCTAGCCCCTTGCAGACTCCCCGTCGTGGAGGCGCAAGCGACGCAGGAGAGCAGCATTGGTCGCCACCGTACCTGAACCGAAGCACCAGCATAAGCGGGTCGAAAACCCTGCCGCGTCGCACGGACAGCGAAAACACTATCGCGGTCCTGGATTTGCAGCGAAATCTGAGCAGCCCGAAGGCGGCGAATCGCGCTGCGCGGGGTGAAGGATCGGGGAGGGAGCGAGGATCTTCTGGTATGGGCGGGGGCCTGGGGCTGTTTGACGAAAGCGGTGAAGATGATCCTTTTTTTACGTCGCGGTCGCCTCGCGGTGAGAGCAGAATGCAGAGAAGCGTAGAGCGAGAGGCACGCGGCATTGAAGCAAGCGAAAACGCCGGGCCGCAGGCGTCCTCAACATCAACTCTGCAGTACTCCTCTTTCGTCACGCTTGTGCACCACAGCGACGCGGTCGCGGGCTTAAGTCCCCAAATGGATCAGCAGGGGAACAAGCAACATGCGTGGACCTTGGAGTTCTATTGGAGGCCGGTCCCGGAACAAATTGCGCAATCCCGTCGTCTATCACCAGCAACTGCTACCGCGAGTCAGGAATCGCAGTTTTCGCTGTTCGTGCTTGTCGACGACCCTGAGGCGAAGTTGATTGTTTTCGCTCGTCAAGAAAGAATGAATCGAAGCACAGAATCAGGTACGGCGAACGAAGCCATTTTCGAGGACCACAACAGAACTTCAGCCACCGCTCCTGCAACTACCTTCCACGCGCTAGACTACGGGCAGCACCTACAGCAGGGGACGAGCAGCGATAAGAGCTTCGAAATTCAAGACTTCGTTGCGCAAGACCACCCGCACACGCACGACGGGCTGCTGGACGACTGCTGGCACCACGTGGCGGTGGTGCGGGAGGGCGATGAGTTGAGGATTTTCATTCACAATTACATTGAAGACGCACAAAATCTTCGCAGCCAGGACTTTTACATGCTGGAGTGGAGGCTGCAGCTGAAGAAAAAGATTGAAAAGAATCCCCCAGGTCAGTTATTCCATTGGCGGGTATTTGGAACCATGCAGATGATGCTGGAAAAATCGGAAACCGACTTGCACCTGTCCCACGGAGGTTCACAGATGCCAGTGCAGCAACAACTTCCACCTGCCGTTTACAGCAACGAAGTCACAGAGGTTCGGATTTACCGCAAAGCGAAAGCCGTGGAGGCTTTGCGCCAGACCGCGACAACGCCGTTGTCCACGGGCGAACTCGCGATTCGAGCGAAAAAGCTGCGCGTTCTGGCCGAGCCGGTCGTGGCAGAAAACGAGAAGTTTGCAGGTGCGAGGGTCAGTGCTGCAGGAGTCGCGAGTGAAGTCGATTACCAGACAATCAGCTCTCCACCGGATCACTTATTCCGCGCTGGTAGCGGAGGTCAGGGTGACAAGGAAGATGCTGGGATGTTGACTTTTGCTGCGGGCAGAAGCTCTTCTGCCTACGGCAGTGGCGGCGCGACAGGCGGTCGAGCTGAGCAATTGCAAGCGACCACTGGTGCTTTGGGTCGCAGTCGCCGGCGGAGCGGGGCACCAAGATCTGGAGCCGCTGCACTGGACGACTACAGTCAAGTAGCACCAGTCGCCTTCCCTTTCGAAGTGGCTTCGGACGAGGAAGATAGAACCGACACAGCGGACGACTCTGGAATGCAGCACGCGATGAAGGAAGAAGAAAAAAAGGCGTTTGGGGTCCTAGAGACAGGCTCGAAAATCGAGGGCGTGTCAACCACATCGACTTCGGATGACGAAATCCTTCAGGACGAGGCCGCTGCTGGTCGTAGGAAAGGAGGTGCCGGCCCCGGCGCGCAAGGTGGTACCGAGGAACATCAACCGGGGCTGCAGGAAGCAAAGACGTCGAGCGAAGAGCAAGAATCGTCTTCCTCAGCCTCCGCGTCTTCTTCTTCCAGCAGTGTGGAGGTCGGTGGAGAAGGCCTCGGCGTTGATCAGACAGCAGGCCAGGGCGCGGTCGGCGAAGGCAGTCCACCACGTGCTAGTACAACCGCACAAGAACTAGAACAAGCCGTGAAAAAGTCCGTCAGTTTGATACCGATGAGTCTGCGGGCGACGCGCGCTTCTCGACTTGACCCGATGCGAATGACCACAGATGGGGCCCGATCTCTCTTCTCTAAGCAGAAGCTCGCAGACACGCTGTTTGATTTGTTCTTCCAAAAGCAGAACTTCTCCGCGGGAATGCAACTACTCAGCGATTTGGTGACAGAGTTGAACGCCAGCGACGTGAGTCCGTGGTCTCGGTCTGCAACCGTTTCTGCTGTTGACGAATCCTCGTACACCGACCGCACTTACCAGAAAGATCTGTTCCACTTCGCGGCCGAGTTTTATCGGTTTGGACGCGCCCTCCAATACGTCGCGATCGCACAAGAGGATTATGTGACGAGCCATGCGAAAGAGATTTCTGCCGCTGCGCACCGCAAGGAAGTAGCGAAAACTGCAATTGTGCGTGACAGCCGCGGGGTTCGTGCCAACCCGGTTGCAGTGCTGCCGAGAACTACCCCGGGACTAGCTCACCCACATACCTGGCAGGTGCAGCCGATACTACCGCGAAGGCCGCAAACCTCGATCGAGCTAAGGCAAAGAGGCCACGGAGTGCAGCACCAGAGTCGCGTTGTCACACCACCCCCGCCGCCCTCGAGTTTTATTTCCCTCGGGGGAGAAGCTCTATTAGGACTTCTACATGAAGATGCGCTTCCGCAATCTCAGTTCGGTTGGCTCCCAATGCGACCGCGAACGTCGTCTGACTCGGACGCGCAGCTCCGGACAGGGAAAAAGTTGTATCCAAGTGTGAGTGTGGCTGCGGAGACTACAACCGGCCTCAGAAGTCCCTGCACTAGTCCGTCGAAGCGACGCGAGCGAGAAAGAAGAAAAACTTTAGAGCACGGGGAGGAATCAATTGCTGCCCGGTTTACAAGCGCCGGCGCAGGTGGAGCTCCTGGGGGTCGACGTCCTCTGGGAGGTTCCGTTGCCCTTCAACGCCCGTCGACGTCGCCCTTGCGCTCATCACGAGCACACGAAACAAGCGGGAGACAACCAAGCAGTTCTTTCAAAACGAACCCTCTGTCTCCAGACCATCGGGCGAAAACGCTTCTGGACTCTCTGGTCATGCTCCTGCACGTCAGCGTGAAAACACTACGGACAGAGAGTGCTCCGCTTCCTGTCAACACCATCGTTCCGCCATCTGCAGACGGAAGAGAGCTCGTCCAAGCTGCGACAAAAAATACCGCCAGTGACGAAGAAGTTGCTGGAGAGATGGACCACGGCAGCTCAAGCGAAGAGCGGTCTAATCCTGTGAAGAATGTGAACGCACCCGCCGGTTCAGCGTCCTCATCCAGTTCCACCTCCTCTTCTTCATCGCCGCCCTCTGGCAGCAGCCGCAGTCAGAGTCAAGAAACGCGGAGCCAAATCCAAATCCCTTCGGATGGACAACACGCTTTTTCGCCCCCAACTGAAGTAGACGAGGCAGGCACGAACCGAGCAGCTCCTCCTGCGGCCCAGATGACAACTAGCGGGCATCGTACCATAAGGAGTGCAAGAACTTCTACCCATCACCTGGACCAGGTGTACCAGTTCTGTTTCGAACACTTTCTCTACCACGACGAAATTGCTGCGGCACGATTCGTGCATGAACGTTTGACAGTGCAACAGGACAAACATGCAGACTCTAGTGAAATAGGACACGACAACGCTGCGGGACAAGAAGCACGCGATCGTGATGCATTGACAACAGTAACAGAACAAGGAGACCGCCACGCGGTCAGGAGCGCACAGGAGCTTTTCCCATCTACTGGAATAAAAGCCTCCGCTAGCACCTCCTCAGTAAACCTCGTCGCCAGGTTTCCGCGAGGACAGAACGTTCCGGCGCGACACTTCAATTATCGCTGTCCGTGTTGTGGACAGCAATTATTGCTTGGGACGTTTGTGCCACGACAGTACGGCGGCAGCAACGAGCAGCATAGTGAACCGCTGGCCGCCTTTTCAGCTCGGTGTGAAAACTGCGGTGCGGCGATCGAGCTTGATGTCTACCGCATGCAATGGGTATTTGTGACGAGTGGGGATCGCGATCGCACACCTCAGCATAAAAATCGCGGCCTTCCTCCTGAAATGAAAAATCGGCCAGTGGAGCGCGATCAGCAACTGCCATGCTGTGTGAAGACCCTGTTCTTGCAGGACCCTGATGCCACATTGGTAAAGAAACAATTCGACGAGGAAGCTCCACTCTTCCCCTTTGCTGATGTTGGTCTTCGGGCGGGTTTGCTGGAAGATGAATCACGAAGCAACTACTTGCTCCACGAGAAGACTACTATTTTGCGGGAGGTGCTTGCTTGCAAGCGCTGTGGTTTCGTCGAGTTTGACGGCAGGAGCAGTGACCTCGTGGTGAGGTCGCGACAGACAAAAACTGCTAGTGATGTGGATAGATGCAAGAGTTTGCTCGCAGCAGAGCTTTATGGAAGAACGACACAGGCTTGCAGCTTTTGCAACATCGTGGGACCACGGTATTGAAATCGCATAAACTACGACTAGAATGAAGACTCATTAACATGATACCCATGGTGGGCGACGAAAATACGTCCATATCCATTGCAGCGAATTGTGTAGCTGAAGGCGGGATGGACGGTCCGACAAACTTCCACAATTTTGGACTTTTCGTTTCTTTCACCGACGCGTGTCGCGCCGTAAACGTAATGGATTTGGATGTGGTACAGGACAATTTCTTTTGTGCATGCTGTCGCGCACCACATGCCGAGGACGCGACCGTGAGGGGTTTAGTTGTCTGCTATGAGCGAGAGCTAGTCGAGCCCATGTTCACCATCTTTGGACCGAGGGACATTCTCGCTTTCGCGCTTTATTGTGTGACGAGAGAGATTGATAGAAAAGTTTGCTTTGAGCGGGGTAACAAATTCTGACGAGTTGTGGCCGTCCCATTTCTCATCCGCCCGGCCGGGTGGGTGACTAGTGGGACGGAACCAGGATCCTGACCACGAGGACGGCGAAAAGCAAGATCCGGCCAGCTGGTCTAAGCAAGATCAGAATTCTAATTCACGCTTACTTACTTTCTTAGAAAAAGCACATTCAAAAAGCTGGTATAACCGAAATAATAAGAAGGTAGGTTTGAGCATCACTGTAGGTGTACTTGTCTTTGGTGCCATCGCCCTTGAAGCCTTGGATAGCGACCCCGTATATCAAGAGGCAGAAGATGCCGCACGCACAACGACAACGGCCTCCCGTGAGCGTCTTCTTCGCGGAAAATGCTTGCGGCGCCACTCAGTACGACCGTCCCAGGAACGTCGCCGCGAGCTCGGGAGGTTTTCGTCCAGCCCCGCCGAGGACGCGAAGTTGTACAAGAAGACGACGAGAAATAGCACCACGTTCGTCCTCCACTTGCAAAGAACTATCCTCGCGGGCGTTTTTGTGCACCGGGTCGTGCTGGTGGTCCTTCTTTCTCTACTTCACGCTTATTTCAACATCTCCGTCCGAACTCCTCACAGTGCGCGCATTTCAGCGGCGCATGTCCCTCGCCTCTTTGAACGCACACATGGAGAAAATGAACAAGCTCGACGAGCTTAGTCCAGCCGAACTCCAGGCTCGGTATAGGGAACTGCAGGAAAAACAAAATAAACGAAAAGGGGCAGTTGCTGAAACTGGCACCAGTGGAGCCACGAAATTATCGGGAGATGAATCGTCGACAACAATTTTACCCGGTGAAAGCAGTGTCGTTCAAAATGGTGGAGAAAGACGCGGGGAATCAGAAAGCAAGAGTGGAGACCCTCAAGATTCGCACTTACCACCCGACAGCGACAGCTCGTCGACTAGTAGTTCCACTCGAGCAGGTGACGTTGTATCAGCAGCAGCAGCCGCTTCTCCATCTGCTCCTCGCAGCTCAACTGCAGCTCTGGAGGTCGCGAAAGAACACCAACAGCAGCACGTCGGTCGGCAAAAGGAAAGATTTTCGGCAGACGACCAGGCGGGGAAAACGACTGTGGCGATTATCACCAGGTCGTCCGGAATCCCTTCAAGCACCAGTGGCTCAGCCTCTTCGTCCGAGCCAGAAGGAGGCGGCGAGGTCGGAAATAACGCAGTTTTGTCTAGCGGGTATGATATATCCAGTGGTCAACAACAGCAGGAGGAAAGCTCCGAAGAAAACAGGAACAACAACGATAACAAGCGCATCACCATCGTCGTCAACGGAAAGGATCTCGGAAATGGGGCGTTGTTGACGTCCCCGCAGCCAGAAGTAGATGATATCCAGCAACGCGGCTCGGCCACGTCCTCGACTGTTGCCAGTGCAACTTCGGACGTCGTCGCAACGAGCGCAAATAATGGTGTTCTGCCGCAGCAAGCGCCGATCATTTACGTGCCTGTCACCGCAGCAGCCCCACCGGCGACGAGCCCGCCCCTGGTGATAGGCACTGCAGGAACTGCAGCTCCGGGCGCAGTCGCGGTAGGAACTACAGGGGCCCAGCAACCTCCTGCGCTGTTCACGAACACCGGTGCTCTGCAGCCAGCAGCGGATGCCGGGGAAGGCGCGCTCAGTGTCATGAAAGTCGACAGCATGCAGGAGCAAACCGATCAAAATTCCTCTCCTGTTCCCGGGATAAGAAACAACAACGTCGTCAAGGAGAACAAAAAGAACGGCACACCATCCGGATTGTTGAAAAAGTCGAGCAGCGGGCTAAATGCCGAACCCAAAACGAAGGAGTCTTTCGTGGTAGGCGGCAACGAGGTGAAGTACGACTACGGAGACAGTGACTGCGCTTGCTTATCGTGGGAAGAAATACGCGCACGCCTGCCGTTGGACGTTTCCTCCTACTCTGACCACCGGACGACGGACTTGCAGCACGAGCTGAAAGGGTACGACGGAACAGTGGAACAAGGAGGTTCTTCTTCATCTTCGTCGAATGCAGGTACCAGAAGCTCGTCCGGGGGGTCAGCATCTACTGCAGGAGGTACTACTTCTAGCACAGAACAGTCAGTTTCCATCCCAGACAACTTGGTCGTGAAATGGGACACGACTTTCGGTCAGCCAAAGGCCTTGGAAAAAAGCCAGAACGACAAGGTGCCGCCGCTCACGAACGATGATTTTTCAGCGTCCATGTCGTCCTCGTCCTCGTACAGTGCGCTACAAACTCACCAGACTCGTCGAGAAGATCGTGCAAACGCGGGGCAGTCGGCGTCTACCACCGCGGAGACGGATAATGAGGACCAGGTCATCGAGCTGAGTCCCTATTTCGGCTCGTTCTGTAATGCGTGGGACATGCCGCAGGCAAACTGGGGCGAGGACATTTGGAATGGCGAGTGTCCATCGACTGACGTGAAAAGCGATCGGAATCATGGCGGTTTGAATTTCCCCAACTGCGCGCAGGTGTGATTTTTTTCATTTTGCGGAGAATTATTTGACAAATTTCTGGAAAAAATCCAGCGTAGAAACACGGCATCAAACAGTAGGAGTGCTTGAAGTTCAATTTGTTTTGCTCAATCATTTCTCAACAAACTTCAGCTGCAAACTCACCTTCAGTATGTATGATGAAGAATCAGAAATCATAAATCAAACCTATCATGATGTTGATCCCCAGGTATTTTGCTACGTCGATCCGTGTAAGTGCTCGCAGTTGGGTATCAAAGAAAGTCGAGCAGGGTTTGTGTTGGAAATCAAGAAAATTATTTTTGCAAAATTGGTCACAGGAGGTTTTTGCTCCTCTAGGAGTAGACAGAAGAAGCAAGTAGTATCTTCGATCATCCTTCCCAACAACATCCCTCAAACGCTAATCCTAATTCTTGGTTTCGTTCTCTTCCCTGATCTGACAGCTGCATACCCGACGTCGCCGGCACCTCCCAATTTGCCCACGATGCGTCGCGGCACAAAGAGAGCGCGAAGCTTCTGGCCCACTCGTACAACACCTGCCAGCGGTGCGAGACGCGGTCCAAACCGGACGAGTGTGCGAAGTTTGCCCGTTGCGAGTTCCAGGACGGCAAGTGCCAGACAAAAGCGGCGTTCGGGGGCGCCGTGGCGACCGAGGAACAGGAAAACGAGTACTACATGAAAAAGTGCGGCGACATTCTCACGCAGGAACAGTGCCAAAAAAGCTCGCTCGCAATTTGTGTGTGGGAAGTGGAGGTAGAGCAAGTGATTGATGGTTATAATGTTGTATCTATGTTGTAGATGTAGTGCCTTCTGCTACTGCTTCAACATCTTCTGAAAGGAAATCGAAGCGTGAAAATTTTCAATTCTAAGGACCATGTGGCTGGCAATTTGGTGGACTCGCTATTGTCGACGGTGCAGGAGAACCAGCAACCGGCCAAAAAGGGGAGATGCGTCAAGGGCCGCCCGGACCAAATCCAGGAGCGGTGGCAGTGCGCCACGGTGCCCCCCTGGCTGGGGGCGTACTCCATCCAGCACGAGGAGCTCGGCCTGGCCGGTCATCTTGGCAGGGGCGTGAGCGCGTTATTGCGTGCGCCCGGCGCGATTGTTTCGCAGGTCGGTGACACGCTATCCGATGTAACCGTGGGTGGCGGAATAAACAACGGCGTCAATAAAAGCAGCGCGGCCGGCGGTTTGCGGGGAGGCGGAGGGTGGACCTGGTTTGGGGGCTTGCGACGTGGGGGGCAGATAATTGTACCGACAGCCTTCTCGTCGGTAGTCCTGGTTCTGACGGCATCCTTGTTGTGGTGCTAGGTGATAATGATCTTCTATTTGAAGATTCCACTTCCTGTACGATCATCAACGTTTCAGAACTCAAAAAATGCTGGCCGTCAGATCAGACAGATGAAGCTGATATATGGCACAAGAACAGATTCCAAGAAAAGAAAACAATCGGCGGCACTACGATAATTACCTCCGGCACGCGATGATGCGCACACGCAGCGCGCCGTTGGCGAGCATTTTTAGCGCAGCCTAGGCAGCATAGAACGGGGAAGCAATGTGATGAGTTCTCGAAAGGCGCAATGAGAATGACTTCGCAATCATCTGCAGATGTTGACGCAGTTTTTTGGAATGCTACCACCTGTTGTTGTTGACGCAGTTTTTTGGTGTAAATCGATTTACGAGTAGCGCCACAGACTCGACGTGTAGTGTTTTTCTCGGTTGCCTTTGGAATTTATAAATATGGTGATCGTGTATGTTTAGTGTTTTAATGCAAGGCGCGTTTTTGTATCTGTTTTTCATCGGCTATTTCGTGCTGTACATGTGATTTGTTTATCTGCGGCACTGTATCTTTTTATCACTCCCCGTCGTTTTTCTTGAAAAAAATGTTGCAAATGCAAACGCTACCGTTTCCATGACACATTTTTTCGACTGCCTATATTGAACACGAACAACTACAACATCATGCTGCGGAGCGTTATGGTGCCAAAGCCCGGGGCCACCGCCACGAGGGCAAGTTGTGTAGCCGCCTCATCGGCGGCGTTGAGCTCAGTATTGGCAAGAGACTCTCTCGCATGTTGTACATGCGTCTTCACTAGAAGCATCTGCCGCACCAGTATTCCGAAGATCACAAGCATGGGCTTGAAAACCTCATCCACGCGTTCAACATCTTCTTCATCAAGCCGCCGCTCCTTTTCGTCCGCAAACCATGGGGACAAGACGGGGTACAAGCACTTCCTGCAGCAATTTCTGACGTCGCAGAAAGACCAGCTGTGCCACCCCGCGATTCCCATTCTGGTTTTCGGCCTCGCGGCGGTCGAGCTCGCCATCTATTGGAAGCGGAATCGAAATATCAAATGTAAAAATGTCTGGGTCTGGAAGATTGCCAGGTTTGTCATGCACATGGTGCATGACTCCTGATGTCTGTGATGCATGCCCTAGCATCACAGATTTTGTGAGGGCTTCCTGATGCCTATACCGCATGACAAATGCTCTGTCCGTGTAGCAAAACTTGGACACTCTTTGCTGCTCATGCAACACAAATTTTTTTAGAATCCAAAATCAGCATGACAAGTTGGATTCTTCCAGACCCAGACATTTTTACAGTTGATACGAAAAGAAGAAGATGAGGCGGTGGTGTTGCGTCGCGATCGGCTGGAACGCAGGCGCGCCGCTGCGGTCACGGTAGATCAAAAGGAAACTACAGATGGTTCTTGCACACTTGCAGGTGAACCCGGCGCTAGTGAGACGGTTCCATTGTCTGATGCTGACGAAACCTCGAACCCATCACCACATAAACCGTCGTGAGATCATCAGCACTAATTAAGTACTTACACATCGATCAGGAGTAGCTTCGCAACATGGAAAAGGAAATCTCGTCTCTGCGAATGCAGCCAACTGTATCATGGTTGCATTTTGTTCTTGGCTGCTGTGATGTTCACTTTTATTTGAGTACTATCGACAACAGACTAGTCACCCCACCGGTATGCCGTTGTTAAGGTGCGTGGTAGTTGAAATAACAATGAAATTCTGGTGGAAAAAGTGACATAATTCTTGGAAATTTCTGATCTTGCTGCGACCAGTTCCAGTCCCAAGTAATCTTTCCAAAACCAGTCTCTATTCATCGACTTCCCCCAAGTCACCTGCGAAGATCTTTGAAGATTTGAAGCATAGATGAAACCTTAATAACGGATGCAGCTACCACGCCCGTGCAGAAGATATCGTGAAACCCAAGAGTTACAATGAGATCACGTCTAATATGCAGTGTCAGCAGAGCGCACAACCCCAATCACGATCACCAAGATCATCTGTAGACACATACGAATAAACTTGACAGCAGCATTTGATTGTTTTACGACTACGTTGACGATTCGCCACAACAACAGCAGAGAAGCAAATCTAGAAAAAGAACTGGCGAAGTCCAAGAAGTTGTTTTTTGACAGTGTTTGACTATATTGCTACAATCGTTAGTGGTCGCGTGGTAGTTGCATTGAAAATTAAAAGTTTTTACCATGGACGATTACGGCGATAGTTACTACCAAAAAGACAGCTACGGCAAAAACAAGGGGAAAAAGGGAAAAGGCAAGGGCAAAAAAGGCAAAAGCGGCAAGGATTCATGGTAGAAAGTCTTCGTTTGTGTTTATCACATTAGCGCGGTACTGAAGACGTCACTCCTTGTAGTATTTACCCTATTTGTTCTCATGTCAAAAAAACAAACCAAATTGAAATTCATTCAATGATCTCAGGCAACGCAGCTCCCCGCACGATGACGAGGATAGTTATGGGCGTGACCAACAGGACCAGTATTATCCTCCCAGAAGACTAGAGTCCCCCCCGCGAACGAACAAGGGCGGGAATCGCTATGACGATGAGGACCGCGAGGCGAAGGGACGAGGAGGTTACGATAGGCCGAGCAACGACTACGACGAAGGTTATGGCGGAGGTTACAGCGCGTCTAGTAGCAAGAAGGGGAGTAGCTCGTACGGGGGAAAGGCGTCCAGCAAGAGCAGAGGAAAGTATGACGACGTTGACCGAGATGATTACAACAACGTAAAGGGTGGTGGACCGTCAAGTAGGCAAAAGGACGGCTATGACGATTACAACAGCTACGAAAATAGTAGCCGGTCGTACGGAAAGAGCCCTAGCCGCGGGAAGGATAAAGACGGCTACGGAGGCGGTAGCTACAACAAGGGCGGATCCACAGGCTCGAGTGGAAAGAATTACCGCGAAGACTACGGAACCCAGGATCACGCGGACAACATCGAAAACAGCCGCGGCTACGATCGCCGAGGAGGGGATCGTGACCGTGATGATGACTACTACAACGACAGGAAAGGAGCAGGAAAAACGAGTGGCGGAAAAAGCAGCGGCTACTATGACAAAGATGCGGACACGCCCGGTACTAGTAGTTCCTACAACCAGCAGCGACCGGCCATCCACCAGCGAAGGAGGCCTGAGTCGCCTCCCGGTGGGGGCTACAAAGGGAGCAAAGGAAAGGGCAAGGACATCGGGAAGGACGGTGGTAAGCCAGGAGACGATTACTACTACGACGAGCGAGAAGCAGCACCGCAACAGATAGCAGACAGCAGGAGAGCACCTGCACCAGAGCCCGCGAGACCAGTGGTTGTTAAGACAGAGGAGGAAGTAAAGGCGACACTGAAGAAGATCAAAGGAATCCTGAACAAGCTCTCACCACAGAAATTTGACAGCCTGTATAATTTATACGTGAGTCTGAGTGATGGTGATGCTTGGTCTATGATAGCGATAGGGTAGAAGTGCGTTTTTGATCGGAAAGTAAGCCGCGGTGTACCCAGGTTCGCTTTGTCGCGCCGTGCTACAATTTGCGCAGTTTTAGAAAAATTGAGATAGTGATACATAGGTGGAGTAGCGTGCTTGTTTTTTCCTGTATTGCTACCACACATTCTACACTACAGCGCGGACCAGTTGAAAGAGGTGATCACGTGCCCAGACGATGTGGAGATGTTTGCAGAGCAGATTTTCGACAAGGTCGTTAAACAGCACAACTTCCTGGAGCTCTACACAGACATGTGCGTTCGGTTGAACTCATGGTGCCAGGAGGGAACAATTGCAAGCGTGGTACATATGCTTCATTGTCTTCTAATATGAATCATAGAAGACTTTCTGGATTTCTGTGCCTAAATTGATGAAATTTTTTTGAGCTCGTCCCGACCGGGTCGTCGTTTTTTTTGCTGTCTAGATAGAGGCGGAATCAACTGTGATCATACATGATTCGAAAACAATATCAGGACCCTAAATCTTTTCGCTCCATCCTTCTGAACCGGTGTCAGTCAAGCTTCGAAAAGTACCTCCACGAGCCGGAACCCAACCTGGAGGCCACGGAAATGCACAGCCAGCTGGAGGTTGAGACTTTGTACAAAAAATGCATGCTCGGCACGGTGAAATTCGTCGGAAAGTTGATTGTTAACGAACTCCTGGCCAGCCGTTTGATCTTGATGATCTGCGACAGTTTGCTGGAGTCTCCCGGGGACACGATCAAAGTCGAGAACTTGACGGTATTTGTGACTAATTTTCTAGACTTGCAAAAATTGCGTTTCTGTTGTTGATGCATTTTGTACACGTAGACGTACTAGTACCATGGCGAAGGATAGCGGTATGTAAATTTGTGTATACAACAAGAACATGTCGTGCGCGATTGTATGTTTATCAAAAACTCCAACACCAGGTTTTCCTCAAAGTCATAGGTCCAGAATTCGACAAGGACACTTGGGCGCACCATAAGGAGCTGAAGACCAAATTCTTCCAGCTTATGGACATCGCAAACACAACGGAGAATAAGAAGGTCCGGTTTGCCATCATGAATCTTCTGGACACTAGGAAAAACAACTGGGTCGAGATCACGGCGTAGGGAAAAGTTCCGTGTGCAATTACTGCACAGCCCACAGAGACGAGATGTGTCATCTTCAAAGTCGAAGCCGCAAGAGGATGTTCTTTCAAGTATCACTACCACACGTAAGTAACGAGAACAACTCTGAAACACTGTTATGTGTATCACGCGCAGAACTTTTCGAAGTTTCACGACTGGACTGCATTGAAATAGGATTTTTATTCACTTGTGTCCCTGCTTCTTTTTGCAGGTTTTCATTGCAAACAAACTTTCATGTTTACTTATATGCGGGCTCGTACTAAATCTACAACCGCCCTCTGTCCCTCCCGCAATTGTAATTGACGGAGATTTTCTTTCCACCAACCGCGCAAATTTGGTGGCCTATGAACAGCAGAGGAGTTTTGATTTTTTTTCGCGAACAAGTTGTGATGAAGTAGTTGTCAGATATACAACCGTCTCCGTTGAACGTGTAAGACACGAAGATGTTCTATAGGGGGAACGGGAATGGGAAGATCCAAGATCGCCCTCCTGTGTAATTGGGTTTTGCCTGTGACTCCGAGCCTCACTGCATCCAACTGAGTTTTTGGGAGAGCGGCGGATGAAACGCTTTGTCTTTGAGTGAAAGCATGCGCAGCTGTGAGATAGACAGCAGCAGCAGGACGAAGAGAGAACCACCTAGGTTTATAGAATAGTCGTGTGCAATTCACAGAAGGTTTTTGCTTCTGATGATTTCTTGCTTTATTACAAATCTGCCGTGCGCAACATCGGTTGTGTGACAAAGTACAATAGAAACTTGAGCAGATGTTGACAACATAAGTTCAAGTTGCTTGGCCAAGAAATTGGAAGTCGAGTCTGCCTGGAAGGTCGAGATGAAGAGCTCCTCGATATCCGCACATCGTGCGGCTGCGGCTCTTCTTGTGGCCAACATCATGTGCAATGGTCCGCAGGGCGCAAACAGCATCCGGCTGAATAGCATGCAGCGACGCTTAGGTGCACGGAGCAGCATGCGAGCCCTCACCAAGTCTGATGCAGCTGCCTACAAGTTTCTACGCCGGAAGATGGCGAAGGTGATCCAAGAAGGGGAGAAGCCCTACGAGTTCGCACACCAGGACTGCGCGCAAGACTTTTGCAACTTGGAAACGATGTTTATTGAAAAGAGCTACTCGGACGGAGAAAAAAACCTTGCTCTGGACCTCTGCATGGCCGGCTGCGAATCTTGTGCGGGCGCGATGAAGCACACCCCGGGGCTGACGAAGGGCAAGTTATTACAGTGCTTGGTCCAGAGCAACAACATTGCGAACGGCCAACTTCTTGGAGGCGGGGTTAGTACGGCGAGCCGGCAGCAGCTCGGTCTGCTAGGTTTGGCCGAAAGTCGCGCGGAAGATAGCGGTGCGCTCGATGCTTGGCCTGCCAACCGGTTATGAGTGGAAAAAAATCTTCTACTTTTTTTATTCTGGAGGGTTCGCTCAATGCGGTATATTGGGTTAGACCTGAAATCAGTCTACATGCATGAAAACGACGATCGAATCAGTATCAGTATGCCGATGCTACTCCCCTGCGTTTGCTTCAACATATCCAAAGATTTTTTTTTTGTTCCACGAAGACCGACACATATTGGCTCAGCAGCGTACTACGAACACATGAAAGAACAGGCCGCAAAGAAGGGAAGTTTTGCTGCGGAGAAGAGCAGCACTGCAGCTTTCAAAAACACGGCAGGAGTAAACAACAATCGTCTCAATCGAAAAACGCAGAAGCGAGCGCATTCGCGAAAGGGAGGTTCGTCACTAGCAAAGCAGGCCAGCCTGAGTACTTCTGCCACCAAAAGCAAAAGCCGGAAAAAGACGAACAAAGTTGTCAGTGCAGCAGCACCTCGGCAATTGCCCAAAAACCAAATGCCGCAACCACAGCCTAATCCAGCAGTAGATCCGACTATACACAACGGCATGCGAACGGACGGCAATGGCAAGCTGCTGGCGTCTTCCGCACCAGCTCCACCTCCTTTACCTTCCCAAGAAATCGCAAAACTCGCTACGGCGAAAGTGCAGCCTGCCTGGCATCCGCCGCCGGAGGACAAAGCGCGCAAGGAGGAGGAGACGCCTGGACAGCTTGGCAAGATCCCGATAGTGGAGGAAGTGCCGGACGACGAGATGAAAGGTCAAGGTGTCGACGACAAGTCCGATAGCTTGACGAAGCCGCACAGAGGACTTGTTCCCTCTCAGGGCGGTGCTGGAGTTATTTCTGACAAGCCGGGGGCGCCGCAAACTACCGAAGATGACAAAACCAAGGACCTCCTGCTTGCGAAACAAAAGCACGGGCAAGAAGCCAAGAAGGGCATCGAGGATGACATGGACATGGACGATGAAGATGAAGATGTTGACCCGGAGCACCAGGAGCCGACAGAAGAAGAAGAGGAAGACGAGGAAGTGCTAGAGCCTGCACCAGGAGAGGAAATCGAAGACTCATCCGAGCCACAAGAGGACGAATTCGGAGATGGTGAATCTGAGCCAGAAGAGCTGGACGAAGATGAACAAACCGAAGAGGACCCAGAAGTACTGGAAGATGAAGAAGCAGAAGAAGGCGAAGACGCTGAAACATCAACGCCAGAAGACACAACCACTCATCCCGTCGAAGGCACCATCAAAATCTCGGGCACTGCGACTGGCAGTGGACTGACCACCGAGCAGCAGGACCAGCTGGACCGCGTGGAGGAGTCGTTGGACCGCGTGGAAAGCTCGGTGCACCACCTCGAGGACTCGCTGGACTCGATGGGATCCGGGCTCGAAGACGCGCTGCACACGGTCGGAGAGGGGCTGATGGGGTACGGTCATTATTATCACCATGATGATGACCACCATTATTACGATGACCACTGGGATTCTGATTGCCACCACGAAGACGATCACTACTACAATCCTTGGTACAATCTGCTCGCGAAAATCAAAACAAAACTTTCTTCGACCCTCGGGAGCAGTGGCCTGGGAGACGAACTCGACTTGGTTCACAAGAAGCAGAAGCAGAAAAGGAGCACTCGCGATGGTGATCACGCCGGAGCAAACGGCGCCAAAAAGTCCACAGCAAGTGTCGTGCACGAGGTGGAGGAGGACCACAAGTAGGAAAATGCCAAGGATGAAGATCATGGTGAAAAATGTCCAGAAACAACGACAAGAGAGAATGATATTGAACTTGCCATGGTCGGGGAAAAATTCCAACCGTGCAGCAGAGAAAGATGAAAATCCTCAAAGGATCAAACCTAAGGATCAAGCCTAAGGAAGAAGACTTGACGAGAAAATGACAAAACGGAAATGAACGTAAATTTGCAACGTGCAGAACGAACAACCCTTTGTATGATGTAGATGTTAGACTCAGCTGCAGCTCCATTTTCTTGTTTCCCAAAGAAGTAGTCGCGCACGCGCTCTCGCAAAACATCAAGACAAGTCAACGTCTATGACCAGTGCAAGAATGAACTGACGAGCATTTTTGCAGCGATGTATCCACCGCGACGGTGTCGGCTGGTAGCTTTGGCCAAATTAGAATGGAACAAAAATTAGGATCTGCCTGTCGATCTACAATGATCGACTACCCAGTATGAAGATCTTAGCCAATACGTAGATGTCTGTCGATGATCTCGAGTGGCTGTAAATCTGATGTTTCTTCTCCCATAGCATTAGCAATGCAAAAATAAAGCGAGGTTCTCAGTGATAGAATCCAAAACTCTGCGGCTGCGGTCTGGCAGTGTGTTGGTTTCAGATTGTGATCACCCTTGGAACAAGTTCAAAGTCCTAGTTCCGCAGCACGCAAGAACGATGAAATGGAAGAAAACCTCCATGAGGAAAGATCGTCTAGTCTTTTATATTTATTCTGAAATTTCGCAAAAAGTGTGAGTTTCTAATTGATTCTGGTGAGATCATTTCTGCGCAGCGAACCATATCTGGGTAGTACGACCGACGTCCCCACACAAAGAACCTGACCCCTAGTACCGCATTGTGAAATTGACTTGTAAAAACTGCCTTGCGTATTTTCCTTCAACGACCACGCGAACGCGCATCAACTATTTGTCTTTTGTAATCACACTGCAACCTACTCAACGACGTCTGCTGTTTACACGTTCTCAACATAGTAGCTCCTCGCAAAATATTCACAAACATGAAGATCGACATATCCGATCCCGCAATCCATGCGGAGCAGGAAGATCTGCAAATAGAGCACGACAAGCGATTGAATCCGCAAACGGTGACGAAGCAGGAAGCCACCCGAGTTATTGCGGAGGTGGAGCAACTTTTCTTTTCCGTTTCAACGCTTGGGGATGGTGTTGAGTTCTTACCAGTAGAGTCTATCGAGTTCTATTTACTCAACGACCTGGGCTACGCAGACTCGGACGAATTTGAAGACGCACTTGGCGGGACATTTTTGGAGTTTATGAAGCACCAAATGCCTAACTGCACCGTGTGGTATAGCGATGCTAGAGAATTTCTTTTTTGCATTGTTGAGTCTCTCGTTATTTTGTCCACAAGGTCAATTTCTCAGACTCTTCTTGCACGATTGCGACTGTAATTTCCGTCAGATTCAATCTCGCATTTCTTCAAAACTCCAGGACTAATCCCGACACCGGTAAGGAGGTATTCAAAATAACCCCGAAGGAGCGCAAGGAGGGCCGCAGACTAAAATTTAAGATCGAGACCGGGGATGACCTACTCCAAAACACGTTCGTGTTCGCAGCGTACCCCGCGCTAGTCTCCATTCCCGAGGCGGAATTCGAGATCCAGGGGGCGGAAAAGCCCGCAAGGGACACCCTGTATAACCATATCAGCACTGCTATCAACAACCTGGAGCAGCACGCGAGCGGCCTCTCCCACGCCAAGGACGAGTCGAACAAGAAGCAGGGCGCAGCGATCTTTGCCGCAGTGGAAGAGTTGCGCGGGTTTCTGGACGTAAACCAGCCGTTCACTTGGATGGTGTACGATCCCGAGGGCCAGTGCGAGATCGACAACGAAAGAGTAGAAGTCTTGCCCTTGGAGGAAGCCACGGGGGAACAAAACGAGTTTTGATGTTGTTGGTCCATTTCTATTTTGGCAGTATCTGTGCAGAACAGCGCGTGGTATTGTCGAAAGCGAATGGTGCCTACGGATCATGCGACATATTAGATTACCGCACAATAGAAGACTCTACGCAAAGCAACATCGGAACAAGATCAAGAACACAATCATGGAGTAAATGGCGCACAGTTTTTCTGAAAACCTCTGATGTTCTACTCTAGACCGATGGTTGTAAGTTGTAGTGCGTCAGATCGTCGCAATGCGTTTTTATTTCGAGGAGTTGTCTAGCTTCACAAGAAAGTTTTCCGCTTGTCGTCGCGTACTTGTAGTTTGTTCCAAAACTTGCATTTTTGTCTCGGGAAGTCAGTGGAAGGCTGGAGCAGTTTCACTTTGATTTGATCATGTGTGAATTATTCCCCATCTTGTTTGCAATTGCAAAGTGAGCTCTCTAGAGCTCGGGCGTGTGCTTCAAACACAAGGCGTAAAAGTACGTACATAGAGAAGGTGGAGGACGACCAGCACTCAAAAAAGTAGAAGTCTGCTAGCGTCTACTGCAAAAATGGCGCAGGAACTCCAACTCCTGCACGGCCCGACAAGCCAGCGCCAAAAGATAGGGCTCATGAGATGCTGGAGGTTTTTTCACGTGCGGAGACTTCTTGTGGGAATGTTGTATTCGTATATCCTACTGGGCCTGCGACCTTGTCTCTCTTTTGGAAATACCGGGGAAGAGCAGGACAATGGATTTGGTTCCGGTAATGATCCCAATGCGCGACCTAGTGAACCAGGTGGAAACCGAAACCAAGGAGCCTCACTGACACCGATAGCTTCCCCCCAGGATGTCGGTCATCTCCCACCAGCGGTTTCCGATTCCAATGGGAGCCCAAATTATGACGGATCACTTGACCGCAATCCTGCGGCTGTGGTCCCGCGATTGCTCCCCGGGCTCGAGCTTTCGCGGACATTACCCGGCTTTCCCAGTCCGCCGCTGAGTTACGGGTTCAGCGCCAGCGCAAGAACGGCACCACCTAGCAGCTCGACAGGCGGGGCACAGCAGAACACGAATTCCAACAAAATGGAGATGGAAGCCACGGTTATTGCGAGAAATGAAAACTCTTTTTCGCGCAGCCGGGCGAGGAATCGTCGTAATAACGAGCGCATTATTAGTAGAACAAGCGATGCAGATAATCATGCCCAACTAGAAGGAGACAACGCTGCTGGAAGCTCATTCGCAGCAGCGCCAGCACGAGGACGCGGCGGAGAAGCATTAGCAGACAGCTTCTACTCGATTTTGTTCTTCACGTCGTCCAACATGCACGTAGATGACGACGATAACTACGTGGTGCAAGACGGACGAGACGGGGCGTCGGACGAAATCAGACCGCAGCAGCAGCAGACTACAGAAACTGGGTTACACGGTACAGAAAGCGATATAGCAGCTGGATCGACCACGCCACATGGCATTGCACACGTTCGCACGAACTACAGGCCAAGTAGCCAGCACCGGCTGGCTTTGCCGCTTGAGACACCAAGGGATTTTTCTGCCGACGTGGAGAATGGGAGTATGAAGCCCGTCCGGGTGATCTCGCACGCAGATCTCAATCTCGATGGCCTGCCGGACGTGCTCGTGATCTGGAACAAAAGCGAGCCACGATCGTCAAACAGTGCGCATCAAGAATCCTCATCAGGAGCTAGTCCTGCTAGATCCAGCAGCGTCTCATCTACTGCTCCCTCGCAGTCATCCTCTTTTCTCACACAGGTCTACCTGCGGCAAAAGCCCCCAATTTCTCGGGCAAGCGCGGAGCCCCAGAATTATGGCTACGCCGCAAGCTACGAGAGAAGCAGTACGCGCGACTACGAGAAAACACTTGATGAGATCGCGTCTGATTCCGAACCATTTTTGGTAGATTTGAACTTCGACGGACGCCTGGATCTCTTGTTGGCGGACCGCGTGCGAATTAGCGATTTGAGAAGTGGTACCAGCACAGGTCCGGATCACCGCAGTACTGCCGCAACAGCTGTCCGGCTCATCCTTTTTCCCGCTGACCAGGAGTTTCCCCTGGGGAAGTTCCTGCTGCAAACCGGATGGAAAGCGCAGACAGATGGCGTGGTCTTTTCCGTGAGAAAGCATTTTTCCCCGTCCCTCGCAGATCTAGACGGAGACAACACTCCGGAACTGATTGTGCCCGTGGACATTACGTCAAGGCAACAGGGTACTCAGAAGATCGAAGGTCGGGGAGCACATGGCGAAATGAAGCCGAACAGCGCAGCAGTGGTGCAATTATGGGTTTTTGTCAGCACACCGATTCTTGGGGCTGCTCCCGATGGAGCCGGCAATGAGAGCGCAACCAGTGTTGCCCCTGCTGGAGTAGAGCAAAGAACCCGCTTTGTCTGGTTGCGAAAGAAAGAATGGGGATACGACTCAATCGCTCCTGCGCGCGAACTGCGCGAAACCGAAATCACTTCAGCGGAAGACGCAAATTCGCAGTTTTCCTTTGCTGATTTGTTTGGTACCGGGAAGACGCAGCTTGTGTGCCTTTCAACTTCTACTTCTGGTACGCGGAGGGCGAAAATGCCACGGAACAGTCAACAAGCCGCTACACAAGAGGACTTGGTAGGGTCTGCGGGTGAAGATCATGAAGCAGAAACTCCTGCTGCCCTCATGGATGCACCGTTGCCTGAGATTGTTGACAGGGAACCTGCCCTTATTGTTGAGGAATTCACTTGCACAGCCGGCGGGCACCATCATCATGGGCAAAGCAACCAGATCGAAAGAGACAGGGGGAATGTTCTTCAGAATCAGAACAATGATGTCCTCGCGGAAGCTTCGGAACAACACCCAGAGGGCGATGGGGAGGCCTCTGTGCGCGTGCCACCTGCTCAGCATTCAGAGTTACAAGAACGCTCGGGAAGAAATCCGTGTTGGCGTCGTATTCCGATCTCCGTTCACGCGCGAGAGGATGAGAGACAACATGGAAAGCGCAGACAAAATGTTGCAGCTTCAGGAAGGAGAAGTGTTGAATATGGCTTGCTCTCTAACGACCGCTGGCTTCGTCTGGGTGACTTGAATCAAGATGGCAAGCTCGATATCATGTACACCTACTGCAGTATGACGTCGACAGGCGACGCTCATAGCGAAAACACGAGTGCCAGGAATAAACCAGGAGCTCAGGATTCGTTCCAATGCACCACCTTCCTCCTAATTGGTAACGAAGAGGAGCAGTCGGAGCAGCCAGCAGAAAGCGATACTACCGAAGGGTCTGGTCGATCATCTTCAAGCTACGCCCAACACCAAAACGTACTGCACAGAAAGGTTTTCCAAAAGTTTTCCCTTCCTAAGGGTGATTACAGCGGCGCGGCATTCTACGGGGACTTGGGTCGCAGGGTGCAAATCCTTGCTTGGGCGTTCGAGCTTACTCCAAGGAATGATGCTACTGGGACAACGCTTCGTACTGCTGCAGCAGTGGGTATGTACAAATACTTTGTTTTCTGCTACAACCCGGCGAAAATTTCGTTCCACATCCAAACGCAAGCGCTCCTGTTATGGCGTTCTCAAACGTTACATTCTCAACTGTTGCATGAATTCGTGATGCAAGAATAGCAAAAGTGATAGGAGGGATCGCGCGCATCTTGCATGACAGATTTGGCGCCGATTATCAGCCTGTTTGGCCCTCTGGGAATTTGTCATGCGAAGCAGCTTGATGGTGTCGATTCTGAAGGCAATTTTGCTTGACAAATCATGTAACAGCTGACAATGTAACGTTTGAGAACGCCATACCTGTCCGTGCCCGAGCCGTCGGACCAGCAGATGGTGGTGCACCCAGGACCGACAGCGCGACCTGGCGCCGCCGCTGGTGCAACTTCGTCGATTTACACCACTCGGAATATAGTTCCGTTCACCTGCACGCTCCAGTTGGGCTATCTGAATCCGCGCAACCTGGAACGGAAGCAGACCCGCACGACTTTACTTGGGACCAGCAATCACTTTGGTAGCTTGCAACTGCCGTTTCTAGATTTGGGCTTAAAGGACTCGAACAGTTACATTGACGACTTCGAAATTGGGTGTCTTCCTTTCCTCCCCAACGCGCGCGGATTCACACGTCGCTTCGAGGGGTCGCAGATCGTGCCCAACTCGGCCGTGGCAGTGATCATCCCTTTTTCATCATCCGCGGTTGTATCCGATCAAGATCATGGCACACCAGCATTGGAGCAAACAACCAGCAGAGAAATGAGGCTTTCTCATTCTGCAGCATCTTCGGCAACAAGGCCGAAAGGAGCAGGGGCGATACCTGACAGTCCACGATACGATAGACGTCCTCGTCCAGTCTCAGTGTGGAGCGCCGCGGCGTCAAATGAGTGGTCGCTCGAGCTGGTGGTAAACCCGGCGGGTTACTTCTACGTAATCTTTTTTGTGTGTCTACTGCTGCTGGTTGTCCTGTTGCTCGTCGCTTTTGTGTTGCACGAGCGCGAACGGAAGGCAAAACAGGCGGACCGGGAGAAACAATTTCGCATGCACTTTATCAACAGCTAGACTAGTACTGCCCCGGCGGGGAAAGCGGCGAGACGGGCCAAACTGACAACGCACGTTTTCCAGATCACGCGGCGAACGAATGTGGACATTCTCGTGTGGATGACCTCTTCGAAAGAAGATTGATGTATACTTGCATGGGTACCTCTGACACTGACTAACAATAATTTAACAACAAGGCAAAATGCAGCACGCGGACGATCGACTTGCTGTTGCTTCGTCTTCGTCCTCCTAGTGCGTCAGCTCCGCATTGCTTGCCTGTGGCTACTGAACAGAGTTAATCTTGAATTTACTTGTCTGTCATCTTTTTTGTGTTTGTGTTCCTTTTCAGTGAAGCTGCAATCTGCTGCTACCACGAGGGTTTGAGGGTTCGGACATATCGAGCGAATGGTGATGATGAAGCTGTTGAGAGATTGTTTCAAGAGCCATAAGAGCAACAACCTGAACCTGATGGTGCAAGAAATGAATCAGGAGGTCTGACGCCGATTCGTATTGCTTGATGTAGTTTTCGGCCGTTGCGCAGATGGATACGCACATGATCCGCGTAAGAGAGTAAAGAGCGGAAAAATCTGCCGATTGACACAAGAGCGCGCGAAAAGGATCAAACAAAATGCCAGAAGCAGCGAGCGCGACTTGTAAGCCCACCGATGTGTCGGCCTCTCCGACTCTCCGGGACATGCAGAGCTTTCTCGAGCGCATGCAGGAGGAGCAATGCGCGCTTGCCTCTGGCGTTGAGGATCGGGACGCTACGAGCGCTGGCGTCCGTGATGGCCACGATTTTCGTAAACTGGCAGACGGCGCTAATGCGCAGCAAAAAATTCCAGCTGCCGTTTTGGATAAAACCATCGACACGGACAAAAACGTCTGCAACACGAAGAGCGGAACAGCAGCATCCCCGGAGAACAAGAAAGGAGTCATCCAGTTCATTTCTCCTTTGAAAGGCGGAGGTCTTAGTCGCATTGGCGCTACTGTTGAAGACCAACAGGAGCAGAAAAAATCAAACCCCGCTACTAGCAGAAGCACAAGCGAGCACTTCGCTGCCGAAGCCGGTGAGGACGACCGAGCCCGCCTGTATTTGCACACTGATCCTCTTGATGCGACGACAGGAACAGGGCATGAGCATGACGAGGATTTGGATCAGCAGCGGCAGCAGCCCTTTGCGAGTTCTGCGCCAGAAGAGCATCACCAGGTCAAAAATCCAGCAATGCTGCAAACTCAGACGCCGACCTACACCTCCGCCGAGAAGGGCAGCATGTTGCAAAAGTTGAAACCGTCGGACCTGGGCTTGTCCGACAGCAAAGAGTCCGACGCGTTCCCCAGTCCGCCGCCCCCGCCGATGTTCTCCCCGGCAGAACTGTACGGGATGAGCGGAGCAAGCGGGAGTAATTTCCAGGTTGGCACTGATGGTGGTTCTTCATCGTTTTCTTCGGCATACAATTCTTGTACGGCGGCGCTCAACTACATCAGTAGTAAAAACTCCTCAATCGCATTGACTGCTGCGGACGCGGTCGGCGCGAATTTGTTCATGAAGGAACTGAAATTGCCTCCTGGGCAGGAGATGATCTTCGCAGAGCATGGCGAGCAAGACGCTTGTCCATTTCCCTTGTCCAGCGATGAACATCAAAGCTGTCGCGCAAAACAGGAAACTGTAGTCGAACCCGAGCCCGACCAGTCAGTCGGTGCTCCAACATCGAGTATCAGCCAGAATCCCACCTCCATCAAGAAGAAAACCGCGATCGAGCTAGAATTCGAAGTTCACGATCTGCAAGCGGAGCTGAGACAGGCCGAAACGTACAATTTCGAGTACAAGAAGCGCAACGACGCATTGCATACCGAGTTAGAGGCGCTGAAAAAGGAGAAGCGGTTGCTGCTGGAGCACAGTTTGACCGCGTTGGGAAAGGACCAGGAGATTTTCCACCGAGAAAACAGGCACCTCCACGAGCGGCTGCTGGAAGCGCAGGATTGCAAGCTGCATCTGCAGAAGGAAGTCCAGGAGAGCCAGAAAGTCGCCACCATTCTGCAGCAAGACAACGAGCGCGTGAACGCGGAGAATTCGTTCCTGCTGGAGAAAACGTCGTGCTTGGAGGAAAGACTGAATGGTGCAGTGACGGAACTAGGTAAAGCGAATTTGGAGAAGGAAAGACTGCAAAACCAATTTGATGCTTTAGAAGAGAAGCAAAAGACCTGCCTGAGCTTCGAGGACGAGAAAAACATTCGGCAAGAACAGGCGGAGCTGAAGGAGCAAAACCGGAATTTGAAGGACTTTGCCCTGGATATCCTGTGCAAGTATCGTACTCGTATTGCAGTCATGCATTACAAATTTTTTTCTTAAGGTAAATCCGCATGACAAATTTTATTTCTACTCATGCTGGGGAAATTTGCAATGCATTTATACGAGTGCGATACTTTTGCAATGCATATTGGAGTTGCAGCGACGATTTGACGAACTGGAACTCTTGTGTGCAAGGCAATCAAAGGCGTGCGAATCCTTGAAAGAAGAAACCGCAACTCTAGTGCAAGAAAAGCAAGACTTGGCACAGCAACTGCAAATCTGGAAAACCAGCAGCGAATTTTACAAAAAGAAATGCGGTGGAGAAATCAAGAAATCATTCATTTGGCGAGGAGGTGGGCGTTGCGGCGCACTGGCTAGGTAGGAGGCGTTCACTGTTCCTCCGCAGTGGGCTTATCATCAAACCTGATGTTGTATCACCGACGTGATGTTCTCGTAATGGTCGGTTTTCCTCCGCGACATGGGGAACAAAGTATTCGTCTCCGGTGACTACAACTACTTGCGATCACAATCATGCCTCGCTGATTCTTAAGATCTTCCCGTTGGAACTGTTTTCACACGACGCTGAGTACATGATCACGACTCTCAACATACACGACATTTTGAATCGGTTTTCGCCTTCTGCTTTCCAGGCCGACACTCATGTCAGAGCTGCTACTAATGACAAGTTCTTTAGAAAATGAAACGACAACAAGCTTTACCTTTCTCTTGGTCGAGATTCCAGTTTCTCCAGAATTATCATTCTGAGCCCTCTTCAACTTCATTTTCGAATAGATCAAAACACACATAAGCAACATGTTCGCCAACATTTTGTCGTCCCTCGACGTGCACATCGATCTCACCTCCGAGGTCGAGGACTTGAAACGCGGTGACTTCACGGCAGTCAAGCGCATCCAGCGGCTCGCGATTCAGCAAAATGTCGCGGCCGGACAGCAAGGCGGAACAAACTCCGGCACGTCGCCGGACAGAAATCGGTCGGCCGAGCACCAGAACAAGCAAGCTCCTACGACCATGGTGTCGCTCGCGGCGGACGCGAGTTTACTCGTGGTGCTGAAGCAGTTCAAGAATCTTGTCTCCCGGCTTCTGGAGGGTGGGGAACGGGGCAGCGAGCAGCGACTCGATCTGAGTGACGAGCAGGATTGTGTGGCGTTATCGGACATGCTGGAGCTTTTGAAGCTGTTTGCGTCGGAGCCGAAGCGAATAGGCTCGTCCTCATCATCTTCGTCCTCTTCCAGCAGAAAGAACAACACCAGCAGTATTAATTCTGGAGTAGATAAACACGCCTACGCGAAGACGATATTCTACGAGTCTGAGGAGGCGAAACTGTTTCTCAAGCTCCTGGTTTCTGCAAGCACGAATCAGGACGACTCGGGGACGACCAATTTGAACGACCTGCTATACATTCGCGCGGACGTGTTTGCTCTGCTCGCGGTGCTCCACGAGTTTTTCCCGCGCCACCTGGAGGAATCCCTGTTGCAAACTCCCTTGGTGTTTCAGGTCCTCCTGGAAACCCTGCATCAGTCGAGCGCCTTCGTGCGCAACGAGTGCCTGAACTTTGTGATTTCCTTACTCGAAGGCGACGAGATGCTGCGCATCACAAGGGGCACGAACCAGCAGAGCAGCATGGTGGCGAACATTTTAATTATGCAGGGGTTGTTTGAGTTCCTTCTGGGCGGCAGTGCAGGGAACCTCGGGCAACGACAAATCCCGGACCTACAAGGGGGTTTTGACGAGGAGTTTCAACAGGACCACAGTGATGACTCCGAGCCGCTTCTGTCCATCGAAGCGTTGGAAGAGGCCATGGCTGCGAGCGGCAAGTTGCATCAGAGCGCCGCCCCGATCCGCATCTTGATTCTCCTGCTCCAGACGGAACGGGGCTGCAAGTACCTCCGGGAAGCAGATTTAGTGTCGCGACTGTGGAGCCTGTTCGGCCAGCACTTCCAGGCACATTTGAAAGCTGTTTTTGAGGAGGAACTGATGAACAGCTCGACGTCAGTATCAAATGGGACGTCATCTGCGGGAATGTACGGCGAGTCAACTATGCACCGTCGCGAACGGTTCGCCGAGAACGTCTTGCAGCAAGGACTTGAGGCTTTGCAGCAGGAGTCTAGTTCTTGTGTTGGCCAGCACAGCAGGTCCGCTACTGCTGGGGCCACAACTGCTAGTCCTCGGAATGCCAAGCCGTTTCAGCGGCGGCTATTCCAGACCTGCGAGCCATTGCTGGATGTGTTGTCGGTGTTTCTGAACTGTTCCTCTGGTGGGAGCAGTAACCGGGCGAACGAAGGGGGTTCTTCTCTATCAGGAACAACGTCAACGCAAGACAGCGCAGCATTTTCCGAGCGCGAGGCGAACGCCGCGACTCTGCTTCGCACGCCCTACATCTTGCAGCACTTGACGGAAGCGCTGTTTTTGGTGATTCGCTACAACCCCGTCTTGGCGAGGAAAATCATCGATCTCATCAAGCAATTCGCTGTCTCATCTTCCAGCGCATCTACTTCAGCAAGCAAGCACTTGTCGTTGTCTCAGTCCGCTCTCTTCAGCCAGCTGGTCCGCGACTTCGAGCCCGAAAGATCGTGGTATTACCGCTCGCCTTTTTGGACGCACTACGAAGATCATGATGCCGGTAATAGTGCTTCTAACACGGAAGAAGGAAACAACGTGAACTCCTCCGCGGACAACTCCTTGATGCTAAAACCCTGTCCTTGCGGCGGCGCGTTGATTTACGGATTGGTGAGCCTGCTTTTGTTGAATCTCAGTGAGGAACAACTTCCCGTGACAACCTCCATCTTGGTGCAAGAGCAATTCGCAGGCGCAGATTCCGACGCGGCGAACAACACCGGAAATATCAACAGTGCGACTACTTCATCTCAGCAGCGTTCAGCAAAGCCGGTCCTGGCGAGTTCGCCCTGGATGCCGGTTTCGCTGGTATTTTCGACAGCATCGGCAGACGGCACTTCCCCCTCCAACTACTTGCAGACCACTGCATCTAACACGGAGGAAGATGAAGCCTGTTTTTACGTGTTCAGGGAGTTCATCCGTCTCCCGCTGCTGGAGTTGGTGCTAAACTTATGTAAGGCCAATGCCGACCTGCGGGATTTTTTAACGCAGAGTTTTTTCAAAGAGGACCTGCATGACTTCGACGACCAAATGATGTCGACTGCTGCGATGGGAGGACAGGATACTAGAGGAACACGTAGATTCGGAGGCGGTGGCGTTGGGTCAGGAGGGAACAAAAATCGCAGCATGTTTCCGGTTGACGCCCGATTGGACCAGGACCTGAAGAGGGTGCAGGAAGACGTGGGAAAGTTCCAGAACGCGCTGGAAAACTCCCTGGACGCCCTGGTCGCCGAAATGGACGCCGACCTCGGACAACAGGTGCAGAAGAAGAAGGAGCGGCAACTACAGAAAGACTTCTTGCAGCAGAACGCCGTTCGCTGGCCCTTCGCCGGGAAGGTTGTTTGTGCGGTGTTGACGAATACTAGCGCGAGCGGTGGAGCAGGAGGCCTTCAGGCCGCGCAACTAGTACAGGGTGGAACAGTAAATGGGGCGATGTGCTGTTCGGTGGATCAGCTTCTCATGGCGCACGAGTCGCAGCCGCAGGCAGAAAGTATGTACTTCGCACTGCTGTTTCTGGAAACGCTGCTCCACACTGCTGGTCCTGCGAATAGCTCATCCACTGGTGGTCTTCACCACGAAGTAGACAATGCGCCGTCGTCTACACCAGTCCATCCACTGTCCACGGTTCCTCTCCGGACAATACCAGGGCTCGTCGAGCGCATTCCACTACTGGAGCTGTTTCTCCAGCTCTTCTTGCGGTTTTCCGCCAGTCTGTTGACGTCCGGACGGTTTCGGGAGCTGCTACAGGAACATGGAGAGATTCTGGACCAGCTGATCGCAGAGGAGGCGGAAGGAGACCAGGCTGCAGGCAGTGCCTCTACTACAGCAGTCTCGATTGTCGCAGGGGCGGTGCCGGTCACGCTGTCCAACCACTGTTCGGAGCTGACCACGCTGCTCGCTTCCCTCGAAGTGGTTTCCATCTGGAGCCACAACTGCGCGGCGTTCCAGCAACAGATTGCCGACCACAGCACCCTGGTTTGCATCAGGGTGCTGGAACTTTTGCACCACTGCGCGCAGTTCTTGGAGGAGAAAGCAGGAAGCACAGGCATGATGGCAGGAGTGACATCAACCAGCAGTCCAAGCAACGTAGGAGCGGCGACCAGGTCGTTCCAGCAGAGTAATCTCAACGACGCTAGCTTAGCTAGTACACCCTCCACAGTGACTGCAAGAAACCTCCAGCTGCTGTTACAGTGTATTCTGGTACAGTGGCTGCCCTTGTGTCCCGAGCTATTGGAGCAACTTCTTTCTGGGAGCGGGGGTTCGACAGCTGCTGCCGCTGGAACAACCATGGACAGGAGCTTCGCACAGATCCACAGCGCCGTGATGTCAATCCGCCCACCAAGCTGCGCGCTGTTGAAGAACAGGGGAGGTAGTAGAGGTACCGCCAAGAAGGTGGCAAGTTCGGTCCAGGCCCATGATGCAAGGATTGCAACCGGCGTGCGCGACCAGCAATTGCTGATGACGCGGGACTTTCGTTTTTTCCTGGTCGAGAAGCTGAATTTGCCGAAGACGTTGGTGGGCAGCTACCTGAGAAAGAGGGAAAATCGTGGGGGTCAAGCCGGTTCCTTGCAAAGTCAACCGAAGTCGGGGCGAGAGAACAAGAATTACCAAAACGAATCCCTGATGATGGTAGAGGAGTACAAGGACTCACTGCGCGCCATGGAGGAAAACTGTCACCAAGTGAGGAATGAAAATCTGCAGCTCCGGAAGGAAATAGACGCCATCTACACGGAACTGCAGACACTGCGCAGTCGCAGTTTTGGGTTCACCCAACTCTACACTGTTCTTCATCGACATGGAACCACGAGCAGTGGTGGTTCCTCGCCATCGGGGCGGAAGTCAAGAGCGAACAATTTGATGGCGCCGGACTTTTACAATGCCAGTGGAGGCCGCACAGGAGCCGGATTTTCGTCCGGGAATGTGACGGTGATTCACGACGACAAAGAAAAGACCATCAACAGAAACCACTTGAACACCCTCCTCGCCGATAGCATGACCCCGGCCTTTCTGCTGTCCCAGTCGGAAATGAATCTGGGGCTTTTACGGGAAGAACTCGGGGAGAAAGAAAAGGAAAACCGGAAATTGAAAATGAAAATTGACAAGTTGCAGGCGAAACTGGCCGCTAGTGTCCAGCAAGGCCAAGGGCAGCGGCAACACCTTCTTGAGCAGCAGCAGGCGGGAGCAGGTACTAACAAGACCCACAGCAACCAAGAGGAGCAGGATTTTCGAGATTTGTTGGAGCTCCTGCGAACTCTCGCGCACCAGCATCCGAAAATCGTTGAGAGTTTGCTTTTCGGAGGTCGGGATGAAAAAATGTCCACTTTGTCCGAAAAAAAACAGCAACAGCATCAAGACGCAGAAGAGCGAAAGAGTTCGACACTGGCACAGAAGCTTTTTTCAACATGATCTGGGGAAGGACCAGATTTGAGGACTACGAGAGTGCTCTGATCATGCCATCGGTGGCTTGCGTAGCTGCAACGTGCCAGCAGTGTCGTGAATAAACGCAAAGCTTCATACATACATCGATACAAGACCGCAAACGAGAGGGAGCTCGGCAAGCTCCCAAATGGAAGCACTTGTTACATGTACTTGCTATGCCAAGTCAAGTGAAGCATGACTACGAGCAAGGCGACTGACTACGTGCAAGGCGTTGAGCTGGAGCTTGCTAGTTCTTGTTGTGCGGTTTTTCGACGGGCTTGGTGTCGGTGTTTCCTATTTTTATTTCGGTCGTCATGTGGTGCGAACAACAACAATCAGAATCTTGTTTTCGGTATTTCTATTTTTGCTTGCAGAACAAATACAAAAAAGATCAACATCTTTTCGGTGTGTGGTGTAATAAAGCCTATTCGTTGAGAGTGTAGTGGTAGTCCTCTTTGGATCTCCATCTCTGTGTGATGAATCGTGCTCCCTAAACTTCTCTCCGCGAGTCTATTTTTTCGGTTTGACATTTTTGTGTACCCGAACCTTCGGTATTTCGTATCGACAGTGTGAAACTGAATAATAATTCTTTAGTTCGGTCCTGAAAGAACGGAATGGTGACCAGCAGTCATCAGAGTTTCGGTCCCTCTGCTTCGTATTTGTCCCCTGTCTTCGCCGGGAGAAGCGCTCTAAAGGCCTTTATCGTGTGTGTTGACCACCGGACATGTCATAGGCTTAGCCTTTCCACTGCAAACATCATATTGAAATGCAACAGGTGCTAGTGCTTGATTTGCTAGTACTTCAAATCCAACGTCCTGAAGAACTTCTACTCACCCTGTATACTTACAACTTCCTTTTTTATTTTGCAAGACCTCCGCTTCGGAAAGAAGAAGAACAATCAAAAGAAATAAGAACGACAGCCTCTCCCGACGGTACTGCAAACAGAGAATTATATCGATTTCATCACCTCTGTGGTGCTGATTGGAATATAACGCTGAGCAACTAAGACAAAGACGCGAAACTCATACTCAGTCGCAGCCCGCGCTCCTGCTTCAACGCACCGGCACCACTCCGACATCTGTACTGTCTTCTTGTCGGGTAGAAGAAAAAGCAGACGAACAACATGTCTGCTCCCGGTCAGGTACCAAATTTGAACCTTTCCAAGAATGAACCTTTACAACGTAATGCCCCTTTGTTTACTTATTCTGCCATGCTTCTTTATCTTTCTTTTCAGCTCTTGAGCGGCTCCTCGCTAGTTTTGGCAATACTCTACACAACTCCAATTCTTACTCATGTTCTATCAGGTCAACTACTACTATGGTGCGCCGCCTCCGCCTCCGGCGCCTATCATGTGTGATAATTTTCTCTCCGCAGTGCCTGTGCCAGTGTTCAACAAGGTTCGCTAGTAGCATGAAGAAACGCTGAGTACTACCTAGGCACAAACAGGAATATGTTGCATTATATGTTGACACAACTAACGCTACCCCGGCATCTTTCATAGTAGCAACAAACTACTCGGAGGACACAACTCTAAGGCTTTAATTATATATCAAAGTGTGTTGCGGGAAATATAGAGTTGTGGTTCCGCCCATCTTTGCGTTAAGGTGTCAGCCTACAGGCAACGCACGTCATCAGAGGTATAGAGGATCCTCTATAATATTTTCTGTATGTGAAGAACAAAGGGATAGATGACAATCACAGAGAAGGGAAAGGGAATTATTACACAGGATAGCGGCGGCTGCATCTCCGCAAGCCCCGGTAATGGTGATTCAGAACGACTCGCGTCCGGCTACGTCGTGCCGCGACGACAAAAACCCGATTGGTGTGTGCGGTTGCGACAAGCGGGTCAATATCCACTTTTAACTTACTCGCTCCTCAGGATCTTTATACGGAAATGCGATTTTTGCAAAGTGTAAAATTCTTGTCCGCCTGGTTCGTTTTCTGTGGGTGACTATGACAAGCACAAGCACAGATGAAATTCGTCAAAGAAAAATGAGCAGCCAATACTGAGAAGAGTATCGAATCCTCCTGTGTCATATTGCAAAAGAACAGCAAAATTTTTCATGCTTGTTGCCGTTCAAGCACGTTGATAATATAGAAGAGTGCGAATTATACGAATTGCGCACCACCAGCTTGTTGCAGGTTATGGTAGTCAAGAAAAGCAATCCGCATTTTCCCGAAAACTTATCCTGAGATGTTTTTATTGCATACCGTATCCGAACTGTTGCCTAAGATTCTGTTGCCCCTGGTGCACGGCGCTGAACTATGAGGGATGCACCTTGATCGTGATTTTACTTTTTATTCCGATTTATCAATCGCAAATATGTCATACATAGGCCGCTGGAAATCAATTTGTATAGCTCTCCCAAGGACTTAGCCTCGTCTTTCAATTTCTTCTATGAGGGAAGTTGCTTCCTCTTCATTTTCTGCGTAGTGCCATAAGATACGTGCGCAACAGCTCGCACAGCAACACACTTGGCTCATGTAAAGCGCATTTGGTCCTCTGGAAAAACACATTGTAGCTCTAGCATCTTCATACGTTTCATGTTCCAGTAGTCGACATATTTGCGATGCATACGCCCACTTCGGGCCTCATCGGTTGCTACGTGTGCTGCTGCTGGCAGGCGCCGATCTGGGGCATCCACTACAACAAGCAGAACATTCTGGTGGGGGCTCCCATGGGGGCTGTGCAGCCGGGTGCTGGGCAGGTCACCTACGTGGCGGCGGGCAGCGGGAAAGAACCGTTTCCGGAATTTATGAGCGACGACGACGACGTGTAAAATTAATTTCCAGGTGTAGTTGCAAACGACCACCTTGCTGAGTCTGTAGTTTAATCTCCGCGAAATAACCGTTACATCACGAAGATACAGAACTCTTTATGAAGATGCATGAGGAAGGTTATTCAAAAGGAAGTCGTCAAAGTCAAACTATAATCAAATCTCAAACTGAGCAGACAATCTCGTATAATTTCTACGCGGTCAGTTGTCCGGAGGGCGCACCAGCATCGCTTTTGGCTGTGCTGCTTTTCTCCTGGAAATGGAAGCAGGCAAGAAGTACCTTCATGAGAAGAGAATTTTTCCGAAGCAGAATGCTATCGTGCAAGTTCTCGTCGTTTTCTATATTTTCTATGGTTTATGATATTTGCTACTTACTTTTTTCAACATTCGTAGTACTCAATACAATTCACGAAACTTGCGCCCCAACAGGCATGGAGAACAAGGATCACAGTCTGGAATGCGTGGTCGTATACCTACGTGATTTTTACTACGCTTCCTAATTTTGAGGACCGCTATTCATAATTATAGCTTTTTATTTTCATTTAATGACAGAGAGAGAGAATGTATATGTATTGATGTAAGTGTTGCAGACAGAATGGATTTTTTCTCTGCAATAAAAGGCTGGCGCGAAGATCAAGACTTCATCCGAGAACTAAAACTAATCCTTCTTGAAAGGAATAATGCGAACGCAATTGACACTATCACTAACTCTTCCGTCGGCAAGTTTTGTATGTACTTAGCAACTACAGCCCGAAGCTGCGACACTTTTTTGTTATTGCGAGAGCGTCGGTTCTTCGCATGGGCACGCACAGATACGAAACAGTTGGGATGTAACTATACTTGAGTAGTACTCTCGTAGTCAACAGTTTGCACCAATGAAAAATAAAAGTAAAAATGCTGGACCTTCAACACTATACGCTACGTCGTAGATGACCGCAAGCAGCTTGGTTGCGGTAAATTTATTTCGTCCCACGGTGGACGAGATAGATTTACATCTACCGTAGTGACGACATGATCAGGATTGCCATACTCACCAACGCGAAGTCTCTTCCTGGGGGGGCGATGCAAAGCAACACGACAGATGACTGTTTGACAATAGTACGCTAAGTGACAAAAATCGAAATTATGCACTAGGGTGAAAATAAAAGTACTTTTCCCCTATCACTATACTTGGTTACAGTGGCTGCTACTCATGCTGGAGATGTTCGATCTGTATCGTTTATTTGTGAGAATGCGGCCTCGAATTTCCGCTCCTGGTGCGGAGTCAGATCCGGGGATGGAATATCTGTGTCTTCAAATAATCCAGTTTCAATAACTTTCGTTTTTCGGTGTGGCAATGCATGTCTGTCTAGACTTTCACTTGTTTTTCCAATTGAATTTCTTCAAATTCGAGTTCAGTGTTTTCTATAAAAGTTGGTTGTTTATGTCTCCTTGTTGTGTGTATGTGGAAAGGTTGAGGTTCTTACACACACATGCAGATAGTACGGAACAGCTCTGTTGTTTGAGGCACGGATGCAAAGCCAACCCCCAACCTCTAACTATGAAAATGTACAAAAAGCGAAAGAGGCCGAAGGCTACAAATTCAGATCATCTTCAGAAATCTAAATCAAAAGATCAAGATCGGAACAACATGGTGACAAAAGCACATCAAACGATCAAACAACTTTTGGCGGACCAAATAAAAGAGCTTCGTGGCTCTATCGATCTCCCGTGAAATAGAACGATCTTTCGTGGACAAGCCATTGGAGAGTTGTGTGCCGGTCACGAGAAAAACTGCGATATGAAGATCCCAAGAACTAGGCGTATGCCAGACCAGAAGTTCTGAAATATTCAATCGATCACGACACTGATACTTCAACTGCTCGTTCAACGAGACCCGACGCATTGAAGTCGTCGTAGAATCGCTTCTTCCTGAATATTTCAATCTATGAGTCTCCCCACAGTCCGTTTTTCAGCTCATGCAGTTGGAACGGTGAAAACTCCAGGCTCTTGCAAGAAATTGTAGTTGTACAACTGAAACATAATCGTATCGTCTAATCTAGTCATAAACTCTTAAGGAATTCAATCTACAAGAAAACGTTAAAAACCTGCTGAAGACTAACTTTTGATCGCTACAACTTTTCCACATCTACCTGAAAGAAACTTCGCACTTGTAAGTTGACGCTATTTTTTTCATAAATTTTATACTCTGCCACGGTGTTTTTCATTTGTGTTTACATTTACTGTCGAAAAAATGAATCAATTCCTTCTGCACGAGGACGCGAACGGCTACGCGCTGTTCCAGAAGCTCGAATGCGAGGAGATTGCGAAGGATGCCGACAAGGCCCAGGAAGCCATGGCGACGTTTGAGCAGTTTCGCCAGATGGCAAAGCTGGTCGCGTTCCAGCCCTTCGAATCCGCCGAGGCGGCGTTGACGGAGTGCAAGGCGATCGCCAACGGCGAGGTCACCACCGTGCTGGAAAACTTCCTCGAAATGAACCTGCCCGGCGCAAAGAAGAAGAGCACGTAAGAGAGAGGCGAAATTTTGTTCGTGATGAGTCCCGTTTTTTTTTTTCCGAATGAACTACAGCGAAGCTTGTGAAATAAATTTTTCCTGAGAATAACAGTATTCAAATGCGGTTGATTTTTGCGCAAGATGTTGCAAAAATGGACACCAAGAATTATCTGCCTAATACAGCTACACACTCGGAGTTTACGACGCGGACATCGGAAAGGCGTTGAAGGACAAATTCGTCTGCAACGCCGGCCAGCCGGTGCGGGAGTTGCTGCGCGGGTGCCTGATGCACTTCCCGAAGTTCATCAAAGATCTGAAGGATGAGGATCTGCAAAAGGCACGGTGCGGTTTGGCGCACTGCTACAGCCGAGACAAGATGCAGCTGGACCCAAATCGTCAGGTAGAATGGACGATCTTTGATGCTTTTTTTGTATGTACTATCGCGACACAGGGACAATGAGTATGTGGTGTATCAAACGAAAATCAAAAATCAATTGCGATTCGCTCGACAAAAAACAGGACAAGCCGATCATGAACGTCATCTCTATTTTGGACAACCTCGACAAAAACATCAATACCTTCGCCATGCGGGTGCGGGAGTGGTACGCTTGGCACTTCCCGGAACTGACCAAGATCGTCAACGATAACGTGGTGTACGCAAAGGTACTGATACTACACGAAATTAGATTTATCATTCTCATACTGCATCTGCATGATAGTGATAGATTATGCTCCTTTCTTTTCTTATGCAGCCTGTGCCTGTCTGTTCATTCGATGTCGATTGTAAAACTTTGCCATGGCCGCGGTGGCATTACCGAGCCGAAGAGCGGTTCCGTTTTCAACCGCACCGAAAATCCATCACAACAGGTTGCCCGGGTCTTGCGCATCAAGGAGAATTTCGATTACGAAAACGAAAAGCCGAAACTGGTAGAAGTTTGCGGCAGCGAAGAGATCGCGGACGAAATTGTCAAGGCACTGCAAATTTCCATGGGCCAAGACATCGTCGAAATGGACATGCACAACATTGAGAACTTCGCGACACAGGTACTTACCAAACAATGTTGTCATGAGAATATCCTCGAATGCGAAAGCGAATGCCGCGACTTGGGTTTTTTGTGAAGAAACACGCAACTAGCACGGGACACGATCGAGAAGGTTGTACTCAACATCATGTGTATGAGTATGCATGTTTTTTTGCCATGACCCCTCACACATGCAAACACAAACTCAATTTAGGTCGTCGAACTGGCTGCCATGCGACAGATGTTGACGTATTACTTGAAGCGGAAAATGGACATCGTCGCCCCGAATCTGGCTTCCCTCGTCGGTGAGCACGTTGGCGCGCGACTCATCTCCCATGCGGGATCCCTGACGAACTTGGCAAAGTACCCTGCCAGTACGGTGCAGATCCTCGGTATTTCACGAAGAAATTTTGTTTTTCGCAATTTTTGTGTTCAAGAAACCCCGATTTTCAGGGTTTTTTTGCATCGTTTTGGGAACCACGACTACATCAACGCACAAATCTACCGGTGCTTCATTCCAATGTCTTACCCAAATTAATTCCAGGCGCCGAAAAAGCGCTTTTCCGGGCTTTGAAGACGAAGGGTAACACACCGAAGTACGGGCTCCTCTACCACAGTTCCTTCATCGGCCGTGCCCAGCAGAAAAACAAGGGAAGGATCTCCCGGTATCTCGCGAACAAGTGCAGTATTGCCTCCCGCATCGATGCGTTCTCGGAACACGGCACGAAACTGTACGGCGAAAGGATGAAGACGCAGGTGGAGGACCGACTCACGTTCTTGACCGAGGGTGTCAAGCCCAGAAAGAACCAGGATGTCATGAAAGAGGCGCTCCTGGCGGTCCAAGAGGAAATTGCGGAACTTGCCAAGCAGGGTGCCAGTGCAACATCAGCATCGAAAGAAGCAGTAAACGCAACAGAGGCGGAGGGTGAGAAGAAAAAGAAAAAGAAGAACAAGAAGCGCGCTGCAGAAGAGGAAGCAGCTGGCGAAGAAGCCGAGCCAGCCGCAAAGAAGCAGAAGACAGAGGAGGCTGCTGCAGAAAACACCGCACCAGCAGAGGAGGCACCGAAAAAGAAAAAGAAGTCGAAGTCCGGTGCAGTTGCGGAGCCGGTTGCCGAAGCTGAAACGACGGTCGCTACTGCAGAAGAGGGTGAGAAGAAGAAAAAGAAGAAATCCAAGGCGTAAATGTCTAGTGGATGGCTCACGACTCTCATTACTAAAGCGATTGAACTTGAAGTGAAACTATTAAGAACAGCATACTTACACGGTTTGGAATTGTATCTTGCAAAAAACGGAACAAAGTCAAAGTGATTTTTTTTGGTCACCGAACTTTCATCAACTTCTTATCTGAAGCAAACGCGTTTTTATCGTCAACTTACACTTAACGAAGGTTTTTTAGGCTTGCGGTTTGGTCTTGAGAATTTCTCAGGATGGGAAGGAAATGTGATTTCCTTAGGAGTTTGAATTGCAATGGAATATGGTCGTGGAAAAATCTAGAGCAACAGGCTTTTACAAGGATGCGCATTTGGGACCAACGAGGAGACCTCAAAGAAGGGTCTTCAGCTAACGCATTGCTTGTATACACACTCTGTGGCAAGGCCATGTCGTGTGCATGAAACACCTCACCACATCTACGACCATGGGTGTTCGTGCAAAAAGAGGAACCATATTTGTTTCGCCTCCGCCTTGACCTCTACTTGACTATGTGGAGTTGAGGCGCAAGGGGAGTAGACATGTGAGACAAATTCGACATACCCAACGCATGACAATGAGCTTACCGTGGGGAGCGAGAGTTCTCTATCTGCGTCTGTTGATCCAGGTTATTCTCATCACTATTTGCTTTTGCATTTGTGCCGATTTTCTTTTGTTCGCGGTAACGTCACGCATTCAACTGCAAGTGCTGCACACCGAAGGAAAAACAAGCCCCGCCGAGATCGATGCGATGGAAGGCCTGCGCGTTCTCTTGTAGTTGCCCGCGCGCCCCGACGAATTACAGGGCGTGGACGCGATGGATGGCCGAGGCTCGTAGAGCAACGCCTGGGACACTGGGGCAGTTCTCTGGCCCACGTCGGGGCCCAGTCTAAGAGCCTGCAGCGTCGCCGCCGTTTCCCAATCGCGAGCCGAGGGGTGGCGAAGGCCCGAAGCTGTCGGGCCATTGGGAGGCCGCGAAGCAAATCCACGCGCCGCGCCCGTTTTTGGGCCAGTGTGCTCTCTTGTGGAAGCGGGAGAGCGATGCCGCGCCCGAGAGTAGCAGCACCGCGGGCAATGGGCCTCGCTCGGGCGGGCGCTACGCTGCAAGGAGCCGCGACCGCGCGCCACTAACTTTCGCAGGCATTGGCCGGCCCGCTTTGGTCTGGCACAGGATCGCCCTCGAAAAAGCACCCTGCTGGCATTGAAGAAGAGCGACCGCGGGGGCCGCAGGTGTGTGAATCTGTCTCAAGTGTCATCGGCCACACCAGGCGAGGCGGCGGGGTGAGGCGTTTCGGAGAATGCGGGCCATTACGGAACTCCTGCGAAAGCCAGCGCACAATAGCAGGGCCTCACTAGGCCCCGCTCTTACCTCTTTGTTTGTTGGCGCGCGTCAGCTGGGGGCCTTGCTCCGGTCGGCGCAAGCATCGGCAGTGGGCCGGGCAGGCCTCCACGCCTGCCATTTCAATAGCTGTGGCGCCATCTGGCGCGCAGGTGTTGCTTTTCGTTGTCGCTGGCACTTGCCTAAGTCGTTGGCGCGGCAGGCAGGCTAGCCTAAATCGCTGGCGCGCCCAGCAGCTGCGAGCTTTCCTCGCGCGTGGAAGGATGCGCATTAGCTCTGAGTAGTGGCAGAGCTCGAACTTCCTCAGGCGTGTCGACACGCATTCTGCGCATTGCCGCTCAAATACGAATAATATCGGCCGGCGTACTGGACGCTGACTGTTTCTTGGTCGCTGGCCGCAAGAACGCTCAACATTCTCCTCTGCATAAGTATACGCAAATTTTCTCCATCGGGTTCGGGGGGAAGTAGGAGAGATGGCATTGCTGGTCGTAGCACGGCAAGAGCTCGAGCGCAAGGAGCACGATATTGGTTCGGTAGCTTGCAGCATTCGGGGTGTACTAGGTCACTCTTTGTCTTTCCGCGTTCATCTGTTGGCCCGAGCTCCAGCCGTATGAGGATGAGGGCAAAAAAAATCGGAAGACACGCTCTTGAGAATGGTGCTTTTTGCGAAGAGCGAAATGCAGCGCGATCGCGTCTGAGCGAAAAAGTTTTATGGCGCTTAATGTTAATAATAATAGCTCCAGCTGCTGCTGCTCTACTAAAGTAACAAATTCCGACGCAAACTCGATTTGGATTGGAGTTGGCTCTTGATGTTCGCCTTCTTGCGTCAGAATCTTCATTCCACTCCTGGTAAGACAGGCGTCTGAATCTGAAACAAAAGAAGAGCTGCGGACATTGCACGGACGAGAAGCGTCTTCATCGACACCACCGTTGGCTGCAGGTCTGGTCCAGACAAACGAAACTATCTCCCGCACCGGCAACCATGCCCGAGCAAAAGGGCGGTAGCCAGCCGTCCAGCTCGAAGTACTACGTGAACGCCAGTCCCGAGGACACAGAATACTCGCTGCCCAATGCCACCCCGAACGATGTCGTGCCCGAGCTGTCCGACGTGGCCGACGGCATCCAGTCCCCCAAAGGGCCGGTCCGGGTCGGAGCCCCCCGGGCTACCGACCGACAGGCGGGGCACGAAACCGCGCCGGACATATCGCGCGGCGCGCCCTCGTTCGCGAAGCAGGATTCCGCAATAGAGATTGGACCGGACGGACGGGGGGTCGACAAAGAGTACTTGAAAAAAATGGAGGAGCGGGAAAGGGGAAAGCAGTACCAGGGCGAAGAGTACAAAGCGAAGTCCAAGGAGATGACGCAAGACGAACGGAAACACGAAAACAAAGTACAATCGTTCATGCAGAAAAAAACCGAAGATACAGGGTTGCAGCATCGCCAAGCTGCGCTGAAAACCATGGAACAGGTACTAATAGTTGGTAATGGTGCTATACGAGAAAGTATTCGCTTTTGAGATCTTACAGTTGCTGTGCAGTCTTTCTTGTCGTTATTTGCAGCTACAACGGCTCTTGCCAACATAGACTGGAAAAGCATGGCGAATCCTCTGTCCTGACTACACGAAAACTCTCTTTTTGTCCGTGCATCCTCCTGTTTACACAACTCTCTGTTCTTCCTTCATATCAAAAACCATCTTAGGTCGGGGAGCGCGACACCCGAGGAGCGCAGCACAAGACTTACGAAGAGGGCGACAAGGAGATGCTGAACGCTATGGACCAGGTGAAACAGGATATGGCCGACAAGGGTCAGGAGGGCATCAAGGATACCATGCAAATGATCGAGGAGCAACTGGTGGTGGGCAACGGCTTTTGGGCCCGGCTGCAGTACATGAAGCGGCAGGAGGAGCGGCGGCGCGAGCGGCCCGAATTCGTACACCCGTTTCCCAAACTGCAACGCATCGTCACGGTGCCCGCCTTTGAGGCGGTGGTCATGGTCTTCATGTTGACCAACGCCGTGACACTGGCTTTGTCCGCGGAACGGCACCCGGGAGGGTTACCCCTGTACCTGATCATCATGGAGCACTGCTTCACCTTCATCTTCATGGTGGAGATCGGCATGCGAGTCGCGGCGCACGGCTGGCCCTGGATTCTGGACTTCTACAACATGTGCGACGTGGCGCTGGTCTTCCTCACCGGGGTGCTCGTCATGTGGATCTTGGAACCGGCAGGTTATATTCATTTTCGCACTTGCAGTTGCACCACTTGTACTATGGCTATAAGCAGCTGCCCACACAAATAATAAGCCCGACGTGCCGAACGTACCACTTGAATAGTTTAACGAATTATCTGTCAGGTGTCTCCTCCGACTTTATGCGCAACTTTTCCATCCTCCGTCTGCTCCGTCTGCTGAAGATGGCTCGCGCCATCCGTGCAATTCCGGCTTTCAACCTGATGTGGCGCATGCTGCGGGCCTTCCTCGTGTCCGGGCGGCTGTTGTTCTGGTCCATCATCGACTTCATCTTCCTCGCCTTCCTGTTCGGCATCTTCTTCTGCGTTCTGGTCGGGAAGGATGACAATTTGATCCACGACGACACGGTCGGCGACCTTTTCGGCACCGTGCCGCGGAGCATGCTCTCCGCGCTGCAGGTTTCCACGCGGTGCCACTGGGCCGACATCGTGCGCCACGTTCGGGACCGGAACAGCTGGGCGTGGCCGACCGCGATTTTCTGCATCATATCCGTGAATTTTGTCCTCTTCAACCTGGTCACCGCCGTGGTGATTCAGACCGTGTTCGTCATGTCGGCGAAAGACGCGGACATCGAAAGAAGACTCCGCGAGCACAAGCGCGTGAAGCAGTGGAAACTCTTGAAGTCGATTTTCAAGGCCATGGACATCGACGGCACCGGGCAGGTCACCGCGGAGGAACTGGACGAAGCGATGAGGACCAACCTCGCACTGCAGCGGAAATTGAACGAGATCAACCTGAACAAGGCCGAGCTCGCGGACCTCTGGTTGATCCTGGATACGTCCGGGGACGGCGAACTGGACATCGACGAGTTTCTGGACGGGATGCGGCAGATGGAGGGGAGTGCGAAGTCCTACGACATGGTGCGCAACAACACGAGAACGAAGACGCTGATGAAGAGAATACGAAAGCTCGGGGAGTTCGTGTTCGCCATCGCGCCGGAGGCAAAGCGGTTGAACTCCGAGCTGGACCGGCTGCACAACAAGATGATGGACGTGTTCACCGCGGTCCGCCCGATGGAAAAAGAGATTCTGTCCATCGTCCGACTGTTGGCAGAAGAGTTCAACTACAACACAGACGAGTACGGCATGCCAACCCTGGACCTCAGCGGCCAGGAAATGGGGGCGATGGACTGAGCCAGGAGGGGGAAGTCTTGCTCTTGGCGGATTATAGAGAGGCGTATCCATTTTTATGTTTGTTCATACTGTCGTATTGGACGTCGAATTGCTTGTCGCTAGCACCAGCCTCAAGTCCAGACATAAGAACCACTGGGGGTGTTTATGTTTGAGTTTGATGCTGGTTGTTGACATGAGTTAGTTTTTGTGAGGCTCTACATACTTATGCGCAAAAATTATGTTCTTCACCACGCCGTGCTGTTTTCTTTTCAAACTGATTGGTTTTGACAAGAACATTTTGACAAGATTGATTGCACATCCGCACATAATACCGTTGTGCTTCAAGTGGGTGGTTGAAAACGGAGGATAAAGTATAGCAGAGTGTTCAATCATGGTGGCATGGTGAATAAGCAAGGAAAATTAAAATGTAAAAGGGGCGGTATAATGTATTTTGCGATAGTAAAGAGTGTAAAAAACAAGACGGCGTATCGTCTACCTTTTGTAGCCCTCATGCAAAGTAGTACTTTTTGATAACTTTTGTCAATATTTGCTTCTGTATGAGAAATATTTTCGATTGGATCGCAATGATCGACGTGAAAAAGATCAAGGATACGCTCGCTGATCGCTTTTTAATTTTTCTCGATCGCATCAGCAAATCGTACTTCGAAAAATAAATATGCATCAAGTCAATCATAGTCTTCTTTTCTCCGCCGTGCGAATGTTTGATGCCAACCAGAACCAGGTCCGCGACCCAACTTCAATACACACCACCCCATCCCCCCCAAAAAAAGTTTCGAATAACCCATATTAGATTATTTTACAGTGTAGCAATCGTTCGAACGGAAACGACAAGAACGAGTAGAAGTCGAAATCACGGCAACCCATGACGGCCGAACCCGGGCCCGAGCGGGCCCCTGCTGCAGGAGCCGGACCGCCGGCGTCCGCAACACGACCGGCCACAGCGTCATCAAAGCCACTTACACCACAGCCAGAAGCGAGCTTGATGCCGTTTTACATGGTCATGGTATAATTCCACGACACTCTGAGCGTTCTACTATTCTTCTACATTTAGCTTGAGATTGCGATACTTGGCCGCGCATTTTGGTGTTGAATCCAGCAGCTGCAGCATCTCTGTCATTGCATGCTTGAGGACTACAGCGACGTTCTTGCTCGTCCTTGCATGAACAAAAAAAACTTCATACACAAGGTTTGCATCGCCGCGGGGTTAGCTCAATTTGTGCAAGGACAAGTTGCCAACCTGCGCGCCGCAGAAGCAGACTGGGATCCATCACCGAAAAACATGCCAGATAATCAGGTACTGAATCGTACGTTTTTCGTCAAGAAGAAGATTGCGTAGTGCCTGGGTCGTGATACATGTGATCATGATCTGACTACGAATTAATTTGCATGCGCGCGATTTTTCTTTTTTATTTTTTGCATATGCAAGAACACCCAGTGCTCCTGTCCATCCATGCAGAATTGGATCTTCGTTTTTGCATCAAAAGTCATGAAAAACCACCGCAGGTGATCGTGATGTACTGCAACGGCTGAGCTTACGAGGGCACCTTTCGACAGGTGCACCGGCTGATTTTAGAGCGCGCTGCGCGTGACGACATCGAGGTGCTTGGGGCGAACTACCCCGTCCCACCCTCGAGGCAGTACATGGCGCAGGTGTTCCAGATGTTTCAACTTACCCTCTTCTTTCTCGTCTTCGCCGGCGAGATGCTGTTCGAAAAGATGCTCAAGCTGCCAATACCGGGCCTGGTGCAGGCGCTGAGCGGAAACAAGATGGCCAGTTTCATGAGTACTTAATTCAATTTGAAGATTTGTGATGTCAAAGCAATGGTCGTAGCAACGTCGTGCTTGGAATAAAAGCAAAAGCGAGAACGACATTTCATACATTCGTAAGCTAGCGAATAAAAACACACGCATAAATACCGTGGCGCCTCATCTTTTGCGTATGCATCTTGACAATGAAGAAATTCAGTCGTCAGTTAATTATCTACACACCACAACAGTTATCTGGCTTTTCGGAAACGTAGCCGCGTCCGCCTTTCTGCAAACCGGTGCGTTTGAGATTTACTACCAGGACAAGGTAGCATGGTCGAGTCTGGCAAATAACCACCGCATATCAAATGTAAAAATGTCTGGGTCTGGAAGAATGCGAATTTGTCATGCATATTTTGCATGCCCCAAGAGGTCTGCAATGCAGGACTTAGCATGACAGGTTCTGTGAAGTCTCTATCATGTCTATCCGCATGACAAACTGCCGCTACACTTGTTCAAACGTGGACGCCTTTTGGTAATCATGCAACACAAATTTCTGTACTATCCAGACTTCGCGTGACAAGTTCCAACCTTCCAGACCCAGACATTTTTACAATCCATACCGCATGCCAAACTACCACGACATCTTCTACGGGTGTAAACGGGTTTATCCTGTGCAAAAGTATCGTACTCGTAGTAATCGCAGTCATGCATTACAAATTCCCATCCCAAGGTAAAACAGCATTACAAATTACATTTCTCATGCTGAGCCTAGGGCCAAGACGACACCGTGAGGACGACCACAGGGGGTCCGTCTCAATGATGATGATGATGCTGAGCAAATTTGTCATGCGATTTATACTAGTACGATGCTTTTGCAATTCATAGGGTTGGCCTGGAGTTGATGCAGAGCGCAGTGCCGTAGTGTGAGATGGCGGCTCTGCAGTCTTTCTACCAGAACTGGAATTTCCCCTCCTAATAATCCTGCTACGTCTACCTCTACCCCGGTAGCGGATATGAAAGCGACAACAAGGGATAGTACTTCTACCCCAACTACCCGTACCCCTCACCGCCCCAGAAGTGAATCTCTTCTGACGACATTCGTATTTCATGATGCGCTATCACATCAGCAATACAGCAACAGCACGCCAGAGACGACTTGTAGTGGAGATCTCCCTTTGAGAATACAGATAAGGAGGCAGTGCTGACTCATGCTGGCGGCATCTTCCGGGGAATTTTCGTCAGTATATCCTTTGACAAGCATGACTACAAAAAAGTGTGACGCGCACAGACAGAGACAGACAGTGGGCATATGCTTATGCCAGCTGTTTTGTTTCGGTTTCCGTGCGCTGATTTTCAGCGAGTTTTATGTTTCTTGTCAACACAACGGGAACGCCCCTGCGAATCATGCTGTAAATGGTGGTGGTTTGCAATGAAATGTTGGACGAGGAAGATGAAAAATAAACGAAACATAGCGACAACAAAAGCAAAAGGAAAAAACGCAAAAGACGAAATATGCAAGGCAAAACCAGTGTGGTCCACCTGGGCCCGGCAGGTGCCATGCGTAGGCTGGTGCTTGTGCATCTTTCGCCTGACCGACAAAAATTATCAAGCGTGTTCTTCAATACCAACCGCGGACTGCTCATGTACCAGCAGCGTTGGTCACAACAAAGACGAACTCTACCGCAAACTATCATCTGGGTCCAAATCTTCAGTTGTGGTGGAACAAAAAGAATATTGTGCCTGGTACTACACGATTTACCTCCAAAACTTTTATATGCCGCAAAATGTTGATGCATCTGGAAAGTCAAAGTTCACTCCTTCGACCTCCGACCATGGATTACGAGTTTGAATAGTTAGTTGACGCTGCAAAAAATTGATCTGCAGCAATAGCTGTACCTTATACAACGAACGGGGGACGTAAGCGCGCTTGTTTTCTAGGGATATCTATCAATATTTTCCTCAGTGACGGTCGCGTAAGTACCTTTCTCTAGCGCCAAGAAGAGTAAGAAATTTAGTCACAGATGAAAACTTGTCTTTTCTAGGTCTACGTCGGTGTTTTGATGAAGATAGATTCACTGTCACTCGTCTCGGTGCACTGCAAATCGTTGATGTTGTGGAACATTCAGGACCTCAATAACCTACAAAACTTGAACGCAATAATGCACGCCCGCGCAGGCCTCGCAGAATCAAGTGTTATGTAAGTATATCATATGAACATCAACATCATCTTCAAGTAGGATTGTGATTTTCAACTTTTACTCACTTGGGTTTCCGCAAATAGCACCCGTTGATCAAGAATACCGGGAAGAAACCCACTATGTTCAACCGCGGCCCCGGCGGCGGGGGCGACCCCGGAGGCGGGGGTTTCTTCGCGAACTTTTTTGGAAATGCGATGCACAATCCGAACGCCCGCTTCGATGTGCAGTACCGCTGCTACCCGGTCAGCTTTGCCGGAAGGGAGGACCTGGAGTCGGGAAACAAGATAATACTGCCGAGCTCAGCACTGGACAACCTGGCCCGTCTCAACATCAGCTACCCGATGCTGTTTGAGGTATTATACTAGATGATTGGAAAAAATTGATTCTGGTCGCCCGCTCCTCCTCATCAATCCTCCCGGATAGAGTTTTATGTCGCAATTTTGATGTTTTTGTTGTGTCACAATCTCTGTAAAACCGCTTAGAGATGATCCAAATAGAACTCCTTTGAAATGCAACATCCACAGGCTTCCAACGGTAACACGCACCGCACCCACTGCGGCGTGCAGGAATTTGTCGCTGAGGAGGGAACGTGTTACCTTCCTTATTGGATGATGCAGAATCTGTTGTTGTCCGATATAACCCTCTCAGGTGTTACAATGTCAAACGTTACAATAGAATATGGAAATCTGTGATGCAAGAGTGCATGATCTAGCCATGCCAACTCTTATAGGATTGCGCATGACAAGCTCCGGAGCCCCAAACCCCACTACAATCTGGCGAAATTTGTATTGCAGAAAGTGGAACGCTCTGCGAGTCTGTCATGCTCATCATGCAAGACAAATCGCAGACTCTATTGCAACGTTTGAGATTGTAACGGTTGAGCAAGTCATATCCGAGGGGGACTTGATAAGGATCATGAACACCTCCCTGCCAAAGGGAAAATTCGTCAAACTCCGGCCAGTAACCAGCGATTTTTTGTCGATTCACAATCCAAAAACCGTCCTGGAGAACAGCCTGCGAGGATTCGCGACCTTGACAGTCGGCGATTGTATACATACAGTTTTGATTTGAGTTTGTGCTTTTTCGATTTCGGTCTAACCGTGTTGCATCTATTGCTCTGCAAGCCTCTTCCTTTTTGTGGCTGTGCAGGTTATATCTCACCTGCTGCGAGCAACTGTCTTTGTGCCCAGCATTATATATTAGCCCAAAATCGTTGTAAAAAAAATCGATTGCACGGTGACGAAATTCAGACCTGTCGCTTTGACTCAGGTATCAGCATTACATACAACAAGAAGCGGTATGAAATCGAGATAATGGAGTGCAAGCCCGCCAACGCGATCTGTGTGATCGAAACGGACGTGAACGTGGACTTCGCGCCACCAAAGGACTACGTGGAGCCGCAAGTACCACCGTCCTTGCCGCTAGGCGGAGGAGCGACAGGTAGTGGTCCTTTGCGTCTGCACTTGCTCCTGCTGATAGAACAGTCGCATTTTTCGAGCATAATTGCAGCAATCGAAACACCACCTAGTAGATTGATAGTAGTGATGTATGTGTATGAAGCTTTATAGACCACGTATATCAAATGAACATGAAATCAAATGAATCTAGTACCTCCTGCTATTGAACTTTCATCAGGTAGCACCGACCTGAATCAGTTCTCTTCCCCCGACAAAACGTTCGGAAACTCCAACATGGAACCCAGTCCGCGCGACTCGGACATGATGGACGCGGCCAGCAGCATCGCCTCCACGAACAACTCCCGTGTGTTCGGCGGCGCCGGCCAGCGGCTGGACGGGAAGCCGGCACGGTTAGACCAGCTCCGCGACAACGCGATGGTTTCGCCCCGGGACTTGGACTCCAGCATGATGTCCGACGCGAGCGACGACACGCCCTGGATATCGAAAAGAATACCGGGCGGGGTGCGGGAGGAGCCTCCGTACGGGTACAACACGGGGAACATGATGAGCAAAGAGGGTTACGAAAAACCAGCCGCCGGCGGGAACAAGAAGCAAAAGTATCCAAGTGAGAAGTGCCCCTACAACCCTAGAAGGGAAGCGTGTAGTTTCTGTAGTACAAAAGGAGGTTCCTTTATAGAGTCTGTCATTTGCTGCGGCCTTGGATGTAGTACATGTATCAGCTTCAGCATCAGGAATTTTCCATGCATGGTAGTGAATTCATCGCGTTCGCAGGAAAGCAGCACAGTCACAGTGAAGCCGATCTGCTCATGCGACGCAATCGTTGGTGGAAACTTTCACTTTTGTGGGCGGGGCGCTTTTCAGTATGATAAACAAGTTGAAATGACCATGGTGTTCGAAGGGGAAGGACATTCGTTGGAGTAGTCCACCAGCACCAGAGCAATGTGTTGTTACCCAAGGACGAATAATTCAGATGTCCCCTCATCAACCGTAACTCGTCTTCCTTCTCGCAGTCTCTCAACTACCGGCGACATTTTTTCAAAAAGCACGAGCACCGGCACCGGCACTGTATTCCTTCACAGCTGTGGCCCGTTCAGTTCATGGCTTCTGCGCTGAAACGAGGAATCGTGCGTCCTCCACGACAAGGACTAACTTGCTACACTTTTTTCCAGGGACCTCCCTATCGAGATGCTGCCCATCGATCGCGGTGGTACTGACCATAGCGTGCGCAGCAGAGAAGCGAGGACCTGTTACCTCGTTCTGGCTCTTGTGAAGGAATCTCATATTTTCCGAGGGCGAGCACATTGTTATAGACACCTTACATCAACTTGATCCCCGAAGAACACTTGCGAGTGGTTGTCTACCTGCTTATTTTCAGACGCGACGAGTACTCGTACTGCAAGGAGTAGATTTTACACTCCTGCTACCCAGATCGCACGATTTCGCACTTTCCATATGTGCCTGACAAATAACTGTTGTTCGCTTCGTTCCCCTGCGTTCGGAGGGGGAGAATCAAGCTCACCAACCACGCGCTGGGAAGCCACGTTATTCCAACACAATGGATCTTTTCGATAAGCCATCCGCGCATAGTACAAGCAGTGGTCGAGATCGATACATGCCACAGCACCAGCAGCTGTAAGTAGAAGTTTTCTCATACATTATTTCTCAACATGAAAAGCGACATGATCATCATCAAAGCAATTGAAATGGAAATCCAAATCCCTACTTGGAATAGCTGGCAGTACAACACAGCGACGCTTCTCTACTTTTTCATAGCGCGACAATTCCTACGCCGCGCTTTCTACTCTGTCACCACATAGTAGCACAACACATCATGATTTACATTTTTGTCGTGATTGACAACCTTACTAGACTAGATGGCGTTATCATGATGAGAAAGATGATGAACTACATCAAACATGAAAGTAGCGAACAATTATAGGTACGCATAGCGCACGAGACGACCCTCTTCGAAGCCGTAGAAGTTGTGATTTAATAACGATCTGAAAAAAAGTAGAAGTTGCTCGTACTTCTTCCTTCCGGTCCATTACCCGAAATGCTCCTTGTTTCCGGCCAACATTAAGAACCGCGACAATTATATACTTTTTGAATTGAAAAATATCAACACAACAATGTCCAACGAGTGGCGGTATATCGACAGAAAGGGGCGGGTCCAGGGCCCCTTTCTCCAAAGTCAGATGCGGGAGTGGTACGGGGCGGGCTTTCTCCCCCACGAGCTCCGGGTCCAGCCGGACCCCGGGTGCCCGTTTGCGCCGATCCGGGACTACTTTCCGAACATGCCGGTGAGTCAAATTTTCGTCGCGGCCTTCAAGAAACCCAGCAGCATGAACGATATTGCGGCGTACGCGCAACACGTGGAACAGAAGGAGCTGCAGCAGCAGGCCGCTGCAGCTCAGCAACTAGTACAACAACCCCAACAACCTGCTCCGGGAGGAGCTGGAGCTGCTCCTGCGCTAGTTGTACAGCAGCAATCTTCTCAACAGCAGCCCCAGCAACACCTGTCCATGCAGCAAAAAGCGGCAGCGGTGCAGCTGTCCAAAAAATCGAAGTCGAAAAACAAGAAGGCGAACACCGGGGCGGAACAGGTGCAGGACATGAACCCGGCGAACATGCCGACCAAGATTTCGCCCGCACAGCTCCTGATGAAGGGCTCGTCTACGGCCGCACAGATGGCGATGATGAAGGGGGGCGCGGCTGGGGCCGCCCTGCCGCCCGCGGGCGCGCCGGCGCCCGGCGCGGCGATGTTCCTGCCCGGCGCCGGCATTGCGGCCCCGGGTCCGCCGATGATGATAAAGGGCGGCATCCCGCTCATGGCCGCTCCGGCTGCACCTGCGCCGGGGGCGGGTGGGCCCGCCTTGGTGGGCCAGCTCCCACCTGCGTATCAGCATCTCCCAGGGGCGGGGGTGGGACCACCCGGAGGAGCTCCTGCTGGTGCGCCCATCATGCAGCCGCCCGCAGGTGGATTCGATATTCCGGCCACAGCTGCCGCAGGAGGCCCCCCGTATCACCAACCAGCAGATCTTCACTTTCAGCACCTTGGAAAGGGCGGCGCTGCTGCTGCTGCTGCACCGATGCAGCCGCCACCCACCGGGCCGCCGCCGACGGGGGGAGCAGGACAAACTAGCGCACAGTTGATGTCGCCGACCGCCAGTGTGGGTAGCCAAGCCAAGGGATCAGTACATCAACCCAAGGGAGACGTCGGTGGACCGCCCGGCAGTAGTGCGGCTGTTCCAGCAATGGTGGTTCATCCGTCGCATCTGACCGAAAAGGGGCAGAAAATGCTGCTCGCAAAGGGAGGCAGTCTCGTGCAGGTTGGCGGTGTGTTGCCCGGAACATCTGCAACGCAAGGGAAGAGTAGCGTTGCTCCGCCAGTGGAGCTTGATCCGAAGCAGACGAACAAAGCAGGAGGAAATGTTAAACAGGCACCCTCAACATCGGCCGAAGAAGAAACGAAAAATGCCGCCCCCTCCGCGACTAATTTCGAGGATATCATGGCAGACGTGACGATCGCAGAACTACAGCAGGCAGACGACTCCCAAAACCCGCTGTTTAATTTCAAAACCAACGACGGCAAGAAGTTTCGTTACGGGGACATGATTATCGACCCGGGTAGCGACTCGGAGCCCGACGAGCATCCGGTGGAAGCAAGTAAGTACCACTTAGGTGCAGCTGGTTCTGGACACCAGCAGACTGCGAACGGTGGCGGTGGAAAGAAGTACAACAATATTCGGTACGAACTCGGCGAGGAGAGCGACCAGTACTACCAGCAACCAGTTGCAGCGAACCAACAGCAGAGAAATAATGTGGTTAATAACGCGAACGTTAAACACCAGAATCTTGTTCAGTATGAACAAGAGCAGGACTGGAGCGCGCTGTACCAGCAGCACAATAGCAACAAGAAGCACGCGCCGGCTGCACAATCGACGGAGAAGGAGGTGCAGGCGCACAATGCAGCGGCGTCTGACAAGACTCCGCAACCGCACATCCGGTACAATCCGTATCACGAATATGAGAAGCAGAACTATACCGACACTTCTGTTGCCGGACAACAGGCCGCGACCGCTCAGACGGCCGGCGGGGCGGCTGCGGGAAGAGACAATAAACACGACACGAAAAACAACAAAACGGTACAGAGTTCCAGCAACCAGACACTGCTTCCGACTGCGTGCTTCGAGTTTGTGTCTGATTTCGATGGACAGATCGTTGGCCCGCTGCCGCTCTTTGAACAGAAGACGAAACCAAAAACGCCTTCCCCAAAACACGAAGAGACAAGTCACTATAGCTCTTTCGACAAACCCAAGCCCGCAACTTTGGTGTTGAACAAGATTCTCAATAAGTTGCCGAAAATGACCGCAGTTCGGAGGACCGGAGACAAATTTTTCGTACGCGTCGACGACTTCGTGAAGAGCAACACAATAGGACAAACTAATAGCAAGGGCTGCATGTCCACCGCAAAAGCATCATCTACCTCCGCTCTTGGGCAGTTCGGATCCGTTTTCTCGACACTGCTGCGTTTACAGATGAATCGCTGTCCCGTGGTTGAGAATTTGCTGGCTGACGCGGAAAAATCCCAGATGGACCCTTACCTGAAGCAATTGCAGGATCTCCTGGACGAAGAGACCTACTTGACGCGACACAACACGGTCAGTAGCAAAGATACCGCTGCTGGAGGCGCGCAGCAGCAGCAGCAAACAGATGCTGCTGCACAGCAAGGCAGCATATCAGCAGAGCGAACCTCCTCGACAGGTACTAACCCCCTACCGCCGCTCCCTCCCCTTCCGCCCTCCCCGCCGACTGATGCACAGGGGAGCTGTGCGCCGCAGCAGGTGGAACACAATGATTCAAGTACTACGGGCAGCACACTGCAAAGAGCAAACAACTCTTCGACTTCGACTGCTCCGTTTGGCTCGTGCACGACTGTGTCCAGTTACGGCACCGCACTCGAGTTCGAGGATGAGGATTCCCGGCGGGCCACAATGGCGTCCACCAACCAGAGAAATACATCAAGCAATCCGCCCCGACCTCCGAGTTCCGCCGGGGGAGATAGCTTGTATAACCAGAACCAGAATCTGTTGCTGACAAAGAACAGCTTTAACTCGTGGAAACAAACTACCGTGGGGGAAAACTTTCTTTCCCAGGACGCCAAGCATTTCTATTTGAGCTACGCGGTCGGTTTCTACCTACGCACCCTGGTGAATCAACCCGACCTTGGGTTTTTCTGCAAGTTCGTTACCGAGGAAATCCAGAATTTAGGAAACGAAAGGCTAAATTGGGAGGAGCGATGGATCAACCCCTTGCACATCCACTTTTCGCAGCGGGAAATCCACCCGTTCTTCCACGGGAAAGGTCCGGTGGAGGAAGTGATTCAGTCCATTTGGTCCGAGGAAGTATCGCTTTGCGGGGGGAAGTCCTCCGGCGTCTGCTCCTGGAATGAGTTGGCGTTCGGGACCAACGGGCCACAGGTGTTGTGGAACCCGCACTTGCTGACGAACCAGCAGCCCCCAGCACAACTGGTCGCTTCTTCGGGAACCGAGTCGGAGGAACAGGACCGGAAGCAGGAGCAGATTCAGAACAACTATTTGCAAGCAAAAGCGGAAAACCGGTCGACCGTGGTGGGCGACAAGGGAAAGATCACGAATTTCGAGGCGAAGCAGTCCGGCTCGCTGGCGAATTCGGTGCACTTACTCTACACACCGTTCCCCTCGATCCGGGTTCTTTTGATGGACCAAGATGTGACCAGCGACAGCTGCGCGAGCAACCACTTTTGTCCCTACAAAAAGCTCGTTTCCATCGACAACCGCCGACTGTACGCGCTCCAGCGGGTGTGTTTAGACTACTGGCCAAAGCAGTGCTTGGTGAAAGTGCTTTTGACCTCCATCACGTCGATGAGTGAGCGGCGGCTGAAGAAGGAGGAGATGAAGTTCACACACGGAGTTCCCGGGAAGTACGACGGTGGCCGCTGGGCAAACATCAGCTCCGGCCGAAGTTTAGCCGCGGCTCCAGCTGGTGGAGGTGCCAATGCAGGAGCGAACACGGGCTCGGAATCAGATTCCGCGGCAATTACCACCGTGAACGGCACAGCGGCGAAAGACAAAGACGGGGCGGAAAAGGAGAACAGCGCCGCAGGTACCGCTGTGCAGCAGATTACTCAGTGGGAGTCCTTCGACTGGTGCCTGCAGATGAAAAAGAAGGAGTCGCAGCTTCTGCTCCGAAATATCTGCTTCCCGGACGTGCAGAATCGAGAATTGTGTCCCGAATCACAGAAAGCGTTTTCCCTCCTCCCCTTCACGGTTATCGCGTTCCTGAAACACTTCGAGGACAGCATGTCGGTGAACAACAACCAGCCGGCGCTCTTGTACCGAATGCAGAAAGACAAGGCGTCCATCGTCGAATACCTCAATTTCGGCTGCAGCGCGGACGGGGGCAGCAGCGACTGGCACTCTCTAGGCACTCCGGGCACCGCTTTCACGGGCGCGAGTGGCCACGGGATCGGAAACGGCAAGCCGGCAGACAGTACTGCGGCCGTCCCAAACTGCCGAAACTTCGGCCAGGCCTTCCAAATGCTGAGCGAATTCTACTACGAGCACTACGAAAAACCCTTGGGCCTGAAGTCACCCAAGGACCGACATCAGGCCGGGAAGCCCGTATTGCTTTTATACCATTTTACTTCTCCGTGATTCAGCACAAGCAGAGTTTCGCATGATTTCAGTTCCTTTTCATGTTGATCATGCCTTTTCTTTAACTAGACTGTTCAGTAGCATTCATATTTCACTTTCGACGAATCATCACGCCACGGATCTTGTACTCGAGGTTTCTAATTCTATCTTTTCTCCAAAATGTGTTTTCTATCTTCCCGATTTCCACTCCACACACACACACACACCTCAGCCCCGCGACCCCTCCCGCCTGTTGGAGTTTTTCGGAGCGCAGTGGTTGCAGAGAAGAAACCAGTACATGGAGTATGTTTCCGCAACCCAGAAGGAAGACCCGTACTCTGTTCACTGTGACCACTACCACAAGCACAAACCGAGCAACCACAAAAACAAGCACCACCAGTTTCTCGACAACGGCAGAAATTCCGCGTTCGAAGTGAACAGCTTCAAGCACAACGCGCTGCGACAGGAGAGCAGGTGGCGGAAGGAGCTAAAATCGGAGTGGAATTTGTGGGGGGAATATTCCGACTCGGTGTATTACGAGGGGAAGAAGATGAAGAAGATAATCGACGAGTACCAGTACAAACAGGAGTACGAGGGGTACTACGGGGCCACTGACAGTAGAGACAACAGCAAGAAAAATAAGGACGGGTCCTTTTCCACAAAAAATAACAGCAGCTCTCACCACAAAGAGAAACTGAAAGGCGAAGCAACACAACAAGCGACATCTTCAAAAACAGTTCAACAGTCTTTATCTAACCCAGATAGCCGATTGGCGCAGCATTTGTTTCAGTCCTCCGGAGGCGGATCTTCCGGTGAACACAGCATCAATTACGAAGATTTGGTGGTTCGCAACAGCAAAGAGAAACTTTTGATGCACAAGTTGGAAGAGACGGACATCGAGAAGTTGATCGAAACTGGGTACTTCGACCACCACTTTGACAATTTCGAATTCTCCTCGGCGATTTTGGAAGCGGAGGAGGAGGATTTTTTCAACAACATCGACGACGGGAAGGTGCTCGACAAGGAGATCGACAGTTATTTGGACAAACTTTTAGGAAAAGACGAGCAATTAACGAACAACCCGAATTCTAGTTCACTTTTGGCGAATGGAAATCATAACATTTCTACCGATCAGTACGGTGCTGGGGAGTCCACGCCCGGAACGACGAAGGACGACGAGTCGGACTTTGGTTTTGACCTCCAAGACCAGATCAACCAAGAACTCCTCGGCCAGGAGCCCGCGGAGAAGAAGCCCTCGAAGAACAAGGGGGGATCTACTTCCGGGGCTTCGTCGTCGAAGGAATCGACAGCGAATGGCGCGGGAACTACCACAGCACATTATAGCGGAGCAAAGCATGGTGCAGGTGGTGGAGCCACAACTCCGTCCAGAACAACTTCTACAGGGTCCGCGAATAGCAGAAATGATCCGACTGTTGCTGTCCACGACAAGTACAATTACAACTTTTTCGGGACGTCGAAAAAGGATCCTATGGTCAACAACTACACCGCGTCATCCTCGTCCGCCGCCGCTGGCCGGTCGCCGAAAAGCCTGGAGAAACACGTCCGCTATTGGCGCCCGCTGGTCGACATTCACACGGAATTTTCCAAACTCGCGGAGCTCTTCAAAGTGAAGCAGTTCTTGGACGTGTTCGTGAAGCGAAAGTGGACGCTGTTGCACGTCAAGATGCTGCTGTGGCTCTGCGGCAACATCGGGGAGGAGGGGTTCTCTTTGAGTGGAATGAGTGCAGGACCGGCGGCGGGGGCGGACGGTAATATAAGAACTGCGTCTGCAGCAGGAGCGCCGGAACAGCACAGTCAGGGTGGAAGTAGCGACACTGCCGCAGCAAACATTAAAGCGACGAACAAACAAGAAGTAGATGTCACGACTTCGAAGATGAAACTCGACCTAGTGGACATCAGTCAGCAATACGCTGACCAGAATTTACTCTTCGGCTTGCATCTCCAGCACATGCTGTACGGCCCGAAGCAGCGACTGCCCGACCTGGGTGTGATGTTCCAGAAAACCTCGAAGGCATTGATCACCGCTCGAGGGGTGCAGATGACGACCATCGGCCAGGTGGAAGCGGACCGACTTCCAGCCCTTGTCACGACCGGAAGTTCCACCGTGCCGACCGCTTGTGGGCGTGCGGGAATGGGGAGGAATGGGCTCGGGAGTTTCACAGCGGGCACTGGAGAGGAAGACGCAGAAAACGATTTTCTCGGAAGTGGTGAGCAGCCGTCTCTGTTCAATTCAAGCCCGTTAATCGCCTCCATTCTGCCGCAATCCACACTGCAATTGGCCAACGCAATCTACAAGGAGGCGCCGCCGAAGCCCGTGAAAAAAGACAAGAATGCGGAAAACGCCGCGGAGCAGCCGGCGAAGATTCACAAGCTCGGCCGCAGTACAGTGGGGTTGTTGTCGTTGTGGGCAATCCTGGCGCCGTTGGCGATGCAGGACGTCGGGAGCCTGGAATGATCGGCAGACTGCTACTTCCTGAGGAGTAGACGCAACTCGTTGCATCCACTTCGGCTGAACTCTAGATTTTTTGCAACGATAAGGATTTTTATCAATAGAGAGTTGTACCACGAATATAATGAACCGGGATAGGAATCATAAAATTTCGACGCCTGCTATAGAGAGAAATACAAGTTTGATCTAACAACAACGACACCAGATTATGCATATAGGCGTTTTGCTTTTGGTCAGTGATTCTTGTAAAAACCTGTATGGCTTGTAATTATGTTGTCTTTTCAGAACTTCTAGTTCAACACACCTCTAGTGTTTATTTTTTGCGAAAAGAAATATTGATCTACCCTTGGCGAAAGATCTGGATCAAGGTATGTGCAGGTGCAGTATGCACCGTGCGTTGTCGTGTCAGTGTCACATTTTAAAAAAACTCCACTCGTTTGTTGTATCAAATCGAAATCCGAACCGTTTTCTGCGACACATTCATCAGTATTGCCTTTTGGTATCACAAATATTTGGCCGAATGTCTGACTCACAGATAAGAGAAGGTCGCCTCCGTTTCTTTTTTTTGTTCGCAGCCTCGACTCTGCTTGGCGTTCCAAGATGCTTATGGTGTGTTGGCTTAGTACCTACTACTACCGCAGGCGCAGATCATTGGTCACACCGTTGGACGAGTAGTCGGCAAAACAAGTGAAAGATCCTGTAGTAGTGTTTTTCCGCGGCAGGCAGTTTGAGAGACGAGGAAGCCGAAACGTCGCCGTCTATGAGTGTAAGTTTTGAGTTGTTGCCGCTTGCAAGCACCTTGCGCGCGTTCTGGCCATCTATGTATATGAATTTTCAACGTGCATGATGTAGAAGAGCTTCAGCGTTTTCATTTTTCTGTATTCTTGAAATCCGGCACAATACATTGATTCCCAAGATGAAGGGGCTGCCTGGCTTTGTTGATTGAGTGCTTGCTATATCAAATGCAAATGTGCCCAGGGGGTAGGGTAAGCCCAAAGCTTTTGGGCTGATAAAAATACAGCTTTTTTTGCACTTTTGGCATATTTGTTGCAAAAAAATTGCAGAGCTTTGGGCCCAGTTGCGCAGTCCATAGGCCTGCATTTATTGCGCTATGGCTTCTGCGCTTCCTCTGTTCTGTGCGCATGCTATTTGGCTTTTCAATTTTGTGTTGCGCGATGAAGGTGCTGCGCCGCTAGTCGTCTCGCCATGAAGTCCACGTGGGGGCCGTTGTCAAGAGCAGGCTTCCACCTGCTGCTGCCGCGCTTTTCCCAGCGGCAGCAAGCCCAAAAGTTCTGGGGCCCGTGGCTGAAAGTGGAAACTGGAGCAAATTTCTCGGCGTAGCCCGAAAAGCCCGCCCGAAATACCAATCGCGCCTTGCGTTGTGGCCTACGTGCCTGCCTGTTCCTGCGCTGGTTTGTTTGGGTCGGTGCAACAACTTAAGGCTCGAATGAGCCGGATTTTTAAGTCTTTGCAGCCAGCACGCAACGAATTGCGGCGTGCTGGCTGCAAAGCTTTACAGTTGCACGCAAGCGCGCCATCATAGCATGGCTCTTTTTGAGTACGCAGCAGCTTGCGTATTCGTCGCGCTTTTCCAAATCCTGCGCACGCTCCTCACCCAAGGCCTTGCAGGTCCTTTTCACCTCAGCGCCGCACCTTCAAGCACCTTCGTCGAAAGAGCGAAGGCGTTTGGAAGTGCGATGATGTTCGCGCAAGAAAAACATTTTTTATTGCAGTAATTTGCTACTTTGCGTGAAGGACCGAGCAGATTGCGGTCGGAGAAGCTGGTGGAGAAGCTGGTAGAGAGCTTTCCTACCAGCTTCTCTGCCAGCTCTCCGCGTTGGCGACCGAGATGCAAACTTGTTCGAGAAGCGATCCGCCTTGGGCGATAAAGAAACTGCAAGAGGCGATGGTATGGCGTGCGGGGAAATTGCCCACAAGGGCGAACCTCTGCAGCCCACACGCAATAGTTTCCTGCGTGTTGGCTGCAAAGACTCCTGCTTGTGCGTATTTGGGCTCCGCTTTCCATTTGTGGATATTTTCCTTCGTCCGGTGCTTTGTCTTGCACTGTGGGCCAACCGTTGGCCGAGCCCCTGGGCGCCCAGCGCCAGCCTCACTCCTGGCTGCCCACCCTATCGCACAGCCTCTTGCCCCACCCCCGCCCGGCGCCGCACCTAGCGGTACATCGGGTCCCACGCCTGGCCCAGCCCCTGGCCGGGCAAGTCTATCCCTGGCCCAGCTCCGGCGGGCCTAGCCGGCTCGGCCTACCTCTGGCCCAACGAAGCGCCGCCCCGGGGGTTCGGGCTTCTGAGCTGCGGAACCTTCAGCACCAGCTTCGGCACCAGCTTCGGCACCAGCTTCGGCACCAACTTCGGCACTAACTTCGGCACCAGCTTCGCCACCAACCTCAGCACCTACTTTTTTCCACCTTTTTCCTACATTTCTTTGTGTGTATCCTACCCCCTGGGCACATTTGCACAGGATGTGCTACCTCCGGCGGCGCTAGTGCTGTGGTGAGTTCGTCACGACGAGCGGAATGCCGGCGCCTTGGTCGCGGCGAAGTGCAGCGCCTCGGGATCGCCGGAATCTTTTCGGGGCAGGAAGAGGATACTCGACGGCCCAGAATGTTGAAGAGAGACGCAATGCCCGCCAAGGCCAAGGCCCCTGATCCTGGTGAAGAGAGTCGCCGGACCAGGGAGAGCCATCGCAAGCCTGCGGGGGGAACTGCGGGAACCGCCCCCAGCGAGCCGCCCCCGCTTGCGGCCCTGGCGGAGTTGCCGCTCGTCGTCTCCATGTTCAGGACGACGCTGGCCCCCGAGGTCGGCGCGGGTAACGGGGGCACGCTGCTGAACACCTTCGGCCATGCACTGCGACGCGTGCGCGCGTTCGCCCAGCAGTGCGCTTCGCCTTGACTCACCCTGACAGTGCCTGCTCGTGTGATCGCAGCCCGCCGACCCTGTCTGCCTCGCAGCTTCGCCAGCGGAGGCGCAGGAAGTATGGGCATCGGCCTCGCGGGGACGCGGGGGGGGCCGGCGGTGATGGAGGCCGTTTGTGTCGTGGAGTTTCTGGGTGGCGTAGCGCCCGCGCTGTGGCGGATGTTGTGGCGCCCGTGCTGCTCTGGCGCCGGATTCGGTTGGTCGCCGCTACCAGCACTGTCGAACGATCGCCGCTTCGGCGGGGGCTGAAATTGCCTGTGTGCCAGACCCCTCTGGGTGTGGCTTGTCGCCAAGCCCTTGTGGATGGCCCGGTGGCCCGCCGGCCAACCATTTCTGCGCTCGCTGATGCCCGCCGTTTCCCGCAATGGCTTTGGCGGCTCGCCCGGTGGCAATCCATCGGAGGCGCGGAGTTTTGGCCCTCGAAGCTATTGGCCCAGCACGCAGCGCCCGACGCGGCCCCGGGTCGATTGTTGCCCCCCGGCCCAGCCCTGCAAGAGTGACCTGCGGGGGCTCTCTCTGGTGCCTCTTCTCGTGTTGCCAGCCCATCCCACCACGGCCAAAAGGATTGCCGAAGCTGCGGCCGCTTTACAAGATCCGGCGGGCGTTTGTTTTGCGCGCCGGCCAGTGGCTTCGCGCCCGCGAACCGCGCCGCGCACATCGAAGAGTGACAGAGGCGACGACGCCGCCGGGGGACTTCTCGGCGGGCATTGGTTTGCAGACCACCTACCGCAACAGCTTCCGCGGCGTTGCGGGAGGATGGGGATCGAGGCGGCATCTCTGCAACAGCATGCCTTGGCGCCCGTCGTCTCTGCCATGCCCAGGCGCCGCGGCGCGCGCCGGCCGGCGGGGAAAGCAGGGCCGGCGCCGCCGTCGCGGCGCAGCCAGTGGGCTTGCATTATTTGGGCAGTGGCGCGGCTGTCATTTGCCAGGCGCGAAGCTGATTCCTTCGATGGATTTGCTGGCAGCCTTTTCCAGTGGGGCTGCCTGGCTGCCGCTGGTATGTCTGTTACCCCGCTCCCAGCTCCGGGTCTTTGACGTTTCTTGTGCTCGTCATGCTCCATGTTTTGCTTTTGTTGACAGGGGCCGAAAAATGCAGTTGTGTCTGTGTTCCGTTCCCGACTGTTCGTCTTAATGAAGGCGAAACCTCCCGAAGCTGACAGCCGTGAGTTTGGCTCTTTTACTGTTTGTGAATGTCCTTGGTGTGGAGCAAAGTCAGCCCCTGACAGAGGATATTATGAGGGAATGACTGGAGGACGAAGTGTAGTGAGGGCGAAGGTTGTAAAGATGAGAAAGATTTTCTAAAATGTGGTTGCGAACCAAGTATATCTGCGCTATGCAAAATTGATACGATTCAGATTCTATGTCAGCGAAATAATTTGCAATCACGCACCGGGGAGAGTCGGAGGTATTGCACACCCTACGTACATGTAGAATCAATACGAGAAAACCGTGTACATCATCAACCTAAGAAGCCGCTGCCGACCATGGCGTCCTCGCTCGCCAAAGCGATCATGCCGGACGCAAATAGCCGCTTGCCGCTGATGGAAGTAACGGGTGACACGGTGGCGCCAATAGCGTACGCCCTCCGCTGCGCTTGCCGTGATCCGCAGTTAGAGTTGGAGAGGGCGTTTGAATGCGATGTATTCCTTTGATGCTGCACGAAGATGAAGAAATGAGTGTGCTATAATTGCCCTGCTTGATGTGACGAAGATGGTCGTGCTTGCAGCAGCAAGTTGATCATCTTGAACAGGTGCCCCGCCGCTCACGGATCACGTCCTCTAGTTGTTTGCCGAGTGCTCAGCTGCGAAGCATAAAGAAACTCACAACAGGTCACCCCGAGCTTGGTCCGCGACTTTGGTCGCAAGCAGATGTCGGACGGCAACAAAAGGATAAAAGTTGTGAACGGATACGTTCTTGCCAGTGAGTTCCGCTCCAGATTAGACACCATCGCGTCGAAGGGGTTCAAGCCACGCGACACGGTGAAAATCCACGTTGGTAACATTGCGCAACTGGTGAAGCAGGATGCCATGAACACGCCAGTAAAGATCGAAGAGGAGGACATTGCGGACGACGAGTGCACGCCAGTTTCCTCCGTCGTCGGCGCCAGCAGCACTGCTTCTTCCGCAAAAATCCCAGGTTTGCCAAGCAGCAGCAGCAGCAGCAGCACTGCCGGTGTGTCGGCGCCAAAAATACCGCGTGAGGAGCGAAACGCAGCCGAATACCTGCCCAGAGCGCTGCTAAGATGTAAACTACTTGTCAGGTATGATAATGCGATGAATGAATGCCTTCAATTTATTCTCGGGGGTTGGATTTTGAAGGTGCTTCTGCTTTCTTATTGTAAGTACAAGGATGGAAGGCTTTGAAAATGATCATGATGTCCGCAAGCAAACACAAAAAAATCCAGGAAACCCTTCGTTACCTACGACGAGTCCTATTTTCTGTGTAACCAGATTCCGGACGAGTACGACAGTATGGTCTTACTGCAGAAGAATTCGCCCCAGGATTTCCGTGCGACCTACGTGATCCGCGATCACACGCAAATCGTGCCGGAATACTACTTGGAATTCGGCTTAAATCCAAAAACCATGATTGGCGGCGACGGGGCGGGCGGCGGCGTAGACGAGGAGGATATCGACAAGCCGGTAACGTGGTGCGGAAGCTGCAAAGGAGACAACAAAAGACCAGGTACGGTGTATATAAAGTGAAGCTTCCATGATGAAGATGATCTTCCTTCGTTCTCTCTGCGACGATTTTGATGTCTCTTCGTGTTTAGCGGGCTGATGTGGGTACAATACTTTACAGATTTCTCAAAATGAAAAACAGCCGAGTTTTGCATCGAAGAGGACGGCTGGGCATTTTGCAAGGCGTGCTTGGACGATCTCTTCGACAAATTGCCTATGATGAAGGAGCAGAGGACAGTCGTGTATTTGATTTTATGATTTATTTGCTCATGCGTGGTTTACGTTTATTTTGATATTCGCAATCTCATTTTCATTTGGCAACTCATGTCTCTGAATGTCGAGCAAACCTCATTTGCTGACCATCATACACCAGGCCTCTGAGCGACATGAAGCCCACGTTCGCACATTGCGCACTCCATAACGAAAGAAAAGCCGAGTGGTGGTGCTTGGACTGCAAGAAGGCCCTCTGCGTTGCGTGCAAGGTCAGCGGAAGCCACTCAAAAGGTGCAGATAATGATGTGAGTGCGACGTCGTGACGTGGATCTCTTCGGTTGTTATGAATGTAGTGGCTTAGAAGTCTTGCACTTTGTTGCAAAGAAAATATTCGGCGAGAATCACTATTGCTGCATGTTTTTTTTTCAGGTCGAGCTGCAACCCACACGCTGACGCACATCCGCGAGCGATACGAGCAGGTTCGTAAGGAGATGATGAAGATGCCGGAATACGTCGACGATGCTACGGACAACCTCAAACTACAGATGAGTAAAATCGACGAGCGGTCCGCTGAAGTAGAGTCAAACATCGAGGAGTTGCTCGAAAGTGCGGCGAAAAGAGCGAGGGAACTGGAGCTGCAGGTACTTTTGTTCCTGTTTGAGATTCCTTTTTTTTCTTCTTTCCAGGCCGATCAGCCGACGAGAAGGACAAGCAAGATTTTGTAAGATATCATATTCTCCTAAAGTGATCTGGCTTGATGAAATTGAATGCAAAAGCATGAAAATCGTTGTGTGCCTCCTCTAACTATCAGATAAAAGTTCTCGGCGCGAAGAAGCTGGATTCCCTGCGTTCGCGCAAGCACCTGGCGGAGAGGAACCTGCGGCAGATCGAGTGGGCGCGGAAGTTTGCCGATTACATCACGGACCACAAAATCATGCCGGCCGAGACGTTCCTGAAGTCCGCTCCCTACCACGAGAAACTGATCGAGTCGTTGGTGGAAAACGTCGTCGCGGTGGACGAAGAGCAGTACCTTGAGAAGGCGGATTTGCAGCTCGAGGGTCATCTTTCCGTTTTGATTGAAACTGTTGAAAAGTCACCCTCTCCGCAGCAGCGCTTCCGTGTTGGTATGATGAAGAAGTCCAGTCGCAGCGGCAAGATGTCCACGCGGAACAGCGGGGAGAGCCATCAACCGCTTCTCGGCAGCAACTCCTCCTCATCCGCTACAGCAGCCGACGTTTTGGCAGCGTCAGCGAAGAAACTCGCGGAGGAGCAGGAAAAAGAGGACGCCGTCAGTAGCAGCAGCTCCAACGGAGCGGCGCCGGCTGGTGCGGGTGGAGCCCCTACTTCCTCTACGGTGAGCAAGTTCGCTATCCAGAGAAAAAAACCCATCCACATCCATTTTTTGCATGACAAACACAGATTTTATATGTATGTTTTGCATGACAAATTTGATGGGGATGGTTGTTTTTTCCTGGATATTCGCGCAGAAGATCAAGGCAAATAAAGTCTTGAGCGCCGCCTCTCGGGGAAGCCCGTTCAAAGGAACGGAAGGAATGCCGCCGATGCCGAAGTAGTAGGTACGTGTCAGCATCGAATATATGTTTTGAGCGCATCACCAAATATATAAGCGAACAATCCACTCTTTCTTGTTGACCCATCGCCATGACCACGAGGACGACCTCTACCTGGGGACAAGGTTATGCACCCGTAACTAATCCGAAAAATCCTCTTCAGTACCAAAATTGATTCGATGAAAACAACTGTCACTGTGCCCATAATCAAATAAATCCCATTTAAGATGATGATAAAGCGTTTGATATTCTAATTGCACCTGTGTCTAACTTTGCATCACATTAGAGTAGGAATGGAACAAACATTCTTGTTCTAGCGGACTACGAATTTTTGGAGCGTTAAAAGAAGAAAGCTCACACACAAGTACGTTCGTCATACAGCCCCCCACTTTGGAACCTAATGAACAATGTTTTTAGCCACATCCCCGACGAGCGTTTTGTCGTGCAAAATGAACTTTTTGTATCAATATTGTCGTGTTGCGAGGACATGCAGCTTCGAACCGAACATCTCTGATATTTACAGCGTTAGGTGACGCTATGTTTTACAATTTGAAAAAATGCCTGAATGATAAAGTACGAGAATCTTTGGACCAATGCAGAACCACACGACGTATTTGACATGTCTACCACTTGGCAAGCACCGTCAATGCCCGCCGCGAGCCCGCCGCGCCCGCGCCCAGTAATGCTCACCGGATGGGGATTGTATATTTGTAGCATTGATGATTTCCCACATGAGCATGACTGAAGCTAATAAAAAAGTTGGACTTTGGTGGAATTGGATCCATGTGAAATTTGGTTTTGGAGGTCATGGTCAAGGTCAAAATCACAAATGACGAAGTTCTTCGCGAGTTCAGGAAAGATAAGACGTGAAGGGATCAGTTAGCTCAAATCCGACGCTCCTCGTAATTCTAATTTGAAATGCATTTTCGTTCGCAGCAGAAACGCAAATGACGACGGATGAGTTGTTGGTGACGACGTCTAAAGCCTTTCTGCGTGGTGCTTTTGGTAAGAACTCCTCCCAAGCTCGAAAAGTGTGTATACTTCTTCCAAAATATTGAATGACCGCATCTATTGTTCAGGATTTTGATCGTTGTCTTGTCAAGACAATATTTAACTTGATGTGAATGGGTTACGGTTAGGTCCCGACTTGTTGAGCATTTATATCTTGATGTTCTACTCTCGTCCCGTTGCTAGCCCTTCCATTTTCTGCTGACATGATTATGCGCAAGTAATAATTAAGAAATTCAAGTTGAACTTGAATAATAACACGGAAAGGAAAATAAACAAAAAAATCCATCAAGCAAGATTCTCTTATTGTGGTTCTCGAACATCGAGAGTATACTAATTGCACCGTAATATTGAACATAGTACATCTCCAGTATTGCAAAACCGAAAATGACGAGGACGACGCTCCTTCTTGTGGTGTCTCAATTGACAAAAAGTTGTTTCATCGAGTCGGCGCAGGCGTTGAAATGTTCGGTTTGGTCACCTGCCGGAACTTGGCCAGGACTCGGTGGCCCGGCGAAGGAAAAGCGGGCACGACGTACCGGCTCGCTGAGCATCGCGGAGTCGTCTTTCAGAGATGACTCAGACTCGCCGGGGTTCTTAGGTGATCGCCTTCCCGGTCGTACGGAGGACGAGACCGCGCATGCTAGAGGAAGAAGCGCTGGTCATGGTCATAGCAAAAGCCTCTCTTCAATCAGCCTAAACAGCCAGACCGAGTCTTCGGAGTCTGAAGATTCTGATTCACATCCAGACGAAGCAGGAGCTACGCCTGCGAGTCCGCCGTCCGAAGAGGAGCATGTTGATCTCATGACAATCGCCTTTCCCGGCGCGCGCGCGGCTCCACCGCGGCCTGCAGCCGGCGTTCTAGCAGGTCGTGGTCATGGGCGTGCTGAACAGCGACCCGCAGGCGGTTCGCGGTCTCGATCACGAACAAGAACTCCGATTCGGTCCAGGCCTCCCGCGGCCTCTCTGCTGGCAGCATCTCCGACGAGCGGAGGGAACCACGAGGACTCGGACGCGGCACGCGAAGAACAAGTCGACGATGTCGCCAAGCGAGTAGAAAAAATCGGACAGGAAATGATAAAAAATGAAGACAGCAGCGGGTAAATTAGTGAGAATCAGAAGCCTGACGGAGGAGCAAAAGAAAGACGGAGACGAAGTAGACCTACTGTGGGGGGACTCTTACCATGCGTCGCAGGGCCTCGACGGCGAGCCGCGCATTTACTATAGACGCGTCAAAGTCGACCACCAGTGCCTTTTCCTGGAGGAGATGGGCAAAAAACTCTCCGGATTTGTTGAGTTTTACCTGCGTAATGCGAGTGCGGCGGAACAAGTCCACAACGAGCAGCCGGAGATTCTGTGGAGTCAGCACATCACAAGCGCAAGTCACGCACTGCGTGTGGTGAAGGATGTTTTGTCCGTGCGCCCTCCAGGAGAGACCGGTGTCTCGTATGGTATCCTGGTCCCTGAACAAGACGACTCGCGGAATTCAGCGACGGAAACGCAAGTCTTCTTCACGGAAACTTCGCTGACTCGCGCGCACAAAGAAGTCCGGGACCCCATTGTGGTGTTTTTCTTCGGGGAGCACGTGCTGGTGTCGAGGAAAATGTTCGTGGATCACGTGCTGGACCAACTGTCGGAAAAACTGAATACGATAACAAGTGAAGGTGGAAATGCGGAGAGGAAGCAAAAGTTGAGTTCGAGAATAGAGCGGGTGAAAGACGCGCTTGCGCGTTAAGTAGTCCCAGGCGCTTCCTGTCCAACAGGAATGAGAGAAGCGGTTATCGACTGGCGAGGTTTTCGGTTTATCCGGTGCCGTCGTTGCCCGACACCCTGATGGTCGTGCATAGTACTTACATACTGTGAAGATGGTGCTTCGCATGAATGGAGAATGTGCAGGAAGAGAGAGCTGCAGCTGTGTGCCTAAGGCTGTTAAGGATAGGATTTTGCTCACTTAAGATGAGCAAAAATTTTTTGGAAAGAGCCGTAGCCATCGTAAAGTTGAAGCCGCTTCTTGTAAGAACAGCAAATTATTGCCTTTGCCGTTTTCGATGTAGTGCTCGGTCTGGTGGGTTTTTCCGTGACGAGCACTGTTTTGTATGATGTAGAATCAATGTTGTATGATGTAGTTAGTTTAAAGAATTAGAGCATGATTTTGAATATCTATCATGGGTAAGACTGCAACATTTTCCGTGCCTTATGGTGAGAGGACAAGAATTCGCTTGAAGTTGACGAGCGTGAAATTGATTAAGAAGCGCTGACGAGTTGTTTCTAATTAGAATCTAAACCGCTCCTTGCATTTTATTTTTATCGTATCTATACCCAGTCACGTGGGCTTCATGTGAGTGTGCCCCTCTCACTCTCACACTTCACACAAATTTGTCACCAAAAACGTAAACCGTAAACGAAAGAAAGACATAAATACTCACTTCCTCCACCTCCAGCAAAAGCAAAAGGTCCGTACAAGCCGCGCACCTGTGGTCGTGGTCTCGCCCAGTCTTGTCGCTCACTCAATTTTGAGTGCACCTCTAATGTTCGGCTCGGAGCCTTCAGATCCATTGATTGGTATTTCGCGAAGTGGAAGTAGTACAAGTAGTGCCTGCGTGAATCTCACGGGAAATAACTTGAAATGGCAAGGATCATCGCAACGAGGATCGTGCGTTCAAGTTCGATGAAAACTGAGGATATCGATATCTGTCGGTTCAGTGCAAGCCATCGGCTCTCTTCTTGCGGAATACTAAATTCTCGTGCTGGAATATTCAATATCGGGCAGAAGTAGTGGTAGAAGTAGTCGGTCGTGTTGGTCAGTCAAAATGGATCCATTTGGTCGGAATTCAAATTCTGGCATCTGACAATGGTTTGATTCTTGAAATGACACAGGAGTTCATGTCCCTATGTAACTTCTATCGATCATGGTGGAGGTGTATGTATGATTGATTTTCGTGATCATCATGATTGAATTTGAATACCTATTCGGCCTACGAGCTAGTTCAATATTTCAACATTGAGTCGACAAGTAGGTGTGAAGTTCTCGTCGTTTTGGAAACCGAAACAAGGATTGAGACAAGTAAGAACATTCTTGTAAGTTAGATCCACCAGTTATGAGGTCCTCAGATGTGAAGTTTCAAATTTTTCCAAAAAAAAAGCCAGCTAGTTTCCATGCATAAATAACTATATAATTCAGTAGCTAGCTAAGGTGGAGCGGTTTCGAGGTCCCCGGCTGCGAGCAGGCATGGTGATATCGGGCGGGACCAACATGGTGATATCGGGCGGGAACACGTGTCCGAAATGGTTTCGGATTTCGGGCACAAAATTGCGCCTGCGGCTTTGCAATATCGTATATTAATTTTTTTGTGTCGCGGTAAAACTTTAGTCACCATGGTATGCTTGAGTTTTTGCATTTTCGTCCTCAGCTGATAAGGCCCGGGGGGGGGGGCCCTTACCCCCCCACCTCCGGGCCAACCCGAGTGCCCATTTTTGGGCTCTCACAGGATTTTTGCACCGGTGGCACACGCCGATTTTGCAGATTTCGTCCTCAGATAGAAAGGCCCCCCCGAGGGCCCCCCCGAAAGACCACTTTTGGTCGACCGGAGGGACCCCGTCTTCTCGGCTCCCCAAAGATTCCGTGTCATGCCCGCTGCCATGCTTTATGATATGAAAAGCGAAAACACAGCTGAAAACCTCACCCACTGCAGCAAAGACGGTGGCAGAAGGGGCATCTGTATGCGGTGGACACACTCCCGACCCTGGGGAAGCAGAAATACACCTTAGGGCAATATCCGACAAGACACCGAGACCACGAAACCGCCCTACCTGAGCTAGCTAGTTCATGAGATAGATGATAAATTACCTAAAGTAGCTAGATTTTTTTTTCGATTTTTTTCAAATTTCACATCTGAGGACCTCATACCAGTAGCAGTACCTGTTTTCATTAGTATTGCATTATCGGAAGAGAACCCCACCGTTGCGGGAGATAGGTTCAGTGTATTTCGATCTCCATCGCTCGGCAGAATGAGGATCAGTTCCCTTTTGGCTGTTGTGCTGGCGAAAGGCTTCGTCGAGTTGGTGCATGGAGCGAGGAGTATTTATTCTCTTGGCGCACCAGCTTCAGTATCAAATGGACCGGAGCAGGATGAAAGAAAGCGTGAAAGCCGCACCGCCGGACGATCGCGATCTGCAAGGAGGACACAAAAAAAACCATCGATGCGCAGCCAGGAGTCTAGCCTTCCTTCATTTGGCAGCGAGGTGTTTTCTAGTCTTCCTTCATTTCCTTCGGTGGATGGCGAAGAGGACGGGGGTGCACTTGAAGACCGTTCGCCAGCGGCACCGTCTCCCTTGCCGTCTGGACCGCAGCCCCGGCGGTCTGCGTCTCGCCGGTATCCGTCTCGGCAGTCTCGGGCGGGCAAACCCTCACAGAAAGACATGCAGGATCAGACGCACCATGGGCAGACTTCTGCACCCGGGCAAGGGAATGGCGATACCAGGAGCAGCAGTTTACCTTCTTTCAGCGAATATGGTTCGTTTGATGAGGCTACTGGCCTTTTCAAGAAGGTGACAGCGCGTGGCATTCCAGATGCAACGGAGCTAGCAAGAAATCGTTACCAGCGGCACCCGTCGCGGTCCGGGCCTCCTGGTCGTGCTGTGCCGAGGCCGGTTGCACCACGAGGGGGCGACGAGCTTTCGGTCATCAAGAGCGAAGCGGACGAGAAGCTGAAAGAACTCACGAAAGACGGAGAAATAGTCGGAAAAGAAAGACGAAGGATTGAAGGAAAAGACGAAAAAGTTGCAGTAACCGATTACTACTATGTTTGGCAAGCCTGGCCTTTGATGCAGAGCGGGAGGGCCGTCAGTCGGATTCCGCCTATTTACTACAGGATGGTTGATGTTGCTGCCACGATTGCCTCGGCGCACAGCCAGTTGACGGCTGCTGGCTCTACGCCGAGGCAAATTTGCTTCTTTGCTCAGAAACAGTTTCTGGGCGATATGGGCTCCAAACTTGGCAAATTTGTGGACTTTGCTGTGGAGAAACGTAGCAAGCAGGAGCAGACGGAAGACCAGACGACTGAAGACATTCTTTCTGGGCGCATCGCTGCAAATCACGCTCTGCAAATTGTTGAGAAAGTTTTATCTGTGCGCCCCGAAGGTGAGAAGGGCTTGTCGTATGGCATTCTGATCCCGGACCCAGAGGATCGTTATTCGGAGGCCCCTGCTGAGCTTCAGACAGACGCGCTCCCGCTAAACCGGCACGGAGTCTTTACCAAGGCTTGGCTGAGCACCATGCATGCAAAAGCTGGAGTGGGAGTGCATCTGCATGCAGATAGCCCCGGAGGTGCGCCAGAGGACCCGATACTGGTGTCTTTCTTTGGCGACTACGTCCTCGTGTCGAAGAAGATGTTCGTGGTGAAAGTTTTGGACAAACTAGCACAGAAGGTGCAAGCGATTGTCGAACCGAAGGAAATCAAGGAGACGCTAGGTGCGAAAATAGAAGATGTCAAACGGGTGCTCCTTCGCCGTACTGCTTAAGCTGAGCCAGAGCCATGAAGTCCGTGCCGATAGATGAAAGAAAGAAAAGCAGGGCTTCCTTGGGCGAGAAAGCGCGGTCCTGGTAAACTGCATGACCACAATAATTGCAGAAAAATGCTATGTATGGCACGTCAAAGGAACAACTGACATGGATACCGAACACGAATTCCGTGCAGGTAGCTGATTAAAACTGCGCCGGCGCCGTACTCTTAGGTAGTGGTTGCTATTAACATACAGCATCCGAACGTGAATTAATAAAAACCTAGTATGCATTTGCATAGAAGTTTCGGATCAATTAATTATGTCCCCCAATGCCAATTCCCGAGTGAGTGTGACCCCACTCAGATGTCGAGCTGAAGTCTTTTTTCCTCCTGCCTCCCACACCGGACGGCGCAATTGAAAAACCACGTATTGAGTAAAAATAATGTGAATCGAATTCATTGATGATTTTTTTGTTTTTCAGCTCATCATGATTTTGATTACGTTAGGGTTAGCAGGGTTTTCCTTTTCTGGCCAAGAGGCCAGAAATTGAAATACGCTCCTGCGGCTGCAGATGAATGTTGTGTTTCCCATTTTGATAAAGTATTGCGTCTCTAGTTTTGTTTCGTCGTGGTCTACGCTGATTGATTTTCGTGTTGTTCTTGGGATTGCTTTGCGGCGTCGTGTGGTTCCTTGCGGGTCGTATGGATTTTGGGCACGCTTGAAGCGCGTGTGCCTATTTTGTTAAGCATTTTTTTTGCCTTTTGTGAAGATTCGGCGATCGATCACGCCAAAAAGAGAGGGATGAGGACATCATCGTGACGAGGACTGAAATAACTTGTTCGGTTGCATTGCTATAGTCATCAACAAACATATCCCGTCGAAGGACGAGCTCTGTGCAAGAACTGACCCTCACCCTGAGGAGGATAATTCGCCTGCTGGATGAAGAAGACGAAGCGCCGCTCTGGGCGCACCAGTTCCAGAGCTTCATCCTCGCGGCGGCGGCGGAGCTCGACCTACCACGCTACTAGCCGCGCGGAGAGATACAACCAGAAACAAACCTCTCGTCGAGCGCGGAGCAGCGGGTCGAGGCAGAACAAATCCTCGGGAGGAGGCTCAACTTCGACCAGACAAAGGGACAAATCTGGTGGCGGCCACAGAAGAAAGTCGATTTCTCAGAAGAGATCAAGAAACAGCGGAAGTAAGAAACAGCAGGCTGTTGAAAACCACCTTGACCCGCGGTACTATTCAGAACAGAGCTCGGGCTCTGTTTACGACAGTCAGGCTCAGGAGGGATCTTCTTACAGCGAACAAGAATTCGCGTACAACAACTACGATGATCTGCATTGCGGTCAACAACGATACAAAAGTGGCGATTACATCAACGGACGAGGCTACGATACCGCGACTTCTAAACAGCTGCAGCAACACAAGTACACCGGCCAACACCGCTCTGGGCGGTTCGGCGGAGCTGCGGGTACGACGGCCCGTGGTACAGGAGCCGTGGGCAGCGCCAGCCATAGCCGAGGTCGAAACTACACGTTGCCAGCATCAACCTCGAAGTTGAGCAAGTCCGCGAGCCAGACACTATCGAAGCTGGAGCGGCTGGCTATCCGAACCCGGAAAACCCTCTGGTATGTCTCGGTTTTGCAAATCCCGGTTCTGCTCTGGGTGTTCCTCGCGTCAACAATCGCTTCACAAGACGGCTGCCCGATTCTGACCGACCGAGTGTTGAACCACGCCCAGAAGATCGACTGGGGCTTCGTCTTTGTCTCCTCTACGTTCACGCAGGGGCAGTGGCTCTTCGTGGGCCAGTGGCAGCTGGCGGCCTTCGACCCCAACAGCAACCGGGCCAAGCTGTGGAATTTTAAGACGTACTTCGGCAGTCAGGGATGGGAGAGAGGTAAAGTCTTCTTTCTTGTGACACATCTTTACATCTTGAAAATCATGACCTACTCTTTGTCTCTATGAAGGAGGCTGGAGGTGCACGCTGTTTGTGTTTTTCTCTGTTTTGCCCGAAATCAATTGCTCCGTCCCCAACACCAGAGCTGATGCTTTCCGCGTTCGGTGTGGGCACGTTGCTGTTCCTCGCCACCTTTTTCACCGTTGGCTTCGTTATTTTGTACCTGTACACGAAAAAACGGGAGCAGAACAAGAGCAAAAACGGCTACGGGTACAAGACCACCACAAACTACCTCGTGTTCGACCTGAATTGGTCGATTCTGCAGCTGGCGGCCGGCGGGACGACGGTGTGCTTGATCGGCAACATGCTGCTGATTATGTACATGGTGCTCACCGGGTACCGTACCATCGTCGAGTCGCCCGGCTGCCGCGTCTCCTTCGGCATGGGCTTCTCCGTTTTACTCGGGTGCACCGTGCTGGCCGCGATGAGTTTCGCCATGGTGTACAGCACCAAATCCGTGATCGAGAAAGCGTGCCGGCGAAACAACTTTGAGGCCCTGGCAAACGGCTCGACCAGTGCGTTGCTGGATCAGTCCCTCACTTCGAACTCGTCCGAGGGCGAGGATTCCGCAGATTCGAGCCTGAGCAGCAGCGAAAAGGAGCAATATCCGTACTACACGGCGACGGGAAAACCCAACTACCAGCGGTTGCAGCAAAATCTGATTTCTGGTGGCACCGGTGGGCGGCCGTATGGGTACGGAGTGGCCGGAGGTGGTGGAAATTATTACTACGGAGCGGGCAGAGGGGGTGCCGCGGCAGGGTACACCACAACCACGCGGAGGCAGTATGTGATGGTGTAAGGTAGTACCAAAGTCGTCGTGACTGTGCTCTACTTCACTGGAAGTCCAACGAGCTAGCACTCTTTCTCAACATTTTGTTGTCTGCGAAAAGAACAAAAAATCGATTCGATGGACGATACAGCATTTTGGTTTCTATCTATGAATGCATATGCAATAAATAGGTACTACCTTTATTTCTGCTGACTCATTCCTGTTTCTCAGATGTTGTCATGATTTTGATAAAATTTTACTCCGCAAAGTTTCTGCGAAATGCAAAGGTCAAAATCTTCAGATAGAGATATAAGTACCTATCTAGAAGTTGTTGGTGAAGAATTCGAATTTGTCCTGTTTCTCTTTCTGGTTTCGGGTAAGTTACTAATGCACGGCGGCAGACGTTGTAGTTGATGGTGGCTTTGTAGGCGAGTGGGACGATACAACCGCCTTGTTGCCACTCAAGCACTACTTTCTGACAAAAACACTTCTACAAATGAACGAGAACCAGTACCAGAGTAGACAGAGAGAGTCACTTGCACTTCACTCTTGATGTTTAATGAATTCTCATTTCGCCGACGTCGAAGTGGCAGCGGTCCGGTTGGATGCCAATGAAATAGTCCTCGTCATAGACCGGTGCGCATAGGCACATGGATCCTATTGCATCGGTTTTGAGCACTACATCATCCCAGTGTTTGCGAGATCGATGGCTATGCAAAGCATATGAAGAAGAATGATGATGAAGATTATCATGCGGACAGCGTTCGTGTTTAGTTGAACTGGTAGAAGTTAGCAGCTGTGGATAACCTCCTAGTTGTGATGAAGATAATTGCAAGATCCAAATGAGCCCAAGGGAAAGCTCCGAATCATGTCCTCGTAAAGAAAAAATGAATGATCCATGAAACCAGAGCATGTTGATGTCGCTTGAAAGATCCTCGTAAGCGGATGTCGTTCGGAATGCACGAAAAACGCACGCAAAAGAATGGTGATGAACATGAAGAAATGGACAGATCTTCACTGATAATCCCAACATGACGAGAGTGATCGCCACATAAGTATCTTGTTTTTGATCCACTACAACACTTGACTTGCTTCTGGCATCTTTGATCAAAAATGCAAACAATAAAAAGCCAGCCATTATCTTTTGGATGGAATTGTTGAGCTTGAGGCTACCTATGCATAATAAAAGCAAAATATTAGAGATGACTCGCTAAACAGTAACAGCATACGGGTTCATGAATCTGAATTGTAGTCTTAGTCATGCATTGCTGCTATGTCACAAGAGTTGTTTGTCGTGTTTCCTCCATTTATCTATTGATTTGTCCCCTTGATCGTATTTTCCTCTAACATTGCATCGAACAAAACCTCCATAATCGTTTCTAATCCGAGAAACCATGAATGAGAAGATGATGCCAAAAATTATCAAGAAGAAGGGCAGCAAGGCCTCCTCGAGCAGCAAGCGCAATTCCAGTTCCGCTTCTTCGCCATCGGGGAAGACGCAGAGTTCGGAAGAATCCTCTCCATCCCCATCCGGAAAGAGCCAGAGCAACGATGTCGTCTCGGAGAAGGACAGCCAAACAGGGGAAGAGCTCGATCTGCAAGAGGACAAGGCTACCATTGCCTCGTCGGACGACGTAGAAGAAGTAGAGGAGAATGTAGAAGACGATGATGAAGTTCTTCCTGCAGAGGAGTTGGTAGTCGACGACATCTTCGACGATGGTGAGGACGATAGCAGTTGCACACCAAAATCGGAAAGGGCACTGGCGGAAAAGACTTCCTTTACAGAGGACCAAACGCACGAAGCGGGGGTCGAGTCAGCGGCTGCTGCCGCTGCAACTCTGAAGCGGCGGAAGTCCGTCAGTTCATCCCCGAAGAAGGTGGTTAATACAGTGGCTGTGCAATCGTCGAAAACCGTTTCTGTTGCAGAAGATGCCCCCGCGGCCACGACCCAGGCTGAACTGACCCCAACGATGACCGCAGCTAGAAGAAAACCCATTATCGCCTGCCGAGTGTGGGAGCCCAAGCCGCTTTCCGTGGAAGGGATTGAGCTGCATCCAGAGGGGACTTTGACTGCCGTCGGGAGGGCGAATGGGGTCGTGGAAATCCGTGATGAGTTCCAGTTTGTCCGAACGGTCCTCTATCTGCCGTCGATTAAGGACCAGGCGCGCTGCTTTGCCTGGGTGCCCAAGGTTCCAAGTGTCGTTGCAAGTACAAGCAGTAACGGTCGCGCGGACAACGACTCAAACTCGTCGTCCGACGAGTCCAGTGACGACGAACCCGAGAAGAAGACCAGTAAAAACACTGACAAAATGAATAAAGCGCTGTCAAGAAAGGGCGACGAAGTTTCAACATCGAAAAAGGCCACAGTTAGTACCGGAAAGGAGTCAACGACGTCCTCTGCAGCGACCACTTCTTCGCAAGAAATCTCGCAGATGAAGCCGAACGACTACTACCTGTTTGTCGCAGGAAATCACGCCAAGTTTCACTGCTATGATGTAGATTCCGGCGAGATTGTGTTTTCCTCCGACAGTTTTGGTGGGGCCGTCTGGAGCATGTCGTACGTGGCAGCGCAGGACTTTCTGCTCTTGACCTGCGACGACGGCTGCTTGAAGGTATGATGGTCTAGATGGTCGTGGATATGATCACACAATAGCTGCACAACATACTTACACCTTTTTGATGTGTTTGACCTCGTTATCGTTTTAGAAAAACAGTTGAAATTATGGGGCCTAGAATAATCAATGATCGAAACACTTCTTCATCAAAAATGAACAGGTTTTCCGTCGCGACGAGCAGCAGAACGACTTTTCGCTTTCCTATCAAAAGGAAAAATTCCCCCTCCCCATATCAAAACGGAAATCTGTGATGCAGATTTGTTGTCACAAATCAGTTTTGTCATGCTACACGGGAAAAGATGCGGACTGTAGTGCTGGGCGCCGTGGTCAAGCCTTGCATCTTCAGCATGATAGGAGGCAGCTGAGAGCGGGAAACAGCAAGACAAATTGCCTGCAAACGAGGCCACGACTGCGGCTCTTGGCCTTCTAGCATTACAAGTCGATTTGTGACCTCAAATACAGCATCAGAAATTTCGTTTTCGATATGGGGAGGGGGGATTTTTCCTTACAATATTTCCCAGTCGCTGAACAGTCAAGTGAAAACCAAGAAGAAAGCGCCCCACGTATCCTGAGTAAAAACGTACCCACACCATAGTTGTCATGCAGCTCTGCATGCTTAAAATGTTTCTCATGCGGAGCCCCATGAGAAGCATTTTCTAATGCCGTTTTGAAATTTGCCATGCTCCAATCAGCACGAGATACTAGATCTGTAATGCTGCTAAACTAGCTCAAACAGCACTACACTACGCGGACAAACTTGTCATGCCAAACAACCAAAGCTGGCTGATTTGTCTAGCAGATTCCCCATCCTGACTCTGGTGTGGGTACGTTTTTACATAGGATACCACGCCAGCAGCCATTGCGTTTTGCAAAACGGAAGTGTGGTGTTAGTTGGAGACACAGTCGGCAAAGTGTCGAAATGGACAAAAGATTCCGCCACGGGGAGATTTGTGTCCGCCGGCGTGATGCGAGTCAACCTACCGGACGAATCCGCGAAAAGGAAAAAAACCCAAGGTAAGTTGTTGCTTTGCGCTCTTTTTTTTTCGTTAGCATATTGAATGATGCGGGAGCATCAATTTACACTGTGATTGCGTGTTCAGATTTCTTGTTGTCCAACATCATGTCACTACAAACAAAATCAAACCAAACAGGTCTCGCCATCATTAGCTGTATGTGCCGAATCGACGATACCACTTTCGCTTGTGGCGATTCTCTCGGCCAAGTGTCCTTCTACGACGCGAAGCAGTGTGTTTTGATTCAGCAGTTCAAGAAACACGATTCCGAGGTTTCTGCGGTGGCTCTGAATACGAATTTCCGCGGAAGTTGTAGCACCACCACCGCATCGCACATCCAGAAGACCGTTTTTTCGGCCGGTCTGGACAACAAGGTGCAATCCTACGTGTTGCAAGACCCCGAGGAGTGCTTGAAGACGAATCTGCTGAAGTACATCGTCGGGACAGCCTACTTCCCGCCGGACTGCCGGCACGGGTTGAATTCGATGGTCTTCATCGGGAAGAGCAACAGCTTGGTTTACGGTGGCGGGAACGGAAGTCTGTACCAGACCCAGCTGAACACAGGCGTGCAGATGATCAACGAATCCAATCCGGGAGGAAATAATTCCACTACCGACATCAACGCAAACCCGCAGCAACTCCAATTCTACATGAACCCGACGCGGCGCGTGGCCGGGCCCTACGACGGCCAGTACTGGACGAGAAACAGGATAGCGACCAGTGTGTCTTCTTCTTCCAGCGCAAGCGCAACGGCTTCCGCCAGCTCCTCCTCGAGCCGGGGTAAAAATGCGGCCAGCTCGGCAGGAGCCGGGGACCAGCACTCGCAATCCTCGGGCAGTTTGTTGCTCTGTGCGGATGTCAACGTCGCCCACGTGTGGTATCTGGACTTTGAAGAAAAGGAGTGCGAAGAGAAGGTTAGCGCTGTAGCGGAACAAGCGGGTGTTCTACTTGCAGCGGGAACAACTACTGCGCAGAAATCGAACAAGAGGAGCGGAAGCAGCAAGGCAGCCACGGCATTGTGCAAGTCTTGTCCGGACCAACCAGAAATTGTACCCAGAAAGCTCTTCGAAATCAAGCTTGAGGTAAGGGAGGTGCTTTATGATGTTTGAAAAATAGAAATACACCAATGAGCCGTAGTCTTAAAGAACTGTATGAACTTCTTTACTGCACGGTGTTTTTCTCTTGTGAAATGGTTGTAGTTTTGGCGCTGCGAAGATGAAAATATAACTATAAGTAAATAATCATACCCGATGAATAAGCGCCATTCTATCAACACACCAGGACTTCAAAACCCGTCATCTGATTTGCTCTGCGGTGTCCAAGTCTGGCGAGTGGATCGCTTTGTCAAATACAACGAGGACGGTCGTGTTTCACGTCGACCAAGCCGAGTTGAAGCTGACGAAGCACTTCACCGCCGAGAACTCTCCTTCCACGGCGGTCAGCTTTGCCGGACCAAACGACCGCTATCTAGTTTGCGCAAAAAGAGGGAACAAGCTCGAGATCTTGGATTTGGAAACGACCGCAAAATGCACTCGCGACGACGTCGGTCGCTGGCAACTGCCGTCGGGGAGTAGCACGACTGGGGGCTTGAATGGGAAGTCGAAAATCTCCCTGCTTCGCTCCTGCAGGGAATGGCTCGCCGTGGTGGACGGGTCGCAACAGCTGACAATGTATTTTTAGCTGTTTCCATTTTTGTTTTTATTATTTATTTCCACTAACGATAGCTCAAGATCAAGTGCATTGGTCGTGGTTTCGGCATTAAAATGATCGGCATGCGAAGATGCAGTGCTCGGAGGTGTATATATTTTCAAGCTCATCGCCCAAAAGAATGACAGACAGTGTCTGAGCGCATCCGAATCAAAAATGAACTGCGAGAACCACCCTAATATACAACAGATACAACCTGGACACGCGCTCCGCCCACGTCCGGGTTCCGCGCATGGAGGGCAGCGTGGTGGATTGCGTCTTCGACGAGACGAAAAATACGGTCTCTTGTCTCTACTCTTCCAACCAATTTGTGAAGTTCGACCTGGATCTGATGCAGATCGAGAGTAAGTGCGACAACGTCTTGTCCACCAAGGAGCAGATCGAGGAAACGCTGGCCGTGGCAAGCAGAATCTGCAAGTATTCCGGAATCTTGCAGCACAAAGCAGCTGGTGGAGTATCTGCACATGCAGCAGGTGCAGTAGCTGCGGATAGAGCACGACGACAGGGAGCGGCAGGGGCGGAGGTTGTTTCAGAACCACCCGCAGGTGATGGCGACCGAGAACAAGAGCACGACACTCAAGGGAACAAGAAGAGTTGTGAAAAGCCACAGGATAAGCTGGTTTGTTGGTCTTCCAGCGGAAACATGATGGTTTTAACTGAGCAAGACGAAGGGCAAGCGCCGGCTTCGGAACAAGAGGAACCCGAAGATCACACGATAAATCAGCTTCCGGCGAAGAAGAGAAAAAAACTGTTGTTGAGCAAAAAGTGGAAGAAACTGCAGCAGCAGAACAAGGAGGCGGTTGCAGCTCCTTCGTCGAGAATAGTTCTGAAAAACATCCCGGCAAGCAACCACCTCCAGCACGTACTGCATTTTGGAGCCGTGACCGCAAACGGAGCCTGGATCGCGGTGCAGGTGCCAGACGGAGTAATGAAGAAGACACTGAGCCGCGCAACGGCAGCGGCGGCGGCCACGGCAAGAGAGCAGTACGGACGAAAGTGAGAACGTGATGGTTACCGAGTTGCAGCTGGAAATTATCAGGAAGAAGCATGTGTTGAAAGTTGTGATAGTTGAAGCAATTTATGACTTTCAGTGCCAGCACTTTTCCTGAAATAGAACCGGCTTGGTCACCAGCGACACGAAGTGACATTGGGTTGTGCGCTTAGATTTCCATAGCATTTGGATTTCGGCTTAGAATTACAGAGCTCATACACTACTTTGCTTTCACGAATTTGACTTCCTACCAACAGAAACGCGCAAAAAAAATTCGATGTCGACGCCTCAAGGTGCGTCCACGCACTGAATGTAGGTTTTTTTGTTCGATGCGGAATGGTTCTCGTTCTGTCTCGCCTTCCGCGGCGGTGGTCTGTGCTGTACTATGGTTTTGGTATCAGCTTGATATTTGATGACGTTGACCACGAGAAGCGTCTCGGTCGTCAATGTCACATGCTGTGTAGTAGAGGCGCAATGTTGGAGATCGACACATATACTTTTCAGGATTAGGTTTAGAAGGCGGCGCAAGGATATATGCTGAGACAAGGATGAGGCACGAGTTCATCGCTTTCTTTCATTAGAAGTAGCGTTGTCACTTATAGATTTCGAAGTCTTGTTTTAACTTTTTGTCCCGTGCCTGTTGCTAGTCTCTATCTGTTCGCCGTCGCACAGCTTCGCCAGCATCAGAAGAATGTCGACTGCGCCGCGCGAGTTAATCCAGGAGCATCAGCTTTCTATTACCCGCTACACCACCACTCTGGCACTCTCCGGGGCGCTCGCCACTTTTGTTGGGTTCGGCTTTGTCGCCAGTCTCTACGCTGTGGTCCGCTATTCTGCCGAATCGGAAACCTTGCAAACTAAAGACCGTAACCATCCCGACATTATCAAGCGACGACTCGGCGCGGGGGGAGCATGGACTCTGTTCAGTCTGTGCGTTCTGCGTCTGCACCGAGCCCTATGCTGTGGGGATGCAACTTCTACAGGGGTATCAAGTTCCCTAATGTTCAGCGACGCAGTGACGAAAGAACTCGAGGGGATGTTTTTCTGTCTAGGCTTCATTGTCTTGCTCTTCCTGGGCCCGATAGTGGAACACTTCGCCTGCCGGTGTTACTACCAAGACTCCAACCACGAAGCGGGACGGGGTATATTTTTGAGGTCTGTTTGGAAAACAGCTTTCGGCCCAAACGCCAACATGATCTTTCGCAGATTCAGAGAAAAGTACTGCGATCTGCAGCACTTACGGGACCTAGTTGCGGCACCGGTATATGAGGAGCTTGTGTACCGAGTCTGCGTTTGCGGAATTCTGAGGAACGCCGGCTCTTGGAGGGCATTGACAGATGAACAACGTGGGCCATCACCTTTTGACAGCAAGAACTCGGGAGGTACTTCTACAGCCGATGGCACGATATTGCCTCAAGGCCAGGAGCAGAACCCTCAAGTACACTCTGTTGCCGGCTTTCCAGACTGGGTTATTCATTACCTCTCGCCGATGCTCTTCGGTTTGTCGCACATCCACCACCACTACAAGAATAAAGACATGCTTCTGCCCTTGCTCTTTCAGTTGTTTTACACGACGGTGTTTGGTATACTGGAGACTTTCCTCTACTCGCAATCAGGGTTTTCCGTTCTAGGGATAATCCTCGTGCACGCATTCTGCAATTTCATGGGGTTTCCGCGCTTCTGGTGTGTACTCGCTGGCAGCGTCGAGAGTTGGAGGCCCAGCGGTACGCAGGCGCATCTTCGTTCCGTCCCGGGGAGTGCGACTTTTCTGGGTCTTCGACTTGCGTGTTTGCTAGCCTATGTTGCCGGGGTTTACCTGGCTGCGCAGTGGTACAACAGTCGAGCGGGTATTTCGTAGATCTTCTTAGGCGTGAAATTGGTACAGCTCCATCAGCCTATGTATTCATTCTCGTTGTTGGCAAACAAGTACATCACACTACACCCGGCCTTTCATTTTGTTATTGCAAAAGTTTCCTTCAAGCCCGAAGCCGAACGATGTGGGGACTCCGTTTCGGCGCAACCGTAAGGTATTAACTTTATCGCTTTCAGCAATGAAATAGAACAATAGAAATTGTACTACTATTGAGTCAAGTTGTGAAGCTCCGGTGATCAACATCATTTCCATCATGCGCACCAAGCTGCAAAATACGACAGAGGGTGGCCCCCTCTGATGTCATATTTTTTTTCTCGTCATCTTCATCACTATCACTCGCATTCCATTCTTTTTCTCGAAGAAATCAAAATATGGCTAGATGGAGAGACGTAGATGAGTTCCGCGGCAGATTAATGTCGATGTCGGTTTCAAAGCATCCATCTCTATGAGAATTGTGGACAGCTCTGCAAAAATGTTGATGAAACTACAGTGACAGATACATCAGCATTTCTGTGTATGTGAGGAACAAGTACATCATCTCTCGGTTACATGGTGCGCTACCTGCGGTGCGACCAGTGCATCCAAATCACAAATGTTCTGTTGAGTTTGATCCTAAATTGTTTCAGCACCATCGAGATCCTCGATCATTATAAAATGAATGAAAGGCGACAGATAGAAGAGGAGAGATGTTGAAAAGTAGTCGGTGTGTCAACATGAGCATGAACAATCTACAGTGCACCTTGCAGATGCAGACCAGAGTACGAGTTTTTTTCTCTGCGAATCTACGACAGAAACTATGAATTATCCAGTTCCTGCACTCGGCCGAATTAATTTCTAGCGAGATCCCTTAAATTCTAATTCAGTGCACATATTAAACTCGAATCAACGTAGTTTTCTCTGAAGTTATCCTGCATCTGTCCATTTCGACTTGCATCAGAAGAAAATCCACAAAGTCGCGACTCAAATCGACAAATATAACCAGAACTCATACACAAAGGAAAACACCATAGGTTACCGTCTTCCACAATTTTGACCATTTGCTAAACCAACACCAACAGGGACGAAGCAATTCGTCGTCTTAACGAAAGACCAAGAAAGAAGAAACGACAACAAAGTTATACGACGCCATCAGTATTAAGTTAGCAGCTGTCCTTTTTTTATCGGTTTTTTCCGTCAGCACCAGGGATTAATAAATTGAGGTAGAACATCAAAGAAGCAAATAACATTATCTTATTATCGACCACTAGATTGAAAAGAAAAACGTAGAGCTTTTACCCTTTGGATTATCTTTATCAAACGCACGAAACTTGTTCTTCTCACGGGCACCACCTTCGGCTTCCTTTTCGTTCTCGGGGCGGCTACCTTCGTGTGGGATTCTTTGATCACACGAATCTCCGACACGGTATTGCTTTGTTTTATTGTTGCAATCGCTATTTTTACCGCAGGTGCACTGTGCAGCTACGCAGACAAAGTCTGGCAAGAAGAAGAACGTGTTGTTCCTTACAGTTTGCAGATTCATCTCGGGCACTAACCACCGTGAATGTGAAAGAGAAACGTTACAGATTTCAGGAAGGAGAAGGACTATCCCGGTGGACAAAATTAATCAGATAAACTTAAACGCACCACGAAACAACACCACAGATGGCCGAAACTGGCGATCGGTCGGGCCGCAGTACGAAGGCCAAGATGCGGGACGTGGTCGGCATGAGCCAGGTTCCGGGTGTCGAGCTAAACCACCCAGTTTCCAAACTCCCGACCAGGGGAGCAAAAACCGGGTGCAAACTGGAAGATTACCACCCCCTTGCCGTCATTGGGAAAGGAAGTTATGGAAAGGTATTGTCCTCGTCGTGGTCCTGGTTGTAAGTAGTGCTACTGCGTTTTCAATTTTTTTTTTTTCTGACGATCTTGTTAATCAGGTGATCCCATGATAGCCATGGTCCGACCAGTATTAGAGGCGCTTTGGCTTTCGAGAATAAATATATGAATATCATGATCTTCCCTTGGGGTTCTTCTTCATCTTCTTCGGGCACAATACAGCTGCTGGGATTTTTTCAGGAAGGAGCCGCAAAAAAGATCCTGCTATTCTTACCTTTGTAAAATTGTTTGACTTGTTCCATCTTCACAGGTCCTGCTCGTCCGAGCTAAATTTGGTCCGCAACGGACGTTCGCCATGAAGGTGTTGCGGAAGGACAACATTATGAAGCGGAACCAGGTGATCCACACCCAGACCGAGCGGAAAGTGTTGGACAAAGTCTGCCACCCCTTTATCGTGCACCTGCACTTCGCTTTCCAAAACACCCGGAAGCTGTACTTCGTTTTGGAGTACTGCCCTGGGGGAGAGCTCTTTTTCCACCTTCAGCAGGTCGGCAGGTTTTCGGAAAGCCGGTATAGATGCTTGATTTTTTTTTGCGAGTAGTTGTAGAACTGTCTTGTTCTCTGGGCTGGAGAGTATCCCTTGGTGAGCAACAGGCCTCCTTTATTTACCTGTATGCGCCAGCAGCAGCAAGTGAGTGTACCTAGTTGATATTTTTCTTCTTCTTGCCGCAGACTACATCACCGAAGACTCACTTTCATTTCACCTTCAAAACAGGACTCGGTTCTACGGTGCTGAGATCACGCTTGCGCTGGAGCACTTGCACCAGATGAATACGATCTACCGGGACCTGAAGCCGGAGAACGTGCTTCTCGACAGCCACGGCCACGTGAAGATTACGGATTTTGGCTTGTCCAAGGAGGGGGTGACGGACAACTATTCCGCCAAGTCGATGTGCGGCACGCCGGAGTACCTGGCTCCGGAAATTCTGACCGGATCGGGTACAGTTTTTTTCGTTTTCACAGAATATCGTAGTAGTAGACAAGTAGCAGGATCAAAAATCAGTATGAAGTGTGAATATCATATGGGACCTCTCGTCGCCTCACATTCCGCTTCCGGCACCGCGTACAAAAAAATGTTTGATTTTACGTACAACTTGTCCCCATTATCATATTTAATACTACAGGTCATGGCAAAGCTGTCGACTGGTACTCACTCGGCGCTCTTTGCTACGAGATGATGACGGGCCTCCCCCCCTACTACTCGCGGGACCGCGACGAGCTGTTCGCGGCCATCCGGCGGGCACGGTTGACGGTGCCGACGTTTATCAAGCCCCCGGCGCGCGACTTCCTCCGCCAGCTGCTGCACCCCAACCAGCAGTGGCGGTTGGGCGCCGGCGACCGGGACGCGGACGACGTGAAGCGGCACGCGTTTTTCCAGGGGCTGGACTTTCAGAAAGTCTACAACAAGCGGTACCGGGCGCCCTTCGTGCCGCACGTGCAGCACCAGGAAGACGTGAAGAACTTCGACAAGGAGTTCATTGCCATGGACATGACGCGGTCGGACGTGCAGTGCGACGACGACAACGAGGACCTGATCCATTTCAACCACTTCTCCTACGTGGAGGGCGGTCTCGGCTCCTCGGGCTCGCAAGGTCTCGGCTCGGGCGAGCCGCGCAGCAGCGGCCGCCCGTCCGGGAGGGTCAGCAACAACAGCGGGATGCACAACAGAACTGTCGGCGGCGTCGTTGCTGCTGGGGAAATTGTCAGTACTCATAACAGTACCTCTGGGCACCACCAGCAGCAGCTGCATTCTGGGACAAGCTCTACCCTCCGCACGTCGGAGCGAAACAGCCAGGTGCGGCAGTTGACGGAGCAGCAGCGGGCACAGTTCGCGGACTTCGGCGACTACAGTGCTGGAGATGTTGTTGGCGGGAGCAAGCACAATCATGATCGTGGTGACCACAACATGGGGACCACCAGCCCCGTGGTTGCCGCGGCGGCGCACCATCCGCATCCGCATCAAAACTCGGGCAATAGAGCTTTAGGCACCGCGACGCATAATTACCACCACCAAAGAGCAGGTCAACAACAACAACAACAGCCCGGTAGTTCAACATCCAGTCCTCAGGCATACCACTCTTGCAGCTCCCCAGGAGGCGACCGGTCCCCCGTCAGCACGCACGCGGGGTCAGACTGCTCGGACAGCCCCGGTCCGGCGGTCGCGGGCACGCCTCCTGGTTCAAAGGGAGGCGTCGGCGCGACAGTTCTGCCAGGTGGTAAAAACAACCACGGACAACATCAGCACCATGTTATGGGTCAACAACACGGGCAGCACCAGCAGGTTCCCTATCACGGACAACATCGTGGTCCAAATCAGCAAGTCGCACACCATCCCCAACACCACCAGCACCATCCCCAGCACCACCAGCACCATCCCCAGCAACAAGAGCCGATGATGTATTCCCCCCAGCAGCAGCAGCAGCAGCAGGTCAGCAACAACCTGGAGCAACAGTACGCGAACGTGCAGTACGCTGCGCACCAGAATCACTACCAGCGAGGCTTGAAGGAGGACACCCGGCAGCAACTACTTCGCGGCGACATGATGCGACAGAACCAAGGCGCACCAGCAGGAGGAGCGCCGCAGAGCACCGGCAGCAATGGGTCCGGGGGCAACAAGGGGGCACCCGCAAGCTCGGCGCTCGGCAGTTACACCTCCGGGATGGGCTCCGCTTCTGCAGCCGGAGGTGTTCACGGGAAAGGTCAACAGCAATTTGCACCAGTTGCATCTTCTCACAACAACATCCCGGTGGCGCATCCAATGTATGCACAGCCACAAAGTTCGAATTCCAGCTCGTCTCCGCGAAGTAGGCAGAACGTGAATCACTCTCGCCAACAGCCCCTCGCGCCGCACCACCGGCAGGAACTGCATCTGGCGGACCATTTGGGTGTCAGCACGACAGCTCCTGCGAACAGCATGAATACACCAAGAAGTCATCAACATCAGCAGCAGCAGCAGCAGCCGCGAGTATCATCTCAGCAACAGCAGATGCTGTATCCGACTTCTTCTCAGACGTCCTCGGGAGGCCATGGCCAACAACTTGGCCAACAACAGTACACCCATCAGATGCAACAAATGTACCACAACTCTACGGCTCCTGCAGTGCATCAGCAAAATACAGCCCGGATGTTGAATTCTCCCCGCAACACAAACGCCCAGCAGATGCAGATGCAGCAGCAGCAGCACTCCATCCAGCATCAGCAACCAACCTCGGTCGCTTCTTCTCGTTCCTCACACGGGCAGCAAAGCTACAACTACGTGGTCCCAGTGCCGCAACCTAACAGCGCCGGCAGTCCTCCTTCAGGAGACATGATGCGAGGGGGAGTTGGCTCAGTATGAGTCGCAAATTCTACCTATTCATATCCTGTCTTCGTGACGACCGAAGGCTGTATTTCTCGTCTAAGTATATAAACGGAAACATAAACGTAAACGAACAAAGCGATCAGCAAATGGTTGCATCTGTTCACTATTATTCATATTTCAGTATCCCTGTTGGAATGTTTTTTTACCCTTCTCCAAAATCGAATACTTTGACGACACTTGATATATACTTAGATGACGGGTCATCTTATCCCGTCGTCTCCTGTTACTTGGTATTGTTGAGCAATGTCCCCAGCAACTTATTATGGAAGATGGTAGTCTACTTTTTATTTTTTCTGTTGTAGGATGTAGTCACGATAATTTTGGATTTTGATGGAGAATACACTTTTCGCGACGTTTTTTCAGAAGGGAGGCAATTCGAAAATGTTTGCCACAACCCGATTCGAAAATGACGAGAAGTACTAGTTCACAGCAAGAAAAACTTCAATAATGTCAGTATACTACATCACCGGAATGTATAGAACAACTGCAGGGAAAATAAGCACTTTTTAAACCATCTGTAGCAGCCAGCTTTTGTGCCCGCAGAGTAAGACATAGAAAAAGCCTGGCGCATAGAGACTTACGAGCACGCACTTCCCATAATATCGGTAGATCAACCTGATATTATAGTTAGTACGTTGTTTAATGCCCTGCCCCGCAGGCTTCAGCATCTGAATCTGAAGCATCTGGTGCGCAACTTGGATGATTTATTCGTGAAGATACAGACATCAGTACGGGTGCAAGAACTCCGACCATAATAAGATTAAGAATGGCCAGCCCCAGCCCTTCCCCCAAATACATTTCAAATACAGTTGTGTGGAAAGCGATTTTTTTTCCTGTCAGTGTTGGATCGATGGTGATCATGGATCATCGGAATTTTTACTACGGCTATGTAAAGATGATGGGTCAATTGAACTACTTGTAGATCAATTTTCTTCTAGATCATCACCCGAAAAAACTACCCATGACCATGTATATACAATTTTGCCAGTGATGGTGCAGGTCACCGTTCTTTTACACCATCAGCTAGGCGAGGCTTATTTTTCAATATTGTAAATGGCCTCTTTGTCTTTATACAGCTGTAGTCAGAAGTAAACGCACAACATCAACAGTAAATACGACAGATGAAAAACGGGACATCAAGCCACTACACATGATTATGTAGTATTGAGAATTAAGGATTGTTTCCCACACACAAAAACTTTTCTCTTTTCTTGTGACGAGAAATGGTGGAACATGTTTTCTATTCAACACCCCACCTCCACCACCCACCCTTGCTCGTATTAATTCCTGATGAAGCGACAGTAAGAATCACCAAACCTCCGCTCTCCAAGAATCTTGCGAAAGTACAGCAAGGGGAGACCATCCAGCATGTGTGTTTATACAGCCTGTCATGGGGATGTGCTTCTTGTAAAAGCGTTTGCGCTCATCTCGAGTCCCAAACGGGAGTCAGCATGGTTTTTATTTTGAAGACGAGCGGATATTTGTAGTTAGGGGGGTGTTGAAGTTAGTAGGTCCGCTGTTGTCTGCTTTTTGTAGTTAGTAGGTCCTGGGGGAGATAGAGTTTTGGTAGTTTGAATTTCATCTTTCTCTGCATAACTATGAGGCTTTCCTCTTTTAACAGTATAGCTCGTTAGTAGCTTCGTGCAAAAAAGAAAAAGAAATGCTATATCTCCCGGTCGGTTCGTTCAAACAAAATAAAAAACACAAAAAAAAAAAACCTGTATCTTTCTAGTAGTGCAGTCTCTCTGTCTCTTTGCAGCAAGGTAAAAGTCAAACTATCTGAGTTTGGCTTTCTTTTTTCTTTTACCTTTCTTTTTCTCAGCTGAGAGCTTTGCTAGTCCGCAACACGAGGGTGTACTGATGAGAGACGAGTGACGTCGTGTTTTGTCTCTCTTGGTAACGCCGTTGTTGATAATCTTGCGATGCTATTACACGATCACTGGGTTTAATGTTTTACCTGAGTTCCATTTTAAACTTGATCGCCGGGAAGGGACCGCGGTACGTGTTAAAGGCTTCGCACTTCGTAGTTAAACTCTTACAAGCTCTGAGGATCCATCAAGCTCGCCTTGTCCCGATGCTATGGCGGAAAAACAGACTCACTAACGGTAGTGAAAGCCCAAAAAAGCTGTTGTTTTCCATGATCTCACACGTATCGCCTTGTCCCCATCTAAAACTGCAGTTTTGTTAGTTCAGGAAAGCTCCTGGGCTCTTTTTCTGCGAAAAGACTAAACCTACGTTGATTCAAATGTGGCGATCTCGACAAATCACGGCTTGTAGCCGGTTTGAGGGTTTTCACATGACGAAGACCATTACTCTGACCTATTGCCGTGTAGTTTTATTTTGAGTGAAATCCAAAATCTGAAAGCTTAGTTTTGTTTTAGCTCCCCTAGGCCCGCTCCTCGGAGCATAGTTTTTTCAAACCTTTCCAATGTAGCTCCTCGGAGCATAGTCTTCTCGCCCATTCCAGCGCAGCTCTTCGGAGCCTAGTTTTTAGCTTCTCTAGTCTGCAAAAGGGTTTAGTTAAGTCTGTTTCTGCTCCAAACTTCTGACAAACGCAAATCTGTTTTACGGCCGACGTGGTGGTTAGGATTGCCTGACTGCTGCGTTGGGCCCAGCTTGCGTGACGGCGTCACGTGGGCTGGCAAATATTCGTAGCGTGCGTGACGGCGTACAAATATTCGTAGCGCAAAAGACCTTCGTGCGGATCGTTGGCACTAGTAGCGCCCTAGACACCTCGGCCAAAGATGAAGAAGGTGGTAAATTTGTATACGTAAAGCAAAAAAAAGCTCCAGCTGCTCCAACGTTTCCGTTTCCAAAAAAAAGTGAAAAAGTAAGTAGATCGTAAATTCCTATCGGCGAGTCCAGTGTAGTCGAGGGCGTCCCCACCTGTGCGCGAGTATATCTCCACTCGGGGAAAGAAGCGCCCGTGTGGGCCGGGCGGTTTCGATGCACTAGGGAAGTTTGGTAGAGGGGTTAAGGGTACTATCGGAAAACGAAAAAGAAAGACAAGTGATCCAGGCCGAGGTGATATTGCATGCCGTAGTTAGGAACTTGCATACTAGGACCAAATAGTTGTAAGTGGCTGATAACTTAGACAGGGTTTTAGGGTTAAAGACGTGGTGCTCCCGTCAGGCGCGTGAAGTTATTTCGTTGGCCAAGTATAAGACTGCCGGCGTTCTTGTCGGGTTCATGGCCTATTTTCCCAGCCCCACCCAGTAAGCATGAATTTCAGGCCGGGGTTTGTATGATCACGTGGGGGGAGGACAAGTTCGCTGTTAGCCGCCTCTACTAGAATTTAGTATGCGTGGTCAAGTTATAGCTCATGAATAGCTCCAGCTGCACTCTTAAAGTTCTGGAACGCCGCCCGACAGCCGAGCCGAGCCTGACACCTCTGATCTGATCTGATTTTTGTTTAACTGTTACTACCTAATGAGATGATGTTGAGGATGCTCCTGCTCGAGAATTAGAGTGCGAAATTGCAAATGCGAGGAGCGAGTGTATCACGATTGAGCTTGAGTGTTAACGGTAGATCAAAGCTGCTGCAGGGTAGGGAGCGAGGGCCCGCGTGTCTAGGATAAGGAGGATGTTATTTCTTCATTCATATACTCGATGTGATTGTCGATCGGTTCTAGACAGCATTGAGCGCGCTCGTCTCATCTGCATTTTGGTTTTCTAGCGAGCGGGATTCAGGTACAGCATGTCTGAAGTCCAGGCGGCAGGAGCCGTCGCTCCTCCAGCGGAGTTATGCATTGCAAGGTATCGTGCTACTGGTACTAGTCGAATCTGCATGACAATTTTTCTAAAAAGAGAGAAAGATGAGATCTGTCATTCGGTATCGGGCAAGAAGTAGACTAGAAGGCAGATCTGACATGCATGATTGCAACTGGTATGAGTGCGATACTTCTGCAGCAATGGATAGTAGGTCGAGCTGGCAGCTACCCTGGGTGCGCCGGCACAGAACGAGATGACCGCGGTCGACACGGAGGCACAACGTATTTGGTGTAGCGTTGTTGTACAAGAATGGCATGGCGTAGATACTGGCTGCATTAGCATTTGGTAAATTTAGGTGGCCAGTATACGCTCCCTCAGACATCGTCTGGATGTGTTGCAGTGCTGCAGCCACGATGAATATCCGCGCAAGTAGTGCGACTGCAGGTTCGCGATTTGTTAGAGTGGCAGTGGTGCTAAATCTATATCCAAAAATATGTGCAGCAGTACCGATTATTCATTTTGCACTATATTTATTACTGCCGTGACGCAAAGAACTGCAATTACTTTACAACAGTATCCCGACCCTCCCCGTGCCAGACTGACGAGGCAGAACCTGATTTCAACAAGATTGTTGATCTCGAGGCCGGACCAAATGAGGACGGGGTTGTATCAAATGCGGAAGTCCTGAAGGAGGGTGAGCACATGGAGGACGAGAAGAAGGGCAAGCCGAAGTGGTGCTTGTTCTTCGCGTATGAATTGCAAAAATGTCTGGGTCTGGAAGATTGCAACTCGTCATGGTAAATCTGGAGCATGCAAAAATCTGTGTTGCATGAGTCCCAAAACCGGTATACTTTTGACCAAGTTGGAAGGGAGTTTCTCATGCAGGATAGGCATGGCAGAGACCTCGCAGAGTCTGTCATGCTAAGTCCCGGATTCCAGACCTCGCGGGTCATGGAAAATCTGCATGACAAGTCTACACTTTTTCAGACCCAGACATTTTTGCATTTGGTGTCGCGTTCTTGTTCGGCACCCTTGGGTTGGCGGTCACGGCGCTTTCCTGCGCGGTCTACATCTATTACAGTGAAAAGTGCCCCCCACCCCTGAAATTGCAAAAATTTGTGATGCGAAGTTTCCAAATGAAAACTTTTTGGCATGCATGAAAGGAGTATGAATCTTTCTGATGCAGAGTCTCGGCGTGTATCGCATCGCTTGCATGACAGGCGCCGCTCTTGCTGGGGTCTTTTGCAATACAAATTTTTGCTATTCGCGATGGATGGATTGGAAACCTGTGATGCTGATAGATGCAAGAGGGCGAAAGAGTGTTTCATTTGGAAAGGTTTGCAATGCAAATGCTCCCAAGTTCGGGGGTGCGGGCATTTTTCATTGTAATAACATCGTGTTGCTACCCATCCAGTGCTGCTGCCCCGGTGGAGGTACGAATTGTAGAACTACTGTGCTAGTTTTTGTCCATTTGAGCGCATAGATATGTAAATCATGGAAAGAAAAAATAAATGCATGCGATTTTTCTAGTTTCAATCCATATCCTTATCCATCCATATTATGAATCTTCGTTTCGCTTGGGAAATTGGAATCGCATACGATATGTACTTGCACAATAAACATACGTACAGAGCACACGAAAATCATCGACAAGACTTTGGCGTGGGTCGCATATGTGCCCTGGACTATCGCGAAGTGCTTTTGGTAAAAATTCGTGATCCGCGGCTAGAAGAACCCAGCCTACAACTGACATTATCACCACATTTTTTGAGTCAACCTGTCGAACTTCTTTACCTCAAAAGAGTAACTACGGGCTTTTCAATTAGTGACGCTAGTTCAAGTAGCGTCCTTCGTCGGCACACCGCCTTCAGAAATGTAGCACTAGTAGCGACCAACTACTAGCACTACCACTGCAATCAAGCGCTGTACTAGAACACCAATCTTCAGCGAGGCTTTGTTAGCGGCGCTTTCTTCACCCGTGCAAACCTGAAATTCATCTTTTCACTGCCACTCCACGATGGACGTAATTTCGTGGCGAAGACAAGTAGAAAAAAAGAACTCAGACCCAAAGTTGAAGGAGAAGATGAAGCAGAGGTTGCAATAAGGAACACGCACCGCTGCCGACACGAAGACATCGCAGGTTGACCCTGTAAGGCCACTGTCCCTAGTATCAAGCGGAGGCAGATCGGGTTGCGTTGTTGTATACCCCGTAAACGAGGCTACTTTTTATGATGGTTTTATTTCCTGCTCCTGCTGCTTGGCATCTCGTCGATGAGGATGATCTCCAGGAAAACCGGAACGAGGTACGGATCTTGACATAGTTGTTTCAAACAGAATCTTCGATCTGAGTGACTTCTGCCCCGGATCGGAAAAAGTAGTATCCCAGCCGATCGTCAGAAATTGTATCCGCACCTCCATTGTTGACGATCATTACCACGCGAACCTCACTGTTCGTAATATAACGGACTGCAGCCGCTCCCCGACTTGATCCTGTATTTGATTTACCGATCAGCACAAGTTGAATCACATCTGAAATTATCGAAAAGCTGCACCACATCACCCATGAATAAAAGATGCTTGCAATGGCTCTACATATGGGTTGCAAGTAAAGGTCGAGGTCATGCCGAGCTGATGTGAGAAAAATACGTGAAACGATGCACATATGAAATTTGAAGCACCGCTCTCAGGACCCCGTAGATTTATCACTGGCTATATCTCCAGCGATTCGCTTGCTCTCCTGTCGCGGATCAACATCTCTACAACTGTATTCTTTTGCCATGTTCTTGCTCGCCGCGCTTGGTGGTTCTACCACCTCCAGCTTCACCTACTACGTGAGTACAGGTGGTCTCTTGTAGAAGTGAAGTGACGGTGTCAATACCCACTCCGTGTCCCAAGATGTTCGCAGTTCTTTTCCAGCAACTCGCGGAAGCGGTGCTGCGACAGAATGATACCAGAGCTGCGGTGAGCGTCTACTACTCTACTTTTCTCGAAGATTTTGTTGCCTCGACGAATTCCTCTTCTATTCCCGGTTCAACGCAATCCGTTTCCCTTTCTTACAAGGAGCTCGTTCTTCACGTTGCGGCCGTAGCAAAGCTGTTGGCAAGTTTGAGGAGAAAAAAGGTCGGCGACGTAAACGAGGAGGGCATCAGAAAGGAGCAAAAAAGGAAAAGCCCGGCGGGGGCAGATCATCATCATGTTGCGCTGCAAGAAGAGCAGTTGGACACAGGATCCGAAAACAGACTCGGCATCGACCGGCTGGGTGTCGATCGGGAAAAAGACATTACTAAGCAACTAATCGTAGCTATCGCAGTCCCGGAGAAACAAGACGCGAAGCACCTTCTGTTCCTGCCGGTGTTGCTCTTGGCGGTGCTAGTTTCGGGGAACGTCCTGGTGGTGGTGAATACAGACGATCCGGAACCGAGAGTGAAATCGATTCTCGAGGACTGCAGGCCGGATATTTTCCTCACCACCTGCAAAAAGCAGAAAAGACGCTGGGAATGTACTTCGAAACAAGATGGCGCAACAAGAACTTCTACTGCAGAGGTCCTTCACAAAATGCAGTGCTTGCTGTTCGATGTAGAGTGCGGAGAGATTGTTTTTTCGGCACGAAACGACGACGTTTCCGTTCGTAGAGACCACGCTGGTACTAGCGATATTATGGACCGGGAAAATTATTCTGCTTTGGATCAACAGTCGTCTCTGCTGGACTTTGGCCAAGAGCAGGAAGACACGTCGCAAGAGTGGTTCGACGAGGGTGATGTAAACCTGGAAATCAGCCACATTTTTTACACGAGCGGGAGCACGGGCACGCCGAAGGGGTGCGTCTGCACGGTCGCAAATCTGATGCACTATTGCAATGCGAAAAACCTCGCACACAAGATCGACCGGACCGCCACGGTCTTGGTTGGATCGCCCTTCGCGTTCGACCCCTGCTTGGGAGACGTGGTCGCCACACTGTTTTTCACCGGCCGGAGTGAGGAGGGGAGCGCCCAACTCGTGTTTCGGGGTGGGGGGGTTTCTTTCTTCGACGTGATCAAAGCAGCTGGCGTTACTCACTTGCTGACCACACCCACGCTGTTCACGCACGAGGTGTGCAGGCCCGCATTGGAGCGAGATGCGGTGGCGGAGCAAAGCGACGAAGAAAACTGTCGGAATGATGCAACGACGGACTTTTTTGCTCTAGACACTGGAAGAAGTAGCTCTCCCAAGAGACGTCCTGCGCAGATTCTACAGGAGACACAAAAGGACTTCGCGTCTCTCCAGCTAGTTGCCCTCGGCGGAGAAAAGATGCCCGAGACGATTGTCCGATTTGTTCTCCAGTACGCCGTCAACTGCAACCTAGCGAACACCTACGGTGTCACGGAGTGTTGCGTCTACCAAACTTTTCACTACGTCGTCGAGCGCGCCGCTGCGCCCGTAGTACTTCCGGGTGGTGAAATGAAGATTCACTCGGGTCGTTTTCGTGGAGCAGGGGAATTGAACAAGTGGCGCGCTGCGCCTGCGGCGAAAAGGCGTCATAAAGACAAGCTCGGCACGCCGTTGACGCCCGCGATGGAATTGTGGTCCGTATTGAAGAGCCACGAGGTCGAGGCGGAGGAGGAACACGAACAACGGGCCAGGCTTCTGGGGATGGAAAATCAAAATGCAATGCTCGAGTACGAGCTAGTCCTCTGCGGGTCCGAGCTTGTCGGGCTCGGGTACCTGAATCGACCGGAGCTCACCGTGCAAAAGTTTTTTTTTGCTCCTGCCCCCGAAATCTCGCAAGTGAGGCAGTTGAGCACGTCGGAGGAACAAAGCACTGTTAAAAACAGTGATAGTGGTGCGGATCTTCCGCCCCAGCGAGACACGACGAGGACGAGGTGTTTCCGAACCGGCGACCTAGTCGCCCCGATCATTGCTGACGAATGTGATCGTAGCCCAGAAGACAACGAAACGAAAACGCCGCTCGGTTCCGCAACTGAGGATGCCGGTCGCGGCTCCTGGATACTTCGAGGACGCAAAGACAACCAACTGAAAATTTATCCACAGTAAATTTCCCGTACACGTACAGATGCGGTCTCTGCATGACAAAACTTGGCTTCGATCCTAGTTTAGCATGACAAGTCTTACGCTCCAAATTGGTGAAATTTGTGATGCATGTTGTACATGTACGGGAAATTTGTATTGCATGAAATTAATGGGCTGCGCATAGAGCCAGAAGAGATCGAAGCCGTTGTGCTTGCATATCATGTGCAAAAGTATCGTACTGCTAGTAATTGCAATATGCATGACAAATTGCCCATCTTAGGCAAATCAGCATTACAAATTGCACTTTTCTCTTTCAAAAGTTTGTAATGCAATTTATACTAGTACGATGCTTTTGCAATTCATATTGCAAACGCAGCTGAGATTTTGGAGGAAGTCGCGGTGGTACCGGTGAGATCTTCTCTTACTGCAAAGGATGGTGCGACGAGTGGGCCTCTCCTGGTGGCTTGCTGCACCGTGAAGGTGCCTGGTTTAAGTGAATTGCAATCCGGCCCTCGTAGTTGGGAACATTACCCTACACAAAGAAATCGTGCTGCTACACGCGAAAGCGCTCTGCTGAAGAAAATCCTCCGAGAGCTAGTCTGTGCCGGCACGTTGTCGGCCGCCCACACTCCGCACAGATTTTTCTTTACGAACGAAAAACTTCCCCGGACCGGCACGGGAAAGATTCACCGGGCGGCGCTCTCATCATACGGAACGAGATTTCTACGTCACGAAGAGACAGAAACATGGCGTCTGCAGAATGGGCACCAGCACCAGGATGGGCCACCTTCTGGTCACGATCTCGATCAACAAGATGATGAAACCGATGACATCATGAGTGATTGTTCCTTCTCGTCATCTGCTGACGAACAAGAAGGCCAAGAAGCCGAAAATCGAAAAGCCGAGAAGTCGATTTCTGCACCATCTTCGAGACAGGAGGACCTTCATTCGATAATTTGGAAAATTTGGTGTGAGGAGCTGTCCGCAGCAAGAGCAGTAGACCACCGGAGTAATCGATATGCCTCGCTCCGAAAAAGCCGCGCGGACTTCCGCGAACTTGGCGGCGATTCGCTCTCTGCTGTCCGGGTTTGCGCAAAGCTGGCTGCAGCACTCCGTACGGTGTGCCTGGTTGGAGTGGACGAGAAAAATGCTCCAGACACACCTTTTTCAAATGAGGACGCTTCTACGACAAAAATGAGCGGTAAAGACAGCGATCCCTTCGGAGAAAACCTGGCCCAGACGTGCTTTGCGCCCGCAGAACTCTTGCGACGAACGCAACTCGGTAAATACGCACGGTATCTGTCATCGTTTGCTAGCCGAAGAAGTCGAAGTGCAACTGCAAGGAGCCCTGAGCAGGGACAAACAACAGTCGCCACGGAGTCGCCAACAGAGCAGATGCAGAGACGGCATGATAGGAATTTGCATTTCGGCAGGGAGATCCGCCCGTGGCTCTTTGCCGCGGTAAAGGCTGGAAGCGTGCCAGCGTTGCAGCAGCTAGCGTGGATGGCTTCTACATCTTCGCCTGCGGGACGTGAAGCTGCAGCCTCCAACGACATCGACGCTGCAGGAACCGTCAATCCATTTACCGTCATCGAGCCTTTTCTTTCCGAAGTGCTCGGAGTAGCTTTGCTCCACAGAGATTTCACAGAGTCCCTGACGCAGGCTCAAGAAGTTGATACGAGTAGCTGTAGCTTAAGTGTGGAAGCACGTGAAGGTCAGCGTCGAAGCCCGGTTGCGCCAATCGTCTCAGTCGTGCGTTGGTTGCTGAGGGAATTTACCATCAACAAGGGAAAAACTCAGACCGACAAGGAATGCAACGGCAAGAGCAACAAGAACAAGCAAAAGACAAGGATTAGCAACTCATCTTGCCCCGCGCCGGAACCTGTCCTCGCGACTGCCGATGCGAAGCGGCTGCTCGTGAGATGCCTACAAACATACCCTGCCGATGTCTGCCGAGTGAAATTTCTGTTTGAAGAGATCTTGACAGCCGGTGCGGCGACGACGATGTGTCCAGGCGGTGCCGACTTCGCGTTTGCAGGGCCAGCGCGAACAAAAGCTCAGAAAGCGACCAAACGGAAAGATGCCGGCGTGGCTGCTCCAGCGCACGTGCAGTGTACAGCAACCAAAAACCAAGCCGGCCGGGACAACATCCTCTTTTCGATAACCGACAGAATCGAGATCCTCCGCGAAGACCGGCAGACGCTGTTGCACATTGCAGCGCGCGCAGGCTGCAGCGCAAAGGTTCTGGAGTATTTGTTTCAGGAGCGAACGGACCAGACAGCCCTGGCGCTCGACGTATACGGGCGCACTCCCCTACATTGGGCGGTCACAAACGGCCACCGATCGGTTGTGGAGTGGCTCTTGACGAGCTTCCCGCCACATGTCGTGCCCAAGATGAAGGACTTGAAAGATGAGAAGGACGAGACCGCTGTGCAAATCGCAGAACGACGGGCCTTGTGCGCGAATCGGGTAGCCGCGGCCACTAGTGCAGCCGGTAACGAGCAGAAACACGAGGGAACGACAAAAGACGAGAGAGACGCACCGGCCAGCCTGTTTGGCGGTTTGGCCAAACTACTTGGTGGCAGCGGTAGTACGAAGAACTTGACGCAGCAGAACAAGCAAGAAAAGGGGAATGCGAACAAGAGAAGTAAGTGAGCGTATTATCTTTGGTGTGAGTACATCGATCGTGAACACAACCGGTATCAGTGAGATTCTACTCAGTTGTGAGAATTTCTCATTCGTGAAGCAGCCTTGCACTTGCCTATGCTTAGAGACAGAAGAATGTGAATGAACGACAATTCAAGCGACAGCTATGCCTGATGTGAATCCAGCATGGGGTGGAGTAAGAGTCGCTTGGCAACCTGCCGGGTGCAACAGGTAATGTATTGCTCCGTGTTGATCCTGAAACATCATTCAACGAAGAAAGACTGTTCTTTATTTCGTTCGAGCATGCGGCGCTGGTCCTGGTTTGGATGTGTTGCACATCAAGCGGAGCTATACCGACAAAACTACCGTCAAGCAGCAAGATCTTCTTCTTCTATGAAAGACAAAGAAGAAGAACTGAAACTGTGTAGAAAATAAAAGCGAAGAAGATTGATGGAGGATCCTACCAGAAATGTTTCACGACAAAATTTTGTCACCCCGTATGTCCTCCGAATATTATCATGATTACGATGACGTGTGTGACGATTTTCGAAAAAAAACGGCAGATGTATCAAATGCAGCTACGTTCAAATTTTCTTTTCCCAAACACGACTTGAAAAGAACTGCTCGCGAACAAGAACAACAACAATCCCCTGTTGACGACATATAGCCACGAGAAACGCAATGATTTGAATTTCACTTTACGGTCTCCTGCAGCTCTGGTATTTTGATAATTTCGGCGGTGCTATTGCTTGTTTGGTACCGCTGCGGGTTCGTTCTTGGCGATCTGATGAACAGTTCTTATCTGCTCCTATCCCAACAAAAATCTTCCTTTTTCCAAACCGTTTGCTCCACTCCAACGACTTCAGGAGGCTAAAGCTGACCTAGCTATCAGGGTCAGTTGTTTAGCGGCATTTTTCGAAAAGAAAAGCGATAAATATGAATGAAAGTAGTCGCGACAAACACTAGCACGCATTTCTTTACACCCCATCAATCAAGAAATTTCTTTTTTGACACAGTTGTCTTGATCTATGTCTATCAACGAAAACACTTCTAGCGACCTTATTTTCAGATTTAATTCCAACTGGCTTTATTTGTACTCATACGTATTCATCACCCGATAAGCTCTCACGATTTGGTTCCGTATTAAATCTCTATCAACTTCAAAACCCTGTCATTACCGCTTGGATACTCCCCTGCCTGGCCCTAATAGCAGGCGAGTTTATTTATTTCCACACCACAGTTGGCAGCACCAATCTACCCGACCTGGCATACAAGCGGACACAAAGAATGCTGAAGCCCTCGAATTTCGTGGCCGTCGCACCGGACGGTGAGACGAAGATTCTCTTTCATTTCCTAGAGCTGGTGGACAGCTTCTTCATTTACATTTCGGATGTCCGCGACGTTGGTGCACTTGATGACCTACACGTGGGCCTGCCGCCGAGGGGCTTACTCCTCCCAAAAACGACGACGGGAATGGTTCCGGCGGTGCAGCATGCGAAGAAGATTCTTGATACAGGAAACGCTGGTGGCGTCGACAGTGTGAAGATGGCCAGAGCACCAGCTGAAGCCGAGACGAAGGACATAGCATCCAATCCCGTCGAAAATGTTCTCACTCCGAAAGCTAGTTCGAATCCGTCAAACCCCCAGGATCAACACAGTCCCAAACCGGCACCTGTTTCTTCGCTCTTCACCGGAATGAAGTTCAAGATCAAAAACCTGGAGAAGCAAGGGAGTTCCTGTTCCACTGAGTACCCTTCGCAGACGACCAACGACCTCCAGGATAACAACTTCATTAGCGCGGCCTCTTCGCTGCACACCAACCTGTACAACCCGAACTCGGGCTACTCGACGGCCACTGACGGGATGAAAAAGGACCCGTTGAAGCACCCGCTGAGCAAGGTGCTGATGCAAAAATCGAAATCGAACACGCTTGAAAGCCTGGGCGAGGAGGAATTACCCCAACTCGGACGCGAGAACGAGGAAGACCAAACGCCAAATGGCACGAACACCTTCGATCGCACGCATTCGGTGCAGTTCGACATTTCCAACTCCTCGATCGGCCTCCACCCGATGGGCACGCCGCCCTGCACGCGCACGGCCTCGCATTGCACGTCGCGATTGTCGGTCGGCGTCAGCCGCCGCGCGGCGTCGCCCCGGGCGCAAAACATGAACATGCAGGAACACCAGCAGCTGTTGGCCAACTCATTAGCGAAATTGAAGATCAACGAACACGTGCTGCAAATGGAGCACGGAGGACTGCAACTGGCGGACGAGATGTTGTTGCAAGCCGGAGGAGCTACGGGGGCTGTGGACTCGGAGATCTCGGCGAAGTCGACCACCGTCGGAACAGAGGTTACCATGACTGGTTTTCCGGGGGACGCGGAGGAGGAGGAAAGCGCCTCGGGGGTCAAAACTGGGCCTGTTCTTGCCGAGAAGAATGCTCAGGATCTTCGCGTCCAAAAGAAGTCCTCGTTGCTTGCGACCGAAACTGCATCAGCGGCCTCATCTTCTCCTACTGTTGACGACCTGTTCCCGCAGCCCAGTTCCTGCGTAATGGGCTCGTTGGACGGGCTGGGCGGCACGTTGGCGAGTCAGCTAGCCCTGTTCCATAAAAAGCCGATGCACGTCAGCTGCAATCTGCGGGGGAACTGCCAGGACTCGAGTTCGGAAGAGTATGGAAACATGCAGCTGTTCCTCCTCGAGCAGTGTCGGAATTTTTTGCTGAAGCAGCGAGGTGATAACGCGGTGGACAACAAGGTCAAAGAGCAGGAAAGTACGATGTTGGAACCCAAATGTTCTTCGCAGCAGAAAATCGTGGAAGCCGCAAGAGCTGCTGCGCCGCAGAATCGTCCCCCGACAGTGTTGTCGACGCTCGATGCATCTGGCGCGGGCGCTGGGGGCGCATGATCCGATAAGAAAGATTTGTGTGTAATCCATACTTGGTATGTACAGCATCACGACAATGACGAGGACGTCACAAATGTTGATTCAAAAAAAATAGCTTTGATGCAGCGACCAACACGTACTACGTAGAAATTTAAGGGACAGTGCGGCTCGTTTTCGGTTTCCTGTCTTGAAGCGTGTTGTAGTTCTGCCTTTGAAGACTACCTTATCGCGGTGGTCGCTGTCGAGCCCTTTGCTGCCTTCGCGGTGGTGCCCGAACTACAAGCGCAGCGCAAGTAGATGGGACGCATACAAATAAAATGTAAATTGCAACTGTCAAATGGATAAAGCAGCGAATAGCAAGCCTTTCAATACGTAGTAAACCAACTAACTTTATCGAAGATGACGAAAACCGGTCCGTCGAGGCAGTTACAACATCATACCAATGTCTAACTAAAAATATACGAGAGAGGTTCTAAGCTGTTGAAGCGAATTACTTACACCTGCTTGTCAACATCCTCTCGAAAAAAATAGGAGATGAATGCTGATGGAGCTCTAGATCTAGTTTACCGAAAGATCTAGATCGGTACTGAGTGTAGTTTTCCCCCTTTTTTTTCATAGCCCCAGGCTCAGCGACCCAAGGAGTCCAAATCGAGAACGCCTATACTGATGCGCGGTGTTTTTTGCTATACCACAACAAGGCGACCCTGACCCAATATCTCTATTCAATAGAGAGACGAAGTACAACCGCGATCACAAAAAAAACGAACAAGCCCCGTACCTAAGTCACACTAATATGTGGCTTGCGACTGTGCCTGATTTCATGCCAGCCGATGCGCTGCGGTTGATCTCTTTTTCTTTGATGCAAGGAGAAACTGGAAAAACTATTAAGTAGACGGTTGATTTCGTTGCTGGTACTAGATCCAGAAGAGCTTCCTTCCTTGTCCAAGGGATCCATTGAATACCTTTGGATGCTGCTTTCAGGCGCGCCCTCACATGCAGATATTGCCAGCTGCAGGTCGTGATGACATGAAGAGATTCGTGTTCTTCGCTAGTGAATCTGCTGGTGCATAGCTTCTCGGACTGTTTTTTCAGCCTTTTTATTTATGAACTGCGGAGCTAAAGAAATGTCTTGAGAGCAGATATTGACGTTGAAGGAGGGCGAGGGCACGCTATCAATGAGGATCCGAGTGATCACTCTTCACTTGAATTCTAGTAGAAAGAGCCCCCTACGAGCTTGAAATACTTCCGAGATCCTTTTTTCTGTCGCTAATTGGCCTAAACCTGCACCGTGAAGTGCGACGCATGAGTTATCACAGGCATCTCGTCGACGTCTGGTGTGCCGAACACGACACTGCGTAGTTTCTTTGCACGTACCCTAAAGCAAATAAGCTCCAAGGATGGGTTGGCTCGACCTTCTGGGCCTCGGTCCTTCCGGGCCGGTGTACCCTCCCGGGCCTCGCGCGGAGCCGGAGGTGGAAATTCCCACGGGGACCGACACCACTCGCGGCGCGCGCCTGTTCAAGCTGAAGTGCGCACAGTGCCACACGATCAGCTCCGAGGGAATCAACAAACAGGGTCCGTGTCTGTTCAACGTACTGGGACGGTTATCCGGCACCATCCCCGATTTCGAGTACACTATTCCCTGAAAATTACCCATCCCCATCCACTTTTTGCATGACAAACACATGATTTTATGTATGTTTTGCATGACAAATTGGATGGGGATGGGTAATTTTCAGGGCATATACACGGACGCAAACAAACAGAGCGAAATCACGTGGTCGGAGAAACATCTGTTCAAGTACATCGAAAACCCGCGGCGGTACATCCCGGGCACGCGCATGGCGTTTTTGGGGATCAAGGACGAACAGGACCGAGCGGACCTGATCGCGTTCATCAAGGATAATTGTCCAAATAAAAACGGTGGTCATCATGTGACTGCGCCAACGCCTACGCCGGTTGTTTGCGAAAGCAGCACCGGGTCCGTGGGCACGGGGACCGGTTCGGTAAATGATGGGCCTCGTCCGGTTGTAGGTGTAGCGGGAGGTGCTCCAGTGGCCGCGCGTGCAGCGCAGCAACAACAGCGATCACCTTTTGTGTGTGAGCACGGCGGAAGCACGACGAGTAGTTCCCAAACTAAGACTACGGGCGGAGAAAACCCCGGCGCGGTCGTTGCAATAGACGTAGCGCCACGAACTGCGTCAGGAGCCGACGCTGTCTCACAGATGGAGGACAGCATCCAGCGTAATTGCAGGATGGCAGCGCAAAACGTGCAAGAGGATTCTTTCGTGAAGAAAAGTGGTAACCCTAGCACAATTCAGGTTTGTTGAAGAAGGGGAACAGCACCAGCGTTCTATTGCTGCTCGTCGACTTCTGTGCTTCTGCAGTATCGTATCTGTGGATCATGCACTCGTCATCCAACTGACGACGATCTTCAACGAACGACAATCACGAATTTTCCACAGTAGACCCACTACGGCCCGTAGCCTCGACCGACATAGGTGTTGCGTGTAGTGTCGTTACAGGCGGGGGAACACGAACAAAAGACCGACAACGCAAAATCTTCCGTGTCTTTCTTTTAGATTTGGTACTAGCAGGAGACACACGCACCATATTCGTCGAAATGGAGTATTTTCGTATTTGATTGAGGTGTCGTCGTGCTCCATTTCGTTTCTCGATTGGAATGATGTGATTGAGATGCGCTTGCATAGAAGTTCACAGTGCAGTGATAGTGTGGTCAACAAAGAGAAACGAAAAAGAGTAAGAGTTGTCGTGTTATAATTACTGGTTACGAGGAAGCGTGACGGCAATTAGAGAACCGCGCGACTGCTCATGACAATCATGTCGTTGACGCTCAAGCTCTAAGCTAGGAAAACTTCCGCTTCGCTGCAATGTCGACTCGCATTCCAACTTGAGATGTAGGAGCCGAAGTCTAAGTGCAGTGTGTCAGCAAACCGTGTTCGACTCCAGCCACCGTTGTAGTAGGTGTATAGAACAAAAACAATGTTGCAACACGACCCGTCGCCCTTCTCCTCCCCGGTGACCTTTGATCGGGGCCGGGGCTCTTTCGGCCTGTACACCCACCAGTCGCCTTTTGCGCCCTCTAGGAGCCATCAAGCGAAGACCGCGCTTCTCCGAACAGGTTCTTCCTCACTGTACACGGAAAAGCCAGAACCAAGGAGCAACATGTCCTCCGCTGGTTTGGGTTTGCAAACCTCCCCCACCATCAACACGACCTCAAAGTCGGACACGACGGTACAAACGGTTCTCGAAAAGTTGAGAATCCAAGTCCTTGCAGTGCACTCCCGGAAAGCGCCACTCGCGCACCGCAGAAACTACTCACAAGTCGGCGCGATCGCGATGAGCTTCGCTGTTTTCCTGATTCTGCTGCACTACTCGTTTTTCATGCGGAATTTTGTCTTCCACCACAACTTCAGGACGTTCAATGGGACGAGTTACGACAAGAACGAACCCCCCTCCGCGACGATCCAGCATTTGAGGCAGCTGTTCACCTACCGCGGTATCGTGCAGACGTTTCTTTTGGTGATGGTTTTGTGGAGCTTCATTCAAACCGCCATCACGAACCCGGGCGCTCCACCGCCGATCGTGAAGACGCCATACGACGAGAAACTGATTCGGAGAGACACCAACACGGAGATTGTGTGTGAGTCCGTGAAGAAGGAAATCAAAGGGCTGACCCAGGCGGAAAACGAGAGCCGGCAGCGGTACTGCAAGCACTGCGAGAACTACAAACCCGACCGTGTGCACCACTGCCGCTGGTGCAACGCTTGCGTGTTGCGGATGGACCACCACTGTCCATGGGTGAATAACTGCATCGGCTATTTCAACATGAAATTCTTCCTGCAACTCCTGTTCTACGGATTCTTCTTCGCGCTGTACCATTGTTACTTGCTGTTCCACATGATCAAACATCACTGGTGGTGGGTGCGACACGCGGCACGAGCAGGGGCGGGAAATGCAGCTGGTGGGCATGGGAAAAACCACCTCAATGCTGAACGTGATTCGTCGTGGTGGTCCTGGTTCTTTGGAAACAGCAGTAGCCACATCGGAGGTGCTGGCGGGGGTGCTGACGCGAGCGGAAAAGCAATAGCGAGCAGCGGAGCAGTCGGGACGTTCTCGATTGTACAGTTTTTATCTGTTGTTGTTCTCGCACAATTCTTCAAGACTTTTTTCCATTTGTTTTCCAAACAGTTATTTCATCATCGCGGCCGGGCGGAGTGTGAGACCCACTTGCGATCTTGTCGCATTTGCAGTTCGTGTTCGTTAATATTCGGGAAATAACTCTTAACAGGGCTTCTACCTCTCCGCACTAATTTCCTTCGCGCTTTTCTTTGCGATAACGGGTCTGACGATTTTTCACTTTGCTGGCCTGTTTCTGGACCGCACCAGCATCGAGATGATGGATCCGCGGAAACGCGTGTCCGTGAGACAAAAAGTTGTTTCCGTCCTGGGCCGAAACGTACGCCACTGGTTCCTGCCTTACCAGCCAGAGCTACCGGGAGACGGTATTACGTGGCACTTTCCGCTTGTGTAGGTCAGTGATGGCACCACCACCGGTAGAGCAGTGGCTGGCGGCTCTTGAAAGTTGATTCTTGTATGATTTGATTTTGAAGCACGAGGTCGAGCTTCTCGGCACCTTGCTCTTTTCGATGATTGATAAACATCGATGATGTTCCAAGAAGTAGCAGAGAGCCATCTGCGGAGGATAATCGACAATTAGGTTCCATGAATGTATTGATGCAAGTCCCCCTGTAAAAAATGATGTAGCGCCGGTGCCACTGCGACAGGATAACGATGTTTCCTTGTCTCACCGTACTGGCCTCACTGCACCCATCAGACGGTTGAAATTACAAAGCGATCTTAGTATTCGTGTTTGAATGACCGTTCCGTGGCGACGCTGTGTGTGGGTCCCGTCCCGCAATGTAACAATGAATCAACAATAAAGAAGGAACCCACGTCGACCGCTGGTAGAAGGCAGGCTCGCGACGCCAACTGCTCCAGTTGCGAGCCCACCGTGTGTAGGTTTTGTGCATGAAAGCTGTTCCATTTCCGCCTTAATCTTATCACTCCGTCTTGGTCAGTGTTGTTTTTTCGTGCGGAAATTTGCTGTGCCGCTTGAAGTTGCCTAGAATAGGTGGCCTTCACATGATGGTTGGATATCACTTCTGTGCGAGCCGTACGTAGTAAAATGAACTGCGTGACCCAAAACTTAGGAATTTTCCTCTTTTTTTTTGCACGAGGTACAACAACGGAAATGTTTTATTGACACCTGCGCTAGAACCGTGAACTGAACTTCCTCTGCTCCGTTTGGTTTTGCAACTGCGTTTCCTCGTCTTCGTCATTTTTTTCTGCTGCTTGGAAGTCAGTCAGTACTTCTGCGACTCTGACGGTGACCCGTCTTTGACAATTTCCTTCAAAAACACCAAAGAATTAGGAGATATATTACCTTCAGCACTCTACCAAGTTCGAGCTCATCTATTGCGCACTTGCTTTCCGAGCAAAAAGCTACTGCTGTAAAGAATTCTCTGAATTTGAGCATCTGACCCATCGATCTGTCAAAATGGCCGTCATTCCCTGCGACCCGACCTCCAGCTTCTTCGGCTTCATGGGGGTAACCTCTGCCATCGTGTTCGCGAACCTGGGAGCCGCCTACGGGACCGCCAAGTCCGGGGTCGGAATCATGTCTATGGGTGTGCTGCGACCTGAATTGATGATGAAGTCCATCATCCCGGTGGTCATGGCTGGTAAAGCTGTTTTGTAGACGTCGACCAGTGCTTGTCTGTAGTGCATGTTGATCATATTCGCCCGTGTCTATGCGGCAGAAGTATCCAGGAGCTGCAAAACATAATTGCAATCAAAAAAAAAAAAACTAAATCAGGTGTGTTGGGTATCTACGGATTGATCACATCCGTGATTATCAACGAAAAGCTAAACGAACCCGCCAAATACTCCGCCTACCAGGGGTATACTTCCACATTTTTGAATGATGAAAAACAAAAATCGTCTTTTGGACGTCGAAGGTGTTATGGAAGAATCACGTTATTTTGATATTAACGCTTTCATGCGCGCATCCCAAAACAAGGAACTCTGACTCACGTCACCCTTACCACAGTTTCGCCCACCTCGGTGCCGGCCTCACCGTCGGGATGTCTTCTCTCGCTGCGGGTCTCGCCATTGGTATTGTGGGCGACGCCGGTGTCCGCGCCAACGCCCAGCAAACCCGCCTCTTCGTCGGCATGATCCTGATTCTGATCTTCGCCGAAGCCTTGGGCCTGTATGGCTTGATCATCGGATTGGTGGTTGCTTCCGGTGCCGGCAACGCCAGCGGGCTCTGCACGCCCTACAGCGGTTAAGTGGTGGTGCAATTTATCTTCGTAGACACCTCCGCGGCGTGCACCTGCGCGAGGACTACGAATGCAGCATCAGTTTCTGTTGCGGACGGAGAAAGTGCGACCTCAAGTAACTTTTCTTTTTCCGCAGGGAAAAGGGTGGGAAGGCAAATCCGGCTTCTCAACGTAGGAATTTTCGCTTTCGCGGTTGTGTTACTTCTCTGTAAGTACTTTGATTACTTTTCTTGCTTGATTTCTTTGTCAACAGCGTCATCTTCTTCTAGAACTAGGTGGCCGACTTCCTATCTTGTCAGGGGCTGTTTGGAAAGTTGAAAAGTTCATGGATCCGGAAGCGACGAAAAATTATACACAGCTATAACTGAAGTTCTTACGATCTGAGCGTAGTTCATTTACCACGATCAAGCTCGAACGAAGATCACGCACTGCGTGGTAATTCGTTCTGGTAAGAAGTGGCGGAGGGCTTTGAAGATGATTATTTTCACATGAACGAAGGGAAGATAATTCCAACGCACAGCACTAGTTTTTTCTCTCGCCAACCTTCTTCGAAAGAACCGTTCATCGTGCTGCAGGAGCATGCTGCTTGCCAGAGCGACGCACTTGCGCGGAGTCTTGTTCTTTTTTCTGTTCTCTATATGGGTTCTGCTTCTGCCACCGTGGTTTTCGTCTATTGAAGTTTTTTCTTTTTTTGACGGGTAGAACTACAACACAAGTGCGACCAAGCCAGGTGGAGCGCCGCATGTTTTGTTTCACGAGAGAGTCTGACCCTGCACTATGAGTGACGGCGGTTTAGCTCCACTGACTTCTCATGTCCGACTCCGGGAGCGAACGCGATTGCGGCATTTGCTAAACAATATGTATCATGGTTATCACCCGCCTTTTGGTAAATCTTGCTTTATTTATTATTTCAGATTCATTCAGAAGAAGTAAAAATCGCTCCGTTTGATAGAGCAGTTGCAAAGTCGTGATAAATAAAAGCACTACAGTTGAACACCCAAAAGATGCCGGCACCAATCACGAACAGCTCCACCTCCAACACCATGGGCCCCATCTGCGCCATGGGTGCCGCCTCGGGAGCATTGTATAATCTACTGCACTATCGTTGCAAAGAAGCATGGGCATGCCTGCTTCGTTTTCTCTTTTTGTTTCGACACAGCATTGCATTAGCATAAGTTTTTATATCAGAGCAAGGAGTAGTTGAAAATGGAATCACTGACGATCATGAAAGAGAAAAACTCATACTCACAACCTGCCTGACAAAAAATCAGCTTCTACATGTACGCGGTCAACCACTCCCGATCGGAATGTATGCTTGCAACCGTTTGAGTCGTGCTTGTATGTCCTTGTGTCAAGTAGTACGTCAACATGTGAGTGAGTACTGTATCACCAGCAGCAGGACAGAAATAAATGTAGCTCTTCTCATTTTTGATGCGAATCTGATCAGCATGCGTCGTGAGAGGTCTTCAAAGCGACTCAGCCTTTTGCTCGCACAAACTGGGTCGACGTCTTGCTGGATTACTGCCATCACAAGCGCAGCCAATACTCCCCAATGCGAACGGACGCGGTACTCTACTGCTGGTGCTCGTCGACCATGAAATCTTCCAGAGGATGAAACAAAAAATTTTGATTCTGGTGATGGTACACCTCTGAGTGTGATCATATGATGATTTTTGATTATTCAATTTCAAAAACTCAAAAAAAAAAACCGCAGATGGTCCGAAACGCGCTGCGTATGATGAAGGTGGTGCCGAAATGAAGCCTCTGCGGTGAATATCGACGTGGGTGTCCGCCGCAATCGTGGCGAAGATGTCGATGGTGGCACTTCTTTTCGTCTGTGGCAAACGGGAGCACGAAAATTTGCTCAAGTATTGATAGAGCAAACCGCCTCGTCATCCATGTTATACCCGACACTTCTTTGGATGATTAAAGGTACATCATCTGAAGAAAATGAGAGGGCAATCGACAAGTGAGTACAGACAAGATGGGATGTCGATTCTTGCTTTCTTTAAAAATTGTTGCGGACCTTGACCACGCACTAGTGTTCTCGTAGTGCGGGACGAACAATTTCAAAGTTGATGTGAAATACAGACTGAAGTACTAGTACAACAGCTAAGATCACTTGTCGAGGAGAAGTGCCGTGTGCTCTTCCGGATTTCTAGAGCTAGGGTGATTATGAGCCGAATTATTGTGCCGGAGATGTCGGAGCTGATGTAGTTGCTTCCCCTTTTTCCTTCTCCGCTCATTATCCGTAGTTTTTGGTATACAAATCAGGCCGTGGTGCGCAGTTTCAAGAAATAGCTATGCGCTCTCTTCCAACAGGTAAGACCTAACTCTAAGAACTCACACAAAGTCAATCGAAACACAAGTGAGAACTACAACTTGAACTTTCACACTGTTCTTGTCACAACTGACACGATGGTCGCGGTTCCTGACAACGTAAACACGAGTCTCAAGCGACCGCTGGAGGAGGCGACAGTCGAAGACCCGGATGGCACGAGCGCTGCGAAGAAGCAGAAGCTCCCGGAGAAACTCGCCTCTCCAGAGAAGCTGCTGCCGCCAGAGGATGTCGGCGCCGCACCTGCGCCAGCACCCGCAGCGGAAAGCGAGAAAACTACGGGAAAACCAGATGACAAGGACGTGATTATGGCAGACAGCGGCGTAACATCAGCACCCTCCGCGATGCCTCTCGTCGGAAATTCCGCGGCCGCATCGTCCAGCAGCACTAGCGCAGCCGCTAGTGGCGGGCCGTCAAAAGCTAAGTGGAACGCGGGCACTGTGATGGAAATGATGCAGAAGGAGCGAGAGGAACAATTGAAAGGCTCCTCTTCTTCCTCCTCTAAGGCACCAGCAATACCTCCCGGAAAGTCCGTGAAGCAGCCCGCGGCCGCCGGCGCTTCAACCTCGACAACCACCGCCACCGGACCGCTTTCCTACTGGAACACCAGCACGGGTGAGGGCACGGCGGAGAACTTCCGCAGCGGGAATAAGGACGCACAGAAGAAGCTGAACTCGACGAATTACCACCCGGCGACGTGTAGCTACGAGAAGGGTAAGCCGCTGCCTTTTCAGCTGATCACCGACGGCTTGACAATGATCGAGGAGATGATAGGGAGTGGCAAGGGGAGTAACAAAATGAAAATCGTCGTCTTAACCAACCTGTTCAGGACGATCATGCTCAAAAAGCCCGAAGAACTGATTTCCGCCTGCTACTTTCTGCTTTCCAAAGTCGCGGCGGACTACGAAAATGTGGAAGTCGGGGTGGGCGACGCATTGGTCTTCAAAGCCGTATCGACCGCGTTCTCGTCCTCACCGCAGGCCATCCAGGATCTGATTACGCGGTCGGAGGCGCAGGACGTCGGAGAAGCGGCTCTGATTTTGAAGATGAAAACGAGGCAAATCATGACGCCGGCGAGGCTGACGATCACCAAGGTAGAGATGACAGTAAATGAGAAGCTTGTGTTGCGATGCATTGCAATTGCTTCGCTTTGCAAGTCCAAGTACTTTTCACATATTTCCGCGCGATTTGAATATATCTCGCTTACCGGTAACGGTATGATTAGACGATGAGACCAACAAGCATCAACATGACTCCGTTCCATTTCTCGCATTTTTTTAGGTTTTCACCGAGATCCGGGACAAGATCGCGAAGGTGGAAGGGAAGAACAGCCAGAAGACGAAGCAAGAAACGATGCAGAAGCTGATTGCCGCTACGCAGCGCGACGAAGTGAAGTACTTGGTGCGATCCTTCCAAGCCAAGCTGCGCGTGGGGATCAACACCGCAACGATTCTCACTTCCCTCGCGCACGCCGTCGTTTTCGCGGAGTGCTGTGATAAACAGGAAATCGGAAAAGCGGCTTTTGGCACGAGCGAGGAGCTGGACGTGAAGTTGCAGAAAATGGAGCTCGCGGTGAAGAAAGCCTACTGCGAAATGCCGAACTACGAAAGAATCACGAAAGCACTTTTGGAGAAGGAAAAGGTGAAGGTGAAAAACGAGACAACCGGGTTGGAAGAAGAAAGAGAAATCTCGATCACGCCGGAAAAACTCGGCAAGGTCTGCAAGATCACGCCGGGGATACCGCTGAAACCGATGTTGGCCAAGCCGTCGAAAGGGATCTCAGAAGTGATGGAGCGGCTCGCGGGCACGAAGTTTACCGCCGAGTTTAAATACGACGGCGAAAGGGCACAGGTACACGTGTACAAAACAAAAAGTGGAAAAATTGAGTACCGGATCTATTCCCGGAACAGCGAGAACATGACCCAGAAGTACCCCGATGTGCTGGAAATCGTGAAGGCAAACATGACGGAGAACGTGACAAGTCTAATCGTGGACGCTGAGGTAGGTTTTTTTTGAAGATAATGAAGAAGTAGCTTCCTCAAGAAGGTTGGGTGCACAAATGACATTAATGCCAACTCGCTCATGTAAAAGTAGGCACGTAAAGAGCTGGCGTCTTACAAAAACACTAGTACAACCTCCACGAACCCAGATCGTCGCGTACGAACCGGCAACGAAGACGATCCAGCCGTTTCAAAAACTCTCCACCCGGTCGAAGAAGAACGTGAAAGTGGAGGAAATCAAGGTCCAAGTTTGCCTGTTCGCCTTCGACCTGATCTTCCTGAACGGACGGCCCTGGACCGGGAAAACGCTACGGGAGCGGCGCGACAAGCTCGTGAGTAACACGGTGCTGAAGAAGGAGGAGGGCAAACTGCACTTCGCGGAGGGGAAGGACATGGATCTGGAGGAGGAACCCATTCAGCAGTACCTGAACGAAGCGATCAACGCGTCGTGCGATATGGGCGTGTCAGGATTGAAATCGACAAAGTTGAAATAACTTGTAATGCATAAAATCGATACCAGTGAGTTGGAAACCCAATTTCCAAGCGGTGCGTGACAAATTTCGGCGCCGTCTAGTAAAGCCAGTTTGTCATGCTGTTTAGGGGCAGAAGGCGTCTTTTGTCATGCTAGTTTAGCAGCTCTATCGCAGACCCAAAACAGGCTTACAGTCGGCCTCACTTGCCATCTCTGCAAGAGAGACATTTCATGCCTTGCCATTTATGCATGAGAAATTATATTCAACTTTGACGATTTCAATCCTGACGCTTCCATATGCGAGGGCTTGATGCTAAAAACATTGGACGACAACGCCACGTACGAACCGTCGAAACGCTCGCTGAACTGGCTCAAACTAAAAAAAGACTACATGCAGGGCATGAGCGACAGCGTCGACGTGGTGCCGATCGGTATTGATAGAGTTATTGCACGTTGACTTCGCCAGCATGTTGTTCACGTGGTCGACAGAGTAGACAGTAGTAGTTCACATTTTGCTAAATTATGCCGTGGGTTGGAGGTGATACGCAGCAGCAGCTGTCAGGTGTTACACTTTCACTTCGTACATCGTGCATGATCAGGTGCCTGGTTTGGGACCGGCAAGCGTACGGGGGTGTTCGGCAGTTACCTGCTCGCCTGCTACAACCCGGATAACGACGAATTCCAGACGCTCTGCAAGGCGGGGACGGGGTAAGAGAGCGATTTCTAATTTGAATAGGCAGCACTCTAGCATGATGAACTTCAGAACTTAGCTGTTTATGCATGACAAACTCATACCTATACCATAGGTATTCCGACGAGGACTTGAAGCAGCACCACCAATTCTTCAAGGACAAAACTCGCACCGATCGCCCGGACGGCAACGTTTTATGGAACGACACGCCAGCGATCAAGCCCGATGTGTGGCTCGAGATATGTCAGGTGATTCTGCCCTCTAGGTTGTCTGTCATTGGGATGATGTCGTATATCTTCTGCATGTGCATCAATGAATTGCAATGTTGAACGACTTTTGAACAGAAGTGAAGTCCACCAGCGAATTCGAGTGATTGTGTATTGTATTTTGAGGTACAGATCGATGCAGATTGGGCCAAAATCAAACACGCACACTAGGTCTGGGAAGTCAAAGCCGCCGACTTGTCTATCTCCCCTGTCCATTGTGCCGCAACCGGCATGGCGCACCCGGACAAGGGCATCGCGCTGCGGTTTCCGCGGTTTATCCGGATTCGGGACGACAAAAATCCCGAGGATGCGACGACGAACGAGCAGATCAAGCAGATGTACGACCAGCAGGCTGTCATTTCCAGTGGAGGCACTGCCGATGTCGCGGGGGACGACGATTTTTTGTAACAAGAACCAGCAGAACTTTCCTTTTCGAGGCCGCGTTCGACTTATGACACTTGCAACGACCGGCTGGTGCATGTTGTCCTTCTTGAAGATCGTGCTATTGCTGGTATTGTTTCGAAAAAGCGCAACTTTGACAAAGCGATATGATCAGCGAACAAGCCACAACTGACTCCTACTGCCTTTGTATATGGTGTACAAGGACGCGATCCATCATCTCGTCTCCCATGATCCTTGTTCCTCGCTAGAACAGAAGTCCACCAGCTCATGTTGATAATCCATCGGTGTTTGCCAGCTTTCCTGACTTTTTTTTTTCCTGTTCATCGGACTTGATTTTTTCATGTGGGCCAATTCCCAACAACCACAAATTGCTATAATTGCCTTCAAGAATGAAAAAGTGAATTCGCAGCAGGGGTGGCGCGCGTCGGTGTGGAAAGCTGGCGACCAACGGCCTCCCGTGACGAAGCAGCAATGGCCGGGCCGTCCGTGCAGCGCGCGCCCTGTGTCGCCGCAGCGGCTATCGGTCGCAATATATGGACAGGCTGAGCATTGTCCATCCCCGAATGAAGAAGGGCGGACTGGAAAAAGGGCAAAGAGCTCGGGAGCTTTTTCGTTGTAAGTACTATGGTCGGCCGCTTCTCATTTGAGGGGGCAGAGCGATGACGCAAATCGAGGCGCGACGCAGCGCGCCACGCGGGGCGGGGCCCACCCCGCCGGACCGCGCGCCCGGAGGGCGCGCGTTTTTTTTTCAGCCAGCCCCGCGGCGGCCCGCCGGTGCTGCGGTCGCACGGGGGTGCAGGGTGGGACCGCCGACCGAAAAATAGTGGCGCCGGGCGGCTGCGTGCGCAATTAGCGCACGGAGTGGCTCGTAAGGTAAATAAGGGACGCAGTGGCGCGCAATGGCGCTGCCACTACACGCCACTAACTACCGGTCGCGACCCGGTAGTGGCTCGCAAGGTAATTAGTGGCGCGCCCCCCGGCATGGCAATTAGTGGCGCGGGGCCGTTTTTGCTAGTGGTCATTAGTGGCCCGGCCTGGCCGCCACCTTGCCGGGCCAGCCGCGCCGGCGCCGCTCTGGGCCGCCGGCCCAGGGGGGCGCCAGCCGAGCCGCGCGCCCCGCCGGCGCATGAGCCACGCAAAAAAAATCTCGGAGTGCCGCTTCGCCACACGGCGAGGGTTGTTGCAACCTGCTCACAGCCGTCTCCCTCGCCCGGGACCGTTTCCGGTGTGTTCGCACCTACGCGCTACTATTTCCGGGCCAGGGATGTGGTGTTTCTTCTTCTCCGGTAGCAGTGCGGATCTCGGAACCCAGGGGGGCAGCGACGCGGGGAAGGGGCCGCGACAGGGCGGCGCGTCCGGTGTTTCGTCGTGTTCGGTGTGGCTTGCGACATGTTGTCACAGTGCTGCCTCGGATCGAGATGTGGACTTTTTTTTTTCAATGCAAATATAGCAATTAGTGTTTGTTGGGAAATTGGCCTACTTGAATTTTTCTGTTCTTATGCTGGAATATTTTTTGGCAAATGCTCTTCCTCTTTCTTACTTTGAATTGATAAAAAAGACTGCTTTGTAAAAAAGACGAAGGAATTTGCAAGCAGTTGTTGTTCGCGATATTCGCATTCGCTGCTCTTCGTGTATATAATTTGTACGTAATTCTTTCAGGTAGAGGACTCACGTACCAGGATGAGGAGTGGCAGCGAAAAAAGGAAGATCTCGGGAAACAATGGAAGGACGCTATCAAGGCCGACGACTTCGACAGAGCTAAGGAAATCGTCAAGGAGCTCCATGCCGGACTAGAGCAGCACGATCGACAAAAAGCGGAGGAACTCCGCAGAAAAATCGAGCAGGCTGAAGAAGCCGCACAGCAGAAGGAACGCGAAGAGGAGAAGGAAAAGAAGCGAGAGACGCAGAGGCGCAAACAGGAGGCAGCGAAACAAAGGGCGCAGCTCGAGAATGCGTGGGATGAACACGTGGGAGGAAAAACATCGAGAAGGTCCACACTGCAGGCGGCAGCGGGAAGGTTTTTTCGGGGTGGAGGAGCACATTAATAGAGCCACAACGGTTAAGAGCAAGTTGTCGATAGGAGTGTAACTTTATTTAAGGTTGGATGGGTGTAAATTCTGTTCTTGTTTTCCACCTCTGTACCGTACTACGTTTGTGCGATCGACACGATTAGACGATGCGCCGTGTTTGCTAGCTACGAAGATGTTGTTGATGAAGATGATCTATTGATTCTTGATGAACAGCTGGCAAATGTTGAATAGCTATGTTCGTAGGAGTTGTTTACGTAATCATGTATCCCTATGATAACAGGCTCAGAATCCACATCCTAGTTGTCGGTTTCACAGAGCCCTTGTGCTCTTCGAATATTTATAGTTTGAAAGCCCCAGTAGCATAGATGAAGAAGAAGATGTTTTCCCGATGTCGAATTCGATGCGAGAGCAAGGGACGATGATGTTCTTGCTTACCTTTGTTTTTCTTGTTTTTTTGATGTGTCGATGAAATAGATTTAAGGATGTCAGGAGGTGGAGGAGGTAAGAAGATTGCCAGGCATTGAAGTAGAGCAAACTTCCGTCTTTTTTCGACGGTGTGGAGTGAGAAGTCTGGCAAGCAGAAAGTCATCCAGATGCTCAGTGTCAGTCAGATTGACAGTGTCCGGAGCGACCCTCTTTATGTAATTGAGTGAAGATCGCTCTATCCACCATACCCTTAATCTGGGTGCCTGGTCTTCTTTGGGGTGGAGGAGGGAGTAGCGCGCAGCAGTCCGCCAAAGGGCGCAGCGCCAGCACCGTCATCGTGTATGGGTACAGCGGGACGCGAAGATGGAAATTGCTGTGCGAAGAAGAATTCCGTAAACCTGTGGCCCGACTCGTTTGATCTTCAACTTCATTTTCGTGCAACAGTCGGAGCGGGAGGAGCTCTTAGCAATCAAGATGTCCCGTCTGCGTGGTCATGCCTGTCCTCATGTTCGCCTAGAGATTCTGGATTTTCTTGTCGACTTCGGTCGGTCCGTTGCTGTTGCTGCCGGGAGGTCAGCTTCTATGCTTGCAGGAGCCAATCGAGGTGATATAATCGAAGATGGTCGTATTTTTCTTTCCGCACCGACTACAAAAAAGATCGCAGTCATCACTCTCGCGAAAGAGCCCGTGAACCTGTTGGATGATTCACTTTGGCAGCAGCTCCACACCGCCTTTCAAGCGGTGCTGGATGAACAGGAAAAAAGCAAAAACATCGTCGCCTGCTTTCTCCGATCCGGTTTAAAATCCAAAAAGACCTTCACTGCTGGCGGCGATTTAAAGGAAATGGCAGCGCAAATCGCTTCGAAGGACTTCCAGAAGTGCCGCGAATCGCAGAATATTTTGTCTCGAACCCTCCAGCTCATCTACACCTTCCCGATCCTCACCATCGCGTTGATCAATGGCTTCTGCCCCGGCGCCGGCACGGTGTTGATCTTATCCTGCGACATCCGGATCATGACGGCAAAGCATGCGGCGGTCGGACTACCCGAAATCGCCGTCGGACTCCCGGTGCCGTGCGCCTGGGGCGAACTGCTGGAACAGCGGTTGGCGGACAAAACGGTGGCGAAGGAAATGCTGCTGAGCGGGAAGATGGTGACGGGAGCAGAAATTATTGGAGACAGAGAGGCGGGTCGTTCGTACGACGGTCTAGTGCAGCTCGTTTTGGATGAGGAAGAAGATCGTTTAGGTTCTTCGACGATTAAGGGACAAGGAGACGCTGGGACGAATGGTATGGACCATGCTGCGGAAAGAGTAAGAAATGTCTCCCAAGCGATCGATGCTCTGATGCGGTCTCCCGGCAGCGCAAGCGCTGCCCGGAGTACATCCGTGCCTTCCCCATTCTTTGCAGATTTCATCGCACTGATGCACAAAAACAACTCAACGAAAAGCAGTGCGAGCCCGGAGAACCATCCACCGCAAGCTTTTCTCAATACGCAGAATCGAGCGTGGGCCCAAACGAAGAGGCATCTCTGCCAGCCGTTTCTGGAAAAGTGGCAAAAAGAGTTCGAGACCCACGTTGCTTCGAATTGGAAGTTTCTGACGCAGCCGGAGACCGTGGAGGCCTTGCAGTACTACCTGTCGACTTTGAAGAGGAAAGACAAACTAGAATCCGGAGGACATGGCGCCTCAAAGTCGAAGCTTTGACATCAAGCAACAAAGACATGATGACGGCAGTAGTCCGTGACGCCCATTGGTCGCGTCACCACAGTAATTTCCTGTCGGGGAAGGCCTAGGCCAAAACAGAAGCGTTTTTGGAAACAAGTAAGCGGTACTTACGCCACGGAAGGTCTGCCCATCTGGTAGTACATAGGCATCTCCATCTGCTGCAGCAGCAGCGTTGCCCTGGGCGCAGAAGCAGATGATGAAGATGATAGTGACGACACAACAAGTGATGAGTGTAGTGCATCTATCTCCTTGTTCCAGTGGTAACGTTTTGAAAAGTTAGACATCTTCAGTATCAGTCCCTTGACCGTCATGTTTCTACTTTCTGGAGGGCAGTGGAAGTGCGAGTGTTCAAACGGAAACATCGCGAAGCTGCTAGCAGGCCACTGACTTTCAGACGAAGACGTCGTCGAAGATAATCGTAATATTCGTATAACATCAACAACAACATAGATCATGCATATATCGACATCTTCGTGCTTTTCGTCTTTCGTTTTTCGCATGAAAATTCGTCTTCAAGAAATCTTTCGCTTGCAATTCCACCATTCGCAGAGCCGGCGAGATGATCAGGTGGATCGATAAAAGATTTATCCACCTTAACAAATTTCATCTGCCACCACATTGACGATGTTGAGCGTGAGAAAATAAAATTAGGAACGGCCGGAGGCCGTACCTTTATCGTCATCGTAGTGGTTCGATCGTGCGTGGTTTGTACTTTGTAGACCACTTATCCTGCCTTCAGTTTGCAGGCTCTTGCGCTGCGACGCTCGATGAGCATCAGAATGATCACGTGTCATGCTGCTTTTGTTTGAAGGGACGCACCTCATTTCCTTTTACATTTGAAGAACGATATCACCGACCTTGAAGATTCCAGTTTTCTTGCGTCATACGGAACATTGTCTCAACATGACGGGAATTGTACCACGCATGTCTGTGGCCGAGCAGCTTCTCAGTTCGTTGTTTGACAGCCGGGCACCACAAAAGCATCACCCTCACATCGCTTTTCCCGCGAACAACGAGAACGATCAGCAGCAGCACGGCACAGCACTTACACCAAGCAATCTCCACGACCAGACGAGCGGAATATTCCGGTTCAAAACCGCCTTCGCCGATGTGTCCAACGTCGACCTGGACCCCCAGAAAATTGTCGACAAGGGCGGGGAGCTTCTCGACAACGCCGGCAGAGACCTGGAAAAGGCGGGCGCCACCGCGGGCAAGACCATCATCCAGGTTGTCGACAAGGGCGGGGAACTCCTCGACACCGCCGGCAGAGACCTGGAAAAGGCGGGCACTACCGCGGCCAAGACCATCGCGAAGCCCTTCGAGGACACGGCAAACTACGTGGAGACCGCGGGCACGAATTTGGCCAAGGATCCCGAGGGCACCATCAAGAACTCGGCCCATGACATCGACAGTTGGGTGTACAACAACGAGGATAATTTTCGGGCGGCCGCCGCAGATGTGGGAAACTCCGCCCCGGGCCAAGCGGTCATCGGCACGGCGTCGGCCGTGGGCACCGCGGTTGCGGAAAACGAGCATGTGCAGGAGGAGATGGAGGACCTCGGCCTCACGGACCACGATCAGGAGCTGGAGGACCTGAAGGAAGTTGCCAATGGCTTCAGCAGTTGGGACAGCACGAAGGAGATGCTGGGGGACCCAAACTCGAAAAACGCGCAGCTGGCCATGGGCCTGGCCGCCGGCGGGCCGGCGCTGTCGAGTTCGATGGTGAACGGCGCGCAGGACAAGTACGGAAAATTTTTTGCGCAGTTCGAGGACGCGGTGCCGACGGAGGTGGAGGATCTGAAGCCGCCGATGCTGCGGTCGAATCCGTTGGAGCAGTTCCACGAGCTCAAGCAGGTGGGCGGCGACTTGATTGTCGGGCCGGCACTGAAATTACAGAAGATGGTCACGGAGTGGAACCGGAATTTTGAAAAATTCCAAAGAAACCCGACCAGGGAGATGGTAGGCTGGAGAACTTGTTGGTGGAGTTTGGTGGAGCACAGACTTCTTCTCGCGGGCTGTGGCTTGATTTGCATAGTTGTACATAATTCGGTTTTCGTTTTCATCATTTCTTTGCAGACGTACAGGTAGTTCTAGTTGCTACGCGAATGCATAGGCTTACGCAACGGCAACAATGCATAGGCTTGTTAGGCCTGCGCCAATTCTTCTGTGCGACATGCTTGGCGCACGGTTCTTGATATGTGTCACGCACAACCGAGCAGTCGCTGTGCCCTTTCTCGAACTCCTCCATTTCGCCAGCATACCTCGGCCTCGCCCTGTACCGAATGAAGAAGAAGCTCGACCATGTCGGCGGCGAGTTGCTGGACACCGGAAAAACCGCGGCCAAACTTTTCAAGCAGACCGCGAAGGAGGGGACGCGGGCCCTGGTGCGCAACGCCAAGGGGCTCCTGCAGAACGAGCCGCCGGTCGAACCGGGCAACTTGATTCCGAAGGAAGTGACGGAAAACGCGTTAGGTGCCTACAACGCGGCCGCTGCGGCGTTGAAGGTGGAGAGTCTGCCGACGCTGTTCAAAATGTACAGTGCGGGGGACCTGATGGCGGGGAACATTTACCTCTCCATGATGGCGACGAAAACGCGACAGCTGCGGCGGGAGGTGGCTGACTGGGCTCGGGAAAACGCGGACCGCACCGAGATGGAGGATGCGATCCTGCACAAGCGCCGACCGCTGTACGACCCGAACTCGAAGACGGAACGGAAGTGGCGCAAGTTGTACGGGAACAACGCAAACAAGTTGTTCAGCAAGGACTTACACTCCGACTTCGACACCCGCGACGGCCAAAAGTACTTCCAGTACCGGGGCCGCGGCACCACGCCGCTGTATTTGGAGCAGAATCTCGTCGAGTACACGAACGTGACGGACCCCAAGTTCCAGGCCAAAGCGTTCACGGACTGCGGCAAGACATTAAAGAGCGGTGTTTTTTCCACCACGTACCTGCACCCGTTCCTCGTATTCAAAAGGCCCGTACAACAGGTGCACGTCCGGCTGCGGAACCACTACCACCCGGAGCAGATCCTGTACGACGCGGATTTTCAGCTGAAGGAACCCTCGAAATACCTGTCCGAAACCATGCCGCCCATCCGCGGGTGGTTTCACCCGCATCTGAACCTCTTTCGCTCCGAGGACAACCCGCCCTACACGGGCCACAGCGCGCTCCCGGGCGTGGTGAAAAATCGGGTCACGGGGGCGACGGACCGCGAGAAGTATGGCCTCCTGCGGTGGCCGAAGCTCTGCGGCTACAGCAGCGAGGAGGAGTACAAGCAATTGCTGAATTTTGCGAAGGTCAACGAGGTGGAGGCGCACAAGAAATCAGTCACCGAACACGCAAAGTCCCTCGCTGGCCAGGCGCTGCGGAAAGTGGGGGAGCTGTTTACGGGGAAGAAACCGCAAGCGTTTAAAGGACGACCGCACCCGCTCGTCGCGGTGCCGCCGGCAGTTGTGAAAAAAATGGAAAAGAAAACATCTGGTGGAGTAAACCAAGCGCAGCAGCCAACCGGAGTAGATCCAAGCGACGCAGTAGAGCTGGACGAGAAGGAGAAGCAGACCCTCTACGACACGCAGTCCGCTTTGAAAGCCTACAAAAACTTTAAGACGTACTCGAACTTTGAGAAAAAAGACGGCTCGCCCGTGCTCACCGACGGGTTCTGCCCGGACCCCTTTAAGCCCTGCCAAATGTACGAATTGGTGGTCACGACGGACCAGTCGCTGCCCCACATCAACGCCGGCGAGAACCTTTCGCTCGAAGAGGGGCCAAGCCTTCCCGCAGTCAATCTGGTCGACTACGAGGACGCGGGGAACAGTTTCGGAACGGTCGGCAATTTCCATGGCGAATCCGTGAATTCTACGTTCGTCGACTCCGGCCTGCAGGACCGCATTCTGTTCGGCGTGCAGGGCGGGAACCTGTCGCACGTGGACAAAAACTTACTGGCGGACGCGAAAGACTATCTGTCGAGCCAAAACGCGAAGGACCGGCCGCGGCCGCTCGCGCGCGACATTCTGGAGTGGAAATTGATGGGACCGAAGTCGAAAGTCGGCGACGGCCGGCGCGTCGGGGCGAAGCGCGCCCAGCTGTTAACCGGGACGGCGAGCAGCTCCGGCGACGTCGAAACGCAGGAGGGGCCCCCGGCATTCGGGGTGGCCACCGAGGTGGGCAAGCACAATCAGAAGAGCATTTTCGGGAAATACCAGGCGGAAGCGAGGATGATTCCGAAGGAACTGGTAAAGGAGACACTGGAGAAGGGAAATCTCCAAACGGGCCTGATCAACGACTATTACGCGGTGAAAAAGAAAAACCTCGATGGCAGCCGAAAATTGAAACAAGTCTTCGACTTGTAGGAAAAAATCGAGCTGTGATGAATGTTGAGAATTTAATCGACGTGGATCACACAGAAGATGGAGTGGAAGAGACAATCTTTCAACCCCTCGGCCTCGTCCTCGGCGAGCCACAACATGATTAATTTGATAGTGCGAGTGGTCTGGTACTCCTACTCGTGACTTGTCTGGCTCTGAATCTGGATCAACTTTAGCCACAACCGAAGTAAGTGCAACAGAAAAACAATGCAATTGAGACTTGTCTGAGAGGGATCCAAACGAAAGACCCCAAATCTATTTCTAGCGTTGAGCGGATCGGAATCTATCAGGAAGTGATCATTGCTGACGTGGACGTTGAGGAAAAAAGAATATACGATCAAGGTCAAGACGACTCCACTGACTCGTTCTTTTTCCCCAAACGATAACGAATGAATCGTCGATGTCAGATGCAAGCTATCATGGCCAAAGCGATCATTCAAAGATCTATGTACGCTGTGGAAAGGTCTTTACGATGCAACTGCGAGCGTTCGTTTACTTCAAATGAAAATTTATTCATCGTCGTGTGCTTTCATTTGATTTTTTTTCAGGCCGAGGTCACAACGAACAAGCTGGCATTGGATTTTTTTCCGAGAAGCGCAGCCTTCACTTTATTTCCTTTCGATAAGTAATTTCTTTAGCACCAAAAAAGCTGTAAGTCGTGTCGTATCTATTATTTTCACGAATTTCAAGCGATAGCAGTAAGCTTCGGGGCTCAAGCTGCGACATCTTCTATTCGTAAGAACTACATCAACTTGAGTCACATTGCGCGTGTAGCACTTCATCACTACATACAAAGTAGAAGATTTCTTTAGATTCAGCATCAGCACGCGAGAATGGTTTTCTTTTTATTGATATTTTTTTTCGCTGTCGCCGAAGCAATGGCGGTACAGGTCGCCGCCAGCACGCGCGCGCATTTGGAAGATACAACGTCGAGCCGCGACACTCTGTATTATTCCATGGAGTTGGGGGACGGTGAAAGTCCGATCGCCGGCGTCAATGCCGCTGCCGATTCGCCGCAAGAACAGACGGTAGACCGAGAAACTGCCGAGTTTCTACGTTGGCGACTGCAAGAGCAAGTTGCAGCAGGCTCTGCAGAAGGAGTTTCGGTCTGCGTTCTTGCGACGCAACGCGTTGGTCTACCAATGCCAACCGGAAACAAACAACCCACCATTCCGAGCAATGTTGACGCTCGAGCTGGACGCGGATGATCTTGAGAGAACTTACACCGGCCCGCGCCACGTGCCGCTCGGCCCGCAATTTGCAACGAAGAAGCAGGCAGAGCAGGACGCAGCAAGGCGGTTCGCTGCAGTCCTGAGCCAACATCAGAGAGTGAGTCCCGGCAGCGCGGCGACTCGACGAAGCGAGACTTTTGAGTTGGTGGAGGATGACGGCGCGAACGGAAGAGCCGAAGAACCAACACCGGGACAACTGCAGTCGGCCCTTGCGGCACTGATGCTGACGGATGAAGGAGGCGTAGGCAAAGAGGAGACTGCGCCCGAGGAGGACGGGGACGTCGCTAGCACTGTGTCTCCCTGCTCGCCGTGGCACGCAAGCGCATGCGCATCTTCCCCCTCAGTATCACCGCAGCAGCGCTCATCGCTTTCGTCTCCTAACAGGGCCCGCAGCCCTGTGGGACGAAACGGATCTGAGGCCTACTCTCCCGCACGACGCACAGCTGCCGGTGTCGGGCCTGCAAGCAGCGGCTTCCGGAGTCTGACCAGCATTTACGGCGTTCCGCCGGTCTTGTCTCATGAAAGTAGTACTGGCGAGCCCGAGCAGTCTGTCCCCTGGCCCGGCGGAGGACCAGGGGGCTTGGCTGCCGGCTCTGGCGAGGAGGCCCACGGACGAAGGACTTCGTCCGCGCGGACAAGCCGATCTCCAGCCCGCAGCTCCTTTCACAGACAGGGAACTTCGCCTCGCTCTCCAACCCGGCAGACCCAGGCAGAACCGTCGCGCGCGGCCGAGGCTGAGCAGGTGGGCGCAGCCGCAGCAACCGTCGACACAGATGCTGCAGTCATCTCTACGCGAGGAGGAGAGCCGACGGAGGGCGCGGAATCAGGACGGGGACAAGAGAGCCAGATTAATTCTGGGTGGAGCCGAGATCTTGGTCAGGAGAATGACATGGATCGAGCTACGCTGAGTAATCATGGAAACAGTCCGGCGCACAACTCCCCGGAATGGGAATCGCATCCCTCAGACGCAGCGGTCCTGCGAGCGCTGAAACAAACTGGAATTGCTGATGGTAAACGTAAAGAAGTACCGATGCGCGAAATCTACCTAATTGCTAAGGGTTTGGACCCGAAATTTAATCGTATTCAAGAAGAGGGGGTGCGCGGAAGAATGAAGAAGCAGCTATCGGGGCTTGACTACGAGTTGAGTCCCACCATGAAGTCGCCCACGGTGCGAAAAAAAATATCCCATTAGGAAAGTAACTAGGTGGCTAGCACTCGGTCTAAGAATATATATAGGATAACGTGCTGCCTTCGCTGTGACGTGTCTTTGATAATTATAGCCGCACCATTGATGAACAACCAGAGAGCCGCTTTATGTAAATACGTTTTTACTGTCAACAAAAAAAATGTTTGATGTTCGTACAACCTGTATGATATTGATAGGAAGGAAGAAGTAAGCACTTGTACTTGACAAAAAGCGCTGAATGGCTTCCGTTCTCTCAGCTTCAGTTTGAAGCGAGGATCGAAAACGGACTTTAAAAAGGTCTCCAACCGCAACCCAACAGAACTCGATTTATCTCTGAGCTAGAAAGGAGACATCTTCCCGTGCTGGAGATGATAGGCAAACTCGCCCACTCGGGGTCCCGTGCCGGCGGGCTAAGATAACAGGATGAAACCTATAGAGAAGCACACTAAAAGATAAGTAGATAGAATGGCAAACATATAAAAAAGACAGGGGCGCCTTCCTTTTAGGAATCAATAGTGTAAGTGGAGTACGTCGTGACTCTTCTAGCACTTATTTTGATTTCTGGTATCGCTAACCGACACAGTCACGCACGGATCTTGCGGGGACAAAGCGAAAGTTTTTGGTTCTGAAAGATACACAAAAAAAAAGAAGGACATACTGAGATGAACGACGATGCTTAGAAGTTTGCTATTGTTTCCAAAGTGGCTCCGCTTCTATATTACATTCGAAGATATTACTAGCAGATGACTCATATTACGGATTAAAGGCTGAAGTCAAGCTCTAGCTCAAGTTGTATTCGAGGTCACCGCAACCCGTAGAGCTCGTGCTCTACGAGTTCATCTTGATTTTTCGTCCTACCAAACTCAAATCCGAAGCAGCCCTCAATAAAAAGATAGGACACATTCACAAGAACGCAAAACGTCAACGATAAAATGAACTTTCAAAAAATCCATTGAGCACTGAAAAGGAGAACAAACAACAATACTACCACAAAAAATACTAGTACCGCAAGCGTGGCCGTGGTGATAAAGCACATATGAATATTTATTTCAATCGTGACTGTGACTAAGATGAAGAACAAGGAACTAACACCGTCGAGATGGACCGCCAAGAATCGACGAGAACAGACAGACACTACTTGAAGAGTTTATGTATGATTATGAGCAGAAAGTAGATATACATGTAAGATAGAAATAAAATACTGAGACTAGATGATCTCGTCATGGGCGGCTATGGCTAAGTATGGTGTGGAAGATGTTCGTGTTCGTCATCGTCGCATATGAATTTCCCTGTTTCCGTTTTGTTGCCTCTGTATGTCTTCCTCTTCAGCAAGGGCAGTGCTGCCAGCTCATCTCGGGTATTATTGCATTTTTTTGTGAGTTTAGGTTTACTCGTCTGTCTCTGTCCCACTTCATCACTAGTACTAACAATGGACCCTGGATACTCTCGCAAACGATCTTCAACCACGGACTGTAAAAGATCCAAAGAGATCGAAAGTAATGCCGATGCTTTGCTGTCTTCAAGAAAAGATCGAAAGGAAGATGATATTTAATAACGGCGGCAAGCGCTAACGGCGCCTGGCGCCCCATACTCTTACACAGGCGCAAAACGACTACATCCCGCTTGCCGCTGATCCATAAATCTATTTTTCCGGCGTCATGCTTTTGTTTGCCTTCTATTGCTTTTCTTGCTCCTTTCGAATGTTATCCCAGTCGAACACGAACTCGAAAGAGGCAAGTCGAATACCGAATAATCCAACGCCCTCCACCAACTTTTCAGATGAGCGATTTTTTTCACTTAGTGACAACAAGCATCCATATGAAGAGGACACAAAGTCAAAGACAACATTATACATAGCTCTCCCAGGAGTAGTTCAACCTCGTGGTGTTTGATGGGAACTTTTTTTCACGTTCCATTCCGATTTACACTCACGACATATGTTTAGACTCTAGTACCATGTGTACAATAACAAAAATTTCATACATCCTCCTCAAATTTAACTTCCATGTCTCGAACCTCATCAACATCATCTTTAGTCTAATTCGTAGTGAAGCCCAGCGGCCTTTGGCTTTGTCTGTCTAAAAATTTTGTGTATTCGAAGATGGTGATCTTCCATGATGTTCATGTCTGACATCACACTGATTGTAACAAGTTGTTGGTTGATGTAGAAGAAGTAGAACAAACACGAAGTAACACTATAAATAAGAAAATTTAGTCGTATTTCATCACAAGTAAGCGGAAAAAATGTTACAAACTAGGATGATGTCCTCGAGGAAGAGGATCAGAAACCCAGCGGGCATGATCCAGCCCAACTGTTGTAGCCCGAAGAGAGCTGCAAGAACTGCCCTCCCGGTCACAAGGCCAAAGCCGCGAGTTGTCAGAGAAACCAAACCCAAACGCACGGTAAAGGCAAAGCTGCTTTTTCTGCTAAGAGCAGCGCTTCTTGTCGCGACCACACCGGCATCGTCTATGGGCTTCTCATCTTTCACCCGAAGGGAAACTATTTCGGAGCTGACCCCTCGGACTTCTGTGGAGCACGAGCGCGTGGATGTTTTATTCTTCAAGGAGGGCGAGCAACCACCGGAGAACAAGTACGGCCGGGGCCCCGATACGGGCACGTATCATGGCTACGAATACGGCGATATTTGTGTTCCCGCTTCCGATTGGACTGCGCCCGGTATTGGTATACAGCGCATGCAAGAGCTTCGTCGGGCACCAGGAGCGAGCTCTACGTGCAGTACCGAGACGAGGCAGTATGAAGATGATCGTTGTGGACCAGCACGAGGAGAAGTTGTGCCTCGTCAGGCGGGTGCAGCTAGTACTATGTTCAACGATGATGATGCTCAACCTCTTACCGTTCCGGTACTGACGTTGAGCGGTAGGAAAATAGACGCGGTACAGTTCCGGCCCGGTCACACTTTGACGGAGGAGGATTTACGCCAACTAGGAAAGGCGGTCGCGTGCCCAAAAGGCCACGCGGTTCAACTCGCAGTGCTTCCTTATGGAAATAGCAAAGAGCAGGCTCGGGGGGAAGGTGAAGGAGATGCAGGAGAAAAACCTCGCAAACGTTTTCTGGGTCGTACGCAGCAAGATCATGATGACCAGTTCGTAGCTTCTTGTCCTGCAGCACACCAGCATTCCTTGGTGCAGGAGCCACCTTTGTCTTTGACCTTCTTATCTTCCGGGACCCGCCGCACCGAGGCGACGTCCATTCTCTGGAAAGACACGGAGCGTCGAGATGAGCCCTCAGAGGCCGCCCATGATCCTGAATTGGCTGCGGTTTCCCGCTGTCCGTGCTGTTGCTGCCTGAGCGAACGCATCAGCCACGAAACGCAGAGTGATCCTTACGCTAGACCTAGACCACCCTCGATGTCCTCTGGGTCTCCGCCTTGGGCGGGTGGAATCGGTTTGAGCGCAGATGTTGAGCAAGGTCATTCCGAGGCGCGCTCTTCTTCATCTTCATCTGAACAAGCTAGAAGTAGAACTGGTAGTTGTATTAGTACCAAGAGACCAACAGCACAGGCTGCACAGGAACGCAGTCTGCGCCATCGACTTCAACAACATCCCTCGCGGGCATCACTAGATCGCCCGCGACGACGCAAAACCAGACCAGTCTTCATTTGTTGCCGCGAGAGCACCACGGAAACGGCAGGAGAAGGCGACGCAGGTAGCGGGCGAGCGAATGATGATAGTGGTCCTGCTCCTCGAGGTGAAGCAGCTTCGATGCCAACTTCTTGCCGAGCAATCGAGCAGTCCCAGCTGATCTTGAGAGTGGGCGACAAGATTCCTCACCCAGTATTTGCAGGCAACGTCTGGGCGGAAGAGCAAGGCCGAGCTGCCAGATGTGCGTCTGAGATGAGAGCTAGATCGCTCCTTGCGAGTCTGCGAGGACAACACTTATTCGGAGATGTCGAAAGAGATGCGGAGTCGCGTCCTCTGTACACGACGAGTCTTCAGCCACTTTCCTTTCCGGCGGTGTCAACGCAGCAGCAGCCTGCTCCTTCCTCGGTTCAGCTGCCAGCCCTGCAGCTTGTGATAACGAAGTACGAAAGCATTTTTGATAAGGTCTACCGTGTGCTTTTCCAGAGCTCAGCCCTTCTCCCGCACTATGCGCTGGTCGATGACGCGATTCACCAGTTGTCCTTTGGGTATGATAGCACGAGCACAGGAGCGCCGGCGCACGTCGACCGGAAGGAGGAAATCGCGAAGTTTCTGGTGAAAAACCTGGTCGAACTCGACGCCAATTTCGACTTTTCCCTCCCACTGGATTCCCGCAACGGGTCGCTGAAGGGAATCATGGACCTCGACCTCTCTGAGACTGTAAAGCTGGAAGACGCCCGGTTGGTGCAGACGAAGACGACGAGGAGGGCGCGTCGGAGCAAGCGATTTCTGGAGATCGAAGACTTACTGCCCTATGAGCGCGACTACGGGCAATTCGCCCCCGGGCAGAGCTCCGTTTCCCGGGAATCTGCGCTGTTGTTCAATTGGCGGTCGCCGGATGTATCGAATGCGGATGGAAGAAGCAGCATTAGTGACGGTCTTGAAGAAGTGGAGCAAGACTTCTTACGCGAGCAGCAGCACACGCAAGATGACATGCATGTTGACAGCATCAACAGCAACCCGAATAGTGCAGACGCGGAAGAGCGACTCGCTACAGCAGCCGAAGGAACGGACATCGTGCGACCCATCACGTCGCTCTGGTCGCAGTACTTGATACCAGAGACAGTGTTCATCGTGGCGCACACGCGGGAGCAGCCTGATGCTGGCGGTGATGAGGGCGATATGTCTAGTGCTGCGAGAATGAAAATGCAAGAGCGGCGTAATTCGTCCTGGAGCTGCATGACGGGGCTACTTAATGAAGACGAAACGACCGATCATGGCCCGCCCGATACTCATTTCGCGGACAGTGGGCCGTCGCTGTCCGCTTGCGCCTCGTGTCCGCGTGCAGGCAGATGCAGAACCTCGGACGCTCAACATCCTGCAGATCCAAAAAATCATCAGGAAAGTTCCACTAGCAGTACCAAAGACAGAGCAAAAATTCCTGGCCTGTCGCGGGACATTTTGGACCATTTAGATCTCGAATATGTGTCGTTTCAAGCGCAACCGGAAATCGGCTGGGTCCAGTTCTTCGCAAGTTTTGTCAGCTCCGCTAAAAGTCGTGGTAAGGCTGCTGGAATAGTAGAGAGGGATCTTGCCGTGACAGGCAAAGCTCCCGCGGTTGCCGATGCCAGGAGACCACACGGGGGTGCGGGTGCTGCTGCAGAGAGGATTTTTCCCGGTGCTATTGCAAAGCTCCCGCGCAGTTCGGCTTATGCAGGTCTTCCTCTTCCCGAGGAGAGTCCCCGCGTCACCATTCGCTTGCAGTGGGAGGATATGCACTGCAAAATACTATCGCTATCGTACTGCTGCAAATTGGATATGATCGATATCATACTTAACTATATGAAAACTTTCATCCAATTCCAAGAAGAAAAATGCAGTTTGCCATTGTCATAATGGATGAGGTAGAAACTTAGATTTGTCATGCATGACTGCACTACGCTTACGTTACGCGTGCGATAGATACTTTTGCAAAGCATAGAGGAACCCGACACGACGACGCAATTTCCGTACCCCGAGCCCGACCAGTGGTGCGCACCTCTGGAGTTTGAGCTGCTGATTTCGGTGCAACGCCATGACGGGGTACGAGAAACGTTCGGAATCGAAACCGCTCCGGTGCAGCATACAATGATAACAAGAAGTAACGAGTAAAATATGGAAGTAGAACAACCAAGGTGACTAGGACTTGGACTACAGCAGGAGGAGGAGTGACAGGCACGGAAAGGACGTCAGTGGTGTCGCGCAAAAGCAGCAAATCTGTGTCTGTGAAACTTTCCTTACAACCCGTGGACTCATCATAAAATAATGAATATCATCATGAACATCACTGATAAAGTAGAAGCGCGCCGATTTGTTCGTGGCTATGAATACATCTCAAGAAAAAGCATACGCTTTTTCATCCCGGACAAGCGTTGTACTCATCGGATATATAAATGTACCCAACAGACAAGTCATCTTCAGTGTAGCACCTGTAGCTTGAGGCCCACCAGGGCGTTCCGGGTGTTTTCGATTTTATTTTGCCTGCGCAAACGATATGACGCCGAATGAAATTTTGATTCTTATGACTGCAAAAGTTAAAAGTGAAAGAGCGGCCGCGGCGATCTGCGTGTACATAAATTTATATGTTGAATGCAATCTTGGCTCATCACATAGACACCTCCCAGTGTCCGTCGAAGATACCAACCCTGAAATGAAAATCAACGAAAGTATTGAAATTCAAGATACATCCAATAGAATTACCAGGTCCAGCCACGAACGTATATGATATTCGTATTGACGCACGACCGCTCCTGCTGGTGCCAACGAAGGTTGTACCTGCGCATAGTAGTCGTAGCTTTAATTTTTTCGTCGCGACAAGGGTTAAAGCCTTAGGACCACCAGCGCTCTGACCGATACAATTGCCAAGAAGAGCGCCGAAATAAACCCAAAAAACAGAAATTATGAACAAGAGTGGGGTAACAATGAAATCCCTATCCGCCCCCCCGGCGGATAAGCCGGGGGGGCGGATAAGGATTTCATTGTTACCCCACTCTAACGAAAAACCTTTATCCGTGTTGTACTCGTAGAAACAATGTCCCTGCTCTGCTACCTTCAGTTTTGTGGCCCACAGCTGTCAGAAACACAACTTTGCTTGTTAGCACTGGGGCCCGACATGATGTCGAAGTCCTGACACTGACAATCAGAGTCATGAGACGAGGTCGCGAATAAACTCCGACTTGTGCTGCCTGCTCCGTCAGCAGGTCAACCATCATCTTGCCTTTGATGTTCCATGGAGGCCTCGTATGTTATTTTTTCTGAAACCTGGACCTCGCTCGGAGCCGCAGCTTGGCTGTCGCTTTTTCTCTCGAACAACAACAAATGAAAAGCGAGATAATCAGCATTTGCATTCAACGTGAACATCATCTACTTCTACTTTATAGTATTTCGAGAGTAAGGATTCATTTGATCCGTGCCCGATGCTCAGGAAGAGAACCGCAGCTCGGTAGGAGTTGCAAGCTACGCAATGAGCTTTACTGCATGGATCATAAATGACATAGAAGACGGAGATCCAGATCGTTTCAGGCAGGCATTCATATTCAATTTTGGTCAAAATAATGTTGAAGCTCGATCAAATAGAGAGTCGAGAGCACGACCATTGAAGATGCGACTATCTAGGGCCACAAGAAAGAATTTACGAGCACCACGATGAACGATGAGATCCAAATCACGGTGTAATGGTAATGGAAATTATGGCCAGACTTGTTCTGTGTGGGGGAGTAAAACCAAGGCACTGTGTCCACATAGAAGTTGTATTATAGGCGTGATGATTTTGAAGTGCTTGTGCCATCCTGATGGCACTCTGCCTCGCAGTTTCTGATTTGGATTTTTTGGTGGTCTATTCTATCTTCTTCGAATTTTGGTCCCTACAGGTTGACGCAAACAAGAACTCTTTCTCGAGTATATTTGCGAAGAGCATCGGCCGAAGCAAATTCTCATTTGAACAACGTTGCTGAAACAAATTTTATGAACGTGCAAAATGCAAAAGGGGTCAACCTAAACAGAGAAGTTTTTTTGCTGTTTGGGCAAAAAAACTTTTCATTTTCAGCCGTATTTGCTCGCGCCAGGTGCCCCTTCACCGCGCAATATTGAATGCTGCGAACGTATTAAGGTGCCCAAAAACGAATCTGGCTGCCGCGCTCTATCTAGGTTGTCGCAGGCTTTAGCTTTGCGCGGTGCTGCAGTTGAAGCGCTCCTAGAAGGTGTCTCAACAGGTGGCGCGCGAACCTATATAACGGCGCAACTGCTTGGGCGGTTGAGGTGACACACCTCCGCCGAGGCGCGCCAACTGTGTTTCTCAAGGAGCTGGCAGCTGGAGGCGCGCCAGCGTTTGCGTTTGCTAACACTCGAAAATCCTCTGCGCAGAGACCGCGCCGCCCAGTCTGCCGCAAAACAACTCCAGAAAGCGCCCGCGCGAAATTGCTCCTTGAGAGTGTCCAGGATCATCTCCGGACGCAATACAGGCCGCATCCGCATGTGGGAGGGCGCTTAGCCTGGACAGGGGCTCACGCCGATCACGGAGCTTGCGCGACACATTGGAGCCGACATTTCTCGTCTCCTTTCCTTCTTCGCCGAATGCCGCTCGATGAGAAGAAACTTCTGACTTTGGGGATTTTTTTGCCGGATTTTGCCAAAACTTCGCCAAAAACCCGGACTTTGCCGAAGTTTTGGCAAAATCCGGCAAAAAAATCGCCAAAGTGAGAAGATTCTTCTCATTGAGCGGCATTCGGCGAACGGGGAAGGGAGAGGTGAGACCTCTGCTACATTGTGCCGGGCAAGCTCCGGGATGTCCGAACCCCGGGCCAGGATTAACCCTTTTCCGCATGTGGATGCACTCTGGCTCGCGTCCGAGAATAGCTCTGGACATTTCCCCGGCAACCCGCGGAGCAACTCCGCAAGGGAGCTTGCTGGAGTTGCTTTGCGGTAGATTGGGTTGGCCGGTCTCTGCGAGAGGGCGCTTCGAAAATCAGATCAGGAGGCTGATGCAACTGCAGCGGCCATCACGCTTGACTTGCTTGAGAGGCACAGCTGGCGCGCCACGGGTGAGATGCGTCATCCCAACCGCCCAGCGAGTTGCGTCTTTAAGTTGCCGCACCACACGCAGATGCGCGCTGCGGGATCGCGCCAGCTGTGGCACTGCGCAAGGCCTGCGACCACCTCTAACACGACAATCAGTCTTGTTTTTGCGCAACCTAACACGCGCAACTCGATCCACTATCGCGCGGAGAAGGGGCAGCTGGTGCCGGCAAATACGCCCGAAAATGAAAAGTTTTTTTGCCCAAACAACGAAAAAACTTCTCTGTTTAGGTTGACCCCTTTTGCATTTTGCACGTTCATAACAAATTTTGCCCACTTTCACAATAGCTTGAGAGTAAGCAACTAACTACTGAATCTATCGCTATCCTTTGCGGAAAAATACGCGAGCACGTGATATCCGAAAAATTCAGATCCCAACAGGAAAGCGTATTCATCAAGATGAGCCTTTGCAAAAATTCTGCACCTCCCCAGCGAGGCCGGTACCGGGTTGCGAAGCAGGCAGTCCGATCTCTCCTGCTGCTTTCCTCCCTTTCGTCGGGATTGTTTCCAGCCACAACGGCTTCGTTGCGAGGCGTGCATGCGAGCGAGGTTCCGAAAGACAAAGATGTGAACAATTCCGCTGCTGCTATGCCGGATGAAGGCCTGCAGGAACAAGGCGGCGGCGGGAAAAAATCTGCAGCAGCCACAGCCTCCACACCCTTTGCTGCCACGATGAACGTCCCCCCTGCTTTATTCGGTGCCACTAGTAGCGGGAACAAGAAATTCCTCCCGCTGTCGCGCCGTCCTACTTACACCACACAAGAGAACACCGCCGGCAGTCGCGATGCTGAAGGCAGATCGAACCCAACTACGCGTACGCCCAGTCCCAAGTTGCCGAGGAAGGGGCAGAGCGAGCCCCAACTTGGCCGGGCGGGAACACGCACAGAAACATCCACCCCCACGCGCGGGAGGAGCGGAAGCCGCGGGAAGGGCGGAAGCCGTACCAGCGCAGGAAGACGCGACCGCAGATCAAAAACCGCTTCCGAGCGCGGGCTGAGGGGAACCAACACCGTGAAAATGCCACCTGTGGACACTACCGCTTTGACACCAGAACCGCTATCGCAATTTGTTTCCAAAGATGGTAAGGAGCTTTTGCTGAAAAGCCTTGGGTTCGACTCGCCGATTCCCGGCGCAAGCAAAGCTGTCAAAGCCGAGTTTGAGCGCATCGCGGAGGGTATCATGCGCAACAACCTGTCCTCGCGGGAGGCTGGCATGGCCCACGGGAATATTGCAGAGGCGTCCACAGCAACAGCTGATGCCAGCACATCGTGGGGAGATTCATCTCTCTTATTTCCTCTAACGTCTAACACCGTCTTTCTGAAGCGACTGAGAGCAGTCTATGCGAAGGCGTTTTCGCAAAACTGGGCGTCGTGCGGTGACACAACTCCTGAGCAGGACCAGATCATGAAAGAAGTCGTCATCGCTGTGCACTTCCAGAACATGATTTCCTCTTACAGCAAGCTGCTGGAGAATGATCTTCTCAGTGGAGATCTTACTTCGTCTGCCGCTCCTGTTGTCGACCCGCCGTCGGATGAGGAAGAGGGTGACGAAGTGGAGCGAGGAGGGGCCCCCGGAGCGTCGCCCGAGGTGGACCGCTTTTCCATGCGAGCTACAACCCCGAAGAAGATGTTGAAGGTCCTGGACTCCCGGTCCACCTATTACAACGCATTGCAGCCGGGCTACGCGAGTGGAATTGTGATCGAAAATGCTCTGGAATTATCAACATCGACGCACAAAATCGGCTACAATCTCGATCGCCAACCCCCGACCGCTCGCGGCGTACTGCTGTCGACGGAACAGAAGAAACAGTTGTTGGAGCAGCACCAGCAAGAAGACGGCGCAGGAGATGCAGAGCTTGACATGCTTGTCCAAGAGCAGCGCACACAGACGCGCTGGGCGGAGATTCTTTTGCGGTCTCGGGACCGGTCGAGTTCGGCGCCGTTTAAGGACATTCTGCTGATGTTGCAAATCGTGAACAGTAAGGACGACGAGGATAAAACGTCGGAGCGAACGCACCTGTTTCGCGAGCTTTACGCGGATTGGCGCGTGACCGAGATTGTGTATGCCTTGCGTGTTCTGCGGTCTATCCACGGCCATCAAGAGGAGGACGAGAGGACCTCGGCGACTCAGCAAGCTCCTGCGAAAGACAGTTTTTACGTCACGGTGAACCTCCGCGCCCCCGATCTGTTACTCGACCGGGACGTGTTTCAAAAATTCAGGCAGATGGTGACCACGATTAGGAGCGCGGCTTCTCCTACAGCATGTAGTCGCAGCGCAGGCTTCTTAGCAGTCGGAGATCGTGTAGCTGTTGGAACTAGTCGCTACAGTGAACCAGACCAGCACGACGATCATGCCAATGCAAATATTTTTTCTGCTTCAGTGCTGGCCCATTTGTCAAAGTTCCTGGTTTTCGAGATTACTGAAGATTTTTCCATTCGGGACACGTTTGGGAACAAGCACGATGAGGCAGATCAAGGCACCGCCACTTCCGACCGTGACGCAAGAAAGAACTTCGTCGCCGTTTTGGCTGCTTGGAAGGAGTTGTTGCCCCACGTTCGGTGGTCCCTAGACGACGTGCTCGACGTCAAAGGGGTTCAGGGGGGAAATTTTGCGGCGAAAAGTTTCAATGATTTGGAAACGATCTTCCACTTTCTGGAAAATGAGGAAGAGGAACGGATGAAGCAAGACCACGCCGGCGACGAGGTCGTGAGCGAACCATTGCTGAAGCAGTACCAGCATCCGTCGTCGAAGATCTTTGACATCTTGAAGATCGATATGGACTACGCGAAGAGTTTGTTCTTTTCTCATCCGAGTCTAGGCGTGCCCTTCTTTCAGTGGAAGAAGAAACTGGTTGAAACGCGTTTTACCTCCGTTCCGATCGAGGCTTTTAAGAAGTACAACTCAAATAAAAACGCGACGACCTCCGTTCCCGTTGAAGATGACGACGAAGCGGGACGACCACGTCGTCCTGGCTGCGACGATCTGCCCGTGCTGCCGAACATGCAGGCCTTGACGAATCAGGCGAACGGCAAGCAGGAGGCTTTCGACCACGCCCCGGACGCGTCGAAGTACATGACCTTTGCAGAGTACAAGCTTTTGCTGAAAAATTTTGTTCGTCTTGTCGTCCACACTTTTGATTTCGACCAGGCCCTTGTGATCGAGTTGACGCTGAACCCGGAGGACAAAAATCTGCAGAAAGCCATCGAGATTCTGAACGAAATTGTCTTGCCAGAGATGGACCAGGAGGAGTGGAAGGCGAGGGTAACTACGGCCCAGCTGCAGTGGTACCAAAATGCTCTCACTATTCCTGCACCAGAAGGTAAGGGGGGCAACAAGGAGGAGGATAAGCCGCAGCAAGATTTTTACGTTCCAATCTCGCACAAATTTTGGAAGCAGATGGCCAAAGCCTCGCAGCAAGGAGGTGAGTCAGGACCTGTCGCGTTTCGCGCACGAGATGTGTTGCTGGCAAACCAGATCATGTAATTCTACATCTTGGTAAAGGACGAGGAGGCCGAAACGTCAAAGTCGAAAATGACAAGAAGCCACTTCGTCAACCAATTTTGGATTTATTGAAGAGAAACGCATCATGCATTTGCAACTAGAACTAGATCGATGCTGTTTCAGTTTATTTTTCGCTTCGTATGATACTCGTTTTTATATAGAGATATCCCGCTAGCGTGACGGTGACTACGACAACACAAAAACAAATGAGAAATTCGTCACGGCTTATTTTTGCAATCGAGAGTAGTGCTGTGCTGCAGCAGCTATAGCCAATACGACCACGACCGCGCAATTATATGCCGGGCAAGGACTGCATCTACTTCACCAAACTGGGAAAGGAAGATGAAGTACTTGAAATCGAGTTTGGCGAGTTGACACTAAAAGAGGGGCACGAGCATCCGGAAACAAGTAGAAGCACATCACACTCTTCATCACCGATAGAATCACACCCAGTTCGCCTGGAATAGCTGAAATGTGTATTTTAGACATTATTCAGCTGTTTTCAATTGAATAAGAAAAAAACAGATACACTCCCTGAAGGCCTCGGAAAGAACGAGAGCGAGCATGGAAGCCTTAGATCTCAAGAAGATGAAAGTTTGCTAAAAACGTAACGTAGGGAGTTATGCTTATGTAAATTTTCTTCACGAAAAATTTTGAATCAGAAGCAAGGCCTCATCTGCATCACAACGTCGACTCCAGAACACAAAATGGAAATGAATGAAAAGGGAAAGGGGGTTCAGAGCGGCGGTGCTCTCCCTTCCTGTTTATCGCTTCAATCAGATTCTTCAAGTTTATCACCGTCTGATGAACTACGAAAGTATGTACTTCTGATACAACTGGAGGAGGAGGAGTGTTTGCTCAACTGGTCCAAGAGCCAGAGATTGTGCAAGCGAGCGTAGAAATGTGTTCGAGATAGCTTAAAGGCCAGGCTACATAGACACTGCTTGTGAGAATGGCTCATAAGCGATACTGCAGTAGTACTTCTCCCATCAACCTCCATCAAACCATCAGCCGTGTATTGCGGGAGTAGTTGCAATCTCTACTGCTGTATACTTTTTGTCTCTACTATGACCTGCAAAAACGAACGAAGGAGATCATTGATTTGTATATGGTATTGTTCGTCCACCCCGGGATCTTCAGGATACAGTAGAGGTCGTGGTGGATAAGAAGAGCAACGAGGATATCAGTTGGGATTTATATACCAACAAGGAAGGTTGTATGTAGAAACATGTGATCCTGCTTTTGCTTTTGTGTCGCAAAGATGACTCTGATTATGCAGCAGCCTGTTGGCATTGACAATGAAGAGGAAAGATCCTGCAGCGACCAGCGAGCAAGTAGCTAATAACGATCGATCTCAGCAGCGTGAGAGAAATATTTCAGCACTGTTTAGCGCCGGAGAAGCATGGGCCATAAATATATTTCTTTGGCTATTTTTGTGTGCATAAATATCAGTCTTAGTTTTGTCTGCCCAATATTAAAACACGCGAGGGCCGCACGAGAACTATCTTTCGAGGTGGCAACTTCAGCTTTGAGGCTGGCAAAGTGCTGTCGCTGCTTTTTTGACGTCAGCGAACAGCTTCAACTTTTGTACCTATGCTTGTAGCATCCAGCGAAAGAGGAAGAACAGCGACAGACTCAAGGTGTAGTTGGATGAATTTTTCGTGCCGTCAAATTGGGTAGTGCAAGAACTGCCTCATGACATTAGGCACTTCACCTCTACTTCAAAATGAATTTGACTTCTTCGATATCTTGGATGCATCGGCTTGCTCTTTGATTCTATAGCAAGCCCATTTTTCAGACAGAACCAGAATTACTGATGAGAAAAGTCAACAAGAAGTCACCTCTTCTTTGACAGACCGTATTGCTATTGGTATTTGCATCTAGAAGTGAACCCTCTCCCTTACCCATATCATTGGGCACTCGGAATTTTTCTACTTTTTTTACTTTATCAACCGAAAAGGTACAAGCACGACGCGGCCCTGTATCGAACTTCACCTACCGCGTGATACTTTCCCCTCGCCAAGCAGAGATCTTTCTTTTCTCTGAACTGCGACCGAAATCCAAAATCTTCAGCTCGGAGAGTGTTTCGAAGAATGACTTTCGAAATGATGGTAGCAGGAGGAATCGCGGCCATCGCAAATACTCTCTCGAATCCGAATACTGCTCAAGAGGTGTTGGGAGTGGCCGACTGCTCCTTTCTTCAGCGACTTGCGCTCGAGCCATTGGACTCGAAGCACCAAAGGAGCAGCACAGCAAAAGGTGGAACCGAGACGAGGACACCGAGAGAGATTGTAGCTGCGGCAGCTGCAACATCATCAATTCCAAAAAGAGAGCCCGAGTCCAGAACACCTGCCGCCTCGTCATCGACGGCGTCTGAAAATGACGTGCACCTCTCGGGGAAACATGCGCCTTTTGATCTGTTTTTTTACGAGCCGCAGTTTGTCTACGCGACTCCACCCAGAGTGCACGAGCATAGGTGGTCGGCGTTGATCCGAGCGTTTTCTGGTGGTGATTCCACGCATGAAAGTGGCGCCAACCTGCAGGAGCAGCGCCACGGGCAAGAGTTAGATCGAGCTTTGCCCGCCTTGTGCAGTGCGAAACTATTCGACTCGAGAGAACCCCGGACCAGAAAGCTATCTTTTTCGGCCTCGCGGGACGAGCCTCGCAGCGTCGAAATCGAATTACGGGGCCTCGCCGAACCGCCAACCGGAAAAGTTTTCTTCTATGCCGAAAATCATGCTGCAGTGCCCGTGGCGCCTTCGCCTACGGGGGACCCACCCAACGCTGCGACGATGAGGCCCTCACCCGAGTTGACACTACGAGCCTTTTATCGTGATTTCATAAGCTTTTATGTCGGGCGGGCGCAAGAACTAGAACAAGAAGAAATGGCCCCAGAGGTATCCAGAGAAGGGCATATTACCGATACAACACACGCAAATAGCGCCCAGAAGCTGCCATCAACCAGTACCTCCTCAAGGGACGACGTTGAAGATGCACCCGCCAGTAGTTTCATGCTGGAGGATATGTTTCACAATCTCGAAATTGATCCACAGCTACCCAACCCTCGGCGGAATGTCGAAGTTCTGCGACGCAGCTTTATGCAATTGGTGCCTTGTTCCGTCAAGAACGCCACATCGTTTCCTGGTCTGGTGTTCTCTATTCCAGAAACATCGAGGCTGGCATTCCTAAATGCACAGCTCCAGAGACTAGTGCGGCCGTCATCAGCTGCATCAAGCACAGCTGCAGGTGGAACCCCAGCACCACAGCCACAAGCAGAAAGCAATGGCGTGTCTACTGAACAACAAGCAGCGACAGAAGTGCCAGCAGCGGCGGATGATGTAAGTCTAAATCATAACAGAACCTCCAGCTCCACCTCCCCCTCCGCCAGTACAAGTACAGCCGGAGCGGCCGACGAAGTATTTGGGGATTCGACTGTGTCAGGGACATCGGGTGGGAGCCGCACAGACACGACGATCGCAGCATTGGAGGCGGGGGACGGAAGTGGAGGTGCAAGAAGGCACACTGCCGGTGACGAGCAGGATGCCCCCGCTCCACTTTATTGTGCAGGAGGAGTTACTGGTGGATGTGCTGTTGATCGTGATCCTCAGCATGCATCTGGACTATCTAGTCTCCAGCCCCAGGGTGAGATCGAAGACGCGGTGACGCTCCGCCGGGTTGCGTCTTCGCCAGGCGCAGGCCAGAACCAGAATGAGGGTCTTCACGACCCTGCAGAGCTATCAAATAGTGCGAACGGTGCAGAAGTGTCTTCTCATGCTAGTTCCACCCCAGCATCGACGGTATTGGAGCCTGGTGGTGCACCAGAGCACAGCGGGAACGGTCATGTATCTCAAAGCGAAGTACCTGCAGAGAACACGACAGCTGCCCAAATTGCAACGATTGCCCCTGAAGAGGTACAGTCAGGCGAGAGGCGGGCACCTGTGTTAGAGTCTCAAGAAGATCAGCAACATACTGAAGAGCGGGTTTCGAGCAACAGCGACAACGTGGGTCGTGTTGAAGGGCTAGCAGTTGCAAGAACAACTGGCAATCAAATTATATCTCGCACCGATTTCATTTCAGCAGAAGAGCGGCGTGACGCTCCAGAGGACTACGCAGGAACGAGCGACTCCGTCGCACCGACCTCGACGTCAACCCATCTCGTGGGAAATACCGAGGGTGCTATCACCGCAATTTCTCCCCCGGCGGTTCCGATGCCTGAAAATGCGAGCACTGCAACTCCTCCGTCACCGACCGTGGTTGACACAGAGCCAACATCAACTGGAGTTGATGCTTTTGCGACTTCTACAGCCATCCCTCCACCTCCACTCGCAGCTACAAGTGGTCCTACTAGTACCACTCTCGTCACTGCTGAGCCTGTCGCTGCCGTTGATGATGCAGTGCAAGACCCTGCCGCAACAACAGCGAGTCCGAGTGTCGCGACTCATTCGACGTCGACGCCGACAATTTCCGCCGGAGCGGGTCGACCCCCGAATCAAGTACCGAGCGTTGTTGCCCCACGACCGTCACCATCGCCAGGCTCTCCGCCCCCTCCCGCCCCCGGTATCATTCCCCTTCAACCCGCACTGATGAAACCTTCCCCGCACCATGCCAACAGTCCCGCACGGCCTGGTGTAAGACCTCCTGCAGTGGTTCCGATGCACAATCACAATCCTCATCTTCCTCCTGGCGCCGTGGAACCGGGTTCGCCCCCTGCAGTTCCGGCCGGGCGGGAAGTACCCCGCCAGCCTCCTGCTTTACAGGACCCTCAGACTGTGGTAGTACAACCTCAACCGGCCTCCACTCCTGCGGGCACGCCTCGCAGGCGTGGACAAGAGGACCTCCGGGCGGAGCAGAAAAAGCTCGAAGCGGCGTTCTGGACGACGATAAGCTTTATCGGGGGGCTCAGCGTCGCGGCTGGCATTGTCGTGACGCTGCTGCTGCAACAGCTTTTTCTTGGCAAGAGTGTGGCGCTTTCCTCAGTTTCGTCCACGACTGCAGCAGCTTCAAAGACTTTAAATATGATTGAAGGTCACGACGATCATTCCTCAGAGGTTGGCGGGAAGCAATCAGCACGCGTTCAAGTTGCACAGCAGAAAATGGTGAGCTCGACTTGTGGCGGCCCAGGCAAGAAGGGGAACGCCGTTGTGGCTGGCAAAAGTGACGATCGTACTCTGAATGATCCGAAGAGAAAAGAAAAGAAAACTCTGAAGGTCGAAGCAGGCGTCCGCACAGGTCGTTTTCGTAGCAAAAGCACGGGCCTCCGCGCGAAGAATGGGCATGGTCGCCATTTAGTTGCAGGACGTCGAGCGGGCGACGGAGCTCAGGAAAAGAAGTGGCCTAGAAGCGATAGAGACAATTATCAGTCACCTTCTGTCAACGACGACGACCTTGATGTGAAGATGCGAAGGCAGCAAGCGTCTCCAGTAGCAGCTGCCGCTGCGGACAATTGTTCAGCTTGGATGTCAACGGCGCGGACGCCTCATCTTGGCACGACTAAGAATATGGAAGCTATCGTCGATACTGGGAACAATACGGAGGACCAGCCACCTGCTGCCAATCCTGAACCTGGGTCGTCGTGTCTCGAAAGTTGTAAAGCAGCAGCAGAAAGGGTTAATCCGAATCCCAAAAGCCAAGATGACAACGTCCCTGCTGGGACGACGTCCACAAAAGCAATGCCCCACGATGTGCCGGGTGGGAAAAACTCGGCCGAGACTGATGGTGCCTCTGTGGTTTGTTCTTCAAAACGAGATCACATTGCGAATGTCAAGGCAAAGTCTGGGTCGTCTCGGCCCCTCCTAACCGAAACCTATGAGCTCACCCCAAAGTTTCCGATCTTTTTGCCCCACATGAGCAAGCAACATGGCGTTCCTGCGAATGTGAAGAACATTAACGGTCAAATGATTTTTCTTGGGAAAAACCAAAATGCTGATGCTGCAGTTGTTGCTTCGCCTCCACTCATTGCGGCGACGCCGGATGGGGCTCTGGAATATCTCGGCCAAAAATATAATTTGCTTGAGCATGAGCACGTCGACAACTTGAACCAGGGAGAGCACGTTGAAAATTTGCACCCGCAAGAGGGCGAGGCGACGAATAATGCCGAGCAATGGTATGCTGACGATGCAGATGAAACTGAAACGCTCTACCAGCCCCCGCCCGCCACAGCTCCTCACTGGAGCCAAGAAGATGCTTGCGCGCGAGGAGACGTGAAACAGGCCTCTCACAAGCGCTCAGACGTAAAAATGGTAGAAGTTCCCGGCACGCACTACACGCAAACGCACAACGTCGACAGCCACTACCTGAGCGAGCTATCTCCGGAAAACCTGGAACAAATGCAAGCGATGAAAGGATTTCAGTCACACTAGTGACAAACTCTTTGAAGTTTTGATTACAGACACGCACGTTGCCCTCCTGGTCCTCGATATTATGACATGGCCAGCACATCGATCACCCCCTTGGTTGTCACAAGTTTATTTATCGAGGAAAGCACGCAGCGTGAGCCCCCGTACCTGTTTGAAGATGTACTTACACGTAGTATGGCGATCTGTTTCAGTTTTGTAACAACTCTATCCAGCGCGGCCCGTCACACATACACTATTTTGTCTGCTACTCGCTGCGGCGGGCTGAGCATGGTGCTGTTAGTCTATTAATGCTTAACAGTTTCTTCATCTTCGGTGATACAACAACATCAACTGACCCGGTTTTGGCGTAATTTGTTTTTTGTTTTTCGATGGCGATGATGGATTAGGAGCCTGATCCGTGCATTCGCGACTACTTCATCACCCACGTAGTTGACGACAACGAGGAAATAAGTGTTTAGTATTTGAGTTGGAATAAATTATTTATTTTCCACATCAAAATCGAACGGAACCGAAACTCACACTGTGCCACGGCACATTTACCGTCGTGCGCGCTCAGCACCAGCGAGCGCATTCTGTTGTCGTTGCGTTGTTCGCCGCCAACTTTTCGAAGAAAATGTTGGCGACGTCATAGAAGTATTTTTGGCAATGCCGCTGCAGCACCGCTCAAATGAAGTTGTTCAAGATGAGGCTTTATCAACAAAAAAATTTCATACATAGATATGGCGAGATGACGCCACGAGCTTTCCTTTCGAAAGCCGACCCGTTCAGGGTTAGCGTGACGAATTTTTGTTCTGACCTCCAACGATAGTAAACAAGAGGTTCCTCGCGGAACCGGGAACACCAATTCTCTTGCCATTGGCATTGGCTCTGGTAGTGTCGCAGGTTCTAACTTTTTCGTTTGTTCGTTGCCCATCCTTCAAATTCGTAAAAGCACTCCCAAGTTCTAGAACATATTTTGGTGGTAGCCGTCGCGACGGTAGATGATCTGTGGTCGGCGTCGGATGGTGCAACTCATAATTCATCTACTTGGTTCTCTCGACGCTCCTCGGCGTTAAAGCAAAACAGTACATATCTCAATGCGAGGAAGTGGAAGCTAGGTCATTCTGTGTGCCTCAAAAACTACAGGATCTCTTCTGATTGATGCTTGAAGATTCCATTCTGTTGACTCTTCAGTTTTGGGGTTTAGTGTGGGCTCGGTTGACAGAATTTCGCGTCAAGTAGTGCTACCTCATGCAGCAGCCTACCATTTCCACACTATGTATACCGTTTGCGATATTAATCGTAATCTCCTTTTTGATGTCGAGTTCGTGATCATTGGATGTTTCGTGGTTCGAACAAAATGATGCTTGCGCTTGCGACAACCATTCCGCGCTGGTGGGATTAGGAGGCCTCTTATGCATGATAGAGATAGTATAAGCTGTATATTAATCATCGCAGCACCAGAGTCTTGATCCTCGCCGCCCATCTCGCTAACTGCGAAGAATAGACGGTCTTGCCGCCGGCTTCATCGAAGGAGAAGGACACTATCGCCGCGAAGATGTTGCCGCCAATGGGCTCCGGCTCCGGTGCGTCTTCCGTCCCTTCTTCGAGTTCTTCCTCTGCGGTGGCGGGTCCTTCTGCCGGTTCCGCGAACTGCTCGTCCCGAAACAGACATAACAAGATGGAGCACAATTACACATCCTCAAGTGCAGCCAGAAACAAAGCGCCGTCATCTACCTCCTCGTCCTCCTCCGATGCGCACGACATCAACGATGGCGCTCACGACCATACCCGCGACCCTCTCCAGCCGCAGTTTCACCCGCCGTTGCAAACCCTGGAGGACTTTATCGACGAGTCTATTGAGGATCTGAGTTTGCTGATGACCAAGGCGGAGCAAATCGAGCACCAGCAGCAGCTGTACGTGAAAAATGGGAACAGCCACCAACATCCGCATCACAAGCAAATGATGGAAAAGGAGTTGGACACGTTGAAGGCCGAAATCCACGCTGCGAAGCAGGCCTACATCACGTGGCACCTGATCTGGTTCATTGAGCGCACGGATTTCGAAGGCACGCAAATAAGGCTCGACCTGGAACGGGAGGAAATTGCAGAGGCGGTCGCGACCAGCTACAGTGGCAGTTCGGACGGAGGTAGGAGACAAGTGTCTGGAGCTACTTTAATATCTGCAGTGCTTATATACCTGCGCGGCGAACGGCGCAGAGATGCAGATCATTTTCATTTCCTCGCCGGTGCTTTCTTTGATTGGTTTTATCACTATCATTAGACCGGCTAGAGGACGTGCTAAAACCAAAAGATAAGTCCAGAATTAAAGCAGGTAAGCCGATGAAAACCGAGGCTGATTTTCTGAAGGAGGCTTTCGCGACTAGCCAATCTTACCGAAACTTTGTCGGAGTTCTTCGCTGGCTCCGATGGGTGTACAAAAGTGAGTGCGACTTCAACAACGTAAGCATCTACAAGAACCCCAACACGGTCCACGCCGGCGGGAGCAGCGCTGGGACGAGCGGGAACGAGTCAGATGGTCCGTTTTCGTCAGCTGCAGCTGAAAGCTCCACAGCACACCATCTTAACCTGCAGGCTGATTGCAGCTTCGCAGCAACCCTGGATAGCTTAAAAAAGAGGTATCGGTATGTGATGAAACCCCTACCAGATAATTAGAAGCTATAGCCATTTTATGATCTTGTGTCATCTCTATTTCAACAACCTCAACGAGCGGTGATCTGTGTCTGACATCTGCATGTAGCCGAATGCTGCGGGAGAGGTTGAATTATCTTTACGTGATACCCTCGGTCGTAGTCGTACAGGTCAATCATTGCCCTTTTTTCTTTGTTTTTTAGGTCCAAGCTTCCGCGTCCGATGCTCGGCGGCGCGAGTGTGCACTCAAATGCGGAACGCATGCGGACCGCACGAATGTTTCACCCAGACGGCCTGGCGTCCTCTTCATCTTCCAGCACAACGCCTTCGCGAATGGCCGCCCAAGCCTCCCTCCTCGACCCGAAAGACCTTCAGACGGAGCACAAGTTTCTGCAAGACCTGTGGCACCTGCTCCGCATCGGCGACCTGGCCGCTGCGTTCGAGCTCTGCGCGGAACAGAAGCAATTCTGGCGTGCCGCGGTCTTGCAGGGGGTGCTTCCGGAACAGGGAGGACAGTCGTGCAGTTCTTCCAGAAGGGGGAACAATGTTGCTACCGGATCTGGGCTGGTTCCAACCTCGTTTTCTTCGGTACTTCCAGGAAGCGCCAGTGCCAGTTCCTCGAAACCTGCAAAATATTCTAGAAGTGCAGCCGTACGGATCCACCATGTGCTGAAGCGGAATTTTGACCCAGAACGGAGAGAAGAGGATGCAAGCAGGATGGCGATGGGAGGTTCTGCGACCTCCTCGTCTTCGGAAGAAGATGTTGTGATGGACCAAGACCCACGAGAGGACGACGACGAGGGGCGCGAGCCTGTCAATGCGAATGCCAGCGAGTGTAAGTACGTTGATTGGTCGGAGGTGTTCTGCTGCAACACCCGAAACAGACCACCAGCTCCAGCGACGTTACTGCCAGAGCCAAAAGCGGATGCGAAAACGCGCAGTTTCGCAATCTGCGGGAACCAGCAGCGCAGGACGTGGAAGCTGATGCAGTGGGAAATTGCAAAGAAGAAGATAAATGCTATCGTCGAGCATCAGCATGATTATCATGCAGGACTACAAGTAGGGACTAACAGAGGCTCAGCTTCCTACCCTTACCCGTATTATAGAGGCGGAAAAACAGCAAGAAACGCCGCTGGCTTTGTCGCGGGCGTGCCAAGTTTCGGTGCTGCAGGTGGAGATGATGTCCCCTCGTCTTCAACCCCAGCCACTTTGTTGACGAGCAGTGGCGATTTTGAAATTGCCATCACCGGATACCTCGCCGGAGTAGCGCCGTGCTTGCATCGGATGAGCTTCACGTGGTGGGATCACGTGTGGTACAATACTTTAAGGAGCTGCTCGGTCTTTATAATTTCTTGTTTCACTATCATGGCTGCGACCATCGAAGATCATTGACAATTTATTATTTGCAAGAGACACATACATACTCGCAACGACTGAGAATTCTTCTGCTTGCTTCAGGCCACGCAAAGCTTGTTGACGCATTTGAACCACAGGGCCGAGCTTCACTGCGTCAAGGAGCATTTTGTGGAAAGCTGGCTGGCCATGAGAATAATGACACAGCAGGCCCTTCATCTGGGGACCAAGAAGAGACAAGCACCGGGCTCCCGTTCAGTTGAAGAAGCCACGCGATTCAACATTTTCAAAGAGATCTCGCCCGTCGACCCTATTCGGAAACGTTTGTGCGGCACCTTTGCCAACAACCTGAACCTTCTCGACCGCCTGTCACAGGAGGACGACCCGCCTCCCGTTACCGCGCGGGGGGCGGGTGATCGTCGTGCAGAGATCGACGGTGCGAGATGTAGAAATTCTGACGAGGACAATGATGTTCACGACGAAATTGCGCAGCAAGTTAAAGTGCTGCAGAACTTGCTGCGTGATCTGGAGCTGGAGTTTGAAAATTCCGTGTACGAGGAAGTTGGTCAGGTGCTGCACGCCTTCGAGAACCACGACTTCTTGCCCATTCGGAAGGAGGCACGGACACCCTTCGCGCGGATTCAAGCACAACTGATTCTGACTTCCTGGGACGCGAGTGTCATAAACGCGGTGCTGGACACGCTGGCCGTTTGGGTCTCGGAAACGGAAAAGCAGGAGTTCGTCGACGAGAAGGTGCCGTTCTACGGAAAGAAGTTTGCGTCGAATCTAGCCTGTTTCTACAAGGAGCACGTGGTGAAATCCATCCCCTTGCTGGGGGTGGTCGGAGGCGAACAAACTACCCAGCAGCGTCGAGAAGATGCTCGGCAAGAACAAGAAGGAGGTGACCGCGAAGGGACGGGAGGTTTGCTTGTTTCCGACGACGATGGCATGCTAGTTGACGCAGACAACGCGGATAGGAAAGTTGATTTAGAAGGTCCGGCCGCTAAAGTAGCCAACGGGCCAGCAGCAGATGGTGCAGCTGTGGAGAGCACGCCAATGATGCTGGAGAGGCGAAAGTATAGCTTTATTCGCTTTATCGATTCGTCGCTGAGATGTTCGTGCCGTGTGTGCTTTTTGAATCAAATACGCAAGACTTACTTCAAGAAGGCTTGCTTTTTTTTGATAGCGGCTGCGCACAGTCGTGCTTCTATTCTCGGCTCTCATCTTTATTTCTGTTTCTCGTGGCTTCACCATCAATCTTGTTTCACTCGACTTCTTCAAAACATCTTCGACAGCCGCGAGGAGCTGCGGTTGCAGCAATTGTACTCGGAGGAGTCTTATGAACTGCAAGAAAAGTATCGCACTTGTATAAATACATCACAAATCTCCTCGGCATGAGAAATAAAATTTGTAATGCTGATTGACCTTCAGAACAAGATTTGTAATGCATGATTGCAATACGCATGCGATACTTTTGCACAGGATAAGTCTGCGGACCAGCTCGTGGAAACGTACATTTTGGATCTTGCGCGCAAAAGCCTGAACGAGAACCTGGACGAGATCGTATGGTGAGTAAAAACGTCCCCAGTGCAGAGTCAAGATGGCAAATGAATCCGCTACACCAATCAACCAGAACCAGCTTTGGCTGTTGCGCATGACAAATTTGGGCTCGCAGTCGGGTATGCATGACAAATTTGGGCTCGCAGTGTAGTCGTGTTTAGCTAGTAGTGAAACAGCGTCACAGGTCTAGCATGCCACGCATGCGGATTTGAGCATGAGAAATCGCAAAACACCAGAAGAGACTGCTTCTCATGGGTCTGCTCCGCATGAGATTGAGAAACATTTTCAGCATGCAGATTTGCACTACAACTCTGGGGAGGTGGGCACGTTTTTACAATTGATAGATCGTCGAGCGGCTCTCCATGATGCACGGCAGCTCCCTCGAGAACACGGTGGTCAAGCTCTACCGCCTGATCTGCGACGCGCACTACCAGTTTCTGGTGGCGCAGCTTCAGCATCTCCAGGATGAAATCCAGAACAGCAGCGGGATAATCGCCGGCTCGTCCTCTGGTGGTACTAGTCAGATGCACACACTCCAGATAATCGAGCAGGAAGAAGAGCTGCTGATCATGGATCAGATCAAACACGAGTTTCCCGCGGCCGCGACGAATTTGCTTTCTGGCCTGATCCAGCGGTTCCCGGCGCACGTGGTGCCCATCCTGGTGAAGCTCGCCGAGGATTTACTGAAGAGACGCATTATGTTGAAACAGGGTGGAGGAGTGCTAGCCGGTTTTGGTGACGAGTTGGGGGTCGAAGTGGATAGCAGTAAAATTGGTGAGGACCACGCCTCTAGTCGTGCGCCTGAAAGTGCATCTGGGCGATTCACTGGCGGTGGTGCAGCTGCCATATCAAGGAAAAACAACAAGCAGAAGACTTTCACGCAGGACGCGAGTGACTGCGAAGTCTTTTTAGTTTTGCTTACAGTTTTCTGGAAGAAGATGGTCGAAACCACGCTAAAAGTGGACCAGTTTTTGCCTACCACGTCGGGGGGCCAAAGCGTAGCAAGAGCTGGCGCAAATGTTGATTCGTCGACTTCGGGGGCGTGCGTTTCGCCGACTCGGCGTGCAGTAGCAGCAGGTACGGTGGGAGATGCGACAGCGGCTGCGGCCGGGCCCTCGTTTATTGCCACATCTTCAGCAGCAGGCTCCGCAAGCAAGATGCTCGCTGCGCAACAAGATATCAGCGAGGAACAGCTCACGAAATTCCGCTCAGTGCTAGAAGGCGTCATCTTTCTCGCCGAGGACCGGGGCTTGGTTTCCCTAGATGAAGAAGAGCTGGAGGGGGCTGGTGAAGGTGGGGCATCAGCCGGAGCGGGGGTAGTACCTTTTCAACAGCAGAACGAAACCGCGAATGGGGGCGCGCGAGGTCAAAAACATCGACACGACCATTTGGGTTTGAATCTTCCGCACGTGGTAGAAGAACAGCACTTTTTCGTGTCACCAACTTCACCGCCTCCGAATACTATTCATCGCGGCAACCCGGCTGGGGCTGCTTTTTTCTCCCCGACGAACGTGGCAAGTAACCACAACCTGTTGCCGCCCGCACACCCGATGAGCCCCACCCGACCTAGCTGGTCTGTGGCGAAGGAGCGGCGCGCGTGGAAGATGTCCCTCTCGGCGGCGAGAGGCGGGGCGGGAGCAGTTTCGTCGGGAGATGGTCACTGGAGCAGAAGCCAACAGAAACGAAAATCTTCGCTCCGGGACCACGCGATGCTGACTGCCTCAAGCGGCAAGAAACTTGCCGCACCCAGTGCAGCGGTCCTCCCGGCGCGGCCGGGTGCTTTGATCACTAGCCCCGGGTCGCCCGCCCTCGGGCCCGCGATAGCCTCGTCGCCTGTTTTTGCGGGTAACATGATTGCGGCGCATCAACAGCTGGAGAAAGACCAGGTCGCGGCGGGAATGTTGAACCAGGACTCAGCTGCAGTAGATTCTCCGATTTTGCCATTGTCGCTGGAAAATACAGCTGAGATGATGTTGACAAGGAGTGGAGAGAAAAATCACAGAGCATCTCCTTCATCTGGCGTGACCAGGAGTAATGCAGCCGCTACTTCGTCTAGCTCGAGCAGCGCCGCGGCCGGCAGTAGTTTTCTTCCCGCAGGTAGTGCAGCTACGGAAAAATCTCAAAGGCCCGCCCTGGCCCACCAAGAGCAGCCAAAACCTCCAAGTAGGCGGAAGAGTCTTCTGGTGTACAACCGGCGAGAGCAGCGATGCTTAGAGCAGCTGCTGTTCCAGATCGTGGTCTCGCCGCTCCTGACGGACCTCCTCGCTGTGTACACGCGGTTGTGTCCACAGCGCGCCGGGTTGTTTGTGCAGGTCGTACAGGAAGCCGTCGACGATCCTCTGTGGAACGGAGAGCTGCAGGTCGTGCGAAAAATGAACGCCGCAGCCGCGACGGCAACTGCACAGTATCAAGAATATCAAGACGAAGCAGTTGATGAAGGTCGGCGGCACGAAGATGAGCAGAAAAGCAATATGAAGGAGCAAAAGTGTAGTTCTGTTGTACAACGAAAAACAAATCCGAAAACGCGGACACTCGATGAAATCATTGAGTTCCTGCGAGATTTCCACCGGAGCGATCAGTCTTTCCAGAATGCTTTTGCCGAGTATCTCACCGAAGACGAAGACCACGATTCTAGGGGCTTTGCGGAAAGTACCAGGAAAGATGACTTCTTCAACATCGAAACTATACGGGGACGCGGCAAACTAATACCACCAGATCAACAACAAGCTCGAGCAGCATCCGGCCTAGCACTCACGAAAAACCACCACGACCTGTCATTGCTAAACCCCAACACTCTTGCAATCGTCAAAGAGCAGCAAGAAAAAGCGTTGAGGCTTGCGGAATCGTGCGAAGTATTTTCGTTCGGCGGCCCGGGAAGCACAGTAGTGGCGCCTGGGACAAGGGGTGTTTTAGAAGAAGAGGAACATTTCAACACTTCCGACCGAAGTCCGAATGCTGCAGCTGCGTCGAGCAGTACCAAAAAGCAGAGTCGTCATATCAACAGACGAAGAGAAAATCAGGGCTTCCTCTGTCCCTCCGAGCCAAGCAGCCAACTTATCGAGGAGAAAAAAATCCTTTTGGCCTTGCGTGATTACCTCCTTCGGGACGATGAGGGGGAGGAAAGCAGGCCAGCACCTCCGAAGGAGGAGCCGCAGGCTTCTCACGAGGACGCCGGAAATGCTAATGCAGCAACTCTGGCGTGTAAAACCTACAGAACGAGATCAGGTGCGCTTTCTCTTCTCGAGGCATCCGTGGAGCGATTTTCAGACGAAGGAGCCCCCCGGCCGTTGGGTAGCGGTGGTGCGGCTCCCGCCGGAGCAGCTTGTACGACGACCGGCACCACAAGCACAACCACGACGGTCCTCGGCACGATGCTTCCGATGAGGTTTTGGCGGCAGCTCCGCGGCCATTTGCTGACCCGCCTGCTCCACAGCATTCTCAACATGGAGAAGGTTCTGATTCTGGCCAATGCAACGTCGGTTCCTCGTTTGGATGACAAAGACCAGCTCAACCACGAGCGAGGACCCGACGCGCTCTCATCTTCATCAAGCTCAAGTAGTCTGAAGATCACTACCAGGCTGGACCCCGGAAACCTGAACCCAGGGTTTTTGGACGACATTGGGAGGATGGGGGTCCAGTGTCTCCACTCGAAGGTAAGTGCACTGGCCCGGCTAGCTTCTGATGCAGCACACCACAGGACATCAGAATCAAATGGAGAAGGAGATTTTTATATGGAGCCAGCACACAATCAAGATGAAGATCACGAAGCCTTACTGGGACAAGGACAAATGGACAAACAAGGGCGGGCTGCTGGTGCTGGACAGGTAGACGGAGAATTCGTTCTGAGCAATGAAGACGTCTTCGTCAACACCGAAATAACTGCAGCACAGGCACCACGACCGCCGAATTCCTCTTTCGCCCAGTCTCAGTCTCGTCGTGTTCGAAATACCGCGATGACAGGAAACAGTGGTCGACAAATACCCGCCTTGAGTGTGACGGTATCAGCAAGAGGCGGTGGCGGGCCCCGAGGTGGCGGCGGAGGCGGAAAGGATGTGCAACATGGGCGGCGGGTAGCGGCACAGCAGGACGAGCATCAGCATCAGCAGCAGCCGCCACCAGTGGACACCTTGGGAAAGCGGGCCGGACGTTTTTCCAGGCTGTTTTTCTGAGCGACGTTGTGCTGAACGCCGCTGCGCTGCCACAACCGATGTCTGAATGTACTAGGCTTGTAGAACTAGAACATAGTAAAGACAAGACGAGCTGCAGCTGCTGACGCGACGACCACGGGGCACCTGCTAAAAATGCGAAGACACCGTAATCATGACGCTGAACTAGTTTTTACCTCTAGATCGAACCGGAACTGCGTTAGACTTTTCGCAGCTGAGGAGCACGAAATCTTTGAAGGCGATGGACCACTTTCCGGTCCCGCCTGCGAAGGAATTTATTCTTTGTCGACTCGTTGCCAAGGAATATTCTTACTTCGTCTCTCTTCAGGATCACAAGGAAGGTTTTGCACAGGGAAAGAGTTTCAGGTCGACAGCATCAGGACTCGGTGGAACAAGCTGCCCAGGATGTAATCGTGGTGTTCACGTCATGGTTGCGGAAGTTATCATATCTTCATCCTCGTTTTCGTGTTGTGTTCGTTTCAAAGACTAAGATCAGTTTCGAGGGTGCGTAGCGGGGCAAGAAGACGTCCTCGCGCGCAACACCACCAACTCCAATCCAACTCTAACTGCTCTTTTGTATCCTTTTGCGCACATTATCAGGCATACCATGGCCATTCTTTCCGGTTCGGCATTTTCAGCGATCAGATGCACTTTTTTGTGTCAAGGAACGATTCGACCCTGGCAAGCTGGATCTTCCGGAAACAGCGAAATATATTTATATTCGCTAAAGTACAAAAATGAAAAATTCAATTCTTTCAAGTTTCCCTAGTGGCAAAAATGGGTTTTTTTAGACACAGCCGTATAAGAAGATCACGAAGGAGCTCCGTGTTACCGCCGGCGCAGGTGCAATGGCGCCACGGGCACGGCTTGCGAGATGCATTCAATCCGCTTCTCGGCACGTCACAAAATACTTGCACGTTTGAACGAAATCTACTTCTGATGAACATGAATTGCCATGATCCAATAGCTCTGTAAGAACTAAGGTGTCCACCTCCACTAGAAGTGACTTGTATCTGTGTCCACGGTGTGTTACAACCATCGTCCGATCTTACAACTACATCTCCTCGCGATTTTTTTAGTGATGTTGACCATGCCAGGCCTATCGTCATGCTCGTCGCACGGGTTACCCGTGCCGCAGAGTCGACTCTTTCTGTTGCACGTGGTTGTAGCAGCTTCAGCCGTATCACGGGCCATCGCGTCGTCTTCCCCGTCTGCCTTCCTGCAACCGCGCTTCGACGTGATGCACGCATATCGTAACACTCACTCGGCAGGAGGAGCTTTTGGCGCCGGCTCTAGTGGACCGGCTGCAGCTCCTAATCCTATTCCGCCATCATATCTTCCGTCCTCTGGACAAGCAGACAGATCTTCTCTATTGAGTTTGCGAAACGCACAGGATAAAAAACTTCATTTTCCAACTCTCAGCTTTTCTTCCACTTCCTCTGCAAAAAAATCTGGAACAAATAGGAATGCACAGCAACAGTGGTCAAGAGTACCAACATCTTCCGCGAACTACAACGGAAATAGTGTCGCCTCCGCATCAACAGTCTCGGTTCTTGCCTCCTGTGCGGCCGCAGCCGCGACCTACGGAGCGGCCAGGAGTAGACCGCGCCGGAATACTACTGGATCTCGCAATACATCAACGCAACTGTTTCAAGCCTGTCCGCGATCACCAGGGGGCGACGGTAATTCCTCTTCGCCGCTCCACGACCAAGTCAGCGGCGGTCCTGCACCAGCGGTGCACCTCTCATCTGCGGCAACTACACAACCTGAGCATCCCAACAAAACAGCTGCCGACCTGGTCTACGGTTCGAAGGTTTCCTTTCTGATCGCGGTGGACATCGGGGCAACGACGCACAAGGTGACTCTTTTGACCGTTTCGGAGGAGAAGGTGGAACAGGTCTTGTTCTCCAAAGTCGTCCCAATGGACTGGAAGCACAAACCCTGGCAGAAAGATCTCAACGCGTTTGCCATCTCGCCTGCGGCTGCAACTCACAGCACGACCTCCGCTGGTGGAACAAAAAATGATGAGACTGGAAGTGCTACGACCTCGTCGTCGTCTTCAGCCGCCGGTGCGCAGCGAAGTGAGCTTCAAGAATCATCTCCGGGACGAGAGGACGACACAAGAGGTGCAACTACACGAAGCTCCGGCATGTTAAGTGGGTCAACATCTCCACCAAGCTCGACCGCAGGCACGGACAACGCCGATCTCTCGGACGAAGACATTGAGCGGTTCCTCGCGGAGGACTTCGATGAAGACTTTCTGCAGAAAATGGCAGACATGAAATTGGCGTCAGATGAAAGAGATGAAAACCATAATAAGCGAGTAGAACAAAAGCTAGAAGATGGGAAAAGCAGTACTTCTACAGTACGGGAGCAGGACGTAGCTTCGAATAACCACCTGGCATCGACACCATCGGTAGACCAAAAAGAAATACAGCAAGATGTTGTGGGCGCAAAGATTCCGCGAACCGCGAAGGAGGAAGACGACAAATATTTCCGCACCATGCTCGACAGCTTGGAAGACTCAGTTACCCTTGTGCGGGAGTTGATCCACGAGGCGCAGGAAGCGTTGAACCAATTGTACGGCGGAGCGGTTAAGGACGTGAAGATCACCGCGGTCGGCACCGGCGTGTTTCGGGGAGAGACGCCGAAGAGTGTGGTCGCGACCTACCGCGACCTGCTCAACTGCATGCTCTTTCCGCACAGCGGTGCCACCAGCTGCGCGCTCGGGCTCTCCCTGGAGGAGGCCGAAGCGAGTGCTTGTGCAGAACCAGAAATCGACTTTCACGTCGTAACGCAGGAAGAAGAGGCGGAGCTCGGCTTCTTGTCGCACACGGTCAGCCGGCAAATGTTCCACCAATGGGCATACGGACCCGGTACGAGCAGGAGGAGATCAACTGGTGCGAAACACAAGAACCTGGGGGATCCCCTTGCCACTACATCTCCTCAGCCCTCGAACCAGTCTAGTACAGGAGAAGACTCTGTCAATAGGGGGACTGGTCGTGCTGCAACAGGACCCGCACAAGCCACACTGCCGATTCTTCACGTGGGAAAGCACTCCATGCACCTGGCCAGCGCCACGGGAGTGCACTTGGTCGAGCGAGGGAGCCGGGACGTGTTCGAGCTGTTGTCGAGTTTGAGCAAAAACACGAACAAAGAGATCCGAAGCGGGAAATCAAATCCAAATTCTGCTGCTTCCGACGTATCGCCGCCCGAAGCCCGCGACCACCGCGACTTCCTCATGGAGCAGGCGATGTCGTCCATTTACAGCTATCAGCCCTTTGACGACCCCAACCCGATATGGAATGCTGCGAATTTTTTACCTTTCCTCCCGGCAGCACAGTGTCGACGTCACATGGACGATGTCTGTATAAAGGAGGAGCTCCTCTGCTGGTGCATCTACGTCGACCCTTCAGTCGTGGGTTTGTATTGCTGAGTCGCTAGATACAGATGAAGGACCGTCTTGTGAATGTGGTCATGCAAAGCTGTGAACAACAGGTGTGATGAAATGATTATGATGTCGTGAAACCAATTTGCGTGGCCAGCGCCGAGGTAAGTAAATTTCTATGGTATACCCGGTCTCGTTGGAAAACATTGACAATTTGATCTTCTACGTCACCTCCTGGCTGCTGTCTAACGCGCCGGCTGGACAGAAAGACGCGAGTTTCTGCGAAGTAGCGCTCGAGTCCTGGGAATTTGGAAAATCCGCGGAGGCGAGGGGGTTATTTGCAAGAAATGGAGTCCGACCACCCGCGCCTGAAGATACTCAAAATCACGCTTCACCAGCACCACCAGCACCTGAATCGAGCGATAAGGATAGCTCCGCTCCGGCTGATATCTCCTGTTGGCTACCCACCGTGATCGCGATCACGAACAAAAACTCGGCCTTCCACGTGGCCAGCATCGCCCTGGGTCCGAAGTTCACCGCGGCGCAGATTTACCACCTCCTGATGCAGTGCGCGGGGAAATCGAGCAGCGAGTTGAGAACGGGCAAGCTGTTCAAGAACCAACTGGATCCGGCACCGGACGCTGCGAAGCAGGTGGTTTCCAAACTTGTGCTGCTCTACTCCATCATGATGGCGTGGGGCATCGATGAGATCATTTGGGAACCGCTGGAAAATGGACTCACGCTCGGGATGGCGGAAAAGTATCGCCAGGAACACCTCACTTGCTCTAATAGTGCCCCGACCGCGTGATGATGGACTTTTTTCTGGGCTGGGATGCGATGTGTAGTACTTGTTTAACACGACGTCTTCTAGAGAAGTTTTACGACAGTTTTTTTTTGCTCCTGCATAGCTTGCTCGTCGACCACAACAAGCTGGCGAGTAGCTGTAGCTTAGTCTTGTTCATTCTGCGTGTCGCTCGCGCTGCTAAGTTTATGATACACAAGATAACGCGTCGGCGTCGGCATAGACACAACATCAACGAGACCACTGCGCAGACCAGCTGCTCGGGTACCAGACCACTGCGCGTATCAGAAACTTTGAACAAAATTTGCATTTACTTACAGTTTTTTTCTGACAAGTTACAGTTACTGACATGATCTCCCTTCGACTTTGAGAATACCAGAGAAATGAAAAGATGATGTTGCTGTTCAGTCGATAATCAAAAGCAGTTCCACTTACCTTTTTTGAAGTGCACGAAATTCCGAAAAATTATTGGCAAAGACCTACACGTCTTGACTAATTGACTTTTTGCTGCCATGCACTCTCACAACCTAACGAGGAAAAAAATGAATGCACAACTAAACTAACAGTTTGTCTGTTTAACAAATTTGCACAACCACAACGGGAGCAGTCAAATGGAAATGAATCTAATTCCTATGTTTGTAAAAATGTAGTCACCTCTTCCTCTTGAGCGTGTCACAAGACCAAGATTTGGGATGTTCGGGAACTTCATCTTTTTTTCGCCATATAGACATTGAAACGCAAAGGAAGTTGATCCTGTCGTGTACGACCTTCATCTTCGGTCAAAAAATAAAAGTTGATCCTGTTCCTTACAGAATCGAAATCTTTGCCGAAATTTCTGCACGAGACAATCGATCTTCTGAAAAATTGAAAACGTAAAGAAAGTCGATTGAGTTCTGAACACATTTGCAATTTTCCGATTATGAGGCCTTCTATGCCGCTTTGCCAGCGCGTCGGTCGAAGATTACCTGACGAAAAATGCTATCTTGATTCACGAGCTTTTCTTGAGTTTGATGTCCTATACCTTCTGACATTGTAACCAGGACGCATGTTGCCTTCTTTTTCATGAAGCTGCGTTGGTTTTGTCAATCATTCTTGAGTAGCAGCTCCAAGCTCTGATGTAAAAACTTCTAGTTCTACCCAATCGAAGAAGACGCGCATTATTTTATTTGAATTATATCTGCATAAAGGCTTTTTTCGTTTCCCACTTGTTTCCCTATCCCTGTACCCGTGTGATATTACTTACTTGCCCCGCTACTTCCTCTATACCCTGTTCGCCTCTTGTCAACCACCCGACACGACATCGATTGAGAATCAAAATGGGCGCGTGTGTCTGCTACGACCCGATCTATGATCCCTACTACGATCCCTACTACGACCCTTACTACGGCCCGCCACCGCCGGTGATATACGGACCTGCTGCGCCGGTGGTTTACGAGCAGCCTGTAATAGTGGAGGAACAGATCATCTACGCCGGGGACGGTGGCACGGGCGGGGGCACCGCTGGTGGGATTATCAACCGTGCCGGCAAGAAAAGCGCGGCGATAACGAACGACCACGACACCGCGGGGTACTACAAGTAAACGCCGAGTGAACTACCAGTACGAGAACGACAAAATGTGGGGAAAAAAAGATTGATATGAAATTATACGGCTAGTTACCGAAACATCTGAACTCGTACTTTCAAACGGACTCCAGATTTCAGATGCGATATCGCCAGCACACGAGCACGATTTCTTCAACATGCTATAGTACAAAACAAGTAAGCACCACCTGGGCGATCATAAGCTGAAGCTCAGTCTTGTGATTTCGTGCTGGATACTCATGATTCATGTTTTGGAAGAAGAAAAGTTGTACGATTAACATGGAGAGAAGCGCAAGGTAGAGACCGCTTCCAGCGGCTCAAAGTAATTTTTCTACTTCGACTTCTACTACAGTAAAACGCTTACTAAGTCATTGCGCTGGTACTTGTTGGGCGGCGCTCCGTGTTTTTAACATTATGTTGACAGTACACACAACCCTTTTTGCGCGGACCTCGAAGCGGAGCCTTCAAGTTCAATTCCATCGTAGTTCAACCATCGGCGGCGGTCCATTTACTTCTTGAAGTTGAAGTTGTACAACCTATCCCCAATGTACAGAAACGATTTTTCAACAAAGGTTTTCCAAAAAACCGCATAGGTGGAAGTAGTGACATGCAGTGCTGCTCTTCAAAAATCATATGAAATAACTATCGAAATCAATTCAGATGCTGGAACAAGAAGCAGCCAGACACGGAAGTCTACAATATGCAAACTGCGTTGTTCTACAGTGGGGTGCGGAGTAGTTCGTTAATTCAGAGAGCAGGTTCGGCTTCGGCGCAATGAGAAGTTGAGAGCAACTACAATCGATCAGCTGCAACAGAAGGCCATGTTGGCGATGTTCTTCAGTCTGAAGTGGCTCGTGGGAGAGAGGAGACGATATCGCTTTTGATGTTCTCGTTCTGGTGGTCACCAGACCTTGTACTTGGGATCTTGCACCCCTTGATGCAATTTTGATTCGCAGAAAGCACATACTTAGCCGGAACGGCTTGGAGTAGAACAAAATAGTGCATCTAGATAACGAAGAAGCTGAAACAGAACGAAACAGCAGAAAAAGAAAGGACTGATCATCTTCCAGCACTTTCACAACCTGTTTCACAGCAGGCGTTGCTGTGTGCAGGGATGCTAAGGTTTCAATTTGAAGAGAAAATCTAGAGATCGATGGGCGTTTCCTTCCAAGAAGATGAACAATTGGGTGCCGGTGCCCCCGATGCTGGATCTTCGTCAGACGACGACCACCTCGACGGGGTTGGCGAGCAGTCCCTCGTGTTCCAGAGCCGGGGCGACCGGATCTTCACAGATGGTGACGAGAAAGCGAAAACTATGCATTGCAAAAGTATCGTACTAGTAGAAATAGCATTACAAATTTTTCCAGAAGGAAAAATGGAATTTGTAATGCTGAATAAGCTAAGGAACCAGATTTGTCATGCATGACTGCAATTACTACGAGTACCATGCTTTTGCACAGGATAAAAACCGCCCCACGACAAAAGACGCGGAGCAGCGGGTCTGGCGACGTGTACTACACGCCGGCTGGGGTTCAGCAAGCCATCGTGTACCGGGATGAAGAGGACCGAGTCAGGTTCGGCGGAGCCACTAACGCCCGCGCTTTCGCACCCCCGACGAAAGAGGTAGCTCGAAGTGCTTTAGATGAATTCATGATCTTGTTTGCCTGCTAGTAGTCGTTGCACCAGATCGAGACCCAGCACACTGGGTGCATCATGTAGGCATGAGTTGTCACCCTCACCTCGTGATTGAATTATTGATGATGTTCTTGTTTTAGAAGTACAACTAGTATGAAGATCTGATTCATTTCATGAATCGGAAACAACTTTGCCAGCATGCGGACAATGTGAAGAAGAGCATCCAAGCTGACGCGGCGACAAACACAGGATGGAGAATGGTGCGGAATCTGTGGCATTCAAGAGAGCATAGCAACCTACGAACCTGGCTCAGGCTCGCGAAAGAGGTATGAAAGTTCCACGTAGGAAAATAGTGAAAAGTTTCTCTAGAAGACTTTTTGTGATTTTTGACATGCAGAACTTATCGTACGCATGAAAGTTGTTGTGTCATCTGTGTCTTCCATTTCGTCGTAACGACATGCTTTAAGACTTCTTCTTTTCTGGGAACGGTCTAGAACTACCTGTCAAACTGGATCACTTTCGTCTTGCGAAATTTTTTATCCCACCACCAGCCCCCGCCGGCGTATTCGGATCGCTACTGGGAGAAGCGTTACATGGCCCAGCGCGGGCAGAGCTTCGATTGGTACTGCGACTATCCGCGGTTCAAGCAGCTTCTGCATTCCGCTTTCAACCGGTCCCGCGGGATTCTCGGCGTGGTGGAGAAGCAAGCCGCCTCGAAGGACGACATCGAGACCCTGATTCTGGGCAATGGGTCGAGCGAACTCCCGATCCAGCTGTACGACGCCGGCTACAGGAACGTCACGTGCATTGACACCAACGAGCTGGTGGTGGAGATCATGAACCGCAAATTTGCTGCCATGGAACAAGAGGTGGAGGAGCAGGAAGAGATAGAGAACAAGTTGCAACATGCTTCAAAAAATGCACGATCAAAATCGAGAACCCCGCACCCGGAAGATTTTCTCGAGTACCTGCAGCTGAACATGAAGAATCTGTCGGATTGCTTCCCATATGCATTGCAACAGTACCGTGATCTTACTAGTTACCATCCCGCATGAAGACAGATCTGCATCTGGTTTTTTACCTGAATGCGAATGACACAGGAATTGCATTTTTTTTTCAACATATTGTATTGCAATGACTACTAGAACTAGTACGAAGATACTTTTGCAATGCATACCCCGGAAAACAGCTTCACCGCCGTGATAGACAAGGCCACGATGGACATCTACGAGTCGAAATTTGTGGAGCGGTGCGAGCAGGAGCTCTATGAGCAGGAGAACAAGCGCGTCCAGGAGCAGAATCTGAAGCAAAACAGCAAGCTGATGAAGACGGGCGGCTCTACCAGCGGGCGCCCGACGCTGGGAGGCGGCAGCAGTGCCAATTCGATGTTGCAGAAACAAATCTCTGCGGTGTTGAAGCAAAAGCAGCTGGAGGAGATGCAGGGGATTGTGCAGGAGATCGTCAAAGTTCTTCGGCCTGGTGGCTTTTTCTTCAGCATCTCGGCGCTACCGCCGGAGGAGCGGATCGAATACCTCTCACTCAGCAACACCGCCCCCTGGAAGATCGACGTGAGTCGGATCCTGCGCGCCAGCGTCCCCTTTCTCCCGCAATCGCAGCAACAGGGTGCGGGCGTGCCGAGCGGTGCAAGGTCTGGCCAGGGTGGAAATAACAGCAGTGCTGGCGGGGCAGCTGCTGCTGGGGTAGAACAAAATTATTACTGCTACATTTGTACACTCCCCGTTGTCAGTTGAATGTTGTAGTTTTGTACACGTGTAGTTGTATGATGATGTTGTCGGACCACGGACATCTGGTATAAATGTTCTTCCAAGAAAGAGCCGGTGGCTTGAAGATGAATCATCTAGATGCCCCAAGCAGATCCAGAATTGCGGCAGGGCTGAGTTTCTATTTCCCCCTGAATGTACCTACAAAATTGAACTATCTGAAATTTTGCACCCTCACGATGATATAGAACGCCTGTACTGGCAGAATAGAATGTGGCTCTGGCCGTGATTTTTTATCGCGCGTTTATTTTTGCCCCTCGGCGTCGAGTTCTTTGTCTATGGGTTAGTTGCCGCCTCGTACAGTCTGACTTAGGTTCAGATACAAAACTGCTGGTGTGTTATTTTCAGATGAGTCCAGAATTTGCAATTGCGCAGCATCTTCGACGCAGTCTTTCTGCTTCTGATTTTCGCAATGTCGTCGTCGTCGCTAGTTGTCGTAAGGAGACGGAAGGTAAGAAAATCGTTCTTTGGCTCAGTAAAATCGCTCTCGTCGATCTCAATGTCGTTCTGGTGTCGTGGTCGTGGATGGTCCATCCTCGTCGTCGCCCTCCTCGTCGTCGCCCTCGGAAAGGACACTTGAAATCGCGGTCGCGGCAAATCTAGTGTCGCCGTACTTGTCTTTTCTTGCTCGAGTAGAACGCCCTCGACGACTATAACGGTAACATAACCGCAATAGAACATACCTAGAAGACACCGGTCAAGATCCGTGCGTGGTTATAGGTAAAGAGGTAGCTAGCGTGTACAAACACAGTGCAAGATGAAGCAAGACCACGACAATAGTGTCGCTTCCCCTCTGTCCAGGAGAGTCAACAAGCAGACAGCGTTGACAAAAGCGCCAAGGGTGGAGAAGAATAAACATGTAAGAAATATTGCATCAAGTATCATTCGCGGTGAACAGGCGCCTTCTTCTGCAGCTGCTGCAGCTGAAGTTGTGACAACAACTAGTAAAAGCGTTATGGACGATCGCAGTACTTCTTCTGGGCGACGTGTTGGTGTTGTTCCGTATGGACACACGATGATCACGATGAGCAAACAGAAGGCAGTACCGTCTCCGGATGCTGCAGATGCCCCCGCTGCGTCCAGCTCTATGCCTGCGGTATCGAAGCACCTGGCATCCACCTTTGGGCCGCCGGAGCATTTTGCGATCTTTACGGACGAGGAGAGAGAGTCCGAAGAGGATCTGGGGTCGGAAAAGAATCTTATTGGTACAACGGGAAGCGACATAGGCATGCTTCTCGCAAACTCTGTGGTACCACCAGGAGACGACACGCAGGAGGAGCGGGATGAATGTGATGAAATTTTTCATCACACTGCTGGTACTTCTAGTGGTACTCGTGCATCACAATCCGCTCTTTCAGCTGACGAAGACGTGCTCTTTCTCAACCACGAAGAAATGTGCGCAAACGACGAGAGGGAGAAACGTGATCACCAGCTCCGCAGGGATATGCTGCAGGTGCCCGAGGAACTTCGAAGTGGAAATGCCACGTGTAATGAAGGTGATTTACCTACGGAGATCTCGTCCACCTCTTCATCGTCCCCCTTCCCGACAAAAGCCGTCCTGGATTATGTCCTCGAGAAGGGGCAGACGTTTGCAGTTAGAGGAAGCGAGTTTCTTGAAGTGGTCAACGAGAAGAGTGGCGACTTGCTGGAACTGATAGCCACCGCGCACGCAGAAGGCGGGAGCAGGAGCTCTGGTGGTTGGCGGGAGTTTGATTTGAATAGCGTCTTGTGCGACAAGGACGAAAGGAATTCATCTAGCGGTACCTGCAAACTACATTCGGAAGTGGCGAAAGATGGGCGTTGGCAGGATTTGCGACAACAGGAGCAGCTTTTTTCGACCACTTCGGGCAGTTCCAGTTCGTCCGGCTCCTCATTTTGCGGGAAGCATTTTGATTTATCCTCTTCCTCGTCATCAACTTCAGGAAATGATGAAACCCCCTGCGGACGAGGTTCGGGAGCAGACTCGAGTCTTGGTGCTTGCCGTCCGACTTGCTTGGATGTTCAGCGCGACAACTACCCGCACGAACCGCAACGTGATTGCAGAAAAAGCAGTGGCAGTGCGGCGCTAACACACCTGATCGCGCAGCCACACAGCAAAGCACGACAAGAAGAGAAGCTGTTGAAGTGCACCGGAGATGCACTTCGGCAGCAGGTGACAACCCAAGCTGCAACTAGCGTCGCGTCTCCCCTTCTGTGGAGAAGAGAACCAAAGCCGGTCGTCGGCGCTCGTCACAATAAAAAACAAAAAGCGACTGCGAAGAACAATCATCTTCACAAAATGAAGACGAAGGCCGAGAATCTTCAAGATCATCCTGAGCCAGAATCTGCACGACCAGTGTCTCCCTCTGTCCATGCTGTGCCTCCTGCGCAGGAAAGTAGTAGAACAGTGCCACTTCTAGCGCACCCTCCCGAGGAGGAGCATCGAGGTCAACATGACCTTAGCCGTAGTGCACGATTGATGTCTACGCGAGGTGGACACCACCTGCGCAAAAGCCCTTTGTCGACGGAGTCGCCATTTCAACAGCACAGCTCCCAGAGCGCCCAGTCTCGTCGTCCAGATACGACTTCGTCCACGAAAAACAACTACAACAATGTCGGTAGCCAGCAGCAGCAGCACGTGTCCATCGAACTGGCCTCTCTTCGCTTGCAGGAACAGGACGAAAACTTGCAGAAGCTGGAGCAGTTGACCGACCGACTTGACTTGCAAGCCCGGCAGATGCGACTCGAATTGATCCACAACGGCGATTCTTCGAGAAATTCCTCAGCGCTCCATCACGAACACCATCAGCGGGAGTTGGTGTCAGAGGCTGGGGTCATAAACTCCTGCACCTCTTCTACTGCAGTAGAGGGTTTCCACCTACAAGATGAGCATGCAGATCTTCAACAAGGTCGAAACTACCTCCACGAAGTAGATGATGATGATGTAGATCAGCATCTGCACTTTCACCGCACAGAAAGTACCATGGACAGGTATACGCGGCGGCTTCGAGGCTGGCTGAATGAACACCAAGAAACATCAACGAGTGGGGGTGCTGCCGCTGGAAACTTTTTTAGTGGCATTTCGTTTGAGGATTTTTTCTCGAAGCTCTGTCTTCCGAGTGAATTGGGCGAGCGTCAACGGGTTTTGTTTGTCTTAGTCGTTTTGTTTCTCTTGTTATTTCTCTTGTTGGTATTTAGCAGCATATTCTGAATGCGATCTGACGATGGTGATTGTGATAGCTGTTAACTGATGAAGTCGACACACCAGCATCAGCAAGCAGGTGCTCTTATTTCCACTTGTAAGAGCGGACCTGTTGTCGGAACCGCCTACTCGTAATGTACCATACGCTCCTTGAAAAGCACATTGGGTTTGAAATGAAATTCTGTTTTATGGAATCCGAATCTATCTTGCGCCGATGTGTTGCACATCACAATTTTCACGATGCTACTATTAGGGATCATTGTGGCCTCTGCCGACACAAAGACGCACTTTGGGACACGGTCCCGTGGAGAAGGGATTCTTTTACCCAGTACTAGGTTCGCATCGCTGCTGATGTGAGGAGCAGGAGATGATGATGTGTGATAGTGATAGAGGTTCTCCGAAAAGATCCGCGGCCACACCAGGACAAGATCTTTGATGAGTAGGACATTCTTTGATGATCCGTAGTATAATAGCTGCTCTGTCGTAAACGAGGGTAGAAGATGTTGCCGGCGACGCAAGGTGGCCACGCAGATCAAAACTCACTCAAGTCCCAGCCAGAGTTTGCAAAACGATCCTAATTTATGAAAGTAGTAAGTATGATAAGATAGGGAAACGACAACGACGAGTAGAACAGGGATGAATCATGGAAGGTGCATATCCAGGTGATCAGAGTCAGACGGTCCTGCTGTTGATCGTTGGAGATCCAGAGTCACAAGAAGGAAGACAATGGCTGACTCTGGATAACATCAGCGTGATGGCCCATCACCTTGTTGCTATTGAAGTGTAGCGTTATAAGCATAAGGTTAATTATAGTGTGCCTGTGCCACACCTGTTACCCTTTCCAACGACCGGAGATGAAGATCTAACTAGGGGTAGGGTTGATGGTGCACCAGCGCCACTCAGCATCCGTTCTTCAAGCAAGGATCATGATAAAGCGATCTCCTTTTTGTATATGTGCTCGCTGAAGAAAGAGCACCGCTGCCCGTTGTCGGCCGTCGATGCACTAGCAGTACTCCTCACACCGCAGAAGAAAACAGTACGAAGACCGAACATCGTCCAGCTGAGTACCGGGAATCCTCTCACCTCTTTAATTTTCAACAACTCAGCGAGGCAGCGTACTGGAAATGTTAGACAATCTTAAACAGATTGACCCTTGATGAAATCGTTTTATAATTTGTGTTTATTTTATAGATTAGCTATGTCTCTTTGAGCCGGAGCAATATCTCCATCATCATCGTCCCCCTGTGAAAATATACATCATGTTTAATTACCTTTAGCTTCTATCTTAGATTTTTTGATGTCGGAAAAGCAAGTGGCGAAGATGATTGTGATAGATTCACGATCATACAGCTAAAACCCTCTTCAGCATATTAAGCTTACAAGTGGGCTTCTTTTTTGAGACCGGTACGCGCTGAGGCCTAGATTATTAATCACGATGCTACGATGAGGGTTGCTATTTTTGTGTCGCGCATACCATCGGGGAAAGCAGGGGGCCCCCGCCTCCCGCCCTCTCGCCCGCTGGGCATCCCGCCTCCGCAGGGGGCCCCCGCCCTTCCCCGCTGCGTATCCCGCGTCCGCAGGGGGCCCCCGCCCTTCCGCCTCCACCGGGGGCCCCCGCCCTTCTACGTACCGGGCCGCCTGCCTGGTGAAACAGGGGGCCCCCGCCTCCCGCCTTACCGCCCGCCGGGCATCCCGCGTCCGCAGGGGGCCCCCGCGCTTCCGCCTCTGCAGGGGGCCCCCGCCCTTCTCCCGGCCGCGCCGCCCGCCGGAGGCCGGGGGGGGGGCCCCGTCCTTCTCCGCGGTAAATCCCTCCCGCTCGCAGGGGGCCCCCGGCCTCCACCTTTGGAGGCCGGGGGCACCCAAGGGGGCCCCCCGCCTTTCTCTCCCGCGCGCGGGGGGCCCCCGGCCTCTGCCTTTGGTACCCAAGGGGGCCCCCCGCCTTTCTCGCCCGCGCGCGGGGGGCCCCCGGCCTGTGCCAGCGGTGCCCAAGGGATCCCCCCACCTTTTTCACCTGGTCGCGGGGGGCCCCCGTGTTGTTCGGGGTCCCCCGCCTTCCTTTCCCACTCGCATGCAAGGGCTCTTGTCGCGTACATCGCTCCGCGCCCGCAACAGGGGAAACGCAGCGGGGGCCCGCCGCGCAGTCGGCCCCGCTGCCGCAGGCAGGGAGCTCGCCGCGGTGTCCTTTCGTCCCAAGCCGCAACACATTCATGGAGCCCGTGCGGCTGAAGTGAACCAGTGGCGCCGTCTAGGCCTCTGCGCAGGGTCAACCGCAAACACGCGGCCGAAGTGAACTAGTAGTGCCGCATAGGCCTCTGCGCGGGGTTAACCACAAGCACGCGGCCTGGAGCAGGGCAGACGTACGCAAAGGCCCGCGAATAACGCCCGAACCCAGGGCGACGGTGACGTGGGACGGCGGGCACAGAGTTGGGCACGCTGACGCGCTGTTTGCGGCCGCCGACGTGGAAGTGCTGCCCGCGCGTGCCGAGGTGATCGGCAGGGGCGGCCTGCGCGAGCGGGGGGCCTCTGCAAGAATTAGGAGCAACAGCCGTAATGGGCTGTGACTAGTGTGCGCGTTGGTTAGGAAGACCGCTTGGCTTGTGTGTTCGTGGAGTACGCCTGTTCGTTGTTTTGGTTGTCAATACGCCAGAACGACAACTATTGACAACCAAAACAACGAACAGTATGTGGCGCATTGACAACCACAAGAACCCGCGAGACATTCCGCGCGACAGGCAAAGGCCAGCAATGCGGTGGGGAATACTGCCCACATGCGCCGCGGTGCGGGTCGCGATTCCCAAACGTGGCGGTCGCAACCGACAGACCACGGAGACCGACTTCGGTCGGAAGCCGGCGCGTACCATCGCGCTTCGAGATAAAATCGCAGCGCTTGTTCCGATTTGTGTTACGGCGAGACACATCGTGAAAAAAAGGCCGTGCCGTGGTGATTCGGCTGCGCGACTTGTGCGAAATATCGCGGAAAACCAGGAAAAAGCAACTCCGAAAACAGGGCCCGTACCACCGCGACTCGCGACGCAATTGGCATGCTTTTTCACAATTTTTTTCACGGTGAGAATCATCGTGAAAAAATGGCCATACCGTCGTGATTCGTATGCAAAACACGGGCGCTTTTCACGATTTTCACCAGTTTCGCGAGAAATTCCGGGATCCCAGAAGTCCCGGGATTCCGGAAAGACGTGAGTAAAAGAAAAAAGCAAAAAGAAAAACCAGAAGACTTTGAAGGGCCGTCCCGCATGGTATGGCGCGCGTAGGCTACTGAAGTCCTTATATTTTCGCAGTGTAAAAAAAGCCGCTTCACGAGGGCACCACGCCCGGGTATATACGCAAGGTTTGACCCGAATCACGATGCCACTACGAATAATTCTAGGCCTCAGCGCGTGCCGTTCTGTCTTTTTTTTAAAGATAAACTTCGAATAATACAGATAAATGCTGCAGAGTAGCATGATTATGATCAAAGCCAGCTGCATTCTTTTTCTTTCGATGGAGAAATTTCAGACAAAAAACAAACCCACAGTGCAGAAAGTCAGAAGCACAGCGATGGCATGTAAGATGTAGAGGCCAGCTGTACGCATGTGGCCGTGGTGCGTCAAGAACTACAGCTTTTGCTCTTTTGAAATAAGTCTATCTCTATGCATTGACACCACCCGATGACGTTACACATCAGAACCAGAAGACAACCCTGGGAAGGCTAAAAATCTTACGAGGAGGTCGAGGACGTTTCCTTATTTTACACCTCCAACACCAGCTTCATGAAACAAAACACGGGCCGTGCCACACATACATGTTTATCTACTTTACAATTTGATGCCGATCTCTCTGTGGTCGACGCTAGGTCAATCCCCACATCGCCAAAGAAATCCGACTTTTTTTCGCTCTTGTCTTTATTGCGTGGCGCCGTGGCCTTGCTCCTTTCTCGAGGCTCTTTCAGGTCCTGCATCGTCTAAGGGCTCTGAAGTACTGCGACCCCTGTCGCAGCGATTTTTGGTGGGCGGCAAAGGCCGCGGGACGCAGATGAGCGCGGCCACCGTTTTCGTTGCGTTGACGCTGTGAGGCAGGCGCTCGAGACTCGAAGTGAGAAACAGTCCGCGAACGACACAAGATTCGCACAGCGCAAGAACGGCGAAAAAGTGCGCGACCAGCAAATCGTGGCTTGGTCGCCAAGAAGTCGGATGGAGATGGTGTCCAGATGAAAAATATTAGAAGGACCTCTTCTACTACCTGCTCCTGAAGAGCGCCAAGTGGTTTTTTTACGAATACGTCGTTTGGAAAAGTGAAGGATACTTCCTCGGGAGCTCCTGCATGTCGGAGGAGCAGGAGGTCGTCCACTATTAGTAAAAGTAGAAAGCAACCTTGTCTCTGTAATTGACGACCAGCTCCTTTTCGGGTGGACCATGTTCCTGCGAAGACCTTTAATTTGCAGGAGAACATTAACAAGCGGAACGAAGAAAAAGAATAAAGGGACACCGCTGCAGGTCTTTAGCGCGAACAACTACGCGCAAAAACAAAAAGATGAAACCAAAACTGCTGCCACGAATGGCGATTGTTCTTCATCAACAAGGGGTGTTGACGCAGAACATTTTTTAGGCAGCGGCAGCTTTTCTACACCGGCAAGAAGAAGAACTTCTGGAGGTGGGAATTACGACGTTTCTGCATTGCTCGGTGGTCCTCCCTTATCCGCTGTGCAAGCAAAAGAACCGCGATCGAGAACCAGTAGCGGAACGCCATCAACGCCAGGACCACGTCACTGGACGAGTAGCAGAAGTGCAACCATGAAGCTTCTCCCGTTTCAGCTGTTCACCCGCAAAAATATATTGCGGCAGGCGCTGCTAATGTTCGCTTTTTATCCTGTGCTCTTCATCTTCTCGACCCGAATGAACGCCTCGCAGGCCGCCGCTCCTGATGAACAAGAATATCACGATCGTCCACGTCGAGCAGCACGTGCTGTTGATGATGATGAAGGGCTCGTCCCATTTACTCGAACAAGCGGCGACGCGACGTTCGGTCGCCGCGAGAGCAGGGCTTCGTTTTCTCCTGTCGCAATTGAAGCTGGAGGTAGGACCGCAAGTAGAAGTGCCGCCGATTCCGATCGTTTTCATCACCGTGGTACAGCTGAGTCCCTTTTTCTTTTGCTTTTTAGACCACGGAGTGATCAAAATAATGAAATAGCACGGCGGCTGTGGCTGAAGAAGATGCAATACAGATGCAATGTAGGATTACGAACGGGCACCTCCTGGTGCGAATACTGAGCCGGCGTAGGTAGGAGCAGTCAACTTGTACATAGTAGTTGCGTACTTGTGCTGACTCTGTTCATCGGCCGCTTTGCTGCGACCTGCTACGTATCTCTGGCTGCGTTGCTCCTCGTCGACGTCGAGCGAGTTTCCTGCTATCAAATACAATCAATATGCTTCTAGTACAACATGCTCATGCAAGTCATAAACAAGTACGAATAACAATCGCAGAAGATAAAAAAGTAAAAGTCAATTTTGATGATCTCCTTCCAGGCCGCCCTACAGGCGGAACGGCAGTTCCAGGTCCGCCACCGCTTCCGCCTATCGGCAGTTCTACAAGATTGGCCGAAGTTCAGGCGTGGTTGTCCTTGCCGTCCGAAGCAGAGCAAGCAGCTGCTCGACATCGTCGTCAACTGGCAATGGCAGAACACCACCAGGGTGCTGACATCATCAATTGGCAACGGAGACAGAATCAAGCTGCTGGAGCTCAACAGATGCAGTTCATGTCCCCACGTGTGCCTATGACAGAGCTCGAGACGGCGAGGAGGGCAGAACTGATAGCCTTGAGTCAACAGCTACAGCCGGCGCCAGGCAACCCTGGACCCGGTCGTGGTCGTTTGGTTAGATCCAAACGAAAAGGTAACGGCGGTTCCTCTTCTTCGGGTACTTCTGCTCCACCGGAAGGCTTTCTCTCGTCGGATGCTGTCCCACATGTTTCTCAACACCCGCCGGTGGCTACTAGGCTGCTTTCTGTTCCCGAAGAACAGGAAGCAGAGCCTCCCAGTCGGATGGCCGTTCCTCAGGGGAAACCCGGCGGCCTCCTGCAAAGGATTGTTAGCGCCACGGAAACCTCTTCAGATGCAGCAGACGGGCACGACTCATCCTTCCCTGCTGCAGCTGTTGCAGGGTTCCTTGCTCCTTCGCCAGCAGCCTCATCTTCCAGTTCGAGACGGTCACGATCTCCAAAAAGCGGCTGCAGTTCTATGTTCGGAAATATCGCGATAGGTGTCCGCTTTTGCAGTGATGACGTCGGTTTCGGTCAAGATGCCTTGAAGCGCAGGAAAAAATAAGCAAAAAGCGCAATAAAAGCTCTCAAACCTCCTGTATTTGTGTGCAGAACAAAGATAGCGATAGGTATGTTCTTTCTTGGTCTTGCAGCGATCGCCTACAAAAATTGAAACGTAGGTAAAACTTCCCGATGAAAATGACTATCTTCAATGCAATTGATCAGAATTTGAATTGACGGACCCGAATAAAGGTGCAGCGCTTATTTCGACGTGTACTTAGTGAAGCGGAAGCAACATGTCGAGGACGTGAAGAGATTTAATCTGTTGTCAATTCAAGTACCAATCTCTAGGTCTAGAAAGGACACTTGAGCAGCAGCTACAGAAGCAGGACACCAGGAATCCGTTTTCATTTGCATACCCCCTTCGGCCACGGAACAACACAGTCACGGTGATGATGCCGCCAGTCGCGGCTACCCGCGACAACAAAACGCAGACGCGACCAGAGTGCGAGGGCAAGATACGCAGCGAGGCGACGACAATGATTCATCTCCAGGAGTAGAAGATGCCCATGTGGTGCCACTGCCAACAATGATGGTGCCATCTTCTACCGAGCCCCACCTGCGTTTTGCCTCGCTTCCCAACAGGCCTCCTCTCGGTAGAGGCGCAGAAGTTGTGATGCAATTCGTGCCCACACATGGACATGAGCGTGGTACAACTGCACAAGAACGCCCCACCTCCACCGCGTACCCCTACGGGTCGTCGTCGTATGCGACGTCCGACCACCGACTACTCCGATCATCAAGTAGAGCCGACGGCACGTCGCGGGCAATCCCAAACCGTGTTCAAAGAAAGCTCATGAATTTTTTGACTCCACACATAGTTCGGAAGCCAAGCGCTTTACTCGAACCTTCCTCCGCCGCACCCGCAGCGCCGCATCTGTCGGAGTATGCGTTTCGGGGGCTGCGGATTCACCGCTACGACGACTACGGACATTACGTTCTTGCGGACGCGGAAGAAGGAGAAGGACGTCACGGCCATCAAGGTGGTGCTGCAGCTCGTCACCCAGATCCGTCACGAACACTCTGCGAGCCTGGCACCGTTTGGAGCCTGGCACCGTTTGGAAACAATGATGTTGTTTCCGAATATTGCGGGCGTCGTCCTCGTCGATCTGAAAGTTATAAAGAAGCGCATGCAGGTCCAGGCAGCTCCCACAGCTCTAATCTGTATCTGGAAGAGGTGTTGACCAGACCCCTGAATTACTTTTTCGACGGCAACTCTGTACGAGAGCAATTCTTACTGCCGCTGCAGAGACAACTCAAAGAGGCAAGGACAGTGGAAGCAAATCACCTTCAAGGAACGAGCGTCACACCTTTGGAAGTCGCAGCACATCAAGAGCGGGCAGGCGAGATTGAAGCGCGAATTTGGAACTTGAAACGCGAATTGTCTGACATTTTCCATCCTTTGTGTTTCCGCCATGCTACGAAGCAGGGTTACATCGATGAGTACCTGAGACAAGGTAAAGCGACGACGCGCGAGCATGATGAGGAAGAGGATCATCAAGCAGTTGCAAATAAATTTTTGATGACGTGGCTCTACGACTTTGATTACTCGTCTTCTGGTTGGGGAGGCGGACGCGCGACGGAAGAAAAGGCGGATGGGCTTGGAAGTCCCGGACTAGCCGCACCGCCGGCCTCTACCTTTTGTAGTCGCACGGGCGAGGGCGAGGACCAATGCGCTCGAGCAGCAAGCTCCGCCAGGAGACCACTACGCTTTTACAACCGGAAGATTTTTTCGAACATCGTCCAAGGAGAGATACACGAGACGATGACAAAATATATTCAAGAAAGGGGTGGTCCCCTCTCAACCGACCAGTACAAGAGGCATCTCAAACCTTTTTACACGGAGTTTGGCTATTATGTGCGGCTGCGCGAGTACACCAAACAGCTGTGGACGAGCAAGGAATACCAAGAGGCCATGTTACCTCTTTTTCGTCTAAAAGAGCGAGGCAGTGCAGAATCGCATAGCAGGACCCCGCCCGCTGAGATGAACTATTCTGGGAGTAATACGCTAGATTTGGGTTCAGCATCCTCCACCGCGTCCCCGGTTCGTCTCTACAGTGGCAGTAATGGCGACCAAAAAATTAGTGGTTGTGATGCTATTCCTCTTCCTGTGAAGAAGCAACAATGTCGTGACGACGAAGGGAGACGACCAAGGAGTGCGCAACGCTTGCGCGGGCAAATGTTTGATCTTTTGGCCCTCGTTGAAAGCAGACGTCAGTTGCTCGAGGCGATGTTGTCCAGCTGGTGGCTACCGAACTTGGAAGGGCAAGTCGAGGTAGAATATGAGAGTGAATCGTTGCAATATTATCGTATAGCATACGTACAACAAACGAAAAATCATGCATCTTTATGCAGTTCTTGGACGGCGGTACCAAAAGCAAGAATCAATTAAGCAATGTAGTACATCTGAGTTGAACAACGAATGCTGCTGCACTTTTCTTCGTTGTTTCTTACCGTTGCAGGTGGAGCAGGTATCTATACGCTACTTTTGCATAGGATGCGACTTCGAGATTGGTAGGAGAAGACTCGCGGAGGCCACGAGGTTGGATGCCAGCCCTGCCGAAGCGTTTTTTTGATGACGACGAAGAGGAGCACGCGATAGCTTTTGCAGGGTTGCTGGAACAACTGAAAAGGGACTTACCCTTTTTATTCGCCTGCACGAGAAAAAAACTACGCAGTAGAGGCGGTACTGAGTGGCAAAATATTCCCCCCGAAGATTCTAGCTTTTGGTTGTCGATGCCAGACCCGCCGACGCTTCGGAATTCCGCTCCCAAGCGAACAAAACCCGGCGGCTCTGCTGGAAGCGGCCACGGCGGAGGAGGTGATGACGACGATGACGGCGGCGGCGGGGGCGATGACGCCGAGGACGAAGCGCCTGACTCAGTAGAAGATGGCGCCGATTGGAAGAAAAGCGACCCTAGTAATCACGACGCGCTCGGGAGGCCTTCGCTGTTTGACGACATACTTCCGTTTACAAGGAAAACGTGGGCGCAGGTACTCTTACCTGAGATTCAGGAGCAGATAGAAGCGGTGGTCCAGGAAGAAGAAGCGAGAAGCATAGCAGCCGCTGTTTTAGAAGTTTCATCGCAAGAGGTCGTAGAAGCCTCCGAAACCGAACAAGGAAATGCAACTAACTTAGCTGAGGAAATAGATGCAGCAGCCACTGCTGGTGTAGCTACAGAACAAGCTGAGGAAGGTACTACGATTTTTTTGTTTTATTTTGAATGCAATTGATAATAATTCTTTGTGATGTGTGCAACTAATTGCATCCGCGTCATGATGTTGTATCAGGTAGTTTCAGTTGTACTTCAGTAGCTAAGTATAAGAACCAAAATTCTAAATTCACTCGTGCCACTGCTCTAAACGAAGAACAACGAGCACGAATTGAATGGCAAGAAGAGTGTCAACAACCTCAATCCGAGATCTGCATCTGCAACAAGAAACTTTATTTGCAGGTCCTACCGTCGGCGATGGTGTGACGGCAGATGAACGGGTTGGAGAAGTTGCAGGTGCAGCGGCGGTGCCAGTGGAACCACGTGGGCTGCGCGTCGCCCGTCTTAGCCAAGAGCAAGAAGTAGCAGATGCGCAGCGTCTAGTGCTGCATCCAGTGCCACCTATTCAAGATGCACAAGGTGCAGAGGTACAGGGTGCGGATGGAATACACACTTCTGCTGCCACTTCTAATTCTCAAGTTCCGGCGCTACACGTTGAGCAAGAATCACAAACAGAGGCCGTCACGGCCGGAGCAGCCCAGCGGGACGAGTCCGAGTCGCAGGAGGCAGGCGAGCCGCGGCCCATAGCCATACCAGAGGCGGAGCATGGAAGCGAGGATGCAGTCGTGGGACATGGAAGTAGCAGGGGTCCTTCTCGCGATTCGGATTCATCCTCCGGTCCACCGTCTGAGCGGCAGCAACAGCAAGCCCGCCCTGGACTTTTCCTCCATCTCGTTTCCTCGCCAGGAGCTGAGCCGGCGGCAGTTGCGCCTACACAAGCAGGACAGGCCAGTGCAGCAGAGCAGCCAAGTCCTGGTCAACAGGTAGCTTCTCCCGATCTTGCGCAGCAACGTGGGGTTGAGCAAGACTCTGAGTCTGCACCTGAAGAACACCGTAATGCTTATGTTGAGCCAGCCCCGGACCCGGTAGTCGACGCCGCAGCAGGTGAGCCCGTAGTTCCTGGCCGTGACGACGAGCAGCAGTCTGGCACTCCATCGCACGACAGAACAAGTAGTGACCGTGGAGAACCGGCACAAGAAGAAGCTCAAGCCAATGGCGCACGTTCCGAGACCGCCGGGGCGGAGGCGGCCTCGCCTCTATCGCCAGTAGTCACAGAGCAGGCGCGTACCGGGGCACAGGTGCAGCAGGAAGGACCAAATGACATTGAAGAAGAAGAGCAACAAGAACGTCGACGACAACTACGAGAAATGCAGGCGCTCGCACAGGAAGACGCAGACGTAGAGCAGCACCGCGGCGCGAGCGGTTCTTCAGCTTCCGGCCCTGATGAATTGGTAACAAATCAGAACCGACGAAGCGAAGAACGAGAAGCAGGAGGCGGGAGCGACGTAACTGACACAGAGGGCGACGGGCGTCCGATAGAACTCCCTCCATCCGCTGGCGCGGGTGATCAAGTAGCTTCGCCGGAAAACCGAGAGCAAGGGCACGTGACCGACGTTGTATCCCCCCCCGGAAGTGGAGACCATTTGTCGCCGCCACCCCATGCTCCATCTGGCGCTGATCACACCGTGGAAGCAGCCCCACAACAGGACGAGCCCAACGCGGACCACGACCCCGGTCCTCAACATCTTCCTGTGCCTGATGTTGATCATGATGCAGTATCTCAGACTCCACAAGGAGAAGAATTGAATCCCGAAGCAGCTTCGACTTCCGAAGTTCGACCTGACGAGGGAGAACGTGGAGAACAACGACGTGAATTACAGGACGAAGGCCCGTTGCAAGAGGACGTCGAAAGTTCTCAATATACCAGCGATATTCCTTCTAATAGCGGAGAACATCCAGCACCGCACGCGGAAGACACAGCGGCCCCTGACAATGACCAAACACAAACGGACGGCGCACCCTCCGAGAGCTCGGGGCGGGAGGGCACGGGTGATGCGGCGGAACGTCGACCACAAGGAAATGACAATGCCGGTGCCTCCACCGACACCAGGGAAGGATCTGTTCCTCCTGGAGGAGGAGGAGGCGGCGGCAGTCAACAGGAAGGTGGAGACGACGGCAACGGTGGCCGAGGGGGAGACAACCTCCCGCCCACAGTTTCTCACTCTCAGTGCTCTTGTCAGGGCTGCCGCAGTCCAAACTGTGTGTTAAGATTAAGAAGAACAAGAACGTCACAAGCAAATACTGGAGCTGCGATGGCCACTACGTCTGCTGGCACCGATGGAGACTCGTCTACAGAAACAGTAGCTCAAGAACCGCTCGACGTGCCCACGGGAGGCAGTCCTTCAGCCTCACCGCAGAACGCAGCAGCACAAGGACTGGCAGGGGCTGCGCCCGGACCAATAGGAGCTACATCGCAGCAGGGAGTTCTGGGAAGATCAGAAACTCCTACACAGTATCAAGATGCACCTCCAAGTCAAACTGCTGCGCCAGTTCCAACTCCGCTTTACCCCTCAGCAGAAGCGGCGCCACCACCTACTGCACTGCCGGGCAGTCCGCCTGCCGCAGCTCCCTTGGCGCGACCGCCAAGCTCTGGCGGTGCAGGCACCACCGGAGCAGGTAGCTCGGGCCCTGGAGCAGCCGGTGCGGGACCCGGAGCAGGCGGGTCGGGAGCCGGAGCAGGCGGCGCGGGAGCCGGAGCAGGGGGGTCGGGAGCTGGAGCAGGCGGCCCGGGAGCCGGAGCAGGCGGCTCGGGAGCCGGAGCAGGCGGCGCAGGAGCCGGGGCAGCCAGCGCGGGAGCTGGAACAGGGGGCGCGAATGGAGGAGCGGGAGGCGGAGCAGGCGGTGCGGGACCGGGTGTAGGCGGTCGTGCGGGAGGCGGAGCAGGAGCCGGGCCTGGTAACGCGGGTGCCGGACCAGGCAACGCGGGAGCCGGACCAGGCAACGGGGGAGCCGGACTTGGTAACGCGGGTGCCGGACCGGGCAACGCGGGAGCCGGGCCAGGTAACGCGGGGGCCGGACCAGGTAACCAAAACGGGTTTCCGCAGCCGCTCATTCCCGCCCAGCAGCCGCCACATCTGGTCAACAATGTCGTCCCTCAGGCCGTCCCTCAGGCAAAAGACCCTCCCCGCCCTCCGGAGGAGCGGCCAAAAGATGAAGACAACAACGATTACTCGGAACCGGCTTTCTGGTCGGTGATCGGAGTGACGATCGCCCTCAGCGTCGCCGCGGGCGTTGTGGCGGTGTTGATTTTGGTGGAAGTAAGGCTTCCCGGGTTGCTGGCCGGCGCTCCGGGGGAGGAGGTCGCAAAAAATCTCCTGGAAAAAGCGGATCAACAAAGGTTGCTGAACCAGCAACAGCAGCAAGCTTTTGGTGACGCGAGCGACGGCCGTGATGGTCTGGGTGGAACGATCGTTCCTGCGGCGAGTAGAAGAGGTAAGAACAGGAACGGCAAACTAGGATCCTCCTCACAAGGGCAAGGCCGCGGTAGAAGAGCAAGTCGACGCAGCTACGGGCAGAGGCAGCAGCGCCCCGGCGCGATGGGAGGCAGTAAGCAGACTCCTACGCGTCGTGGTGATGGGACTATGTTGGCTGGCAGGCCTGACGGTCGACCGAACACGTTGGACCGAAGTAGGAATAATGCCACGATGATGCAAAACCAGCAAAATTATGTTCTCCTGGAAGGTGCCAGCGGCACTGGTGCGGACTTCGACAATGTTAACTCGATGAAGATTATGACTACGAATGAAGACGGCGGGGCCCCTCTAGGTCAACACGACGAGGACGTATTGCTACGAAGCTCCGGCGAGCCTCTCCGAGTAAACGGAGCTGATCAGCGGTTTCGACTGCGGCACAAAAGCATGCAGATGAACCAACAAAGTAGCCACAGCGGATACAATAGAAAATCACACACTACTGGCGATCCGGACGACGATAAGCAGCGACAGGATGTGGATGATGGTGATCTCAACGGCCACAACCGTCAAGAGCAACACATTTTTGTGCAAAATGCCCTCGACTTGACACTCGCTGGACCCCCACCACAACAGCCGGATGGAGTTGTATCACAGGAAGCAGTTGCACCCTTGTTGCCGGCAGAAGCAGCGAGGTCTACCCCACTTGCAAGAACGAGGCGGCAAAAGGACGACGTTGTTGAAAAACCGAGTGAGATGATGAACAAACAAGCTTTATTTCCTGGTGTGGTTCCCCCACGGCCCCCTGCTGCTTCAAGAATAGCTGTTCTGCCTCCGATTCGGATTCCACAGGAAAATAAATCGCTCTCTTCTGGCGATGAACCACCTGCAGGCACCAGTTCAGGACCACCTGTTCCCGGCTCTCCTGGTACCCAAGACGCGGCCGCGGTGGCAGCGCCGCAAGCCGCGGCCACTGCTTTCACCGCGCCAAGCCCTACCCCAGCTGCCGGAGTAGAAGACGCGTCTCCGAGAACGAGAAATATTAAGAGCTCCGCCCCAGCTGGGCTGAAAAAGAAGAAAAATAAGAAGAAGCCCTCATCCCGGCCAAAGCTGACCAACGAGATGAACATTACTATTGAAGACGCGCCTACCGATATCCTGTGAAAAAACGCACCCAGTACCCCAGATTTGTCAGGTGCGATTTTGATTACCCCGGAGGTGATGTCTCATGCCGCTCCTGATATTGATACATAGGCATTTCAATTTCTTGGCCGTATTTGGATATTCGTATTTGTCTTTGTCATTCCCTACTCAGGACGAGCAGGACCAGAGTGCCGTGCGGATTTGCGACACGATTAGACGTATAGCTAAGGACAACCACTGTGTAGCTGCGTTTCCAACCTTGTTATGCGAAGTCCGAAGATAATTTACTAGCTTTGATGTGATTTGCATTTGTATAGCAAAACTGCCATCATCACCATCCTGATAATTGGCGGCTGGGTGCGGCGTGTTGACTCTGGATTACTGACCTCGTGAAGGAGCGGAAGAAGCACGCGGAGCAGCGCTTCCGGATGGAGAAACTGGAGGAAGAGCGCCGACAGGAGCAACAGCGGCACTACGCCGCGGCGGCGGCACAGCAACATCAACATGCTGCTGCACAACAGCAGCACCAGCAGCATCATTTGGCGCAGCAGCAACACTTGGCGCAGCAGCAACACTTGGCGCAGCAGCAGCACTTCGCGCAGCAGCAACATTTGGCGCAGCAGCAGCATTTCGCCCAGCAGCAGTTGATGCAGCAGCACCAGCAGCACATGAATCCGCTGAACAGCAGCACGCCGCACATGTACAATTACCTCCAGTTGATGCAGCAGCACCAGGTTGCGGCACAACAGCTTCTGCACTACGGCCAGCAGCATCATTGGACCCCGGAGCAGCAGCTGGCTGCGCAGCAGCATCTGGCGGCGCAGCAGCAGCAACAGGCCTACCAATACCAAATAAAGCACATGCAGCAGCAGCAGCAGCAGCAGCAGCAGCATCGAGGGGGTGAGAAGGAGAACATCATGCTGAACAAAAACAATAACAAGAATCCACCCATCAAGCTGCAGGCACCAACCGCGGCGGGCGCACCAGTTCGGGAGAACCGAGACGCGCATGGCAGGCAAGTCCAACAAGTGCAGGACCGAAATCATGTTCATGATGGTCATCAGCATGTTGTGCTACAGCCAGGTAATCAGGAGGAAGGTGCAGGACAAGGAGCTCCTCCTGGCTCTACAGCCCCTCCACCGACAGCGCAAGAAGAGAAAATGAAGAACGCAGTTGTAAGGCTAGAGAGTTACAAAACACAAGATGCACTACTAGCCGAGAAAGACGATCATTGTGCCGTGCGTTTTCAGGCTCAGAATACAGGAGGAGAGCAACTACAAGGCCCAACGCTGGGCAGACGAACGGCTGCGGAAACGGAAAACAAAGGGCTACAACAACATGATGAACATCATTTTCATACGGCTCCCGCAGCGGCTCTGGAGGTGAACAAGACTACCACGACCACGCCGGGCTTTGTTACAGCCACTCCGACGACGGGCACCGAGAGGCAACCCGCAAATGCGAGACACACCTGGATAGTACAAGAGGACGGAAATGGCGCGCCACCAGCCGGAGGGACGCACGAGCACGCTGGTCGGGACCAGCGACCTGCTTGCGCAGGCCTCAAAACAGGATCAGCAGGAACCAGTGGAAATACTGGCGTTGGCAGTCACCTGCTTCATCTTGTTGAGCAACAAAACTATAGTGCGTTCAATACCGGCATGAATATCATGGGTCGGCAAGAAATTCTGGAGCAACAGCAAGCCATGCAGGGATATCAGCCATATTAAGAGCAGGGAACACGGTGGAGACCAGCAGAGACCAGCTGCTGCTGAAAGTTGCTGGCTATCCAATGTTGCTGCCCCCGCATTAGCGTCCTCTTCAACCTGCTGTCGTTAAAATTGACTCTAGGGTGGTACTGATATGAGACAAAATCAGATCGCAGCGGCATTCTTGGTTGACCTGCAAAATATGATTTTTCTGCTTCTTGCTCTCGTCGCACAAAAACTGCGAAAGTTCTCTGTCGCAGCCCAGCTTCCACGCTTTTCGCCGCTATGATTTTTTTTCAACTGCTGTCCTCTCTTTCAGAGCCAAGCTTCATGCTTTTGCTTTTCGTTTTCAGACTACAGCTTCAACCTAGCAATCAAAGCAAGTTGTAGATGTTGGCAGCAAATGCCACCCAAATTCCGTGTGTAGCGCCGCTGTGCGACTTCGATGCACGAGGAACTTGCAGACGCCGTCGTGCATTTTTTCACTACTTCCACTTGGTTTATTGATACTGATACTATACGTTTTTCTACTGATACTGATACTGATACTGATACTATACGCATACTGATACTGATACTGATACGAAATCTTCTACTTCAACTATACGTTTTTCATACTTCACTTCGGCTTTTTGAAGCCATCCCATCAACAAGGATTCCAACTTTAAAAACTACACTTTTTTCGGATATTTTTGCAACTACTATGTATAACTACAGCCAATAAATTTTATATAAGAAGGATGGATTCTGGTCGTCGCAGTCAGAACTGTTTTTCACCTGGTCGTTGTCTCAGTCAGAACTATTTTTTATTTCAGCTTCAGGTTCAGCTGCGCGACAGCTACCGCATTTTTTCTTTCAGATATATCACATCACACGAGCAAAGCAGTTTTTCTTTTCCGACATTTAGCTAATGTATGACGTATGAGTGATTTCAACTTGTTGCATAACAAGAATCGCAATACAAAGAAGCAGCTGGCCCACAAATTACAATATACACTTTTTGAAACTCACCGACACCCGCAAGAAGAGCTCCAAGACCGGCAGTGGCAAGATAAATATTGAACTAGCAAGTTGTGAAGATTTCGCGATTTCCCCCTGAAATCGATCCAACAAGGACTTTCCTGTCGTTGTTTGTATGTCTAATTGGTTTAGTTTTAGCTCCCGCCCGTTGACACATGTTGTATTAACATTTGAATTTTATACGACTCCGTCCCGTAGAGCCATTCCTTTGGTTCTGGATGATTAGGAAATAGTATCGCTGCGCAAGCCGTACTTCTACTTTGCAGATTCGCCCTGTAAGATAAGATAGATCCCCGACCCAGCAACCTAGCTTGTGTGTCAGCGTCTTTTTGGTTTTCTTCAAGCGGTATAATAAAATGTCTCTGTCTTTTTTTTTTTCGCTAAAGCGGAAGGACCTCCATGTCCATAAATTTATTTGTTTTCATGAAAGCTAAGCATATTTATTTTTGAAAAACAAAATTAGCGACAACATCAAATTTTATGTCAGCACTAGTATCATCATGATCCATGTTTCAGTTTTTCTCTCTGTCAACTCATGGTCGTTCCGAAACGGACCAGCTATGGTAGAATTATTGCTGTAACTACAGGAGCAAAAATCCCCCACCGAATGATTTACTTCAGTTGAGAACTACATTTCAACTATTAACCTCGACGGCATTCTTATACCGACATTAACAGCGACAGATATTTGAGCAACTGCCTCGACGTCGATCACCTCTCATCTCAACGTCAGAGAAGATCATCGAAGCCGAAGGTTGCAGCTTTGGATCTACTTTCGTCGAACTATCAACGGCGAGAAGTATTGAGAAGAAAAAGACAATATCTTGGGTCCACCGCCCGAGGAGGGGTCGCTCGCATTTCTTGCTTACTGAAAATTTTGCGCCGGTCTTCATCGATTGGGGGAAAATATTTTCATTTTTTTTCGTTCTCCTGCCCGAGGACGCGGGGAATTGGAATTGTAATGCAGATTGAGAAATTCTACAAGGAAGACAACAACATCAACAGAATACTGAGTGGACTCAGTCGACCTCTTCCTCGTGGTGAACTTGATTTCAGCTGCCGTCTATTATTTATTTCGTCATACCCGACGTTGGGAGAAATCATTTTTCGTCCTGGGGAAAAGTGAACAAAAGGAGCTTTTAGTATCATATCTATTATCCGCTCCGTGCTTGTTTCACCAGCGAGCATTTTCTTTTCTTTTCCGAACGACATAGTAGACGTCAATATTAATGGATGGCGATTTCTTAGCGAGTAAAAAGCTGGAACGAAGCCTCACACCAGAGTGAGGTTGAGCTTCTACTTGTATTTTTCCCAGGATCATTTTATTACCAATGGTCTAGGGCGCCCGTAGTGCTGTAACTATAACGCAAATCTTCCGGATGAAGCGGCAGCCGCAGCGTTCATTTTCTTTTTCCTTTTCGCGATTCAAATAATAGCATAGATAGGTGGAGCAGCTGCAGCGCTCATCGATGGAGGTGAACCAGCAGACTACGCGAACGACAAGGTGTAGGTGTCGCCACTGCCTTATGAAAAAGTTCTCTCTCTGCCGCTCGAAAACCTCCTTGATGCTTTGCTTCGCATGACGAACAATGAATGTCCGTTTCCGGTGAGAACTCGGTGCGGATTTTTCCACTACCACACTTCTGCATCCGCGATTGGAAGTCTACCGCACCATGACAAACAGTGACTCAAGCAAATCTCTATCTCGTCGCGACAGTGTTCCTGTTCGTACTTACTCGTATGTAGCAGTCGGGATCTTTTCTGATAGACAAGTATCATGCGCTCCAATGATGCAGCTTCTCATCTGTGACTGTAACGCAGAAATTCAATCGATCAGCTTTGCACAACAAAAGGAAAATAGTTATTTTTTTAAATTTGTGCAGCTTACGCTTAGGTTCAGCTATAGATGCAGGTATTTGATATCCTCGATTTTTTCCCTCTGCGAGTTGACGATCTGAAACGGTATGGACTTTCATGGTGGTCCCGTGCTTTTTAATATACCGAGGACGTTTGAACAAGATCTCCGATATATTTTTTTTCTGTTTTCTTTCATCACCAGGATCCACCTGAATCGTCGCGATTCTTGAGATCCATCTTGCAAATAGACAATTTCACCCAGCAGCAGGTAACTGCGAGCGTAGAAACTTGGTGAAGTGATGAAGAACCAAAAATCAAAAGGAAGAGACTTCTCCCCGGGATTTATTTCCTGTTTTTAATGTTCCGTTTCTACAGTACTGCAAATTTAATCTTTTGAGTCAAAAAACCTGATCTTGATTTTGAATATTGAACAGAGACGACTTGGAGATGGTAGAAATAGATAGCGTATTCTTGTAAATCTGATTCATTTTCACGATGATTTCGTGTATTTGTATGTAGGCGTTCATTGGAATTATCAATCGAAAGCAGCAAACTTGATTTTTCATGTCTTTTTGTTTTTTCTTTTCGTTAACCTGTATGTAAATAAATAACACACTCCATGTCAAACAATTTACTGTCATTGTCAACAAATTTCTTGTTTATAGTTGAAGAACTAGATGCCAGCAGTTTCTTTGAAATTCGAGTTTCTGGAACAATAGATCTTCGTTCACATCATGCTCACTTTTCTTTACTCAATAACATCAAACAAAGCCAAAGCGGCTGCTTCAATAGTATTAATCTGAATCATTGTTGTAATCTATCCGACGATCATGACCCTGCTGGAGTAGTTCTCCAACGAAAAAAAATAGCCGAAACACCTTTGTGGAAAGGAGTTTTCCACGCGCACACCTTGTCAGGCTTAATACAACTTCTATTCCTACACTACTCTACTCCTTCTACTCTCGATCTTGTCGCACGAAGAGATGGAAAACAATCTTCATCGAGCATTTTTTTAGATCGACCGGAGCTGCGGTTCCGAGGTTCCAATATTCTACGTCTACTAGTATGGTCGCAATACTAAGATTATCGAGGCCAAGAATATCATTAGCACTTTTTTACCTTGCCCGCCTGTAAGCTGCGCTTGCGAATCGGAGAACACAACAGCAGTTAGGATCACCGGGCGCGGTCTCAGCAGCTGCTTACAAACTTACCACGACGTCAAGAACCTACCCCAGCCGACCCAGCATCAAGCTCAATCGCTTCGAATTGTACTTGTACCCCCGAAGAAGCGGCGCTTTCTTTCGTACTATTCACCGCGATTCTCGTAGATAGTACAACGACAACCAGCAAAACTAGTGCATGGAGATGTTGTTGCAGTACTGACTGGTCGTGAGGGCTATGATAGTAAACAGCAGAACAGAAGAGCCCTGACCACGTCCCCAATAGCAATATTCGCATTTCACTCCTGGTGGCTCGCTCACATCATCATCATCTACCGAGCGCAACAAGCATGCGACCCTTAAAGAGCATCTTTAATGTCATCAGCCTATTGAACCTCTCTGCATCAATAGCATCGAGATGAAACTCGTGGCTGCCTTATTATCCGCCGGATTCGTCCCCCATGGTAGCGGTGTGCGGAGCAGCCAGGGAGGAGGCTTCCAAAGAAGTATTCGTGCCGGAACAAACCGCGAACAAGCACCGGCAAAGAAGGACGGGGAATATTGCATCAAAGAGCAACAAGACATATCAACATCCCCTTCCGCGGGTCCAAGTGCTGGTCGCCAAGATCAAGATGCGATTCAAAACCATTCCCGCGAAGACAACAGTCATCCTGCTCTCGTGGAGGTTCGCGGTTCGTCATCGTCTGGTGAGAGCGCCGCCAGTGCGGAAAACGAGACCAACAGCGCGGAGGCAGAAACTGGAAGTAGACAAGAGATGATGATGAACCCACGTCTAGCACGTCCAGGACACACGCATGTGAATTATGGGGGCCGCCACGCTGCACAGTCAGAGACAGTAAATTCTACAGCACGAGGACCTGGAGGTGGTCGCGGCGATGCCAATGCACAAAGTGGCGCGCGAAGTATTTTTCCGAATTCCGTCGCAGCCCGCGGACGAAGTCGAGGGCACGACCACGACCAGGGGCGTGCTGGTCCGAAACGGCAGCACCAGCAGTTTTTGCCGGTAAAATCCGAGCCGCCGGATGACGAGGAGGGAGGCAGATCACCAGGAAAATCGCATGAGCGATTACGTTTTGTTGAAGCAGCAACAGCAACGACGGCTCGTCTTAGTGGTAGAAATCAACAAGAAGTTCGTCTGCGAGTCGGACCACTCAGAGTTATAGTTAAAAAAGAGCTCTCTGATGTAGTAGTTCCCGAAACAAACACAAGAAGCGTAGGAGGTGGTGCATCTTCATCATCATCTCGAAGAACCGAAGAAAATCGAGGTGGCCAGGAGGGCCGCGGAGTGGCTGAAGATTTTCGTGCTGGTGAAGTCGAACCCTTCTCGAAAAGAGATCATCATCATGGTGGGGGCCATCCACTGGCACAGCGGCCGGCTCCTGTGATGGAAGGTGATGCCAGAGTCTCCACCAGCCGCAACCTCCAGGAGGAGGAAACTGCCGCTGCGAGACCAACAGTAGGAAGCACTGGCGAAGGAGACAGAACGGAGGAGCAGGAGGACGCGGCGGGGGAGGATGCTGCTCCTCCTGAACCTGAAGATTCTGATGCTGATCATGCGACAGAGTCGGAAACAGAGGAAGGAGCGGGGGATGAAACAGATGAGGAAGTGGAAGATGAGGATGTTGATCAACCAGCACCAGCGAGAACTATTCACTCCCATTTACATCTTCATCACCCACACCTGAATCCCGAACGCTGCCGGAGCTTTCTCTACGGCCCGCCGGAAGTTCGTGAGGCAAACAGAAGAACCCAGAAGTTTACCGAAGCAGCGCACGACGAGGAGCAGCAGCTACGGATTGAGCAGCAACAAGGGGCCCCGGGAGAGCCGGGGCAAGATTTTTCTGCTCGCGCTGGCGCAGGTCAACATCTTAGAGGAGAACATCCACGTAGTTGCAGCAGTCCTGCGAATGTAGTAGCTGCTTCTACTTCCGCGACGGTTGATGCTCCTGTGAGTGTCGTCAAATCGGAGGTCCTTTCTTCCTCGCCGACTTTCGGACCTACTTCGGGGCAACAGCCCTTTTCCGGGGTCGTGGAGCCGGAACATAGCGGTCTGCACGACCTGATGGAAGACCACCGCCAGCTGGTGCACCGTAGTTCGTACGATAAATATCAACGACAAGAAGTCCCCCGGACCGCTGTTTTTCCTGCGACTCAGCTGGCAGCAATTTTTGCTGCGGATGAATACCACCAAGACCAGGCGAAACATTTTCAAACACATCATGCGTCAGACCGAGTATGCCATCCTGATCTGCAACCCCGAGCTGGTAGCAAGCAGTCGCTCGCGTCCTCTGCCGGTGCTGTGACCAATTTGTCTACAGCTGCTAGCTGCGCTGCTGTCAGCAGCAGCGGGAGCACGGCAGTCGGAGGTCCAAGCAGTAGCAGCAGCCTTGCGACGACGCCGGCGCTCCTCTCGAAGGCCGAAGTAGAACACGAACCCGCCGGAGCGGGGGTCCTCGGAGAGCAGGAGAAGTGGTCTCCGCACACGTTTGACCGTCATGACTTACCCGCTTGGGCGGCGCCAGTAGGCGGCGATGACTTAGGCGAAGCGCTACAACTTCCGCCAGCGCATCCAGGTGAAGAAGACGATGACGACGACGTAGATGAGGACCTCGCGCGAAGTACACAACAACAGCAATATGAAAATGGCGAACCAGGAGCAGGTGGTACTGGAAGCGGGCCACCAGCACCTGGTTCTTCCGAACCAACAGAACCCAGTCGCTCGGCAACGTGGGCGGAACTGCAGGGCTCCGGCTTCTGGGGGCCCCGTCGCCCTGTCAAGCCCAACGGAAAGGCGATGCCCCGAGTGGCGCCCCCCTCGCCGGACACTCTGAAGCGGATGCAGCGCGACCATAGCTGCGTCGGATTATGTCCGTCTGGAGCTGGAGGTTCCTCGTCACCCTATCAGGCAGCGGCTTGTTGTTGTTTCGGCGGGAGCAACTGCCTGACGGACGATGACCTGACAGCCTGTCCGTCTGCGGCGGACACCCTCAACGACGCGAATGAAGCGGGCAGCACCAACTCCATCTGGAATCCAATCACGCCGACACCAACGGGGGCAACCCCGCTCCTGCGGCCCGTCGGCGCGAGCGAGCCGGCTGCATTTCAACCCACGCCAGTGCACACGCCGGCGGCTCCCGCCATCTTCGAACAAGGCGACTCCTCCCCCGGGGAAACCGGGGTGGGTGGTGTTGGTTCTTTCGAGCAGTCCTTGCCGCCGCCGGCACCGTCTCTTGAGGCTGCAGCACTTTCGCCGGCCCTCTCTGCGACCAGCACGAGCCAAGTTCCGGGATCGCTCGTGGTGCACCCCGGGGATCCTGCCGAACTAGTTATCGACACGCAAGAGCTGTTAGATCTTATGGAACAAGATCCCGGCGATTTTGATCTAGGCGAAAGTCACGGCGACGCGGAGGCAGGTGCAGTACACCTGGAGCCGATTGTAGCGCAAGCGGGGCCCGCGGCACACCTGCTAACGCCGCAGCTGCATACGACGCCGGGGGCTTCGCCAGCTTCCATTACGAGTGCGTTTAGTTGCTTTGCCACAGTGACGCCAGCTAGCGACGCAGCAGGAGAAGTACCGTCTCAGCGCGGAAATAATTCGCTCCCGCTCGTCCTCCCACCAAACGCGACGTCGTTCTGTCCGGAACCGCAGGGCATTGCGTCCGGCCCTTCCGGAATACTGATGCAAGCGATCGACAACGCGTGCGGTGCTCCTGGAACGGTGCAAGAGTTGGTGCGAGAATACCAGAGTAGAGAAGCGTCACCAGCGCTGCAACCCCAGAGAGATGAGGTGATGGATCATGTGGCAGCTGTGGGTGCAGGAACTGCGTCAACATCCGCAGCTTCTCCCTTGCGCCCGGCTTATTCCGGAGCTTCTGCGACTCCGCAGTCTGCAACGCGAACGGCTCCACCGATGCGGCCGACCGCCATTGCCCCGTCGCCGGTCCTGCAGCCGACGCCGGGTGGGTATTTCGTGGCGGACGCGACGGCCAAGCGGCTAGCCATGTGTGGGCCGCCCCCCAAGGCGAAAGCGAAACCGGTCGCGGGGGCCACCGGCTGTCGTGGGGCAGAGCAACAGCAGCGGCAGGGAAACAGTGGCGAAGTTTGTACAAGTATCGAAAGAAGCGGCGGTGGTCAAGAGCCACTGGCCGCAGTTCAGCTTCTTTTCCTCACGCCGCCCGGAAAATACCGCTCAGAAGCGATTCACCACCCACATGATCACAGCAGCTGCGGTCCCGCAAGTTTACAACTTCGCAATCCGGTTGATGGGTCTGCCTCCGCCGGGCCACCTGTTGGTGCGAATAATGTGGACGCAGCCGCGCCGAATCCTCAGGCTGCCTCAAGCAAGGCTCCACCTAGCTCCACGATCCCCCTGCCGAAGCCGCAGTGGAAACGCGCTGGACCTGCGTTGCGTGGGCCTGATCCCAAGCAGACCCCCAACCGAGGAGCGCACCAGCACCGCGTAGTGTGGATTCCGATTCGCGTTCGTCGATACCCGCCAAGGAATACCGGGGGTGGGACCTCCGCCCTGATGGAACTAGAAAATGCAACCGCCTGCAGTGCGACTGAACGAAGTCGGAATGCTGTTTCGTCGAGGGCTGGTCCGACGGGAGCCGCAGGCAGCGGGGGGTCATCTGGCGCGTCCTCTTCATCAGGGGGACGACAAGTTATCTCACCAAGCGACGCTGCAGCGACGATTGCCGGGCAATCGGACGAACGCGAAGCCGCGGCAATTTCCGGCACCAACGAAGATGATGTCCAGCAGCGTGTTGGACGTCGAGCTGGTACGTTTATTTTCATGCATCGAGGAATTGTACTACGACACTACTTTACTTTCACTTTCGCTTTCCATTTTTGCTTATATAGCTGGAACTCTCGTCCTTTAGATTCAACCCTTTTTCATTTTCGTTGGTCGTGCAATTCTTGCAAATCTAGTGACAATAGAGTGCTCATCATGATCTTCCGCCTGCTCTATGCATTGTTGCTGCACTTCTAAGTTTTGATTTCAAGTCTTGTTTACGTAATTTCTTCACAGGTGCTGAAGCAGATGTACTGCCACCTGCGTCTGTATTGATTCCCGGAACGCGTGCACGTAGACGAACGAGAAGTTTACCTCCAAACAGACACCATGAAGCCTTACCGCCGCCGCCGCCACCAGAGGGAGAGGGCGGAGGGTCAGGGCCGACCCCAACGCCTCCGCAGGGATCACCTCCAGCTGGCGGTGCTCGTGGAAGTAGCAGTAGAACACCAGGCACATTAAGAACAACAGCATCAACGCTGTCCCAAGCTCAAGCAGGACCGCTAGGAGGTCCGACTCCAGTAATTCCTCCAGGAACTACGACACCTTTGGCTTTGCCGGGCTCGCAGCAGCAGCATTCCTCGAATCCTGGCGGCCCTGGCGCTGGGTCGGGGGGTGCTAGCGGTTCGACTCCCCCCGGAGGTGGCTCATCTGGAGGTGGGGCTTCCTCCAGTGGCGCGGGTTCATCCTCTTTAAACAGCGGTGCTGGCAGCAGTGGTGGAACTGGCGGGACATCTAGTTCTAGTAGTACTTCACCAAATAATCCAGCAAATTCGCAGCACAGTTCTACTTCCGGTACGCAAACGCAACCGAATACTGCTGCGCAGCCAAACAATAACAATCAGGTACCTCCTCTTCTACTTGTACTTCCGGGGCAGGTTGTTGCGCCTTCTCCGCCCCCCGCCCAGCAGCCGGCTGGAAATTCTATTGGCGTTCAGGTCGGCCCGGGCAGTTTTCCTCCAACCGAAGGGTCCGCCGTATCGCCAACTAATGCTGGTGTTGGCAACAACGGTGTAGGTGGAACATCGAACGGGGACATGGACGACGATCACCAACACGACCCGGCTGCAGCGACAACGACGCCACCGATTGGGAAAAGACCCTTTCCCGGCGACCATCCAGTCGACGTGATTTTCCCACCTTTTGGCGACGGAGGTTCTCCGCACTCCAAACACTGGATGAACCTACTACATTACATCTACAACGGGAGAAATTTCATTTCTCCGGACTACGATCCGGAGCAAGAACGACTGAAATTTTACGAAAACTGTGCCTGGGGCAGTGGGTTCGCCCTTTTGGTGTTAGGATTCTGGGTGGTCGCGGAAATCGGAAGCCGCATTTTGTATCCGCAAGGGGGGCTGCATGGTACAGACGTCGGGCGAACGAGCAATCTGGAAAACAACTCGACGCGCGCAATAGAACGAACAGGAGATTCAGCAATAAATCAAAATCACAGCGACAAGATGAACAGCAGAAAACCTGGCCTGCACAAGCCTCCGAAGCTCGTGAAGAAAAAACCGCGACCAGCAACATCGACGCTGGAGCACGAGGAGGACCTTCAGCGCGTCGAACAAATCTCCTTGTTGCCGCCAGCTGACGAGCAAGTACAACCGGCCGCCGCCCCTGTTGTGACATCCTCATCACCACCCGCTGGTGAGCCTTCTCCTGGTGAGAACCTCGAGCCACTTGCTCCGGACGCTGCAGATACAGGTCCAGGCCGGGCGATGGAAGGCCTGGGTCATAGCGCGCAAGAACGACTACAACCCAACGCCAAAACGAGCGACGCTGTACTAGAAAACGGCGCCAGCACTGGTCAAGAACTTTTGCAGCATCGTGCCCAGATGGAACAACCTGCTCCAGGGGTGCTTGGTAACGATTGCGCTGCAACACCCCCCGGGGCAGCCGCGCCGGTCCAAGACAGCGCACCTGCTGCTCAAGACGTGAAAATTTTTCACGAAACGAAACGAGATCGAAACGAGGTCGTCCAGAAGCGTCTGAACAAAAGCTCCAGGCCCGGTTTACTCGAGCCTGTGTTTTTGAATGTGGAGTATAACGCAGCGGCAGCGAACAAAGGTCGCGGCGGCGCGTGGATGAAAAAGAAAGCTGCCGCTGGTTCCCCGCCCGACGCAGCGAACAAAAACCTAGCTGAACAAGATTTTTGTTGTGCTGGCGGGACGACAGCAGGAGTAGAAGTAGATCACCACCTAGCAAACAAGCCTGGTGGCACGATACCAAATCCAGTACGACATGCACAGCCCGGACCCGCCGGGGGAGCTGGCACTGTACGGGGTAGAGGACCCGCCGGAGGGGCTGGCACTGTGAATAGACCACCACCTGTTCCACCACACACGGGAGGTGGCAGCCGCGCCCAGCAGCCCGTTCCTGCGCAGCCCAGCCGGACACCGGCACACCAGCAAGGAGCTGGTAATCCACAAGGGCAGCTGCAGGGGCAGCGACAGCAACATGTCCAGCAGCAGCTGCTTCCTGGTCAACGTGTGCACCTGCATGATCCTGGGGCAGCACCAGGACCAGCTCATGTTGGAAATAAAACGAACGCAGCACCACAACCAGCGGGAGCCCCGGCGGCGGGTCCACGAATAGAGACCCGTCAAGAGCGAGGAGATTTCCAACATCGCAATCTGTTTGCCAGTCCGCCACCGAGGACGAATCTTAACACAAATAATGGACCAGGTCCACCACCTCCAGGTAGAACGGTGCAGGTTCCGCTGCAGCAAAGACAACCCCAGCCAGGAGCGCAACACCACCAACATCAACTACAACATCCTTGGATGGCTAACAATCTCAATCGCGACAGTTCACAGCGAGGACCGCACCCGCAGCATGGTGGAGATCCCGCATCGCTGCAGCTGCCCGGCACCCCGGTCACGCAGGCAACTTCCACAGCACCGACTCCTGTTGTACACCCACCTGCTAAAGAACCTTCTATCACGCCTGCTCCTCCAAAAATTGCAGGCCCCGGTGTGAAGACCAAGACAATCATAGTGAATAACGACGACAACGACAGAAGACGAGCACGAGATCTTGTCAAGAATAACCCCATGATTTCTTCCGCGACCCCTCCCTCGATAGCGACCTCTTCTGCGTCATCCGGCACTGGATCGTCGGTGCCAACCTCCGGGGAAACGGAAACCCCACTTTGTTGTCCGGCTGGGACACTACATCAAGGGAGACCTACACCGGTGGCCTATCGGGGACACCCAGGAGGTCCAACTCCAACTCCAACAGCCAATTATCCGCCGAGCCAGCAACACGGAGCTGTAATCCGTCAACAGTATCAACAAAGAGGACCACCACCAGCGCTTTACGACGATCATCGCCCTCGAACCCGCAGTGGTCCCGCCTCTGATGCGGCGATCTTGCATCAGCAGCAGATGCTGGCGCAACAGCAACTGGAGCATCAGAGGGCGCAACTACAGCAGCGTCAACAACTGGAGCGACAGCGACAAATGCAAATTATTCGGCAGCGCGAGCAGGCCGAGTTTCTGAGGAGGCAGGAGGAAATGCGGACGCTCGAGCAACGCCGACGAACGGAACCGCGCGGCAACCAGGGTGAAGCCGATATGCAGCAGAGGCGCACGCCGTAGTGCTGTCTGAAAATAAGGCATTCGCTTTGTCAACCAAACTGTGACGCGACCGCGAGTACTTTATTCCTCACCCCCAGGCAGCTGCAGCTTTCCTAGAGCAGTATCTATCTGTCTTTATGCGCTGCGATCATTTTCTTTTTCCTACCCGGGGGGACGAAAAGCGATGAATTTATTCGTGATTGTTGTAAGTACATGGATATTACCTCAACAACTTCCTGTTCCTCACGTCTACCACACGACGCGGCTGATGCGAAAATATAATGAGGCAGCACTCCGTGTGACACTAGGGGGCCAATTTCATCATAGCAAGTCTTTTACAACGTTCATTTACTTAGAGCGGGGTAACAAATTAAAACGATTTGTGGTCATCCCACTTTTCACCCACCCAGCCGGGTGGGTGGAAAGTGGGACAGAACCAGGATCCGGACCGACTGGCCGGACCTTGCTTTTCTCCGTTCGCGTACGCGTGGATCCGGTTCCGTCCCACTTTTCACCCACCCGGCCGGGCGGGTGAAAAGTGGGATGGCCACAAATCATCTTAATTTGTTACCCCGCTCTTACGTATTATATATTGGGAAATACAGTTACCACACGACGATTCTTATGTCAAAACGAAAAGAATGGAGAACGAACTGAAGCCTAGTCAATCTTCCAGAGGTCAATGGACCGCAACCGCTACTTCTGCCACTGTCTTGACACAGCTGAAAAACTTGCTGTAGCAGCCGTGGCAGTCTTTGATAGAGCTCTACTTCAGCGTCGATAAAGTCATTTCAAAAATTTGAAGATGCAACATAAAACGCATATAGTGTTGTGTTTACTCCGACAACTTACTGTAAATATTAATGACGCGAATGATGACGAAAAGCAGCGTTATATATTGAGAGCCGTACTCCTATTTATTTTCGTACAACCGATAGGTGTACATGTACCCTTTACAATTGATATTAATGACGACTGTATTTTTAGTCGACCTGCTAGACGAACGACATCATCACCGGTAGAAAAAAATAATTGAAATTGTATGCAATAAATACAAATGCCAACAAGCCTGACCCTATTCCACTTGATGTGGTACGACTCGAGAATATGAATACACTACTAAAGCAGATGCTGCTCCACGGATGATGCAGTTTTTGCCTTGGTGATTCCTGCCCGTTACCCGTGTCATGTATTAACAAAAGCCTAAGCCTCTGCAATTCGTGGTCCCATCCATTTCGTGGTTGTGCAGCCAGAATGCCGTGACTAGCAATTATTCAAAAGAGCCATGCATTAATGTTGAGCTAATTACAATAGATGGCACCTCGCTGCCTTTGACGGGCTCCATCGCTCCGAAACGGGGAACAACTACCCTGGCCATGCTACGCTGCTTCAGCATACGGAAACTTTGAGGTTCGTGTCACGAATCTCAAAGTAGAGCAGTAGCACCGGGCGGCGCGGAGCCCTAGTGTAATGCGGCCGCGACGACAGATGTTGTTGATGACAACACGCGAACCTTCATATTTCTATCAAAGGTGCAAAGTAGAGTCTGTCAACAAAATCATCTTGCGTCGTTCGCGCAGCTCTCTCTGCTTGTTGCATGAAATCGTCTTACTCTTAGTGACTGTGACATCTCCTTCTAGCACGTCCACAGGATAAAGTCACAGCCTAAAATTAGTGATGATAAAGTCCAATAATCGAAGCAAAATCTGGTACGTGCCGGTGCCACAGCCTATCGCTATAATTAGAGCCTCTTTTATGTTGTAGCGGAGCATCGAGCGCTAGCGGGGTCGCGGAAATCAAAGTCGTTTTCATGATCCTTCTACGTGGGGCCGTATTGCGACAGTCTTCACTTTTCAACTACTCCACCATGCCTTTCCAATTTTCTGTAGCATTTATTTTTCGGATGCGCCTATACTTCCTAGTTGTACGTTGTCAGACCAAAGAGGGAGACGACTGTAGGTTCACCAACATTTCCATAATATCGATCTCGAAAGAACGGAGCACGAATTATTTGAATGCGACCACGGCCACGGGAAACTAGCTCAAGCAAGCTGTTTTCGTTTTAGATTATGATTTTCATTGTCGGAGAAATCAGAATATAAAAGTGGAGCTTACTCGACTTTATCCATCCTTGTTCTGGTTTTCGAGGTTTCCCTCGTATGACAATATCGCAAAGAAAAGCAAAAGTGTTCGATCATGTTGGATTCCTTCTCCTACCGAATAGAAGCCACCTGCACATCTGGAATCATTCAACTGTCAAAATACAACTCGGTCGCACAAAATACAATCCCGCAGGATTGCTATCACATCCATGTTGATGAGGATGATGAACATATCGTCTAGACAATGAATCTATCGCAAATTCGAAATACTCTGAAATACAAATAAAGTGAAATTCCGATAACAAGGTAAACCTTGCATAAGTATCTACCCGGTTACAACGATTTCATCAGCGAAGCCGAATCTAATAGAGTAAATCCATTGAATCACTACATATGTACAAGAGGCTGTGTTTCTGTGAAGACAAGAAGTTCTAAATCAAATCGCTTTCCTTTATGTTGAATGTTCGCAGGCATACCCATACGACCTAGTAGGAAGCAAGACGCAGCCATTTTCGTTTTTCCTTCTTCTCTCCCTGTTTTCTGATTCTGGTCTGGGCCTGTTCGATTGTAGTTGAAGATAATCTTATTCGCGGTGGAAGTTTGAGGTCTTTGTTGTTCACCGCGACATTCATTTGCCCACCATGAGGACGATGGCAGACATGCGCCGCGAACAGGACGCGGCAAAGGGCGGCGGCAAAAAAGGAAAAAAGGGCGTCGAAAGCTACTCTGGCGGGGAGAGGAGCGGGTAGCGCTTTGGCTTTTTGAACATTGTGACTTTAGTACGGGTGTGGTGCGAAAGTTGGCCGACTCGGTTGTAGGCGCAGATGCTATAGTACTATTTCTGCCGTTGTTTGAATTGCTGACTCTGGCAAGATCTGCAAGAAGCTCGTAAGTAGAGACGAGCGATTTAACGTACACTCAATGAATGTACATAAATCACTCACAGCATGGCCGTGTTCCAGCCTGGTCAAGAGGGCGGTGGTGACGCAAATGATGCATTTGCCGCCGCCAGAGCTGCCGGTGCGGTAACGGACGGGGGCCCGTTGCCGGAAGGATCCGCAACTGTGACGCTGTACGCTGACGGATTCACGATAAACAACGGCCCCTTCCTATCCTGAGTAAAAACGTACCCACACCAGAGTTGTAATGCAGATTTGCGAAGACAGGAAGACTTGTAATGCGCATCCCCATGAGAGCCATTTCCAATCGTGTTTTGGAATTTGTGATGCTGTGAACAGGATGAGCCGATGAATCTGTGATGCGGCTGCACTTGCTAACCTGCACTACACTGCATAGTGCAACTTGTTGCGCGTGACTCACAAAACTCCTAGGTTTGTGTTGCAAAATCCTCATCCTGACTCTGCTGTGGGTACGTTTTTACTCAGGATACTTCCGGGCGACCATTGATCCCGCGAACAAAAAATTCGTCGACGACATCCAGCAGGGTATTGCGCCGGAGGAACTAAAAATGGCAGACGGATCCGCTGTCCACATCGCCGTCGTGGATAAAAGACCAGCGAAATACGCCGACGCGCAAACGGGCGGCGTCAGCGGAGGGCAAAGCAGCAGCTCAAACTACAACCCCATTAAGCCGGGGACGGCAGGTACTAGATAATTTACTTAGAAAAATAGAATCTTCAAAATGTAGATCATCTTGTCGTCAGTTTACAGTTTTGATGTCCCACCATAAACTTCTTAGCAAAAACAGACTCTGTGTTCCGCATTAGCCGCAACTCCTAAATACAAAACAAAAATCCACTGCACACAAAAAATCCACTTACACAGACCTCAGCCAAGGCGCTACAGCGGGCCCGACCGCAACGGGAACGGGCTCCGTAGACATTGACGAGGGGAAGCCAAAAACAACGATCATGATCCGATTCGGAGATGGGAGGAGGCAAACGCAGGTAACTATTCAATTGTGGATCGAATGCGAATTTATAAAGTTTTTGATTTGACAGGGAAGTATAATGAAACCATGGCAGCAACTTCTTGATTGTGATTGCTTCTATTTTAGAGGCTGTCTAGGATCGCGGCGAGCTCATAGCAATGCGTGAGACTATGTACACGGGCTGCACCACAAATACTTCCACGTCCACTGCATTCGAATACCGTTAAACTTAAAATTTTAGGAATTCAACGAAGACGCTTTGGTTTCTGACCTGTACAAGTTCGTGGAGGAGTGCACAGGGGTGTCTGAATTCAAACTTCTCGAGGGCTTCCCACCAAAACCGATTATCGACAAAGTAGCGACCTTGAAGGCGGCCGGCTTGCTGAAGGCAAGTGTGAGCGTGAAGCTGTAGATGCGACGGCTGCTCTCCACCTCCAAGCGGCAATATTTGATGGCGCTAATGCGAAAGTTTCTTGTGGACAAAGATGAAGAAAGGAAAAGTGAACAAACGAATTTTTCAAACAAGTGGCTTATTTACAGCCCATCTCCGCCAAGGAAGAAAACAAATCTCCAAGAACTTTCGAAATGATCATCTATCACCCGACTCATTGACGACACAACACGAACATCCTCAGTGCGAACCGATATACTAGCGACCCGCTGTCACGCATTTTTCTGGATATCTTGTGAAGCTCCTCTGCTTGTTCTGCGTCTCTTTTGTAATTTGGCTTCCTGAGCGAAGGCGAGCCAGTTGAATGAGAGCATGGCAAGTGAGAAAAAAACATCGAGCGACCACGGCTGCTACGCCACCCTTTTACGCGGGAGCTTTTTTTCTCATTATTTTTTTACTTCTTTACATTCATTTTTACGGTCTTCTCTTGACGCTGATGTCTTCTAAGGAGTAAAAGAATGGACGACGTTGCAGTTCTGCACAGCATTGAAGAGGCACGGCCTGCTCATCGTCCGTCCCCCGGACACGAGAAACTGAAAATGACTAGGCCTTCGTCAAGTAACAGCTCCAGCAGCAGCAGCCGGTGTCGGCAATATTTGACAGCGGCCACAAGGACTCCCAGGAAAAACACCGGCGTAGTCATGCCGGCCGCGACCACAAAACATTTCCGTCGATCAGTAAAGACGGCGGCTGCAGCGGCGGTGATTTTACACAACATTGCCCTCTCACCAGTAAGAGCCGATTTGAATAACTTGTATCCGCCGACTTACGTGTCAAACCCCATCGCAAGGCACGTTGCGTTTAACGTCGAGGTGAGAGGTTTGCTGCCTGATTTGTTTTTGTCATGCGTTGCTCCACGGAAACACTAACACGCATTCGTGGCTTGGTCTCTTCGTTTTCTGTCTATGTGGTTCATTGTCATTCAAATTCGAGGTAAATCGGCCCGGTATAGCGCAGCTAAGTGGGTACGAGGAGAATAACCACCCCTTGGAATATTACATCACGAGTTTGCCGGAAGTGGGAAAATTGTAAAATAAAGTCCTTTTGTACGAATAGGTTTTCAACTTCATGCCGATACTTTGCTGGGGCAAAACAAATATCAAAAATGGTGCGTTGGTTGTGCGTCCAACTGGGTGCGTGTTGCCCTGTGCTGCAACCACTGGTACCATATTCGTGCACAAGAACGAAGAACAATGGCAACAAACATAAAGGTACGAAACGAGTCAGAACTTTCGTTCTTATGGGTCTGAGCCGAAAAACGCTCCAACACCAATCCAGGGACACCAACTTCCTTTTCTGGTGACAGACCAACTCTATCGAGTGGCCTACATTCCGCCGGCAAACGTAAAAATGTGGCTGCTTTTTTGTGGCTCTTTTGCCCATCCGCATCATTCCACCTCGTTGCAGATCTAAGTCAATCGTACAGTTTGCATGCTCCGCCAAGTAGCCGTAGCGCATTCCAACGTCAACCATGGCGTGACACAGGTTTTCGCTCCCGTCGGTCGTTGGGCGTCGTTCTCCTACGTTGTAAAAGACACCACCTCCAACATCGAATCCGAGAGGGGTCGCTGCGTTTTGGCAAACGCTGCCGGCACTATTGTAGGCTCCTCCTTCGTGTCCGGGTCAGACGGGTGGACCATAGAGGGCAACTTGCTGCAGAGCACGCCCGTGCACCAGCCTTATGCGTGGGGGAAGTTAAACCGGTATATCGAGACTAGGCACCGCATTTTAGTCTTTATCTGCTTCATGGCTGTCCTATAAGGATAACTACGTATACTTGCAAAGGTTATGGTCCTGAAGAGAGACGGTTGCAGGAGAGGCAGAAGACGCTATCAATTGCTATCTAGTGCATGATGAAGACGGCAAGCAAAGAAAACGAACCTGTCAGGTACATCTATGGTACCGATGAAGTCCAATATGTAGACTTCGTTACGGGCGTGGATAGACAAAGCTGGTACTTTGTTGCACCGCAATCCTACTCTTCGCAAGATATGGCAGCGTCCTACGGCGGGACAATGCGATTCACTGTCAAGGTAGTACATCGTCATTTTTTTTTTCTATCGTGCAGCAGGAGGAGGCTGGCGCTGACACGACAAGGTGCTTGTGTTTCATGTGAAGTTTTTCATAGTGTTGGCACTTGATGGGAAACACAGTAAATGAAAACTCAATGACAAACCCAGGCAACCTACGGAGACTTTGACTACCTCAACGAGCCGCCAGCCTTAAACTGGGTCGTGCTAGAATGCGCCTCGTGCAACGACGGAAAAGGTCTGCGGATTGTGCGGCAAGTGGACGCATTTTTCAAGTGGCACGGGGAGGAGACCACGATCGAGCTAGAAATCAGGAGCGGAAACTCTTGGGTCAGGGACCCGCTGAACGGAGCGCTCCCCTTCACCAGCGCAACCGAGTGCGAGGTACATTTCTTGCTGTACAAGTACAGCCGCAATGAAGAAAAATTTTGTCCATAAAGCATCCTTTGTAGCAAACTGATTCTTGTGCTTGTGTCTTCTCGACTTCTCGTTATGGTTGTCGTTATTACAAAACGAAGTAAAGAACTATGCCAGAAACACAAATAATCTCAAGATTGCCGCTACCCTGAACGGGCTCACAAAGCTGAAAATTTTGGGAGATTTCACGAAGGCCGGCGAGGGTGTCGCTATTGACGATGTCAGCATTACTATCCCACGAAAAAACTGTTTCACTGTGATGATTTTGCAAGATCTGCATCACAAGTTTGCTACACATGACAAAGAAAACTTGGCATGCGTGCTTCCTAAGGGAAAACACAGCTAAAAATCCAATGTCGTGCATGTGTAGCAAGACAAACACATTTGCGTTCCGTTCTCTGCATCACAAGTTCACAGTGAAACAGTTTTTTCTGGCGATAATTACCCGCGCCCCCGTACAACCAGCATTCCCGATCGCTTGTCAGCAGGGCTTATCAAGGAGAAAAATCCCCCCTCCCCATATCGAAAAGGTACGTCGCAGAAAATTTGCAATGCTGATTTGCGACCACAAATCATCTCTGTGCTGCAAAAAGGCAACTCCACAGGCTCCGCCGCATTATGCAGGCGGTTTGTGATGCTGCTGGGCCTACAGCGCAGACGTTTCTCATGCTAAGAGCCTAGCCCAAAACCTTCCTACTCAGGCCTGGCATGGGCCTGCAGTCCTCTCCAGCAAGACAAGTCTGATTTGTGTACGCAAATCCAGCGTCACAGACTTCGTTTTGATGTGGGGCGGGGGGATTTTCATTTTGATAGGGCTGCACCTGCAGGCACTACCCGGCAATGAAGCGCCTGTCGTGCTGCGGAAACCTGGTGCAGACAACGCAGAGCACGGAGTTGTAAGGATGTCTGTCTTGCGATGGGATTGGGGACGAAGTGAATGTCAATGCCATAGCACAAGAATATTGGAGCGCAAGCAAGCTGCCAATTTCATGTTTAGCCGACTATGATAGATGATTACGTTTGAAATTGCAACGGTCGTAGTGCTTTTTTGATGGTTCTTGAAGGGAAGCGGAAGGGGAGGGACGCGCGATCCTCATGGGTTTTTTTCGAGATTTGTGTAGCTATTGCATTCGACGAGGGGGAACGCGCAGGCCCATCATGACGCAGGTTTTTTCTGAGCATCATCCACCAAAGGCGGGCCCGCTGCCAACTACTTACTTACTTACTTTTAATATTGCACTCTGGCGGGATATCCGTCACGTTTTCGCGTGCCAAAGCTTGCCAACACGACAACTACGACAAGAGTTGTCATTGTCCAAAGAGAATAGAAAAACAACAGAAGAATCAAGTTGTCTGTACCTAGACGCGCTCGCGCGGCCAGGAAAGAGAAAGAAAACCTGTCCTCAACGCATCCAGCTGCTAATATTTGTATGTTCTCGTAGTTTAGTCGCGACATCTTTCCAGATGAGAAGCTCTTCGCGGCCGATGCGAAGACCGCAACGACCGCAAGGAAAACCAGAAACAAAAACTAAACCGCTCGCGCTCAACTTCTGGCACATCATACAACAAAGAAGCTCAAGCTCTGAATCTCAAATAAAGCACCACGAAGGTGCTGGTGATCATCTCTTGTAGTGAAGATAATGATGCTTCTCTAGGGTGAGTTTTCCTTTTCACTTTTTCTTTTTCCAAGTTACTAATATTGTAAGCCCTGTTTCTCCGGACAGCAAAAAGATAGAACATCGTACCTGTAGCTATATGAAATACTTAAACATAATGTGTGTAGACGTTGAAAAAGTTACCTTTAGTGATAGCACAGTTTAAGTTCTAGTTTTTTTAGTAGTTGTAGCGCAAGTATGGAATGAGATGAAGTAGAACAAGAACTTTGTCGACAACACAGAAGAAGTGTGCTAGCAATCATGTTGTAACTTGCTCAGAATTTTGGTGGTCCACTAAAAGGATATCGGTGAATTTTCTCACGCTGACTTCCCACCGTAATTATGGCCTACCCCGGCGGTCCATTTGGCGGCGGGGGACCTCAGCAACCACAGGCAGCGACAAATCCTTTTGGCGGCGATGTAACGTCTAACCCCTTCGGCAATGGCGTTGCCGCCGCGCCCGGTGGCGGCCCACCGCCACCCATGGGAGGCGGACCGCCGCCTGCAGGTAACCCTTACGGCGCGCAGCCACCACCGCAGCCCGGAGGAGGCTACGGAATGCAGCCGCCGCAGCAAGGTGGTTACGGCATGGCCCCACCGCCGATGGGGGGTCCGGATCCGTATGGCCAAAACCCGAACATGCAGGCGCCGCCAATGCAGGCGAACGGAGGAGGATATGGCATGGCACCACCGCAGCAGGCAGCGGCAGCGCCACCGCCGCCACCACCAGGTATGTTGTTGTCGTTTTGGAAAGCGATAAAATCAAAACGACGAGGACCATGGAATGCAAATGCCTTTCGTCGTTTCTACAGCCTTTCTGCTTATGTCCTCTCGAGGAGCGTTTCCGTTGCAGAGGTGCTCTATATTTCGCTGCATGCGGGACGAGCAAAAGAACAGATGAGCAGCTGCTGCAGTTGTAGCACAGCAGAACGACGAATATCAACAAACGTAAAAAAACAATGTTCTAACAAACTCCACAGGGCCACCAGCCCCAGGGCAGTACGAGCAGCAACAGCCGCAGTATGTTGGTAGCACACCCGTAAATCCAGCTATGGGCGGTGCCATGGGAATGGGCGGCGGCCACGGAGGAAATGTGTACGGCGGTAACTCCGCAGACATGTATGCCGACATGCTGAGGCAGGCAGAAGAGTACTTGCAACTATGATTTGTGCGAATAAGAATTTCGATTTATCTAAATCATGTGATTGTCGCTCGTGGTTGTACTAAATCTAAATGAGCTCATCTTTATTTATGCGAGTACCAACATGTGCAGATCCAGATGTACCTGCACGACCATGAAAGATTCTTGGTCAGCAGCCCCTCCTGACTGCTTCAATCACGATCCAAAACGAACAGGTTGAACTGCGGACAGCACTTCATTCGTCCAACCATGAATCGTGTACCGCAATCCCTGGGAGCGAAGCAGAAGGTCGGCGTTCCGCTCGGCTGCGTGATCCAGCCGCTTGCCCCGCCACCGCCTGGCTGTGAGGAGATCAAAGTGGTGCAAACGACGGGCACTCCACAACCCGCTCCGGGACAGCCGGCGGCGGCGTCACCCACCAGTATAAATTCTGACTGTTTTCTATCCATGCAAGAGTTCATGCTCGTCTTAATTCCCGCAATGTATCAAGACGTCCACGTCGGGCTCGGGGGTGATACTTTTTTTTCTTTCTGCGGAACCTCGGTTCTGAGCCTTACGACTGCGACTGTAAAATGTCAATGACTTCAGGTCAAATAGTGCGGTGTAAGAAGTGCAGGACCTACATAAATCCATTCGTCCAGTGGGAATACAACGGAAGAAGATGGAAGTGCAACTTGTGCGGCTTCACAAACGAAACGACAAATCTGTACCACTACTACTACTTCTGCACTTTAAACATAGCTTCCTTCCATTTCTTTGGCATGGCACGCAGCTGCTCCTCGAAAGGAACGATTATGAATGTTACACCGCTCCTCCGATGAATCGCTTCCTTCGCTGGCTTCATTTCACGAGGCCGAGTGGCCATGTCGACTGACGCATATTCTACTGATGTGTATCAAATGATTAACTCATATAGATACTACGCCCCCGTCGATGAGCATGGGAGGCGTGCCGATTTAGCAGAAAGACCTGAACTTTCCAACGGTGCAGTTGAGTTTATCGCCACCGGAGACTACATGGTTCGGGCACCGCAGCCGCCAGTTTACCTCTTCCTCATCGAGGTCACGCAGCAGGCCATCGCCAGTGGCTTTACGCAGGAGGCCTGCCAGGGCATAAAAAACACGCTCATGCAGGGCGAGGTTCCGGGTGGGGATCGAACCCTTTGCGGGATAGTAACCTTCGACGCGTCGTTACAGTACTACAACCTGGATTCCAACCTGTCCAGTTCCCAGATGGTCGTCGTGTCCGATTTGGACGACTTGTTTTTACCCCTCCCAGACGACATACTGGTGAACCTGACGGAAAATTTAGACCAGTTGTGCACACTGTTGGACACAATACCTTCGCTGTTCCGGGACAACAAAGTCAACGAATCATGTACTTAAAGGGTTCGATCTAGATCTACTTCTTGTGACTAGCAATTTTTCAGCGGCATTTAGTGTGACTGGGAGCATAATGCCAGTGCTAGTCGTAGTCATTGCTGCAAAATAGTAAAACAAAAACCAATTTGAGTCTGCTGGACCAGCAGGGTAGCCTGCAGTCCTCCGACCCGTATCAGTCTTATCTGTGGTCCTGTTGGTCCAATGGAATTGAGTTTGGGAGAAGATGAAGTATCCAAGAAAACAACATCCAAAATAAACAGGCCTCGGAACCGCTTTGAAGGGAAGTTACATGGCGATGAAGCACGTTGGCGGGAAATGCCTCGCTTTCGCCACAACCATTCCAACCCTGGGACCCGAGGGCGCTTTGAAACCCGGCAGAGAAAATCCAAGATTACAGCAAACTGATAAAGAAGTCGAGCTCTTGAGACCTGTACTTCTATTTGACTTTCTCTTTCTCCTAGTCCAGCCCCACCGCATGCAGCACTTTCAAAAAACCATATAGAAACTTCTACTTACAGTTACAGTTTTTACAGTTACAGTTCCCAGTGATCATATTAGCTCTGTCTCACGTATGCGTTCTTTGCGTGCCTCTGCCTGCCTTATCATGTACTATGGTACGAAAGCGAAACAACATTTTCAACAGGCGACTGAGGACTACAAGGAGCTCGCTCACAAGCTGATTTACTACCAGATGTCTGTCGATTTGTTCATTGCTCCAAGAGCCTATTTTGACGTCGCGACTATCAAGCTTGTGTCGCAGTACACCGGTGGGGAAGTCAGGTACAGGCCACTACAATCATTTTTTGTGACGCAACAAGGAAGGTAGGTACATTCAATGACAATGCGACTCCAGGTCTGCTGGTTGAATGACTTCAAGTAGAACACCTTCAATGATCGCAATGGTTTTCGCAAAACTCGCTGCAGGTTCTACGACAATTTTACTCCCCAAACCCTTGGTGCCAAGCTCCGGCAAGAGATCACGCACGTGATAAATCGGTTCTCCGGGTGGGAGTCCGTGATGCGGGTGCGGGTGTCGAAGGGCTGGAAGATCACGCACTTTTTCGGGCATCTGCTCATCCGCGGTCAGGACTTGCTGACCGTCCCGAACTGCCATCGGGATTTCAACTTCGCAATAACGGTGGAAATGGAGGACAACGTGTCCGTCGTGGATTCGCAGTGCTTCGTCCAGGCGGCCCTCTTGTACACGAACCACGAAGCAGAGAGAAGGATCCGCGTGTTGACCTACTGCATGGTAGCCAGCAACAACCACGCCGAGCTCGTCCAGTCCGTCGACCCGCAGACCACCGCCTCCATTCTCGCACACGTCGCGGTCGACCGGGCGCTGAAGCAGTCCCTGCAAGAGGCCAGGACGTTTTTGACCTCCAGCTGCACGCACATGATACAAAGCTCCGCACACATTCAGGACCAGGGAAACTTCGCGTTCTTGCCACTGTATTTTTTATTTTCCATAATTTTCTATTATCGTAAGAGTTGTCTTCGACTTTGCAATTGCAGCAGTCCTTGTCTTCGAACCACTCTTGTGCTCTAGTACTATCTCGTCCAGAAAATGTGTTTCTCGCTGCTCGCAGGTACATCTTCGGCATCCTGAAATCGAACGCGTTTCGCGCCGGTCCCGGACCCGATTTACGGTTTGACGTCCGAGCAGCGACCTGGACAAAGCTGAGCACAATAGGCATCGACAAATGCGCGAGTTTGTTTGTCCCAAGGCTGATCGCGGTAGACGACTTGTCAGACCCTATCGGGGTGGAGGACGAGTATCTCCTATACTTACTTCTTTCGTGGTTTCGCTTCAAGATTATTAAGATCGAGCGTTTATTTTTGCAGTTTGGTATTTCCACACGACTGCGTTATTTTTGCACTACAGTAGTGACGAGTTCTTTCCTACAAGTATATCTAGTCGTCGTGCATTTGCATGTTGATTGTCAATCGAAATCAAAACAGAAACGGCCTCACGGTCCTCCCGCAGAAGCTTCCACTGACTGGTGCAAGCCTCAGACCGAACGGCGCCTTCCTTCTCGAAAACGGGGATAGCATGCTGCTTTTTATCGGAGCGGAGGTCGACCCAGCCTGGCTATCAGGGGTAAAAAGATATTCTCGTTTGAAATAGTCAAGAGCGCCACGCGCTCCTGGTAAGTACAAGTCTTGCGATTTTTTTCCATTTCGTCATTTGTTGTGTTTCGACGGGCAAAACCATCCACGACTCAGGTCTTCGGCGTGAGCACCGTGCCAGAGCTCCCGGTGGACGGGCAAGTGTTCGAAGAGGAAGTGCTCGCGCCAAACGGCAGTCCGTTGAAAGAGAAGTTCCTGAATATCATCGACGCCCTGCGCAGAGAAACCGACGTCCCCTATATGAACTTTTCCTTGACGCACCAGGGCCGACACGATAACATCGAGCGCAAGTTCTGGGAAATGCTCATCGAGGATAAAGGGGCCGGGATGCAAGTCAACTACCAGGAATTCGCCGATCGTACTTGTCTGTTTTTGCAGCCAGAAAAAACTCTTTTTCGATGATTCTTGTTACAACGTCTTAAGTATTCAAGCCGTCTTTGGTGATGGCGCCTTTGATCATTGGGCTCTTTTGCTAAACCGTAAGTGAAGCGACCTGCACCTACAGCGTAAGTGATGACGAAGGTTCTCATTCAGATTGAGATTCTCACGCTCACCTGCATGACTCTAAACACACACAGGCATGAAACGCGGGTTCCGGGGCTGAGGCGAGCTGTGGCTAAGCGTGTCGTACATAACGACGCAGCTACCGTGGCACAGGGACGAAATGCGTAGTCGCGTGCTCTTCTGTGCAGGCCACGAAAAAAGCGGAGAAGTGTCTGGAAAGCGAACCGGAAAAGCGGAGACTTTTACTCACGACTAAAAAACACAATAGCATGAATATCGATACGCACCTTGCGGTTGTGTGTTTTTTCGAAAACGCATAGCATTAGACGACCCCCCCCAATAACGTTTGCGTAAACGTACGTACCCGCGCGCGCAAACTTTTGTCATAGTACACGACGAACTTTTACTTTCCTTTTTCCCAAATGTAAATCAGATTCATGTAATAGCAGAATTTGGCGATTTCAAGGCGACGAGGCTTCCTGGTCATGTTGCGGGAACCGCATTTACACGACAGTACTAGGTCGATGTCATCGTCATCGACCAAGTGTCAGCAAAATGCGTGGCTCCTTCTGGATCATGTCAACTCGTCTGAGAAAATTTCAGTTTTCGAACTGCTAATTCCTTTGTTTTTCGATTTCATAGCCATACTCTACCGGTTTGAAGATGAATAAAAAACACTTTACTAGTTTCACACTGATATTAACTACGCTCTCGCTTGGTCCCTTCATGGTTTAAGCATGAACATGTTTTTTAAAGAACCGACGGAGGTAAAGACCACGACGACGGAGCCTTGCGATTGTTCCGAACTCGACGTATATTCAATCCAAGATACCAAACACAAAAGCAAATATCTCGATAAACATCACTCTGGGACAGAGGTTTCATATATCCTCTACCTTTCAGTTGTAATGCCACCTGACTTGGATTCTGATCCTAAAGCAGGTTCTGTTCGTCATCATCATCGTCCCAAGCCGAAATTGAAACAGTTGTTGTCCTATATTTTTGATATTTTGATTTTATTAGCGCAATTAGTTACATTGTCATTGAGTCGTCGCCTGGCCGAGGCCGGAATTTTTCATTTACAAAAGGTAAAATTCGTGCCACTTTACTTCTGAGATGATGTTGAGCGAGTCGTGAGGACGAGAGAGAGCAAACACGTGTATATGAGATGGTTTTGATTGCAAATACGCCTCCTCGGAATTGAGTGGCATTTCCTCTGTTTGCAAATTCGTCTACCGAGGGCAAAGCCAAAGGGAAGTGGCGCTGTCAATCAAACTTTCGCCAGGTCCTTCAAATTGTTGTGTAGATTGTGTATGAAAGTGTAGTCATCCCCGAACGATTACGATATTTTTTTTTGGAAATTGATGCTAATTTGTCGTCATTTTCAGAAGACTCAGTTCTTTACGTTTTTAGTTCGATTGTTTGATGTGTCTCAGTGTCAGTTCACGCACACAGGCTCATCTTCCATGAGCGTAGTTGTACTCACATAGTACCGAGCAGATACTAGTAGCACAGCCCCAAAATAGTCATCGAAGTCAAATCTCCTTCATTGCACGCGTAACCGTGCCTGTGGGAACAAGAGAGACGTTTGCTTTCGCAACAGCGCCGCGCGCTTGTCAAAAACAACTTATGTCCTCCTTCCAAGAAGACTATGACGACCAGCCCGGACACAGCTGGGACGATCGTGATGAGCCACACACGACTGCTGGCGCCGGCGATTCCTACCCGGATGGGTCATCCCCTAACGAAAGCCAGGATGAGGATTTGGTTACCGAGCAGTCCTGGACCATTTTGGAGGAGCAGAGCCTCACCGGCGGCAGCGTTTTTCGAAGCAGTCGAGTAGCCAGCCGCAGCGTGTCTTCCGAGGACGGAACTGCAACTGGAACGGGAATAAATGTAAATGACAAGGTCAATAAAGGGAATGAGAAACAGAACAGTTTTTCTGCCAAAATGGGTCGGTACCACGAGGGAAAACTCGGCAAATTCGTTTCCGGAGACGCTGTGTTGCTGCCGAATGACAGCAGAAGTCCGTCTTCTTCTCCGAGGAGCAACTCCACCATCGCGCATCTTATCAACGGATTGAATGTCAGCCCAGAAGTCAGGGACAATGAAGATGGCAATCATGAAGATGAAGAACATTTCCCCGCGTTTTCGCCGGCCTCGTCGTCTGAAGACAGAAATGAGCATACCGCGAATCAGAACAACCTACTCATCGAGGACATCGAGGACGCAAAGCACCGCGCTGCGAGGTCAAACGCGATAGTCAAGGAGGGGCTGGACTACGTTTATTCGACAATGCTGAGGAGCGGCGTCGCGATCGACGCCAGCGGCGGGGCAAAAAACTCTACTTCGCCGTCTGCTTTGGTCGCCGGGACCATGGCGAAGAAGCGATACCATCCTACTAAAACACGTCACAAATCAGCCAGAAATGTGTTGGACAACAGCCAGGAGCAGGATTTGAACGCGATAACAACCGACGAATCCGTTTCGCAAGAAGAAACCTCGCTGCAACTCACGCCGAAAACCCCGCGGTCGATCAAAAGCGGATCCCCTCCTGAAGAAACGACCCCTGCGACACTGATCACAGCCGCGATTGCCCTACTGGCCTACTGGTATTTGTGCTCACATTTCAACTTTTTTTCAGTAGCCCTAAAATCTAAAACTAAAAGCCCTCACGCTCCTTTTCCTTTGGTTTTAGTAAGTAGCCGAGTGCCACATTGATTCAGTGACGTCCCATGCATGCTGGCTACCCGCTTCCTTTTCTCTTTCTGTCGATCCGCATTAGATTGAGCGTGGCCCGCTCGTTCGGGTAGGAAATCCCCGAAGAAGAGCAAGCAACTGCTGAAGATCTCGTAGAAAGGCATTGCCTCTTCCGGAAAAGTTGCTTGCATTGCATCACTTGTCGCCTACACCTACCCTGCGACACGTAAGAAAGTCAGATGCGACGTGCATGATTTTCATATCATTGGGAAAACGCACCAGCATGCAAAGAAATCGGAAACACTGTTGAAAAAAATCCAGTAGGTTTTCGCCGGTGCGCAAAATCGTTTATGTTTCGCTTAAAAATTGCAAAAATGAAGCAAAAAAATACTTTTTGCCCGAGTGGCAGTGTTTAGCGTAGTTCATTCTGGCTACCCTGTCTTCCATTTTTCGCAGTTGTTGGATCTCCCTCGGGAGTCATCCGCAAAAATTGGAACGATACAGAGAAGATTAGCATGGTCCCTGCGCAAGGATGACACGCACAAATCGAGAAGCGTAAGCAATTTTTTTCGATTCTGTGCGGTGCGAGGATTGTTTTCATTTTTCCGCTGAGGCGTGAATGCGGATGGTCCGGTTGAGTTTTGGTTCGAAATCCGACTTTGAATCTGCAAGGCATGACGTGGGTTTTATGCAAAGTCATTGAATATGCCTGGTAAGACGCAATCGAGGCTAGGTAGCAGTAATGTGCAGATCAACATGATGCGAGGGACGTTTTCTGTCTGTAGTAGGCCGGGGCCGTAAAATCCTAACTGCGCGCTGCCGTGGACATGCATCAGTAGCGGTTCTCGCAGCACCCTCGCGTTTGTGTGAAAACGAAAATTGGTTGACGAGAAACCAGCGTAATTCGCTAGAATATTGCCAAAAAATTGCAATTGCGCACAGTTTTTTCCCCGAGTGCAGTATTTAGCGAAGGTATTCTGGTGCCCCAGGTTCAGCGTTTTCCCGTAGCGATGTGGACACCCTCTAGGCAGTGGTGAGCCGGGCTAGTGCTCGGACGCGGCTTCAACCCGCGGGGGGCGGTGACGCCCAGGGGTTCGATTCCTCCTCCGCTGCGATTTTTTCGCATCCCCTTGCCATTTTTTCGCCTGCCGTTCCTCTCCCTGCGTGCCTCAGAGCGATGGCGCGGCACGTTGTGCGCGTTGCGAAAGTGCGCGCCCGGCCCGCAGCTACGACGCCCCGTCGCCGGCCTCCTTGCAAAGTCGGCGCCTGTTTTTTGTGAAGCTAGCGCAAGCAGTTCGACAGCGACGCCAGCAGGCGCCACCGACGCATGTATGTATCAATAGGCAAAGGAAGGGGCCGCAACGCCATGAATGTTTGTATTGATTTCCGAAACTAAAACAGTGCCTGCGCTTCCAACTCGTCGCTCTTTTCGTGGTTGAATCTCCGCCCCCAGTGGACCGTGTTTGTCCTGGAACAGTGCGGCTGGAGCACCGTGTCGCACGTTGACTCCCGGTTGGATTGGGAAAAAGCGTTGGATTGGCTTTCCACGCGCGGCCCGTACTTTTTTCTGCTGGGCAGCCGCGGAACGACGGGCGGAGGAGCCGGTGGTGCAAGTGGGCACGGCGTACAGGTTGGGAGCACCGGGGTGCAGGCTCCGGTAGGACCAATTTTTAACTACGCCGACCTGGTCAAGAAATTCGACTCTTGGGGATGCTTGTAGAAATGGTTTTCGCAATCCATCCCCATCGTGATGAATGCAGCCATTACTACGAGGAGGAAATCCAGTTCAATTATGAAATGAAAATGCTCTATGTAGTCACTCACGAGGACGAAACCTTTTGTCATTTTGCTAGTTAGTTTCCTTTCCATTTTCTGAAGACTTCTTTCCCGATGAGTCGCAGCCTCGTCTACTGCCATCCGTGCTTGCTATATCATATTTTGTCCTGTATGATTTCGACTTTGTTTGCAATCTAAATGTAGTGATAGGAGAACTTTTTGCGTACTTTAGACCTACTTTTTTTGCTAACCTTCATCCCCATTCTGATTTGACTTTTTGACACGTTGTGCTACACTGAGCTGATCCTGATGCTGAGCTAAAATATAAAGTATAGTTGTAGAATACCCGCTCCGCAGTACAACATGCCGAGCTGCATCTTCGTGAAAGGTGGATAAATATAAACTATGCACAGTGGTATCAACGAAGAATGAAATTCCAATTGCAATATCCGCAGGCGGCTACCTGCTATGTTTCCGAACTCTTTTTTTTTCTATATATTGATCCCAGTCCCACAGCTTTCTTCTATGGTTTTTTCTTAAACTCGATGATCTTCTTGTTCCAGATCAGTTTGGATAACTGGACATATGTACATTAGAATATGTTGAGAATACTAGACGATTGTCGTTTCTCACTCCTTCCAGATGATGAACTAACTCAGTTGCAGCTTCTAGCTCAGATGGATGCGAGAACAGAACTGCTGGGTCGTGCGAAGCATCTCTCTTGACTGCCACCCATTGAAGGAATGAGCTCGATAGCGGGGCCAAGTTCTTAGTATTGTTCCAGTACTTAGCCCTTGAAGACCGTTGTAGTCTTGATTATTGTCTCTCGAAAGTCGCATCGAAAGCGAGATCGCAACTCGTCGTCGCCATCCTCTCCGTTTCCGATCGTTGCAATCGCCTCGAGTGTCCATCGTTCTTGCCTTTTTTTCGCTTGGTCGATTTGATGTGAAGATGAATCGTGTCGACTCAGCGTCTACAGCTGCAGGACGTGATAAAGATCGATGTAATAGATACTGCTCAAGTAAGTTGGGGATCACTTCTCGCCCGAAAGTAGATAGATGAATCTTCATAGGGTGCGTTTTTTTCACTTCGTTTTCTTTCCGGGACCACCTTCATCCGGGGCGAAAGAAATTGATCGAGTTTGTAACTAGAAAGACGAAGAAGTTTTTTGTAGAAAGTAGCTACTCCCATAACGAAATTGCAAGGCCACTGTTAAGCACTATTCTAGTAGTTGTATGGACCTCTTCTCCAAGAATGCGCTAGGCATCTTGATCTACTCATGTACGTATTCGATTTAGAATTTTGATCTCTCTTTCCCATCCCTCGCCCTCCTGTATCGCACCGAGATTTAATGTTTTACGTAACTATCGACGATTGAAATTTTTTTTAAATGGACGCTTTGCCATCGCAAGACCGAGACACTCGCTTTGAAATTGTATGTAGTGAGGTCACGAACGTTCTATCCTAGTTGTTTTTTGACACCTCACCTGCAAAACGAGCGGCAGTTTTCAAGCGGCCGGAAGGCTTTTTTGACATAAAAAATTTCCAATTATCAAGCGGCCGGGGCTTTGATAGCAAACAAGCCCGGTCGAAAGCTATCGATTCGCACTTGATAAAACGACGCAGGGGAGCCGGCAAGAGGGGCGCCCTTCTGAGGCGCCCACCGCCTTGGTTTCTGGCGATTTGGGGCGCCCAAAAAGGGGCGCCCAAAAAGCAGCACTCCGAAAAAAACAGCGAATCCGCATAGTATGGGCCTCATTTTGGCCCACATTCAGGCCTCGCAAAAGACGCCACCAAAGTCCGCCATTTCAGAGGCGGACTGAAGGCCAGAAGATGCGACCTTTCAACAGAAAAAACAAAAAAAAACAAAGTCCGCCAAAAGCAAAAAGCCAATCCGCATGCTATGGGCCCGATTTGGGGCTCCCAAGAGGCCGACCCTGGCGGGGGCCCTGACGGGCCCATAGCATGCGGGGAAGGTTTTTCGATTCGAAACCAAGTGGCGGCCTGTTCTGGGCCGACATTTTTAGCGGCCGCCGTGCCGTCGTGCATAACATTACTCACGATGGCATGGTGGGCAGAGAAGTCGCGTCATTTTTTGGCGTGAAGACAAAAAAACCGCCATGACCTCACTACCCCCGCGGACGCGGCTATTATTGGTACACTGAGTAGCTTTAACTGAACAATATGTATCTGCGCGATCCATCCTACCCCGGATGATTCTTCGTCTGCATCAGTTGTGACGCAACTCGTGAAGAATTCCGGCGCGAAGGAATTCTAGCATCGGATCGTTATTAACGTTATTCAATACATTTTGTTTCTATATCTGGATCGCCCCACGAAATTAACAAGCGATGAGTGGCAGTTCTACGATGAACAACAAACGCACGAACGTCGGAGCAGACCACAGTTGTGGCACGACATTGACTGCGGACAGCGAGTTGCGGCGCGATGGATCTTTGCGAGGACTGGAGGATCATTCGAAGCGCCGCAAACACTCGGATAACGAGGAGGATAACTCAGTGGGGTCGAGTTCCTCCTCCGACTCCTTCAATGCAAACGGTTCTGCAGCTTCCGGTTTTCGTAATAAACACGATGAGTTGTCGGCTTCGGCGTCAGCCTCATCATCTTCCGCGGCATCGGGTACTACAACTTCTTCGACGACAACTGTGACGGGTGGAACGGCAACTACAGCAGGTCCTCCGGGGGGAGGCGAAATTCAAATTGGCAAACATCCGTCTGTTGGAACAACGCATAGCGTGATGCAGCTGGAGAAGAATAAATTTCTCCCCCCGGCGTCCTCCTCCACCGTAATCGTCGGCGCGGGGTCGTCAGCCTCCAGTTCCTGCACCTCCTCGGCGAGCAACAGCCCGAGAACGATTCTCCAGAACATGGAGCGAAACTTGTTCCACAATTCCGGCGCAGAGCACAACGCCTTCTCCAGCATGTGCTTTTCACACAGCCCGAACGACCTGCAGTTGGTGCATTTTGACTCCGTGACAACCAACGCTAGTACAACTAGCTCAGGACCGACGGCCACAACATCTTCGGCCGCTCCTTCACACAGCAATTCGGTTTTTAACTTGACGACGGCTGATGACGTCGGAAGCGCGTTGTTTCCAACTTTGTCCACATCCTCTGTGGCTTCCACCTCCGTACCGCGTCTAGACGAGCCACCAGATGTTGTTGCTGAGGACAATGTTGAAAATAACAAAATGGACATTGTGCTAGAAGTAGAACGAAAAGACGAGCAGGGAAATAAGACCTTGGATCAACAAAAGCTGCTCACCGCAAATGTTGTTGAAGACCCAAAAATTATTTCACAAATACGAGTAGCAGACCAAGAGGAACAAGACCAAGAAGGCCAAATGATCGTTCCCCACTCTCCAACGCCGGAAGAAATCGCAGAGAAACGGGAGCTGATGCTGCACACCTGGGAAATTCTTTGGCCGGTTCTGCTGGAAGCGGGCTTCATGCTGGACGAGAAGATCGTGGCGAGCCTGGACGCGACTTGCAAAACGTTTTTCGAGTTGAACAGTGAGTACTGCGTTTGGAAACGGCTCGGGGAGCGCCGATTTTACGGTATCGAGCTTTCCGGTGCGGACCCGTTGAATGACGGCGAGGAGTTTGTCCCCGTCACCCGGTCCAAGCAAACGGCGCTGTTGAGCCCACCAAAATTGACGATTCCGACGCCAGAGTTGAAAAAGTTGCAGGAAGAGGAGTTCCTGAGCGAGCAACAGATCGAAGAACTCCGGTTAGGAGAGGAGATGATGTTGCAGCAAGGCGGAGCAGACGGTGCGGAGGATAGTGATGTCAACATCAATGTCGTAGAAGGAGAGGAGGACGAGGACAATATCAACATTGACACATCAGGTGGTCGTACAGGCACAAGAACCGGTAGTACTTCTGGGGCAGCTGCAGGGCGCGAAAATAATGTCAACCTGGACGTAGAGATGCAGCCAATCAGAGGAGGTGGAGCCGATAGTACAGCATCACAATCGAACGACGTCGCTGGACACCGAGATGGTGGCACGCAGTCATCCAACGTCAGCATGCTGAAATCTTCCGATGAGGTAGCCTCCGAGGAAGATGAAAAGGACGCCGATGATGTCGGAGTGTTACCGCCGATGAGAAAAAGCAATCCGGGCCTGATGCGAAATTCCGTGTCTTCGAACGGTGGAAAAATAACAGGAGGACAAAGCAGTGGACAGAACAAAAACAACGTCGACAAAACACCAGGACGAAACAGTGCCAGTGCGGCGGCGCTGAATGAGCGGATGAGCACCAGCTCGGTCGGCAATGCCGGCATCTTCTCGAACTGCCCACAAATCGCAAACCGGCAGTGGCGACAGCGTTTTTTTCGCTTCAAGCGGAGACTCGCGGAGTTCCGTGTACCGCATGGGCCGCCAATGGTGGCAGGTATAGATACTTCCTGAAATGTCCTGCTATTGCATGATCGTGCTTGCACGTTGGGCTTCCACCGAGTTCAGGAAAAAGAAAAATTGCGCACAGGATATGGATGATTGAAGCTTCATGATCATGAACATGATGCATCACAATGAATTATGACGTTGCACTCACCAAAACTTTACCAAGGTCTGAACCAGCGCATCGGCTCGTTTCAGTTCCAGGGCTACCGCGGATGGAACCAGATTACGAAGGTCCTCGGATCCGACGAAGTCGCTTACACGAAGGGAACACTGCAGAAGGGAAAAGTGAATGCGCTGAGCCTCTATGTCGAGATCGCGGTATCTTTTCTCTCTACATTGATATTGATTTTTTTGCAGCTCCACGGTGCAGCACCCTGTTGCGTGACAATCTTCATCAGTATCCATCGGTATTAGTATCCATCATAGATCGTCATGCATGACCCATACCAGAATGAAAATGCGCGGCGACCATAAAACCGGAACAGGTGACGGAGAACGCTGATAACCTGTCTCTTGCGATCGTAGACTTCGACAAGGGTGGCAAGTCTTCGGTCACCTTCTCCCCCGACACCGGCGCAGTGATTAAAGAGACAAAAGTGCAGGAAGCACCACGGAAGGTGTTGGGTTCGTACATCCAGCCCTTGGAGCGAAAATTGTCGAAATTCAAGGGAAAGATGGGCATGTTGATCCGCGAGGGTCACCTGGCGTTTTATCGAAAGTACACATTTATTGATGTTTGGTGCCCGGGTTTTAGTTTTTTTTTGTCGGCGTTCAATCAAGGTAGTTTGACAAGATTGTCGACGTAACTGAGGGGTGGACTACGACGATCGATAGAATCCTGCGCCTGAAGCCAGGAACAGCACACGTCATCAACACGAAGTACACAAATTGAAACTGTAAATACGAATTTCAACAAGGTACGAATCCGAGGAGCTGACGACCCCCTGGGAGTGCACGGGCTTCGTCGTTAGCTTTGACTGGGCCGAGGACGGCAACCGGCTGACCCCCTGCATTGCGTTTCGGGACAACGGTACCTACCACGCGAAGATTTCCGCGTTTGACTCGACCATCTCTAGCTGTTCCAACGGCTTGAACATGCCGCCGATCGAACCGGAATTCTCGCCGGCCGAGTCCAAGTATCTGGACAAAAGCAGGACGGAAGAGTTCTGGAACCATTTGAATTGGGAGGCGACGCAGGACTGATCATTGGACGGTAGACACAATAAATGAAGCAGGTCTGGTTCTGAACCTCACAAATCACGGTGGGTAGAGTAACGACTTGCATCGGCTCGCTTGTGTCCCAGTTATTTTTAGGAACAACTGCTTTCCATTGTTTCCACTCGCTCCAAAACCAAACAAGATTTTTGTCAATTTTTGTACAATTTTAGTTTCTTCTGATTGTTACGAACAATTCTGCATACGTTTCTGTCTGTTCTTCGTTTCAACCATAACTATTCTGACCAGAAGATATAGTTTCGCTCGGCCTCGCTGTTGTAATTAGTAAAATTTATTTCAATTACATTTTCTTGAAAAACAGTTTCACGTACACGCATCTACTGTATCCTTATCTTTACCTTCGGATGCATGCTTAGAACTGAAATCAGAAAAGAAGTCGTGATACTGATATTGGGGTGATGAAATTACGATTTCACACACATCACGTATAGAAAGACCGAGAGTACATCAGAGGCGTTTCTTTAAAACTTAGATGCAAAACTAGACTGTCAGCACTGACTTTTGGTAGTTTCTAATCTCATCATCATCAAGGCTTGAACTACACATCAAGTATCTGGCCTCTGACTGCGCTCCAAAGTGCTATGCAACGATTGAAATGAACGTTTGTACAGAATTCCAAGGCGCCGCCGGTTGTCCTAGCAACCCGTTGTGGATGACAAGACCACTCAATTATCCTGTGCAAAATTATCGCATTCGCACTCGTGTAAAAGTATTGCATATACGGCTCTGCCTGCTTACTTAACTGAATCTGCATGATGAAAACTTCCGTTCTCTTGGAAAAATTTGCCATGCGAATTACATATATGGTAGTGCGATATTTTTGCAATGCATACCAACAGTGGTCTTGTCGAAGCAAGAAATGGCACTATTTCTGCAGCTCCTGCTCCTGACTTATCTTCTGATAACACCCTGTAACTTATTTTTGTGACTTTCCATCTCTACTCCAGAGTTGTAGAATTGCACTGTAAAAATCGTTTCCGAGGGACCGCGGCCAACGTCGTCAGGAGGAGGAGAAGAATTGTAAAAAAGTCTGTTAGTTAACAGCTGACGAAGACGGCAGACAGTTTGAAGATATCGCGACACATTCCCACTCGTTGAGATTCTCGACGGTGCCTGTGTTTGTGATATGGAACAAATAATTGTGAAATAGAACGACAACACTTCATCTATTGCCGGTCGGCCGTCCTTCCGGATTGGAACCAGTTTCGATTTTGCAGACTGAGCAGACGAAAGTCCGTAAGACCGCGAACATTTTTTGCGCTTACAAGAATGTACAACTACCACAGCTCCTTTCACGACAAACCTCTGCTCATCTCTGAGCTGTAGCCGGCTCGGAAACCAAGTCTGGCAACCTGCTGGCGCTCCTCTGGCGTGCTGGATGTTCTGCTAGTCCTAGTCAAAGGCTCCAATATTAGATTTACGCTCTTGTCGTTCTTCTACGTTTAGCGCCTCTTCTGCCTTGTATCTTTTTCTGCGTTGTCGGGGACTGATGTCGACGCTAGTACATTCTGTGTAGTATGAGGATCGCGACACGGTCAGACGTGTCTGTTGTAGAAGTTGTTGTTCGTGTTGTTGATGAGAGTAGAACTGCCCGCAAAGCTGATTCATCGGTACTTGATGACGGTGTGTTAGTACTTTTGCGTCTGATGAGAAAATAAAGGACAAGCGGTGTCAGTCGAAAGCGAAGCTGACGTCGGCATTCATTTCTTGCCTCTAATTTCTAGTCATCATTTTTATTTCTGAACAAAATCACTATGCCTCCAAGTAGAACCACCAAACAGAATTCGAAAGTAAGGTGAGATGATGGTTAGCAGCGAGTGATGAACAAGAAGCAGAAAACTACGACTACTTCTAGAAACGGCAAAGATGGCTGAAAGCGTTAGCGAGCGAAAAAACCAAAAACGACGGGCGAAAAAGTGGAGAAGCAAAAAGCCGAACGTCAACAAAATATATGACTCGACGCTGTAGTGAAGATTGCTACTTATGTGCGTCCATATGAGACAGACATCAAATTTCCTCACCGACACCTCCTGACGATTGTGATTAATATTAAGGAAATCGGCGACCTCTGGCTCTGCTTCCCGTAGTTTTTTTTTTCGTCAAGTAGGTAGACCGCACAGCATTCTTTTACTGATAGACAAGTCCAATTTAGCAGCTCTGAAAGAGAGGCGCAATAAACACGACTGCTTTTGCATTGTTGGAGCTCCGTAAAAAGCGGCGCGAGCTTCTCACAAGAAAAAAGCGGCTTAGAAATAACAAACTTCTTCTACAGCTGCATGCTCGTAGTCTTGATATCCCATTGCTAGTTGAAACGCAAGCGCCCCTGGCGATTGTCTGGAAGTTTCTAGCCAAGTACAACCAGCCAGGACGAAAAAAAAGGTTGACGCTGAAATTCATCGGACAAAACTTGAGAGCCGCGAGAGCAGGCAAGTAGAGTACAAGGAGCGAGCAAATTTGTGTTGATCCCGTTGTCTATATTAATCAGTATCCTTATTCTCGGTCGCGTTTCCTCTTGGCAATTCATTACTTTTATTCAAAGTTATCGTCAATAAAACGAGACAAAAAGCATCAGCTGCTTGCTTGAATTTGTCGGAGTCGCGTGGCTCAGATTCCAGGCCGTTTGTTGCTACCAAGACAATATTGACGACAAGAAAAAAGTCGTAGCTACATCGCGATTGCTTGCTGCAACTTTCCTATTGCTTTTCTGCAACAAAAATTTTCGCACAGCTCATCCAAGAAAATTGAAACCCTTTTTGCCCATTATTCACCTGTTTTTTCCCCTTCTGAATTTGCTCCCCAAAAGAACCTATTGATGAAGTACAAGCACGCGCACGCATGTACAAGAACAAACTTTGATAGAACCTTGCCCATCCGATTATTTTCAGCTACTTACACTAGTATCTCACTTTATCATCTCTAAAAATCTCTACCGTTACTAACTTCGCCACCACCCATACAGTTCTTTTACCTGTTCTTACATGCTCACCTTGAGAAGTTTTGCCTCGCGAATTCTTTTTGACTCAACATACCTTCGACGCCTCTTCCAAATACGATCAGAGGATGGTGTTGCTGTGCTACGAAAAACAAAGGATAACTAAGTAAGCCACTATAGGTTTACTTTCGTCGATTCTACCACCTGTCTTGGTGTTTCAGCTTCTGTGAACTGCAACTGAACTAGACGGAAGCAGAAACGAATCAACTCTGTTTTATCGATACTTTTGTAGAACAATTTTTCTAGCTTTGGCTACTTATAACCTTCACGTGGGCTAAATTAGTGAACAGAGCATACCCTTAGTTAGCTTGTAAAGAAAGATGATTTTTGCCCCAACAAAATAATCATGCAAGGCTCCAATAATAAGGACTCTTGAATAAAACTAGAAACAGCCAAAAAGCTGATGTGACCCCAGGGAGGTGAAAAACCTTTTTGTCGTGGTTACTGTTTAAGGAAGCTCTGAGACGTCGTTTGTCTTTGTGAAAAATTGAACAGCGCAGTGTATACTGAGGCTGTTCTTGTCTTTTGCTGCCCTGAGATGCAGTCGTATGTAACGAAATGTAAAGATAAAGCTAAAGGCAAGCTTCTATTTGTTTAGTGTTGACTTCCTTTTTTCGACTTTGTTGAAGAAGGAGCATGAGCAAGCTCTTACCACATGAATATGATGTACTTCCCCCACTGAAGCTGTATTCGTAAAAGAAAATGAAATAACTTGGGTAGTGCCAGTTCTATTCACGCATACAATTTTTATTTATTTTCGAAGCGCTTTATTTATATTTTTACGCCGGAGTTGCAGTCGGAAGAGTTGCGTGCGACGGCACTGTACGTGGAGGGCCGCAACGCCGGTGCGCCCACCAAAGAACCTCCCGCAACTCTGACGGCCCCCGACCTCCACGACCACGTACAACAGCAGCAGCGGCTTCTTTTTTCGACAACAGGAACACCGACACCGGCTGCACGCGTCACCAGTTTTCTAACCCCGAAGACCCGAAAGTGCGGAGCTCGTTCTTTTTCCAACGAGAAGAGCGCAGCTGAACGCGGCACTTTCCAGTATCCTCGGATAGAAGACTTCTACCAACAAGGTGGAGCAACTGGACCTCCTTCGCGTCGTCGGCTGAAGTAGAAGACGCGAGGAAGATGGCGTCCGAGATAAGCACAACGGCTGCGGCGTCCGACGCCACGCAGCAGAATCTCATCTATTGAGAGGAAAAATCCCCCCTCCCCATATTGAAAAGGTAGGCTTCCAAAAATTTGTGTTGCGGATTTGAGGTCACAAATCACATCTGTCTTGCAAGAAGACAAGGGCAGAAGCTTCCGCCCCATTATGGAAGCGATTTGTCATGCTGTCTGGCCTAAAGGGGGGCCGTTTGCCATGCTGAACTACTAGACCCATACGCCCCTACCTAACCTGGGGATCTGGCCGCAGTGCCTCTGTGCAATACAAAGCTGATTTGTGGTCACAAATCAGCATCACAAATTTCCGTTTTGATATGGGGAGGGGGGATTTTTCATTTTGATATCATCGGTGGTGTCTTCGCCCTCGGGAAAAAGTTGGGAAGCGGCTCCTTCGGCGAAATTTTTTGGTGCTACCACACACTGTATCAAATCCAAATATGTCTGGGTCTGGAATAAAGGTTGAACCTGTATTGCATGTTTCGCATTCCTGAAAGATGTATATTGCTGCATAAGCAGGAGCAAAGAAAGCCGCGCCACACTTTGTCATGCAAAAACGCAGTTTGTAATGCGTCCTGCGCATGAGAATGAGAAAGCCTTTGAAACATTTGTCATGCTGCACTGCACTTAAAGGCCCAGTCAATCATGACAGTTCAGCATTACAAGTTTCCAGACCTCCAGACATCTTTGCAATCCATACACTGACACAGGAGGAGTATGCGGTGAAAATCGAGCCATCGGACTGCAAACACCTATGACAATGCACAACTCCCCCGCCCCCTCATTTGTCATGCAAAATTCCAAATCCAGCTGCTGCCTTGTAGCGCTGTTTATTGTGTGGCAAATTATGGAAGCCCAAACAGTACTACAGTCGGCGCAGGAACTTGTCATGCTCAGGCTCCACGTGTGCTGGTGTTTGTGTTGCTGTTCATGCCATACAAATGAGGGGGCAGGGGAGTTGTGCGCTGTCATAACACCCCCAGCTCATGTACGAGGCGAAATTGCTCAAGCATCTGCAGGGAGGTGAAATTACTAGTGAAAGATTTCAGAAGTTACTTATTGTGCTGTATGAAGCTCCTTCTCCGACGTGTGACAGGACATTGACATAGTGATAGCCATACTACATTTGAGTGCTGCATAATCAGCTTGGCAGTGATGTAGACCCACCGCAACGTTCTGTTGTGGTGCGTGATGAGGTCGATTCTGTCATCAAAGTGTGGTCGCGGTTTATCAAATCAACGTATTATATTAGCGTGAAGTAGTTGTAGTTTATTGCAACCTAAACTCAACGAACCACTCAGGACCCGGCATTGCCCAGGTGATTTACTCGGAATGCGACGCGGAACGAAACGTGATGGTCATGGACTTGCTCGGGCCAAGTCTCGAGGACCTGTTCAATCTGTGCAACCGGAAATTCACCTTGAGAACAGTGTGTCTGATCGCGGAGCAGATGATATCGCGCGTGGAGTACCTGCACAGCCGCAATTTCGTCCATCGCGACATCAAACCCGATAATTTCTTGATATGACAGTGCACAAAGCCCCCCCTCACCGCCCTCATGCAAACTGCCAAATCCTCTTTGAGCTAAGCCTTTTTCTAAAGTTAAGGTTGTGTTTGCATGACAAGTGCAAGAGGCCCCCACTGCACTACAGTCCGGCTCCGGACCTGCATTTGTTTTTATGCAGCCGCTGCATCAATATTTTCCAGGTGTAGTTTGCATGTGACGCTAGAATTGCCCTTCAAATCAGCGAGAGGGGGGCGAGTTGTGTACTCTCATACTGGATCGGCAGGAAACGGAAAGGCATACTCTACATGATCGACTTCGGGTTGGCAAAGAAGTACCGCGATCCAAAAACCCACCATCACATCGCGTTTAGAGAAGGAAAGAATTTGACGGGGACGGCGAGGTAAGAGATCCTTTGAGGTGGAGGTGGACGAAGCCAAAACATAAAGAAATCATGAGATGCGTTTTTTATGTATGACTCGGCCGCGTCTTGCAGTCGCATCGTCGTGCGTGCATAGTCGTGTACTAATTTGAGCGATGCACTGACGATTCGAACCTTCAAAGGAAGTAAGTATGCGCACCCCGAAGCCACACATCAATTTCAATGCCAGCCTTCTAGACCCCATGTGAATAAACAGGTACGCCTCCATAAACGCACATAGTGGGTGTGAGCAATCGAGAAGAGACGACCTCGAGGCCATTGCCTACGTTCTGCTCTACCTCTATCTCGGGCAATTGCCATGGCAGGGTACTACTAGACTTTTATCCAATAAAAAAAAGAAAGATGAGCTTTGACTTCGTGTAGCTTCAACTCCTCTTTTTTGGAACTGCTAGCAGTTGTGTCGCTAAGTAATCAATCTGGAAGTTGTTGTAGTCGTTGTTGTCTTTGCTTCCATCAGGTATAAAAGTCGCGTCCAAGCAGGAGAAGTATGCGAAGATACGCGACAAGAAGAAGGCCGTGCCCATAGAAACCCTGTGCCGCAACTGCCCCCTACAGTTCGCCAGTTACCTCTCCTACTGTCGAAAGTTGAGGTTTGAGGACCGACCCGACTACGCCGCGTTATTGAAAGGAAAAATCCCCCCTCCCCATATCGAAACGAAGTTTCTGATGCTGAATTTGCGTACACAAATCAGATTTGTCTTGCAGAAAGTGCTTGGCGGCATTTTCTGCGCCTGTTTGAGTACGCAGAAGGCTACCAATTGCGCATGGTAAACAGGTTTGCAGTAGTCGAAAGCGCATGACAGACTTGCTTACGAACGCGTTAAATGGCTCCTATGACCCTATATGCAAGACAAAGATGATTTGTGACCACAAATCCGCATCACAAATTTCCGCTTTGATATGGGGAGGGGGGATTTTTCATTTTGATACGCGTTGAGAAGAATTTTCCGCGACATCGTAGTGCAGGAGATTATGAGAATGCACAAATCGTCCTCTCCTCAACATTTGTCATGCAAAATGCCAAATCCGCGTCTTCGTCTTGCCCTTAGGCTCTCTACTCTGCATGACAGATTTTCTAACCCGAAGCCAGCACTTCAATTTCTGTGCAGATCTGGCATGCGGAAGCGATATTTCTCGCGGTGTCTGTGATGCTGCTCATGGTCTTCAAATGTGGGAAAGGGGACGCTGTGCACTCTCATAGAGATGGAGGGAGAACCAGAAGGCACCGAGCCACAATTCGACTGGGAAAAGTTGCCAGGGTAAGAACATTATTTATTACGATTACAACTATTTTACGTTTCTTCTCTATGCATATATGTGCTTCTCTTCTACTGCCTGGGTCTGGTTCTGCAAGAGTGATGCTGAGACTCGCTTACGAAGAAATCAAAATGGTACAACAGCTTTGACACTCGTATGAAGTTCCAGGGGAAGAATATGAAGTACGACAGTCAGCGAGAATCCCTCACGCCCGCAAACAACAACGGCTCGATGGCCGTCCGGGAGCACGACAGCCAGCCGCTGACCACAAATTTGCGCTTCACCGAGCCCATCGACGAGAATCACCCTTCTGTGATCGACGTGAAGGGCCAGGGGGCGGGAGGGCACAACAGCGGCGGTAACGGGCGAGGGGACAGCGCCAACGGAGGTGGAACGATAGGAGGAAATCCGAACAGTAGCAGGGCAGTGGGGCTAGCGCCGCCGCCCAGGCAACAGAGAAAGTCAACGGTATATTTTATTTGCGATAGACATTGGCTTTGGGCTTTTCCAAAAAACCTGGATTGGTTTTTCACCGCATGACATCAGGAAGGAGATCAACATAAGGTATTAAATCGATCGACGGATTTATTTGGTTTGTGATCACCAAAAAATGCGAACGATTTGAGGAGTTAAAAATCAAAACAGCGCGGCTTTTTCGGTTGTTGCAGAGGAGGTTAATACGGACGGACCGCCGATTTCCGCCTAATTTTCGTCACCGACTGCGTTTCTCGACACTGCATTTCACATGCTACTGGTCCACCAGCACTACGCTCCTGTTCTAATAGAGGCAACAGTACAAAAATTACGAATCAAGTCTAAATTTAGCAAAAGTCACGATCATCAAGGTAGATAGAAGTTTTAGTCGCAACCACAACTAACTTCTACCGACAGTTTACAGTTTAACAAGTTTAACACGACAAAAGCAGAAGCAGAAAAATACCCTCTGCTACTCAACTTTCAGCAAACGACTGAAGGTGAAAGTTACTCAAAAGGAAGAGGTAACATGAGAGAGTTTTCGCAGAAGATGTTGACATCGCATCACTGCTGCTTTTGTTCGGGGGACTTATTTATTTCACAGGAGCTTTACACTTGTTAGGGAAATTTGGAAGAATGAAAAATAATGACTTGAAACAGCACCAAAAACACACTAGTGCTGGCTGAAGTATGTCGCCAGGAGCATCGAGTAGGTGCGAGAACGACTTAAGTAAGAAGTAAATTCTGTGCGCCACACGGAAAGTTCTACTTGCTAGTCGACGGCGTTATGCTCTACTTTTACTGTTGAGAGTGCTACTTCTTCCACTCAGTTTTACTTCGATGCGAACAAGATTTTTTTACCTACGTGTTCAGGTCTACCGAGCTAGAAGTCCCGCAAGCGCAAACTACACATAATATAACACTTTTTCGAACTACCACAAGCGACAAGCAACACACACATCAACAAGCTCTTCGACTACTTTGAACGGGCCTTGTCACGGTCTTTGACTACTATCTTTGGGCTAAATTGCAAGGAGGTATGGGTGGCCACCTATCCTTTTTAATACGTCACACACAAATCCAAACGACCCTTTGACCACACCATATCAGCATCGCCACGCTAGTTTTACTTATTAAACCTGTTCCTGTATACTACTGGAAACAAAATTGGAAACAGTCGACCACCCACTAGAAACTTCAATTTTTCCGGGAACGACAACGAGTAAATTGCCGATGGGGGACCCGGCGAGCCAACAAAAGAGAAAGAGCACATCTCACGTCTCCCAGATCAGCTATTTTAAGCCTTAGTGTCGTTTCCTGGCAACGTCGAAGATTCTGTGGTATGCAGATTGAGATTTTCCCTGGAAATACTAGATCAGGAATTGGACCTTCGTTTTTTTATCGAGTTCTCTTCCTCATCGAAAATGCAACAGCCCACTTTTGACTTCATAACAGTGCTCCGTGCTCTGCTGTCTTCAAAGTATGTAGCCGTCTGAATATACTTTTACCCTCACTTTTTCGCCGGCGTCACCCATGATTGATAGGCCTTGTACACTCTATCTGTGACTTCAAACCTCTTGCAGCTGCAGCCAGATCGAGCTAGTGATGATTATCAATATGACTAGCTGGCGTTCTTGCACACTTACTTACTTAGGTAAGTAGAGCACTGTACGGCCGTTGATGAGAGCAGTTGACAGCTTGCTACCTGCAGAGCCAGAGTTGTGAGTAACTCACGATGCTTGATTGACGTCCTGGCCTGGAGCCCGAGCTAGCGAAGTAAGAAAGAACTCAGATGCGACCATGAAGACGACAATCTAACCGAAGGTAAGAGCAACTTCAACTTGTGCCGCCACATCAAGCAAATACTTTTTTTCCGCGGAACTTCGAACTGGGGCTTATTATTCGGACATGCTGAGCTTTTTTATCAAAGAACACATCAACATGTATGCATCTCTATCTCTCACAAAGAACGAGATTTTATGCGTTCGTCTTCAAGTATGTGTTCTGTTGCTCGTTTTGTTGCGGCTTGTGAGTTTCTGAAGGGGGGCATATGTTCACGGATTTGCCGGCTCAGGAACCCTGCTCAAAGAAAAGCTTTGTCCTATTTGTTTCGCAGGAGGCCGAAATCAGTTGCAATCGCAAGTGTAAGTGATTCTTATTTTTGGTTTACAGTATTGTATTTGATTTTCCGCGTTAACGTTGTTCGTTCCTCGAGGCTCTGATCGTTCGAAATCGGCATATCAGCCTTGTCGTCGACATCGTCTACGACCTTGTTACCACTCGTCGTGCTCGAAGCGGAAGCACCATTTTGTCTCAAAAGGTAGGTTGGCAGAATTCTGAGTTTTTCACCCAATGTGATTGATCGGAAAATGAGGGCAAGACGCGTTCGTCTTGAGCGAAATACGAGAACTACGAGATGGAGCTCGGATATTACCTCGAGAGTTCATCTGTTGTTGCGATGTTAGAGTTGCATATTTTAATATCTTTGTCGCTGGCGTAAATGTGGTCAGACGTTCGCTTGACTAGCCAATCATGTAGGTGATTGTCTTTGTTGCGGTAGGCACCATGTGATTTTGACGTCCCTCGTCTGTTGGAGATGCTTGGCGTTGGCATAACGAACTATAGTACCGTGCCATGTATTATCCTGCTGCGCTTCCATCTTCTATCTAAGTTCCAAATGATGTGTGTATGGACGTGTACTTTCTGTTCCACTTCCACCGTAGTTGTTTGGGCTCTTTCCTGGAGCCGAGCAGGAGATTGAAACTCAACTCAGATTATAGAAAGTTTCGATTCATTGTAAAATCATGCTAGCTAGACCACCCTGAGCAAATATTGGGAGTTGCAAAAGGCTTTCCAGTGAACGAGGCGCATTGTTCACAGCAAAACAAAATGGGGGGCCAGGGTTCTAAAGTTACGGTTCCGCAACATGATCAAGAGCTGGTGGCAACCGAAATCGCGACAAAACTTGCAAATGAGAATTTACCTGCAAGAGATGTACAAGAAACAGCTGAACAAGAGATCAATCAAGCCGCCAAGGACGACGCCATCACTCGCAACCTCAGTAGCTCTCAACGGGAAATGGAACAAACAATAAAAGCGAAATTACAAGACGACCCCGCGTTCAAGCAGGTCATGGAGTCCATCAAGGACGGCAAGGCGACCGAGCTGCACGCGCGTTACTGGTCCGCCCCCGATTATCCTTTCCCTTATCATACTGCAAAGTTGTTGCCTTTTGCTTTTCCAGAAGACAGTTCGAAGAGAAGTGAAAAATGGAAAAGGTAGGAACGCTATACTCATTTCCATTGATGTCATGCTCATGCATAAGATTGCCTTTATCTTACAGCACTCAATAATGATGTTCCTCCGCCTCTACTGCAGAGCAAGGGAGTTTCAGTTACTTGCTTCACGACTAGGATGTATCGGGGCGGCAGCTTTACAGATGATAACAAGATAAACCACCTTATTTTCGCCAATACTGAGATACCCGAGCTGAATTCTGAACCTGAAGGCCCAGGACCCAAAATCGAGCTCGTCAAAGGTGATGGTGATTTCAAGGACACAGCTACCGAAAACACGATAAGTCGTCCGGCCGATTATTTCGAGCGCGGCGGAAAAGTCACTTTTGACGTGGTGAAGGGCGAGGGCGAACAGAACGAGTTGGAAATGGAGTTCCAAGCTTACGTGGATACGATGCCCCATGTGGAAATCTCCAAACAAGGCAGTGTTGCAACTTCGGCCTCCTCCTCCACGCTGCAGCAACAGCAAATCGGCGATAAAACGTCGACCCACGATGTGCCCAACACCGATCCAGCAGAAAGAGAAACCGTCACCACCGAGGACGCAAATCAACCAACTACACCCAGCATCAAGAAGAACCCATCGTTCCGTGGCACAGCGAGGCTGCAGAAGGAGCAAGAAGAGAAACAACAAGCCAAAGCGCTGGTGGAACAACAAGAAGCCAAAGCTGCGTCATCGGCCACCGCTACCTCCGCCACTTCTGCGTCCGCCATCCAATTGGAAGACCAAAGTGCGGACAAGAAGATGAAAAACAAAAACGCGGCGTTCCAATCTCACTCCTATACCAGAACTTTCACCTTCGAAAAACCGGCTGCAACCAACGCGTTCTTCTTCCAGGACGAGCAGACCGCCTTCAAGTTCAAGACCGACGCCGCCAACCTAAAGTCGATTCTGCACAACCAGAATGTCCAGGTGTTCGGGGTGATCTCCATCTTCGGTCTGATTGTGCTGCGCTGCATCTACAACCGGAGTAAAAATCACGAAAATGTGCACGACAAGATGAAACCCTCGTCTTCGCGCCAGTTCGACGAGAATCTGGGTCCGAAACTTGCCGCGCGGATGAAAACCGGAAATACCACCTCCACGAGCAGCAGTTTTGCTTCTTTGCACAGTAAAAAATCGTCCGCTAAGAAGATGACCGGGAGCAAGTTCGTGGAGATGTACGGTGCGGTCAGTCCGAGCTTCGATCGGATGCGTAGTGCGCACGGCGATGCTATCGGGATGTCTTTCGAATCGGAGATGGAGCCGGATGAGGAGGTGGATTGAGGTTGTGTTTTCCTCTGACGGGGAGGAACTCTTCTTCTTGTCGAAAATGATCGCAGACGCAAGCATCGAAACGTCTGCAGTTAGCTGCAGCCACATTCGCACGAGACACATGAACCGAAGTACGAGAGAACTCGGAAGCGCGTTTCCTACTACCAAGGACAAAATCCTAGATTACAATTACGCCTACTCCTACACCTCTGGCTGCAGGAGAAAAACTAAATAATGGGATTCGTGCACTGAGCTCGACTCGGTGTCATCTCTCTTTGACTCTAAGCTTTGCTTATTCACGAATAACAGACAAATTACCAATCGAAAAAAGTGAATTATGAAGCGATTGTATATCCAGTCTATCTCTACTTATCGTGTGCTTTGACCTCAACTTTTACAACTTGACAACTAATACATGATATCTTGTTTTGCGAAAACGCTTGAGAGATACACTTGTAAGCACATCCAAAAAGACGAAAGAGAAGATGATGGTCTCTACTAAACGGATAAGCTTGTTGTGACTGAATGAATGAATTGTGCCGCTCAATATGTGGTCCTCTTGATGCAAATTTTAATTTTCGCACTGATTCTAGAAAAAAATCTTGTACCAAACCTGTATCCTCGTGAAATATTCCCTATTCGCTCCGAGCAAGAGCGTCAACGTACAGTCGTCGAAGCATCAGGCTTGTGACGAAATTAACGTGAAGAAATAGCAATGAATTATAATTGAAAGCGAAATTTCAAAAATTAACAAGTCGTAAAACTGTATTAAAAAATGTACATTGTTTACCTATCAATTGAAATTGAAAACAAAAAGCGCCTAGGTTGTCGTAGTGTGTTAGCAGCGCAGGCTATCACATGTCGATAAATGGAGTGCTGTAGTTGTAGCTGGAGCTAGGAAGAAAGGAGAAGCTGACGAGTAGCACCGGACCCGAAATACTTCCTCCTCCATCAACACTGTATAAATAGAAAGGCGTGCTTTGAAAAACAAGAAGAGTAACGAAGCAACGCGAGGGTTTTGCTTTAGCCGTTGTGGAACCTCCGGGTCATCAGGCAGGAACAGCCTACGCGCCGCTCCGCACCGTGTTCATCAATCGCTTGTTTCAGTTTCTCCAGTTCTTCTACGAGTTTGAAGATGTTTAGATAGGATATGGATAGGACCAGGCTCGCTTCCGAGCAGCCGCGAGATCCGGATGTCATCGCGACCGCGTACCGATCAAATACACCTGATACACCAACTGACTCTCGTCACGCCCTTCGGTTTTTATCGTGACTGATTCTGAAGTATCTCTATCTATGTCTTGGATCAACACTCACCAGAGTGAGGATTCCAGGTCCACGTGGTTCAATTACTGAATTGGTTCCGAACTCGTCGGGGCGGGTACTATCATTCCCGAGATCGTGTTCTTCGGACATGTTTGTTTCTCCGCCTCGGTTCATATGCCGACACTGGCGCGGAACGTTGGAACCAGTTGTAGGAGCGACTGGCGAATCAATACCTATACCACAGCCTGGAGTACAACTTTTGTGGGCCAGCTGCAGCAGCAGAGCCAGAGGGAGAAGCAGATCCTCTTCACAAATAACCTGCGACAGAGCCCGGCTGTACTCCACTTTTAGATCTTTACGAATCTTCTCAGTGCTAGGGAACCAGTCGAAGACTGCAGCGGTCAGGGTCCTTACAGCGGATAGAGCAAGATTCCGCTCCTTCTACTCCAGCACGTCCGCCAATGGCACTGGTACAGCTGCAACGACTTCTACTGAAAACCAAGGACAAAACTCCGCTGCACCTCCAGACCACGATGTATTCAAGTCGAGGCTCAAAAAGTTCTACTGTCGCCTGGTCTACGAACCGCGTACCTGGCGGTTCCTCCGAATGCTCTCTTTTGCGTCATTGGTGTTTTACGTCGGTGTGATGCCTCACGTGATGAAAGACTTGGATGCACTCGAGGAGAAAAAGAGGCTGAGACTCCTCACTGAAGAAGAGGAAACGAAGTTGGCAGAGGAAAAACAGCGAAGCATCGACTTTGAAAAAAGATTGCAAAAAGAACTGGAAATGACCTCGGGAAAATTGCTGGAGTTGGCAGAGCATGCAGACGGATAACATTTGCTGACAAAACTAAGTACGCGGTGATGTGCGCGTGCAGAAGCAGCTACAATGTACATACGTCATTTACATTTGCACGGCTTCAACCGCTGTCACCAGTTTCAGCCTAGTGTGTTGTACCACATTGTGCCACAGATGAGAAATGAAGAACGTCGACGTTGCTACTCAGCACGAAAAGACGAAACAGAAGCAGACGCCGCTTTGCTTTTGACGATCCCGAACATCACATCAGGATGAGAAAACGCACTATGCTGCTTTCCTACGACCTGTCTGCGTGATCTTGTTGTCCTATTTTCTGTTCCAAAAGTAAAAGATGAAAATCCAACGCCACCAAATTTGCGCTTCAATGATCTTCTAGTGCAGAAATTTGTTTTCGTTGATCCTCCATTCCACCTAGGTCCTTTTCTTTCGAGGTTGCTCTGAATTGGCATGTAAAAGTAAAGAAAACCCACGCATGCGCAGTTTGTTAGGTTCCCGTTTCCAATTTCGTGTTTCGCGACTGCGATGATCTGGGCTCTTCCTATTTTTCAAGAAAAACAAGACCTTAAACAGCGACCTTATTGTTAGTGTTACTTGCGCAACCATGATATGCTCCCGTAAGAACTTGCTTTGTAGGTTGCAGTAGAGCACAGAAGGCTACGGTCGCTTGCGGGTTCGCGTGTAGAAGCATTCGTTTTTTGTTGTATTCGCATCCCCGCCTCTAGGTGATCTCGTTGTTTGCGACATTTTTAACTTTGCGACGGACTCCTGACAAGGAAGAGCAAGATGGGTATCGAGACGAAGCATGTGCTTTCGCCTCACGACATCTACAGCGAGTTCCAATGCGGCCTGTGCCAAAAACTGGTGGGCCTCGGCGAGAACAATGTCTCCATGAGTGTCTGCGGCCACGTCTTCTGCAGCATCTGCTTCGCCAAGACTACGGCAGGAGAGTAATATTTGGATGATTTTACTGTTTGCAATAATTTGAAAAAATAATTTTCTCTTGTCACGCTCACCGTTACTCATCCGCTCACGACTTCTTGACCTCGGGCTGAAAGTTATAGATACAAGATTGCGCTTCTCAAACTGACAATTGATCAAGATCAACGCCTCATGAATAACTCTCTCCAGGACCGGCATTTGCCCTAAGCAAGGTTGTGGCAAAAAGTCTTTGACCAAAGCGGAGCCCTTGGAAAAGTGCAACCCCCTGGGCAACCGCATCTTGCAGAAACTGCAGGTGTTGTGCCCGTTGCAAAACGCAAATTGCACCTGGCGCGGCGCTTATACGGATGTCAAGTTTCACATACAAGATTGCATCCGGTCGAATAAAGTACACGCGGGCGGGGCAGCAGGGACGAGCACTAATTCGAATGGGAGTAAAAATGTGAATCTGATGCAGGCTACACCCTCGACCAGCACGAAGACGTCAACCGCTAACCAGGTGTCTTCCACGACATCCGAAGAGGACGATGAGGAGGACGACAGCGAGGAAGAGGAGGAGGACCAGCAAGACACTCGTGGGCGCAGCGGTCGTCCGCCGCCGCTGAACCAAGGCAAAGCCTTCCAGCCCCCGCCCCGACAACAGTCGGCATTTCAAAAGCCTAGTACTACGCCGACCCCCGCGGAGCTCCAGGCCCAGATGCGAGCCGAGGCCGCGAAAATAAATGTCAACCTGAACAACGCGTCGTCCGCAAAAGCTGCTGCAGCAAAAAGCAAAGCCTCCGCGTCTCCCCCACCGCAGGCGAAGGCGCAGCCGAAAGCGACACAGCCAGCACCCGTGCCGGCGTCCGACAGTTGCCGGTTGCTGGTGAAGGTTCGCAAAAACATCCAGGAAGCAAAGGACGACGGGAACTCCCTGACGAAAGACGGGAAATACCGGGAAGCCGCGTTCCGATACGGCCGAGCCATTCGGGAATACGACGACGAAATAGCCAGCGACGAAGATCTCATGAACTCGCTGATTAGCTCCCCAACGGAACAACAGAGCAGCAAACCTTCGGACTCCGAATCCTCGACGACCGCGAGCAGCTCGCAAGGTGGTGGAGGACCTCCTGCAAGTTGCAGTAAGGACATCAAGAGCACGACCAACACTGAGAAGCACGCACTGGTCCAGGAAATCAAGCAGTTGGTGGCCGTGTGCTACAGCAATCGCGGGTTTTGCTGGACGCAGGTCGCCAATTACAAGGACGCGATCGCGGACTTTAAAGAGGCGATCAAGTTGGACAAAAACTACACGAAGGCGCACTTGCGCATGTGCGAAGCCTACGCGGAAAGCGGGGACTTCGACGAGGCAGCACGGTTGTTGGACCTGAGAATTCCCCTGGAAAAGGAAAGAACAAGGCAGCTGGAGCTGGCGGACAAGGAAAAAGCAGCCAGTAGCGGACCGCAGAAAAATAAACTCGGTATTATACGAATGGTGTGACGAGCAGTCTTTGCAAATGAATCCAAACGCATCGTTTTGCGAAACGATACATGTAAAAGTGACACACCAACGGTCTCTTGGGTGTTGACAGCGCAATGTGTGCACATCGTCATGAGTATCAAGGCCAGCTTTTCTGTAGCAATATGTTGTTGAACTTGAAGCTACACAACACCTTCACATGAAAATTCCAAAACAGCCGGCCTTTTCAAGAGCCAAAAGCAGAAGGACGCCGAGCAGGAGGCACTGGGATCCCTGTTACCGAGGTTCACCGCTCTCCAGAAAAAGGTGAAGGGTTTGGTATCGGCAATTCAAAAAGGCCGAGATTCGCTGACGAAGGGCGATCCTGGGCAGGCCATGATCGCTTTTCGAGAGGTAGCATTTAGTCCAGTCATGATTTGAGCATTTTATTTCCCGATTCGAAGCCAAAGATGTGACCCTTTTGCTTTGTCATGATGATTGAACCCCATACAAACTACGAAAGCAACGTACTTCCACGTGCTTTGCTTATCTCCTTCAAACTCCTACACCTACCAAGAACTGCATTCCTACCCCTATTCCAGGCCCTCCAATACAGCAAGGGCAGTACGAACCTGACGCTGCAGATGTGGCTCGCGCGGTCTCTGTTCGCGGCCGGTAATGACGGCGGGTCAGACGCGAACCATGCGGAGTGCCGACGGATCACGCAGAACCTCCTTCGCGACAACCGGGACTTTGTCGAGGGCTACTGCATGCGCGGGCTGACCTTTTTGTCCGCCGACGAGGTCGACAAAGCGGCCCCGCTGCTGAAGGAGGCGTTGAAACTAAACCCGGACTGCGCGGAAGCGCGGGAAGTCTTCAAGAAGGTGATCAAACCCCTGGTCGCGAGCCTGGAGAACGCGCGCGAGCTGAAGAAAAAGTACCGCTTCCGGGACGCCATTCCAGTGTACAAGCAAATGATCCAAATGATCGAAAACGACACCAACACTGCCGCTGCAATAGCATCTAGCACAGACTCGCAGCAGCAGCAGCAGTCACTCCCCACCGTCGCTGCAGCGCTCTCCAGCAGCGGAATCGACCCCGCGATTCGCTCGAGTATCGTGCGTGGACTGCGCAAATCGACGCTGATGGCGTCGATTCAGTCGGAGTACGCGGACGCAAACCTGAAAATCCGGGAATTCAAGTCCGCGCTCACCGCGGCCAACAGTTCTCTGAACCTCTTATCAAATGTAAAAATGTCTGGGTCTGGAAGAATGCAACTTGTGATGCTGCATTTGGATTCCAAAAAAATCTCTCTGTATTGCATGAGTACCAAAGGGGATGCAATTTTTGCTACGCTGAGAAGGTATTTGTCATGCGGAATACGCATCAAGAAGCCCTCAAAAAATCTGTATCGCTAGGGTGTGCATCACAGACATCATGGCTCATGCAAAACGTGCATGACAAGTGTCAGAATCTTCCAGACCCAGACACTTTTACATTTGATACCTCTACCACACGCAAGGCAACGAATTCGTCAAAGTCGCTTACCTGACCCGGTGTCAGGCATACTTGGACACCAAGCAGTTCGAGAAAGCGGCCGAGAGCATGAAGAACACGCACCACTTGCCAGATAGCGACGATCGACTGGAGAACATGCGGGATAGGTGCGAAGCGGAGATGAAAAAGGCAAAAAGACCGGATTACTACCGAATACTCTCCGGATCGCCCTCGGTCACCGCATTGCTCAGTTTGCAGCCGGGGCAGTGCTGGAAAACGTGCGGGGACTCGCAGAGGGACGAGGCGGAAGGTAGGGTGTTTTCTTTCTTTTGAGATGACAGGACTTTGGTGCCTAGTATCGCGAGCGGACTTGCTTCTGAAGATGTCGCTGCATAGAAAGTGTAGTCGTGTAACAGACGAATTGCTGCAGAAGTAAGTCACCTACGTAGCCGACAGTGTTGCTTTTTGTTTTTGTAGCCTTCATTGTCGCTGTTTTGCATTCCACCTTGCACTTGCACACCATCGCGAATATGAGATATTATATGATTCCACTAAAATCGTCCCAGGCCGCGCCCTGGATCCAGACGATTCTGAGGTCGAGGAATCCGAGCAGGACCGCAATAAACGACTCGCGGCGCGAATCAATACCTACTCCCAGCCGCAGCAGATCAAGACCGCCTATCGCCGGCGGTGCCTCGAGCTCCACCCCGACAAGCAGCAGGTGCGACTCTCGAACTACACGAAGAAACAGCTGACCGACGCGGAGAAGCAAAAGTTTTCAAAAAACACGGAGGAGCACTTCAAACTAGTCCAGGAAGCGTACGACGTTTTGTCAGACACAACGAAAAAAGCCTACTACGACCAGGGCAAGACCAAGGAACAGATCGACGAACTCTCCTCGAGCAGCGGGCGGGGGGGCGGCGGATTCGGCGGCTTCCACTTCCACAGGAGAGCAGGTCCGTGGGGATAAAGAAAATGAAAAAGAAAAAATTGAAGGCAAAAATCCAAAACGCGAAAGTAGTGAACTAGCTTGTGTGCACCTCCTGCCTGTGTCGTGCAAGTTAGTAGAAGGTCGTGGTTCTATTTCTACCTGCTTGAGACAGACTGGACTATCTTTCGGTCATCAATTTCATCTCTGGTATCTCAACTCATTTTCTAGTTCTTGTTAACCCCGACGAGTCTGGCGACCATTATAAAAGTAGTTTTAAAGCGAATTATTTTCTAGCAACTTTACAGCGCTTCGTAGTATAGGCGACTCTTTCAAGATTCATGACTGACTTTGATTCATCATTCACACTGGTCTCGCGACGCACCAAAGAGCGACTCTTTTCATGACAAGCGAAGATAACTCTGTTGCAAATTCTAGCGCCACAAGAAATTGAGCGAACCAGCAAACGGGCGCGCGGGTAGGTTTTATGTCTCTGCAGTGTGCTACAGGTATAAAGAATTGAATGTGTTCTGAAAATGATCAGAAAATTTTGATGAACTAGTACTACGACACGCTGCACTGGGTGCTGCTTAGAAAAAAGGTAAGGACCAAACCAGCATGATGAAGATCATCATCTTCATCGGTGGAAAAAAACCTGACGCGAGATGACGAAAGAGAGAATCGTATTCGTTTTCGCTTCCCTCAGTCGTGTCAGTCACAACAAAAAAGGTTCACTTGAAACCAGCGACATGTCCCCGTTTGCAGGAATGGAAAAAAAGATACGTGCAAAAAAAGACATTTGATCTTGATGTTTAGCCCCCACTTGTCTGGACAACTGCTTGCTTTACGTCTTGGAAGAAGTGCACAACAACTGCAAAAATTTCATCCTGTTTCTACTACTACTTCTACTTTCACGACTCACTCCTGTAACCATACCTTTCTGGAGAGCAACAGCAAATTGGCGCCAAGATTTCGTCCTTGCCCGCTTCAACATCAATCTCGGGCGAACGCGAAAACGAAAAGAAGCTTCAGCTATAAAAATCCCTGCGACTTTCATCTTCACCGGGCGACTACACCTGTCACGCACATTAGCAAGCGAACCTTTTTTACTTTTCACAGATCTTCGAACAAGAGCAGCAATTACACCACCGCACGGGAAGGCTCCTGGAGAGAAGAAACGAATCGGCAACACCGACGCTTTTTCTCGTCCCTGTTCCATCCCACCATGGCGTACTGCTGCCCAGCGTGCGACGGGACCAACGAGCGGCCGCAGCTGTTGCGGCCGTTAAAAATACCGGATATCCCGGATTCTGACGACGAGGACGCGAACGCGACCAGAGCGCTGGAAACCATCAAGCGCGAGCTCCGGGAGCTGAAGCAGGCCGCGGGTACGGTGCACAGCCAGCAGTTTCAGCAGATCGATGAGCTGAAGACTTGCCAGTACCACATGGTGGAAAAGGTGGTCGGCGGACTCAAAGTCGGCGATAAAACCAGCCCGAAAAGCTTATCGAAAACACTCCGGCTAAACCCCTGCTTGGACGAGAAACAGAAACAGAAAATTCTCCCAGGCCAGGACGAAGGCCCGTGGCAGGTTTCCTTCTACGTCACTGTGCCCGAGCGGAAGGAACCCGAGGTCTGTGACGAGGAGGGAGGGAACCCCAAAGATGGAGCAGCAGCCGAGCCGTCTGCTGCAACGGGGTACCGGATCGACAAGCAGACGCTGAAACAAATCTCCTTGCCGAAGATGAAGCGGCAATTCGGGATCGAGAAATCCCCCTTCGAAAACCAAACCTTCGTGGTGGATTTACGGTTTAACAGCACGTACCCAGAATTACCCCCCTGCGTTTCGTTCCGCTCGACGGTCCACCACCCGTTTTTGCAGACCGAGGGGCAGGTGATGCCGTTGCTGTTCTACCAATCGCTGCAGCAAATGCCGGTGGTGACGGACAGGGATAAAGACGGAGATACCAGCATGGAACCGGGCATCTACACGTTACCGAACATTCTGAAAGGCGTGTCGAAATTCCTCGAAGACGGCATGGGCCAGCCGAGCTTCTGGAAGATGTTGGACAGCTACCCGGAGCACATGCAGTTCGTGACCAACATCAACAAATACACCCCGTACAGAAAGAACTCCAAGTTCTTCACCATAAAAGCCGGAGACGACCTGCCCGAGGAGTGGCTAGACGAGCGGTTCAAAAAGTGGAGGGACGCCGGGTATCCGATGGAAGATCTTCCGGGTGTTGATTCCGTCAATAAAACGCTGATCACCACCCACAAACCGGACATCTATTCCTTTCCGATGTTTACCATGGAATTCTGCGACGAGCTGGTGAAAGAGGTGCGGTCCATTTACCAGTCGGGGATCGAGGTGCAGAGGCCGAACAGCATGAACCGGTACGGGGTAATTCTGAATTACATTGGCATGGAGGGCCTCATGTCGGCCATCCAGCGGCTGATCCAGCAAACCGAGATTGCGGTGAAGAAGTTCGGCAGCGTCGGCAGTTCGTGGGACGCGCATCACAGCTTCATTGTGCAGTACGCCCCCGGCAAGGATCTGGGGCTGGACATGCACACGGACGACTCTGACGTCACCTGCAACATTTTATGCATTGCAGAAGTATCGCACTACTGCTAGTATTAAATTGCATTACTACGTACAACATCAAACTTTTTCAAGAGAAAAAGCTTCAATTCGTATTGCTGCTTTGCCTGAGAAGCCATATCTTTCTGCTATGCAGGATTGGAATTAGTACGAGTGCGATACTTTTGCAGAGGATGCGTCTGCCTCGGCATTGACTTCGAGGGCTCACAGGTGGCGTTCTGCGGGAAGATGGGGGCGAGGGACCACCGGAAAGAGCTGTACATCTACGAGCAGCGGAAGGGGCACTGCCTGATCCACTTGGGGCGACAGCGGCACGGTGCGGTGGACATCAAGAAAGGTGAGCGGATGAACTTAATCATTTGGAACCGGTCGCGGTTGTACCGAGAAACAGACGAGTACCGGGAGCAGCGCTTCGTTAAAGAGGAGGGCAAACCGGACGAGGTGTGTCTCAGCTACACGCACGACCGGGATTACGGCGTGTTTAAACGCTATCCAAACGGTTTCGAGAAGTTCAAGGGCCGAGGGTGGTGTCCCCCGAGAATGGCCGAGTATGACGGGTTTGTAGCGGAGAATTGATAGATAGTATCCCTTCTCCTGTTGGGGAAGAAGAAGAAAAATTTACGAGCAATCTGATCTTTGACGGAGAGTTTTATGTTTATCGTGGCAGTTCAGGAGATTGATCATGATGAGAGAAGGTGTGGCGCATACGTACGTAGGTCTGTACTATGTACAGGTTTAGAGCCAGCGCAGCTGAAGCCCTACTGTGTTGGACTTCCGGCTGGCCACTGGATTGTCCTTCATAGGCCGCCGAGAGATTCGCTCGCCTCGCTCGATTTTTTTCTCCATCCTTCTCTTTTTGCTTTTCTTTTCCAAAAAACTATGCATGTAGGAATCGCACATGACAAGACGGGCGTCCGTCGCGGCCGGATCTCCCAGGGTTTCAGGGTTTAGGTTCGTTTAGGGTTCCTATTTGAGTTTATCGTGGCAGTTCAGGAGATTGATCATTCATATGATCATATCAAGAGATATGTTTTTCGCCGAGGAGGTAAATGTTTACGCGGACGGGTGACAAGTTCTCGTAGTCGCGAGGACTGAACGTTGAATGATGTAGTATGTAACTGCTCGAACAACGAGCTGCAGCTGCATCTAAGTAGGCGAACCATGGCCTCGCTCGTCCATGTTAGTTTAGTGTGCTCCTCTTCTATTTTCCACTTTTTTTTCGCGAGAAGAAAGCTTCATTCTGCTACGAAGACAAGAATGCGTCGGCACTGGCATGGATGTGGCCAGCAGACCAACACTGTGTACAGATAAAAAGCCAGCAAAACTACATGAAGAACGGGAAAGGATTGATGCAGGAGGTGGTCCGATGATTTTATACCACGAAGCGAAAGCGTGAAGAATCAAGACAAGGACGAGCTTGGGCAACCAGAGGGTCTCTGCCTGCCCCCGTTCCTTCGGGCGCCCGCTCTGTTTGAGACGAATGAGGCCCGTTCGAGGATCTCCTCTGCGCATGGAGATAGTTGCAGTGCCCGCGTTTATTCGTCTTGTTCGATCAGCTGTTTGTAACAAGTATTACCAAACTTCGAGGATGTAGATGTGGTGATGTTCTCAAACATAGCGCCCCCTCGTCCTCGTGTTTAGTAGAAGTAGGACACACGATATGGACGCACGGCGATGTTCCCGGCGTGCTTGGAGTTGGAGCTCACTACATCGTATTAAGTATACATATCTGGGTTTGTAACAGTTGGGTCGTCGAGCTCGAGCGGCGTTCTCCAAAAAATAGATGACACGGTGGATCCACCATCTCTGACTCTGAAGAATAACTTGTTCCTGGTCTTCAGTTTTTCATCCTGGCTCTCGCTATTTGAGCTGGAGTTGTCTCGTTGTATAGTACCATACAGAATTCATGGCGCAGCCTCCACCCGCACTTGCTGCCGACTACCAGCAGGATGGCCCGGAGGCCAAGCGCATCGCAGCCACCATTCCGTACTACCCGTTTCACGGTGTGCCAAGATTCTATGACATCAGTGGCATGCTCGCGGACCCGACAGTGTTCCAACTCTGCATCGACGTCTTCGTCCAGCGTTATGCCGCCTCTTCTAAGCAAGAAATCGACTGTATCTTCGGCCTGGACGCCAGGGGCTTCGTGCTAGGACCCAGCATCGCGCTCGCTCTGAAGAAACCATTCATCATGCTTCGGAAGAAGGGCAAGCTACCGAACGCGATCACCGGTGCGGAATACCAGAAGGAATACAAAAGCGTCGACAACGCGGCCACAGGCACCGACGAACTCTGTATGCCAAAGATGGCGTTCGACTTTTGGACAAACCAAAAAGAGGCCGCATCTAGTGGAGCCGCGGAGGATGGCGCAGCAACTAGCATGTCTACTACGAGCGACAAGCCACGAGCGCTGATCATTGACGACCTGGTCGCAACCGGTGGGACGCTCCTTGCAGCGTGCGATCTCGTTTCCACCGCCGGGGCGGAGATTGTGGAGTGTGCCTGCATAGTGGAACTGAAGGCGTTGCGAGGGTATGAGAAGTTGCAAGCAAAACATCCAGGTGTGAAAGTGTGGGCACTCATTTCAGAAGAGATTTTGACCCGGGAGGGCTGAAGCCTTCTTATTGCGTACAGAATATTATATATGGGTTCAGCGACTGGGTGCAGCTGCAGCTCGCAGAGCGTGCGACATTATGTTGCTTGATGTTCTCGTTTTCGGTAAAAATGATAAATCAAATTTTTGCGAAGTATTGATATGCCGATATTCAGGGGATATAACGTTGTGCTCGTGGCCAAGGGGAGTTACCATTTAGCAGGAAAAAGGAAGAACAAATCGGTTCTGCATGCGATAGCATGATAGGCGAAGGTCACGGATGCAGTATGTATAAATAGGTCCCGGACCGACCCGGATACTAGAGAGGATGTAACGCCAGTCTGTTTGTGCTGACGTGGCTTCGCTCGATGCTTCAGAAAATCGGTTTGTGGCTCGTGCATGTATACCTTCTTGCGAATCATCGGTAGTTCACTCTCAAGAAGCTGGTGCTCCTGCTCTGCTTTATGATTATGATGCACCATGGACGTGACGAGCGCACGGGCACGAGTCCTTCGTCTGGATGTAGATACTAAGTCGATCGCTAAGATAGTGATGGTTTGTTTTTTGATTCCACGACGCACACCAGGACCCTATGCCTATCAGAAATTTTACGTGCTGGATTGCACAAGCAAAACTGTAATTTCGTATCGTCCTTTCGTCGTCTCTGCTCTTTTCACGCGCAAGGCTAAGAGCTGCTTTTATTTCAATTTAGAAAATTTTAAGTCTCCTCGACCTCGATGAAGACCTTCCTTATGCTTATCTGATTCTTAACCAGAAGCAGAAGGAGAAGCTAGCCAGAAGCAGAAGCTCCTCTCTGCATTTGCTTCTACTACTTTCCTATTCGTATGCAAACAAGAGAACATGTTGGCCCGCGTTCCCTCATCCAACGAGCTTGTAAAGCTTGCAAACCTGACCAGCTGCACCTCGGCATCGGAACAGGACGATGATGAGGACGACGCTACATCGGAATCAACTTTCACTTTGGTATCGGACACCGAAGGGGTTGCCAGTCATGAGGAATTGCCTGGGCAGCCATCACGAGCACGGTCAGGCTCTTCATCAAAAAGCTTCACCTCCTTAGTAGAAAGCCCAAGCCGAAGACATGCCAGTAGTGAGCAAATCATAAAGAGCAAACCCGTCGTCTCGGACCCAGGTGCGCTACGACGGTGTTCTTGTACTTTCCGGCAAGAGCTGGGCCACGAGCTTCTTGTAGTTGTCCACCGCCTCATTAATGTTTTCGAAACAGCCGCGCACTTCTACGTCATTTGGGTCCTGTTCGGAGTAATTTGCTTCGTGACGCATTTGGGTGACGACCTGCCGGAGATCGCGTTTTTGCTTCCGGGAGGGGGTGCAGCGTTGACCGACGACGGACGAGATGCACATGTTGAAGCGAGCAGATTTCTTCCTGCTAATCCGACGGATGGTGGACCTCCAGGCGATGTTCACGCTGGCGCAAGAAGACCGTCTGCACACGATGTCCAATATCTGGATCGGGCACCACATCACCAAATTCTCGACTACTTTTTCCACAACGTGCCCTACGCGCTTTTCTTTGTGTTCCCGCACTCGTTCCTGAAGCACACGCTTCGCCACAAACTCGGCCTGTTTTGGTACAACTTCCACGCAGCGGTGTCACTCCACGTCTTCCTCGCGAACTACAGAAAATTGGATGGACCCGTCTTTCAGTTGCTGGAACTTCCGATTTCGAACGGGACACACCTCTGGCTGGTGCTCCCCGTCATTGCAGCGTCGTTTTGGATCTTTCTCATGGACGAAAAAACGCAGTGGATGCTGTTCCCGAAGGTGAGGGAGCATGCTGGGGTTACCGGCTCGATGCTGCAAAGGTGGGGAGTGTCATCGTCCTCAGCCTCAGCACCAAGTGCCCCCTACGATAAAACAAGGCTAGCAACTGGGCAGGCAGGGAGGTTGATCTTCGAGATGAACCTGAATGAAGAAAACTTGGGGTGCAAGGCTTCACACGAAAAGTCGGCAGAGAACTGGCGTCAGGGCGAAGGCGAAGGCGACGGTAGCGCAAACACATGTCATCTTTCGACGGCCAGAGCTGGCGTTTCCGCAAGAACTTCCTGTATTTCTGTCGGGCCACCAGCACGGCAAACCGCGACGACATGTCCCTTTGCGTCACCGTTTTCTTCAGGCGAGAAAGAAACACGCCGTGAAAAGTCTGATGGTGGCAGTGGCACTGCACGAGCAACTAGCACAACAAACAACAAACTCGACATCATTACCGCCATGGCAGAGTCCGTTGTGCGCAGCCGGTTTGGCGTGTTGGGCTTCATTTTGTTTTCTGGTCTGTCCATCATTCCGCGAAAAATGACCGTGGACGACCTCATCCTGCGAATTTGCGCGGCAGTGTACCTGCGAATTTTTTCCAAGGCCTTCCGCGCTTTCAGCCGCAAGATCGCAAACACCCACCTGGTGATTTGGATGTTGCGGGGCACGCTGGTGCTGTTGACGGTTTTCTATTGCGGAGCTAAAGTTAATGCCAATATCGGCGCTCCTGCAGCTGCTTTAACGTCACCGAACCACACTTCTGTTTCATCGGACTTCCACGCGTCTCATTTACATTTCTATGACTTCGCCTTGGGAAAGGTCCAGCATGATGCTGCTGACTGGTCCTTCTCATCTTTATCCACATTCATGCGTATCTATCATGAATTCGACTTTGGTCACGACGTTCGCGTAGTTTCCCTTACAGGGCTTGGCATCGCCACGGGGCTGCTTATGATCCGGCTGGACAAAATACGATAGGTCCTATCCATCGGATACGATGTTGGATGTGATGGACAGAGCAGAAGCTAGAGATTGATATCGAAATTTGACCGGTTTGGGTTTCCATTCTTCACGATATTATGACGCAAGGAACAACGTGTAGGATTTGTGCCCACGATTTCAGGAGAAGTTTGCTTTGCCTATTGATTTTTTTGTGCAGCCTTGTGTAGCAATCGCCCCTTTTTGAAAATGAAATGATGAAAACACGCGACTGTGTGCAGAACAAAGACGAGGAGAACGACAAAACATTTACCGCTCCGGCATAAAGTAAAGGCAAGCTGAAGCTTGCGCAAACATGGAGTATGAGCAGGAAAATCTCGGGAGAGAAACCCTCTCTCTAACCCGTCTTCATCCATAGCCGCGCAGCTCTGCCGCGAGCCAAAAGTTAAAGTAACAACCTGGAGCTGTTCTCGTTATTCATGAACATCATCGAGTCGTCTGATCGTGATCTTCGTCTTCCACGGCTTGAATCTTCCAGCAAGTTGCGTACTTGTACCAAAGGTCACATTCCCTCTCCGGATCTGGTCCCTACTAGCTACGATTAGGAAGATGACTAATGTGCTGGTGTTTAGCATGGGTCTGGTACTTGGCACCTCAACAGTTCGCGCATGGTCAGTTAGTTAGATGTTTTCTGTTGACTAGAAGGCTTATTGCACCAGTAGCACTTGCAATTCCATTCGTTTTCAAAGTATCGTCGACCCCTTTCTCTTCATCGCACACACGCCCTCAGGACCTCATTCTAACCACCTGTATACGATCATGGTTTGTATTTATTGTTCCCCGCTTTCGGTACAGATTTCAAGCCTTCGTGGTCCTTTTTCTCGAGCTACTCACAAAAACTTTTTTCAGTCCGGTAGTTCTAGTTTGTACTTATGATAGTCATGACATTAAGTTTAGCGCATCACATCTCAAGCTCAACGCATCACATCTCAAGCTCAACGCATCACATCTCAAGCTCAACGCATCACATCTCAAGCTCAACGCATCCAAACTACCCACATGATTTTTAACAATGGAAATAATTGCAAGGCTTTCCTCCCTGATTTGATTTTGAAAAAACCGAAACGCGATCGCCAACTACAGCCATGCCCTACGGCACCTGGATCAACGTCGACAATGTCACGCTTCTTGTCGATGGGTTTCTCCACAAGGACCGGCGCAAGTGCAAGCACTACATTTTGTCCCACTTCCATGCGGACCACACGCAGGGTCTGGACGCGGATTTCAACCACGGCTTGATCTACGCGACGCCCTGTACTGCGGAATTGATTGTAAGACTCACGGGCGTACGCGAAAGCTTCTTGCACCAAAGCTGCCGAGAAGCGATACTTGACGTCGACAATATTACTCCATCGAGGGCACATCCCCAGCGGAGATTGGCACTACCGCATAATGAAGATGCTGAGGCCGCGACAAGAATTACAGGCAGCGCAGAGGTAGCGGATGTCGCCTTCAACACAGGGAAAGCGAAAGGCGCGGGCAACAAGAATATTAGGAGTGCAAGAACCCGTCAAGCGTTTCTCGGCCGAGAGATTCACGTCGAGGACGAGGTTTACCTAACTTTCCTGGACGCCAACCACTGCCCCGGTGCCGCGATAGTTTTCGTGTACTCGAGGAAATCAGGCAAATGCGTGCTCCACACGGGCGATTTCCGCGGCGCAAAAGTCGTCCAGGACGATTGCGCGCGGTGGCTGGGCGAGAGGAAAGATTGGATCCCAAAAGTCGAGACGTTGTACCTCGACAACACGTACTGCAAGCCAAGATTCCAGTACCAAACAAAAACTGTTTGTCACAAGCAATCAACATGCGCAGTTCTGCAACGCAAAACTGTCTATCATGTTCATGCGTAAAAATGGTTGCATTACAGTCAAGTTTCATGCGCGATTGTTCGCCTTATTGTGATGTTCGTCTTTTATGCAATTATCCTACAGGAATGCGATACCGATACAACGTAGAAGAATTTGTATTTATGAAAAACCTGCAAGAATAGTAAATTTGGACGAACTTTTTTCGTTTCCATATCCAGTTTCCCGACCTGCAATTAGTCTTCGAAAAGACGCGCGAGTATTGTCGGGAACTGTTTGATACGATATCCAGAGCAGCCAGAGCGGCAAAAGAAGATGAAGCAGAAGGAATGGACGGAAAGACAGGGAGTGTGCTGGTTTTGATCGGAACCTACTCGATCGGCAAAGAAAACTTCGTGCAGGCAGTGCACGACGGGTTTAATAACTCACGTGTACTGGGACAAAATGATATCGGCGGGAGCAAAAGTGCATCAAGCCCTGTTGACCCTGTGAAGATCCAGAGCCCTTATCGCTGGCGGCTCCAGAAAATTGTCCGCAAGCACTACAGGGAGGAATTTGGGACACTTTTCCGGGGACCAACGTCATCGGCTTCTACTTGTCAGAAAACCAAGAAAATCGGTTTGGCGGGTGACGTCGACGAGTTGTGTAATCAACATGGCTCCTCTGTAACTTTCGAGCTTCACACGACCCGTCTTGAAGCCTTGTCGTTCGACAAGCTGGCAAAATTTTACCTGCACAACCCAACGGAAGATTCGAAATTTGGCTGTGATAAGAAAAAGCGCGTGATCAGAGTGGATGCAGACTACTTGTTGGAGTCAAAGACGACCGGCGTTGTGGCCGAAGATCGCGGTCGCAGCAAAGACCCACCACCTGGGGGCGGCCACGATCTTGTCGAAAGAGGATCGAGCGCCGCCTCATCGTCCTCGTCCTGCTCTAGCATTTCTTGTGCGATTGGTGGCCAAGGGAGCAACATGGGCGTCGATCCTACAACTAAAACCATCAGCAGGGTACTTAGTGTGGACGACGATGTGAAAGTAAGCGAAGAAGAAGGGAACGCAGACGGCGACGAAGGCATTGAGCATGAGCAGTTCGAAGGTTTCCCTGAGAAAGCAGTAGGAGCTGGTGCGCTACGTCCCGTGGTCAACACAGTGACAGTCACCGAGGAAAGTCAGGACGAGGGTCACGTACAACAGGAGCAAGACAAGAAAAAGTACGACCGTGTGATCGCGTTTCGACCCACCGGCTGGACGTGGAGCAACAAAGAGCGAAATGTTATCAAGGAGTTCACGAGCAAAGACGGCAGAATCACCATCGCACACTGCGCTTATTCCGAGCATTCGAGTTTTCTAGAATTACAGCAGTTTGTCAACGTGATAAACGCAAACAGCGTTCTCCCCACCGTGCCGGACGACACGTTGGACATGAAGAAGTTCCTGAGCTACTTCACCAGCGAAGCTGACCGTTGTAACGGGAGCAAAGCGAAAGCAGCTGCGACGTCCTCCGGTGCCACTGCGAAGAAGCCAAAAGCGAAAGCGAAGCAGGCGGGCGGAAGAAAGGTGGGCAGTGCGAAAGCAGCTGCGGAGAAGCAGAAGGATGCTGCGGGTGCAAAGATGCTGGAAAGTTTTTTTGTCAATCCTGTCAGCAACCAAAATCATGATGCCCAGATGAAAAGCGGAACCGGTGCCACATCAAGCACAAGTACTGCTGTTGAGAAGATGGAGATGAGGCTTGTGCCTTTCGCTTCGACACAAGCGAAGCCGAAGTTGGAGGCTATGCCGGCTTCGCAGCCTTCCGCGAAAAAACATCAAGGAGGGGACAAAATTATTGCATCCCCAGGTCAGACTTCAACTTCATCGAAGATGAAGAAGCAAAAAACGCCAAAGAAAGCGAGCAGCGTAGCAGCAGCTACTGGGCATAAAGCTCCAGCGCTGGCTGCTGCGGCAAATCTGTCAAGCGCTATCATTGAGTCGGTAAACCGCGAACAGACGAGCGCGGAAAAAGGCGCCGCGAACAGACTCGCAAATGAGCCCGCGGCCCAAAGCGCCGGGCCGCAGCTCGGTCGCAAGCAGCTGAAGATATCCGATTTTTTCAAGACGCAATCCAGCCCGGAGTGCCAGGCCAGAAGACTCCGAGAGCAGAAGGAGCTCGAGCGGCGAGGCGAGGCGCCCTTGCAGTACCTGCCGCCAACTCCCAAAAGCGAGGAACGCGAGCCCGTTGCGAAGCGGCGGAAGATCGAGTACGACGTGAAGAGTAGGAGCTACGTTGAACGGGTGGAGTACGTGGAGGTTGGCCCGACCCGGAAAGTTTTTGCGAGTAAGCCGAAAAATGACAACGCCTTGCCGGAAATGAAACTGACAGAAGTAGAGCGTGACCGGGTGGTCATTGAACTCTCGGACAGCAGCGAATCCGATAAAGATATGATGCAAGAAAAGGATGCGGGCGATGCCGCAAAAATGGAGGCGAAATCCAAAAACAAAGAGCACGTCGCATCCGCTTCGCAGATCCGGCCGCCGCAAGCGCCGGCGGCCCTTTCGCCAAGTCAGCCGCATCAAACGACCCCAGTTTCGCCGGACAGAGATGACGTAATCGATCTCTCTTCCTCCTGTTTGTCGCTCTCGTCCCCGTCGCCAGAAAAGGGCAAAGCGAGCGCCGCGCCCTCACTGAAGATGGCAGTAGCTCCTGTAGCCGCTGCAGCTGCGCCGCCACCAGCAAGAACAGCACCTTGCTCGTCTAAGGACAACAAGACCGCTACAACAGCCGCTGCAGCTGCACTAGGCCATCCTACGGCCACCGCCACTACAGCCACCGCCAGCACGGGCCCAGCTTCCTTTTGGAACTACTATATCCAAACTGGCGGCTGGGGCAGCGGCTCTTCGTCGTCCGCATCCACCACGTCGGCTGCTATGGTTGTATCGAAAACGGACCACTTAGAGTCCAGCAGTTTCTCCGTCACTGGCTACCTAGCCTCAGAGGAAGGTAGAAACCACTTTCCGAACCTCTACTCGCCTGAGCATAATAATTCTTCGTCTACTTCATCCAGTATTAAGGACCGACCCAAGCGGCCCAACATCCCCATGTCCTTTGCGGCTCGCGCACTCACGCTGGCCGAGGAGTCAAAGAACACGGGAAAGGGATCGAACAAGAAGCGCAGCGTGATCCTGACCAACTTCTTCCGCACGATATTGAAGGTGAACCAACAAGACTTGGTGCACGCGGTTTACTTCATTTTGTCCAAAATTTCCCCGGAGTACGAGAACTTGGAAGTTGGTGTCGGGTCGGCGTCGATTCTGAAGACCATTTCCACCGTGCTATCCACCACGCCAGACGCACTGACGCAATTGGTGAAAGATAACAAAGCGGAGGACCTAGGCGAGGCGGCGCTCATCATGCGGATGCGACAACCGAAATTTTTTGCCAGTACAACGACGAAAAATTCTGCTGGAAACACCTTGTCGATAAAGCGTGTGGTGACAGATGTACGGGAGAAAGTGGCGAAAACGTCTGGAAAGAACTCGTTGAAAACCAAACTTGATGTGATGCAGAAGTTGCTCGCATTGGCCAGTCGCGACGAGGTGAAGTACTTGATTCGGTTTTTGGAGAACAACATGCGCATTGGGATCAAGTCCGCAACAGTGTTACAATGCTTGGCGCACGCGTTCGTCTGGGAAAGATTAGTTGATAGAAGAGAACCTGAGCCTTCAGCAGGTTCGAACAGTAAGCAGGAGGAGCTCCGACAAGTAGAACTACAACACCCGCCCATCGATCCCGTTTTCGCGGACGAAGTTCTGACGCTCGTAGAAGTGACGTTTCGCCGCTGTTTCTCCGAGTACCCCAGCTACGACCGGCTAGTAGAAGTCTTTCTCGAAGCGTTGCAGCAGCAAGACGGCACCGAAGATGCGCCCCCACGACACGCTGTCGGAGACGATAAAAACGTGGTCTTATGCAATGCAAAAGCATCGTACTAGTATAAATCGCATGACAAATTCCCTCAGCATGAAAAATGGAATTTGTAATGCGGATTTAGGATAGGAGGGAGATTTGTAATGCATGATTGCGAATACTACGAGTACGATACTTTTGCACAGGATAGGTCTCTTACTTCCACAATATCTGCGAACAGCATTTTGCTTCCCGTTGCACCATCACCCGGGGTATCTATGAACTGCAAAAGTATCGTAGTCGTATAAATGCATTACAAATTTCCTCAGCATGAGAAATAAAATTTGTAATGCGGATTTGCCTTTAAGAAAAAGATTTGTAATGCATGATTGCAATACGAGTGCGATACTTTTGCACAGGATAGTATCCCCGTGAAGCCGATGTTGGCCAACCCAGCCCGGGCCTTACAGGAGCTGACCACCCGGTTTCAACGAAACAAAATCGGCGCCGAGTTTAAATACGATGGGGAGCGGGCACAGATTCACATCTTTAGGAGACGCGCGGGGGCCACGACGAAGCAAAATAAAGCTCCCACAGCTGCTGCTGCGGCACAAATGGCGATATTACGTGTCGAAATCTTTTCCCGTCGTTGCGAGAAGATGACCGAGAGATACCCGGACGTGGTGTATCAAGTGTAAAAATGTCTGGGTCTGGAAGAGTGTGAGACTTGTCATGCAGGTTTTCCATGACCCATGAGGTCTGGCATGTGGGACATAGCATGACAGATTCTGTGCGAGTTCCATCATGCCTATCCTGCATGAGAAACTGCCTGTCGAGTAGGTCAAAAGTGGACAGCTTTTGGCAAGCATGCAACACAGATTTTCGCATGCTTCAGATTTAGCATGACATTTTTACTTTTGATATGGTGCAGACCATCGAAAAAAACCTGCGAGAGGATGTCGAGGAAGCAATTTTTGAGTGTGAGGTCGTACCCGTGGCGGTGGATGTTGCGACGGGGGCAACAGGAACAGCAGCTTTGGCTAGGAGTAGCGAGGAACAACAAGAACCACTACTTGCGAGCGATTTTATCCAAACAGCTGATGCAAAGCGCACTACGGAAACAAATACCGGTGAAGAAGTAGATCATCGAGGTGTAGAACTTGTTCCAAACAGGAGCGCCGCAGCGACGAATGTTAAATTCCCGACAACATTCAAGCTCCTTCCCTTCCAGAAGCTCTCGACTCGGGGGCGAAAAGACGTGCAGCTAAAAGACGTGAAGGTCCCCGTGTGCCTTTTCATGTTCGATCTGCTACTGTTGAACGGCGAGGTGATGGCGAGGAAAGATTTGAGGACAAGGCAGAAGTTCTTGGCGGAAAGGATTTTCCGAAAGACATGCGAAAATAGCGAAAAGAACGGATGCTACACTTACACAGATGAGACTGTCGCTGACGAATTCCTCAGCCAGCCAATTGTGCCGCAGAAAATCCACGTCGTCGCACCAGAAGAGTTTCAGCTCGTGGGAGGAGAACAACACATACACAACCAAAATTCTGAAGGCCTCGTGGCAGAGGACGAGCCTTCTGCGGAAGTGGAAGGCACGACGAAGACGAAGACGTCCATCGTGGTCTCGAACAAAGCAGATTCAACCCCCCCTAGTCGTGCTGAAGGGCAAATGAATGTGACCGCGTTTGCGGAACGGAACGACCAACGACTGAACGAGCTGCTGAACCTTTCGGTTAAAAACGGCTGCGAGGGACTGATGCTGAAGTCTTTTCAATCCACGTACGAATCCTCCAAACGCTCCTACGAGTGGCTGAAACTGAAGAAGGACTACATCGAATCGATATGGCGCTCTCAGATATTGTTGCGTGAATCGCTGTATACATAAATTTCTGCTTGTAACGCAAGACTGGTAAACGCAAAAGCCGGAAGCTTGCGCTTGTTCCAGCATAACATTCATTCATTTCAAGTTCAATGCTTTCGAATTCATTCATCCATCCGAGATTGAGGCTTGTGCTTGTCTTGCGAAGCTGCAAGTAGCCTCATTACGCAGATGAAAGTGAAGCAGGTTGTGCACCATGACAAATCAAGCAAAAGGCTTCATGTGTTATTAGCGATCAGTGCAACGCTTGAGAGCGGCATTATCCACGGGCGACACCTTGGACGTCACGGTGGTGGGTGTGTTTTACGGGAACGGAAGGCGCGCGGGCTGGTTCGGTTCGTTTCTGCTGGCAGTAAGGGCGGGTAGCGGGGATGAGAAACGAGCGAGTATTGCTATTGAGACGGACCGAATATTACGTCACCAAATGGTCGGCGACACTGAAGAAGGCTATGACGACCAGGAAGGGCCCTGTCCTGACGATGATGTGCAAATGAACGGAGATGAAACCTCTGTTCCATCCTGCTCCATCCGCTACCAAACCCTGTCGAAATGCATGTCCGGCTTCACAGACAAGGAGTTGATCCGCATGCGGGAAGTGTTCTCGGCGAAGATTTTACCGGAGAAGCCCGCGTATGTCGACTGCTCCATGAACCCGACCATAGTTCCAGATGAGTGGATCGAACCGTGCGAAGTTTGGGAAGTGAAAGGCGCGGACTTCCAAAAGTCTCCGGCGCACACGGCGGGCGGCCCCTTGCCGGCGGGGCTGGACGCCGGGGGCACTGCGGGAACCACCGGTGTTCGCAATGCAGCTGACGAGAGCGCTAAAAGGACAGATCCAGACGTCGACATGGTTGAGGCAGGCGATCCGAACGATGACGAAATTGATCAAATAGATGACTTCTATTGTGGCATAGGTTTGCGCTTTCCCAGATTTGTGCGCGCGAGGCACGATCTGCAGCTGAAGGATATTGTGACCGGAGGGAAAATTTTGGAGTTATACAAAAGCCAAGCCACGATAGGAGCTTCCTCGTCAGGCATGGCAGGAGGTGCGGTTGCGGGAGACGGGCCGAAAAGAAAAACAAGCGGAAGCGCACTTGCTGATGTTGTTTCGGAAGAAAGAGGAAATGAAGTTGTATTCTCGCGAAAGAAGCTGTCAATGACAGTGGCTGCCTCATCAGCTACCGGTGATGAATTGAAAAATATACAAGACAAACAGAATGGTGACGACGACCACGATCAAGATGACGAAGACTCATCGTGAGCATCATACTTCTACGCCTAACCGATTTACGTCAGAGCTCCTGCAAGTGCAACACATCGCCGCTCGAACGATTCATTACGATTCAGTGTTCTACTATGAACTTCTAAGTATATGCGTAGGCTTGTAATATGTGGTCCTGGTCCTGTTCATCCTTTTCCTTAGCAAATAGTATTGATTAGAACTTCTAGTTTCCTCAGTGCTTGTAGTAGCGTGTCGTCGTACTGAGTGCAAGTCCCGCAACAAAATTCGGGCTGTAACTCCACGAATGGCACGTCCATTCTGCCACACAAGGAAGCAGTGGCGAGTCTTGGTGGGTGATCTTCCGCAGAACTACGTCAACCATGTACGTGTATCTACATGCCCAATCGCCTCGGCGGCGTGGTCTCGTCCGTTCGCTTTTGTTTTCTTTCCTTCTAAACTCGAGCACGGTGGTTGTTATGGCAGCGCAGCTCGGCGCGGCGGCTCTCAAGAAACTTGCTAACCCGCAGGCCGTTGGCGGCCTTCTTGCCGGCTCAACAACATTGTGTGGAATCACCGAACGTCGAAGACAAGGCAATTTTTTCGTGCACCCTCCACATGAAGCAGGTAAATTTAGTGACGCAGGGTTGGTAGCGCAAGCAGAGGCACAGCTACCTACCTCCGATGCGACGGCTTCATCTAGTCATGCCGTCGACGCGCGGATTGTAAAGCTGCAAGTGCAATCGCAGTGCGGAACGCAGTGTAGTCATTTTGACAGTTACGCGCCTTGCCATCCGCTGCAGCTCCGCTACACTGCTGTGAGTTGTTGCGACGACGCGCTGTTGAAGATGCCACCGACAAGCAGGACAAGCAACTGTCGCGATTTTATAATGCCTATGCCCCCCACGCAACGTAACTGTGTTATTAGACGACAAAAGTCAGACGATACCTATCGCCCAAGGCTGCCCGGTTATGAGCAGGAGCCGCTTCGGACCCTTGTTGAACCTATCGGATTTGGTGCCTCAAAAGCTGCGTTTCGACTACACGAAAACGACCTGCAGCACCTCCAGCTCATCCTCGCTCCTGACCAGGCTCTCAGCCGCACTTTTTACTGGCGGTCCTCGCGGAATCAGGATATAATTGACACGGAGATGCAAATTCTGCAACTGATTGCCTCGGTCCGGAAGCAGGAGCGCACTTCTACCACGCCGACGGCGACGCCTACTTCAAGCATGATTTACTTTTCAGGAACAGGGCGGGGTACGAACATACTTTCGAATCTCGAGATAGACGATTTGAGTTCGATTTTCGGAGGATCAACTGGAACCTTGTGGAGCTGCCACGACAAGCGTTGCGACCGCCAGCCGGGACTTCCGCAGCTGGGATCTTCGAACGTGGAAAGCGACACAGATTTTCACACCTCGCCGCCGCCGCATGGCGGCACGAAAGCCCACGACAGGAGTAGCAGGCTGCCGGGAGGTAGTGACCACTGGGTCGCGAAATTTTGCCACGAGACCACGAAAGAAACTCCCATCGAACGAAGCGACGTCATCTGGACCTCGTACCTACACCAAAAACTTGCGATCCTGTTGGCGGAGAAATTTAACAGAGAGGTGTCGGACAATGAAGCTGCTTCACCCTCGTCAGCTCATGATTGTCGACAAGATGTTAAAGACGTACAGACGAGCGACACACCGATTAGACTTGCATATCTGCCGGTGTACTTGGTGCGGTTCGAGCCCTCGAACGAACTCGGGCTGCTCGAGCCTGCTCTTCCAACATTTGTCCAGTACGAGAAGGATATACGCGAACAGAATCCGGACTTTCTCCGCCTCTTTCAAGCCTTCAGCGATTGGTGCCGCAGATTCTACGGCGTGCAGCCTGTGGACGCACAAGGCTTTTTTCTCCATGAGGGCACGCTGTGGCTGACGGACGCGGCGTTTGTAGCGCGTTCGGGATTCTTCAGGAATGGCCGGGGTGGTGGCACTCGTCTTACCACTCGTCTTGCAGATGAGTGACAGCGTTGAACTGCGAATGGTAATCTTTCTTCGGCAATTGAAAGCAGAGGAGTACCTTCTCACTACAGGCAAAAAAGATTAAGATATATGGGCTCAGAGAAATTCATGTCTAGTACCATGTTCGAAAATTTAAATTTCGCAGTTTTCGAATAGCGCCAATGGCAAAACATTGCGCGCCTCCTTTGCTTGTGCAAGTTGCCCAGCCACGGAGCTGCTGCCAGAGTCGAACCGCTACAGTTCTGCAAGAAGTAGCGACGGCAGCGCCCGCGCCGCGCTTTTTATTTCGCACGTTAAGCGCTTCGGCCCTCTGGGTTATGACCTCACTCCTGGCATCCTGCTCTGTTGTGGTCGTCGCCCGGGCACAGGCCTGCCGCCCACGTTGGGGCCTTTGCCCGAAGAAAAAACTGGAGCAGTTGCACTGGTCGCCGGCTTGTGTTTCTCGGTCTTAGGTGTTTCGGCTCAGTTTGGTGGCTCTGCGTGTTTTCGGTTTTCGGCGGTTTTGTCGGCCATCGGGGGCCGCGATTTGGGGGCAGGGCATAGGGGTTCTGGCCGCCGGGAGCGTCTGTAGTTCGCCCCTCTGAGTGGCAGAGCGACACCTCTACAGACGGCAAGCATTCACGATCGGCACTGGCACTATGAAGATTGTGGCTAAGGAGCCAGCTGAGTGGAGTGCGTTGCGAACCACTTTAGGGCATGTTCTGAATAGTGAGGGGCCCGGCTCCGGTTTTCAGGGGGTGCGCTCTGTGGTCCCCTCGCGGTGTGTAGCTGCAAGGCTTTGCCGGAAGGTGGCTGCCCGAGCCCTCCTTCCGGCGCCCTCCAGGCATTCTCTTGTGGGGTGTTTTGAGTCGTCGTCGATGTGGCGCCACGCTAGGGCCAGCTCGGAAAAGGAAGGGCATTATTGGTGGGATTTTGGCCCTAAGTGGAAACGCTTCGGAAAATCCACCTTCTTCGAAAATAAAATCCAAAAAAATGCGAAAAAAATTTTTTTCGCTTTTGTTGGTCCGCCTTTGGGGCCCCAGGTTCTTGGTGAGTGTGCTTCTATTGCCCGGCGTGTTGGTGCCATGGGTGGTGGCCCGAAAACACGGGGGCACGGCTAGGAGGCAATGGCAGCGGGGCGATCTTATGTGGGACGTTCTTGTCTTGGCTCCATCCCATCTCTTGTCGCATGAGGCCCGTCTTCTCTTGGTGATCGGGGATTGATATTCTGGGATTGGCTCCGGTTTCGCCATTTCTCTGTTCGGATTTTTCCGGGATTTCGCCTCCGGAAAATTTCAGGAAAATTTCAAAAGGGCCACGGAAAATTTCGATGGCCGCTCCGGAAAATTTCAATGGACCTCAAAAATGGCTCCGGAAAATTTCAGAAATCTGGCCACACTGTAAAATCGGGAACGATTTTGCGTTTTGGCCGATTTCTGAAATTTTCCTGAAATTTTCCGGGCGATGTTCTTGTTGCCCTCTTGACGTTTTTGAAATTTTCCTGAAATTTTCCTGGAATTTTCCGCGAGCAGATATCTTGCGTCTTGTCTCGCTTTCTCAGGCCTCATGACGTTATTTGTGGCGATATGATCCAGGTCTTTGCAAGATCTCTGATTGGAACATGGGCCCAATTCTTCCCTTCTAGTTGTCCTTCCTCGGGCCCGAGGCCGATCTGCCTTCTCAAGGTCATCTGGGGTGGGATTTGTTTTGGGTCTGATGTGGTCGGAGGTGCCTTGTTTCCAAGATTTCCGCCACCCTCCCGCCGCCCTGCAATGGATCCCATCTCTTTTGGGCCATGTCGCTCCCGGCCGGGGGAAAAAGGAAAATTTGAAAATTTTGAAAAAAAAATTAATTTTCCGGCCCAAAAGCGTAAGGGGGGAAATCCGCCCAAGCATTAGGTCCGCGCCCGGCTTCGCATAGGCCAGGGCGCAAGAGGTTTCGGGCCGTGGACAAGCAAAGCCAACAAAGCTGAGCGCCTTCGCCGTGGTTCGGCAAGCTGGTTGCCCTTCGTGAAGTGAAGCGCCTCAACTCCGGCCATTTTTGTAAAACCCGCCCCCGACTGCGAGGTGGCTCGAGGCGAGACAAATGACACGGCCCCACGTGGATGCCAGCATAGGCAGGCTCCTCCCGCTTCGGCCTCTGGGGCAGGTAGGTCTGCAAGGGTTGAGCGGCCTCAGCTCAGAAGGGGGCGAAGGGCTTTGCCTTCAAAGCTGAAGCGCCTCGGGTCTGGCCATTTAGAAGAAAGCAGCGGGAGGGCCGGGGCCGTTTCCGGGTTGGGACGAGGGGCGCCTGGGTTCCGAAGAATGTGGCGGAGGTTTGGAAGGAGGGGGTCCAGGCTCCGGATGAGGGCGCTTGGGCTGTGGAAGAAGTGGTCTGGGTTCCGCGTGAAGGGGGCCGGGGCCCACAGGAGAAGACCTGGCTCCGGGAGTAGGCGGCTGAACTTGTAGAGGAGGTGGTCCGGGTTGGGAAGGAGAAGGCTCGGGCCCCAGGGGAGGTAGCGGGGGTTGGGGGAGGAGGTAGTTGGGACATCTGCTGGCGCTAGTGCAAATTGTTGGGGATGAATCGTTTTCGTTTTGGATTTGCGTTCGACTCTTCCGGCTACACCTTGCAATGAGTCCAGGCAGGGACTCCTTGCAAGGACTCCTTCGAAGGAGTCTTTTAAATTTACGCACTTGAATTTATTGCCATTGGCAACAAATTCAAGTGCGTAAATTTAAAAGACAGTAAATTCAAGTGCGTAAATTTAATTATGAAGAGAAATAGTTGAGACTCTATTGAAAGAGTCATTGCAGTGAGTCGTTCCAGTGACTCTTTTAAATTTTCACACTTGAATTGTTACCCATCGGGGGTAGCAAAAAAAAGAGTGCTGAAAGCGACTCGTTTTTCGAGACCAATAACAGCCCCAACAAATTTTCACACTTGAATTAATTTCCACCAGGAGGAGTCGCCTTCGTCAGTGGCGAATAGATTTTCAGTTTACAATGGGCATTTTCACCTCTAGGTGAGAGGCGAAAGCGCTGTCGCCTCTCACCTAGAGGTGAAAATCCTCATTGGTAACTGAAAAGCTTTTCAGTTACCAATGGGGATTTTCGCCACTCGGTGAGTGGCGAAAGCGCTTTCGCCACTCACCGAGTGGTGAAAATCCCCATTGGTAGCTGAAAAATGTTTCAGTTACCAATGGGGATTTTCACCAGCCGGGGGCCGGCGAAAGGCATTTACACACTTGAATTTCTCAGGCTCTAAAAGAAAAGCGGCGTTTTTCTTTTAGAGCCTGAGAAATTCATGTGTGTCAAATTCGATTTCTTCAAAAAGTTCAACCTTTGGCCGCCGTGATCCGGAGCTGGCAATCAAGCCAGCCCAGACGGCCGGCGACCAGCCGCCCTTTTGATGGAAGGGGATTGGCTCAACATGTACACACATGAATTTCTCAGGCTCTGAAAGAAAGACGCCGTTTTTCTTTCAGAGCCTGAGAAAATCATGTGTGTCGAATTTGTTGGCTTCGGAACCTCAAAGCCGTGGTGGGCACCTCATGGACTAGGCAATGGAGCCAACCTCGGCGTTCGGGGATCAAGCGGCTCCGGATCGAGGGCCGGCTTGTTCGAAGTCCACAAAAGAGAAGCTCCAGAGTTCTGGAAGAAAAACGGCGCGTATCTTTCAGAGTTCTCGAAGCCCCCTTTTCGGGGCCTTGTTGACTTTGGAAGCTGAATGGGGTTCGCCGGGGCCGGGTTTTGGGCGCGTGTTATAAGATTCGCAGAGGGTTTCGAAGTTTGCGAATTTTAAATTTTCAGAAATGGACTCGCACATGAATTTCCGAGAGCCTATAAGATACCGAATGAATCCAGAAGTATGCATCTTCGAGAATACAACTCAAACACTGTCCTCCTCAAAAATTAAAGTGCCCTGAGGTGTCCTTTCAAGACCCTTTGATGTCTGAGAGCACCGATGAAGCAACATAGATATAATCATATCTATTTCATGACTCGATCCTGCGGTGGCTGATTATCTCACGAGACCACGCGTCGACGGCTTTTTTTTTTTGTTCTGCGCTGAGTGTGATTTCTTGCAATCTCAATGAAGATGGCGAGGATTCGAAGTCCTGAAATTTCGTGTGTAGTCCTGTCGCTATTCGCTTCACCCATCAAAGATAAACTTTCCTATTCACTCAGGCTAGCATGCACAAATCCAAATAAACTTCATGGGACAATCGGTGTTTATACTCGAAGATTTGAAGCAGCTTCTGGAGCTCGCCTGCTCACATCATATTTAGTCCTGCTACTGTGCACAAGTATTTGATAATTTTGAAGGTCGTGACGTGAAACCACATGATCGCTACAATTTTTCGCCTGGTCTGATAGCGCAGCATGTTTCCAGCATAGTTTCCTGTATTCCATTCAGCTCGTGCTTGAGGCACCAGATGTGGATTCGTTGTAATTTTTTCAACCTATTGCTCTCGCTACCCTATCTCAACCACATTGTATTCCCTCACACAGAAGATCATTATGAACACAATTACCGAAGGAACAGGTCTTGCCTCGGCGCTTTGGCGCTCCGCGTTAGAGCAGGCGGTTATGTTGCAGCGCGTTCTTCTATCGGAGCGAGGCTCCTGCACGATGACACCAGTTCCAAGAATCTACCAGAATACCAATATGCGGACCTGCGCGACAGACCATGGACGGGATCAGGAACTAGGACTACCTTGACTACGCGTCGGGATGCTGAAAATAAAAAATCTAGCTCCGCTGCAGGAGCGAGTACCATTTTTGCTGGTGGTCATGGCAAGCAAGAAGCTGGACATTATCACGATCGTCCAGATCGTGCTGTCCGACACACGGAAACAAGCGACGCGGCGAGTGTGTCTCATGGTGCTCAGTCATCCCACATCGCCGTTGCAGTTATTCCCGCCCATGATCCGAACTTATCATCTTCAGCGGCCTCGGCCAGCCGCGGTGAAGATGACGAGCAGGAGGATGGTCAAAACTCTGCCGATTCAAGTTCGGGAGACGATGGCTCGGGTTCCCCATCGTCATCAAGCGCCGAGGACTCAACCAAAGATGGTGGCCAACAACAGGAGGAAGAAGAAGCCACACAAGGAGACTCTGACTCCGAAGAAGAACCTCCGTCCGAACAGCCTGCCGACCCGACCCGGTGCTTCATCTGTTTAGAAAACGACAAGCACTTTCCTCTGCTCCGGCACTGCGCGCGCTGCGACTCCCGCGTGCACAGTCACTGCTGGGCGGGCTACCGTGCGGCCTCCCGGGACTTTCCTCTGCAAGATTCAGGCGATGTCAGCGGTCGCCGGAGTCTGTTGGCCTACCAGAGAAACCCGTCCGTGACGAAGTGCCCGCTGTGCCGCGGCTACTGTCTTGGCCTGTTCCGGGAGAAGCTCGCTCTGCTACTCCCGAAAGATGCGGACTGCTACTCCATGGCCGCGGAGGCGGTGCACGGGAGTAACGCAAAGCGTCCGAACGTTTTCCACGCAATACTACTCGGTAGTGCGGATGCGAACTACGTCTCGCCGCCCGTTGTGAACCGCAATTTTCGCAGCCGGAGGAGCGCGCGGTACAAAAAACTGTATGACAAGCTGTGTGGGAGGGTGTGGAGACGCACGGACTCGAAGATTCCCAACGACACAGTCGAGTATTTGACGACCGTGTTTGGAGGACTACCATCCGAAGATCATTTTCCGCAACGGCCGGCTGCGGCACCAATGCAGCCGACGAATTTGCATTTGGAGCAAAATCTGTGGAAAATCCACAAGGAAAACCAAGAATCGCTGAAGAAGTTCGAGCTGCGCCGAGCAGAAAAGAAAGCAAAACAAGAACGCTCTTCGCCTGGTTGTCCTCGTTGGAGCGGTCGCGGACGGAACGTCTGCTGCAGAAAAGGGGCCGCGACCTGCTGCACAGTGCTGCTTATCCTTTGCAAAAGTAAGTAATCGCACTCGACGTAATTGCGTGACCCACAGATCTAGTGGCTTTTTACCTGAATCTGCATGTAGGAAAGACTGCATTTTTCCTTTTGAAAAGATTTGTCAGGCAACTTCTTGTGCTGGTAGTGTGATACTTTTGCAATGCAAACTGCTAACACCAGTAAAATGCTGTAGGCACACACTGTGCTTCGGCTGCTGTTCGTCCTGCTCCTTCTGCGCTCGCAACTGCGGCGTGTGTATGAATGGCAAATATGTCTGGGTCTGGAGGGATGCATGTTTTGCATGGCCCAGAAGGTCTGGCATGCGAGGTCAGGGCGTAGCATCTCAGGTTTTGCGGCAGCTCCGCGATGCCGATGCCTACTCTACTGCATAAAGAAATTCACTCTCAGCGTGGAAAAAAAATCAGAATGGTACATTACGGCTTTGACTTTGCTACTTACACTTAGTACTTTCTTATGCATGACAAAAGCAGAACTGAGAAAGGAAAGAACGTCACAAGGTGGCACTTTTGCCTTTCGAGGCACAGACACATTTGCGCCTGATATTGTGTTTTTGCGAACAGCGACCCGGGACTTTTCCACTCTCCCGCACGCATCCCCACTCGCGCATCTTCTTTTCCGCCCTGAGCACTCGTCGTGCCATCAGTGACGATTGTCTCGGGCTTTTCACCATCGGATCGGCCTGCGTATGTTCACTGGCGGCTGCGCAAACCCAGCCGGCGACGCAGCAACTTGCGTGCTGTCTCCTTGTCCTCCCTCTTGGTGGCTGTGCGGGTTTTCTGGGGCCACTGACCTGCTGCTACACCATGTTTTACGGAGCGCAGCTCCATCAGGCTTTTCGCGCGGCGAGGATAGAGAAGAGCGTAGCTAGCAACAGTCCACCTGCTCGGCAGGATTTTGCTTCCGTTCCACAAGCAACCGAGTCAAATTCGTGTTGGCCTCTTCATCGTCCACGTGCACGTCGACAACAAGAAAACAGCGATGGCAGTGCCTCCTGTGCTAGCACCCGCGGACCTATGTTTTGTTGCTGTGCTGCTCCTGCTACGGACGATGAAAAAACGCGCGACAGCGAGGAATCAACGCGCCACGACGACAACCCTTCGCATGTGCAGCCGCAGCCGTCCAGTGGTCCAGCAGCTGCTTCCGCACCACTCGTGGTCACAACCGCTGAAGCTCCCCCTCAACAGGTCGTGATGACCATACAGACGGACCATAATCGAAATCTTCGTCGAGCTTCCAGCATAGCCGGCCTAGGAGAAAATGAAAAATTTCCGTCCGTCGCCACACCCACACCGGACGAGGACAGTAGAAGAACGATACTTCTCCAAGATATGCAGCAAAGCCTTTACGATGTCGACCTGGAGGCCGCGGGCTCACGACACTCGCAGAACCCGAATCAACATTTGAATTTTGCAAACACAAAAAATAACGAAGTAGAGAAAAATAAAGCTTTCAAGACTTTTGCGCCGTACACCCCGGCATTCGCGAAAAGTCACAATTTCGACGGTTGCGCCTTTGCGCCGTGCTGCTGCTGTCCATTTCTTGGAGCTGGTTTTTACTCCTGTATGGAAGATGGGTAATTGTATGTACTTCCTGGAGTGATATCTCAGATCGATAGCAATAGAGCAAAAAGTCAATTTTTCCACCTGTCGAATTGTGCTTTAGAGCTTCTTCGCTTGAACTTGATGTACCTAGTTTCCCTTTCCTCGTCTGACTGAAAAACGAATGCAAAGCAATGTGATTGTTGACAACTTCCATCGCGTACGAAGATGAAAAAGAAGCGAAAGTAAGTATACAGCAGATTGCTTCTGCTTCAATAATATGCACTCAGCGTGCCGAGCAATTGATGGCTTGAGAATACAGTGCCTGTGATTGAGAAACCCAAATTGAATAGAGGTACGGGATCGGAAGCGTCTCGTTGAATCAACGAACCAAGGGAGGCTTTGCACGACTCGCTAGGCGAGCGGATGTGGACAAGGGAGAGGCCGCAGATGCCGATAGCTCTCGGATAACCTTTAAAGTTCTGCATTTCAGATAAGTGGCTTGGTGCACAGGAAACACAATGAAAAGATCAAGAAGATTGATGGAGATCGTGGACGATGACCGAAGATCATTTGGTCCTGGAGCAGAAGATCCGCCTTCCTTCTAGCTTTCCACGATCATCATGATGATCATATCCATTCCTTCATCCACTTGGTGTTGGTGATCTGAGACAGTTTTCGCCCCCAGAGGGAAGTAAGAAAAGCAAGATCCTGTTGGTCGTACTATTCCGACGTGAGGATGTCCATCTACTTGTACTTAGTGCAGTGAGGTCTAATATTTTCCCCCGTTGCGGCTTTGGTGAACCTGCTGCACGTGGAGCCGTAGCTCGAGAGCTCAAGATATTCATAGTAATTGTGGGTGTTTCTTTAGCGCTTGCTCATATCATGTGAGTCTATTTCTATCATCATCTTGCAATAAACAGTCCTTGCTATTGCTTGCAATAAATGCTTGTATGGCTCGAACTAGTGCTTAATGTCCCTGTACAAGAAGTGTGACAATATTTCGCGCCAGTGGTCGCCCGTTGCAGCTGTACTTGTCGACGTCGTGTTATCTCGTCTTATACATACTCTTTTTTTTCAACATTTTCCACCCACTTCTATTTGCATCTCGCTTTCGCAGTGAGTTACCAATCATACATACACATAGCGTACCTTAACGTTCATTTGCACAGTTCTTCTACTTAGACTTACCCACGCGCAACCCTTTCGCCGCATGCGCATCCCATCGCTATGGCTATCCTCATCTGCAGCTGCATAAAAAGAACGTTTTGAATAAAACATTTTCGCAGCGGCCCCTTCAGATTAGTTTATTTTTCGAGCGCGATGACCTCGATCTGGCTGCGAAAATTCGCTGTTGGCGCAACCATAGTTGCGACGGGACACACGACCGCCACGCGGCCGTGCCTCTTCGCAGTTGCCGCTGCGATTTTTGAGAAAGATGCCGACTTCTCCTTTCGCCCAAGAACCCCCACGGCCGACGTCGCCACGTCGTCGCAACGCCCTGCCGGAGATCCAGATGAGCACCCCGGCGCGGCATCTACTTCAGTCTCTGCTAGGGCGGCCGAAGATGGAATCGGAGAAGACCACTCCGCTCCTGCTCGCTTGAGTGGCCCAGCACCGAGCAGCGGAGGGTCTTCGAGCGCGGGCGAACTTGGCCCCGCGACTGGTGCGCCCCCGCGCGCCACGTCAGCATCTTCATCGTCGTCCTCGTTCAGCAGCGACAGCAGCTTCGCAGCTGCTGTTGATCCCGCCAGGAGGTCCAGAAGTTCTATCTCCTCTTCTTCAAACAGCTGGACGCAGAAGGGCTCAGTTTGGAAACGCAAAAGCACGAACAGCACGCAGGCCTCGTCGCTGTCACTCCAGGAAGGCGCTGCAGAAGAGGTTGCGGTGGCCGGTGATGAAGATGATGTTGAGCTGGGTGGAAGAGTGGAAGGCGAAGGCGGCACTGCGTCCTCCACCACAAGCACCGACGCGTCGAAGTATTTTGATGAAAATCTTCTTCGTCAGATATTCGGGGACGAAATAGATGCAGGTGATGACAGTTGTCACCAGCAAGCGCGTCTACAACTGCAGCGTCCCCGCAGCCCGGGCAGACGATCCTATGCGATGGATAGCGTCAAAGTTGGCGCCTGCCGCGACGGCGGTCCTGCTGCGGATGAGAAGTGCTTGATTTTGCCCCAAGGTCGTGCTGGTCAGCACTGTGACCGCAAGGACGAAGGATTTGAAATAGAGCGGCGGCCAAAGATGGTTCTGCAAGCGGACCGGCCACACGAGAACGATCGTCCTTCGCACCTGCTAGAACTTGTCGACGGCTGTGCGATTGGAGGCGGTAACACAGTTGTGGTTTCTACTGGAAGTAAAAACGCAGAGGACCACGATGAAACTCGAACAAACCATCGCGCCCCGTTGTTCAAGAAAACAACCGAAGAGCTGCAAGACGAGGAAACACACCCAGAGCTCCAGCAGCACGAGTCTCTCGTGCCCGCCGAAGGCCCGGCACTTTCAACCATGTCGCTGCAGATGATGAACGCCAAAAGCTCCGGGGGCGCACGACCACACAAAGCGCGGCCTGGCGCCACATTGATTCGCATGCTCGGCGGCTCGGTGCCCGATTCGTATAGCGACAGCGAAGTGGCTGGCGAAGAGCATGTTGACGCTGAGGTCGGTGACTCTGAGCAGCAATCTATTTTGCACGGACAGGACGAAGACGAAAACCGGGCGGCCCGTGAGGTGATGACCGGCGGTGTGAGAACCGCCCGGCAGCAGCTGGCCCGCGTCCCGGGATGGAAGAAAGGGGTGGTCCTCTGTCCGCTCGTCTGCGCCGTGGCGTTTGTTTCGCTCGTAGGCACAGTAGTGCCGCCAGTCAGAGGCGATGGAAGTTTGCTTCGCCGCGACAACCGCAGCGTTTACAACAACTGCGCAGGCTGCGAGGCCAGCAACAGTTCTCAGGATCATGTTGACCACAGTCGCTTCGAACGCTACAACTCTTACAGCGCTCGGGAGCAACCTACAGATCATGAGTCTCTGCAACGCATCGCGTCGGAGGGTCCGGGGGGAGTTTTTGTGGATCATGTTGCACGAACAACAAACAGGAACTCCGCGATTCCGTTCGGAGCCCAACAACCTCCAATGTTCTTGGCCACAAACGCACCAACAAGTCTCACGTTCGACGACGCGCCCTTGACCTTTTTACCGATCCCGGCGCCGCACCCCACAGGAGGGGCGCGACCTTCTGCGAGCCGAGCGGACGAGGCACATGGTCGTGGAGATCTTCATGATGAGAGTGCGGTGGGTCCGCGAACTCGCCTTGATCACCGCACTCCCTCCGCCTCGGCCTCTCCTCGTCCTGCCAGTACTACACCAACAACGGTCCTGCCTCGCAATGAAACATCACGACCCCGCAGCACTGCTGGTATCCAGGACCTTTTAGAGAAAGAGGCCGCGGCGGCGGACGTCGCCCGACTGGCAGAGCGGCTGGCAAGAGAACAGCAACAGCACCAACTGGCGCTGGAAACAAAGATGGTCGTATCTGGCGATCACAACCCCCTTGTCATCATGGGCGACGAGAATGGCCACGAAATGCCGCTCTGGGACCTGTCCCTGATGAGGTCCACGTCCGCCGTGCACGCCTTTAACCGCGTCGAGCGCTACCCGCGGGCCTTCGTCGCGAGCTTCTGGAGAGCCGTTTTCCCCGAGAACTTGCTGACCGAATTCCTCTTTGCCGCCCGCGGCGGCGTGCGGAAAATCCCGCGCCGGTACCTGCAGAACATCAAATCTGCAATTCTAAGCGCATTGAAGGAAGTGGCTGCAAAATCTCAGCAGCAAGAAGGTATTGCAACTACTACTACACCATCGGAGACCGAGACGGAGATCACAGCAGCTCAAGATGCTTCATTATCGGGAGTGTCGCCGCCTGTTCAGAACCGCCGTCGTCCTTCTATGCCTCTACTACCGCATCCGCACCATGCCCGCCTTGCGCTCCAGTTGCAGATGAAAAGAGACCGGGATGAAGCACAACAAGCAGAACAGCAACAGACACTCACGCAGGCAAAAAATACCCACAGTGACCAGAATTTGAATATGAATGCGACCGCGCAGCCCCTGCTCCTGCAACCGGACACCAGAATCGACGCTACAGATGAGGCCCGCAACGCAATGCAGCGAACCGCTGAAGAAGAGATGGAAGTTTCGCACATCATGACCTGGAACTTCGCAAATGTTCTCGTACCACTCTGGCGCAACGTCGTGATGCGCGCAAATGTGCCGGCGGTGGTCCCACCTGCGTCTGCAACCGTGGGCGATATGAAAGTGCACAACGACGCCTCCCCCTCGGTTGTCATGACTGCATCATCTTTGCCTCTTGGCAATTTTTGCATGGCAGGTTCTAGCAGAAGCAGCCCCAACAGCGCTACAATCTTGCGGCGAAAACTTGTCTATGCAAAACCTCGTCTTGCTGTCGCTTGTATTGCAATTGCTGTTCATGTCCTACAAAGGGGGGAGAGGCGAGTTATGCATTATCATACGACGGAAACAATTAGAAGAGCCGCACTTTGGCGCCCCTCGTACTTCTAACCCTAACACACCAAGTCCAACGAGGACCTCCGTGTTTTCTGTCAACAGAGGAGAGCTAAGCGGAAAGCTTGAAGTGGCGCTCTCCCTCCTAGTAGACCTGATCTCGCCGCGGTCCGGACCGGAGACTGCGCGCGCGATGATTTTCGCCGCGGCTGAGGGACACGCCAATGAGCAAGAAAAAGGCCAATCGCAGCTGATGAGCCTTTCCGCCGAGGAAACGGGAGGAGACGACGGCTGGTTCCTTTACGAAGATGAGGAAGAGATGAGCCAAGAGCCAGTTCTTGACACCGCCATTGAATCCCATCGCACAAAGGAAAGCGCAGCGCTTTCCTTTGAGTCCGCGATCGCTGGAACGACCAAAGCCGCGGCCGTGTTGGAAAGCGGGCGGGCGCACAGCGACAAGGCTAAAGCAAGACGTGTGCACGAAAAATTTATTGAAAAGTTGGTCAGCACATTTGGCGTCACGGACAGCAGTGTGATGAGCAGCATGGGCGTGTGGCTCCTTACGCGAGGCCGTGCAGTCACTGCCACAGCCACACGACAAGGACCTCCAGCTGAGGTCGATAAAAAATGGCCGTCCTCAACGTCCTCGGGGGGTGATTCTTATTCTAGTCGTTCAGAAGCGCTGCCTTCGCCCAGCCAGAACACGCCACCGCCGAGCTATCCGAGCGTTGTGAACGTATTGCGGAAAATCACACTGGGGCCGCGGCATGACCACGTACTGGATTTTGTTCGTTCTTCCGCTGCGCAAGGGGATCCGAACGGGACCGCGGCAGGGCAGATGACTGCAAAATCTGCAGTGCCTGCCGTTGTGCCCGATGAATCATCTTCGGCGGGCTCTAGTACGACTTCTTCTCTACTCAAACCTGCAGGTGACACTGAGAGTCAGAGTACAACTGCGCGAGAAGATAAAAAAGACACCCCGGACCAGGAAGACCGTCTCTACACTGAGCGAGTTCTTTCTGACTCTAGACCAGCTCAAGAATTTCAAACAGACGAACTGGACCAGGCTGGCGACCAATCCATTTCCGATTTGGTGGCGCAAACGGAGAACCTGAGCCTGCTACCTTCCACTCCTACTACTTCGCCCGGGAGCGGGCCTAGCACAGAACCCGCCAAGCGCACGAATAGAGAAGAAGAAACAGTCCCACTGTCGGTTGTGGAGCCAGAGGACTCGCCTGCACCCTTTTTGTCTCCCGCGGAACCCATCGCGCTGGGGAAAGCTCCGCCGAAATTAGAGTCCGTGTTTCCGCAAGCGATTTCGGAAGTGGAACTTCAGCACCACACGAAAATTTTCATTCAAAAATTGAACAGCTACGCCGAACGGAACAAAGAGCAACGGAGCTTCACCGCGTCACCCTACGACACAAGTACATCGTCGAAACAGCAGACGCATGAAGAACAACGTGAGCGCGGACGGCATGATGAAGAAGTAGGCATCCTACAAAATCCGCCGCGCCCCGTCTTGAAAAAGTCCGGTGATGTTCTTATGGACATAGAGTCCACTGTCACGGGCAGTCGCTGCTTGTTCAACCGACTTTTTTACCAAAGGAGCGAAACTGCCACTCCTCCGCTTTCCTACAGAATCCAGAACCCGAAAGCCCGCGCAGTCGCCGAAGCAGCAGATGTTGCTGTGGGCGTCTACCTATTTAAATGCAAAAGCATCGCACTCGTAGTCGTAGCAGTGGCATCAACTATGGATGGAGACAAGTCTCTTTCCTACAGTCCATTCGGCGGTACAAACTCAGTTTTCAGCTTGACAAAATTTGAAATCATCTGATTTCCACTCCTAAACTGGTAATGCGATACTTTTGCAATGCATACTACCCATTCCGGGTTCCGCCGCTTCACGCGTATTTGGTCAAGGTTGCCGTGGATGTTGGGAAAGATAGCGGGCCGCTATCCTGAGTAAACGTAAAGACGTCCGCACATGCAGGTTTGCATCAGCAGTGACATTTGTAGTGCCCATCTTCATGCGAGGCATCCTTAGTCGTGTTTTGGCAATTGTACTGCTGTAGACCGGATAAGGAGATGAATTTGTTATGCCCGCTGCCCTTCTTGGCCTTGCTAATCCGCACTACAAGAAGAACAGGTACAGATAAGTAGACACTAGCCTCTTGATTTGCGTACTTAGCAAAATAAAATCCCCATTTTGACTTTGGGGGTGGGACGTGTTTTTTACTCAGGATAAGCGCAGGGATTCGTTTTCAAAAAAACCTTCGAACACACCTTCATCGTCGGACGGGCACTGATTCCGGATGAAGCGCAATACCGACACAGTCAAGATGACGTGCATCATGGCCGGCACTTTTCCTCTAATTTTTTCGTGTTTGACGCCACGAATGCGTTTGGGGCGAACGGGTTGCCACCCTCTCTGCGGTTGCTGCGCCGAGATATCCAGTGAAAAAAACCTCAGAATCCGACAACACATGAGCTCTGCGGAAGTGGAGGAACAAGCGAAAGCCAATTAGTTTATTGATCAGCTCCTTGATGACGTTCTTCATCTACTTGGTCACAAGTTTGATTGCCTTTGATGCCACACGTCGTCGCTGACAGCAATGTGAGTGTGACCTACACCTGGTATTTAGATGCATTATGAATTGCCGTTGCGCTCGAGGAGCAGGCGAGGTATGCATGTCTAAAACTAGAAGCGACCGCATCAACGGTCGAGTCGCAGATGCTGAAATTTCGAAGATTCTGAGATTCTTTCCCGCAAGACCCGAGGACGTTGAGTTTCTGTTCTGCGCGCAATGGCTCGAATTTGACGAGAAAGTGGTGCCTCCAGGTGGATCTTTTGCTTCTTCGGCTGATGATCGCGAACGAAAACTAGTAAGTGAGCGGACAAGGAGTCTTCTTGCCTCGCACGACAAGAAAACGCCGGCAGATCCTGCCTCCCCTATCCTTGGCGCCGGCACGACACCGAGAGGACTACAGGCAGTCTTATCACACCCGCTAAATATCGAGCCTGCGAGTGCAGATCTTTTGCATGAAAAGGGTCCGCTGGGTGTTGGAGTTGTTGGTGTGCAAACGCGTGCGGGAAATCCAAAGGCAGGAAATCAGGACGAGGACCATGTTGGATCAGATGTTCAACAGCAGCAAGCGTTGCGGCACACGAGGAAGAAAAAGGATGATCAAATTCACAACACGAACAACAACGAAGCAATACCAGTACCAGTAGCAGAGCTGCCCCGAGCAACTGCCAGTACAGTCGCAGAAAGCATCAGTCGGACAGCGCTTGACAAGCAAAGCTGGAAACAGATGTGGAACGAGCTCATCTTCCGGGATGTTTTGCCTCAAAAAATCATCGCAACGGAAACAAATTCAGGAACTCCGAGAATTGAATACATCTACCAGATCAGTACTGATTAAAGCCACGCTCGGAATCTCTTTGTCTCGTCCCTGCAACATGAATTTGCATACTTATATAAACTGCTACATTCCATGAATATGTTTGCACGCAGGTGCAGCAGCCTGTGAATACAAAAAACGGACAATACCTTACACAGACATCCACCTTTTCGACGAAAAATCTAAAATCAAATGCAAGGCAATTAATGATTAAATCAATTGGAATTTCATTCTAGTCAAAAATCTGAATCCAGATTCCTCTAACAATATCATGATCGATTTTTCTCAGAATTTATCTTCAAGATATGGATGGATGATTTATTTTGTTTTTTCAATCCTGATTATTTTTTTTTTTTCATAAAACAAAAAGTATTCGGTTAGAGCATTTGATGTCGTGTCTGGGTATGGAAAGAAAGAAAATATTCGGTTTCTCTTTGGATTGATTATTCTTGGGTCTCATAACATAATCAATCAGATTGATCAAGAATCCTATGGACAAAATTTCATCTAAATTTTTTGATTATTTATTGGAAAAATGGAAGAGTTCATATGTGTCTGATAGATCGGGAAGACAGAAGAATTTCTGATGAAAATGAAAAAAAAATTAAATTCAAGAATGATAATGATTGAATCTCTAGATCAATATCATATGGATCTAAAAAGAATATGATGAAGAAGAAAGAATCTCTCATATATATATCTAATAACAAGAGAAGAATTATGATTTTAAGATAGAGATTTTGATTTTCGATCTGGAAGATGATCATCCTCTTTCATCCAAAATTCCAAGAATGAAATGATACATTGAAAAGATAAAATAAAATATCGGATGATAATTTTTCATCTATCCAATCATCGAGTGAAAAATTATCCGATTGATCCATATCAATGAATTAATTCTTGAGATTCAACCGGATAGTTAGATTCATATATTGTTGGTTCATTTCTTCCAACATTGAAATATTATATATCCATTCATATCCATCCAACCATTCATGATTCCATCCATCATTTCCATTTTCTTAAGATTTTCGAGAAAATATAAAATATTTTAGATTTTCATTCGATTATTTAATATAATTTCACTTTTTCTAGATGATCCAATCCAAATTCGATTCAATCACAAAGATGACACAGGAGGATAAAGAAAAAAAAACTGGATTCTAGGTGAATCAGAAACAGAATCACCATGAACGAACGAAAATATTCATATTCAAGATTGTGGATCTTTTTCAGGATTTGGATCGTTGTCTTCTCCTTTGATGTTGTCTTTTTTCGACCTGTGAGGTCCGTCGATTTCATGTTTTGGTGTTGTGGAATCATCAAACGGTGGAAAATAATGTGGACGCTTCACGCGACTCTCTTCTTCCTCAAGCTCTAGCGCGTTCCCTTGGGGTGGTTAGGATTCCCCCCGGGCAGGTAGGGCGTGCGGCCCGGCACGGTGGCGCCGGCGCTTGTGCCGCGAGAGAGCGTTCGGTCGCTCAGCCCTTGCGCGATGCGGAACGGGCGCCAGCTGGTCGCTGGGAGGGCGGCAGGGGGTCGTAGTGTCACGGGCTGGAATGCCTGACGTTTCCTGGAGTTCAAGCGGTAAAAAAAAATGAATCAACGCGATTCATTTAGTTTTATTCAGTTGCGCGAGAAGTTGTACTTGTAGCAGGTCAACATTGTCATTGATGTAGTTCATGCATGAGACAAATTGAAAGAAACTGAAACAGTGAAACTAACTTTACTACTAGCCACATATCTGTTGCATCTTCGAAGGACGATCGCTGGACAACCTACTTCCTGTCTAGCTACAATAATCAAGATCACATTCGCAATGACTTCACAATAATCTCGTCGCATTCAAAACTACTAGTGCTTACTACAACTTCAACTTGCAACTACTCATAACGGAGCCGAGACGAAGATCATCTTCATCTGGACGGCTTCGGTTTTTTTCTTCTCTGTAAAGATGATCGGAGAGCAACATTATGAGTAGATTGAGAGTCTCTATCTCATAATATTCCCCGAACACCTCGCTATGTCGTCGTCCACCTCACTACATATCATGTATGATTTGTGTACTGAAGACCTTAATATCAGGCTAGCGATTGTGATTGCCTGGACCAAAAAACAGTCGGAGAAGATGACTCTGCTCCCGACCACACGTCGGACTTCTTTCCTTCATTGTAGCTCTTGAAAGCTCGCTCACTGCGGATAGTAGTGTCGATTGTCCTATTTACTAGTAGTACTACACTAGTACTGCAGCATTCTCTCCAGGAGCAGGGGCCGTAGAAATTGAATCAGTTGATACAACTTATCGGCTTTCGGGTCGAAGTAACCAGGAAACTCGGAGATATCTCTCCCGCCAAAGAAATGCCTTGGGTGGGAAAAGAAGGCCCGGAGATGCGCAAACTTCTGAAAGATAACTTCGTAGGCTTTTTCCGCGAGGCGATACCCATCCTTGTTATCAAAAACGAGGTCGTGCCACAACCCGTGTAAGTCTGTCACACTGGCTCGAGCACCAAAAAGTGGCGCCACCATCAAATCTTCACAATACTCCCTAATGTGGATCTTGGCATCATCTAGTACTGGGTTTCTTCCGTTTAATTGGGCCTCAACTTGTCTCCATTTTTGGTCACGAAGGTCCGGATCCAGCATCTCTAATAGATCGATGTGCCGCGTCACCACGTCGAGGCGTTTCTGCAAGCTCTGACGTAGATGTGGCGGAAGCACCTTGCGCCTGTGTTGCAAAAGCTCTCGCTTGCACTGCGAGGCGACCAAAACGCCCGAGCCCGCAACGACAGCCACTGCGGGAAGTACAGCTGCCGCGCCAACCGCGCCTCCGACCGTGGCGGCCGCAGACGCTGCCGCTACGCTCGTGCCGTCACGTGCTATCAAAGTTTCTTGGCGACCCGCGCGCCGCTGGCGCTCTTGTTCGTTTCTTGGGGCGCCTTCTACTTGTGCTCGTCGTGCTTCGCTACCGGGACCACCAATGGCACCATCAAAAATGGCTTCATCCTGCCCAATACACCAGTTCTGCCACTCGCTGTCTGCCAAAAGTGCGCTGCGCTGGGCCTCTTGCAAAATCTGCCGAAAGCGCGTCCGGTATTGCCGCAGGTTGTACAAGACAGCCTGTATCAGCCCGAACACCCGCATATTAAGCGGCTCGTTTTGATTCAGCGCCTTTTCCAGCGCAACTTTGACCGGCGGCGTGATGAATCGCACATCCACAACATCATCCCAATTCACTCGCCCCACTCGTGCAGCTGGTCCACCAGCACCTCCCTGCTCGTGCGTTGGCGTTACCATCTCAGGCATTTCGGGGTGCCCGGGTTCCGGTTCGTATCTTCTCGACGGTACTAGCTGCTGTTGCGGCGGAGGCTGCGCAAGGCGCACGCGAGGAATGCTTCTATCGGTACCGCTCCGCGAAGTGGTACTTGTTCCTGATGGCAATAATCGTTGCAGCCGGCCAGCAGCCGCGTCATCTTGTCTGCCGTGTGGAACGACCTCGTTATCGACTGCTGGAGTGGCCGCGGGCGGGTGCCCGCCTGCAAAAACATCTTCATCTTGATTAACTTGAACAAAAACAGGAGGGGCGTCTACTTGGACGCCGCGACCGCCGTTTGCGTTTGGGTCAGGAGTTCTTGGGTTTTGAACATCATGATCCCAAACTGCTTGTAGGGCTTGAGGTTCTACTTGTGGTTGTGGTTCTTGAGGTTGACCTACTTCTTCACCTTGTGGTTCTGGAGGAGGTTGACCTTGTTCGGGCGCGTTTGCAGCGCTCCTTCCTCGTCTACTGCTTGAAACCAACGTCGGCATATTTAAGTTCACAGCCTCCACGACGCCCACACTGTTCACGCCGATGAAGGAGTTCTTCGTCGACAACAAAAACAGTGTGGTAGGAGACAACAGGACCAGCACGAGCGTCAGGAGGCTGGGCGCTCTTGATCTTGGCTGCAAGGCCCTACCGAAGCACAATACCCAAGACCCCATGTTGCTTTTTTTCGTCAGGTTTTGGGCGAAAACTGGTGGCGCCATAAAAATCGTCTGTCGCTTTACTAATTGATAAATTGATTTAGTTTTGAGCTGTGTTATCGTTAAACTTCTCTTCAGTGAATGATACCCATACTTCAAAGAAAAATGCACTATCGTCTTGCGTTTGACGAGGTAACTATTTATCCATCGAAACCAAGGCAAACCACGATCAAGTGAGTTATGTTTAGCAGGAGAATGCTCGGAAGGTACAAGTCAGTGCGTGCCTCGCAAAACCTAAGCCAAAACCTTACTTCGTTGAAATCAGCAAAACCGAAACCAAAACTTCAACAACTAGTTGATGGTCACCACAAACACCAAATGAATGCGGACTGCTTACATACTAGAATTCAAGATCAAGTCAGTGCAAACAAAGAAATGCTATTCCAAAAGGCATTCCTACATGGGTAGATGCTATACTATTTCTTTATGGACCCATTTCAATTTTACTTTGTTCCGCTCCACCACGGGACCGACATTCTTCATTTCGAACATGGCAGGCGATACCAAAGAGACTTTGATTTATCACATTCCCCAATTTATTTTCAAGCATGATGTTTGGGCCACGTGGCTCAACGACCGAGACAGAATCACCGATCAGAACCGAGAGGAACAAGATTTTTGTTTTGTGACTGATTGTGGAGGTGCAAACGAATTATTCAAGTCGAAACTCAGTAACCCTTTCGATTCCAGGTCAGAATCTTTCTTCGAGTCAAACATCTATATTTCATTTTGCATCGAATTGTGCCAGTGCGCCGGGTCGCTAGTCGTGGTCTCTTTCTTTTGCTGTGCTGAAAGGTAAGGACTGTGATCTGATTGAGTGACCTTGCATTTCCGACATAAGCGCATGTTCATGTTCAGTCATCGTCTACCTCTACGACCGAATTCTTCACGCTATCGTTGGATCTATGTCCCGTTGTGCGCAATGTGTTTGATCAGATTGCTTCACGAAATCGAATAAACGATTCGGTGATCTTTCTACGATTTTAAGTTCATCGTATTCAACTCACGTGCACCTGGCGCGGTCGTCGGTTTTACTTTGCAGCTTGCACTACTAGTAGAGTAGACTGCTTACCTATCGTACGAAAAAAGTGTTTCACTGTAAGTTTTGCATCACAAGTTCGGCACACATGACAAAGAAAACTTGCCATGCGAGGATGCTAAGGGAAAACATTGCGAAAAATCACTAGTCTTGCATGTGTAGCAACGTAAACACTTCTGCGATGCATTTTCTGCATTACAAGTTTACAGTGAAACAGTTTTTTCTTGCGATATTACCTGGTCGACGCGAAAATTTCCACTTCTGAAAACGCGCACTCCGGTATGACAATGCACAACTCCCCCTCCCCCTCATTTGTCATGGACTATACCAAATCCAGCCCTTTCCCTGAAGCACTGCTTGCATGACAGATTCCGCAAGCTGAAACAGCACTAGAATCGGTCGCGAATTTGTCATGCAAAAGCTGCATTTATGCCATCACTTGTGTTGCTGTTTATGCCCTTCAAATGAGGGGGAGGGGGAGTTGTGCACTCTCATATCCGGCTTCCGCCCGACTTTGTAGTCGCCGCAGATGGGCACTTTTGCTTTCATCAGTTCCTTATCAAGTGTAAAAATCTATGGGTCTGGAAACTTGTGATGCTGGGTGGCGCATTGATGAGGAGGCCACAAGTGCTGGCTCAGCATGACAAGTTTCTGAGCTTCTAGGTGCTGCCTACTCTGCATGACAGACTGCGTTTCTGCATGACGGAAAAGTGGGGCTCTCGGGTAACGTGCATGACAGATTTAAGAGTCATGCCAGACAAGCATGACAAACATGCACTCCTCCAGACCCAGACATTTTTGCATTTGATATTCCTTCGAGTCCAGCCGCAGGTTGACGGTGAGAAACCCGGCGGCTTTTAGCTCCGCGGCCATCTCTCAAAGTGAAAAAAGCCCCCACCCCATATCGAAAACGAAATTTGTGATGCTGTATTTCAGTACACAAATCAAATCTGTGTTACAGTAGAGCACTGCGCGCAGCTCGTAAGCCTAAGCAGGGGCCTTGTGGTGTAGGCGCCTAGAATGATAGACGGCTGCCCTGTATGCCCTACAGCATTACAAATCGCCTACATAACGTGCCGGGCAGCCTGGACTTGCCTTCTTGCAAGACAAACGCGATTTGTGGTGACAAATCTGCATCACAAATTATCAGATAGATGCGCTTTCAATATGGGGAGGGAGGATTTTTCCTTTTGATACCATCTCGTCGTAAATCACTTTTCGTGCGCTTTCCGCGCAATAGGCAAACCGCTTCGCCCGCATCTTCACCTCGCCACGCACGTCAAAATTTTTGCTGTCGCTGTGCCCCAGTTTTGGTCGCTGTATGCGCAGGTAGATCTTCGCCTTCACCACCTTTTGCTTCTCCGCTTCGTCCTCTGCGGGTGGTGGAGCGTATGAAAGTGCACAACTCATTGTTCCCTTCCTCATCAGACTCTTTTTTTGCAACAAGGCACGGTGATCAGCGAAGAGCAGTACCAGCGGCGCGGACATTACGGAGCCTGTTCATGACAAGTTTCATCTCCTGGTGCGCCGACAACTGTACATACTACTCGGGCTTTATTTTTCCTGGTTGGCATGCAAACCGTCACCGTGCCGCCGTGCAGCAACTGGATTATGGCATTTTGCACGACAACTGGGCGGTGGAAGGAGGGAGTTGTGCAATGAATCTCATAGGTCGGGCGGGTACTCGAGACCGACGTTGATGACTGCCATGCGATTATCACATGTAAAAGCGTATCCAAGACATAATTTTTGTCAGGGAAATGGAAATCTGCATGAGCATAATTACGAGGTGTCTGATGCGCAGCCCCATTAGGAGCATTTTCATTTTCTCGTGCTGTACGTAGTCTAGAAATTGGCTTTGGCTCGATCGATCCGCATGGATCGACAGCACAAGCTAACCACATCGATGTTGCAGCCGCGAGAGAGTCCAAACTTACTAGTATGGGTCGCAGCAGCGAAAACTCCTTTAGGAGTTGAGAAGCAGAGTTCCACCGATCTTAATTATGTATGTTGCAATGTAAATTGGGTGGGTATATTTTTACACAGAGGATAACGGTTTGGCGGCAGAGGTAATTCATCCCAGTTGGTCCCAGGAAGCGCGTTTCTTCTTTATAGCGGGGAAGGGAGTGACTAAGTATCGGAACTGCTGTTTGCCGTCGCTCTGGTAAGAAAAACAATTCAGCGCAAGCTTCTTAGACAAAAGAATATTTGTCAGGCGAGCTCGAAAAGCTGCCCTCGTCCTGTCATCGGTTTCCTGAAGGTTAATTGTCTGCACTGGATTGCATTGAGAGCCAGGCATCTCGAGCGACGCAACACCACCCGTTTTAGCAGTGAAGGGAAGCTCAATTGAGGTCCGCCTCGCGCTACCACCCTCACGCTCAGTGTTCAAAAGATGCAGTCCTAAGAGCTGGAGAGCATCCTTAGCCCCCGACAAATGGTAAGAAAAACAAAAACCAAAACCTGCCATGAGAGTGTGCAATAATCCGCTGTTTCTCCGTGCAAGACCCACACCAAAATCAAATACAGCCACTCGATTGCATGCGGTACAGAGTTATTTTCGGTAAGCATAATTTTGCACCACTGCATAGGAAAATCCTCATGATGCTAGTAACTAGCAGCAGTCGCGAAGATCACTCACTTACGCCCCTCCATATTACCATCTTCAGTAAGAAGTCCGCAGCCTCACTGTCATATCCTGTCCAAAAAGAGTATCGCATTCGTAAACTAAAGTACAAAAATACGAATACAGCAAAAGAAAGAAAGAACAGGAAACATCTCCTTTCGTATTCGTAGTCGCACATAATGTCTCTGCCTTGCAAATCTCCTACTTTTTCTCGTAGAAAAACTTTGTCGTGCAGTCCATAAAAGTAGTGCAATAGTCTTGCAATGGATATGGCAAACCGCGGTACATCCTCGTGAAGATCGTGGTCTTGTTGGACCACTTGCGAGGACTTGGAGTCAGAACGAGGCAGGAGACTCGAGTCAACGTTTGGGCCATGTTCCTTCTCATACTCGATCAGTTTGGCCTTCGAAGTTGCAGTAGTACTAGATGTAAGAGGCGCAGGAGTGAAACCGGAATTAAATTTTTTCAAATTGGCGAGAATCTCTTGCGGAGATTGCATAGTACGGGACTTCCTTTTTTTTCACAGGTACAGGCAGAGCAGGCACAATATACCGAAAAGGTAATTTTAGATTTGCCAGTTGCAGCTGATCTCAGTTGTCAGGGTATCGATATCGTAGGGAGCACTGCCACTGTTTACTGTGAGTGAGTCTAGTATCACAACATCACACCGAGAACGCGATCACATCATGCCGCCATAGATGAAGCCCCAAAAGGAATAGAGATAGATGCCTTTAGGCCGAACGCCACGAGGTCACATGATTGTAGTCGTCGAAAGTAAACACAGAAAAGGATAAGGATTTTTTTTTATCTGCTTTAGCTTTTTGAAAGTAAAAAAATGTAAAGATATCCATTCATATGAAGTAATGCGCAGATCTAGCGCATGAATGCAACACCGATGTTGACCGGCGACCGCCTGCCCCGAGGACAATGCAACTTCTCAGCAAAAGATCACGACCGATACTGGAGGCTATCCGAGGTGTTCGATATGAGTAAGTGCTTCTGTTTGTAGATATTCGCCTTCGCGGCCATCAGAACACAAACAAAAACCTGGAAAGAGAATGGGAGTGCGAGTTTCGCGGGCACCTACAGCTAGGTGTAGGTAGGAGCTGCACCTTGTCATGACGTGCTATTCATCATGAACTCACGCACAGATTGTCAATATTATCGACATATTCTATCTGAAGACGCTTCTACACACACCAACATGATGTCTGTCGCTCGCTTTACTTCCAGCTACTTGTGTAACTGAGGTAAAAATTACTGTAATATCTTCAACCGTGAAGATTATTTGATGACAGGAACTGCAGTTGTGCGAATTCAACAGCTTCAGTGCGTACTACGATGAGACTGAGAGAAACCATGGTCTAGTGACCCGTGGTCGTCGTCAGAGCCCTCCATTTGCCAGCAGTTCAGTTCCAGCAAGAACGGCCAAAAAGTTTCCGCTGGAGTTTCTGTCTTGAGTTAGAAAAACGTCCATGGTGAAGACCGTTGGTTCGACCGAAAAGCGAGGTCAAAAACAACAGCATCTTCGTGCTTTCACTACAAATTTGTTTCATCGCTCCATCATCATCTCCAGGCTAGTCAAGCGCGACGTGGACGCCTAGGTGGTTCTCTACAAATCAGGGCGGATAATTGAAGAAATTAATTCATGACAATTTATACTCGTGCTGGACAGGCGGAGCATCTGTATCAATATCTGGCGAGAAACTACTAGCTAAGAAGTGCAGAGAAAAAGAACAAGACGATGAATAAAACACCAGGTAAAAACACGACCTGGTGCACTGATACTCTATAAAATTCTTCGGGAAGAGGTTCCTCGTTTTACTTTCGCTGCGAAGAAAACGACAAAAGAAAGAGATGCGTTCCTCGTTCACGTGGAACGATTTGCATCTCAATTTCTGTACCTGCTGTAGACCTGTCGATGTCCCGAGGCTGTTGTTCCTCTCGCAACGTCGACGAAGCCGAAAGAGAACATTCCTGTTGCTATTGTAACTTCATACGAAAACGAAAAAAAACTTTGATAGTGTGGTACTGGCCACATCATCAAATCAATCGATTTATTCTTTCTTTTTTATTCGTTCTACTTTCCAAGCCTTCTGGCGTTCTGCTCCACCTCCGCATCAGCGTCCTTCTCGTTGTGCACGCCGACCTTGCCCCGTGGCCGCCCTAGCAATGCACTATCCTCGTCATTGCAGTAGCAGTTGTCCACCTCCAGCATTTTTGCATCGTCATGATCTTCTCCCTTGTATTTTTTCTCCCCGCTGACGTCATCTTCGTCAACCACAAGAACGCTGCCCAGACAGGCGAATTTGACCACTTCGAAATAGACCAAGGTCGCGGCGGCGATGAGGAGAAAGGCCAGCTTTTCCATCCAAAACCCGGTTTCTGTGTAGTCAAACTTCAGCTGGTAGACCGCGGCCCAGTCGCCGTCGTACTTCCAAAACATGTACGGAATCTCGAAACTCCACACAGCAATGATCCGCACACACTCCAAAATCGCCCGACCCGAGGACTCCAACTTTTTCCCGACCACCGATCCGACCGAACACACGATCGCGTTGAAGATGAAGTAGGAAAGCATCGCGAGTTGCAGCGATCGCGAGTTGAAGAACTGGATAATGCCGGTGAGAAGGATCTGCTTCTGTTTGGCGAAAAAAAGCAAAACGCCGCTCCCTTCTTCGTGATCTACTACAGCCTGTGGAGGTGCGCCACCTGCTAGAAATTGCGAAGACGATGAACCACTGCCGCCCGCTCCGGGGGCAGCTCCCCCAGGAGGCCTTCGGAACAGAAAACTACCTGAAAATAAACCGTCCCGGTGTTGTTCTCCGCCCGGGGAGTAGCCGTGCGTGGGAACCCCGCCGACGGTAATAACAACACCAGCACCTGGAGCTGCACCAGCAGCAGAGTCGTCGGCACCGGTTTGGTCCGGAGATAGAAGTGGAGGTCTTAGAGGAGATTGGTTATCATGGATAGACCCCAGCAAGTAGAGCATGGGCATGATAAACAGGACGGCAACCATGGTCCCCGTCCAGCCCTCGATCCCAACCACCACCGTCGCGGGCGTCTTCGGCAATTGCTGGAAGAACTGCGCCTGCAGGCAGTGCTGGATCGATCCCAAAAAGTTGCCGGCCAGCGCAATGGTGATGCCCGTTGCCGGGGCGGCGTCCGTCAACTTGAACTCGTCCATGAGCCCGCGGCTGGTGGGGCCGGAGGTGGGTGGCGCGGGCAATGGAAAATAAACCTTACCCACGTACTGCATGGCGATCCCCAGACTGCACCCCAAAATGCCGATATGGATTGCAAAAATGTCTGGGTCTGGAAGAATGCAACTTGTGTTGCTGATTTTGGATTCTAAAAAAAACTGTATTGCATGAGCAGCCAAGAGAGTCCAAGTTTTGCTACACGGAAAGAGCATTTGCCGTGCGGTATAGGCATCAGGAAGCCCTCACAAAATCTGTGATGCTAGGGCATGCATCACAGACATCAGGAGTCATGCAAAACGTGCATGACAAACCTGGCAATCTTTCAGACCCAGACATTTTTACACTTGATAGCCGACAATTTGGAACCACTGCAGCTTCTTGGCGAAGAAAACGCGATTCAGAATGCCATTGAACCTGATTTGAAATTTTCATCTCTCCTAAGGCCGTCGTCGTGTAGGCACAAGAAACTTCTGTCGTCCCCGGAGGCGCATTGTACGACTAGGTGTCTTTAGCTCGTCTAGTGAGTCGTTCGACGTTTTTATCATTCTCATCAACATCGAACAAGAGCAGAAGTCATAGATCAAATTTAAGTAAATCCTATACAACAGTAAACTATGACGTACGCGAGCCGACTGCACCGACAGACCTGGTTCACTGCCGGTGACACTGCCATGAAGGAAGTGAGGGTGAAGGACGCACTCAACACGTCGAAGACCCCGGAAAACATGAACCGCAGCAGTCGCTGGTCGCAGAAGCGGAAACGACTGTCATCTTCGTCATCGCCGACGTGGGCGTCCAACACGTCCGCACTGGAGCTGGTCCGCTCGCGAGACAGCAAGAGCTGTGAAGTGGCTTGATTTGGGTATATTTTTTGTTCCTCTTCCGCTGGGAAATTATTATTGTCTTCCGCTTGATCAACCAAAGTCAAATTTCTTTTGGCGACAAACCGTGCTCCACTGAACTTTATCGACGTCTTATTGTTATTATTCTCTTCATTGCTTGGCGACATATTCTGGGAGTGTGCGCGAACCAACATCTTCTGCAAACGAAAGCCATCGTCCGCGTCTTCGTTTTTCATCGCCGTCGCGCTTTTATCACCGTCGAAAGCAGATCCTTGTCCCTTAATCGAGTCATTATTGGGCGCCTCTTGCCCTTTCCGGTCGAAGAGTCGCATGGCGAAAAAGACGAGCAGACAGAATCCTTCGGCGGCCATGCCAAACGTTACGACGATCATCCAGGCCCCGTAGCGCTCGTCGCGGGTATTCTCTCGATTTCGCACGACCGCCTTGTTCCAAACTGCATCCGCCGAGTATTGGGTGCCACACCCGCAGAAGATAAACAACGCAAGCACCGTCCACATGGCGCAACCCCATTGGGTTTGGTCTTTCTGTTGTTTCGGTTGCCCCCCGCCTTGGGAAGCCGGGACGGCTCTTGGCCCGCTTGAAACAGGGGCTGTTGACGCAGCTGTCATGATGGGAGATCACGGGCAATGGTGGTGGGGCTCCGAAACGTCTCAATCTTATGGTTTTGACGATTAGAGGACAGAAAAGTTCTTGGATGGGAAAAAGATCTTTTCAGTCACGCTTGCGGGACCGGCTGGTGGATCTACTGATTTTAATAACGGTGAGGCTGAGGACGGCCTCGCCTTATTTCTATCGACGTGAATAATCAATTGTAATTGAGACAAGACATCATGAAAAATACAATATGCGTATGCCACCCAAGTGCAAGATGACTGACTAGTCGAAGTCCCTTGCTCCAGAGAGGGCGAAGCAAAAAGAAACTGCTGACACTTCTCAGGCGGAAAGCGAAAACAAAAAAAAATACTGCTCAGAACGAAGTTTCCTTTTCTACCGCTAGTGTCATCTGGCAAAGCACGAAAATCGCTGACGATGGATGATCCAGGCAAAAAAAACTACGACAAAAAGTAAAACTCATATGCATCATGATCATCGAAGATGACAATGAGTATGAGATCCACATACTGGACCATAGAGAAGCATGAATATGATCCAGAACAATTATATGCACAATACAGGCAATAAGAGATCCAGATCATCCGCACGCTGCTATAATGATCCTTTTCTGATAATGAAACTGTATCCGTAATACTAACTCTTGCTTACTTGCGAGATCCTTTACTCGGCAGATCGTTTTACTTCAAGTACATACATGCACAACGACAAAAACCTCTTCGCGGCCTCGTGCCTTGAAAAGGAAAATAGTTTTTGCCAACTTCTCCCTCTGCGGAGTGCATTCGGCTTGGTGCGGGAAAATGACGATGAAGAGGATGACAATAGCACAAGCAAGTAAAAGGTCAACCTGCGTAATTGCTTGTTAAATGGCAATGTCCTCCTTTTACATTACTACATGCGACATTCTGACTATTTGCGCAAACGCACTCCACTGACTTCTTTCACATGCTGGTGCTGCAGACCTTCGAGCAGCGCCACCTTGTTCCCCTCCTACTGTCACTGCGCCACGACTTCCACAAGGCGCTTGTTTGTCAGATTCAGATTCTTTCACGTCATTTGGGCCACATAGGAAAATGAAGAAAATCAAGATGTCACTCCAGCTTGCATTCTAGTTTCTTGGTCTTCATGCGTAGAAAAACGAGACGTTGACAAAATTTGAAGATGTTGCCATGCTTCCGCTTGAATCGAAGCAGAGCCACATGAGCACATATCCATATGATAATTTGGAAAATTGACATCACGGAGCATTTTGGCATTAGTATCGAACTCTAAAACCGCAACCGCAACAAGAAGTTCTTACCTACTAAAGAAAAACCGCTCTAAAAAATGAGCACAAGCGTAGAATGGCTCTGCAGCATAAAGAGTTCCATCGGCGTTCGTGATGAGCACGCGGTGGCAAGAAATGTTTAGTGTTGCCTTAGGTACTTGCGCTCGGATTGTTCTGATGTTTTAAAAAGTTTATTTGAACGTATCAAGTGAATCTGAATACTCAAATGGAAATGCCGAAAATGAGCATCGCAATCGCGGCGCAGCCGAGACGCAGCGGAAAATAGCACAGACATCACCAACGCGAGGCACTTCACGCATCTTCGACCAGAGGCTGCGTCAGCGGATTCGCTCCGGCCGATGATGTTGATCCAGGAACGCGGTTGATGCAAACCGACGAGGAAGGGTTGTCGTGTCTTTGTGCCTCCTCTCGTCCTGCATTTCGTGCTATCGCTGCATTCGCATTTCCGTTTCCCCGCCAAACACCATAGCCTCCGAGCAGTTGCCGGGGCTGCAAAACAACCCGTCCGGCGAGTACTGTCCGGATTCTTCGGGATGTTGTGGGGAATATCAGCATGAGAAACACGATAAAGAACCACCCGGCGATATACGCCTCGTAACCCTTCGCAATCTTGGACAAACTGATCGCTTTCAGAAAATCGGAAGCGTTCCAATTTTCTGCATCGGAGGTTATCCTGTGATGATCCAGGTCGTGCGCAGGTTCGTTGTGTTCGATTTTCGCAATCAGGTCGCTCAGTGCGTTGTTACGGATTTTGGGATCATCACTGACGTCTGTTGTTCTTTCGCCATGCTGTCCTCCAACATCTTGATCTACTTCCTCGTCGCGATCTTTATCTTCCAGCTCTTCATCCAGCAGGCCTAAGTCCTGGTTAGCCTTTTCGTCGCCAACCAACCCCCCATTGACATTGTCACTCATCCTGCCCTATCCTGTGCAAAAGTATCGCACTCGTATTGCAGTCATGCATTGCAAAGCCTTTTCCTTTAGGTAAATCCGCATCACAGATCTCATTTGTTTCTCATGCTGAAAAAATTTGTAATGCATTTATACTTACGAGTACGATACTTTTGCAGTTCATATGCCCCCGCCACCCAGAAACCGGGTCTCCTCCGCGTTTTCCCCCGACGTCCCTACCGGCGGCACGAAGTACGGCCCTTCGCTGATGCCGCCGATCGCGAGGTTGAGTTTCACGAACAAATTGTTGTTCTCAAACGTTTCCCAATAACGCTTGATCAAACGGTTGGACATTTTTCCGTTCCGGGGCATCTGCAGCAGTGCGTTTTCCGTGGTCAGAGTGTCCAGCTCAGACAAATCCTTCATCCACCAGGTCCGCAGACCAACGTCCTTGACAAACTCCGGGTCCGAGCTGTTTCTCACGATGCTTGGAACGAAGTCCGGCGCAGTGGGGTCGGTTTCGATCCCCAGCGTGTGCTCCGCCGCCCGCCAAGCGTCCGTGAACATAGTGGGTTCATCTTCTTGTGACCGGGCAGGGTTTCTTCTATTTGGATCCAATACTGCGTCGTCGTCTTCGTCAGATTTTCGCTTCTTCTTAACTACTTTGTCGTCGTCGTCGTCGGCGTCTACGCGATCGGCTTTTTTCATCTTCAAGTGCGCAGGAGATGACCGTCTTCCATTTCTATTGTTCCTGTACTCCACCACGAAAATCGTCCACCCGTCATCGTCCTTGGGCATGTCCTTCACTTTCAGGTAGACACCGCCGATTTTTGCGTACTCCGGGCTCCAAAAAGTATCGTTGTAGAAGGAAAATTGGTCGATAATCTGGTACTTCGAGTTCAGCTCGCGGATGTCGATCTCGCCGCACGTCGGCCAGGATTTTCCCGCCCGGTATCATGGTGAAAAATTAGGGGGGGTCTACTCTGTGCGAAAGTCATCGAATTTTTAGGGCGGTCAGTCCTACATTTACTTAATTACGATTACCATGCAAAGTATATCCAATACAACTAGCAATGCCAAGGACAACATTGAAGACAGGGCAAGACTTGATGGCACAAGATGACCCGACGATTCACCCAGAATACTTTCGCGAAATCCTGCTCCTTTCCGTTCATGAGCCGTCTCCACTCCTCCCCCATCATCCAGAACGCACTCCAGGCACCGCGTGCAGTGTCGTTACCCCGGATCCGCGCGATCAGGGTACCGGACTCGACGACCTGGTGCTTCATTTGCAGGGACGAAGAGGAGATCCAGGGGGTGGTCGCTTGTGGCTCCTCTGTCTCGGCATCTCCGGTTCCAGGTGCAGCACCACTTTCCCGGTCTCCAGTTGATGCCGCTGGCGCGGCCATCGTCCTCGTGTTGCACTTGAGCGGCATCTTCTGGTTGTCACACGTCAGCATGGCGCACTCCATCGCGGACCCCTGCTCACAGTACGCGCGCATCATCAGTGTGCCGTTTCTCGTGCAAAACGCGTTCCGTTTCTGGTCCGTGTACAGCTGCGCTTCCCAGTTCCCGGGCCTTGGTATCCCGATCTCGTACTCCCACACGTTCGGGTTCGGCTTGCCGTCAACGCAGGAGCTGGGAGAAAACTCCTCACGCCAACCGTTTTCGAAGAGACTACCAGTTTGTTCACCTTCTTCTGCAGGCGCAGTGCCCCCGTCGAGGGCGCTCGAGATGAGGTCCGCAACAGTTTGCGAAACTGAAGACGTGCTGCTAGAAGACGAAGACGGAAGAGATGCGGTGTCGGTGTCGCTGATGGGTGCATCAATGATTTTTCTTGTCTTCAGAAGGTGATGATTGTTGCCGACCTCGGGGAGAGCTTCTGGGTCGAACCTTCTCGCCCGACGCCCTTCTGTGCTCAACTTGGCCGCCTTTTTTCTTCCCTCTCCGCCTGCAGCATCGAGAGCTTTCGCTCCGTCGACGACGCGACTATCGCTTCCAGCATCAGTGACACCATCATCAATGACAAATTTGTTTTTGTAGAAGCGAATGTAGTCGATCTCGAAGAAATGATTCTGGTAAAGTCGTCGCCTGCCCCGGTTGTGTCGCGGTTTGATGCGATATTCTCCTGTGCCAGACGCTGTGGTGTCGGAGGAACGCGGCATCTTTCTTCTTTTTAAGCGCTTTAGCGAACGAAATGTTCAAACCTCGGAGTGCCCCTGTTGGAACATTTCTCTTACAACACAATTCTAATTCACTGCTTGCTTTTGTTCTTCCTTGCTCAACTGTCTTCGCTTACTCAACTCAGGTCAACAAAGCGTTTCCAAGGACACATCACTCGATAAAAGAGCATCACATCGAAATCAACGCAAGCAGACACCGCACACACTTGCTTCTCCAACAAGTCCTGGTCTTCAAGCCGCGCCGAATACCGATACCATGTATGTAACTGTAGGAAAAGAAACACACTCGGGGAGTCGACCACGCCTTGTAGAATCTATATTGCGTCGCGTCGGACAAAAAAAACAGGAAAACGCGACACAGGCAAACTACTTCACCGACAAAACTGGCGATCAACATGAAGCCATTTGTGCGCTTGTCTTGCTCTTAACGATACAGAGGTCGGCGAAACCATGCACTAGTTCCCAGATACTGTTCCACGGGTTTATTTTCGGCGGTGATGTGTCTCTCAACTTCTGACAAAATTGCCACATCCTCGAAATCCTTTCCTTTGCCAAAAGCAATGAATTACAATGAAAATCTAAAGTGTCAATAGCAATGAATTACAATAAAAAAAGGTGTCAATAGCAATGAATTACAATGAAAACGAAAACCGTGTCAATAGCAAAATTCAGCAATATCTAATACGGCGCGTGGTGTGGAAGATTTACGTGGCAAGAAGTTGGTGCTTTTGATCCCGTTACCGAGAAGGTAAACTCGTGCATTTTAGGAATTCGTACATACTAAACTTCAGACATCAATCGTACAGTACAGCTACAGTGTGAAACTAGTTTCCCGACCTCTACACTGAGACAAGCACAAGATGCACATGAGAAAAAAGGTTCCTACGAACCTCACAGTCTACATTCTTCCTTCTGTCCTCAAAGTCAGACGTGTTTTCCTCGTGTCAGTGCCTCACACGCAGGCCGGGTCGCTCGGCTTTTTCGCGGTCGTGTCGCCCTCGGGTATGGAATTTTCAAACGGTAGTACACTCGTCGCTGCTACATGGTTTTGCGACGCAGGCCCAGCAGTAGCGAAAGGACGAAGCTGAAGCAAGCTCAAGCATTGCGTCGAGCTTGCGCGTCTGGCCTCAGAAAAAAATTGTATCGGGTCTCAATTTTGCTTGTCATGCGAAGTCGAGCGATTGTGTGGAGGTTGCAGGTACCGATTTTGCCTGACATCAAAGCAACGAGCGATGTAACGATCGAGAATCCCATACCGGGCCAGGCGTCCTTCGGCACAACCGTCATGTCCGCCGCGGAAATACCCTCGTTGTCGTGGAACGCCTCGCACTCTGACCGGTACAATGTGCCCTCGTAGCAGCGGGGCTGCACCTTCAGCGGGCACGGCGCACCTGAGGTTGAATGTCGGAGAGTGCGCACCAGTAGTGGTAATCTTTGGGATGCATTTATGCGACAGAAGAGGGGCAGATTTTTTTTCGGAATTGAAATTTAAAAACAGTTGTGCTCGCATATCTAATAAATTTCATTGATGATCAGTGTTTATTTGTACCCGGAGAGTAAGTCTTGAAGCTGGTTGGTTCCGCGCCCCAGGAGACGCACTTGCAGCCCTTGTAGTGCTCCTTGGAGGAGTACATCTCGTGGCAGATGTCATGGCACACCTCGTTGTCGCAGCCCTTGCTGTTGTACTTGTCACACAGCGCCTCTGGGTCCTTATCCCCGCGGTTGCAACCCATGATAGTGCTGAAGATCACTTTGGTCGGGAACGGAACCTGCAATTCATTGATTTTTTCAAGCTTGCGATTGCTGCCCTCTTGTTGGAATTACAACTAAAAGTAGTCTTCCTCTTCTTCATGCATTCACTATGATAAAAACGCCTTTTCTGCAAATCCAAACTACATGCAGGAGCGCACAAGCACAATCTAAAGCGCGTATCGTCCTCGTCGTCATCACCATTACAACGCGAGGACTCAACATTCTCATCCACTCGCATTGCAAAGGAATGATATAAAAAATGGCAAGGAAGGCAATACATCTTCGTCCTCGCACACCACCAATTTTGACGCGTCCTGGACGTCATCCGGATCTGTGGCAATACCGTCCGGCGTTTCCGGCTTCAACACTTTGGTGAATTCCTTCTCCGCGGCTGGCTCCGTACTTGACGAAAGCATCAGCGCCGAGCTGACATTTGCCAGCGAGGCGACAAGCACGGGACGCATCTTTTAAAACCGGGATAGTCGCCTATAGAACGAAGGTTGATTTCGGTACGATATAAATTTCGTAAACGAATATACGAAAAGACAATGACAACAGCGACGATTTTAAACTCAGCCAAAAAAGCGAAGAAAAACTGAAAACCGTACCAAAGTACAACTTTCAAACAGAAAGAAACACCGAGAGGATCTGCCAATTGAGATCCTAAACATTCAAAGGGAACCAAGTCGATGCTTGTCCTGTGCAAAGGGTACCTGTTCCAGAATGAACAGCGACCTTGATACAGGACGCGAGGAGGATCCAAACAAGAACAACCAGACCACAGTTTACCATCTAAACGCAGAAAATCGATCTGCAAAAATTGAAAGTTTAGAATTTCTTCCATCATCTTTAGATCCAATAATGCTTCGTAGGCAGTATTCCGTCCACCGCCGTGAGCTCGAGAGGACGAGAGTGACACAACATCGTCTGCTTCACCGGCTGTCGCTACATTGAAATTCGCAGATTTAGATTCGCCGAGCCCAACATTCGGTGTGGCTGATTCTGCGGCGTGCGCATTACACTCGATCCACCCGCGCCGCCCCGAGTTGTCAACCGCATCCGCAAAATCTAAAAGCGAGTCCTTCACGGAGAAATGTAATGGAAAAGATCCCGAGAGCTCCTGTTGTTCAAGTTCGTCCGGTCCGGCAGCAGCACGCTCCTGGCTTTCATCTTCGCCGACGCCTCGTCGCTCTGGCCGCCCCTTCACGACATTCCACTGCCAGTCGTACCGATCTACTGTCAAGGACTCGCCGTCCTCACCGTAGAAAATTTGCACTACCATATTCGACAGGCCCTTTGCTTTCTTCTCCGCGCGAAGTTTGTGCGACGTCCGGAAGCTGTGAGACCAAACGAGAACGATAGAGTCAGAGGCTGTGAGATGTTCTTGACCTGGCTCAAGAACACTGGTCGTGTCATCCGACGCAGTACGTCCACCTCCAGGTGGTAGCACATTCGTCTCCTGGGTGAAATCGGTTCCGGTCTGCTGGCGCTGCCGCCGGTCATCAAATCTTATCCGGTATGTGGCTACGAAGTCTTGTGACGGAGGTGAGTGTTGAGTATGCTGCGCCGGTTCCACCGCGAACGGCCTCACTGCTGATAGCAGCTCCATTTTCAATTTTTTTTCTGGTGCGATCTTGAGGTGCCCTAGGGGATCATTGTCTTTGCTCGAAAAAGCACCAAACCCGTCCTCCACGAGCATTCTGATCGCTGCACAGTAGTGCACACCGACGTCAATCATCAGATTTGAGTGCTTGCGCCACCCTTATGAAAGTGCACAACTCCCCTGTCTCGCATCTGTCATGCTTAAGAAACTGCGCTACCGAGCCCGCGGGGGGGTGTTGAGGTCCGAGGGGTGTACTAGGCACGGGCACGGCTAGGAACGCACTCTGCCTTCGCCTTCCTTTACTCTGGCAAAGTTTGCATGAGATTGAGAACTTCCTGGCATTCCTTCACTACTTCTTGTGTTGCAGCTGTTCATTCCCTGCACGAGCGAACGGGAGGAGGTGTGCAATTTCCTAGCCCCTTCGTCAAAGCGTGGTCTGACGAGACGTAGGAGAACGTCTTGACATCAATCCACTTCGCCGTCGTTCGGATGTTGTTGACGTCGTTTTTCAAAATTTGGTCCACGAGGAAGTTCCGGTACGCGTATTCAAAACGCCAATTCTCGGAGACGAACCAAATTGGCGGAGTCCTGGTGGTAACGCGACGTTCGCCAGCGGCGGAAGCATTGTCGGTAGAGGTCGTAGCACTACTAGAACTGCCTGTGCTAGCCACATCGCATTGCGCTGGTGAAGACCCGTCAGCAGTTGCCTCACTCGTCGCGACGGCGCTGCCGCGGGCACACGACTTCTTCTCCTGCAGCGATTGCGTTTCTTCTTTTTGTATCTGCAAAACGCGACTCAGGGCCGGGTACTGCTTCTGGATCCGTGCTTCGTCGTCAAGGGCCGGCAGCACTGGTTTCTCACTCAGCACGTGGATATTGTGTTCCAGGGCTGCGTTAACGAACTTTGGCATGATCCCGATTGGGAGAATGATGAGGACGGCGTCGATTCGAACCGGAGGAAGTGACTCCTCTACGCCGCCAGAATACTGAGTATCAGGATTTTTGCCATTCGCAAGCAAAAGGAACACGTAGGTACGATTATACCACGACTCCTCGGAGTCTTCGGCCTCAAAGTTCTTGACTCGATCATCTCGATTGCCCGGTTCGTCAACGAAACTCGCGTCACTTCTTCGCCGAACAATCTTCATAATTACACGAGCAGATTTATTTCGTTCACTAGTTTTATCGTCGTTAGCCTTACCTCCGCCGCGCCCTTCCAATTCTGCGTCCTCTCCGCTGGAGTAGCGAGACGCTGGTGTTTCTGACCAACTATAATCTCGGTTATTGAAAGAACTGATATACGAAACTTCTTGTCTCGTCCAATTTGCAACGATTTCGTAACGATCTGGCAGCTCACGCAGCGATGGAAAGTGGGCCTTTCTCGCAAATGCCGAAGTACTGCCTATAACGGCCAGACGGATTTTCGGATTAGAAGTGTTACGCGGTGTTGCTCTTGTTCCGGCTTCCTCCGGTACGCTTGGACTAACCAGTTGCCCGAAAGCCACAAAGCGTAACAAAAGACAAAGAAAACAGGACCGCGAGATCGAAGGCAACATGAGTATGGTGGCGAGGCTCGTGATCATGCGTGAGCTGCGATAAATCCTTGAGTGCTGTGGTACATCTACGCAAGATGAAAATCACTGAGCGGAATGGCTTGCATTGGCAATAATTGTAAATGCTGTGTGCTCTAGATGTAGTTGTACGAAACAGTAAGTCACCAGATACCAGCGAAATAATTTTGATGACTAGGTGTGCTACTTGTTTTGTATTTTTCGTTACTACCACAGGTCGATCGTCGTTCTCCTTGTCATGCTGTTCGTCAGGATCAAACTTAAGGAATAGACAATACTGCTTCGCAGAAAGAAATAGTTTGAGTTTCACGCATGCCATCTATTCTAGGTGATTTTTCACCAAGTAATCGTCATGACTGCAGTACCGATCACTTCAACTTCGGACAGTACTTTTCGTTCTCCCTGTCCTCGCTAGTCAGCAAGAGAAGGGACAAAGAACGACTTTATGTCCCTGGAACAGATGTTGACACAACATGCATGCGGTTCCGGCACGACCTGAAATTAACCAGCGGTACGTATGGTTTGTCTTTTTTCAGACCCGAGGAGCATACGGCAAAATTGGAAAGAGACATGAGAACTTTGTCACCAATCGCAATCCAGGTAGTAACCACAACAGTGGTGTTTTTTCTTGTATTCGCAAGATCATCTAGTAAGTACCTGCTATTGCTGTAGGCAGTTTTTGCAGTAGAGACAGATGGGCCTTGTTGAAGTTTCTCGCAACACCTCGCGGGTATGATACCGCTATAGTAGTTCACTTTCTTGCGAAAACTTTTTCTTAGCTTTCGTGCCGTACACCATGCCAGCCTTGTCATTAGCCTTTGTGCATTACGAGTTATACATTTTCATAGTTAGAGTAAGCTAGTACAGTAACGTAATCATTTATCATAATCATTTACAAGGCAGAGAAAACAGACTTTTGTTTGCGTCGCTGTACACCTTTTGTAGATCATTTTATTTTTGCCTTTTCCGGTGGGTATAGGTTTTTTTTCATATGGCATATACGTTCGAACAGATATCATTAACCACTTGCTTCTCTACAAATAAGTTTTAGTTGTTCTTCATGATGAACATGCTGTCCGACCATGATTCCCATTACTGCTAGTAAGGCACCATGCAGGTGGATTGACGAAATAGACGTTTTCATCTTCGTAAAAAAGCATAGCGCTTCTTAGAGCTCTTCACAAACCAATTTGGTTTGTCAGAAGCGTACTAAAATGCCCGAGTGCTGCAGCCTTCTTGCATGGCTCAATATTTTCGACAGTGATACACGACGGACCACCAAGGAACGCAGTTGGAAACAAGCGCGTAAGCATGATCTATTTCTTCGTCTTCCATGCATCATGCACACAACCATTCGTATTCCATTTTTTCGACTTCACAACAGTGCTGTTTCAAGACTGTTGACGACATTTTATCTTTGCTGGTCGGCCTCACTTGTGTAGCCGTTCTAGTACCTTCGATACTCAGATACGTTTACGGTAATTTTTTTTCGCCCTGGCTCTGGCATCTGGCATGAAAGAACGTATACAAATCTCTTGAAATAAAAGAGGCAAGAATACCTCGTCCTAACTCTGCTTCAAAATAAGGGGTGACTTCATTGTCGCTCGCTGAATTATCTAGTATCTTGTATTAAATGGCCGCTTGCGAATTTTACACTTTGCGTTTTACTATCTACGACAGAGATGGTTGTTTAGTAAGTACAGTTTTCTAATATATGAAGCGACGCACTAAGTAGTACGGCAATCTTACCAAAGGGTAAAACATTACCAAAAGTTTGCAGCTCATCGTCATTCACCGGTAGGTCCGGTGGTCGGGACGGACAACACCACCACTACCGACCAGATGCCGCGAGCGACAGGCTGTAGCTATAGGCAGGAGCAGTACGAGAACGAGTTGGAGTTATTTATGTATACATAAAAGCGCACAGCTGCAGCTTTATTTTCCCACACTGTTCCAGTTCCTTGTGCTTTCGCTACATAATTCTTTGTCCGCACTGTCAATATCGTCTGCTATTCTTTACACGGAACAAGTGAGTGTATTGAGACTTTGTATGTATTGGAACTGGGGGTCTGCGGCTGTCTTCTGGTCCTGCTAGTAGCAGGTAGTGCTTCGCAATAACCAAGAAAGAAGCGACGGAAAGAACAGACCCGACAGGCTGTGACCTCTTTCTACTTGCCCCTTTGACCGTACAACGCGTACGCTCGCAGTACTTGTACAGCAGGCACATAAGCACGAGAGTGTAGTCAGGTTGCGCTGCGACACAGCGCTGGTTCTTTGCACACAAACCAGAAATTCTCCACGGTTATAGTACTATAGTTGGACGGTGTTGAAGTGTGCAGTTAGCTAAAATCACCAACCAGCCCCGGTGTTGTTGTCATGTCAGTCTTCATCTTGCTCCGTTCATGTTTCATGTCGACCAGGCCTTTTCTCGTGCTGTTTCGTGGTCTTGTTCCATCATGCCGAATTTGCGCAGCAGTGCCTCTTCCCACTCGAGCACGATCGACAGCGCGTCTCGCGCCCGGAGGCGGGCATCCGGAAAAGGTGCCAGCAGCCCGAACAGCAGCGTTTCGGCAAACTCCGGAAACTGTAGATCTGGAAAGTTCAGCGTGTCCACCCGGTGCCCCATGTCCTCCCTCAGTGTGTGGCTTAACAGCGGGTTTTTCATTTTCCACAAGCCCAGCGAGGCGGTGGAGCTCGTGGAAGGACAATTCGCCGTAGTGTTTTTTGTTCTACCAACGTGAACGTCACTGTGGCTCCCATCACGCTCGTGCACCAGTGCCTCCTTTTGCAGCACTACGTCTTTCTTCGAGAGGAAAGGCGAATGAAAAATCATGCCGGGTCCGGCGCCAGCAGGTCCCACGGCGGCCACCGTGGTCTCATTTTCAATGTCCTTCCAGACTTTCTTCTCGTGTTGCAGCACGCGCCGGTCCGAAGCGCGCAATGATGTCCCTGTCGGAGGCCAGGCGGCGGCCTTAGTAGAGGAAGCGTTTTTTATTGGCAGAATCAAGTCATCTTCTTCGCGTAGCTGCTGGGGTTTGATCAAGTGGTCAAGGGGTTTGTTCTTGATTCTGCTGATGTTGTGGCCCGGAGTCGGAGAGCAAATGGTGCGGGCCGTGCTACTCGAGCTGGATGAGGTTCTACTTTCGCTCGCCTTTGTGGAGGAAAAACTGTCTTGCTTCTTCATTAAAGAACCACTTTTCGCTAGGCTGTTTGCCAGCGGCATTTCGTCGTGTCGAGAGAGATTCTGGTGGTACAGTTTTTCCATTTTGCAGCCCAGGTACTCGAGGGCCGGCTCGTACCAATCTCTCCACATGTGGACATTATTCTGCCTCTCGACTGGCGTATGCAACACAAAAAGCTTTTTCTTCTGAGCTGTCGAAACAAAGGTAGAAATGGTTTTACTATAGGCCTAGTTCTTGATTTTGATGTGGAATTCTTTATGTACATTCATAGTCAAGCAAACCCATCTCGTTTGGAGGTATGTTGTCTCGAGATGCGCTCGCCACAGACGTGGTCCTCCCGGTCCCGGGGCCGTCTCTTCCCATACAGACATGCCTTGCCAGTTGCCATGAAAAACTAAAAGTAAGTACTGGGTGATCTTCATGCAAAAACGTGGCACACCAATCGACACATCCCAAAAGGAGACGTTAAAATTTCCCATGGAATACTTTCCGCACCCTGCCTTTTCTTGCGGTTGCGCCGCCGCCTGATCTCGGCCTGGGCCTCGATTGAAGTGCAGATGTTGCGCTGACCGCTGGTCGCGGGTTGGAAACAGCTCGTATCGCAAATCCTCGGGGTTGAGGGGAGTTTGGTGTTTTTTTCGGTGTTCATCGACCTGTGTGTAAAGCTGGCCGTGGTGGTGTACTTTGTTCGCCGAGCGTCTTGCAGGCCGTGAAGCCCGGTACTTCTTCAGCGCCTGCAGTAGCGCTTCTTGCCACAACTCGCGCTCGCGCTCGCCCTCGGCCGTGTCGCTCTTCCCCAGCTGTGAAGTGGAACTACAAGGCGGCGTACTTGCTGAGCCCGGTCCGGTAGTCTTTTCCACTTCAGGGGGGAGGGCGATTCCGTAGGGATTGTAGTACTGAAACAGCATCTGATAGAACACCACTCCCACCGCGAACTCGTCCATCCGCTCGTCCGCGTGTTCGCGTCCGTACATGCACTCCGGCGCAAAGTACCCCTGGGTCCCGTGGCAGCCCCGGTAGCGGTCCTCGTTGGTCTTCGGTGTCTGCTTGCTGAGTCCAAAGTCGATCAAGCAAAAATCGATGGTGTCCGGGTCCAGGTACACGTCTTTCGCGTGCGCGTGCGCACCCGACAGAGCGTGCTCGTTGCGGAACATCATGTTCGCGGGCTTCAGGTCGCGGTGCGCGTAGTGCTTTTCGGTGTGCAAGTAGTCGACCGCGGTGAGGATTTTTTTCAAAATTTTCACCACAATCAGCTCCGCGTGCTGCCGCATCTCCTGCGCTTCGGCTTCAGTATCGTGTTCGTGGTTGAGTCCTCTGTGTCTGCTCTTTTTGGGATCGGGCCGTCCCGTGAAATACGAACTCTTCGCTAGCCGTCCCGGATTGTCCTACAGTTAGAGCTTTAACACTCGTTAGCATGAGAAGTGGTGAGTTTGTAGTGAATTTTGCATGACAAATAGCAGAGGAGACTGCCGGGACATTGTCCCTTTTGCTCTTCTGGGAAGTGGGTTCTGCACACCGCAGAAGTTAGTTGTCCAGGCTTATGCGGCGGGCAGCTGGACATGGCCTGGGCGTCATTCTTTGGCCATGTGAGTTTCGTCTTCCTGTGCTTGCAAAAGAGCAAGCACTGCAGCAGCCGCGGCAAACACGCCAAAAACAAGAGCCGCGAAGCACATAAGCGCAGTTTAGGCAAGATGAAGGCGCGGAAGCAAAGGCGAAAGGACCCGGCCGAGAGCTTTGACGCGTCTATCCGGCAGGCGCGTGAACTCTCCAGGCCTTTTCGGCAGAATATAGAGGCGCTTAGGGCAACAGCGGGCGCCTGTCTTTTCCCCTCGGCCCCACTTCCCAGGGTCTACTTGTGCGTTTTTTTGAGCACTTTTCTGCGCTAAACTTTGCTTATCACGGTCGAAAAGTGGCGCTCGGTGAATTTTGGGGTGAATTTTGAAAAGGACGCCGGTGAATTTTGTCCTCCGGCTCCTTTTCAAAATTCGCTAGCGCGTGAGAAACTCCGGGTTTTGGGGCTTCAACAAAGTGTCGCCAAAACAAAAAGTCCCAAAATTCACCAAGGGAATTCTTGACCTGGGGATCACGTCGAATAAGACTTGCTCCGGAGGCAAAAAGACACGTGGGGAGTTGTGAGCAGAGCACAGCAGGCGAAGCAAGCTAGCGTCCGCGGCCGAATCGTGCCTCCCCTTCCACCCGAGGCTGCTCCCAGATATCCAAGTCCAAGCCGAGCCAACCACAACTCGTGAGAGCATACATGTTGAACTAGTGCCCCTGTGTTCAGGCGTCGCCCTCCCTTTCGACCATTTCGGAGAGGAACTTCTGAGGCAGACGCGCAGAAGAATAAGAGCCCCCCGACCCACCTTCTCTGGTCGCTAGATACGCACTACACAGCCCGGCGAGCCCCCGAAAGACCACCTCTTTTGGTGCTGCAAGCGCCACCACGCGACGAGCAGCCCTTCAGGCTATGTGGTATGCTTGGGCTCGTGTCCATACGTAGCGCTCTTCTCTTTTTAAGTAAATGCAAGTCATGCAATACAAATTCACTGCAAATTCACACTTCTGTACGCTAACGACCGTTGAAGACATAGTTTTTGGGATCGGGCCGTCCCGTGAAATACGAACTCTTCGCTAGCTGCTCGTGGAGCGAGGCCCCGAGGCAGCGCTCCACAATGAGGTCCAGATGGCCGCCGGAAGACGAGGAAGTAATGCCGACATCCTGGACCATGTATCCCAACAGCTGCAGAAACAGCTTCGCCGAGTCTCGCCGCTCTTTTTCTCTGCAGAAACAGCTCGCGGCGAGAACGTGGTGAGAGCCCTGAGGACCCTTCTTCTCGCTTCGTTGTTCTGCTTCGCTGATTTGCTTTTCGAGCTTCAATTCTTGCACTCGCTTCCGCCTTTCCAGCTCTGCGTAGAAAAGCTCGCACGCGCTCGTTTTGGCGAGCCGATCTGCCTCCGACTTGTCGAACTCTAGAATAAGCCTATGAAATTGCACAACCCGACCCCTATTCAAATGCTTAATGTAATGCTTAACAGACCGCACAGCTACAGTACAGGAGTAGGGAGGGTCTGCAAAATCAAAATATCGTCAATCAAGTATATTCATAATGATCAGAAGCTGCTACGTACTGCAACAGAGCCGTTGTTTCTGCTGTGGCTCATGCACATTCAGACGGAGTTCATCGTGGACGAGCTGTGCAATGTCATAAAACCGCTGCGCCGACGTGTTGTACATTGTCCCCGTGCCCGAACAGAAACCGGGTTTATTCGGGTCCTTGTGATCAGCGCGCTCCGGCGTACGCAAGGACTCGTCGTCTGTGTCATGATGTTTCAACGCATTTTTCCCCGTTGATGTGCCTGCTTTTGCCATACTAGTTCCCTCGTCGTCGTCGTCATCATCCCCTGCGGGGGGCTGGATTTGCAGGGCCTGCAGAATTTTGAGTTCGCGATTGCACAGTTCCCGGGCTTTGTCATCGATGAACGGCACTCGCTTACAGGCGGAGAGGCAGGGCTCGCGGAGGTCCGAAACGAATTCTTGTGTGGAAGACGAGTTCTCACAACCCGATTCCTCGCCCTCTTCGTCTTCCCCGTACGAGGACCAGCAGAGGGAGGAGCACGCAGCAGAAGTAGTAGCTCTTTGTGGCCGGATGTTGGTAAAGCCGTTCGTGGACGGATCGAAGTATTTGCGCTCGATCTTCTTCCAGAAGGTTGCCGTCTGCGTGCAGCAAAACACGCTTCCCTGGCCGCCCTTACCGCAACAAGTGGACTTACTTCTCCGGTCTACGTCGCCCGGGGGCACATCCCAGTTGCTGGCCCCCTTCCACAGCGTCACTTGCAGTTTGTAGTCTGGCTCAAACACATCACGCTGGTGCTGCGCAGCGGGCCGCGGATAGTGCTGGTGGTCGACGGCCGGATGATGCAGGTATGGTCCTCGTGAGAGACGCTGCTTGTCGTGCTGCCGGTATTCCATTTCGTGCTGAGGAAGATGATCCAGATCCCTCTTGCGCGAATGGTCCGATGAAAAATGGTGCCCCATTACAGTGCCCGGTGCTGGTTTTTGTGGAATACTAATACCTCTCTGCTTGATTCTATTACTCTTGGGAAGTTGCAGCTCCTGCGAGTTATGATGATTTTGCTCTTGATGGCCAAACTGGGGCTGCAGCTGCTCTTGTTCTTCACGACGGCAGAAGTAGTTCGCGTTGGCTGGCGCCTGTGCGGAGCTGAAACAAGGATATTGTGGGTACTGGGACCCGGACCGGTGGTCCCCCCTCCGATAGATCTGTTGTTGCTTCGGAAACGCAGCAGGACCCGTCGCACGCGAAGGTCCTTGTTGCTCCGGAAACGCAGGAGGACCCGCGGCACGCGAAGGTCGTGAACAATCCGGCTCTTTGATAGTAGAACCCGACTGAAAATAATTCTGAGGAAAGAACCCTGTTTGATGTGCTTGTCCAACAGGTCCTCCCGTGTTCGCAACACAATACACGCTCCACGCCTGGTGCAGCATCGCAGGTGTTAGGTGGTAATACGAACACCCCGCCGGCGCCGCGCCAGGCGGGGTACTATAGTTGCAACTTGGTACAAGTCCGTAAGGCCAGGGCTGACGCTGCTGCTGATGCCACGCCGTCGCCATGAAGTCCACATCGTAGGGCGGGCCGTGAATATCAAAATGCGGCTGTTGATCAACGTGTTCATCTTGTTTTCTCCTCATGCTTGTTTTTCCTGCGTAGTTGTCCATTGTACTACTAGTAGTACCAGTCACCTGTTGATGCTGTAGTTCAGGTTCAGATTGTTCTTGTTGGGCGGTGTTGTCAGTGTCAGTTTTCATGCTGCTGCTTTCCCCCGGTTGCAGCTCCTTGTCGCCATCTTCAAGGCTCCTCATTGGGACTTGTTGCTGCGGTGGACGAAAAATCAGGTGTTCGTTGGCTCGTCCAGGTATCAATCTCTCTAGTTCTGTGCTCACGGCAGCTGCATCATCGTGCGCGCGCCGAGGGCAACCGTGTTGCGGAGGTCGATGATCAGCATCCGCTGCGACGCTGTCGAAGTCTAATCTCTTAGCCACAGGACGTTGATCAAAGAAACGACCACGAGGACCATGATTTTCCTCAGAAAAAGTAGCTTTCGTGGAACTCACTTCTGCGCGTTTCCGAGCACCGGTTTGGTGGGACGACCGGCAAGCCAGGGTGTGTGGGTGTTTGATTTTCGCCGCTTCTTGTGAATGAAATGTGTTGTAGGGTCCTGACTTGTATCGCGAATGCGCGCACCAAAAATCGACATTATTTTCGTCCTCGGCGAAAGGAAAATAAGTAGGACTTGCATCGTTTAGTGCCTCTTCATCTTCTGCTTCGCGAAAAGCAAGGGCACAAGTGTGCTCCTCGTCATCCTCCTCGGCGAAGCCCGCTGAAGCTCTTGACCCGACGGCTGCGCCCGCCTGCGCGTGCTGCTCGAAATGCTCCAAGTCGTCATAGACGCAAGGGCTGGGCTGTTGCAACTGCGCAGCTAGGTCCAGAACGGGAATAGATTGGAACTTGAGACCCTCCCGTAGCTCCCTTCTAGAAGAAGCGCCAGGATGTACTAGCAGCGGCTGCGGCAAGTCGTTGATCGACCCGCACGCATAGATTTCAATGCTGGCCTCCATTCTTTCCAAAGGTGGACCGCTACCAGCACAGTTGTACGGAGGTTCTTGTTTAATGTCGTGGATGTTCTTCGTTTGCATTTGCCTCGACGACGACGAGGAGGCAGATGAGGTCTCAAATCTTGGTCGTTCCTTGATCCGTAGAACCTTGACCGACGTCGGTGTGTTGCCAACGCGGGCCGGAATCGTGAACGCGCTGCCTAGGTAGTGTGCGTGCAAATCCCGCGTGAGCGTCACGATCGTTCCAGGCAGCACTGCTGGAGGTGGACATGCTGGTGCGGCTGTCTTCTGCCTCTGCTGCGGCTTCGCTTCAACGTGCTTGGGCTGGCTGGCCTGCTGTCGTCCGTCGTTCTGTTTGGAGGGCATGGGCCCGAACTCGTCGCCATGGCTGAAGCGTCGCGCGGGGATGGAATAAGGATCGCGATGCTGTCGCGTCGATTTTTGTGGTCGTGGTTCTAGAACCTCTACAGGCGAATCTGTTTCATTGGCATGCTCTCGTAGTGGTGTGCGCGTGACGTTTGCACTCGGGTCAAGAAAGGCTGCCATGAAGTCCTGAGACGACCCACCTCCTGCTCTCCTTGTGGGTTTATTTGTCGCAGGATGAAGAGTTAACGGCTCTGCTCCGGCTGTCCTTGTTCGATCTACTTGCTCGTGCCGCACAGGGGGAGGAGCCGCTACCCCCGGCCGAAGATCTCGGTCAAGTTGTGTTCTTGGATCGTAAAAATCGGCTTCATCTGGCCCTCTGGTTCTGGCTGGTGAAGAGGAGAGCTTGATTTTTTGACTGTGTCCTTCACCTTGTTCCTCAGGACGAGCAGGGGGCGCTGCTGTGTAGTCTGAAGCACCAGTAGGAGCTGCAGCTCTGGGAGCAGAGGTGACGGTCTTTTCCGCGCCGAAAAGACGAGCTGAAGCATGTGGAAGATCAAGATCCTCACGCTGCTCGCCCTGGTGCTGGTGCACAAAGGTTGCTACATCTTGCCAAGCCAGTCTGGAGCCCTTCTTTTTATTCGCGCCGCGGCCCTGCAACTGTAGGGCTTGGACGGTCGGAAGAATGTGAAGGGTAGGCAGTGGGACGATCAGGACGTTGTTCATGTCAGCTGCAGTCACCCAGCCGTGAGACAAGGAAAGCCGCATCAGCACGAGACCACAGCACATCAACACACACATTACAGCCAGCAACGTGGTCACATATGAACAATTCGCTTGTGCCAAAATTCTTTTGGTGCGGCTTTGATGCCGGTGCCCGCCTTTGCGAAAAGCTTGCCTCGTGTTGGGCTCGGGTCCTTCTTGTTGCGGCCCTCGCATGTTGTTGGAAAAAGCTGGTGAGGAGAAAGTCAGTCGTCCCTGCTGGAAATCATACTGCCCGCAGGCGGCTCTCCGTTTATCCAGAAGATCTGTAGGTGTACTTCTCCTTGCCGTGATAGTACCACTCCCGGGAGCCGCCTCGGCTTGGAGCGAATAGCTCCGGTCGTGCAAAAACTCAACCTCTTGAGAAGGCCGAGCCTCAAACAAGCGCATCTTCGTGGTAACTCGACGAATCGAGTTGTGCGTCGCGCGCCAAATTGTGCATGACGCCAAGGTGGATGACATCCCGATGTTTCTTGCGTTTGCGTCCTTAACCTTATTCGATTTCGATATTATGCTACATTAGAGAACAACCCAAAAAGAAATATTTACTTCACGATATTTTCGTTTGCGGTTAATAGAACCGTGTGCTTATCTTACATCATCGAAAGGCTACGTATGGCAACCCCCACCAAAAATGATAATGCTTTTGCTCTGCGTCTGCCTGCGGCGAAGAAAGTGATAAAAAAGTTCTTTGCTTGTTCTTCTAAAAATTAGTTTTTTCGATTGATCTCATGGAAACATGCTTTTGAGTGAGTCGGCTTTCGCTTGGCTTTGTGCAAGCTTGGCGGGTTGTTTTCGAATATTAAAGTTCTACAAGAGGAAGAGTCGCTTGGCCGGTACAAGTGAGGTGTAAGCAGTAAGTAACTTGTTTAAAAAAGCCAACAAGTAGTCACACGGAGCGACAAGACATGTGGCGTCTGTGGTCTCCGAAAAGGAAACATCAAAAATCATGCACTTCTAAGCTCATCTTCATCCCAAAAAGGAAAACCTCTATTCTTTATCTACATCTAGTACCGGGAGAAATGGTATTGTTAAATAGTCACCTTGCTGTTGCTCGTCTAGTAGATCATAATTAAATCATGTTGAATAAAAATACGAAGCCTTGCTGTGTGAAAGATCTATCCACTACAGAATATATATCGCCACTGTGGGAGGAGGATGTTTCTTCTATTACATTTTTGTAGCAGATCGCCGTGTCGCTATTGAGATTCCGAGTACCTAAGTGTCTTGGACAGAAGGCCCCATCTGTTGCTGTTGCTTTCGAGAATACATGAGTTTCCATTCGGTCGACGTCAACCTATGCGAATCTGTCCGATCATGATCTGTCTGAAATAGTTGCGCACACAACTGAAGAAGATAGATGCTCTTGTTGATGCTCATGCTTGTAGTTCTATCTAGTATTTCTACTTCAAGTTTGGCAGCTGCTAAGTTCGTAGTGTATTCGCCGCTTGCGCTGGTAGTGCTTCGCTGGAAGTAGATCTTTCTATCGCATAAATCGTAATCGCAATCGTTCGCTTTCTTAGGTACATGCTATGTAGTATCAGATCCTGACACATTCATCACCCACACAAGGCCTCTACTTGGGATTGGGTTTGGGATCGACGCAAAAGAAAATGCATATCTTGAGAACAGCCTGAGCTTGCTTGATGCCTGTGCCAGCATGTGGGCTCTTACGATCTCGAGTACAGCAAAATGGCACTCCTACTTCTTTTTGCTGCAAATTAATCTTCTTTGCAAAAAAATGAAAACCAAAAAGTTCCATGTGAACCATCCGCGCCAGGTAAACCGACGACTGTGATCACGCAGTTAAGTGCACATCAGAATAAACATCATTCAGCAGGGCACAGGGCGCAGCTGCGGTCTACTACTTCATTGATGATATATGGTTTCCACCAGATTTCCAAAAAATGCCGCAGATGGCCAGAGAACCGGGCTGGTTCGATAAAACTTTGTGGTTCTAGGAACGACTGAACAAGTTAGTAGATGTAGATCATGAGCAGTACAAATGCGAAAGCAAACCAACACAGCCAGCATCAAGCACCAGAAGCTCCTCCATCTTTGTGTTCACTTCTGGTATCGGGAGGTTGTTTTCTTCTTGGTCCATCACAGCTCCTCCCGCTGCATGCCAGGGTGTCCCGTCCCCAGTATGAAACGGCACAACTCCGGCGCCCCCTGAGCCTGATTTGGCGAGATGCATGACCAGCAACAGAAGCTGCAACGCCACAAATGCAGCAGCTTCCCCATGACAAATCTGCGCACGAATTGGAATTGTAAATGATACTTGTTTGTGGCGCCGGCGCTCCGAAACTTATTATGCGGACACCAGTGCCCACGGGCTCCAAGTGGAAAATCAAATGGGCTTGATGTTTTGCATGACAAATGAGGGGGACGACTGGGATTTGTGCAGTCTGATACGCAGGACATGCACTTCAAAGTCGAGCTCCGCATCGTCCCCTTGTTCGGCCGACTTCTCTATGCATTGCATAAGTACCGCACTCATAGTCGTAGTCGTACTAATCGCAGTCACGCATTACATCTTTTTCATAGCTAGGTAAGTCTCCGATTACAAATTCTATTTTTCATGCTACGGAAATTTGTCATGCGATTTATCCGTACTAGAAGTACGATACTTTTGCACAGGATATCTTCCGAGGTGTCCTCCTCGTGGCCGCGCTTCTTCTTGTACTGCTTTTTGCTGACATACTCCTGGCCCTCGCGCAAGATTGGGCGCACGGGCTGGCGCGTCGACAGCATCACCTGGGTCGGCAGAGCGCCCTCCGTATCCTGTGCAAAAGTATCGTACTCGTACTAATTGCAATCATGCATGACAAATCTTGTTTCTTAGCGAAATCAGCACTGCAAATTCCATTTTTCCTTCTGGAAAAATTTGCATTGCGATTTATACTAGTACGATACTTTTGCAATCCATACTCCGCCTCCGACGGCCATTTCACGTCGGAGAACCGCAGGAACGGTTCTATATCTTCCTGCTCGGTCGCATCCTCGTCCTCTTCCTCTTCGCTGTGCTCGTCTTTAGTACGACCTTTTTTCGACACCGTGGCATCATCTTCACCTGCGCGACCACCGTTGGATTTCGCTTGTTCCTTCCTACTCTTCTGCAACCGCTTCGCTAGTTTGGCCGCGTTTTTTTCCATGCGTTCCTCAATCTTCTGCGGGATTTCGCAGGCCCGCTCGACGAGGGCGCGGGTCTCCACGTTCTCCTGGTCCAGCTTCTTGGTGTCCGCCAGCAGCCGGGCAAACCAGATGTTGACGTTAATCGTGCGCTGGGCTTCGCCGATGGTTTTCACCACGTGCAGCCACCGTTTCGGGATGAACAGACAGTCCCCCGGCTCGATTCTGGTCCGGTACCGCTTCAGCGGGATGTTTTTCCAGGCTGTGTACTGCTTCTTGGTCATGTTGGAGGCGGAAATGCGGCCCGCGAAGGAGCCGTAGGCCTTTTTGAACTTGGTTTCGCACTCCTCGTGGCTGATGAAGCGGGCGGGGTCGTGTTTTCCCTTCGTGTTCTCGTACTCATGATGCTTCGGGTCGTCGTACCGGTGGCACATCTGCTCCACGTCGAGCCAGCCATAGTCGTGATTGGTGTAAAACGGATGCCCGTCCGGAGAGTCCATGAACTTGGTTTCGGTATGCTGGGGAAAAACACGAATCGTGGAGGAGGTTGTTGTTTTTTACACTTAAGTACATCTTAATCAATTTTTTGCAAATACCATGGTGCTGTTATTTGCTTTTGGTAAAAAAAACCAAACAATTTCGGCGATTCGTTACCGACGGATACTCGAACGCGGGTTCCCAAATCATGAATTCCTTACTCCCGTCGATTGCGCAATTCAAGTTGTCGTCGCCGTCGTTGTGTATGACCGACTCGGTGCCCCCGCTGCTCCACCATAGAATGGCCTCACGCAAGGTTTTCCGCAGGAACACGTTGCACTCGAGGAATTTGGGAAATTTCAGCAGTTTCTGCAACGTCTTCGGGTGGTTGGCCAGTCCGGCGACCGCGTACAGGTTCTGCTTCTTCAAGGCCGCTTTTTCCTTCCGCCGCTCCTTTTTGTTCCGGGTGCTGTCCGCCTTCTCGGCGTACGCCGCCAGTCGCTCGGTGTAGTTCGTGTGGCTGGCGTCGCAGGTATAACGGTGAACAGTTCATTTTCGGGAATTTTATTTAACATAAACATGATTGCATTCTGCATGACAACATTTTGGAAGCAATGTGAGCGGACTGTCCACTGTCATAGTAGAGGTCCAGAAACTTGGAGATTTTCATCCTCTCCATCGGGAGTGCGTTGCGCGTTTCCTTCTTCTCCGTCTCGACCTGGTCAAACCTCTCCTTCCCGGCGACCTTGCGGATGTTTTCATCAGTCCACTCTTCCGGGTTGTGCAGGAAGACGCCACGGTATAACAGTGGGAAACGGCGGACCCCTCCTCGAGGGGCATGTTGCTTAGCAACACAAATGAGCTGACAGACCGAAAAACAAAATGCAACGCTTTCGCTTGCATGACAAGTCCATGCTTGGCCTGTTCTAGCGTAGATGGGGTCTACTTTTTTGTTCGTCCCGAGCTTGCAAAAATGCAAACACGGCCAAACGACCCTGAGCAAGGTGAAGAGGCTTGGCATGCAAACGACACGGCCGAAAAATGAGAGGGACGACCACGAGGGGAGAAAGATCTACTTCGTTCACCTCCGTACACGGTACACCTTCGGCTCTATGGTATCTTTCGCGTGCCGATCCACAATGTCCGTGAAGAAATCCACCGCTGTAAAGCCCGCGTCGTGGCCCTCATGAGCGTCTGAATGACGTTTCCCATCATGTAGGTTTTCGTCAGAATTCTTGTCCTCGTCTTCCTTCTCTTCTTCGCTTGTTCTCTCCTCGTCCTCCTCGCGCACATTGTTGTCTTTGTTATACTATGCATTTTCGCAAAAGTACTATCATACTCGTAATTGTACATTGCTTTGCATGAAAAAAACCGTGAGAGGGAAAAACATAAAATCTGTCATGCAAAACGAGGTACAGGTGGAAATAGAATGCAGATCTGTGTCTGTCATTCAAAAACTGCAATGGGTCGTACGAGTACGATGTTTTAGCACTGGATATGTACGCTTCTTTTTCTTCCTTGTCCCCATTTTCATCATCCCGCTCGTGTTTGGCCACGCTGTGCTCGCTCAGGATGTGAACCTCAGGGACAATGATTGTCGTCTTGTCGTCGAAATCCCGCCACACACTGTACGTTTTCTTGGGCTTCTTCGGCGGTGGCTCGTTGTTGATACCGATTCCGCTCGTTAGCGGACTGAAAAGCTGCTGGTAGAGCAGCGTTGCTGGGAACGATAGAATCGTCCAACGGAAAGTAGAGGTTCTTTTCGTGCTTCGTCTGCAGATTGTGGTTGCGCCCGACGGGGGCGGCGCCGTTGAACCTGGCATTATATCACACGTCTCTACTTCCTGAGACCGTGGCAGATGAGCACGACCTGCTGCATGGGCACGAACAATGTCGGACATCTTGTTCTTCTTGCTCTTGATTTTTATATCGTTTCCAAATTTTGGCTTTTACTACTACTTAGATGAAACTGCCTCTCGAATACTTATAATAAAGGCAAAGCGAGCATGGGCAGCAAAAACATGTACAAAAAACTGTACAAAAAAAAAACTGCTGGAGGCTCCAGGGAACACGAAGGCGTCAAACGAATCGAAATGAAGAGCAACACACACTCCGAGTCCAATGTTGCGCTTGCTGGAGTCAACCAGTCAAAAGCTTGGGAGTAGCACAACTCCAAAATTGATGAAAATCCTCGCCACATCAAGCTTGTAAAAACAGCATCCGTATTTCATCTTGAAGCATCAAAAATAAACGCCCTCGCCCCATTTGCTTCCGCACGAAACCGAAAGCATATTTCTTTGTTCGCAGTCATTCAGTAAAATCTTCATTGGGAGAAGCAGCTAAAGAGCGAAACCATAACCAGATGTAGTTAACTACTGCTGTTGTAAATGCGCCTAAAATCATTTACACCCTACTAAATATGGCTGTATTCTCAGAATTTGCAGGCAAAAACGGACACACAAAGTGCTTAAGCATGCAGAGGTTCACGTGTGAAACGTGGTCTGCGGAAGTTACATCTCCGGTAGCACGTAGCGTAGAAGAGCACGTTGCCGTAGCCATTCACAAGCACGTGAAACAAATCCAGTAGCTCAAGGTCCGCATGGAGGACAAGTCGCTGGAGCGAATTGCAGTCGGAGCATAGTCGAAGGGTGCCACCTTGACGCCTCCACAACTTGGTGGTTACAGGAGGTACGTTATGATCAAAATTAAAGGTGCATCATTTTATTTCATCGAAAACAGATCTGAAAAAAGGTGACAAAAAATCTCGCGAAGTCCCATGCATTTTTTCGGGGATACAACTAAATGACTTTCGCAGAAGGAAATTTTCAAAAACGAGCTGTATCCGCAATACAAGAAAGACATGATAGGTCTTCAAACGAAACAGAGATATTATTTCGAAGAATATCATGTTGTCAAACAATGTTCACAACTTCCGTTAGTTTCTCTTTTTGTAGTAGCTCACCGTTCCCGGTGCATAATTCATCACGGCCGCGCTTTTCCACGTGCGAGAGGCCGAAGATTTTTGCTGCGGTCGCGATTGCGATTCGTCTTCCTCCCAAATGGTGCGGCCATCCGGGGTTCGCGTAATCGTCCACGGGTATGACACCGTTTCGTCACTGGTGGAGGAGCTTGCGCTGTTTAGTAATTTCATCGAAGCCGGGATTTTTGGATATCAAACGTGTTCGATGCTGAGTGGTTAAGCGCATGAAAAATTTATGTGGATTCATTCCTTCTTGATTTATTGGCTCTTCGTCGCGATCCGATGTTGTGCTGCTGGTGCTGTGCGTACATTATTTATACCTCGACGCCAGCCGCGCGGCTCTGCGCTTCGACGAATTGGGACGTGTTCCCGGGGCCACTGCTTCCCAGGCCCGGTTTTCGAGGCTCCTGCTTGACGCGAAGTTGTTGTACGTCGTGCTAGAACCGCTGCTCGTGCTCATCTTTTTGCCGGTCATTTTATTGCTTCCGCTCGACGAAGTGGCCTGTTGCTGCGAGGACCAAGCGCCTCCACCTGCTTGTTGTCTCATCTCGATGCGTTCAGCTGCGTCAGCCGCTGCTGCTGCTGCTGTTCCAGCGGGCACCCAGACGCGCTGTTTCGGAAAGGCGGCTGCACCACGGGTCGCAGGAGTACTGGAGTAGGCCGAAAATGAGCCCGCGATCGGAACTGCACTTTTAGTACTCAGGATAGAAGAACTCGTCCGGTCAACTACATGTTGTTCGGCTGGTCGCGGCACGTTCTTCGGCCGCCACTTGGTCCTCGGAGGCGTTGCCAGTGTCGTGTGAACCTCAGCTTGGTCCGACTTCACTTCCAAGGGACGGCTCGCATTTGCATCGTCACCAGCAGCTGCGGCTGCTTTGCCAGTTGCCTTCACGGCGTCGTGATGATCTTCTTCTTGCTGCTGTAGGTCCTTCCCGGCCTTTTGGTCCTGCTCTTTCAGTAGCTTAATTTGCTTGTAATACTCCTCCTTCTGCTTCATATGCATTTCGAAACAAAGTATCGCACACGCACGTGCACTAGGACTAGGAGTTAGTAGTAGAAAGATTAACATATTGCATTACAAAGAATTCCAGCAGCACGAGGAAACGTGCTATTTGTAGTCCTGATTCAGGTAAATTAAGAATTTTCTCACGTACAGTTGTAATTAGTACAACGAGTGCGATACTATGTTCGCGGTTGATACTTCAACAGCTTCTGCAACCGCGACGGGGGCCCACGAAGATGGATCACTGCCTCTTTCGGTGCGTGCTTCATATCACGACCCGAGGACTTGTAGTTTTCGTCGGCCTGACCCGCAGTGCTTTGATGCTGCGACCCCCGCCCAACGCTTGCTGCAGCCGCTTTGATAGGTGGAGAAAGAGAATCCAGCTGTGCCGGATTACTGCTATTTCCTTTTGTTCGCTGTACTTCTCCTTCCCGCTCGACGTCCCCGTCGGAAAATTTGTCCCAGTTAAAATCCTTGACTTCCACATCACCAGCATTTTTGGAACTATGATCGTAGATATCCTCCATGGCCATGGAAGCGATCTCCTCCTCCCGTTTCCGGGGCTGCGGTCCTGCTGACGCGTCTTTGTCGTCCATTGCTGCGGTACTAATCGTACGTGGCCCACCCACCTCCGCTGTCGGGTGATGAAACACACCCGGCGGGGGGGCCTTCGTGTCGCCGGAGTTTTTGATGCTGGACGAAGTCAAAACGAGGCTCGGAGAGCTGCCCCCACCAGCACCGCTGTCGCCCACGACCTTTTTCGCCTTCTGCATCTGATTTGGGATGTAGTACCCAAACTTGGCGCTTTTCGCGTGCTCCTCGGCCTGCTGGGCCGCCTGCAAGTGCCGTCGTGCCTGCTCCGCGTCGGCGATCGCACCCGGCGGAAAATAGTAAAACATGTTGCTGTGCATGTTGTAGCCCGCAGAACCGCCAGCATCTATTTCATCCCATTGTGGGTGGAACCACTCTGCATTGTTTGTCGCGCCGTAACTTCTCCCCGCCCGGCGGACTTCTTCACTCTCTTGTTCCGGACTTCCAGGACTTGGCGTGGGCGCGTCACAATCGGGAACTTCACACGCCGCCTCGCAGTCGGGCGCCTCCACGTGTGGAACCGGGTTTGGACAGGGACACGGTGGTGGCGGGCAGTACGCCTGCGGCGCATAAGATGATGAGCTAGCTCCTTTCGAAGACCTAGAAGTTGGCGTCGCGGTGTAGGTGGAACCACCCCGTGTGCTGGCCCCTGATGTTTCATCTGCTGCAGAGGAGGTCTGGTGTTTATTCGCACCGTTTTTCCAGGACCGTTTCTTCCTCGTTCGGTCAACGTTCAACACGAAATCGCTTGGACTGTACAAGGTGCTGCCCGGCGAGTTGTAGTTGTGTGCGCTGTGCAGTTGCTGGTGTTCTTGGTAGAAACTGGCTGGGGTGAAAGAACCATACGTCGGGTCCATCGCATGCGGCGGGTAGAGCACGGCAGAGGGAAACGCTGAAAAAACCTGGTTACGCTTCTTCAGGAAATGCAGGTTTCTGTAATAGTTGGTCTTGTAGCTGTCCCACCAGTAGTTGTCACGCGGCGGGGGCTTGTAGTTGTTGGAAGTACCTTTGTTGCTTCTTGCGCTGGCTGATGCCGCGGCCTGCTGTGCAACACCAGACAACCTGTTTGTTATTCATAAAATATTCAAAAGCAAAACTCAGTCGGGTGCTCGATTCTTAAGGCCAGCGGCGAGTCGTCAATGGTCAGAATTTTGGTACACGCCGTCTGTCTTCGAACTAAGGGTCATCGTCATCTACTAGATCTACTACAACATATACATCTGAATCTAAAAGTTGTGTAATATTAAACAGTACCGGTCCTGTGCGGCATCTAATTTCGCAGCGCCAGCCGGTGCCTGACTGGAAGGCGCGGAGGACGAAGATGATACTGGACTGAAGGGCGTAGCGGAACTTTTCAATGGTGTGCGTTTCCAGTCGCCACGCTGGTGTCCTTTGCTCTCGCTGCCACTCTTTCCGCTTGCGGACGACCTCGATAGAGGACCTTCGGGCGACGAAGGCGACGAGGATGTCTGTTCTTGTTCTGCATTTTGTTTTTCGTCGTTGTTCCCATAGTAGCTCCTCTGTTCATCTTCACTGCAGAAGTCCCTTGGCGGATAGGACCTCGCTCCGTGCTCTCCTTCTGACGCTGAGATTGACGCCGCAGCTTCGTGCAGTTCCATCGCAAACATGTCCAGAGCGGTGTTGGGTGCCATTTGCGACAACAGATTCCACGTTCGCTCCTCTGTCGAGTCGGCCGGTTCAAACTCGGCATGTGCGGCTGCACCAGGCTTTACTACTTGCTGGCGCACTTCTTCTTGCGCCAGCTTCGAATCTTCATAAGGACCATCTCCTTGACCACCGACGGCCGGACGAGAAGGGCCCACGACATCTCGTCCCGACGTCACCCCGGCAGCATTGAAAGTGTAGAAGTTTCCCGCCTTTCGCTGTTTCTCGCTCTCCACCTGCAGAATGTCTTTGAACGGGAGCTGGAACAGGTTTGCCAGCAAACCCGACCTTTCCAGTACCTCCTGGTCTTCGACGGTGGGAGTAGCCCTGGAAGCTGTGCTGCTTCCAGAAGGAGCGGAAGCGGAAGGAGAGCTGAGTGATGGCACAACTATTTCGCTGTCGGCCCCAAGAACCTGCTGTGCGACGGTTTTTTTCCGCTGCCTCGCCTCCACCAGATCGTCCTCCCACAACATTTCTTCCGCATCGTCTGCGTCGTAAAGGGCTAGCAGATCTTTCCTTTTTCCGGCGGAGTTCTTCTTGTTTTTATTCGTGTAGTTCTCGCCAATGTCCGAGTAGTTGTCCGTCGCTTCCTCGCTTGAAGACGACGACGTCGAAGAAACCTTCGACAACAAGTCTTCATCGTCCCAAGATTCGTCGCTGGGACTGGTTTTCTTCTTTCGCATATTGTCCATTTTACCAGGGAGGTTCTTGCCCTCCTGCAGTACAACAAGCTCGCTTTTGTGAAGTAGATTTCCTTGTCGTCGTGGCGCGTGGTAATACGGCGCAGAGAACGACGCTGGTGTTCGTTCAGTTTCGGTTTTTCCGTCCCGGACGGAAACTTGTTTCAGTTCTCGCAGCATATCCTCAAAGTCGTCCTGCTCTGCGTCATTCTCATTGCTGCGCGGACCGCTCTTACGCGGAACTACTACCTTGTTAATGCTATCGTTCCTCCGGCTGTTGTAACGGCTCCCACTGCCACTGCTGGTGCTTCCGGTTCTCGCTGCAGGAGTGAGAATCTCCATGAAGTCCAGGCTGTCGTCGTCTAGGATGCTGTGAAAAAAAGGAGTGCTGGTCCTTTCGAACTGAAGATCTTGTTTTCCTTCATCCACCAATGCGCGGCTGTCGTTCTTAGCCTTATCACTGACTACATCTTCATCCGGGTAAAAGCCGCTCATCGCCCAGTCGTCCCATTTTGCTTCTCCTTGCTCGTCCTCGTCCCAGGCGGTTCCGAATGCGAACTCTTGCAGTTCTTGGTCGTCTATGTCTCCTGTGCTTGCTGCCTCTTCAGCAGCCCGTTCCATCCACATCTGGTCATTAATCTGGTTCCGCATATGCATTGCAAAAGTTGTATCACACTTATTACGTATAGAAACTTGATTTGCGTCACATTTTCATTTTGTCAGAAAAGTGTGCTGATCCGGCTTAGATGAAACGAGAAAGAGATCTGCAGTTGATAGTACTGAAACTGATGCTCCATGCATTACTCCACGATCAAATTCCAATTTGTTGCAAGACGAGGTAATATGTCAGATGCTTTTGCAATGCATACCGCATCTGAATCAGCAAGTTCAGTTTCAACTGCTTCGCCAGACTGACCTCTTTCCGCATAGCGGCCTCCTTCCGCTCTTGCAAGCGGTCAATCTCGATCTTGAGCTTCTCATTCTGTGCGAAATAGGCTTTTTCCAGATCGTCAATCAGCGCCTGGCCGAAACTGCTCTCAAAAAGCGCCAACTCCCTCTGCAGCAGCGAAAGACTGCTGGTCACGCGGCGGCGAACCTGCTGCCGGAAAAACACCCTCGCGGCCTCGATTTGCGGCCCGTACTCCGCACTGAGCACAGCTGTAGAAGTGGTCGTGCCATAGTGGTCTATTTTTCCCCGAGGTGGGAAGAGCAAAGATGGTCCTGGTAGATCGTCAAGAGCTGCAGCCGTAGAAGGGTCAATTGCTCTATCACCGCGGTACGAGAAAAGAATCGGCCAGGTGCTCCTGTCATCATCGTAGTCCTCCTTTAGAAGTCGCTCATCAATCGCAAAACGGCCGATGGGTCCTCCCGCCGCGCTTCGGCGGAACAAATCACTTGATCGCGTGTGGAATGCTGTTGCTGGCCGCATATATGACGAAGACCTTGCACCTCGTTCGTACGACTTGCGATGGGGCCGCCCACCCCGATGCAGCAGCGCGGAAGCGGAGCTGGTGACAGTTGGGGGAAACAAGATGCTCTGCGGGGAACCCCATGAACCATGCTGCTGCATTATCGCGTGCTTCGGCTCGCCCGTGGTACTACCGCGGAAAAACGGCAGCAAGGCCAATCGTGAATTCGTGCGACAAGCGAGGGCGGTCTTAAAAATGTTCGCGTCTTCGGCTACGTCCATGCCGAGAAACAGCAAACCCTCTAGCAAAGCGTCACTGTGGTCTGGTCCTTCTTCATTCGGCATACTCGCCCGGCTCCGGAACATCGCCTTTCTCCGATATTGCGGTTGGAACTTGCTCACGGCTTCGCTGGTTGGAAAATACATACTACTGGTCCTTCGATGTAACTTGATGCTGTTGGGACCGGCTGAAGCTTGACGCACAGGGGCGCTATGTGGCCTGTAGGGGAGGATTTGGACGATTATGATACGATTTATAATATCTGTTGTGAATACTACGCGGCAAGGACCACAGACTCAGTGATGCATATGTTGAAACTTGGATTCTGATTTGCAGTGCGAGCGATTTTTCCGCACACCACAAAGAAAAATTTAGCGGCAGCACTTCATACCTGCGATATTGCTCGAGGTTCGTCATTGTCTCCGAGTTGTCACCAGCCGCGGCCACACGAGCTGCTGCTGCTGCAATTTGGAAGCGTTGCCGACATGGCCCGGAGTAGATTGATGAGCCGGCAATGGCCTGTTCCCGCATGAGTTTCAAAACGGCTAGGCGGGCGAAGATCCGCTTCGTCTTGGCTTCCAGCATTTGCAGCAGCTGTGGACTGAGTCTTCTCTCCAATACTGGATCTTCGCTCAGGTTCAGACCCAACGGCGCCAGACTCCATTTCTGCTTGAGAAGAAAATCTCCGCCGTGTTCATCGTGGTCCTCCTCCGCCGAGGAAGACGAACTACGACTCCTCGCGGCCATAACTTTGTCGAAGTAGCGGAGCGGCTTGTTAAGTTTCGTGCCAGCACCCGAAGAGAGCAGGGAGAAATAATCTTCCGCATCTTCATCAGGAGCGCTTTGGGCACGACCGTGGTCCTCTCCACCCGAAGACCTCGACGCAAGGGCCGCTCCTTTCAGGAGCGCGCTTTTTACAATTTTTTTCGCGACCGCCACGTCCAGAGCGGTCGGCGGTTCCGTCTTTCCGTGTTCTTGGAAGTGCCGGGCCTGCGCGTCTTGGATGGTTTTCTCCAAAACTTTCCGGTACGTCTGCCGCAGAACCGCCCGCGTGAAGTCCTTCCACAAGTCGGCTGCCGTCTGCCTCGCTTCCTGCTCCGCTTCGGTTGCATATCAAAAGTAAAAATGTCTGGGTCTGGAAACTTGTGATGCTGGGTGGCGTCTCATGATGAGGCTGCAAATGCTGGCTCAGCATGACAAGTTTCTGAGCTCCTAGGCGTTGCCTATTCTGCATGACAAAATGCGCTTCTGCATCACAGAAAAACGGAGCTCTTGGGTAACGCGCATGACAGATTTCAGAGTCATGGCAGACAAGCATGACAAACATGAATTCTTCCAGACCCAGACATTTTTACAGTTGATATTGCAAGCGTTTCGGCAACCTCGGACTCGCACATCAACAGCTGCCACTCCTCCTCGTCCTGATCGGAACTGTATGGCATTCTCAAGCGTTACATTCTCAACTGTTAATACATGATTTCTCATGCAAAAGTGCCTTGACTACCGACACCATCAAGCTGCTTCGCGTGACAAATTCCCAGAAGGCCAAACAGGCCGAGAATCTGTGCCAAGTCTGTCATGCAATATGCGCAAGGTCCTTCCTTTCGCTTTTGCCCCTCTTGCATCACAAATTCATGTAACAGTTAAGAATGTAACAATTGAGAGTCCCATAAACTGCCGCCTGTAGTCTTCATCTCGCTCGCAAAGAACTGGTCGTCACTTTCTCCACCAAGGCGATGGGCACGGGTGTAGTACTTGTTGACAGGAGGAGTTTGTTCATCTTGGGCGCTACTTGTAGCAACTGATTGATGAGTCGGTTGTTCCATCGTTCCACTTTCACCAGCTGCTTCATTCGTATCAACATCCATCGGGGTCGTGTCGCTGCTCGCGGTCCTACTTGCATGTAATTGATCGCGCGACGAGGTAGGTGTCGTGACAGGTTCCTCGTAGATGTAAAAGACGTCCTTGAGCGGATCCTCATCCTGGTCGTCGTCCGCAACAGGAGTGGTCTGATGCTTGATATTATCCAGGTTGTTGTATGCTGTCCCGGAAGCAGGCGTAGACGGCGCACATGTCGTGCCGATCGATGCACCTCCCGGAGAGGAGCAATTCAATGGGGTGATGGAACTGAAATTCAGTGGGTAAGGACAAATTTCTACTTCAACGGTAAGTTCATCAGAACAACGACAACAAAAGAAATTATTGTCATCCGAATTCCATTACGACTTGCCTCTTTTACGCTGACTAGGAAGCCGGAGCCAGAGGTCTTGATACTGTCAACTACACATAAAAAACAGTTGAAATTTGCGTGAGTACTTCTCACTTACGAACTTGAAATTACCTTCCACTGTCCCCGGCGCCGGTGGGTCCCAGAACGTCTGTAGTCTTACTCACGGTCGTCGCTTCAGAGACGGCCTCTGGAACGAACACGAAGCCCTCATCTTCGTCGCTGAAGCTGTCTTCGCGTTCTTGGGGAGCCGATGCGGTTCCGGCTGCGTGACACCCCTGCCATTCCCATGCCGGACCCGCCAGCGCTGACACGAGAAAAGTCAGCAGAAATGCTTTGGATGGCGTCCTCGTTGCTGTCAGCTGCATGGCAGCCGATGCTGCAGCTGCGGGCCGAGAGTTCCTTTGTGTCGGCGATGGTCGTGGGAACTCCAAGCTTCCAGCGCCTGCTAGAAGTTCTCGTTGTAAATTCGGCCCGCGAGGAGCCGCCGGCGAGTGATCCAAACTTATCATTTTTCTACTGCGACAAGCTATGCGTATATCTTCACTACAGGCGGCGCCGAGCCTCACAATCAGTAAAGGTCCCTTCGAAGCCACGGAAGGACTGCTGATCCTGATTCGCAACTACAGAAGATGGTCTACTAGGATCAGCAGAAAAAGAAACTTCTACTTCAGTGTACTTCTCCGACTACGCAATTCTTTTGATCACTTGTTGAAAAAAGAGATTTCTTGCTCTCAGATCATTGAAAAGAACAACCAAGAACGAAATCAGCACCAGAATAAGAGCATGTACTTACTATGTACTTGAGTAAGTCGTCACAAGTAGAAAGGAGAAAACGCGATCCTTTTGCAGAGGTTGGAAAGCACTTGCCGCAGGCAGTCGAAGCGAGATCTAGATCTGATCATCTTGGGGAGCTCGACACCACAGACACACGACCTGTTTTCTTTAAGAGAGGAACATCCTGCCAGAACAACCATCGACTACGAATACGCACTGCAACAGAAACGCTGTTCGCCTGGCTGCCGGGAACAGGCCCGCCGGTGCACCCCCGTGCTCGGTCGTGGAAGTTTTATTCATCTTTTTTTTTCACTTTTCAAAATTCAAAAAAAAACGAATTTTTTCATGTTGAAGAGCCTTTACTTCTTCTTCTTAGTAACGGATTTGCCGCGGATCGTGACGGAAGGGCTTCGACCTTTATTCATCTTGCTTCCAGCGCCAGCTCGTTTGGCCTTGGTGCTGTCGAGGACGTGGGACGATTGAGATTTCTTGTTGTTCCTCCACCACTTCTCGAAGATTGCATTAATGGTGCCTTCTATGCATTGCAAAAGTACTTATCACACAGGGATACGGAAGAGAAAGAATTACAATCATGCATGAACAATGCGGTGGTCTGCTTGTCGTAGCTCTATTGAAGCTGCTTCTGCTACCTGAATTTTCACAAAGAAATCCATGCCAATTCTCTTCGCGAAAAACTTTCAATATTCTGAAGTAGAAAATATTACGCAACCAACCTGCACTCTGGTGCGTTACTTTTGCACGCAATGCATACCCTCCCAGTTCGTCTCTGCCACCTTGGGGTCTCCGCCGAGCAACTTCAACACCTCTTTGCGCGATGCTACATTTGCGACATGCTTGTAGTGAATCGTCCTCGTTGTTCCTCCCAATGGGCCCTCTTTGTCCTCTTTCTCGGCTTTTTCCTGGTTCAAGGAGTTGATTATGTATCTGCGTTCGTCATCCAACCGGTATTTACCTTTCATGCCGTCCAACATGATCTTCCGCGCAGTTTCGTCTGAGACATACTCTGCAAACGGCCGCCTACAGACATTTATCCACGAGTTCAAACTGGTTGTTTCCCGTTTTTGATTATGCATTGCAAAAGTATCGTACTCGCAATAGTTACATTGGCACTTGCGTTTACCAATGTCCACGTAACTGTTCCAGAACGAAAATGCTATTGATCATCGTGCTTCTGCTTGTGCATAATTCAGGTCAATAAAGAAGCAGGTCTGTCAGGCGGTGCGGCAATTTTCATCAGTACGAGTAGAATACTTACTTTTGCGATGCCTAGCGATCGTATTTCTTCTCGAATTTTCGGACGCCAGCAGTTGCGCTGTTTGAACGGTCGGAGGTCAGCTTGGTTTCACACCCTGCGGCACTCGTGGAGTTTTTACTTCTGGAGGAGGAGGAAGCGGGGTTCCGCTTTTTCTTATCCGCTCCCTTCGATCTACCATCTACAGCCTCATGGTCTGCTCCCTCGAAAATCTTGTTGCGATTCATGCATTGCAAAAGTTGTTGTACTACTCGCACAGTACTCCTACAAAGGAATTGGATTGCTCTAGAGTATGTTGAGTATGCTGATGTATAATATTTATCCGCAAGAAGCGAGGCGCAACTTCTAATGCGGAAGCAGATAGCACTGGGCTACAGAAGGAGGGGGCAGCGATCAAATTGCCGCTGTTATCATGCAAAACAGGATGCATCTACGAGCTGGCTCGGCCTGCTAGTGTTTCACTTTTGCACGTGATACGATTGGCGATCCGGCGACTGCGCTGCTCCAGTTCCTCTTTCGAGTCCTTCCGCAATAGTTTGTCCTCTGGGCAGCCGAGCAGTTCCTCCAAATCGGGCCACTTCCCCACATGATATTGACAAGTCGTATTCCAGGAAGGTAATCTTGGAACGTGCACCCCCTGGCCCAAATCATGAATTCTGCTGTCCTTGATGAAGATGCAGTACCTCAACAAGTTTTGCACTGGCAACAATTCCCCGAGGACGTCCTTGCTGCGCGGCCAAAACCAGTGCTGCCCGTCCCATCGCCATGGGACAACGGCCTTGAAGTCGTCCTTTGCGCTGTTAGTTTCCGAGTCAAACGAATCGTCGATATGCTACGCAAAAGGGGCATTGCGCTCGTACTAATTCACAAAAGACACACATGACGAATTCCCGAAGTCGCAGTAAAGTGCAAGCCATGCAAAAGTTGCTAGTACTTGTGAGAGCGCAGTGCCCTTCTTGTAATGCGTAGCAGACGTCTAATAGCAATTTGTGGTTGTGTAAGCCGCGGAACTCCTTCACTTTTTTTCTATCTGCATGCGGGAGGCGGAGACTCTGGTCGATCAGTTTTTTCCGTTGCTGGTCTCGAAAGCAGCCAAAATGCTCCGCGTACTCCATCACACTACTGATCCCAAAGGTCTCGCGAAACTTTTCAGAAAAGACGTCACAAAACGTCGGCAGATGCCGGCCTTCGCAAACCCGTAACGCCTGGTGGATTCCGCGGATGTAGTCATCAAACATTTCTAGAGGCGTTTTCAAGGTCCCCGCCTTTCCCAGCGAGCCCGGCTTCGTGTTTTCCTTGACCTCTTTCCATCTGAACGGTGTGCCCTGGCGAATCGCCGCGGCCTGCGCCTTCCGGCACAACTCTAATAGCCCAAGCTCCTCACAGATCATTTCGATGGTCACGCGGGATTCATCTGTGTACCTGTCTGCGATTTGCTTCTTCACCCAGGCCTGGGAGTCGCTGGTCTGCTGCTGCTTCAAGTACATCTTCACCCCCTTATACGCCACCGCCAGTTTTCTCTTTTCCGCCAACTGCCTCATCCACCATCGCTGCGCAGGTCCCCACTTCTCGCCGCAACGGTCGAAGCCATAGCTTTGGAGCTGCTATCCTTTTCAAAAATATCGCACTCGTAGGATAAGGATTTGAATTAAAGATGACCTGCTCTTTGCGTTTTCTTGAGTAGCTACACCTAGATGAACTAGAAGTAAAATGCAGAAGATCCTCTGTATGAAAAAGAAAACGCGATACGACACCAGACATGACATTTTTTCTTTTTTTCTGTTGCAAAACTCAAGCGTCATTTCAGAATACAGCTGTTTATTATCCCACTGCGATAATTTTGCAATGCGTAGCAGTTTAGCCGTCCCGAGACCCTTGTGGTTCCACATCGAATGGCCGTACAGCACAAAAACATACCGGTCCGCACCGGAATCTGCCGCCGCGTCGCCTGTGTCTATGCAAAGCAAAAATGTCTTGGTCTGAAAGAGTGTCATGCGTCCTCTGCATCACACTGCAAGATGGGTCCTCTGGTGAAATTCTGCGCACAAGAAAAGCACTGCAGGTTTCGTAAAGGAGAAAGGCTCATGCATTTCTCATGCCTGTCTTATGTGACAAAAACGCTTACTCATATTCTCGTTGCACAAATAAGCGAAAACACTTTGGCGGTCATGCAACACAATTAGAGACTTTTGCGTGCTCCCGACGAAGCATGATTACAATGCAAATTTTCTAGACCCAGACACGTTTGCATCGCATAGTGTGCATTTTGGTGCAGTACTCGTACGCCTTTTCAATCTCGGATATGCTCATCCATCGGGTCACATCGATCCCCTTCAAGGAATATGCACTGTAACAAAAGTGCCTGGGCCTGGAAGCCAAAATTTACTCACTGATGCACATCAAATGTTGCTGATTCTGATGCTTTCGTCAAGAGCAGCAGCAAAACGTAAAAACTTTTTTTGGTGCTGTTCACTAATGGTGCATATCTGCGCGCGTGCGCGTTAAACTACAAGCTGCGTTTTGGTTTTTGCACATGGAAAACGAGAAAGCTGCGCAGCCTTTGCCGGACATGCAATGTTTGCAGACACGAACCTACGACGTCGAATGCTGTTCATCCAGTTCCAGACCCAGACACGGATGCAGTTGATAGAGGAGATTTGTCGATCTTTCCGGAAGAAATGAAGTCGCTGCGGAAGAACGGCGCGGTGCAGTGCGAAATATGCAACACAACTTTCTCTGACACGTAGACGTACTAGAAAAGGCATGACAAATAGATCCTACCAAGCAACCTAAAGAAACTGAATCCCTGCACTGGTAACCGAAACCGTAATAGTACGGCAGCACAGAAATACGACCCTGCTGTGCTGGAGTTTCTACTTTTACTAAGGGCGCAACCCGTCTGCGTGTCGGAAGTTTTATCATGTAGATACGGGATGCGGCCATCGTATTCTGCGACCATGTCCTTGACCGGCGTGCGCTCCATGGGGAGAAACATGCGCCCCGCCTTTTCTTCTTGAAATCCGGCGTGCAACAAGAACGGGGCCCCATACTTGTGGTCGTACTTCCGCGGGCTCTGCTTCTTCGCCATGCGGTCGACCGGCTCCGTTCGGCAGTAGCTCCCATATTTTTTCGCCGCCTTCCGGCATTTTTCGTTCGTCACTTCCACCCATAATGTTTTGGAGTAGTGGTCGTCGGGGTGGAAGTCTCTTCGCAGGGTGAGCGTCTCGCCCCCGATGAAGTCGCCAACGGCAAACAGCAACGATGGCCCGAGGTTGCCACCGTCGACGTGCAGGGAGGTAAGGGAATTTTTGTTCGCAGTGATGCTGGTCCACCACCAAGTCCCCTCTTCGTTGTCGTCGATTTCGAAGTCAGAATCTTCCTCCGCGATCCACTTTCCCGGTTTTTTCTCCGCATCCGCGTGCAGCGAGGTAATAGCGTTGACCAGTAGCATCAGGAATGCCGCTATGCAACACGAATTTCTTACCGTGCATGTTGAATTCTGGACAAAAGCCATGTAGTTACAAATTTGTTTGCTGTCAACCTCCCAGGAGAACACCATGAGAGGCGGACTTCTACTTTTTGTCATACTGCACAAAGCTGGTTCATCTTGAAGTTGAAACGAAGTTTTGCGCTGCATTGAAGATTCCATTTGTAGTACGTCAAGATGAAGATATTAGAACACGGTAACAAATTTCATTTCGATAAGCGCACCCTCCTTCTTGGCGTCCGCGCCAAACAGCCCGGCCCGACGGCAGTTTACCAGCCCCAGTGTGAAAAAACAGTTTTTGCCGGTGTCGGCGGAGGAGCTGTTCTCGAAGTTGTCGGAATGGAACTGCGCGTGCCGGGATGACGTTCGCTTGTACTCGATTTCGCGAACCACCTCACGCAAGAATGTCACACGCTTATGCATCGTAAAAGTATCGCTATAATCGCACTAGTTCTAGTATCTGATCAATGCCATGCAGTACAATAACAAATTTAAACTCTTCTCAAACAGGTAACAAATTTGTCGTCATTTCATAGATCTTCACGTTTGGAAAATTAGATTTGTCACGCATGGTGGCTTGGGAAGGTTACTACCAGAACTTACATACCACGAGTGCGATTATACTTTTGCTGCAGAGGATAGCGCTCTTTTTGCGTCAACTCTTTCACCAGCGCCTTGGTCGCCGTAAAGTTCTCGTAGTCCGGCCCGGCCGCTTCGCGGATCGCGGCTTCAATCTTCTTGCTGAAGGAGCGTCGGGTCGTCTGCTCCTGTTTCGCCCGTCTGATCGCCTTCGCGTAGTCGTACGATTTGTTTTTCGCCATGGTACCCTTATCGAGGATGGGTTTCTTCTTGTCCTCGCCGTCGTCCGCACTGCTGCCGGCATCACCCTCGTCCTCCGAGTCAAAGACCTCCTGGTCCTCGGTCCCTTCCGCCTCTGCGTCAAGTGGTCCTGCGGGGGCCTTACGCATTTTAGTACTCGTATTTCCTTGATGCGCGAGATGGAGCATCAATCTGCTTTCGTATAATTCTTCTGCTGGCTTCTTCTTTTTTTTCTCCTCGGCCCGTTTATTTTCTGGTGCGGTGGTAGACACGACAGCAGCTGCACTTTCGTTCTTCTCGTTCTCGATCAGGATGTTGCTCGAGCTTGGTTGAAGATTTTCATCACTGTTCGACTGCAGTTCTGCTTCATTTTCTTCATGGACCACCTGCAAGCGACCGGGTAGTTGGTGGTGCTGCTGCATCGACGATGCTGCTGCACTTGATGTAGTAGTTTTGTTCAGCGTCATTAGTTGACCTTCTTGAATATTTTCTTCTTGTACCGACGACTTGCTGTCGGAATCAATTTCATCAAAAGGAGTCTCCACACGAAGATGATCTTCTCGATCGTCAGCAAACGACGAGGAATCTTTGTCCTCCGCTTTCGCCTTGCTATAGTTGCTCAGAAGATCGTCGACGTCGCCAAAAATTTCCTTCTCAAGCTCGGACTGCGACAGGGGAGTCATAATCTGCTTTTGCTTCTTCAGATCTACTTCCCGTCTGCTTGTGTCGTCTTCGTGGTTGCTTTCGATTTCATAGTTCTTCTTCTTCTTCTTTTCGTCTCTCGAATAGAATAAATTCATCTCTTGCGAAAGCGAATTATCATCCTTTTTCAACATATCGCTTTGTTCATCCTTGGCGTACAAGGTTTTCTTGCTCTTCAGCATGTTTAGCTCCTCCTCCTGCTCCAGAGTCGGAAGAAGCGTTTCGTTGAGCTCGAGCTTCGAAAAGTCGTTCAACATCATGATCGGTTTTCCTGCAATAGAAGTTGAGGCCGATTTATTCGCGGTCGGTATGCGCGGCGGCTTCCCCAGCGGATTGTAAGGATTATTGTGGTTTGCGGTCGCAGATGTGATACTCAAGTTTTTCTGCAGCTGCGAAATAACGCGATTAGTTGACAATGACGTGCCCGCCGCACCAGAGCAAGCTGCATGCTTTGACTGACTTCTGCTGTTTGGTAAAAACTCGGTGGTGGTGTTGGACAGTACCGTTTCTTTACTATTCAGTCGCGGTCGACTAGTGCCTGCAGCTTGTTTTTGACTCATGGTCGTCTCGTTGTTCATCTTCGTTTCAGATTCATCTTCGAAGACGTTTCGGCTTCTTTTGCGGGAGAAGGAGCGACCACGTTTGCTGGTGTCGTCCGCCTCCTCCTGCTGGTCTTGCTTAAGTTTTTGCTTCGTACTCAAAGAAAAGGCCGCGGAAGCAGAAGAAGAAGAAGCTCCAGGAGCTGCGGCTTCCATCACAGAAAGTGGTTGCTGGTCGTGGGCTGTAGACGATTTTGCGGCTTTCGTGCTTGCTGTGCGGCTGTGCTTCTGGATTTGCAGCAAAATCGCGCCGAATTTATCCCGGACGCCCTCCAATTCGGCAATCGAAAAGTCTCCACTGTCGTTATTGTTGTCCTCGTCGCCATTCATCAGGGCGTCCTGGATTTTTCGAACTGCTGCGGCGGCGGAATCCGCTTGCTCCCGTATTTCTGCAATGAGCAACATTTTCCGCGTGGCAGGGGAGGAGAGGAGGTCTTCGTGGTCCCTCTTGGGAGTCTTCTTCCCATGGTTTTTGTGCTTATTCATCAAGTCGTGCTCATGTTCTTCTTGATTCTTGACATTCCGCTTGTTCTGCACGACACTGGTTGAAGAAGCAGAAGCTCCTGCTCTATTATCGGTTTTGGTTTGTAGTTCATCAAGAAATGCTCTGATCTTTTCGAGTAATTCACTGCCCGCCGCGTCCAACATGCGAAGGCACGCCGCCGCAAAGGACGTGTCTGGGATGGCGTTCCCCAGTTGCAAAACCTTCTCTTTCTCGACGATTACAATTTCGTCCATCACGGTGTTCCAGGCATAGTTGCCAACCTCCCGGATCGGCTTCAGAGCTCGGTCCACCTTGTTCATCTTTTTGCCGTGCTTGGCTTGACGTTCGCTATCACTGTAGTTAATACCGCCATCCTCGTCTTGGTCTTCCTCCGCTTCGATCTGTTCGTCCGCAGAGTTGTCCTTCATCCGCGACCATTTCAAATGAAGATCTGAAGCCTTCCCGCTTTTTTTGGCTTTCGTCACACTGCTCAGACCTTCTTCGGCTATCCGCTTGAACAGAATGCAGAACCTGATTTTGATATAAACATCGGGGTTGGGTGGACAACTTTTATGTTTGTCTAAAGAAAGTTTGAGTTTGTCATTTGAGTTGGAGCCGAAGATACATGATGTAGACTTCTAGACCTCCCGTCTTCATTCATCATCATGCAAGTGTCGTTTATTTTCTTGCTGCAACAGTCTAAGGCAGGAGCTGCGTCTTTTTCTCTTTGCGCTTTGTCGTATTCATCAGCCACACCGCCGAGAAACGGGTTGGAAAAAAAAGAAAAGCACCTCTGCGCCTCCTTGAAATCCCGTTTGCCCACATCGAGTATTCCGTCCGCGATGTCGGACTTCTTTTCTTCTATGCCCTTCCACAAACCATACAGCTCCGCAGATTCCCGACTGGGAATCTTGTTCCGGGGTGTCGTCGCTGACGCTGCCCGTTGTTTCTTATTACTCTTGTTCTTTGCGACTGCTGGCGACTGCTTCTGAGCCCTTGGCTTCTTGACAGGGGTTCCTACCGAACGTCCGCGCGAACGGGACGGAGTGGCAGCAGCACGGCCCTTACTAGCGGAAGGCATGCTCGGTGGAGTCGTGTCGGAAGAAAAGGTAGGAGAAGAGCGAAACGGCGAGGCGCAAGCAAAATTGCTGCGAGATCCAAATGAAGATAAGACGATTAAAAGTCAGATGATTATCGAACCGTTCATAAATTGAAAAAAATTACATAAAATAAAATGTCGCTTAGTCAATTACAATTTGATTCTTAAAAACTTACTGTCACAGCTTTCTTTCTATGTTTTTTTTGTTTTTTTCAAGTTAACTCAACTGGACGAAACAGAGCCGGGCTCGCCGCGTCATGACGCAGAAAAACAAAAAATTTTCGTGAGCATGTGTGTAATGCCCATGAAATTTTGATCTCAACACAAGTTGTAAAGTTCATCCAGAAAGTATCAATATTACAAGAAGATCAACACCAAGAAATATTCAGGCTCACCATATTCCGTCTGCAATATGTTTCTAGGTACTAGCATCTTCTGCTTTATTGGTCGTGCCTGTTCACTCTCTCTCGACTTTGTTGTATATTTTTTTACACCTTGACTTCTATCCACTTCACTTTATTACTAATTAGCACATGAAATGTTCTTTTTGCAGGACCGCAGTCTTCTGTCTTCAGACAAATTGTGTGTCCTCACTTACGCTTGCTGTAATCCAATGCAGTAATTCGTGGCAGGAGTACCTCGTGAGTGGAAGTGGAACACAGCAGCGTGATATAGCGGCCACTGAGGGAGAACAACACCTAGTTTTTCTCGCACAGTAGAAGTCATGAGCTTGCGCTTGTTGTTGTTCCACTATGTCTGCGTCAGCCGCATCAGAAAACAAGCACAGGGGAAAAATGAGTAGGTTCTGGGTCAACATCCCACTAGGCTATCAAAATTGGAAACGGAAAACGAATTGCTCATAGAAAAGAAGCATGTATGTAAGTATTTTAAATCTAACTTTTCACGATGATACCTAGTACTAGCATAGCCGCGACCTTCGTCTTCACATGCAGCACGGGCAACGCCAAATCGGCAAGCCACCGCGCCCCGGTGCGTTGCTATCCAAACAGAACTGTAAAACGTTATTATCTACAGCTTTTTTTGCATCTTCCTCTGCACCGACTTCCTGACAGCTGGCACCAGAATCGAAGTCTTCATTTTTCCGCTCATAGCGGAGCATGCCGCCGACGTACGTCGCGTACACCCGAACGGAACCCGGAACGCGGGAAAGTTTCTGAGCGAAGACTGCTTCCAACTCGGAGGGAGAGTCTGGAAGGCGACGTGGATGGCGGAGGTTTTTTTCTTGCGCACGTACACGTTCTTCATCTGCTACATCCAAAACATCCAGAACCACGAAGTCTGCCAGAAACCCAACCGCCAGCCGGCCGAGGTCGTTTTCCCGAAACGCCGCGAAGGCGGGATCCCGCGTGTAGGCCGCCACAGTGTCCGTGAGCGAGAAGGACTCCTGTTCGTGCAAGCAGTTCTGCATCAGATCCCTCATGCCGCACAGAGAGCTCATCCGCTCCACCGGGGCATCGGATCCGCCGATGATGGTCATTCGCGCCTTATCTTTCAGCTGCTTCCACACGTACGCGGTCTTTGTGCGCTCTGCGCCGAGCTTCTTCTCAATGATCGGGAGGTCGGAGTTCGTGAACTGAGGCTGGATCGACGCGAAGAGTGTGACAGGAAAAAAGTGCTACAGTGTATTCATACGCAACACATAATGATCTTCTATGCCGGACACGCAAGACACACAGCGTCGCGAAGCCCGAGGCTGCGAATGCCTGCGCGCTCCTTCGTTTTTCATGCGTGCTTTCCTTTTCCCTCGATGTTATCCTATATGATCTCTGCATTACGAGCTTCAACTGTCACTCCCGGCAAATGGTTTTTTTTCTGCTGCTGAATTTAGCACGAAAAAATACTGTATAACTGTAAACACGTTTCTTCTTGAATACAGATTGTTCGATTCCTTGTACAGCGATTTGATGTTGATGCTGATAGGTGACTCTGTTCACTGATATCAACGGAACAAGCGGCGTCCGCTGGCTGCGCTTGGATTTTTACGTCATTTCCTGCTGCAGCAGTGCTTTCAGTGATCGGCGCGCCTGTAGCAGAGAACGATTTGTCTGCGATGGCGGAGAAGACGGACGACGCTGTTGTAGTTTCCCTGCTCTCCAAAGTGCTGCCCGCCAGAGAAGTTTCACCAGAACTACACCCAGCTTCCACGGAGGATCCACTTCGCGTCTGACACGATAGAGTGGATGTGCTGGAGGTCGTCGCGCCGCACGTAATTATTCTGTTGAAGTTGATTAGCCGCTTCATGCGGGCGATCAGATCTTGGTTTACGATCTGACAATGCGTAATGACCAACCGGTCAAGCCACTTCGACGGAACGGCTTTGCTTTTTTTCTCCAACAGTGTGAGGATCAAATCAAACGCGCGGTCGCCGATGGAGTGGGCTTCGAGTGTCATGTCGTTCGCGGCGCAGCGTTCCAGTGCATCCTCCAGCTCCTGCTCCGTGACGGACAACAGCCCGCGGTTCTTCTTTTTCTCATCGTCCGCATAGGGTGCGAGCAGCGCGGCAGTACCGGCCCCGAGAGAGCCGTCGAGGACAATCTTGGTTCGCTTGTTCCACAGGAAAAGGGGGCTTTTATATGGTAGTTCTTGGGACGGTCTTACAGGAAGCCGACCACCTGATTGATGTGCAACTTCGTGGTCTTTCGCTTGTCGTGATAGGCTTGACGTCGTCGTCAAAGAGCACTCTGCTCCTTCTGCGCCCGCCTTTATTTTTCCAGTAGGGTGCAGAGTATCCCAAAAGCTCACCCAGTGGACACGGATCGGCAGTGAAGATGATGTACTCCTTGCTGCAGCTTCAACACGACCGTGATTTTTCGATGCAATTTGACTTGACAAATTTTCATCTTCTACTTCCCTAACACGACGAGAATCTACTCCGGGTCGTGGAGCTGGTGGACCCCCCTTGTCAAAGCGGTTCTCGATGGCATTGTAGACCTGCCAGGCGTCCGACACCTGTCCGAGCAACGTCGTATCGTTTGACTGAATCCCAGTTATTCCCGCTTTCGGCAGCTCGTGCAAGACATTGGACAACAACTTCACTTTCTCCTCGAAGGCGTCCTCCTTCGACAAGATATACCCTGCAAAAGTGATGTCGTAGTAGGATTATGCAATTTTTGCGATAGTACATGATTGATTTTGCATTTGTCACCTGAATCAGCAGCACAAATTCAATTCGTTCACTTTGTCTTTCTGATGAAAATTTTCTAATGCAAAAATTTGTCTCTACTACGATAATTTAAATTTTGCAACTATGCATACAAAATGTCGGACAGCAACTCCGTGGCATTTTCGCGGAGTATGCCCGTCGGCTCTTCGTTTTTTCCCCCGAACCTATCGATGTCCTTCCGATCCAGATAGGTGTCCGCGGAGATGCCGGCGATTTCCAGCGCCTTCGAATTGCACACCACGATGTGCCAGCACCGGCGCCAGCAAATAATCGGGTACTCGGTGGTAATTTTGTCCAGCTCGTAGCGGTTCGGCAACTGGTTTCCCAGGTCTGCTTCGTCCCACCCGGAGCCTTCCAGAAACCGTTTCCGCACGGCCACGGGGTCGGCGTCGTACTTCTCCTGGAGTCTTTGCTGGAAGGTTTCAATGCCGCCGCAGTTTCGCAAGTTCGCGACCTTCTGCTGGTGCGCCAGGCTGTACGCGTGACAGTGGCTGTCCCAGAGCCCGGGCAGGACGATCTTGTTCTCAAGGTCGATCTCCTTTTCGACGCGGAGGACTTCTTCCACACGCGACTTTTCATTGGCGGTACAGTCCGACGGTGACGACAAGGATTCTGATACTTTCGCACCGGAAGATGCAGGTATCATTTCCACAATGCGTCCATTGTCGTTCAGGTCCACAATGAAGCCACTGTAGTGCAGCAACGCCTCGTTTTCGTCCTCGTGTTTTGCATTTCCTTTTTCACCGTCATCTCCGTCCTCTGTGTCCACCGGCGCGTCCAAATAACTCCTCGCTCTGCACGTCAGCACCCGGGCGTTGCGAAACGCGACCAAGCGCGGTGCTGCGTGGCTTGCAGACGAGGACTTTGCAATACTCGCGGCCACCTCGACACCGGAATTGGAAGGAGTGAAGAGCATGTTTCTGTCAAGAAAGAAAGAAAGGGTGTGTTCACTGCGCTTGCAATAAAGCGTAATTTATGTGTGTGCCGTCACCGTCAGGTCGATTATAATCAAAAGCGAAAACTAAGCTGAAACCATAAAAACGTCGGCTATCACCTGTTTACTGAAAAACTCACTAAACGCAATTTGCTGTTTAGCTCTACATCATCTTCTACTCACTTACTTCTTACCTCGTCACTTGATCTTCTTTACTATCATATCTCACGCGACGGGAACAAATACGCATTGCTACGACTTCCGACTTCAACATCAACGATTTTGTTTCCAACAGCGCTATGGAGCATCTATCAATCTTGGTTTCGTCTGCGAAGATCTATTTCAAAAAAAAACGAATTTTTCAACTGTCGTCAACCTACCATTTTTACCAAAGGGCGAACAAGTTTTTTCTGGATGCCCCAATCTCTCGCCACTGCGATGAAATGTTTCCTTTGATTTTGACGTGCGCCGCCCCGGAAAAACTGACAATTGTACATGGTGTGCATGTGCTGCGTGGAGGTCACACACCGTCATCACCGATTTATTATGACAAAAAACGAAAAGCTCGCCCCAAGTGGTTTACATGCGTGAATAGAAATGATCAGATGCGTATGAAATTGTTGCTGAAGTAAAAATTATGTCCAATGATGATACATTGAAAAAGGTGCAGGCGCGCTTGTCTTGCGTAATGGTGTACAAAAAGGTTGTTCTCGGTCCGACACGGCGAAAGATGCATAAATCATGATAGAGGTTGTTTTAGATGTATACTATTGACCTGAAGATAAAAAATGATGCATGTTGACCGAAGTTGAAACATACTAGTACCACTCACACACGCAACGGTGCTGCTGGCGACGTCGAGACACCTCCCGGGCATTCCTCCACTGTCGCAGCGTACTTGCTGTTGCTCAAAGTACATTCACATTGCAAGTAGGTGCGCCATGAGAGGTATACGACACCTCACCTGAATAACTACAGCTACTCGCATATTTTGATGTTCCGATAACGATATAGGGAAGATAACGGAGAAGTGCTGACAGATGGTACTATTGACACGAAGATCAGTGACCAGGAAGTGGGGTTGAAGATGCTACTATACGTTTTGTTTGTTGAATACTATCAGAAGATTTGGCTTTAGTCGTGTCGTTCCGATGTAGTTTTTAATTCAGTACCATGGTTCCAGAAGGCCCCTAGCTGAAACCCAGAACGTGGGTGCCAATGTAGACAAAGACGAGCGACAGGGGGAACAGCATGGCGATAAAATGCGCATCCCTCATGGTATGGATTTTCCGTGTGTAGGCTACGTACCCCACCAGCACCTCTGCGATAACCATGGTCGCAATTTCACAGGTGAACTCCCACCGCAAATGGGAAAAGTAGAGCACGAAGAGAAAACACCCCAAACAGAAGGTGTTGTTCATGCAGGCGGCGCCCTCGAGGGTGGACAGGGAAATCGTGGCGGACCGGAGCGTCTTCTTTTTCGCGTAGTTGTAGGCGGCCACGAGCTCGGAGGCGTTGGACACGAGCGGGGAGTATCACATGTAAAAATGTCTGGGTCTGGAAGAGTCATGCTGTCTTTGCATGACGCAGAAGGTCTGGCATGAGAGCTCTAGCATCACAGGTTTCGAGAAGCTTCCGCAATGCCGAACCCGCATGAGAAATCCCCCATTTTCGTGACAGAAGGTGGACAGCGACAGCTTTTGCTAACTATGCATGAGAGATTTTTCTGTGTTCTAAAATGCGCATCACAAGTTCGGATCCTTCCAGACCCAGACATTTTTGCATTTGATAGGGAGAGAATGAAGGACACGAAAAAGGGATTCACGCCGGACCGCTTGGCAAGCTCGTTGAAGACGTCGACCTTGGTGATTTTGAATTTTTTATTTTCGTTGAGAAAGTGGTACAACCGCGTAGAGATATTGGCTGTACAGGATATTGGCTGTCAAGTATTAAACTTGGAGGAGGCCAGCGAGTTGTTCTTTTTACTGCTTCGAGCAGGACACTTTTTGAGTGTAGATCTTCTCCGCACAAAAGTGAGAAAGTTGCACTTACCATTGGGTCCGAAAACGCGACGACGAATATTGTCCCGACGCAGCACATCTATGCATTGCAAATATGTCGTCCCGGTGGTCTGGAAGATTGCAAAACTTGGAACAACGTCGCCTGGCCGAGCGCGATCTTCGGTGAGAATGAGATGAACACGAAAACTTCAACTTTTCATGCGTCGTGGCTAGAGATTTTTTAATTCTACGATCTGCATCCACAACTTCGCATGAGGCGTTCCCAGACCCAGACCCAGGAGGAGACATATCATGCATAACATCCATGCGGCTTTTATTTTGATTCTTCTCTGCTGCTGCTCCGGAGAGAGGTGAGCTAATTCTTCCGGAATATCCTCCTGATTTTTGGATGAGTGATTTTATTTGCATCAACAGTGCTGGGAAAGTCATTTAATTATTCATTTCACAGAAAAGCTCTGCCGCTCATTTACGTGACAAATGAAGCATTTCAAGAATGATACATCCTCCCCATCGTCGGACTTGTCATCGCTCTCCGAGCTTCCTATCATCTGCAAAAGTATCGCACTCGTACCAATTGCAGCTATGCAAGACAGATCTGCTTTCCTTTTATTTGCTCTTTAGAATCGTCCTAAAAAATGGACGAAAAATCTAAATTCCATATTTTCTTTCCGAAAATGAATAAATGCAATTTCTAGTACGTGCGGCACTGTTTTACAAGGGATACTTCCGGCGTCGGATTTGTTCCCACCCCCACCATCTACGCTCATGTTGTCCAGATCCCCCACGTCACTGGTATTCGCGCTACTATTGTCGGTCATAACGTTTATGCCAAACGTGTTGCCCGGCGCGCCCATGGGGAAGGAGCCGACCCCAGGTTGCCCGAGGGGAAGGGTCCCCGCGTATGAGAGTGCGCAACGCCCGCTCTCCCTCATGATTTATTGGCATTTCTAGCAACAAAAACCACGTCCCGAACGGCGCACGAATTTATGAATATCAAGCTCACACACGGATGTTGTAGTGCAGTTTGGGCTTCCGGATCATGATGAACATGTGAACATGCACCTACAGGCAGGAAAACGCATCCAAACCAGGATTTCTTAGCTGCACCTTGATGCATACCTATAAATGAGGGGCGGGCGGGGAAGTTGTGTACTGTGATACGGCAGCCGCCTGTTTCACGATGTTGTATTGCTGGGCTTTTTTCGTCAGCGTCAGCATGCAATCTATGAACTCGCCGAAGCAGAGGTAGCCATTGTTGTCGGAGTCCATCCTAGTAAATATTGCGTGCTGGGCCTCTTTCGTGGCAGAAGACGACACCTGATTGATGTGTAGTATAGCAGATTTTTGTCATTCAACTTGAAGACGCAACAGGTTGAAAGTACTAGATGATGAAACGAAGTAATTACTAGGCTCAGCTCACGTAGTTCAGCGTTCTACTTGATTATATCTTCATCAAAGAAAAATAAGCTATCAGTCCTTTGAACGCTTTTATTATTTTTCTACCTCCGAGCAAATGACTCGGAATTCGTCGAAGTCTAGCTTATCGTCGCCATTCGTGTCGTATTTTCGGAAGTAGTATCAAATGCAAAAATGTCTGGGTCTGGAAGAATGCGCGATTTGTCATGCAGCTTTTCCCTGACCCATGAGGTCTGGAATGCAGGACCTAGCATGACAGATTCTGTGCGATCTCTCTCATGTCTATCCTGCATGAGAAACTCCCTCCCGACTTGGTCAAAACTGGACGACTTATGGTAATCATGCAACGCAGATTCCTGCCTGCTTCAGATTCAGAATGACAAGTTGCATTCTTCCAGACCCAGACATTTTTACATTTGATAAGTAGGGCCTCAAAACCCTTTTCAGCCTATCATACAGTTGTTCCTGGTGCTTCGCAGTCCCGCATCGAAGAAAAAAACAGTGTGGTGCCGTCTGTAAGTCAATGATGCGGATGAAAATGTTGCATAGCTGCACGACAGGTCCTCCGCAATATGCCAGACAAGAACGATGACGATGATGAGAATGATGGTGGTCTCCATCTGCTCCCGCGATTGAAGATAATTTCATCACGCACAACTAAATCTATGTCATCGACAAGTGGTCACGCAGAGAATATTTGCACGTCGTGCTGCGGGTACAACTAGCGGAAAACAATTTGAATGATCTTTGTGACTACACCTACAAAGTCTTTTTCTGCGATATCTCCTGCTCCATCAATAACGGCTCGGTGCTTCTTATCGAAAAGGTTGCCTGCAGGGACTTGTTGTGCGCCTTCGTGAGTCGCGCTACCTCCCCTAACGCGCCTTCCAGTGTGAGTGTGTTGGTTTTGATCGCGGTGGAGATGGCGTCGACCTGCTTCGCTATGGTGAATAAAAACCTCCCACCCTGTATCTAACATGCGAATCTGAATCATACCCAGATGGATGCCTCTCATGCATAGCGCCATTAGGAGTAGTTTCTAATGTTGTTCCCCATAATTTTGTGTCATGCTGTAATCAGGATACGATGGCCTACTTGATGCGATTCTTCGGCTGCACTAGCTAAGAACCACGAGGACCACACTGCCGCGAGAGAACCGAGAGCAAGCAAAACTTGAACTTCTTGATTTGTTTGGTACAATGACTACGGGGCCGTGGGCATGTTTTTACAGAGGATATTCGCCTCGACCACGTCGTTCTCCTGGGCTCCCTGGTACTGTCCATAAAGATACCACGCGAACCCGCACACGGCGAGACAAAAAGCCACCAAGACTGCGTAGTCCTGCAGCTGCTGTCCTTGCTCGTAGTCTATAATGCCCTTTTCCTCGTAGTAATTGCGCGCGAACGCGGCGCACTGTTGTAGAGGTTGTTTTGTTATCTTCTAGTACGTGGCTAGAATCATAGGTACTTGCTGACTTTTACTACATGGCTAGAAAATGCAACCACAATCAACATCAACGTCGACAAAAAAACATGTACTGGCTATAATATTTCTCCATGCCATCAAAGTCGCTAAATTGTAGAAAAAGAAAAACGACCATTCCACAGCAGAAATAAAAGAACAAACAAAAGTTGAAATAACGCGGTCGATTTCTGTACCTGGACTAGAATTGCCGGTACCAAGGTTCCGAACATGTACATGCAGTTTTCCTTAATTGTGGGCTTGCAGCTATGGCGTTCTCAACTGTTACACTCTCAACTGTTACTTACATGGAGTTGTGATGCAAGAATGGGAAAAGTGAGAGGGGGGGCATTACGCGTCTTGCATAACAGATTTGGCAGAGATTGTCATCCTGTTTGGCCCTTCCAGGATTTGTCATGCAGAACAGCTTGATCGTGTAGATGATCATGGTGCTTTTGCATGACAAATCATGTAACAGTTGAGAATGTAACATTTGAGAACGCCATAGCAGCCGACGGCCCCGTCGAAGAGGGTGGTTCCGGTAAACTTTTCCCAGTTGTCACTGCTCACGCCTGCGCGTATCAGAGTGCACAATTCTCCCCCCCTCTCTTCACACAACTCATTTGCTCTTCTTCCTATTTGCTTCCGCTTCAAATGCAAAATTGCGTGACAAGCTCGACCAAATTTGCGCATGGAGAGCCTGTTGTGTCATGCAAAAGCAACACTTCTGTGTCTGCCACGGCTCCTGGCGCTGCTGCTCATGCTCATGCCCACCTTCAAGTGAGGGGAAAATAAAGCGGGGGTCTTCGTTGTGCATTCTCATAGCGGGCTTCTTGTAGTTGAGAATTCCATTCTCCTTGTCGACGAAGTCTACTCTGCCGCCCAGCACGGAAACCCACCATGCAATCGTGAGAAGCATCACGGTTGACCCCGCAAGGGTACCCACACCTACGTAAATTTCTTCCGCAGCACTCGGACCGACCCCGGAAACGAGAACCTGTAGTTTCGAGCCGAAAATGGGAATGTGAAAATCCCACTTACATGATCCTGCGCTAATAAATATTGAGTACAAGAAGAACCCCAGCGACTTTTACAAAGTCAAAGTTCGTTGTGACATCGATATCTCCTAGCTGCAGGATCAACAACAAAGACTTGCTTCTGCGCAAAGCAACTTCGTGACACAGACGCTGAAGATGCCATCTTGCGCGTGAGTAACAACCTGTGTTCTGGTATGCTGGTGAAAAATGTTCGAACTTCAAGTTCAAGTGAATCCAGCATATTAAACGAATTGAATATCTACCATAACTCCGTCCGGAACTGCGCCCAGCACCGGTAGAACCACGGACCCTACTACATTGGCGAAGGCCGGCACTAGGAGAAGAAGTTCTGAGCCATCCGAGATGGTATCGCTGGCCTTGCACAGAACGTACGCATAGACCAGGCCTAAAAACACCAGCTGCGGGATGTTCAGATCCTCTGGGGATACGAAGGGGGATCCAATCAGCTCCGACATAATTTGAAGATGCTTCTACTCAGAGTTCTTGAAGTAGTTGTTTCAATAAAACCTCGATTTGAATTTTCATCACTTCTTGATGCGCTCTCATTTTCTTCACGACTACCGTAGTCTAGTACCACTACCCTTTCAACCGAAGCGGGCCATCAGGAATGGAACATGATAAGGGTAAGTAATGTGTGATATAGATAGTAGATGCGAAATTACATGCAGAATAGGGAAAGATCAAGACAAAAAATTACAGGGGTGTGACAACTCTTTTGCTTTTCATTCACGGGAAGGGTAGTGCAACGAGTTCTAGCGCTATGGATGATCTTTGACAGCTTTGTTGATGCTGATAGATAGTGGTTTGCACAATAAGTTACCGCAATCAGAGAAGGGATCATAAGATGCACGGCACTTATCTTTACCAAAAAAAAAGCGCATCTTGGATCGAAAATAAAAAATACTGGCGCAAGGGCGCACCGATCAATGCGATGCCATTGAAAAAAAATGCGGAACCGATTCTGGTACTAGTAGCAACAGCCACGTTGACTACGTCCCCGAGGGTCTAAAATCAAAATCGTAAATGCTTGTTCATCGCAACAAAGTGAATGTGCTAGGCCCAGGCCTAGCCCTAGGAGCGCCTAAGTAGTGCTTCATTAGATTTTCGGCTTCATTTTCGGAACGAAGCAAATACTAACGCTTGCCCCCCCGGATGCGCTCAACAGTCCACTCCACATTATACCTCGAGCATGTTTTGCTTTTTTACTTCTCCCGGAAGAAACCCGAAACAATAACAAACACGACCGAGTGCGTCTTGAAAATATATGTCAAAGGCTTTTTCGATGCATTCTCAAAATGGCAAACAACCGAAAAAACCAAGTCTAGACATGGTAAATTAATGGGCATCACCGATAATATTGCAAGAAACCTGGACCACATACTTAACAACCGAAGGTGCAAATGGAAATGGATTTATGAATTGCTGTTACGACGAATGGTAACCGAGGATTATATGACGTTATTTTTGGTAGCGTGAACGAACCCAGAACAATGCTCTTCGTCTTCTTCGTCGCTGAAGGTTGCATAAAACACGTATCATCTTTCACACACATGATCATGTAAGTATATTGGTTGTTATACAGGAATCTCAACGAGTGAATCTCAATACTATGCACGGCCTTATGCTAAAACACGAAGGAAATCTTGCGAAGTCTCTCATGTTAAAAGCGCGAATCCGTGTGGGGGCCCGACATTTCACCTATCAACTACCACGTTGTAGCCGATATGTCCCGAAGGACCGGGCTCCGAAGAGCGCTGGGGTAATTTGTCAGGGGCTGATCCGTCGCTTGGAATCAATGGGGGCGATCATCTCCTAGAGTGAATCAATGGGGGCGATCTCATCCTAGTTCGAAAAAGAGGAAAGGGTCATGACCAACTTTTGGATAAACCTGTGACCGAGCTAGGGAAACATACAAAAACGCGCCCAAGGTGCCGAGGTCCTCAACCACGGCGGGCAACACAGGCCGGCCGGATGGCCTTCATATGGAAAATGGCAAAAAAAACGAGTGAATCTCAACGGTTGCGCCCCAACGCTTTGAGACGCCTCAACGGATTCGCGAAGAGCTCAACGACTGGTCTCAACGGTCTGCGCACAGAAGAACTCCGTGGCGTGAAGGTGCGCATCAAGCCCGGGCAACAAACCTCTCAGAGGTCCCGCCAACACGAATGCCGGCGAGCGGGCTCATAGATAGTTAGAAAAACGCACAGAGGCTGCGCGCATAGTGAGACACAATGCACACAAGCCAACTACGGGGCGCGCAAAACGGGCCGGGCAACAATGAAGAGCACAGGAGAGCGACAAGAGAGTCGTCGGGCAGGGCAGCCGCCGCCGGCCGGCCGGCCGGCGGCGGCTGCCCTGCCCGACGACCTAAACCCCAAATCCTAAACCCCAAATCCTAAACCCGAAACCCTAAACCACTGCTGGCCGTTGAGATATATTTCTCAACGTTGAGCTGTGAGGTCTCAACGTTGAGATCCACAAGCACAGTTGAGATACCTGTAGTACAACCAAGTATATTGACCTGTAAAATGTGTCCACAACACAACTGGTGGCCTTTGCATTGCTCACACCACATCATTCAGGCACAAGCCGGGTCTCATTTTTCCGACACAGACTACTTGAAGAAAGCAGTACAATCGACATGGTCTTCACTATCAGCTTCGATTTTAGTACAAGATGCGAAAGTGTCTGCAGAGATCCACTTCGCTACCCCTCCCATTCCGGGGCAAAAAATAAGAAAGCACGACAGAGTGTTGTAAGAGTGATATCCGATGAAGAAATTTTGTGCAATTTTTTTCGTCCGTTTCTGTATTCTTGTTTCTCCCAACATATGTCGTAAAAATGGAGCACGAGAAGCTCCGTAATTCATTCATTAACCTGAATCTCATACGATCAGACATGGAGGTGGATGAGAGTCTAATTGAACAATGCGCTAGTGCTATTCTTGCAACGCAAACGCGTCTGGAGCCCATGAGGCGAAATACCACGAGGGAAAGATCTTCACCCGACAATATCACACAAACTGACAAACATCAAGCAGAAATTGCAGAAATTGGATTAGTATATACATTTCCTCATGACAGTCGCCCACCAGCTTGCTCCAGCGATGTCCGGCGCCTACGTCGGTTCAGAAGCTGCGACTCCGCCTGACGCAGAATGTCGGCCTCGGGGACGATGGGGATGCCGTTCTCGACGTCTTGCAGCGTCGTCATCAACCAGGTCGCATCCAAGTGGCCAATGGGCGGGCTTCGAACTCTTGCAGGCGACAAGGACGAGGCGACACCAGGGGACAGGGGCTCCTCTGCTTCTTGCGCTATCGCCAAGCAGTCCATACTCCCAGTTTTTTGATGTTCTGCGTGGGAAATCGAAATGCTTTCGTCGTGGCGAATTTTTACATCAGCAGTTTCAAGGGATTCCTCTTGCCCCCGCGCTCGCGATGACCAGACACACTGCTGCTGGTCTCGCGCGGCTCGACGCGCGGGCGGTAGAGCCATCGCAGCACTGCCGTATTCGGCATCGTCGTCCCGATGTAGTATAGCGGGGGCACGTATTTGTACATCGACTGGGGTCGTAATTGTACTACTATCGTGTAACCGTACCGCCCGAGGCTGCTGCGAGGATGCGACTCCGCGCGGAGCGTCCGGCACAGGCAACCGTGGCGAATTGTCGGCCGACGGTGCCCCGCTGCTCGCTCCGGCGTCTAAATTCCGTGCCGTCCTGCTAGCAGCAAGTTGCCTTTTCGCCTCGAGCTGTTCTTGTGCCACCAGGCGTTTCTTCGCGATGGAATAAAACGCATTCACCTCCGGTGGAAATACAACCACCTCTGGAAGCAGGGACGGAGCTGTTTCTTCTACCCGTAGTCTCGCGGTCCCCTGGAGGTCTTCTGGCGGCGCATCGTGCTTCGGGGGCACGACCCTGCCAGGGCTCAAAAGCGACCCACTTCGCTGCCGGTGGCCTTCGTGCGGGTGCGGGGCGCCGGCGCCGCAGTCGGTATAACCGGTCGAGACTGCTACTGACTGCGAACTTCTGGCGGGCACGGCTTCAAAAGGATCAGGACTCGTTTTTTGAGCATCAGGACGAGGTGTGGCTGTTGATGAAGATGAGGCTGCGCCAAGAACCACCGCAGCTGCTGCTCTACTGGCTGCAGACGAAGCTGCTCCTCCATAAGAAGAACAAGATGCTGCTGCACCACTATGTGTCGTCGGTGGATGACCTGCATTCATTTCGGTCGAGTAACCTGCCCGCGGCCACTGCCGCGCACTTCTGCTAAAGCTTCGAGGTGAAGCGGGGTCCTGTTGCTCGTCCTCTGTAAGGATCAGAATTCGCGGGATGCGCATGGCGACAGGCGGGCTGCTGGTTGTGGCAGAAACTGTGGCGCCGTTGACGGTGTCCTCGTGGGTGTGTGCTTCTCCTGGTGAGACGACGAGGGGCATGGTTGTACTAGAGCCACGGCCGCCTTCTTGGTCTTCAGAATGGTTAATGTGGCGGTGGGGAGAAAGATGAAGGGGGGAAATTTGAGCAGGACGTGGCGCAAAAAACGGTCGTTCCTCATGATGCTCACCCCCGTCTTGCGGATTCGCGGCCTCCAGAAGTGTCCTCCCTAGGCCAGGTGCTCGCGCGTCACCGTGTCGATAAGTGGCACTACCGTCTACTTCTTCGTAGCCGTTGCCGTTGGCTGATGTTGCATGTTGAGGTCGGCCCAGTAAAGAACTACTACCTCCACGCGCCGACGGGGGTTGCGGCACGAGAGTATGATATTGCACGGCAGGACACCTGGCCGCACTAATGATGTCCCGACTCGTGGGTGGTGCTGGCAGGTCCGCGGTATAACACTGCTCCGGATGTTGCTGGTGAGCTGGAGGAGGAGGAGGACGAACTTGCTGCATGTTGTCCATGTGCGACGTGGACGACGTCCCTGAAGTACTACAACCACGGCTAGCAGATGATGACGCCCCACTATTCATCTTTGCGCGGAAGTAGCCTCTGCTAGAAGCGCCTGTAGTTTTCCCGCCACCAACGAGGTTATTCACAGTCCGAGTCTGCGCCAAGACGCGGGCTGCAGCTGATTGAAGCGTTGTGCGAGGCGATGTTCTATTTACAGACGCAGAAGCTGCCGGTGCGACGACACCAGGAGCGCTCGCTCCGGCGCAAACGCCGGTGGTGAGGGTCGTTGCACCTTCGCACGAGCCTCGGCCGGCCGATGGGTGAGGCGTGGAAGCTCGTCGGGGGGAAGAAGAGGTCGAGCTGCGGGACATCGGAACCGATAGCGACACTGCATTCTGTGGGCCAAGAAACAACGTCGAAGGGCAGGAAGTCGATCCTGCTGTACTGGAAGGAGGTCGATCTGCCGCCGCTGCGACTGCGGTACCACCAGTAGGCGTTGCTGCAGAACTGGCAGAATCGCTTGCGCCTGCTATTCTGGGCCAAGTGGCTCCCCAGTCAGGAAGCTGGTGCTCGTGCTGCTGCTGCAGCTCGTCAATTATATTTTGCAGATCTGGAAAAGTTTCGTGTGGTTCCGTCGCACAAGCTTGTTGCTCACCAGCAGTAAGAACTTCTGTAAAATCCTCGTCTGTTGAGCTTGCCGGAATCGTCGCACCATTCGCTCTTTCGAGAATCGCACGCATGTACGGGGATCGGCTTTGTGGGATGAAACAACATTGTGAGGAGCGCTGGTCCGCTGACGAGGACGGCGCTGTGGAACGAGGACTGGGCAGGTAGCTTTGCGGTGGCGCTGCTCTGCCGAGCTTTCCCAATCGGAGCCCTTCCACGGCCGGCCATGAGGCAAGAGCAAAGAGCCTCGCGCTGCAGCAGCAGAGTCGAATTAGAGCACCTCTGCTACTACCCATGATAGCTGCTGCACAAGAAGTTTCGCTTGCAATATAAGTATGGTCGCCCTCACCGGGGAATAGTGGATGAACTAGGTTTCTCCGGGCATCTGAGGTGGTCAATCGGCCTCAACAATTTCAGACGTTGGATGCGAGAGCCATCTTTTTCAACATAGCTGACATTTTATCTGCTGGTCGTCAGTTGGATGATTCAAAACTCAAAGCTGTGTAATGCAAATGTGCCGAGAAGGAAACAGCGAAGAGAATAAACACGAGCTGTACTTGTAGCACTTCAGCCTCAAAATGCTTCAAGTTCAAACCGAAACTGTGTGAACAAGAATGAAATCCTGAAAATCATTTGATGCCATTTTTTGTTCGTTGTTTTTTCATTTTTTTCAAACAGGCTGAAAAACGCCGTGACTGCATTCGAGCTATGTTACATCTGCATCACATGAGCAGTCGAGGTAGACGGAGGTAGCTACTTGTTCGTATTGTAACATCGAGGCCCATCTTCTGTGGGAGAAAATTCTACTAACCTCAATATTCTTAACGAGGGGAAGGAGTTCTACTTTCTTTACGAGTTGTAGAAAAAACCATATTGAGGGTAGGCACTAGATCGGGGTTGTTCCTAGCATCTCGGAAGCAAGCACGACCAGATCGTACATCTAGTTGTAAAAACCCTGTCCCTGTGGCAGCAACCATGTAGAGAAGCTGCTCCTAGAGCTCAATACTGAAGGAGTCGGTCACAAAACATCAAAAGAGGATGTCAGCACAATTTTGGTTACACCTGCAAAAGGTGACATCGTTGGTGAAACCCCCGACATGTGACAGTACATCATTATTGAAATTTCATTCGAGAAGAATAGAAAAAAAAACTAAATCTTCTTTTTCTATAAAGTGTTCGTGGCGCCGTTTATCCGGCTGGAACTGGTGTATTTCTTATAGTCAACGTCACGATCACCGTGCTTCTTCACTCTACCGGTGAAGTAATATTCGTGGACTGCGAAACGGCAGCGGAACCGTCTCCAATCGGAGGAGGTTCAAAAGTTCTCGTATCTTCTCCGTCTGCCTCCGTCTTCTTGCGTTTTGCTGCAGCCGTATCGTAGGAAAAAAGTGTCACAGTTTTTACGTGCACACTTTTGCACACCGCTTTGTTAAGCATCACAGTCACAAATTTGATATGCACGACAAGAGAAATCTGCAATGCGGAAAACGCACGGTCAAGGGATAAAAACTACATGCACATCGACTACTAGCCTCCTGAGTCTTTCCCGAATGGCACCAGAGCTTCATTTCTACTGTGCTGAATGTACTGCAACACGAGATCATTGTGCTGGAAATCTGTGAAACGCCTTTTTCCTCCGCATACGTCGCTAGCTCCAAGTAGTACTGGCGCTTTTTGTCGGGAAAGATCGGCAGTTTTAGTAAATCGTACAAAAACCAGTCCACATCGAAAATTGGCGCCGCGAAATTCACGGAGACCTTCCGGTGATGCTCGCCGTGCTTGAAGGCGGAGACGAAAATTTCTGGGAAGTAGGCCTCGGAGAAGGACTCTAGCAGTGGGAAATGAATCAACAAGTTCGTGAGCGAGATCATCCAACCCGCGGTGAGGAGCTCCACCGGCGCCGGGTTGACTACGACTGTGCCGACCAGGATCGGAAGCAAGTAGGCGAACAGGTACTCCGCAGGGCTGACCGCATTCGCCGCCATTGGCACCACGTCGTTGTGGAACTTGTGGTGGAAACTGTGCATCCAGTACAGCCGCCGCGTATGCATCAATCGGTGTGCCGTGTAGTAGCCGAAGGCCTGGATCACCAGAATGCCGACGATATTGCGCGTCACGGAGTACACCGTGCCGCTGTTTTTGCAGTAGGACACCGACATGTCCAGCCAGAAATTCTTGGCAGCTGCGAAATCATCAGCGTTCAAGGAGAATACGTTGTCCAAGATGGGGCTACGACCACCGCCTGTGCTGGAGCTGAAGTTGCACTCGTAGTTAACCATGACCATGTTGTACATGACATAGAGGAAGGAGAGTGGAGCCAGAAAGAGGACGTTGATGACATTATACAAGACCGCGGTCTTGTACAGATCTTTCGGCACCTTCCGCACCGTTCGGTAGCTGAGCAGCTCCAGGACAATGGTAATGAGTAGCGAACCCAGCGTGACCTTGAGCACTTCCGCGAACCCCAGCTGTAGCTTCTGCAGGTCCACGTGCCCCGCCAAGTTATCGAGGTGAGAGAACATCCTTCCGGGAGCTGATAAGATGGTACTTCTATTGCCGACGCCGGGAAATCATGGCGGGGCAAAAAATAAACAAATTATATTCAAAACGAAAACTTATTTTGGATTCTCTTCGATTCGTGGACAAATTAAAGTTATACCCTGATTCGCGCTGCCTGTGCTCGTCAGTGGGTATGATCAAAAAAAAAAAGTGTATAACGCAAAAAGGGTTGGCAGCTTAGAAGTACTGACTACTATACTTGAAAGTGTTAAAGGAGGCTCAGCATCTACGAATTTGGTTACACAAAATTGGCAATTTGCTAGCTTATCCCTTTTGTAAAAAAACAATCACCAGTGGGCTAAAAATAGCTGGGGGGGAGTGAAACTAGTTCATGAATGGGAGATAAAGAACGTAAGGGAAAGGCGTTGCAAATTGAGCAACTACTTGCCTGTGGTCAATGCCAATAGAAACGATGGTACCATGGCTCTTCGGATTATAACGACGATGTCGACAGTGACTAGACTAGGTGGTAGGAAGGGCACGACTCGAGGAATCGTCACGAAAAAATTCAAAAAAATGTGGAGAGAAATAATTTATCATTTTGGAAAATGACCGATTTCCGAACGACACAAAGTTTCGAGCTTCTACTGCAATACCACCATCAAATACCAGAACCGCTACCGCGCGTTCTTTGCTCGTTGTGCATACACGGCCGAATCGTTTGAACCGACAGCGACTATGTGGCACATGATCACTTCGAGAGTTTTCAGCCTTTCTTGGGGTGGAGATGAATAAAAACCGATCCACTTCCTTGTTGTCCACTAGCTGTCACCCAGGTTCCTATTTATACAAAGACTGAGACGCAGCTAATGTCTTCGAACACAACGACAATATCCTCAGTATCCAGGCATAAGTGCCGACATCGTAGTAGGATTATCGACTCTGCGACGCTTCGGTTTCTCTTTCTTTTATTTTGCTGTTCACGTATATTTTCCTTGCTAGGGCTTTGACAAACTCGTCTGCGATCTTCAAAAAATCGCTTAATATGTTGCAAATGTGCGATCATCTAGTTGTACACAATAGATTTATTCGTTCCTTTTGCTGGCAGAAGAGCAGCTTTCTCCGGTCGTAGAAATGCTGCGCTGTTCTTCGTCATCCCCGCTTCTGTTGCAAATTAAACCAGTGGTTTTTGAACTCCTTTTGTCCAAGAAAAAAACTGTGCTACTGGAATTCCTCTCCTGTTCCTCCTTCCTTTTTCTCTTGGTCTTGGACTGACCGCATGACAATCTTTTTCTACGTATTTAAGTACACGCACCGGGCGTGCACCCGTGCGGGACGGCCTGGACTTACCCGAAAAAAGAAAACTGCCATGTTGAGACTCTAAGGGAAGGGCGTCCCTGTGTAAGTAGCGTCAAACAGTGGCATAATGTGAGGAACTAGTACTAGAAGTCGCATGGCATGCCAGATGTGCAAATTGATTGTCGTCTTCTAATCTATGTTCTGCAACGTACTACAGATTGAGATCATCCACTAAGCACAATCTTTTTTGTTTTGGGTAACTTTTTTCTCAGATACAGCACCACCCCCTTGTCCAGCACCGGTTTCTTCTCCTTCATATACGACTCGCTAGTGTCGATGCGATGACACAAATTCGGAATTTTACACGCAAATCGGTCGCTCACGGTCAGGATCGCGGTCCACTCGTCGGGACAGTGGAAACGTATCTGCAGTGGCGCGGCTGCTGGATTGTCGTGGTCCCTTCTAACCGCCTTGAAATCAACATAAATTTTGACGTGCGAGTCGTTCTGGTCCCATCCAAATTCCAATGGAATGAAAATTTTGTCCTTGGTCAGGTCCATTGATGTTCCCGCTTCATCATCCTTGTTCTCCTCGTCTCTTGAGGTTGGACGAGGTCGTTTCGCCTTTATTTCAGAAGATTGAGATTCACCGACAGCCTCTTCATCTTCGAGTGCTACTTCACCGGCCTGGGTAGCAGCTGTGCTGGTATTTATCTTCGCCGCTGCGTCCCCGCCCGAGGGGGCCGATACTGAGTCACAGTGTCTGCCTTCAGCGTTCTCCACGAGGGAGGCTGCTGGCGCTGGCGGCATAGGCATCGTGATCGTGGATAAGTAAATTGAAAAGTTAAAGTTCTACTTGACGAACAGACTTTTGTAGATCGTTACCGTACTTAATCGTCGACGCCTGAGGAGGGGCGCAGACCTCGCGATCATAGCACTACGATTGCCTAAAGTGATCAATGTCAAAAATCTCGGAAAAAAATATAAAAATAAAAGCGTTGCTGGAAGTAATCGATAGGAGAAACAACTGAGGATCGAAAAAGCATAGAGGCTCGAAAGAACATCGATGCGTAGTCATCGTTGCTGCCGCGAGAGGAAATGGAGGAGCTGTGCCTTGTCACCGATACAACTGTATGCGAAGTCGGTGCTTTAGTCGTTTGATTCCGTTCGTCTCCGACTCTCTTCCTGTCGTCTTCATCGATTCATCAACATCATTCAACTCACCGCAGAATTCTTCTGTTGATACGTTTATTCTTGTTTCTGGTTTTCCTTCTTTATCCTTCTCGAGCAAAAAAGCTTTTTACAGGCAGAGAAGTTAGCTTGAGCTTTCGCTTTGAATACAGGAAGAGAAATTATGCGACATTCTTCAAAAAGTGGTATCCGATCATGCGAAAAGATTTGAAGGTATTAATTTTACACGGTTGACTCTTCGATGCACTCGAATAAAACAAGAACCGCTTACTCACTTCTACTACCTGCTGCTACATCTTATGTTCTCGTAAAACCGAGAAATATCAACAGCAGAGACATGTTTAATATAGCAGTAGGATCAAATTCACGAGACAGGAAGAGAAACTGTACGACTGCCTCAAGTTGTTCATCACAACTTCGACCTTGTACCTGTACCAAGATCGTCCGCCGAGGAAGAACCAGAAGCCGGTGCTGTTGTAGAATTCTCCATTCCTAGCACACTTCGCTTGTAGTATTCTAGGTCCCGCGCGTCCCTGGAGGAAATTATCTCCAGTACCTGGTCGCATTCCGTCCCATACAAGGGCGCTGCCTCCGCGTGCAGCCGCCGCACCTCCAGAATGTACGCCGCGTGAATCTTGTCCACTAGCCGGTCGATTTCCCGCTTCGGGAGGCAGTTCACCTCCTCCTGCGTTAGGTACAAATCCTCGTCGCTGTTGTAGGTGGTCATCCTCTTATCATCGTCCTGCAGTTCAGGCGAAGCCGGCGTGCCTTTGCTTTCGCTTTTCTTGTTCCCCCCGAACATCATGATCCCGCCTGCCACGTCGCTTCGCCTCACCTTGACATCGACCATGCGGCCGAAGACCGACGTCAAAGGCACGTCCCGGCGCGGGATCAAGGGGAACAGAGTCGAAGCCTTGCTTCGCACCGCGGGGAAGCTCACGCCCGTGAGCCTTTGCAACTGCAGCTGGCGACTTCTCCACGCGACCGACACCGCTTTTTGTTGGTAGAGCGAATTCTCCCCGAAGCCGAGCACCGGAACCAGCGGTTTCTGTGCCAACAACGCAATGCGGACGAAACCCTTTCGGTCTTTGAGCACCAGCCGCATTTTGTTGCGCGGGCGCTGAGGTTGACCGTCTAGTAGGTGGCTTTGATGCTCTTTTTCGTCTTGTTTTTGCACTTCCATGTGACCTTCGTCTGGTGCAGAAGTCGTATTGTTGTCGAATTTGAACTCGGTAAAGAGAGCCTCCAACTATCCTGTTCAAAAGTAGAAGTACTATCGCACAACTTCGCGTAAATTCATTGCAATCATGAATGGATCATTTTGACAGGCCTATATTCGGTGCTGTACGCTCGTCAGAATTTCATCAAATTCCATTTCTCATCATGTTTTATGAAAATTTGAAATGCGCAAATTTCCATGAGTGAGAAAACACAACTACTTTTCTTGCAATGGATACTAAGGCGCCACCGACCACCAGTGCGACCGAACGGTTTTTCCGGTTCAATTGCTCCAACAGTGGCTTCTCGCTCGCGGAACACACACCGTACACGTTGAGCAAGAACTCGCGCAAAACTGGGACTTGAAACACCGACTCGATGCCGCCGAGCCTGTATTACAGCGAAAAATGCCGCCGCCCCTTCACTTGGCAGCATTTGTGTTGCAAATCTTTCCAATGAAAACATTCTCCGTCTTGCATCTATCAGCATCACAAATTTTCCATGCTGAATAGTGCAAATCTGTGATGCAAAGGAGCCGAACAGAAGGCGGATCTCTTATGCAAAAGATACCTTTCGTGCCTAGATTCTGCATCAGAAATCCTCGTGCTCCTTTCATGCAAGACAAAAGTCTTTCATTTGGAAACTTTGCATGAGAAACTTTTGCAAACTTCGGGGTGGCTGCATTTTTCCCTGTAATAGCCTGGATCGGAAGTTTTTGCCCAAAACGTCCTTCAACAAATACCCGGAGAGCACAAACGCGGTCCCGTTGCAGAGGTTCAAGACCCCGTGCGGGTGGCAGCCAAACACGAAGTTCCGCTCCGCGCCGGTCAGGAGCAGGTCGCGCGACGTGAACACGATCGTGTGCCCGTTCTTCTTTAGCTGCAGGGATGAGGCGGATGTAGTTGTGCTACTGGTGCTGATCATATTTGAATACGGAGCAGAGGAACCGGAAGATGGCCGTGCCTGTTCTTCCGGATATGCAGCCGCTCTTGCACCGGCCTTCGTACCTTCTTTGCCCGCCCCGGCCAGCAGCGCCTTCGACACGACCGCGGCCGGCGGGTGGTCCCCGCTGAGGTAGCCGATCACGTTTTATGAGAGTGCAAAACTAGTAGGTATCCGGCCCCTTGACGTTGTTCCGAGCCTGTGGTCAAGTGCTGGCGGGTTGTAGCAAGAGCATAAAACACGAAACTTTACAAATCCAAATGCACGTCTAGACTGTACTGCTGTTTCGGATCGTAGTGGTGTCAGAGCGTGTCAGCGTCGCGAAAGTTGTAGCTAACAAGTGCTTGCGTCGATATTGCAAATAAGTGAACATCGGGGGGGAGTCCTTTTTGTTGTGCACTCTCGTTGCGTACCTTTAGTGGGTTGATCAGAACCGGTACGCTCCGGCACAATTTGTCCAGGCGAAATTTTTGCAGGACCGTGCGAAACACGTCGGCCCCGTCTGCGTAGATTTGTTGCTTCGGGTTCAGCGACTGCAGGTAGGCCATGAAGATGAAACTCGCCACACTCGGGGGGAAGGTCTTCGCGGTTTTGTAAAACAAAAAAAACGGCGCAAAACCCAAGTGCACGCACAGGAGCAACACGTACGCGAGTTGCGGGAGGTGCTGGAAGACCGGCAGGGAGAGCAGAAGCTTCTCGTACCTCGAAATGCCCCACATCTCGTCCTTGGCCAACGGAAGAATCAAATGGTCCGTGTTGGAATCCACATAGAAACGAGAGGAAAGCTGCCGCTGGTGCTGCCATGCTGCCCGGGAGGACGGAGAGGAGTTTCTTGTTCGGGAGTTTTTTCTCTGAAAAGATGTTGAATCTTCTACCCGTCTACTACTGCGCAACGCGTTAGGTACTTGTTCGGTCGAGTTGTCGTGGTTTAAGGAATTTACCAAAGATTGTTCATCCAGCTCTGCTGAGTCATCTCCGCTTGCTCGTCCCACAGACGGTGCGGAAGATGAAGGTGAGGACGAACCTGACGTAGTTTTTGCTCCCTCCCTACTGCTACAACTGCTACTTTTCATCTCCGGCGACCGGTGCGGCACCTGGTACTCGGCGACTCCGGACTGCGGCAGGCCACTCCAGGGCTGAACCACCACGGCCTCCTCTGGATTATCCGGTTTGCAGTCGACGGTAAACGTGACGCCAAACGCGGAAATTGTATCTTTGGGAGTCCGCCACTCGTGCTCGCCCTGTGACAGAAAATTTTTCTCTTCCTCAACAGCAGAACTTGCTGCAATAGCGGTTCTACTATTCCTCTTCATAATCCCGACTCGCTCAGCGGCGACTTCATCTAGCGTGATCGTAGGTTTCTCTCCATTGAATTTCGTATTCGTTGTTTCTTGATCTGTTTTTTTCGCTTCTTCTTGAGTGGAGCAAATTGCTGAAGCAGATGCGCAGAAAGAAGTGACATTAGGTCGAGGTACAGACTCTTCCACTCTGTCGCCGGAAGCACAGGGTGGTCGTGAAATAAAGGCTCGGTCCTTGTCGACAGAGTTGTCGTCCTTGGAACTTGTTCCACGTCGAGACATGGTTTTTCTTGACTGAAACAAGAACCTTGGATAAGCTGCTGCAGTACTTAGACTAGGACGTACCTCGCTGGCCGTAGCCTCTGCCACTGCCTCTCTTATCTCGTATATTCAATTTATCATCGTTGTGCGGCAATTCAGAACCAGAGATGATGTTCTACTCGTCGTTTTCTCAGAAGAAAGGGCTTCTACCCGAAGCTTCGAAGTAATGTAGCAAGAGTTAGGTCCTGGCTGCGGATAAATCAGAATGAAACAAAGTAGAGTTGTACACGAGTCAAACGATGGTAGTGGCTCGGTACCTACAACTCCTCCTGCTCCACTCCGCTCGCCATCGCGGTCAGCGAAGAGGCGATAACTGAAAAAACAAAAAGCCTTGAGAAAAAAGAACTCTCCGGCTCACAATCTTCCTCACGATGAGTCTCTCAGATGGATCATAGCCATACACAAGCTTCGACGTCGAAGGAATAGCTACTTGTAGCTACTCGGCCAAGATGATCGATGGAGCTCGTGCAAACAAACCCCAACTATTAAAAACCCCAAAAAATAAAAGCCCATGTATTACCACACGAATGTCGTGCAGTATGGCTCATAGCCGTACTACTGGCGCTGCTCGTCTATCGAGCAGATTGTCTCCTTTTGGAAGTACTTACAAGGTGCGGTCTGCAGATTTACGTCAAGGAAGACGAAGATGAGACGTCTTTTGAACATCAACATGGCACTGAACTCATCCTTATGTAGAACTAGCTCCAGAAGAACCAGAAATCGTGAACGGCTTCACCTCATCATAGGGCACCGCCCGATCCCGCATCTTCTGGATCGCCGCGTTCCACGTGGCAAATTTGACTTGCTGGTCGACGGGCAGCTTTTCCATGTCTGTCGCAAAGTGCTTGTGCAACTTCCTGATCTCGTCCTCCGCACCGTGCTTATACTTTTCCTTGAAATACGTCTCTCGCCAGAGCTCCTTTTGGAGCTGACAATCATCCGCATACAACTGGTCAAACTCGAACTGCAACCACGGTGGGTTCTTGATTTTCGTGGTCACCCGACCTCCAGGAGCTTGGTTGTTTTGCGACTTTTTACTTTTCGTTTTGTCCTGCTTTTTTTTCTTCTCGGTCAAAACTTTTTCGACGACAATGCCAGCCTTGAGCAAGTGCTTCCAGCACGGTTCCTTGGCGAGTTTGTCCACGTTGATCTGCACCTTATTGTCGAACACTTGAACTCGTGCCGAAGCCGGGGCAATCTTCCGTAGTAGTTTCAAGTCAAGACTGTAGGTGCGCGGAGGTGGAGTTGTCGTGGCAGGCGTAGAGGACGACACGGCAGTAGATGTTGTAGCTGCTGCATCAACTTCATTGTCTTTCCCCTTTTTGCCTGCTCCATGAAAGTCTTCCTCACTTGATACCTGGGCCGCCACTCTATCACACTGGTACTGGATGCGCGTGTCGGTAATTTGTGGCATGCGCGCAAAGTTTATCTTTCCCCTGTCTGTGGCGGACAGAGCAGCGTAGTTTTTGTTCTCGGCCTGCTGCTTGCAGCCCGGCGTGTGGATCGTGAGGAAAAGTGTATCGGAATTCTGCTGCCAGGTGACTTTCGGCTGCAAAGGTTTATTTGTATTTCTTGCTGCGACCCCGGTGATATGATCACTTTCATCAGCTGCGCCAGGAGGTGATTTTGAGGGCGAGGCACTGCTACCGCTGGCTTTTTTGGCCGTCGACGTTGTACCTGATTTAGCCTTTCCTGTGCCCTTTTGACTCTTGTCTGTTTTTGTAGATTTGGACGCCGCGACGACGCCGGGCAAAAACTCAACTTGGCTGCCGAGATGATGAAAAACATTCACGACCAAGAACATCGAGCGCGACGAGAAAAAACCCATGGCAGACGGTGGAGACCAACCACACCGCTGAAAAGAAAAACCGGATCGCCTTCTGGGCCTGGTCCGCGTCTCCGTCATGGTAACAAGAACAACTGGTAGTTATAGTGGAAAGAAAATGATAAAAAAGCAAAAAAACTTCCTTGCTGCAACATGGCAGAGAGAGCAAGTAGATCGAGAGATGCTGACGCAGATCCCGTGAAGATTTGATTCCTCTGCAAGCAAGAGACGACGAATAAGTTAATTTTAAAAAGTGCAGCAGCGGCTTCAATTTATTAATATGTACAGCACGACAAGGCATCGCCAGACTCCGTTGCCAACTTGACCAAATAAAGGAAAACAAAAGAGAAAGAGAAGACAAAATCGAGCACAGGAAATCAATGGATCTGATAATCGGCTAAGTAGGTAAAATGTAAATGATCCTGAGCGTACGACGCGATCTTCGCTTGAAAAACGTTTGCGCCTCCCGGCAAATGAAGCGATGTCTGCAAACGAAGTGGGCAAAGAGAAAGAAAGGAAGAGCAGGCACGCAAGAAAAAGGCTCATCGAAAGATTCAGATTTCTCCCGAACTGTATGCACGACGGCTCATGCCGAAGTAGGCACACTGGACACTGTTCTGTTTCTGTAGTTTTTCCAAAAGAAGTAACGTCCTCCAACGCGGGTTGACCACCTGGTAGGTTCTCTTCACCCACACCCGACGAAACTTTGTATTTCATGTCTGGCCGAAACGTGATAATCGGCGCAGCTAGCTGCTGCGTTTTTCATTCTCGGAATTTTCATTTTGGGTCCGTAGCAATGCACTTCTGGTCTTTGGGTCTTGGCAGGTTTGTCGTAGGCCGTGGCCACCACCACAGCAGGCTTAAGTTCATTTCCTCGACTTCAGATGAACTCAATACCAAAACCAATGATCAACGATCTCAAGAATCGAGAAGATACTTAGACGGAAAATATTCTCGGAATACCATCTAGATTAACGTGCACATGCAGCCACTCGCAGTATCAAATATTTGGCGCACGCGCACTCGCGGCATGATAGATTCATGATGATGATTCTTTAGTTGTAGTCAACAGGAACATTTATGCGCCACACGGTCGCTGGAATACCACTTACAAAGTCAAGTGAGTCTAATATCGCTTTCCGTTTCCGTGCCAAGAAATCTTCTTCTTCACACAAATATAAGATCTGACTTTTTTTTTCTCTTGTTTCCACTACCCAATTTGCACATCCAATCCGTCCGTTCATCCAGCTACCTCCGCAACAAAGCGGAATTTGCGATGCCGATCAGGATGAACAGAAAGCTCGACAAAACGAAGGGCAGCAGCAGCGATACCGCACCGGCTGTGTGGTCGACGTTGTCAAAGGGTACTAAAAGGTCGGCCAAGGTGTATTTGCGCTCCGCAAAGCGCGTCCCGAACAGGTTCCCCAAAATGCCCCCAATGCTGGCCATGACCGCCAGCAGGGAGAACAGCCTTCCCTGGTACTGCTGCGGGCAGTAAACAGTGCTCAAATGCTGGAAACAAACCTTCAGCAGAGCGCCGTTCGCCAGGAAGAGAAGGATGAAAGCCGTGTGAAAAGCGCCGAAGGTAGACACCCTGGTGGACCACGACAAAAATACCGCAGAGGTGCCAGTACCCTGTTCGACGTGAACGTCAGGTGTCGTGGTTGAAAAATCAAGCGGTACCGAGAGTTGTGCACTGAATTCCAGAAACGCGAGACAGCAGCTGAGGCCGCACAGGACCGGCAAAACAACCGAGGTCCTCGCCTCCCCGAGTAGCTGCGTTAGGCTGGGGTACACCAAAGTCGCCAAAATTACGGCGACCTGCCCACCCAGCTGCAGATACGCGAGCTCGTGACTGTCCCAGTTCAAGGTGCTCTTGATGTGCAGCGGCCACAAAACCTTCGCGACTGTCTCGCCGAACGCTTGCACCACCATTCCGAGCAGTAAGAGGCAAATCGCGGAGCACTCACGCCTTGTCAGTGCGTTGCTTTTTACCACAACGTCGGCTGCTTTGTCGAGGTCAGCTCTGCAAGCAAAACTATCCAGCTCCGTTTCATGTCCATGTGGCGACGTAGAATTATTCTTAAAAGTAGTTTTACTTTCTTCAAGTATTCGGGCACGAGATGTTCTTGTCCCTGCTACTTGATAGGCTTGTTTTCCACGACTAGCAGCTCCGAAAACTACGGCTTTTTCCGGCGTGCAAGATTCCTGCGAGGCGACGGGCTCGTAGCGACAACCTTTGTCACTTTTATTCCCACCCTTCATCGTGGTTTTCTTCGCCTTCTTCCCGTGCAGGAGGCTTTTATCTCCTTTTACCATGACAAACTCGTCTTCCACGATCTGCTCCGATGTGTGTGAAGAGTCTGAATCTGAATTATCCACCCCGCCTTCATTTTTCTTCGCAACGGGGGACGACGCCGCTTGGAGGTCCTCACATTCTCCTCGTTCCCCTTCCTCCGGCTGAAATCGTGCGACCATGAAGAAAAACCCGAACACGCAGAACACACTGCACACGCCCATGTGGATTCGGTCTCGCAGCAAGCGGTTTGCTGGTTCTTCCGAGGAAGATGTTGACTGCGGGTTCGTCACTGGTGCCCCATCTCTGTGAAGAGAACTGTGCTGCGAAACGAGAAAGCCGTGCTGCTGCGCCCACTGGAGGAAATAGTCGAAACCCGGGTAGCAGCTGGTTCCCAAAAGCCGCAACGTGGCCACCTGTACTGTGAAACCGCTGACCGCCACATCTTTTTTCTCACTGGCCAGCGTGACATAGGACTGCACGACTGTCCAAAAATTCACTGCACCAAGACCCATAATAACGTGCGCCAGGTAGAGCCAGAAATGACTAGAGGAGGTGATGGACGTCTCGGCACCGGTACTGTAGTCGTGTGTTTGATGCAGAAACCTCCTTCGCAAAAGCATCTCGTCATTGTGCGCGGCGAGGGCGGAAGCCGAGCCGGTATGAAGATCCATGCTGCGGTCCACATCTCCGCGTTGAGCTAGTGGCCGTTGCACAACTGACGATCCAGAAGTCGTGCCTGTGTCACTTAAAATCACGTTTCCAGCAGTTGTAGTGTGGAGCTGATGTGACGGCGCGAATAAATCCTCCTCCATCCGTACTGGCGCGAATCCACGCAGCAGGCAGCCAAAGGCGCAGCAGCCCGCGGAGATAACGCAGGGGAGGTAGGCCGAGTTCTTGTCCAAGAAGTACCCGTAGATCGGGGTGACAAATAACCCGCCCACGGTCGTGATAGCGCCGAAATTCCCCAGTTCGTGCATCGTGGCCTTCAGCTGGAGGAGGAAAAACGTCGTGACCGGCTCATGCAGTGCCCCGCCGAAGGAAGCCACCCAAATGGCCAGCATCGGGGGCAGCAGGCGGGCCCGGCTGTTTCGAGCCGAGGAGCAAATCTGGGAAAGAAACTCCCATTGCTTCGTCAAGAAAGAGGAACGATCAACATCCGCTGGTGGTGCTGTCGCGCCAGCGGGGCGGGCCCCGACAGGAGCTTCATCCGCAGCTGTGCTAACTACCGCAGCGCGGCTTTTCGACCTAATGATCTCAGAAGCAGGAGAAGATGTTCTTGTTTCTGGTGGGGCGAGGACCCTTTCTGCTGGATGCGAACGAGAATCCTCGCAGGGATTCCGAGATGACATCGTTTTCGTTTCTTGTCTTCAGCTAAGCAGATACACGGCGGCCACCGCGAAGCTGGGATGAGAAAAGCAAAACAATAAGGCAGGGTATCTTATTAAGTAATTTCCGGTCGGCTTGGTGAAACCGGTGAACTACTGCCGAAAGCCGAAAAGAACGAAAAACTCTGAAACAAACTCAAACAGACGACGGGACGGGTAGCGGAACAAGACGAAAACGAAGCTGAAAACAATCACGGGAAGAGTACAACGCATAGATACACTTGATGTTGCAGCTCAGCAAATGATCTGAACATCATGCGAGCTTGTGCCTCAATCCCGGTAGAGGTGCTTAACGCATATCAGCATCTGCGTCAGAAGTCAGCTTGCTGTTAAAAAATAAAGGTTGACAGTAAATTCATCGAAATGTTGAAAATCGTACAGCAACAGCAGCACAGTAGCAAGAGAACTACCGTCGGCACATCTGAGAGCGGACGGAAGTTGTTCGGAAACAATGTGGTGCTAGTGATGTCCGCGAGCAGTACGCTCGCAGAGCAGGTGTAGTGTTACACAAAGCTGTACATCAAATGCTGTTCTCGCGAGCAGGCGCTTCTTCGCGGCTTCTACGTGGTCGCACTGTTGATTTTTCGGTGTTTCACAAAGAAACATCCAACAAAGCCACGACAAACTTCTCATGAAACAAATTTAATCTCTACATTTTTTGATAGACACGTACTTACTTCAAAACGTGGGGTAGCACTCGATGCCAAAAGAGAAGATCGACGTGAAGATGCTTGCACCAGAACGACGACCTCATTTATCAGGTGTAGTAAGCCTGGGTGCGCATGCCTACGAAAAGTTCTGTGCATCAATATGATTATGAATCCACATGCACTGCATCAATCGGCACAGGAGCTTTCATCTTTCCCCGTCCGGCAGTAGCAGCAGGAGACTCGCTCCTATGATGGCCATGCCGAAAAGCCAGCTGATGGTAACGACGGCGTCCTTCGGGTCGTAGCGATAGGCCGTTGGGAGCAGCTCGTGCAAACTAATGTAGACCATCATGCCCGCCACCAAGGCGAAGAGGATCCCGTAGATGGTGCCATTCACTTCGTCAAAGCCATACTTGAGAAATGCCCAGCAGAGTAGCGCCGCCAGCGGTTCGCTCAACCCGGAAAACAACCCCCAGAAAAAGGCTTTTCTCCGATTGTTCGTGGCGTAAAACACCGGGATCGCGACGCACAAGCCCTCGGGAATGTTGTGAATCGCGATGCCAAACGCCATCGCCGCGCCCACTTCGACGGAGTCCAGAGTCGCGATGAAGGTGGCCAATCCCTCGGGGAAATTGTGCAGCGCGATCGCGAGCGCGGTTTTTAGTGCCATCGTGGAGAGGAGCTGCTCTTGGACTTGTTTCTGTGTCGAATTTACCGTCGAGGACGACGCAGATTCGTTCACCTGTGAGGCGGACAGATCCTGCAGTTCGAGGTCAACCTTGTTTTGTTCGTCCACACTTGCTTTGTGTGCAACCACGACCGGCGCGTTCTTCGTCTTGTTCAGGGAACTTGCTATCGTGGTCTCTTTCTGAGGAATGCGATTATGGTCCTCGACATCCTCCTGATCTTCAGCCATCATTCGCTCTGGCGTGATGACAACTTCAGAGCTGGTCATGGCCAAGGCGCCAGCGTGAAGATCATCTTCGTTGTGCGCCGGATGCTCCCCTATTTGTACGCCCCCCACTTCTTCGACTCCGTGTAGTTCTTGCTCAGGTGCACCTCCACTACTGGGGCTGCTGCTCATCAGCACGGTTCCCTCCGCTAAGCGATGTACCAGTTTGTCCAGAAGCATCATGAGCACCACCCCGGACAAAAAGGTCAGGTAGCTCCGCCAGACGGCCTGCTTGTACGCCTTGTCTTCCTGATTGGTCTTCGCAGTTTCCTCACTGGACAGGGTGCCCATCTGTTCCAGTTCCACTTCCTGGAACCCGTCTACCGCCTTGTAGAAAATCTCGATGAAGGAGATGTAGAGCATGACGCCCGCGGCGAGGGCTAGCCCGCTTGCAAGAACCCGCTTGTTCGCCAATTTTACCACGTTGTTATGAAAGACAAGCGACGCGCCCAAGGCCGTGGCACTGCCGGCGCCCAAACAAAGAAGAAAACCAACCGCCGCGTTGTTCATTGTCGTTGTGTTCTTTAGTGGATCAGTAGATAGAAGCAGAAATAAATATCTGACATCTTGCGTTCAAAGAAAAGGCTCGCAACTTAGTAAAATTCACGATAGAAGATCACTATACACGTTTCCATTTCAAAACCTGCACCTGGATAAACGTCCAAGGAAGTCTAGGCATGCAAAAGTTTTAGTACCTCTGTTGGGGCGAGAGGGTCCTGGTGAATTCATTTTCAAAAATGATGCAGCCGGAGACTGGCTTTTTAAGCATCCTAAACGCGCTGCACGTACGGGCACGCTCGTACACTGAATAGAGCATTACCCAGAAAAAGAAAAGATTCGACGAACACAGATTGACCGTGACAATGGAAGGCAAAATGCTCTGCTCTTGTATCAGTTTACAAAGCTATCGCTCTATTTTGTGTGGCTTAGGCTATCTCGATTTTCAAAGAAGAAACAATCTAGACGTAGACATATCATCATGTGCAAACAAGTGCATGTGTTTGAATCATTTTTCTCTTGTTATTTCATGTCGCAGACCCGCGCAAATATGGTCTACCTTGCAATCCCTAGTCCTGCGGACACCTTCGTCTTCATCATGCTGTTGTTCTAATTCTATTATTTTCATTATCATTTACACTGGGAGTAGGTGCTGACCGCCGCTACAACGGCCTCCAACTCATCACATCCTATGAATATTCAATATCAATGTCAAAGTACTTCATATTTAGCTGATACGTTAAAAAAAGTTCGCTATCAATCGCAGGAAGTAAACATCTATCTACCGTACATTCTGCACACTGCGGAAACCATAACTAATATGGTCCTGTGATGCGACGAGTGTCAGTCTCGGCGACTTAAGGTCCACTCGCGTCTCCATCCGCCGCAAGCAGGGGGCCCCCGAGGTGGTTGCCCAACAACACCTTTCCAAACGGCTCGTCAGGCAGCAGCTCCTGCCAGAGGTTGGTCAGGTCCCGGATTTCCCTGCGGATGCCGCTCAAACTTTTTTCTGCAAAGACGAGCATATCCTGCACCCGCGCTGCCAGCTTCAAATCCGGCCAGAGATTTTGCCCAGACTTCAGCACATACAGGTCTTTTCGCTCTTCCTTCAGCTGCTGCACCCGCTTCTGCGCGAGCTTCCAGCGAAACAGAGTCAAGGATAGTTTTTCCGTGACCAGGCTGCGCAAGTCCCGCTCGAGGGCTTTTGATTTTGATGGAGAAGTATTGCTGGAAGAATTTCGTCGCTCATCTTCCGTTTCGTATCCGTTGTCGTGCTCTGCATCTGCAAAGTAAAACTGTTTCAGAAAGTCCGTTTCCTGAATTAGGCTCAGCTGCTCGATTTCCATCTGCTTGCTGAGAAATTCCTGCAGGCTGCTGACTTTTGTCGCCGGTCTACTTGACAGTGCACTGCTCCGGGGGGCTGTTGATGTTCCATCATGATCTCCAGGCTCTTTGCTTTTTTCGTCATACGCTTTTTGCCCATGCAAAGAAGTAGTGGACACCGGGGCGGCCCCCGAATGAAGTAGAGGTCCCCGCTCGCCATGCTCGTCTGTGGCACGGAAAAACGAAAAGTCGTGGCTTTCGTCTTGTGCCTGCTCGTCGTCGCGTCGCTTCTTCACAACAGATGCAATGCCTTCTCTTGCGAGAAATTCGTGCTCCGCCGAGAGGCCTGCATCCATGACGCCTTCCGGTGTTCTTGAAGCAAAAGCGGCTCGCCCCGGCGACATCGTGCGAAAAGCGACTCTCTCATGCGCATGCGCATCTTGGTTCTCGTCAACATTAATATCTTCCTCAGTTATACTGAACGGTGATGTTGAAGATGACGAATTGGAGTCCTCAGACGCGGTTCTGGATAGTGCAAATGAACTATCACCCTGCGATCCTGCTGGTGTCATCATTTTCGCTGCTTCTGCTGGACACGACGGCCAGATAGGAAAAGAACGCACCTGGACATCTCGGGCAGAAAGTTGTCGAAGATCTGGAATTTTTACAACAAGAGGATCTACTTGTCGGCCCCCTTGCAGCATCAAATTCTTCTCAATCTCGTGTACTATATTCGTGCTATCCGGAGGCACGACAATGCCACAATGTAGGTGGTCTGGCTGCTGCACGCCCGGCAGATGCGCGTGGTCGTGATAAAGCCTGTCTATGTCTTTTGGCCCTGGCATTATATCTCCAAGTTCGTCCTCCGACGGGGATGGTACCGATGACTCGGGGACGACGGTGGGCTCCGGTTGCATGCGATGCCGCCACTTCGTCCTGCTCAGAGAGGGGCTTCTTTGTGACAATGGCCTGGACATTGCAGGGGGTGGGACGATGATAACACGCTGAGAGGTGTCTTCCTCTGCAGATGATGCAGTATTCGACGCAGAATACGTTCTGGCTCGCCGCATCCGCGGCCTAGATCCTGGGGGCAAAACTGCGCGCGCCGGTGTGATTGCAGAGTGAAGAACCGCGGGCGCCACCAGCAATACTGTGAAGAAGTGCAGCATTTTTGTGAAATTTTCAAGTATTTGAGAGTGGTGTATGTTCAGAAAGTCAAAAGATTAAGATTTGAGTCAACGGCTGGATGGGCTGAGTGTAATAATTTTTGTCTCCGTATATCATAAAGTATTTCTGCGACTGACTTCTGGTCCGCTTGACCCGCTTCCTTTGCCTGAAGAATAATTGTTAGCAGTTTTGAACATCACACGCCATGCAATGCTATCTTAGTTTTAGTTTTCCTTTTAGTAGGATATAAACGCGTGGATCATGTTGCGCGAAAACAAAGCTGGTCGAGATCCAAGATCCTTTTCTTTCTGGTTTGACCGTGAACATCCACATGAACGTCAGCAATTGGGAGAGCAACGCCGAAGCAACATCATGCTCCTGGAGTTTGTGGCTGCGCTCATTCTCGTCGTCGGGACAGTGCCCGGAGGGCCGCGCTGAGCTCCTCTTGCGACACGGACGGCCGGTGCGGGGCCGGTGTGCCGGAAGTCGGCCGCGGTCCGGCGAGCGAGGGTAGGGGCCGCGCTTGCGCATCGTGTGTGCGTAAACTTTCCCGAAGGAACAAGGGCGAAGCCCGGCGCCGGGCAGATTCGACCCAGCGCCCGTTCTCTGCCGGCGTCCCACAGGCAGCCGGGAGCGAGGTCGGGGGCGTCGGCGCCCCCCCTCGCTCCGGGCCGATGCTGGACAACGAACAGGCGCCGCCGCCTGGCGTCGGTCGCCTGTGTTCCACGCACCGGGGCGCCCCGGCCGCCTGGTTACTTAGGTGCGCCCTGTCGGTAGGCACATTGCCCGCTCGCAGTCTGTCTGCCTGCTTCCTGAATGGCCTCAGCGGCTTCTGCCGCCATATTCCCCACACTCCGAGGGGGCCCGGCGCAACTCGCTAAGAGAGGGCGGGCGCGTCGAGGTCCAACATGCGCGCCCACTTGGCCCGGCCGGCAGGCTGGGGCCGTGAAGGCTGCGGCCGGCTCTGGCGAAAGCTGCTGGCTCTTATTTACCTTTTTGCTCTTGCTGGTTTACTGTGCCCATACCCCGGGGGACCGCGCAGGCTTTTCCGGGTTCCAAATCCGCCACGCCGTGGCGTTTCATTCGTGGCCAAAAAAAGGCGGCGCCAGGTTGACCGCGTCCATTTGGGTACGCAAAGCAGGCAAGCTGCCTCCCCCTGCTTGCCAGCTTCAACGCCCTCCCCAACCAAGGGCCCCGTGGGTTTTTGTCCAGCCTGTAGAGATCTGATCGCCTTAGCCTGGGGCCATTCGGCCGCCGCTCCACCCTCTCCTAAGCATGCCAGGGCTGTTCGCGACGGACGGACCTCATCAGCAACCGGCCAGCCGATCCAATACATGTGCGCGGGACACGTCCCCGCAAAATACCCAAGGGGCACACCGCCCGGCGGGTGGGGGTGGGCCGCTGGGCAGGGGCGTGACTTCGCCGCCATCGAGCTGCTTGGCCCCACCGATGTTGTCGCCATAGATACAGGAGCGCGCGCCCCGGCACCCCGCCGCCGCGCGCCTGTGTCAGCTTGGGGCCGCCGGCTCAGTTCCTCGGCGTCAGCTTGGAACCGCGCGCACCCGTGCCCGCCGCTAGCCCAGTCGCTTCGCCTGGGCCCGCCGGGGGCGGACGTGGGCAGGTAGGCGATGCCCACAGCGCGCTCCTGGCGTGGGCCAAGCGAGGGCGCCGGGAGGAGGCGCGCGCCCCGGGATGGCGTGGCGTACTGCTATCATGACCCCCCCGGCGCTCCCGCCGTGGCGCTCCCCTCCTGGGGGGTTCCGGGTGTGCTTAGCTTTTGCTGCACCCGCGCGAGCCCGTAAAAGTTGGCGCGTCGCCCCGTAGTCCGCCGGGAGCGATGTGGAAGAACCAAGGCCCCGGCGCGGGCGGGGGTCGCAGGCCCCCCTGCTACCTTGCGCAACAGTCCCAGGCCGTAGCGGCTTGGGCGGCGGGCGTCCAAATTCTCTGGCGGCTGCAAGGTGGTGGCCGCGCCCTCTCGGCTTCCCGTGCAGCAGCATTCCGCTTCCCACATCTTTTCCATCTCCCCGCCGGGCAGCCTCCAACCGCGAAGCCCCAGCCCCACGCCCACCGGAGGCATGGACTTTAATCCGCCCCCCTGGAGATGCCTCAGGAGGTCGCGCAGGTGCTTCCAGGCCCAACCTCGTCGGTCCTTGGTTGCCAGCCTTCCCGGCTGCGGTTTGAGTGTGCTCGCCCCTTTCGCTGCTTTGCGCCCGCCCTTTTCCTGGCCCCGTTCCACTGATAGAGCCAGCTCGGGCCTCTTGTTCCGCGCGTGCTATGACGTCGACGCGACAGCATCCACCGACACTAGGGACCCGATTTGCTCGATTTCGAAGGAGGAAAAAGGGCGACAAGCTGGATGCAGCTCGGCGGCTTAAGGCGGAACAGCAGCCAGCCCAGTGGAACACGGGGCCGGGAAAGTCGTCCGCTCGGGGGAGCAAGCAACTCGGATTGACGCCCTGCACGCAGAGCGAGGGTTTCTGCTCGTGTTAAGTTGCAGATGCATGTAGACAACGCGCCCGGCTTCGGTAACGTAAACGTTGTATTAAAAACGTTTTGCGAAAAAATGCACTGTTCTTGTAAACTGTGACGCTGCATACAATAAAAATTGCGCTCCATGGCATCGCACTGGGCCCAAAAATTCGCTTGATCGTTCCTATGCGCGTCGGAAGCAAAATTCACGTACGTCACCTTGCTCATTTATGAACGATGATCAGTTTTAAAAAATGGCGCAAGAAGAGTGCCTTTCATGATAAGCGAGCGACATGGAATATGTAGGAGTTTCAATTCTATCTACGGCTAAACAAACCGTAGCCTACATCTTCTAGAAATCCAAACATGGATGCGACAGTGCGCGTTGCGCGTTGTAAAGACCTTTCATATTATAACCTTTTTAAGTTTATGCAAACAATGATCTTCATTCGTAGTATAATAGCCGCAGTCCATCTACAACACGTTCTTTGCGTTTTAATTGCAGATATCGCTGGCTGCTGCGTTCCGGAACTTTAATCTACCACATCGCCTGTTCCTGCTCCTGCCCGCTCCGCTTCTAGCATCGATTTGCGGTAGTCCCTAACCGAAAAACGACCTTCCGAGCCAGCAGGGATCGACGAGTTAGTACTTCTTAGTCCTCTTCCGGCTCCAAAAACTTCTTCAACTCCACCACGTCATCCTGGGCTCGCATCCAATTTCTCGCCGCGGATTGTCGCATTTTCCGTAGCATGTTGTGTCTCGTCTCTTCCCGGTCAAGAACGTCCTGACTGACACCGACGACCTTCAGCGCTTGCAACTTGCCCCAGCTCTTGTTCTCCTTTCGCTGTAAGTCGCCGGTGAGATTCTGCGCAAAATCGTTCCGGTCGTCGGCCTCTGCCAGTTTCTCTTCCAGTGCCATCTGGAAAACTTCTTCCAAGCCTTCGCCGTCTACACTGCAAGAATCATTGCTGCTTGCAGAAGTAGAGGACGAGTCCAAGTTTTCTGCTTCTGGTTGCTCCGGCCTTTCTCGGAGAACTGCGGCCATTTTGGCTTCGAATTGGGAAAACTCTTTGCGTGCGTTACACTTTTCCTTCTCACAACACTTCTGTAGGAAAACTAGGAGCTTCTTCTTTCTGGCCGCACTGGTCCGGTGCTTGCTCACCAATTTGTTCGAAGCCTTACTGTTCGCTTGTTTCCTTTTCTGAAATAGTCCCGGTCGACTCCTTTGCAGCGGCGCGAGAGACGCGCGATGCTCGGCTGCAATGTGCCGCTTCATTTCCCTCACCGAACCGCTGCGGTACTTCTTTGAAAACTTGAGATCCCGCTGGGCCGCCTCTTCTGCCATCCGAGTCGTCATTTTGACCAGCTTGTACAGTTTTTCCTTTGCAGGAAGAGCGTAGTTTGGTATAGAAGCATCAGACTCGGCGGAAAAATCTGAGGCAGCTGCAGCTTTTTCTAGTACTTCGTCGTGTTGTGCATGATAATCGTCTGCGTGACTTTCTGGCGGTGATGTCATTTTCGTGCTAGCAGCATCAACAGCCATCTTGAAGCGATTTCGAGCATTTTTCTCATTATCCGTCGCAATAAACGCTTTCGTTTCTGCACTCCAGGGGGACGAATGCGGCAGTGCTAAGTGTGCAGGAGGCTCGGGTGGGACATTTTCACCACAGACTACAGTGGGCAGTTCCCCTGATGGGCGGCCGCTGCTTGGCGAGGAGTCCGGGCTCGTGCGATTCGATACATTGACAGAGACCGGTCCTGATGAAGATGCTCCTGCGCCTTGGTGCTCGTCCCCAAGACGTGTGCTGGCCGTCCTATCCGAGCGCAGGCTCGCCTTGCGCTTCGGGCCGGGCCCTCCAAACCCCAGCGAGAGTCCTGCCAGTTTTTCTCGAGCAGCGTCAACGATATCCTGTTGGTCGGGATCCAAAAGCTTTCCGGGCCCCGCAGTTGGTGGTAATTGTGGTCGTCCACTTGCTGGAATTTCATCTTGATCGTTTAGCACGTCCTCTACTGGCGGCAGCAGCATTGTAGAGTACTCTGTACGAAGATCATGTCCTTCAGTACCGGGAACGGTTGGTCCACCGGCACCACGTCCTGCATTTTTTCCGAAGGTCGCGGATGCTGGTTGCTCGGCGGTCGTACTTTCGATGCCTGCTTCTGTGTTAAAGGATTTTGCGGGATCTTCTGTGTGCACGACAGGTTTTGCGGATTCGATTTCACCATTTCTTCCACTCGTGCTCCTGCCTGTAGAGGATTTCATAAACCAGTGCTGCCGTCCTCGTCCCGATTGCAAGTGCACCGCTTGGACCACAACAGGTAACGGTGACGACGCAGATAAGAGCAGAACCCCGACGAGTGTGCGAAGCGGCATTTTCTGAGAGAAGAATAGAGAGCGCGATCGAGCAGAATGGATACTAGACATAATTAATAGGTAATATCTTGTTCGTCCGATTTCTTTAAAACAGCGACGGGACGAGGGTCTTGGCGCTTCAATGCTCCTTCCGTACCCGTTCTTGAAAAAGAGTTATTGTAGTATGCAAAAGTCGTTTAATACACCAACTGAAATAGTATAATCGTACACGTAGTTTGGCGGGCTAAATTTGACAAATTTAGCAGATAGTGCTCGGCTATTTATCTTCCTGAATAAATCGAACCTCCTAAAAACGGATGTGCCTCTTGTACTGCGAGGAAAAAAGGATGGTGATGCTATGTTCGGACTCGGAGACGACAAAATCATGAAGAAGAGCTTTATTATGATTTCCACATAATCATCAGAACCACTTCAAGGAGTGAGTGTGAGATCTTCATCTTGCAAAGGCATACTTCGTGGTTAACGTGGGAGCAGTTTTTCGTCTGAAACGCGTACCTCATATCGGATTGGCTTTCGCATCAGAAGTTCTGGAAAAAAGAGTTGTTCATTACTCAGTGGTACTACAGACTTCTGTCTATTTCGGGTACTTTAGTGTGCGATGGAACACGTTGACTATGCTTGGTGTTCCGACTTCAAGATCTTCGTTCCCTGTAGTTGCATGCCCTGACTTTTCGCCCAGTTGTCCTACTGGTGTACCAGGTGCTGGCACAGGCCGCTTCTAACTATCAAATCAAAGGCTACCTAAATTTTGATAGTGTGTGTTCATTCATTTTGGAAGCTTCATCAGAAACGTGTGTTGGTTCTTATAATTTCAGTACTAATCTATTGTTGTTGTTCCCCTTTTCAATTTCATTTACTTGTCCCCTTTTTCATGTTCAAAAAGATATCGAACTTTTCATTCTTCTAAAACTGCCACCGCGACGGTGACGCTGATCATCATCGTGAGTGGCGCTAGAAATTGCATCATGGTGAACACTATCAAATGTAAAAATGTCTGGGTCTGGAAGCATGCGCGATTTGTCATGCAGCTTTTCTATGACCTATGAGGTCGGGAATGCAGGGCCTAGCATGACAGATTCTGTGCGATCTCTCTCATGCCTATCCTGCATGAGAAACTCCCTCCCGACTTGGTCAAAACAGGAAGACTTTTGGTACTCATGCAACACAGATTTGTGCATGCTTCAGATTTAGCATGACAAGTTGCATTCTTCCAGACCCAGACATTTTTACATTTGATAAACACCATGGCCATGGACTCCGCCATGACGTTTCTCGAGATGCTATCAAATGCAAAAATGTCTGGGTCTGGAAGAGTGCAAGATTTGTCATGCATATTTCTCATGACCCATGATGCCTGTAATGCATGACCCAGCATCGCAGACTTTTAGAGGGCTTCCTGATGCACCTTCCGCATGAGAAATGCCCTGTCCGCGTAACACAAATAAATTGTACCCCTCTTGCTGGTCATGCAATACAAATTTTTTTAGAGTCCAAAAACAGCATGACAAATTGCAATTTTCCAGACCCAGACACTTTTGCAGTTGATAGATGCAGACCATGGACAAGTTCGTCGCCGTCGGCGCCGCGGCGAGCACTGCGAAGTAGAGAATCAGGTTGCGATCCTGATCCCTCGTGGCACTGTTGAACCCCTCAACGGACGACACCAGCTTTTTCAGAAACAGCAGCAAGGGTATCGTCGCTGCATTCGCGACGATCAGCCGGAGGAGGACAATGGTTATCGCGCCCAGCTTCGTGACTTCGAAAGATCCTGACGAGGAAGTAGCAGGTAGTTCGTTCTCCTGTTGTAGTTCTTCTGAGAGCTCATAACCTTGTTCATCTTCATCCGGTGGTCGATTAATATTCGATGACGATTTTCTATCCCTAACAACCACAACAGGGTAGTTTGATGTGGTTGTGCTGCTGTTGTAGCTTCTGTCTCCGACTAACGTCGCCCCGAGGATGAGGAGCTGGATGGGAATCAAACTGCCGCCGATCAATTTGTTGAAGTGGAAAATGAAACTGTCCAAATAGGCCTCCCGGAGCGGCGTGATGACCGCGACGATAATGGCGACGAGCTGCGTGATGGTGAACGCGTTGAGGCACGGATGCTGGAAAATTCTGCGGAAAATTCGTGCTACCGCACGAGAGATTCTATGAAGGCCAGCGAGGAGATCAAGATGCTCCTTATGTGTGGACAGCGTGGAAGAGGAAGATGATGCAGCGGAAGACTTCAAAACCTTTGATGCAGGGTCGTGCTCATCTCCCACTCCTTCGTGCGGAAAATGTGGTGTCTTCAAAGTGCACGATTCTACCTCTGCGGCAGTTGGCAGATGACCTCCTTCTTGCGAGGAAGATGCGTCCGTCGCGAAGCGAGAACAACTTGTGTGTGTATTTTCCTTCGGTGAAACTTGTTTTCTTTCCGAGATTCTGCTCAATGTCGTGAGCCCCAGGGTCCAGATGCAAGTGATGACCATGGAATTACTCAGCATCCCTATCGCGGTGGTCCGCCCCTCGCCCTCCACCCAGTCCACTTGTCGGCTCAGAGCCAGCAGCAGCGGATACGGTAAGCCGAAAGGGTTGGGAAAAGCGACGCACGTGGCGGCGAACGTGCTAAAGTCAGAGCGGCTCTTTATTTTTTGCCGCTCTCCGACATCGCTGCAGGTAGTCGTCGTAACAATGGTCGTCATATCCCTTGACGCAGATGCCTGCGCTGTGCCCGGCGCGGCCGGTGGGATTATCTGCCGTTGTTGTGGGTCATCATTGTTTTTCAGCTCGACGTTTCTGGGAGAAAATTTTTCCGGCGGCCCAATGACGATTTCTTCCAACAATGGCGGAGGTGGAGCACCCACAACATTCACACACGAACCCTCTTCTTTTATGCACGCCCCCGCCAACTGCAACGCAGACGCACACGCTGGCGGGTGTTCTCTAGCAGTTTCATTTGAAGATGCGTTGTCATTCTTGCCGTTGCCTGCCATCGCAGTAATAGAGTTACAATTCGAGGTGAGGGTAGTTGACGCGGACTCAAGTTTCTGCTCCAGTTGCAGATCTTGCTCTTCCTCTACTTCCTCCATCCCCACTCCCGGATCATCTCTTCGCGGGGGGTCACCGGCAATTACTACATCGGCGCTCTTGCCGCTTCGATGACCACGCTCCGCGCTTTCATCCAGCTGCGGAGGTGGCCCTCGATTTTTTCTCTCATCAGCGGGTGCAGCTCCCGTAAGTGTGGTCGTTGTATTCCCACCGATGCAACAAGTTCTTGATGTTGTCCAACTAGAAGATCTTCTGGGTGGTCCCGTCCTCCCGGCAGTACCACCAGAATCGTCGACCAGCCTCTCGATGGCCACGAACCGCGCCACCAGCTGCCCGCCAAGAAGCCCGATCAGGTACCAGTAAAACACCAACACGAGGCAAAAGACGCAGACAATCCACACTTTCCGGAACTCTTCCACCCCGACGTACTCGACGAAAGTTGCCATGACAAAGCAGGGATTCAAAACTCGCACCGCCAGTCCCGCAAGGGCTTTCCAGAAAATGTAGTCGGAGGTGGTCGTGGACGAGGAGCTAGTCGCTTTATAATTAGTACGCGTATTTTTGTCCTTGAGGACGGGATCCTCTTCTTGCACATTTGTCGGCCAATTTATCGCGTTCCATTTTCGCGCGAAATACCCCGTGCCACAGGTGCAAACCACCTGCACAACCGAGATCAAGGCGGCCGAAAACGACGCCCACAGAATCGAGGCGGTAAACATGGTTTTGATGTTCGTGTTGGTTTTATGTTTTTCTTGATGGCATGATATTTTTTTGAAATATGAAAATCGAGATAAAAATACTGCTTTACTTTTACGCTAAGACCAAAGGTAAGTTAAGCTTAGCGATTGCTGGAAATAAACAACTACAGAGGAGCCTGGGGAAGAAAGGTACTACAGGCACAAGGGGGGAGGAGTGGACTTACAGATATCGGGGCGAAGTAGAGAGAGGAGAGAGACTGCTGGCACGAGGGTTTAGGTTTCCTTATCTAGTCACAACGTTGATGACTTTTCGTGACAGATTGATGACATGTATGGCAAGACCAAGAGCTCCAGACCAGGACAAAATAATCGAGACGTCAAGACCGTACCGTACCGATCCTTGTTCAACACAATCTCAATGATATTGACACGTGACTTTAATACAACTCATACTTCGTCGTCTCGCGGCCAAGGAGAACTACCTCGAAAAATACCCAGTAACTGCCCACCAGAGATTACAGAGTTTTTGCCCAAGTCTACTCAGATCGATTTGTAAACAGGGGAGAATGTTAAACCAGAAGAACGATATGCCGCATGTATCAACCCCTGGTACCATACCAAATCCAAAACAATGTCGCATGGAATCATCGTAAGAACACCACCTCAATAAAATCTATTTCGTCCGAAGCAGAGAATCCCATTGCTTCCCGTTTCCTCGAGATACAACAGCTCGAGAGTCGTCTCTACTCCTATTCGTTCAACTTTGTCGCGGTATCAAACTTTATCAAAGGTCTCTAGGCGTGGGCGGGACACGGACACGCCGGGTACATTACGATTTTTTTGTGTTCAGTTGCACTTACATGATCGATGATGCTTCATATGAGTACTTAAATTGACATCATTTCAACATCTCTGCCTGTGCCTGCAGTGCTACTCCTTGGGGCGAGACTAGTCAAAAAGACTGGAACTGCGTCCCCCGGCATTCATATCGCCGCGGTCGTATGCACCAGGCCGCGTCGACCCCAGCTCGAGGACTCCTCGTGTCGTTAGATTTGATGATGTTCCTGCGCCGCCCCATGGCATCGTCTCCTCCTGCTGCTCAGGCACAAACTTGCAGCAGGTGATCTATCATTTGCATGTGATCCGTTTTTAGCCCATCCTCAATATCCCTGCGCCCATGAGTTTCTGGATGGCGTTGGCGATTTTTGGGTCCTTGTTGATCATTTCCTGGGCGCTGGCCGGGTTCGCCTGCATTTCCTGGAGAATCAGGTTCATTTGTGGGTCCTTCAGAATCGCCTGAATTTCTGGGTCCTTCATGGCCTCCTGTACCTGCTGCTGGTCCGGGGCGTCGCCACCCCTCGAGGCCGACTGGATTTTCATCATAACGTCAATGCGTCCCTTCTTACACCCCTCGTCGTTGGGATCCAGTTTCAAACCGGATTCGTAGGCCGCCAGGGCCTTGTTGTAGCTGTTGTGGTCACAATAATTTTTTCATAGTTTTGGTTTTCACGGTGTTCGCTTGACGAGCTAGTACTTTAACTTAACTGCAAGGCCTCGTGCAAACACAACCACCTGGCTCCTCACCTTGCAACGTGAAGACAAAATCACGCATGTGCGCTATGTGTGGTAGACCCTAAATAAAACAGCAGTATGGCAAATCAATCAGCATATCAGTACTCTTTCATGAAGAAGTGGCAGGCTCCCTTTCTGCTGTAGGCCTTCACATAGTTCGGGTCCAGTTTCACCGCTTCCTCCAGGTCCTTCAGTGCGTCCGGGTGTGCCATGAGCTTCGTCAAGGCCGCCGCCCGGTTGCAGAACAGTTTCGCGTCCTTCGGGTTCCGCCGGCACGCCTCGTCGTACTCTTTCTTTGCGTCGACAAACTTGTTCTCTTTGAAAAAAGCGTTGCCCTTCTCCTTGTGCTCCTCCGCCTTGTCTACGTCCACGTACGCTTCCTTCTCAAACTTCAACTTGTCCTTCTTCAGGTCTGCCAGCGCCGCCCGCGTGGTTCGGTTGTTGTCCTCCGCGAGCGACTTCTCGTAGTACTCGATCGCCGTGTCGAACTTCTTCTGCTTGGCGTGGCACACCGCGAGTCGGTTCAGCACTTTCCCGACCTTCTCGAAGCTGGCGGTGCCCGGGTTGGCGCTGTTGATGTCGTACCGCCGCTCGAGGACGGACTTCAGCAGCGTTTCGCACTATCGAGAGGAAAAACTCCCCCTCCCCATATCGAAAAGGTAATGTTTCTGCAAATTTGTATTGCTGATTTGAGGTCGCAAATCTCGTCTGTCTTGCAAGAAGACAAGTGCAGAGGCTTCCGCGCCATTCAGGAAGCGACTTGGCATGCTGTTGCGCCTAGGGGACAGCCGTTTGCAATGCTAAGCAACTAGACCCAGCGCCCCTACCTAGGCCGATGATGTGGCTGAAATGCCTTACTGCAAGACAAATCGGATTTGTGTACGCAAATCCAGCATCAGAAATTTCGACTTGATATGGGGAGGGGGGATTTTTCCTTTCGATACGCACTCCTCGAACTTTTTCTGCTCGAGAAGCACCGCAGCCTTGTTGTTGTAATAGGTGAGGTCCTATCAACTGCAAAAATGTCTGGGTCTGGGAGATTCCGATACTTGTCATGCAGATTTTCCATGATCCATGTCGTCTGGAATGCAGCACCTAGCATGACAGATTCTGTGAGATCCCTACCATGCCTATCCTGCGAGAGAAAATCCCTGCCAACTTGGTCGAAAGTGGACAGCTTTTGGTAATCATGCAACACAGATTTTTACATGATCCAGAATTAGTATGACGAGTTGAAACCTTCCAGACCCAGACATATTTGCAATCCATAGGTCCTCCAAACTTTCCAAAGCCTTGTCGTACTGCGCAATAGCCTCGTCGAACTGCTTCGCTTTGTACCTGAAAAGAGGTGGGACGACGAGTTCTATGACTTTAGGCCTCAGCTTCGCCTTCGTCGAAGCAAACTACACAGGGAAATAAACATACCTATGCGATGCGGAAAAATGCAGCAAGTAGTGGCTTTGCGTTATGAACGACGTGCGTTATGAACGAATTTCCAAATCCAAAAGCAATAATCAATATCGCAGGTAAGTACAATTTGTTGCCCTCGTCTTTGAACGCATCGGCTTCTTTTTGCTCAGGCGTTCTCTCGTCCTTTTTCTCCTCCACCTTTGGCTTTTTCGCTGCTGCAGCGGCCGCGGCGGCGGGCTTTCGCTCTTCTGGCGCAAAAGGTTCTTTCTGCTCCGGCATGTCCATACCTGTCGGTTTTTTGTCGAGCTTTCATCGCACTTGCAATTGTGCGGGTTTTTGTCTTTACTACAAGCCTTCTAGCGCCGCGAATGCATTCTAAATTCTTTTGAGATGGTGCCCATGTCCACAAAACGCATGCAAAAAAAAAATCATGTACTAGCGTAATGTATGAGTAAATAATTATCAAGAACATACGTTTACGTACCTTGCATGGCCATGAAGAGTTCCAATAGTCGCTGGTCTTTCATGAGCTCGCCGCTCATAGCTTGCAGCAATTGCGGGTTTTGCTGGGCCTGCAACAGCATCTTGAACTTAGACATCAGCTCCTTGTCCTGCAGATACGTGCCAATTTTCGGGTTGCGCTGCATGGCCTGCATCAACGCATTCATGTCCAAGCCTGCCATCGGGTTACCGCCATCACCTGCTGTGTTGTTCAGCGACTATTGCATTCGACATGCAAATCAAAGTTGAACAAATCCACCTCTGATGTGCGCATTGTAGATTGGGAATTGATTTACCGGGAAGATGATGCGATGCAAACAAGTGCGCACGCGCACTGCAAGATTTTCGTCATGATGCACAATTCCACCACTACCTAAGTTGAGATACAACGCAAACCAATGAGCAAAAAAATCATGTACCCCCAGCAGCGTTTGCTTTTGCGCTCTTCACTTTTTCCAAGCCCTCGAGCAGCCCCTTGTCTTCTGGTGCGAGCTTCAGGCCGGCGGCATAGGTAGCCTCAGCCTCGTCGTATTTCTTCAAGAAGTATTCGGCGAGGCCCTTGCGCGTGTACCTGTGGTGAGAAGACGAGGACGAGACTGTGATCCCGAAGCGCTATTGTCTATTTATCATCCCAAAGCGCCCAGTGCAAGTGTTTCTACTTACTCTAGTGTCCTCTCCATACAGAACAAACGGCCTGGTACAACTGCAAGTACTATAATTCCTTTATCGTCCATCAAAAGTGTATGAATTATGCACCGGAAAGATAAGAACGTAGATCAAGAAACGCAGGTACCCTTTTGCCCAATCCGGCTTCAGCTCTACGCATTTGGTTCCGTCGGCAAGCGCTTTGTCATACTGAGTGAGGGAGGAGTAGCACGCCGATCGGTTTGAGTAAAAAACGTGGTCCGTCGCGTCTTCCGCGATCGCATTCGTGAAATGCGTGACAGCCTCCGCAAAGTTTCCAGCCGTGAAGTCCTTGTTGCCAAGGGCCTTGTGTTCCAACGCCTTTTCGCGAGTCATGATTTTCGATGCTAGTAAAGGTTTCGCTTTAGAAATGGAAAATAAACTCGGAATTTGTTTTTGGAAGAAGCAATAAGAAGTCGGGATAGAGAAAGATAAAGTCGCAAGTGATGTAACAGTTCAAGTTTGATATCTGTGCTACACGTTACACAATTCTTTCGCTACGAGGTAGCTACACGAAAGATGAAATGCTCAGGGGATAGAGCTAAGAGGGGAAGCTGCACCTCCGGTCCTGGAGAAAACATTCATGATTTGCAGGTTGAAGATTTATTGAATGCATGTGCGGTTTTGTAAATAATCTGTGAAGACAAACTACGGATCAGAAGTGTGAACTTTGATTTTTGGATCGGTATTCAGGTATAGATCCTGTTTTGTGATCCTCATCATTGACGTTGCTAGATCTCCACATGATATTTTTGTTCTCTTGCTACAAATGGCCCGCATCTTGTCTCGGCCGGCTCTTTCGCAGATCATCATGTACAGGCTGCGTTTGTTCTGATGATCCTTGTTCTGAGCTCGAACATTAGCGAAGAAAGAAAAGCAGTCGAAAATCAGCGTTCTTTGAGCGAGCCATAGCCTCTTCTTCTAAGGGCATCTGGCAGAGCGATTGTTTTTCACTGAGTAAAATTGTAAAAAAATCAGAAATTATTTTCATAAGATTGTACCATCAAAAAAAAATTGAACCAAACGACTGCGACTGCCAGGGATAATCTTTTCTTCACACCAACATCCATGATCTGGGGTAAATCTAAAAAGCGTCTCGCCTTGCGGTAAATTTATCACTACGTGGCGGCGGTGGTGGCCAGCGTGCCCTCCATTCGTAAAAATTGTAGTTCAGGCTATTTTCAGAAATAAACTCCGCCTCCTTTCTCATGCGCATGTATGAGAAAAAATGGAATTTTTTTTGCAGGTCGGACTTATCCATCTGCTAAAACAACGTCTAGATATTTTTTTTGCAGATTCCGCTTCAAACGGCCTTTTATCCATCTGGGCGTCCTCTGCTAAAAAACATTTTGTGCCGGACTTGTATCCGTCTGTATACACAACTAGACGCGACCAAAAACTATCATATACTAACGTGCCTGCCTCTACATATATTTTTACTGGAGCTGCTGCTTCTCTCCTCTATCAATGTATCAACATCTTTGAAGCTTGTGCTGGTGGTGGTGTTGTATTTGTTTGGAAAAAAATCAAACTTTGATAAATTAGACGCGGTGGCCACAACTGGTAGTCCAGTGGGAAGACAAAACCATAAAATGGTGGCACAATATTCACCTAAAATCTCCTCGTGCTGGCAATCGTAATTCATTGCTATGTGATAAATATGTACATCAATATTTTCCATGATGCTCTGTTAATCGATCCGTAGCGAGCAGATTTTTTCAGTGCCCTGAGTTCTATCTAATCCTACATAGGTGGAGCCGACACGTCAAATATTGTCGTCGGCTCTATTCTGTTTCTTGATGTAAAAAGCATCCTCGAAACTTTTGTACGTACCGTAAAACGATCTGGCTTCATGAAAAACAGAGTGATGCGCGCTTTGCTAGTTGAACAGGGCACAACACCAACATTGGTGATTGGCCCTTCGTTCTGTTTCTTCAAAAGGTCTTGCCATTGAAGTTTCAGTTTCTCTAGTGCTACCCTAAAAATGCGTATGACTATCATATGATATGTGATGGCTGAACTTGAATATTGGAACAACATAATGACAAACAGAACTGCTTTCCCTTCATTTTTTTCTTGGAATACAAGAGGATAAGAACAGCCTAATAAATATATCGTACACGAATGCGAAAAATTCGTTACGCTCGACCTCGAGTTGAAAGGTGCTGCGTAAAAATAATGTGTTTTTAAAGTATATCTATATTTATAAATCAAAACGCCAATTTTATCCAAGGGTCGAACTCCATCCGGGAAGAACCTGGACGTTCCCTTTAACGAGGCTGCGCACGGCTGTCTGTCGTCGCTTCTTTGGCGACGGCCGCGGTGCCAGAGGTTCTCCCATGTACGTTTTAAGCGGGGACGGGGACCGGGACTTCGAAATGGAGCTACTTGCGCGTCTAGTCCTCTTCGGAGCACGGGGCAAGCGCAAGCTCGCCGGTCCTACTTCCCACTTACTGGCACTTTCGCGGCCGCCATCCTGTGATAAAAGCTCTTCTGGATACAAAGCGCTTCGAACCGGTCTTCCGTTTTCAGTCTCTGGCTCCAGCCTCATGGGCACGGAGTTTTTGTAGCTCGCAGGAAGAGTTCGGAGTTGTTCTGGAGTCAACCGAGGTGTCATCAATGGAGCCTCAGGAAGATTAGCCCAGCATCCTTGGTCCACGGCAATTTGCGTTTTCTTCTCGGCTTGTTCATCCAACACCAAGTGCGGGCTCCGCAAGGGGAGAAACAGCTTCTTGTAGTCAAATGGCACAACGTCTTGGTCGTCTAGCTCGCCTTGCTGTACTTCTAGTGGACTTGTTCCTCGTGCTTGATGTGACAGCACGTGCCGCCTCGTCAGCAGGCTACTTGAAGGTGGTTGTAGATCAAAGGTCGTTTTGTTCAAAGCTTCGTCGTGAAGGAGCCGAACAGGAGCCGGTTCCACTTCACCAGCTTCGATCATGTTGATACAGGGGACCACTGGTGATAAAAATTTTGTTATTTCTTTGTCTTTGTACGGGAGGTGGTGGGAAGTCAAAACATCTTTGCCCGCTCCTGCACCTTCTACTCCAATAAAATCCAAAGACAGGTGATTTCGTCCCGGTAGTTGTAGAGCTTCTTCCCTCTCTCTCAGCCTAATCGGAGGTTCTGGCATCCTCAACGCAAAGCCCGCAGGTTGTAGAAGCTGCAGCTGCTGTTCTATTCGCCAACGTTCTTCTTCAGTATCGGATTCTTCTTGCACTCGCCCGACAGGTGGAGGTGTTTCGTCCTCATCGTCTGAATAGGATGCGGTCGTGCTTTCATCGTCAGAGTCGTACGATCTTCCGTGGTTGTCTAGCCCCTCCTCTCCAGCATCGGCATCTACCTCCGCGCCGTTATTTCTGGGGTCAAAATCATCATTAATACCATCTCCGATTTGATGTTCTTGTTGGCGCTGCCGATTGCGGCGCGCGTGCGGGCGGACGAGGACATCATCTGCACAGAATTCTTCGTCCTCGTCTCCCAGAAACCACTCATGTTCATGGAAACTATGTTGGTCGACCTCCTCGTGCTCTATTTGTGCGTCTGCGTGCTCCAGTAGGCCTCCAAGTCTTGCAGCGTACTGGCCTCCTCCGCTTGCAGCAACGGCAGACGGTGACGACTCAGCCCGAGAAAAGGATGACCGTGTCGAAATGGTTTCCACATCATCCTGTTCCGTACGAAGATCATCGTCTTTGGTACCTCCTACAGCAGGAGGTACTTTTCCGAAAAACTTCGCGGCGTGAACGCCAAATCCCGAGGAACTCCAAGGGGTGACGGAAAGATCACAAAATATCGGGGTGAGAAGCGATAGTAACCTCATCTTGTACAAATCACACGGATGGACACGAGAAGTTTTTCGCTATTTGAGCGAAAAAATAGTAGAGTGAGAGAATCGTCATGCGAGAATAAGGCTAAAATGTGGTGGTCCTTTACCTTTTGTTAGTAGTCCTTTGGAAAATAAAAAAAACGTCGATGAAACAGATTTAGAGTTTGTCGTGTTCTCAATGTTATGTGGTAATCTTCAACCTTAAAGATCGATGAAAGCAGCTTCTTCTTTTCTTGAAAAGCGGCACTGAAAAGAGCACATTGTGGAGGTTTTACCTTTATATCAAGTTCCGTCAGCAGTAGAAATTAGTCCGCACGTACCTATCGGTCTCAGGGAGGCCGAGGTCGCTCTACGCGAATAGGTATCATTTGCTAGTATCGGAAGAAGTACAAGTCGTGCGACAACTAGATCATACCCCGCGACATCTTAGCAGGCCTTTATCCTTAAGGAGCAAAATGAAGATATCATTTCTACAATTCATATGGTAAGTACTTTGTTATCAAAAAAATATTGCGCTTCCGCAGGCAAGATTCAGATCCGCAAATAAATGCAACAACCAAGACTACGGGAACCAAGAATAGAATTCGGACCAGCTAGGGGCAGGAGACGTCTGACCATCTAATTACCCAACTTGACTGCTACTCTGTGCGGAAGTAGGTAGCAGCTGGTCATCAGATCTTCGTCTAGACTTCGGCGAAGTCGTTGCAACGGAAAATAGATCTTCTTCTTCATATCTGACGGATCAATGTATCGCAAATCTAAAACGTGGATCGGGCCGCTGCAGGCAAGCTCTGCAACTATGTTTGTATTTCTACTGTCTACAAAAGTACTAACACGATAAGAGATCACATGACATTCATGATCTTCGTCCTTCATACATAGGCAGTTCAATTTGATGGCGTGCATGAGCATACGCACCTCGACTACCATGTCGGTCGTTTCGGACCCACTTAGTTCTTCCCTGGCATTGGCATTGATTAGAGGTAGTTTCGACGTCCATCAACATCTTCAAGGGTGTTAATATTAAAGTATTGATTTGAAACTAAAAATCGAGGTCCTGGGCATGGTGGAGCTGATAGTAGACATGTAAATCTGTGTGCTTCTAACACTTCTCCATCTACGAGCTGGCCACAAACTGGAGCAACAGCGCCCCACAGAGTGCGATAAAGGCGGAGGGGGAATAAACAAGCGCGCAGTGGAGGACGTACCAACTATCATTCGACATCAGGTCAGCGTTTTCTTTACACAAAAGCACCATCGGCTCGCCAAATATGTCGTCATCTTTTTTATGTATGATAAATATCACGAGAACTATATAAAAAACGCATGATCGTCCTTGCAGCCACCGACTGCCGATGACGGAAACAAAAACACTCACGTATCGTTCTTGGAAGATGAAACGAAAAACCACTATTCTGCAAAAATTGTGCCGAAGGCGTTTTTTCTACTACCCGCCTTTCCTCTGTATATAATAATTCCGAAGGTCATTGTAAGTCCGGGACTACAATCCGGCCATCCAGCCACCGGTCCCCGTGCGAATCAAAAAAGCCTCTGCCGTAGCCACCGCGGGAAAAAATTTTCACAGAATTGAGCACAGTGGTAGAAGCGGTTCCAGCTGTTAAGCATTCGACCTTGCTGTTGTCCAGAGTTTCAATATTGTTGCAGGACATCAACTTGAGGGCCAGTGTTTGTGTGCGAAGCTTCTCGAGCGTTTGTGGTCTTGGCCAGGTCTTTTTTCCGGTATCGCTATCTTCATTCAAGGGAACCACAGCGTACGGGCTCAAAGATTTCAGTTTTCCTTCCCAGAACGCACTGGTTTTGGTCTGTTCCTCGAAGGAGGTGGTAGTCGTGGGACGAGAAGTGCTTGTACAAGAATATTTCGGTATTGGAGCTGCTCGACGCTCATCTTCTTCTCGCAGCCGTTGCCCGCCAGTAGTAATCCTCGACAGCCTGATGCGTTCATTTTTACAAGCAACTGCAACGTTACCTGTTTCTATTAAACCGCTCCCGTTGCGCTTTCCGCTGTCTTTTTCTTTTTCCCACTCTTCGCGAGAAATCCAATAAAACATTGCCGCGTCCTCTTCCAGCGAGACAATGTGGGTTCCCGAGCGCTGGCGCTTGAAGAACTCCTGTTGCTGCGAAAGACTTATTTTCTCCGACTCTTTGACCATAGAATCAGTTGTATCGCCAGAGGACATCAATTCGAACCAAGAAGGCCAGCCGCACCCGAGCGAATCCCCGCTGGACGAAGCCGTCGCAAGGCCGGCGAAGCAGTCCCCGAAGCAGCCGCAAAACCCGGAGTAGGCCGGTAAAGCTGCAACAGGAGCAGGCACTTTATTTTCGTCAATATCAAGGACAAAAAGCGACCCGTAGGTGAATGCGAACTTCGACTGCAGAACGGAAATTTTTCCGCTTTGCGCGGCTAATGGGCACAGCAGGAGGTTTTTTTCAGTTGAAGCAGTAGATGCTTGGAGCTGCTGCTGCTTCAGAATCTCGTCCGCGCTCTTTGTTCTTTCCACCTCCTCGTGTCGGGATTTAATATTGCCTAGATCTTCGAAGTTGTCCGCAAGACAGGATGACAGCGTCTCTTTCTCGTCGCCAGAGCAGTCCACAGCCAGATGGTAGCGGTGCTTTTCCTGAAAAATGTAGTGGACGGCAAGGGGGGAAGATGTAGAGGGCAGGATATCTGTTACTGCATTGGAATAATTATCTTCGTCTTCATCGATTTCACTCGTCCCGTACAGTACGTTTTTGCTGCTCGCGTCACTCATGAAATGCGTGGCCGTCTGTACTGCATCAGCTTCCTCCACTTCGTCTGGGCGGGACCATGGCAGTCCGTCGACATGATGATATTCCTCGTCGACGTCCATCGTATCTGACACTGTGAAAGCACGTTCTTCCGCGGCTCTAGATTCGCCGAAATGGGAACGGAAAAATAAATGATCGTCTTGTTCTACTTCCATAACTGCTGCTGCAGTGGAAGTATCAGTAGCTGGTGTATCACCGTCGAAACTCCGAAAGAGGTACTGTTTCAATGCTTTTGCAACCAAGACGGGATACTCGCCGCCCGCGAACTCAGGCTTGTAGTAGCTTTCTTCTACTTCAGGCGGAAGCAACAGCGATCCAGTGTGAAACTTCTGGTCCAACAGTTTGTTTTCCTCGTTGTCGCCGTCGATAAATGTTCTATCCCAAAGAAAAAAGCCGACAGGTCAGAAAAAAAATAATTAAATAATAACTGTTATTGTCAACAATAAAAGCAAAAAAAAACCACAAAAAAAATTGCCGCCATACCATGCGGATTAGCTTCAGGATAGATCAGCAATCCGCGCGAATCACGGTGGGACGGTGATCGCCCGCCTAAATCATTTTTGTGGCGAATTTCGCTTATTCGCGCCATGCCGTGCGGGCTGGGGTTCGTAAGGGGTTGCCGGTTTCGCCAATCCGCACGGCACGGCGCCCGCAGTCGGTCTCGCGATTTTTTGCAAATTTTTTACGTTCGCGCCATGGCGTGCGGGCTGGCTTTCTGGTGAAGCTGCCGGCTTCGCGAATCCGCACGGCACGGCTGTCGCAATTAGTTTTGCAAATTTTGGCGAGCTTTTTTGTTCCGCGTCATACCGTGCGGGCTGGGCTTCGTAAGAGTTTGCCGAATTCGCCAAACCGCATGGCAAGGCGCCCGCAAGTGGTTTCGCGACTTTTGGCGAATTTTCTATGTTCGCGCCATACCGTGCGGGCTGGCTTTCTGGCGACGCTGCCGGCTTCGCGAATCCGCACGGCACGGCGGCCGCAATTATTTTTGTAAATTTCCGCGAGTTTTCCCCTTTGCGCTTTACCGTGCAGGTTCGTAAGAGGTTGCCGGCCTCGCCAATCCGCACGGCACGGCGCCCGCAGTCGGTTTTGCGACTTTTGGCGAATTTCCTTTGCTCGCGCCATACCGCGCGGGCTGGCTTTCTGGCGAAGCTGCCGGCTTCGCAAATCCGCACGGCACGGCGGCCGCAATTAGTTTTGTAAATTTTGGCGGGTTTTTTCCTTTCGCGCCATGGGCTTCGTAAGAGGTTGCCGGCTTCGTCAATCCGCACGGCGCGGCGCCCGCAGTCGGTTTTGCGACTTTTGGCGGATTTTCTTTGTTCGCGCCATAGCGTGTGGGCTGGCTTTCTGGTGAAGCTGCCGGCTTCGCGAATCCGCGCGGCACGGCGGCCGAAATTAGTTTTGTAAATTTTGGCGGGTTTTTTTTTTCGCGCCATACCATCTCTGGCATTCCCAAGCGTTGAAAAACTTGGCAAGGATTTGAAGCCTCGCCGCCTCTGATTCGGGCGATTCCGAATATTCGGAAGTATCCGCGGACGAACTCGGCAAAACTTCCAGAGGGCGAAGCAATATATTAATTTTAAGTATGTCAGCTTCCGCAGATAGAGATGGGGGCCGCACTTTTGGCATTCCCAAGCGTTGAAAAACCTGGCAAGGATTTCTATTCTCGCCGCCTCTGATTCCGGCGATTCCGAATATTCGAGAATATTCGGAATATTCGAAAAGCTGGCAAAACCTTCGGCACTTCCCAAACTCCTGCCTGCCTATTTTGATGCGATTCCGAATACTCGAAAGCATCCGCGGACGAACTCGGCAAAAATTTCCAGAAGAGGAAGTAATTTATTTTAAGTATGTCAGTTTCCGCAGATAGAGGCGGGGGTCGCATTTTTGGCACTCCCAATTGTTGAAAAACTTGGCAAGGATTTGAAGCCTCGCCGCCTCTGATTCCGGCGATTCCGAATATTCGAGAATATTCGAAAAGCTGGCAAAACCTTCGACAGTTTCCAAACTCCTGCCTGCCTATTTTGAAGCGATTCCGAATATTCGGCAGTATCCGCGGACGAACTCGGCAAAAATTTCCAGCAGAGGAAGTAATTTATTTTGAGTATGTCAGTTTCCGCAGATAGAGGCGGGGGTCGCATTTTTGGCATTCCCAATTGTTGAAAAACTTGGCAAGGATTTGAAGTCTCGCCGCCTCTGATTCCGGCGATTCCGAATATTCGGGAATATTCGAAAAGCTGGCAAAACCTTCGACAGTTTCCAAACTCCTGCCTGCCTATTTTGAAGCGATTCCGAATATTCGAAAGTATCCGCGGACGAACTCGGCAAAAATTTCCAGAAGAGGAAGTAATTTATTTTGAGTATGTCAGTTTCCGCAGATAGAGGCGGGGGTCGCATTTTTGGCATTCCCAATTGTTGAAAAACTTGGCAAGGATTTGAAGTCTCGCCGCCTCTGATTCCGGCGATTCCGAATATTCGGGAATATTCGAAAAGCTGGCAAAACCTTCGACAGTTTCCAAACTCCTGCCTGCCTATTTTGAAGCGATTCCGAATATTCGAAAGTATCCGCGGACGAACTCGGCAAAAATTTCCAGAAGAGGAAGTAATTTATTTTGAGTATGTCAGTTTCCGCAGATAGAGGCGGGGGTCGCATTTTTGGCGTTCCCAATTGTTGAAAAACTTGGCAAGGATTTGAAGTCTCGCCGCCTCTGATTCCGGCGATTCCGAATATTCGGGAATATTCGAAAAGCTGGCAAAACCTTCGACAGTTTCCAAACTCCTGCCTGCCTATTTTGAAGCGATTCCGAATATTCGAAAGTATCCGCGGACGAACTCGGCAAAAATTTCCAGAAGAGGAAGTAATTTATTTTGAGTATGTCAGTTTCCGCAGATAGAGGCGGGGGTCGCATTTTTGGCGTTCCCAATTGTTGAAAAACTTGGCAAGGATTTGAAGTCTCGCCGCCTCTGATTCCGGCGATTCCGAATATTCGGGAATATTCGAAAAGCTGGCAAAACCTTCGACAGTTTCCAAACTCCTGCCTGCCTATTTTGAAGCGATTCCGAATATTCGAAAGTATCCGCGGACGAACTCGGCAAAAATTTCCAGAAGAGGAAGTAATTTATTTTGAGTATGTCAGTTTCCGCAGATAGAGGCGGGGGTCGCATTTTTGGCGTTCCCAATTGTTGAAAAACTTGGCAAGGATTTGAAGTCTCGCCGCCTCTGATTCCGGCGATTCCGAATATTCGGGAATATTCGAAAAGCTGGCAAAACCTTCGACAGTTTCCAAACTCCTGCCTGCCTATTTTGAAGCGATTCCGAATATTCGAAAGTATCCGCGGACGAACTCGGCAAAAATTTCCAGAAGAGGAAGTAATTTATTTTGAGTATGTCAGTTTCCGCAGATAGAGGCGGGGGTCGCATTTTTGGCGTTCCCAATTGTTGAAAAACTTGGCAAGGATTTGAAGTCTCGCCGCCTCTGATTCCGGCGATTCCGAATATTCGGGAATATTCGAAAAGCTGGCAAAACCTTCGACAGTTTCCAAACTCCTGCCTGCCTATTTTGAAGCGATTCCGAATATTCGAAAGTATCCGCGGACGAACTCGGCAAAAATTTCCAGAAGAGGAAGTAATTTATTTTGAGTATGTCAGTTTCCGCAGATAGAGGCGGGGGTCGCATTTTTGGCGTTCCCAATTGTTGAAAAACTTGGCAAGGATTTGAAGTCTCGCCGCCTCTGATTCCGGCGATTCCGAATATTCGGGAATATTCGAAAAGCTGGCAAAACCTTCGACAGTTTCCAAACTCCTGCCTGCCTATTTTGAAGCGATTCCGAATATTCGAAAGTATCCGCGGACGAACTCGGCAAAAATTTCCAGAAGAGGAAGTAATTTATTTTGAGTATGTCAGTTTCCGCAGATAGAGGCGGGGGTCGCATTTTTGGCGTTCCCAATTGTTGAAAAACTTGGCAAGGATTTGAAGTCTCGCCGCCTCTGATTCCGGCGATTCCGAATATTCGGGAATATTCGAAAAGCTGGCAAAACCTTCGACAGTTTCCAAACTCCTGCCTGCCTATTTTGAAGCGATTCCGAATATTCGAAAGTATCCGCGGACGAACTCGGCAAAAATTTCCAGAAGAGGAAGTAATTTATTTTGAGTATGTCAGTTTCCGCAGATAGAGGCGGGGGTCGCATTTTTGGCGTTCCCAATTGTTGAAAAACTTGGCAAGGATTTGAAGTCTCGCCGCCTCTGATTCCGGCGATTCCGAATATTCGGGAATATTCGAAAAGCTGGCAAAACCTTCGACAGTTTCCAAACTCCTGCCTGCCTATTTTGAAGCGATTCCGAATATTCGAAAGTATCCGCGGACGAACTCGGCAAAAATTTCCAGAAGAGGAAGTAATTTATTTTGAGTATGTCAGTTTCCGCAGATAGAGGCGGGGGTCGCATTTTTGGCGTTCCCAATTGTTGAAAAACTTGGCAAGGATTTGAAGTCTCGCCGCCTCTGATTCCGGCGATTCCGAATATTCGGGAATATTCGAAAAGCTGGCAAAACCTTCGACAGTTTCCAAACTCCTGCCTGCCTATTTTGAAGCGATTCCGAATATTCGAAAGTATCCGCGGACGAACTCGGCAAAAATTTCCAGAAGAGGAAGTAATTTATTTTGAGTATGTCAGTTTCCGCAGATAGAGGCGGGGGTCGCATTTTTGGCGTTCCCAATTGTTGAAAAACTTGGCAAGGATTTGAAGTCTCGCCGCCTCTGATTCCGGCGATTCCGAATATTCGGGAATATTCGAAAAGCTGGCAAAACCTTCGACAGTTTCCAAACTCCTGCCTGCCTATTTTGAAGCGATTCCGAATATTCGAAAGTATCCGCGGACGAACTCGGCAAAAATTTCCAGAAGAGGAAGTAATTTATTTTGAGTATGTCAGTTTCCGCAGATAGAGGCGGGGGTCGCATTTTTGGCGTTCCCAATTGTTGAAAAACTTGGCAAGGATTTGAAGTCTCGCCGCCTCTGATTCCGGCGATTCCGAATATTCGGGAATATTCGAAAAGCTGGCAAAACCTTCGACAGTTTCCAAACTCCTGCCTGCCTATTTTGAAGCGATTCCGAATATTCGAAAGTATCCGCGGACGAACTCGGCAAAAATTACCAGAAGCGGGAGCAATTTGCTTGAAGTATGCCAGCTTCCGCAGATAGAGGAGGGGGTCGCATTTTTGGCATTCCCAAAAGTTGAAAAGCTTGGCGAGGGTTTGACGCCTCGCCGCCTCTGAATCCGGCGACTCCGGACATTCGGGAACATTCGCAAAGCTGGCAAAATCTTCGACGGTTTCCAAGCTCCTGCCTTCCTATTTTGGAGCGATAATTGCGATCGCCGTGCCGTGCGGATTCGCGACGCCGGCACCCTCTTGCGACCGCCAGCCCGCACGGTATGGCGTGAAGGCAAAAAACTCGCCAAAATTCGCAAAACTAATTGCGGCCGCCGTTCCATGCGGATGCGCGAAGCCGGCAACTTCGCCCGAAGGCCAGCCCGCACGGTATGGCGCGAAAGGAAAAAACCCGACAAAATTTACAAAATTAATTGCGGCCGCCGTGCCGTGCGGATTCGCGAAGCCGGCAGCTTCGCCAGAAAGCCAGCCCGCACGGTATGGCGCGAACAAAGGAAATTCGCCAAAAGTCCCAAAACCGACTGCGGGCGCCGTGCCGTGCGGATTGGCGAAGCCGGCAACCTCTTACGAAGCCCAGCCCGCGCGGTAGGGCGCGAAAGAAAAAAAATCGCCAAAATTCACAAAACTAACCGCGGCCGCCGCGCCATGCGGATTTGCGAAGCCGGCAGCTTCGCCAGAAAGCCAGCCCGCACGCTATGGCGCGAACAGCAAAAATTTGCAAAAAGTCGCAAAACCGACGGCGGACGCCGTGCCGTGCGGATTGGCGAAACCGGCAACCCCGTACGAAGCCCAGCCCGCACGGTATGGCGCGAAACAAAAAAACTCGCCAAAATTTAAAAAAACTAACCGCGACCGCCGTGCCGTGCGGATTCGCGAAGCCGGCAGCTTCGCCAGAAAGCCAGCCCGCACGCTATGGCGCGAACATAGGAAATCCGCAAAAGCCGCAAAACCGACTGCGGGCGCCGTGCCGTGCGGATTGGCGAAACCGGCAACCCCCTACGAAACCCAGCCCGGCAACCCCCTACGAAACCCAGCCCGCACGGTATGGCGCGAATGGGCGAAATTCGTCGCAAAAATAAAAAAAGCAGGCGATCGCCGTCCCGCCCTGATTCGCGCGGGTTGCTGATCTGTCCTGAAGCTAATCCGAATGGTATGGCGGCAGTTTATTCTTGTTGTTTTGTTTTGCTTTTATTGTTGACAATAACAGTCCCACCGTGATTCGCGCGGATTGCTGATCTGTCCTGAAGCTAATCCGCATGGTATGGCGGCAATTTTTTTTGTTGTTTTGTTTTGCTTTTATTGTTGACAATAACAATTATTATTTAATTATTTTTTTTCTGACCTGTCGGCTTTTTTCTTTGGGATATGTTCTTTGTATGATCCACTGCATGCCCGCCGCAGTTTTCTGCAGGCGGTCGGACAGCGGGGCTACTGCGAAAAGTGGTTTTTGGTCAATAAAATCTTCATCTTGCTCAAAACGATGTTTTTCAACATCTCTTTCAGTCGCACTCGTCAGAAAGTGCATCAGCAAATCGTACTGTGCAGCGGAGAAATTTTCCGAAACGACCCCCGTCTCCCTGTCCCGAACCCGCAACGGGCTGGCCTTCACGCCTACGTACCTGTGCTTCACTTCACCCGGTTCCTCAAAACAGTCGTTGAGACCAAAAAGATTCTGCGTTTCCGTCGCTGGTAGCAGACTCCCGTCTTTGATCATAATGCCGTTGCTTCTGCTGCTTTGAAATCGAAAAAGAGGCATTTTAGTACTATCACAAAATAAGTCACTATCTTCTGCGCAAGATTTCTGGGGAGGTGACGCTTCGGCAAGTGCAAGTTCCTCTTCATCGGCGGGTGGAAAACTACGGCTCACTACATTTTTCTCCCATGCAGCTTTTCGCCCCGTCTCTGCAAATGACTCAGCGCGCAGGGGAAGTGCGTTGTGCCACAGAATCGCGTGCTTCCCGTCCGCGCGACTTCGGATCTGTCTCTCGATGTCGACGTTGAGGGGCGCAATAACTTCCGTCACCGTGACGTCATGTCGCAAAGCATTTCTGTCTTTCCGAAAAAAGTGCTTCAGCCGCTCGTACACCCCCTCGGGGAGAGACACTTGGTCCAACTTCGACTTGTAAAATTGAAACTCCAGGTCGAGCCACTCGCGAAAGTGCAGCAGCCGAGGATCTGAGCTCGACGTTCTTTCGCGAGTAGATGCTCCGACCACTTCTTCTGCCGCCTCAATAGTTCCACTCGTGCTGCCCTGTGTAGATGGTTCTTCCGTAGCTGCGCCCCGCAGAAGCGGCACGGAGTGCCGCTGCGACCACGACTCCTGTGGATTTTGCTGCGGTAGCTGTGCTCCGAAAACCGGTTCGGTAGCTCCAGCTGCTGCTGCAAAAAAAAACGCGACGACTCGGCCACACAAGGCCATCTGCTTCATGTGTGGAAAGGATAAGCACGGCATTGGAAAAAAAACCCGAATCTGGGGGGGAGAGAGCAAGGGGCAGCTTCACTTAAATCTTCTGTTCGAAAAACTTGTGATCAATGGTCTATCTTGGGTTTTGTCTAAAAGTAAACACACAGCCGAACATAGAAAGGGGTAATAGGGAGCAGTGGAAAAATCGTGATGGCGGAAATCAGAGGAAACTATGAATCAATACGACGATGCAACCCTATCTGTCTTGAAGATGCCAGTAAGTCCCTATTACTAGTTCTTCTGCGTATGCGTATGCCAACACGGCGACCGTGTTTACACGCTCACTTACTGTTCGAAAGACCTGCTATTGTGCCATCCACCAATGGTGGTCGGCAGATCCTGAAGATCCACAGAACCAGTCGCTCCTTCAGTAGCTGCACCACAGCGTTTCATATACGAAGTACACTGCTCTTCAAGAGCTTTGGATCAGAGCTGTAGCATCTTGGGGATGATCTTCGTGGTGAAGACCACGGGCCGTATGATGTGGAAACTGCGACGGTAATGTTGATCCATGCGGTCACAAAGGCAGATCCAATGCCGCATGTCGTAAGAGGAAAATAGAGGAGAGCTTGCCCACCCGGTACGTACATTGCTAGCAGCTTGGATCCTGAGCTAGATCGATGTAAGCAGTGGCTCCACCTGAATTCTCAAAAACCTGTGAGGTTCAACATGTCGGGGCGCAGCCTATCGCAATGGAACGCCAAAGGAAGGCGGACTTTGCAGCTATTTGCATAGTTGAGTTGCGTTGACTGCAGTTGTAGTTGTGGAGTCCTTGTAAAATAAGAAAACGACAAGTTGGTACAGTGAAAAACATTATCTCATTTGTATTTCATCTGTTGCAAGTAGCTCAGTAAATCTGTTTCATCTCGTTTCTTTCATCATTCTGGTCCCCATTGACCTCTTTTTTCATCGGTGTAGTTTCAATTTTTCCTTTAGTCAAAAACAAGGCTCGTGTAAGAAGCTCTTTACAACTATTGGCGTTTCTCTGTCGAAGCAATGCGCTATCAAAAAAGTCGGGCTAGCTATTGTTCGAATTAATCCTTTCTGGGCGTACAAGCAAAGTTCGCAACTAACTTCTTGACTCATCTCTGTCTAAATTCGATTCTTCGGTCACGGAAGCGATATTCACCTTCATGACGTTTTGCAAATTATGATAGTATAATCAGGTGTAGTAAGGGCAGATCAAGACCTGGTGAGCCTACGCCTTCGAAGATAAAAACTAAACTACAAATACATAGCACTTCCTGAGACGACGACTGTAAATGATGCAGCTCTAACTATGTATAACTTTCCCTTCCCCCTTGCAGAAGTCTCAGCACGACAAAAAAGTTCTGTTCAGACATAATAGAATTGCATCACATCCCAATCGCCTTGTTTTGCCCCTCGGCGTCCATGATCTCTTTGGAGCGGAAGACCACATTCTCGGGGGCAATCGTCCTCGAGCTGACGCCCGTGTCCAGCGCCTGCGCCGGCACCCGGCACAGGTAGTACAGCAGCCCAGCGAGACTAGCCACCCCGAAAATCACGCCAAGCACGATCAAAACCGTTTGCAGGGTGTTGGACGGGCAGGTGATGACCGCATCCGTGTACTCTCCGGTGGAATATAGTGGGTCAATGTCCTCCTGCACGGAGGTGGAGTAGTGCTCCATAATACCTGGCATTCAGAAAAAGCGTATAATGCGTTCTCGAGGCACAACATACTTACCACACTGTAGATTGACACTGGCGAAATGTTGATCTAGATCTTTTTATTCGTGTGCTTGTATTCTATCCCAAACAAAACTATAACTAACACGCGAACTCTCATCATTGATAGAAGCAAATACCTAAATCGAATTTTTAACTTCATCTACTACTACTTCCACTTCAAACAATTCCAATTTCCAGTGGAATCAATACCAGCTAAATCCGCGTCTGTGTTACACGACTCGGGAATGCAGAAAGTCTCCTCCGATTGGAATTCCCCGATGTCGCTCTGTATTTTTTTGCAGTATTGTTGAACGAAGTGCAGCAAAGAAATCAATCTCATCGAAATTGCTCTGTTTGGCATAGTTCTACTAACATCCTTGGCCGTAGAATGTACGTAGTTGCACTTCTGTTAGTGCGGAAACAGCAATGTATTGTACCTTGTAGGGCAGCCGCGTTGCAGTGCACGCGATCCTGGGCGTGCTTGCCGGTGCTGCGCCCTCGCAAAAATTTTCGTACTCGGAGAAGAGGCAAGTCGTTTTACCTGTGTGTTGTACATGACCCTGCCATGAAGAAGACGGAGATTACCAACTAAATCTTACAATCATTTTCATTTTCTTTCAACCCAAAGTTTATACGTATCCCTCACGAAGCTGCGTGCCACTCGACATCACAGCCGTGCACCGAACGATGATGAGAGCAGCGTGAGTGTGAATGAGACATTAAACAAAATTAGAATCACATATATCAGCGTGAAAATAAATCCTGTGCAAATAAATCCTTACAAGCGTCTGTGCACCCGCTGGACTGCTTGGTCGCGAAGTCGATTGTGTCGCAGCACGTCGCCAGCCGATTCTGCTGTCTCACCCCGCAAAACGTCCAAAAATGTTTCCAGGAAATGAAATCTGTTGTGTGGTGGATAAAAGCTATTATGTATGATGTTGCTGTTCAACGCAGAGAGATCGATAGATGCGTGCATGCAACAGAAAAAACCGTCCACTTCATCACAGGAGAGCGAGAGATTTCGATTTAGAAGCGAAATCAAAAAAGAAACTGTACGCTGCACGTCCTCGAGGTACATCTTATCGAATTCCACTCGACACTGGTTGGACAGTGCGTACGCTGACCCGGCCAAACTGCACGCTCCGAGGAAAAACCGGCTGAAGCGAGTTGTGCGGTTTGTCTTTTGTCCTGCTTCCGACTTTTTTGCTGGACTTCTCGTTGCTTTACCCCCGCTACGCGAAGAGAAGTGACAACTGTTGCTCGTCTTGCCGTCAGCTCTTCGGGGTCTTCGCGGCTTTGAGCTTGTTTTGCAGAAGCACGGCAGAGGACGTTCTTCTGTTGACTCAAGAATCGCGCATGTCGCTAGTTCAATTTGCGCTACTTCTGCTGGCGTGTAGGAGCCGCTGGTGCCGTGGTCGTGAGAGTTATTACTGCTTCGGCTTCTTTCCTCGCTGCTCCGATTTATTCCCCTCGTTCTGGAGGACGCAGGTGGGGTCGTCGCGTTCGAAAAATCTTCGTGCGCATCATAGAAAAGGTCTTCTTCCTTGGAACAGTCAGTTGCACAATGCTGCGGTACTACCTGGTGGCACGATGCCGGCTGGAAAGACCTCCTGCTTCTCTCGCCCACGTTGTGGTCCCTCTGTTCTTCCCGCCAGTGGAGATTTCTGCTGGAACTGCTCCTGCTGGTTCCAGTTAAAACAGCTGTCTCACTGCTTCGATCGGTACCGCCAGTGGGCGAGGACGAGAGAGCATCATGACGTCCTTCCGTGCGCCGCGTCGACTCCATTCTGCGCTGGGGTCGTGTGTTTCTGTATTGCACACTAGAATTTTCTCTCGAGAAAAGCTAGACACGACCAACCTTGAACTTCTTCGTACCACGAGACTAGTAAAACAATGGGACGCAACATCCGCATGCAAATGTCGAATTCGAAATGGGCAACCTGAGGCTACGTTCTTCCTCTGTTGTGAAAAGTAAGTTGATGAACCAACTATCTCCTGATCCTGAAAGTAGTACTTGAAGTAGCTTGCTCTTCGACATCTTTGGCCCGAAATCAAAGATTTATCGATGTTATCAAACAACACGAGGAAAGCACACTACATTCGGTGCTCTCAAACTCAATCTCGGTCGGAATACATCACGAGAACTCTCGATCAAACACAAACTCTCGCTTCGCTTTGGCCTCGTGTCTCTCTTACTGAATATAATCTCGCTCCTTTACAACTCGTCTGGGAGGGTACTCACTCAGCTCTCCTGTCGATAACGACTTCTCGTGGTGCGTACGCGGAGAAATCAATACATCATGCCTGAGCGCTCAGCTGTGTCCAATAACTGTAGCTTTACCCGGCTTGAAATCAAATGGAAGAACAAGATAATGAAGCACAGACTGTCTCGCGCACTACAGATAGCGAGCAACGAACTCTAATCCAAAAAAGAGAAACAAAAAATGTAGCAGGTGCCGCTTCTTCTATACTTTTTTCCCGATCACTTTTCACGACCCGCAGCCTTCCAAGTAGCTCCGTATCACGTTCTTGCAGTCGCCAAATATTTCTAGTCCTTGCGATTCTGATATCCTCACTCGGGTACGACAAAGCACCTCCAGCTGTTTTTTCAGCTCGTTGATATCGCCGCGAACCTTGCGAATCACCGTAAGCGCAAGCGTTTTGTTGTTCTTCTTGAAAACATAAATGGGCAAATTCCCGCTCGAGGTGCGCTTCACGTAGAACGGCGGTCCGGCTTTGTTCCGCTTGTTCTCGAGCGCGGGGACCGGGTCCCGTTTTGAGAGTGTACTGCGAAACGAGAAACTAGAAGGAGTTACGAGATTATTGGGGAGATTCTGCTGCGGCAGCTGCTCCCCTGCCGAGCTAGTAGAGCTACTGGACGCGAAAGTAGTGGCGTCGGCTGAAGCTGCGGTGGAGAAGCAGTGGTGTGGCAGAAACTGAGACCGACTTGGAACGGTGCAACGAGTTGAGCATGTGGAGCTGGTTGCAGAAAATAGAATTACACCAGAAGGCGGCGGTGGAGCAACCAGTGCCCGTGTGGTGCGGGCGAAGAGAAAGCGATCGGCAACAGGTGTGCGCGAAATGGTTGCAACGCCCAACGCTTGCATAATGATGCTGCTTTCGATCGAGGACGAGCAATAGTTTGTTGCAACCCTTGAAACAATTCAACTATCAGTGAGCGCAAAAAAGTAGAAGGGTCGACGCGAGGCACTTAGAAGTAGCGAAGACTAAGAATGTAGCTGGTGGCCGGATACTCGAACACTCTAAGCAATAACAATCAGCCGTACTCAAACATGAGGAGCACATCAGCCTTCCCCTTCTCAACAGAATTCTTGTTCTTCATCAATAGTGGCATCTTGCATATGATCAGTCTGATCCTATTGAGTTTTTCCACACATACAACAAAAGCACTCACGTAGAGTCCATAGCGACAAAACTACGCTTATTTGGACATCACGAAGCACATTCTGGCATCCTATGCGCACTGGAGTCAGCTTCTCCGCCTCCTACATCCACAACACTGTTGAAAAAACGTCCGGGAACGGATTTCCTCCAATTCTTCCTTGATCAATCGGTCAATATCTTCGTCGGAAAGCTGGTTCATCTTCACATCTGGCTTGTCGGCGTAAAAACTCAGCTCCTTCTTCTTCTTTACTTTCGGAATAGTGATTTTCTCAAATGTCGTACCCGACGCGCCATCACTGGTGCTGCACATATCCTTCCGTCTTGCTCGGGTAGTGGTCGAAAGGGAAGTTGCGTCGTCGGTATTGCTATAGTTGCCAGCCCCCTCTTTGTCTTGTTTACTACACACATTCTTTACTGCGCTCTCCGTTTTATTTGGCCGTGGTTCATCTACTTCATCTGCGCCTTCTTCTTCTAACAGGGTCCTCGCGGCTGCACTGGAAGCACCAGCTGACGGCGCCGACTTCGGTTCCTGTTGCAGTACAACATTTTCATCACGTACATGATCATTTCCGTCTTTCACCAACCGACTCTGTTGCGATTCCTGATAGTTCAAAGACTGCATCTCTTCGTACAGCCGATGGTTGAACATTTTCCGTGTTCGCTCCTTATCCTCCTGCAACGCCTTCCTCGCCCAGTTCAAATACACAGTTGCCCGTCGGCGAAGATTCTCTGTCGTTGTCGCTGACAGAGCTGCAGTGCCGGCTGTCGCCGCGGCACTGCCGGTCCCAGCAGTGTCCCCAGCTGTGGCGGCATCCATGATATCCAGCAACTCGAGGCTGCGAATGAGATCTACCTTTGTTTTTCAAGTTGTGCTAAATGTGGGATTGATAGTTTTTCATCATCAAACAGGCACAAAGCGACAGCTACTCAAAAGATTCGCGAACCTGCCTTTGTCATGTTGCTTCCAACCCCATCAACCGCAACAGTCTAGTACTATACTTTTGCCTTCCCCGGTTCCCGTAGCTTGTAGTAGGCAATACCTCGGCGGACAAGCGCCTTCACGTGATCGGGCTGTACAGACAGTGCCAAGTCGCACAAACGAATGCACTCTCGAAAATGCCGCATTTCCAACATACAGGCAGCCAGGTTGGCCGTGATCGGCAGTTGTATCTGCTGCTGGTACGAGTTTCTCGTCTTTTCATTCTCAGTTCGGCCTCCGGTTTCTGTTGTGCTGCTGCAGCTGCTACTTCCCTCATCGTATTGTCCTTTCGCAACGATAATTTTTGCACACTTTTCCAGTCCGGACAAGCAGTCGTAGTAGAGCAACGCGGCTTCTTTCAGCTTGGCAAGGTCGCAGGACAAATCTTCACTTGCACAGGAAGTAGATGTGGACGGGCACGCAGCTGGACTAGTCGTCCCATCAGGACGAGCCGAACAAAGAGCAATTGCCTGCTCGTCGGAGGCGGGATCGGAGACAAGCTCGTGTTCTTGCACACGGTCGGGTTCGTAGCGAGAGCTGTAGTACAAAGCATTGGCTTTTGCCTTCACCGCCTCTACCCACTGGACCACCTTGTCAAAGTCGTTACCCAGTTGGCTCAGCTGATTTTCGCAAAATTTCCGACGCTGCTCGTTCTCCATGGACTGCCCCAGCTCCTCCGGACTGGCCGCGCCGACAATTTTGCGGTCCTTGTTCACGCGCTGTACTTGGCAATGCTCCCCAAGAATCTCCCGCAGCTTCTCCGGGAGCGGCTGCTGGTCGCCGGCATAATTGGAAGGAGCAGCAGGGGCCATCTTTCTTACTTGAGACGAAAAACTTCACAAAAGGGCAAGAGGAAAAGTTAGTAGTGCGGGCATCTGAAAAAAAGGATTGACGGCCGTCGCCGTGGCGATAAAAATACAGCTCGATCGGCGGGTATCGGTAAGTAACGGTATCGGAAAGGTAAGCATGAGATGCATCCGAGAGGAAACGAAGACGAACGGGAAGACCGGCTTCAAAAATTAACACAGGCAGAGCGCGGATGGAATGTATGAACACACGACCGAGCTGTTCTGCACGGACGGGCCGCCGAGCGAGCTAGGAGCGAAGGCCGGGAGCGACTTCCCCGTGCATTGGGCGAGCCCAGCACGCAACCAACCGACCGGCCGCCGACATCGCCTCATATTCGATATGGAAGCGAGCACATCGAATTAGCCTCCAGGATCTTCATGTAAATTAACGAAGCAACAGCGGCCCTCTGGCCGGTGTCCGCGCGCAACGCGGCCAGACCCCTATTTACTGGCACGCGCAAAGGCGTGCGCCCCAGCGTCCTGTGGCTGCGCTGCGCAGGCGGGCCCTGGCCTGCCCAAAGGGCCCTACGGCATTCATATGGGGACACCGGCCAACCGAAGAAATCTATTGAGCGCGCGAGCGGCCGGCCACCGACCGACCGACCGAGCACATCCGGCCGGCCGCCTGCCCACCTGACCTCGAGAACAGGAAAGGGGCGGCAGGGCGCGGAGTGCGTGTCGGCGTCCAGCTGCTTCGTCGTGACAGCGTATCTTCCATTCTGATCGGTGCCTCGCTCACTGCGGGTTCGGAAAGATCTATTATCAGCGAGCGCTGTGGCCTCCTGGTATCTTCGGCCCTTGCGCGTGTAAGTAAGGATCTGTCCGTGGCATAAGCGGCCTCGAAACCCAGTCGCATAGGGGTCGTCTCCATTGCTCCGGCACCAGTGCCGACACAGTGAAGGAAGCTCTTCGAACGCCCGGACTCGTTGAACACTCGATCAGCCAGCGGGCCGGCCGGAAAGGGGCGCCGGGCTGAAAGAAACGATAGGAACGAAAAACGACCCCCCCGGCCGAGGGGGCGGACTGACAGAGAAAAGCGCCGGCGGCCGGGCCCTGAGGGGCGGCGGCCGGGCAACTGCCCAAGAGCCACCGCCGAGCTGATTCCTTCACGCCAGAGCGCCGGGGGCCCCCGCTGCCTGCTTCCTCTTTCGTGATGTTAGTTTCGTCGCGGCATTGCGCTGACAACTCCATTGATCCGGGCCCGGCCGGGGGCATGCCCGCGGCCGTCCGCGCAAGGGGCCCACTGCGCGCAGGCACGCACGTCGTCCATCTCCTGCTGCACACCCAAACACATGCAGCTTGAACGGATTTCCTCGCGCACCATTGAAATTTTTGCGAGCCTGTGACTTTCAATGTACGACTGTGCACCACGTGAGGCCCCCCCGAGGGCCGGCCCGGCCCAGAGCGTCCGCGCTCGCCTGTCCTGGTAGAACGCCAGCGCCCAGTGGTGGGAGTCGCTGACGCGGTGGGAGTCGCCCGACCCCGCGCCCGCCGGCTCGGGCGCAGGAGAAAGCGGCGGGGCCTTCAGCTCGCTCGGTACTGCGCGGCTGGCGCACCCGGCGCGGGCCGAACGGCCTCGGACGCGGACGGGGCTCGCGGCCCTTCTCTTTCCGCGGCTCTCCCTCATACTTTTCGAGTTCGCACGCCAACCTGCTGCCTGGCTCCCGGCTCGATGGCATAAGGATGGCCAAACTACAGCCGCCCCCCACGACTCCGGCACGCGGCTGGACTCCTCGAAATCCAAGCGATTAAATTCGCGCGCGCTGCGCGAATGAATTTACGCGCAGCATGGTTGGGCTTTTGCTGTCGCCCCCAACACGCACTGCGTGAAGCCGCCGCCCCCATAGCGAGCGAGGCGCACGCGGGAGGCCGGCCAGCGGCGCCATGGCGCGCGCGCCACATTAGAAGAAGCGCGCGCCTATCGGGCCCCGGCGCAACAATGGCCGGCCGCTTGACCGCATAAGGCCGCCGGCGCGCCTACCGCCTCGCTGCCAACGTTCTCCGCTTCCGCCTCGGCGCCCGCCTGTTGCGTGGCCAACTCGTTTTCCGAATCCCCCAAGTCCGAGCGGGCGTTCGCCCCCGCTCGAATGAAGCGCCCGCGCGCGTCCCTCGCTTCCTTGGCGCCCACGCGGGCGGCAGCGTAGGGGCGGCGCGCCACCGCGGTCGCCGGGCGCCTTCGATCACCCCAGGGGCCCCCCCTGCTTGCTTACGCGCCAGACGCTCGAACTCTGCACCCCGGGGCAATCGGGGCCGGGGCGTCTTCAGCGCATGAAGCAGCGGCGCCGCTGCGCGGCAAAACGTTACCAGCGAACGCGGGGAAATCGTGGCGCGCGACCTCGCGCGCTCCCGGATGGGTTGCGCACACAAGCAATGCGGCGCGCGCGTGCGCGGTGCTTCCTTAACAAAAAAATGATAGTGACTCACGCCGCGCATGTGAAGACATGCTCCGCGGTGGCTGCGGAACCGTGAACGTGCACACGAACCGCCCGCCACGATAAACGCGAACACATATTCGTTGGCTGTGTTTTTCTTTTTGCTGACACAGTCATAGCGACTGCCGGGGTGAGTCTACAATGTAGACACGCCCAACGTTTTTTTAGTTCGACTGCGATTCCGATCCAGGATGCTGGAGTCGATGTGAATTCGTGCACACAGTAAAGGGAGTCGCTTGGCTCCGTTCTCGTTATATTATGTCTATTGCGGAATGTAATTGTTATCCAACTCAACAAAATTTAATGGACAAAGAATTCAAAATTTCCGGTCCACGACCCGGAGCCGGGTCATCAATCCTCACCTCATACGAGTAGAAACCCCTCGTCTATGTTTCCCCTATTGCGACACGCCGATTGGTGTGAAGATGGGTCTTCTCTGCGGCGAATGCCCGTGAATGCAGTCTTCGTTATTCAGTTTCAGATTCAGTGCAAATCTTTCTACAACTTCCGCCCGTCATCTTGATCTTCGACATTGCTCGGCCGCACCGCTGCCCAGCACTTCGAGAACGCGGAAGCGGTTGTCATCGCCGAAGGGGTCCTCGTACAAGATCATTTTCTTTACACGGATTGGATGCTGCTATCTGGTGACGGCAGCAGAAGGTGGGACTATCAATTCGCAAGTACTCCCGCAATTTCCTTTGCTTTCTGTGTTCGTCAAATATCTTCATCACCCGCTGCCCGCCAAGTGACGCGGCGCGTCGCAGTGCGGGAGGCTCGACGACCAAATTGCTGCAATTCGAGTCTTCCGCCACCAAAAAAGCTCGCTTGGACGTTCAGGAAGTCGTCGCCAACTGCACCCCGCGGCTTTGGCTTTGGTACACGGTATCTTCGAAAGGGGACTAGAAAAAACCGTCGCCCCGTCGGAGATGAGTTGTAGTGTCAGCCGCAAGGTATCGTCAAAAGTAAGTGCAAGAAGCAAATATCGAGCCACTAACCCGCACTCCCCGATGGTCTCTCCACAGACGCAACCTGTTTTTTTTCGTTGTTTGGTATTTCATCATGTCGAAATGTTTCTCAAGCGCACAAAAAAAACAGAGCAAAAAATGAACCGGCCGAGTTTAAACTATACCAGCTGCTGCACGTAATCTTTCAGCACATCGTTTTCCTCTTTCAGCTGCAAGTTCTCCTGCCTCGCAGCATCGATCTTCAGCGTCACGTCCGAAAGGTTTTGCTGGAGCGCCATGATCTTTTCGATCACTGCCTGGCGCTGGGCGTTTTCGTCCTGCTGCTGCTGGGTGTGCGGGTGGTAATAGCCGGAGGCTTGCGACATTTTTTCGATGTTGGTTCGGTGTTTTAATTCAGAGTAATGTATGAGGAGGCGGAACTCGCAGCTCGGATAGTACTTCCACAGAATAGGACCACTCAACTTCAGCAAGCCTTTGCGAGGCTGTAGCCACAGTGCCTTTGTTTTTGCTGAGGCACAGACTTCCAAATCTAGTGCTGGCGCTATTTTTCAAAAGAAACTTGTCTCCTTGTCCACGACAACAAAAAATCACCCCAATTTTTTACGAACCCTTTCAGTTTGGAAGAAAAAGAGACAAAGCATGAAATAAAGGCGCTAGGTCCTCCTGCTCAGAAATCTCACACGCAGCTCTGTGCCCGGTATCAGAAGTCTGACGCCCGAAGCAGATAAGTTGTCCATGTCTTAGCTAGTGGGGAGAGGAGTGAGACGTAAGAGTACAGCTGACCACACGACTTTCATTGCACGCACGTGCTGTGACACGAGACTGACAGTCGCAAAACGACGGAACAAGAGTGACACCTTCGCATACAGCACCGGTCATCAACATCATGTCTTCGACTCGAGTCGCTTTTTGCACGGGGCCACGTGCATCTTCTGCACACAAACTCAAAAATCACTACTGGACACGCGGCCGACTCTGCAGTCGATACAACTGCGCCTCGCGCGCCTACATGCGCCATCAACTACTTATACAAAAATCGCACCTCTTTCAATAACATCCAATCACCGACTTTCCTCAAATTGCTGCCGCAATCGCAGGATGATTTTTGATGTCTTCCAAACTGTTTAAATTTCCCAGCGTCTTCGGAACCACCTTGTTTTGCCTCCCAATTTCCTCCTCCCGCGCCTTCATTTTTTCCAACTGGAATTCCCGCATTTCTATCGCGAGGAAAAATGCCCCCACCCCCAAAGTTGCAAAAAGTTGTGATGCAAAGTTTCCAAATGAAAACTTTTTGTCATACATGACAGGAGTATGAACCTTTCTGATGCAGAGTCTCGGTGTGTGTCGCATCGCTTGCATGACAAGCGCCGGTCTTGCTGGGATCTTTTGCAATGCAAATTTCTGCTATTCACGATCGGAAATCTGTGATGCTGATAGATGCAAGAGGGCGAATGTTTCATTTGGAAAGGTTTGCAATACAAATGCCCCCAAGTGGGGGGGGTGGGGGCATTTTTCATTGTAATAATTTCCTGCAGTTCCGCGTAATCGGTCGGCACCTTCGACTCGCTCGGCATGAACAGATAGCTCAACTCGCACTCCTCCACTTTGGCAACGCGGTTGTCGTAGGCGAAGTCCGGGTCGATGTAGAACAAAATCGGCAAGTCCACCTCTTCGCCCGGGTTCACCAGCTGCTCGTCGAAGCAGAAGCACTGGATTTTGTTGAAGAACAACCCGCACTCTGGCGGAAAAATCGCGTAAGTGGAGGTTCCGATGACCGGCTCGGTGCCGATGTTTTTGGCCCGGAAAAACGCCAACGCGGTTTCGCCCACCGCGACGTAGAGCGAATGCTGCTGCGGCTGGAACTCCCAGTCCAGGTTGGTCGCGACGGTGCCGTTGAAGTTCACCTTCACCAATCGGTTTGCACAAACCGGGTCTTCGGCCTTCTCCAGATGGTTGTACGTTTTGTGGCCGACGAAGTTCCGGTTCGCGGCCCCGTTATCGCCCCCGGATTGGCACATCAGTTTGAAGAACGGGACCATGAAAAATAGCGCGCCGAGGGAGAAAACCCAAATCGCGCCACCGTACAGGATCAACCGTCGCGCGAAGATTTTGTTGGCATCGAGGGACCCCGAGGTTTGGTGCAGGGCCGTGAAACCGGAGGAGGTTGAAGACGTAGAAGTTCCTGCACTTCCTCTGCTCGATGCAAGTACTTGAAAAATTCGCGATGTGAAAACACTCGTCCCTGGGAACAGCATCCTGCTTTTCTCAACAAACACTCCAATTTTATCCTCCATGCCGAGAAAGCGGAAAACAGATGGTATGCGGTTTCGTTGCTTTTTTTGGCTGTCCCTGTCGAAGTTCAACAAATCGTCATCAAATTCCGATCGGCCCGAAGTGGACGAAGATGAGGAGCTGCTTGTCGCCGTCGTGGAGCTGTGTGGCCTACTTGTTCCGTGCTGCGCTCCTTGTGGAATTGGTAGCTGCGCAGCAGTCAGTTTATTTGAGGAACGCGGCAAAACAACTCCGTAGCTTTTTTCAACAGTCGATGAGACCAGCGGCAGTCCTCTGAATGGTCCCGACCTGATGTAGACAGTCCCCGGTCGAGCTGATACGCTTCCGGACCTCAGGAAAATTTGCATCATTTTGGTTTTGATGAATATGTAAGTGGTACAATCACAATGGAAAAACAAAAACTTTTCTCGACAAAAAACGCAACTGCTTTCAACAACTAATGGAAAAGACAAATGTCAGGCACAGAGAAGACGTCGAAAGGCCTCTACTCAGACGGCGCTGGCATCACGCCCATTCTTTAGCGAAGCTGCTTTCCACAATGAAAAAGCCTGACGGGAGCTGAATTTCGTCCACATCCTGAGAAATTCAAAACTCTCGGCTCTCGTGTCTCCGCCTCCAAATACACTTGCCTCTCTTCCCTGACCTGCTGTCGCTGAAAAATCACTGCAGGAGAACTCTCGCAAAAAGCATGAACAAGTGCGTCAACTACAGGGACGGCTTTTCCTTCTGTACCTGTAGCGTATGCGTAGTTCCCTCCAGAACCACAATTTACTGTCCACCGTAACCGTTGACTGAATCATCATCATCATATTTGTGCGTGTCCGGGATAAACGTTATCTTTTCTCATTCTAATGAGTGGACGGGCACCCAGTACTGCTGTGTGCGGAGTGACAGGAGAGTCACTCACTCTGCGTGCCAAGTGTTATCTTGGCCTTTGTAAAAGGAGACCCCGCAGACATACACTATCTCTCTTCCTGTGTTTTCGCAAAAATCCGTGCTGTCTGCTTCAAACACCACCTGGTCGCTTTCTTCTAGACGCCAGACTTCCCGTCTTTGGCCGGGTAAACGCACCCAGCTCTTGCCGCTGATCGTTTGAATTAGTTCCGCTCGCCCCCTTTCCGCTTCTTGCTGTTGCTGTATTCTCTTGCGCTGCTCCTCGCGCATTTTCTCGGTCTTCTCGGTTGCTGTCCTTGTTTGCTTGGGCCTGTTTCTTCTGCTCGTGTCCACTTTTCTTTTTTGCCGCATTGCTTCCTTCACTGCCGCTGCGTCTGGCGGCTGCTGCGCCATCTGTGCGGCATCGAAGCCAAAGTGCTGCAGGTCTTGCTCCACCAGCCTGCCCCATGGTGTTTTCGCCTTTATCTCGTTTGCTATCCACCACCCTGAGGCTTCTGTTGTGTCGCGGAATGCATGGGCAACCCATGCTACCCGCTTCTCCTGTAGCATCGTCTCTATATCGAGTATGCCTGCTCTTTTGCATAACTCGATGCGGCTGGTGTATTCTGCTTCCTCGTCTACCGGCCCCCCCTCTGCGTTCTGCTCCTCCTGCCTTTCCTGCTGCCGCTGCCACTCCCTTCGCTCCCCCGTCACTGTTTTCAGTGTCTGCATCTGGAAGTTACGCAAGACCTTGAGGTCGTGCTCGTGCGGGACCCAACACTCACTATTGTACAGCGCTACCGAGCTGCGCAACGAGGTGTAAAGTTCCGCCTTCAGCTCCCGCGGGAGCCCTTTATCTGCCCAGATTTTTCGGAGTTGCTGCGTCGTTGCTGTTGCTATCCCCGTCCGCCTTTCGACTTCTTTGGTGGTGCTGGCGTTGCTTGCTATTTCTGTGCCCAAATACTTGAAGGAAGGCACTGTTTTTATCTCGCTCCCATCTGCTGTTTTTAGGTCCGCCGGCACAAGCACTGTGGCGCGCTGTGCCTTGGCCTTTTCCTCTATGTATCTGCCTACCCGGAGCTGTCTCTCTTCGCGCTCCGTCATGGCCGTTCTGCAGAAGCCCGTTGCCATGTGCCCCCGTAGTGCCCGTTCGTCCGGAAGGACATCTTGGCACACTGGGCACACATGGATGTTTTTTTCCTCCAAAACAGATCGCACTTTGCCCATGCGGACAAAGCGCAGCGTCTCCCTTCCGTCCAGCTCCACCCAGCCTGTGCGCTTGTACAGGCACAGGCTGTACTTTCCGTCGTCCCAGGCTACTAAGTGCGTTACTTTCCCCACCTTCGGAAGCGCGGCCTGCTTGCGTCGTGCTGCTTCCGCCAGGTGTGGCACGAGGTCCACCCCGTCCCACTCGATGGACCACCCCCACCGCTCGCCGCTAGCCTCGTCGGTGCGGATTCTTTCCTTTTTGGCGTCTTCGTTGTTCTTTTTCGTCGGCGGCAGCCCTATCGTCATCGCCTCCGTTTTTTTCGCGTTTAGTTCCAGGCCCACAAATCTGCACGCTGCCTGCAGCTGTAGGAGGACGCGCTGCGCCTCCACCTTCGTATTTGACCTGATCACCAAGTCATCCACGAACCCCAGCCAAGACAGGTACGCTGGGTCTACTCTGCATCCCACCCAAAGCCCGTCATCTGTCATCGTTTCCTCTAGTGCGCACAACGCAAAATTTAACACGAGGATAAAAATGAGGGGCGATAGGCTGCTTCCCTGGCGTATCCCGGACCGCTGTTCGGCGGCGCTGCTTTGTTTTCCCGGTCCCAGCTTGAGGCAGAAAGTCGCCCGGCGGTACATCCGTCGGACAAGCTCTGCAAGTTCTGGCGGGAATCCCTGCCAGCGGATGACGGAATTGAGCCGCTCCCAGTCGAGCGAATCATATGCCTTCTGAAAATCAATGAAGTCATAGATTCGCGTCTCGCCGTTGCGGATGGCTGTCTCCATGTCTCGCAGTAACTGGAAGACTGCGTGGCGGCAACTCAACCCCTGTATGGACCCCTTTTGCTTCTTGTTCACGTAGCTGTATGCGGACTTGCGGACCCGCTTTAGTATCAGGAGGGACACTAATTTTTCCCCGTAGTGCAAGAGCGCCACGGGGCGGTAGTTTTGCGGCTGTGCTCGTGGCCCGCTTTTGTGCAACAGTGCAATTGTCGCGTCTAACCACGACTGCGGTACTTCCTCCCCTTCAAAGATCTTCCGCACCACACTGCGGAGAACCTTGCGCGCGGTCTCCGAGTGGGTGAAGAATTCGGCCGGGAAGTCTCCGGCGTGGCTTTTGCCTTTTTTCAGCTCCTTAGCCGCTTGGTCGATTTCGCCGTCTGTTGGGGCCCCTGTTGTTTCTGTGGTCCACACGGGTCGGGGAGGGGTCTCATACAGGAGTTGCTCGCACTTCTTCCACGCCTTCGTCGCTTTCAGGTCTTCCCCCGCGTCTGGTCGGTCCTGGCCCAGGATGCTCTTCCAGAACGCAAGGTGTGGCTCCTCCCCGCCCGGGAGGCTCTGCTGAGCCCTGGCCCGAGCGCGGCCCGCTATCTGCCGCACTGTTTCATATACCGTTCTTGCGTTGCCACTGCTATCCGCCTTCTTCAGCTGCTCCAGCTTCTCGCGAAGCCACTGCTCCTTGTCCTCCCGCACCTCTCGGTTGATCTGCCTGCGCAGCCTTCCCGCGCACTGCTTCGTGAGTTTTCCGCTCTCCCTCAGCTTCTTCCGCATCTGGATGGTCTCCCAGGTGCGGTCTGCGATCCAGGGCTTTTTCCTCGTTTCTGTCTTGTTCTTCTTCCACTCCTCCTCCAGCTCCCGCAGCAGTGGCTTCATGGTTTGCTCGAAGTCATCCCAAATTTCCACTGCTGTTGCTGGTGTGGTCCCCCCACCGGCTATTTTCTCCAGCTTGTCCACTGTGTAGACGGCTTGCAACTTCTCCTCTATCTTTAGCGCCTCGCCTTGCTGCCGGATCAGTTGCTTGCCTAGCTGCTCCCTCGCGCGCGGAACCCGTGCCGCGTTTCCTTCCAGCCGCATCGTCACCAGTTTGTGGTCAGATTCCTTGTGCGTCTGGTCGGTAACATGGTATGCTCTGCACAGACCCCGATCTCTGTAGCGTACGAAGACATGATCGTATTCACGCTTCGCGCGCCCCCCCACAAATGTCCCAGTAAAGGTGTACCGGTGCCGGAACCTTTTGCGGAAGGTGCTGCCCGCTGCCACGAGTTCGTTTGCCGTTGACTGAAAAGATATTACAATTACTTTTACCGCTGCACGTCCCATCTAACAGCAAATCATACATTCGTCGGCTTTCGAAAAAAATTGTCAAGATGACCGGAGTTATCTATGGGTATCGCTATATCGCAGCATTCTTGCTACTAACTAAATCGAAATCAGCAACACTCCTTCCACTTGGAGCAGGTGGGCAAGTGGTCGTTGACAAAACCGCACGCCTGCAAGTACGCGTAAACGGTGGTGGTGCCGAGAAATTTCATTTCCCACGTTTTGGTCAGCTCCTTCGCGACGAAATCCGATAAAGAGGTCTTCGCCGGGATGTCCTTCATCGTTTTGTAACTGGTGTTGATAACCGGCATTTTCTTCAAAATAATAGGATTTTTACACGCCCCAGCCGCAGCGCGTGGTGCCGGTAGGTCAGAAGGCTTTGGCTGCTGCCTCTGCCTGACGTTCTCCAGCAACTCTGCCCTCTTATTGATTTTCACCAAGGGGGCAGCGCTGGTGGTTTTATTGCTTGGACGAGAAGAGGTCTCATGCTCTTCCACCAGAGCCCACATGAAATCGCAGAACGAGCCGTACTGCTGCTGAATCTCCCTAAACTTCCCCGCATTGAAGATTGCCGCTTCGATTTTTTTGCGATTCCTCACGATGGAGTCATTCTTTTCGCCCGGAAGGGCTAGAAAGTACTCGACGGCTCTGTCGAACAGCTTAGCGTGTTCTTGCGCCTTGTTCGCACTAGCTTTCGCCGAAGTTGATGCACCGCCAACCTTTTTCCTACTACTCTGCACCTTCTCTAAAACAAAGTCCAGGTCCACCAGCTTGCTCTTCCGATACGCTTCCCGCTTGTTCAGAATCGTGGCCCACGAGAGCCCGGCTTGGGACAACTCGAGGACTAGCATCTCAAACAACATCGGATCATCCTCTATGCCGTTCCGCCGCGGCCGGCCCCACTCCTTGTCATGGTACTCCTGGTACAGCGCAGAGGTGGCATTGGAGTAAAACCCCGCCCAACCGCAGTCCTCGGCGGTGGTGGTGGTTGTCGATTGGTTAGGTGGAATGGCAATGGGTGCGGTGCGTGCAGCTGTCTTGGTTTTCGCCTTCGAAGCGGCCGTGGAACTGGACGAAGTGCTGGTGGTTTTGGCTGAGGACTTCGTCGTGCGTCGTGGTAGCGCCAACGATCTGCTCGTCGTAGTTGCGAGTTTCTTCATAGCAGCAGCTGTTTTCAATTTCGTAACCATTTTCATGGTGGAACCTTTTATTTTCAGTGGCGGCTTTTTTATCAACACGACGGACGCTCTTTTTGTAGCCGCGACATGCTTCTTCTTTCCCACCAGAGCAACTGTTTTTGCTCCCATTTGTCTCATGCTGCTGGCTGTTTTATGACTTGTCCCTTTTCTCGTCCGCTTCAGGCTAGCTGCCTTTGTCGCAGGCTTCTGCTTCGTTCCGATGGCTTTGCGCGCCTGCGACTTTGATGAGCGTGCGGTATTAGCTGTAGTCTTCGACATTGTGTGTCTGCTGCTCTACGTTTTATTGTTTTCAAATTGAGCACATAGTCGACTTGCTAATAGTTGTTTTTAAAAATACTTCTAGTTCGAAATCTAATCCGGCGCTTACATTCCTCACCGCTGTCGCTTTTGCTTGCAGGAAGAAACGAGAAGCGATTCGCATACTACTTCCACGTATCTGTGGTCTCTGTCACGCATGACATAGGGGACTGCTCTCCTTGAACTAAGAAAAAGCTAGGAAATCTGGAGTCTGCTCTAGAGTAGATGCTGTACTAGCCGTTGGCATCGCGCTCTTTTTGCCGCGGGCATATCTCCTTTCGCCACTCATTACGAACTGGTCCTCAGAGAAAAGACACCCTGGATCCTCAAGGGCCACAAAACTAAAGAACATACTTGCTTCTCGGAGAATTTGAGTGAGTCGCTTCATTTAGACTCATGCACGAGGCCGCCAGCTGCGAAAATACACATGCTCAACCAAGCTAGACGGCCTGGGTCTATCTCACTGGGTTGCGTGAAAACAATGCGCCCCCTCCACAACGCAATACATTCTGGACATCTCCAGGCCGAAACCAAAGAAAGGGCACACACTGTGGAATGGGCAGCTTCGCCACACTCACGCACACCCTTGCCCGCAGCCGCCCTTCCCACTTTGCATAATGCAAGATGCATGCGCGCCGAATCAAGCAGCGCGCGCAGGCAGGCTGTGTGCGCAGCCGCTCGCTGGGAGAACGCCGGCGCACGAATGAAAAAAAGGCGGTGGCAGTGGGGCGCCTTTAGGCGCGCGATATATGTATGAAACCGCCCCGCGGGGCAGAGAGCCCCACCGCCCCACACAACACGCCAGGCTGCAATTAGATAAACAGGCAACGGGCGCGGGGCCGGCGCGCGCAAGCACACTCACCCCCGGCCGGGGGCGCTGGCTCGGTCGCTCGATCGAAATCAGCGCCGGCGGCTCAAAGCCCGGGCCATGGCACAGCTGCCGACACAGCCCTGGTCTCTTTGGGGGGGTAGACGCTGCAGGCTGCTGCGCTGCCCACCGCGATGAAATTCTCGCGCGTCTTTGTCCTCCCAGAATCTTGCCGCCCGCGGACACCTTTTCATGTGGTGGAAGGATCGATGTGGGCGCGGCCGCCTGCGCAGTCCTGGGCAGCGAGGAGCTGCGCGCCATGGATGGCCCGGCCGCCGGGGAATGCGGGGCCACTTGCTGAAGTATGCGCGCACCCACTCCACACCGGCGAAATACCTACGGCCACACGACTAAGGCGCCGGGCCGCGCGCCACCGGGCGCCCGTGCCCCGCCGGGGCGCAGGGGGAGGCAGGGCGGCGCCGCCGCAAAACCCGCCGGGGCCTATTTTCCACCGTCAGGCAGCCGCCCGCGCCGCCCCCCCACGATCTCGCGACGCCCGCCCCCTGCGCCGCCGCCGCCGCCGGGGGGGCTGCTCTTCTGCGGGAGGGCCGGCAGCCTCGCTCACCGGGGGCCGAGCGGCAAACCACCGACCAAGCGGGCGGAAAAAGCGCCCCAAAACATGCCCCCAACCCCTATGGACTGCTCGCCACCCTCCACCGGCGCGCGCACGATGGATCTGGCCAGCCCGCCGGCTCCGCCTCCGCCATTCATGCCTCCCCATTCGGCGCCACGCACCACCAGGGGGGCCCGGCTGGAAAGGCAGCCCCCCGCCTTGTTGCAGCAGAGAGAGCTGCGGCGTGCACGGGGGGCCTGCAGGGTCTTGTAGCGTGTTTGCCCCCCCGGCGATCGCGCAACAGGGGCGGGGCAGGGCTATGCACTGCGAAGGCGCGCGGCGCCTTGCGGCGGGCGGCGCCGTAAACCTGGCCCGCCAGCCCCCCGGATCGGAACGCGCCCCGCCGGCGAAGCCGCCACACTCTTCCGGGCCAATTTGCCGCCGCGGGGCCCGGCGCTGACGCTCGCATCTACAAGGCTACGCACAAAAGCCATCCGGGGAGCCCACAGATAGGCTGACGCCGCGCGGCAATGTTGCGGGCATGGCAGCCGCGCCAGTGCAGCGCGCACGCGGGGGCGCGGCTTTTCCTCGTGAAAGTTATCGCCGACGCCACAGCTCCCACTCTCATACGTGACGGAATGCCAGCAGGCGGCTCGATATGGCCACCCTTTACCAACAAACCGAGGCGCTTCTGCATCGTGGGATCTCCGTGCTTCGCCATCAAGCAGATCATCACGGGAAGCGCGTCGCGCGCGACTTGCTCGGGCTGGGCCCTCTCCTGGCTGCAGCCTGTACCTGTAGGCCGGCGGCCTTGTGCGTAGGTTGGCCGACCGCAACGGATGGCGCTGGCCCGGCGAACGCGGCGCGCGAGCTATTCGGAAAAACGAGCTCAAAACTTTTTACGTGTCTTCCCAAAAGAAAAACGCGCAGGCACGACTCACAGAGCTAGATATCGAACAGAAGTGCGCATAGTATCCAAACGCGTTTCATCAGTGCGTCCCGATGTCCTACACGTATCTATGGTGTGGCGGTCAGGAGCAGCGAAAATTTTCCTTCGGTGCAGCTGGTGTAAGTAGATCCTGTTCGCGATCTCTTTGAAGCTTCAAACAGAATATCACATACTTCTTTTTACTTCACACTTCCACAAACTTTCAGGATCAAGAAGAATGTCTTCATCGCGATTCGAGGCTACAACTATAAACGCGTTTCCCTGTCTATCAATAATATGGAGGCACTTCTAAAGTAAGAGAATCAATCATACTTGACACAGTACTAGCTCTCTTTCAGCAGCAGAGCCTTTTTGTCTTTTAATCTTCCCGACAACATCCCAAAATCTTCACAAGAATTGTTCCTCGACAAATTGCAGCAACATTGCAAACGGCGTAATTCCCTGCGTGTTCTGTGTGAACCACAAACTGGTTGGCGTTTTTGTAAACAACAACGACAAAAATGCGTGCCCTAGATGTCGGTCCAAAACCATGTAATGCAGGAACGTGAAGTTTTTCGGCTGCAACAGACAGTGCAACAAGTTCTCCCCCCGCGCGTTCCGGTGTGCAATTGGGGCGGACGCGGATGGCGAACAGAAAATATTTCTGCAGCCACCGTCATCGCTCCCCTTGTAATTCCCATCCGTTGCACTTCCACCCATCATCTCCACGTCCTCAGACCCTCCTCCTGGTCGTGGTTCTAGTTGGTTCTTTCCACCCGCATGGTCGCTCTTCTTCGCTGTGCCGGACCTCAGCGTCCACACCAGGACCGGCAACAGCCTGTGCCGTAGAAGCAGTGCAGTGCGGGACACCAACACCTGGCTGACGGCTTTGCCTTTCGGCTTTCCCGGGTTCTTGTTGCCAGCACCGTGGTAGTTTTGGTGGCCGGTATAATTGGTCGGCGAATTTTCACCGTTCTCCTGCGCCGCGGCTTCCATGTCCAGAATGGTCTGCAGCTCCGCCGCGTCGTCCTTCGCACACAACGGGAACAGAACGGGGTTGGCGGCCGATTCCTGCGGCCTGAACCCCAAGCGAACGAAGATCCTTGAGGAAGAGTGTCGCCGTGTGGCTGCATCAGAAGCTGCAGCTGCACCAGTCGAGGAAGATAACTCCGCCGTTTTTCCTCGGTTCTTCCGAGCCACATGGATTTTGTCGACGATAGTACTAGAAAGTCCCGTAGTGGAGGATGTGAAAGCTGCAGATGAAATAAACTCGTTATTTCCATCACAAGTTGCAGCTGCAAATGGCCGACTGTCAAACAAAGCCAGCAACAGTCGCGCCTTCAACTCGCAAAGCGATACTCCGTCGTGGTCGTCCAAAAGGGAGCGCTGCGTCTCCGGCAGCATTCGGTGCTGCTCCAGGAAGGAAATCGCGGACTCGCGGGTGAAGAAGCCGATGCTCTGTTCCTCGTCTTTCTGAATAATGTACTTTCGACGGAGCAGTAGCGCAAAATCGTCGTCCGACACGACAGCCTCCGTAAACGCAAGCTGCTCGTCTTCAGTTCTTTCAACGGCAGAGGTATTTGCATCTCCTCCGTTACTTATGATCCCTGTACCATCTGTACTTTTCATCGCCCACGACGTCTGTGCTGGTGTTTTCGCCATCTCAGCGACACTTTTTCCCTTATTCGTTTCCTTGTACTTGTTGGTCCGAAACACGGCGACGTTCTTCCCGTAGTCGACGGCCAACGTGTTGGACTGCCACGCGTGCGGTGTAAAGGACTCGACGGAGAGGGAGAGGAGGAGGAGTTGGAGCAGAGTGTTGTTTCCGCGATCGGAGTCCGGCAAGGACATGACACTGTACAGCATCTCCTCCGTCGCCGCGTGCGTCATCACCAAGTCGTTGAACAAGCGCAACCAGTCGCGTTGCTCCAGCGAATTGGCCAGCTGGCAGTACAGCACCTCCATCAGCTGGAACGTAGCCTTCTCGAAAAACTTCACGCGTCCGTCCCGCACCAGTGCGCGGAACATGTCGGCGCCGGTGCGGATTTTCTTCCGCGGGTTGTCGGCGTCGCAGCTGCGGGTGCGGGTAAAGGTGGACATAGGGTGCTTCTTGAAAAAGTCCACATCTTCGACCAGTCTCAACCACATCTGGTAAAACATCTCGATGTTGACGTGTGTGTCAAAAATCGCCCCACTGTTATTTTCCAATGTAGCAGAAGGATCACCAACAGTTTCATGGTCCTCTCCGGCCGCGCGCGGCTGAGAAGTGGAAGATGTTGTGTGACGATTAGAATCCGGCGAGCCGCTGGAAGTTATTCCCGCGAAAAAGTACCTATCGTAGTCATCGATGGCGTAGAGGGAGTAATTTGAAGATGCGCCAGCTCCTATACCTGAAGGGGTCATTGCCATGCCACCCGCGCCGTGGGCAGCGGAGTTCGCGAGGCTCGCGTGCTCGTCCCAGAAAATCTCGTACGCGATGTAGAGCGGCGTCTGCCCGAAGCGGTTCACCATCTCGACCGCGTTGCACTCCGGGTTCTGCAGAATTCCTTGAAACGCGGCGAAAATCCAGTTAGTTTGCTTTCTCTCCACCCTCTCGTGAAATTTCAGGTATCGCTGCTCCGGGTCGACCAGTTCCGCTGTGTTCGGCTCTTCGCTACTTGAAGAGGAAACATCCTCGACCTCGGGTACTAGCCCTCGTGGAAATAATTCGTCCGGTCCCTGCACCTGTCCTGCATCGTCCGCCGCGGCGGTCAACCCGGGGAGCCCAAGCCGCAGTCCGATCTGCTCCATCGGGGTAGGAGCAGGCTGCGCGCCGCGCGGTCCCTGATTGCGCGGCTGGCCGGGAAAAATCAAGTGCCTGACGGCCGGGTCGTGCTCCGGCGGCTTGCTCGGCGAGCCGCGCACAGCCAGGGGCACGAAATACCGCAAACTCCGGTACTTTTCAGACCCGGGGAAGTTGCTCGTACTCCGGGAGAAAAGGTAGTACATACGCAAGAGCTCGTGCAGTGGCGACTCGGTCTTCGGAGCGGCCGGCCTCTGGTTGTTCGACGACCCTGTTGCTGTTCCCGCCCCGCCGTTTCGGTTGTTTGAGGTATTACAACCCAGGTCCTTAAACATGGGCGTGTCGAGCAACAGCAGAATCACGCACTGGCACTCCACAATGTGGCGGTCCAGCGCCACGCGCCACTCCTCCGTGATGGGCTCGGCGTGGTACTTTTGGTACAACCGGAAAATCAGGTCCAGCAACACCATCAGCAAGGACGGCTCCTTGTTGTTCTGCTGGTCCTGCAGAGACTTGATGTAGGTCGCGTTCATGTTTGCGTTGTAGATCGGGTGGTTCTGCAGCGCGGATTTATTGCTCGGAAAATGCCCCTTCAGTATGGCGTTCTCAAATGTTACATTCTCAACTGTTACATGATTTGTCATGCAAAATTGCCATAAGCAACCACACGACCAAGCGGCTGCGCATGACAAATCTCCGAAGGGCTAAACAGGATGGAAATCTGTGCAAAACTTGTGATGCTAGAGTTGCAAGGTCCGCCCTTTTACTTTCGCTCTTCTTGCATCACAAATTCATGTAACAGTTGAGAATGTAACAGTTGAGAACGCCATATTCAGGTACTTCGGGTTCGGGTTGCAGGACAGAAACCGCCCGTGCTGATCGTCCGACTTGTTCTGCTCCAGACGGACGATCCGCGCGTCCGTGAAAGGCTGCGCAGCGTCGCTGCTACGCTCGCGGTCTGGCTCCTGTTCGACTTCCTTACCAGCACCGCTAGAATTATCCAGCATCCCGGAGGTAGAGGAGGGGGAAACGAGGTGCGCCAAATTTTGCATCACCCACTCACCACTGTTCAACTCCTCCAAGCTGGCTTGGTAAATGGCCGACTCCCAGTCGGCGACAGAATGCGACTTTCGCCGGATCAACTGCTATCAAATGCAAATATGTTTGGGTATGGAAACTTGTGATGCTAAGTGGCGATGACTGAGCATACTCCTGGGAGCAGCCAAGCATGACAAAAAATCAGGACGCTTCCTCATGTGTAATGCGCATGAGAAACAGCGTTTTTGCATGACGAAGAATTCGCGCTTTTGTCGGTCACGCAATACAGATTTTATAGGAGTGCAAGACAGGCAATACAGATTCCAATTTTTCCAGACCCAGACATATTTGCACTTGGTAACTGCAGTCTGCCACCAATATCGATCACGTCCTTCATCTGCTCGACCATTTTATCAAATGTAAAAATGTCTGGGTCTGGAAGATTGCCAGGTTTGTCATGCACATTTTGCGTGGCTCCTGATGTCTGTGATGCATGCCCTAGCATCACAGATTTTGTGAGGGCTTCCTGATGCCTATACCGCATGACAAATGCTCTTTCCTTGTAGCAAGACTTGGACTCTCTTTGCTGCTCAAGCAATACAGATTTTTTTACAATCCAAAATCAGCATGACAAGTTGGATTCTTCCAGACCCAGACATTTTTACATTTGATAGATTTTTCTTACGTGCAGATCCGGAAAAGACCGGAGAACCAGCTGCAGCTCGTGGATGGGAAGTTCCTTGATAGGTTCTGGATTTATTGCTTTGCCTTCGGCAACAGCTGCACCTTCGCCCGTCTGGTCCTGAGGATCACGATCATCAACTTTATTCTGCGCGTCGTCCTGATGTGAACTGTCCCCGTCCTGTTCTTCCGTGAGCCACACAACATCTTCCTTGGTGTCGTAAACAAGGTCGAAGGAATTGGGAAACAGAAACTTTTTATTGATGACGTTGATCTCGATATGCTGCGTGTTCTCCAGCAAAATAGCCGTTTTCGCAAAGACCTCTTGGTGGTATTGCCTTGGAATAACCCGCATCCGTAACTGCGGCGGCTGGCCAAGACCGGGCTGCGAAGGGGGTATTTGGTGCTGTGGTCCCCGATTATGGTGTGGAACTCGGTTCATTGGTGGTTGTCCATGCACGTGTCCTGCTCCGACTGCTCGCGCATTGGTCGTCTGGTTGTCGAAACCCAGGGGCGTCGGATCGTAGACAAACGTAGAACCACCCCCGCGGTGGCTTTGGTTTTGCTTTTGACCTGCACTTGCTGCGCCATTTTTGTTGTTAATAGCCGCCGGGTCTTCTTGTTCTCCGCCGAGGCCAAACATCGCTCGGAAGTCGACCGCGCGCGAGGACTGTTCGCGCGAAAGGTCGTTGGAATCGCAGGCATCGGGCATGTCCTCGTCGAAGTCGTCCTCGTTGAAGTTGTTCTCGTCCTCCGGGTAGTAATTGTCGTCCATGTAACTGTCCTCTTCCGGGCCACTCCCCGCCCCGCCGAACCCCTTGGGTGCATGGATCAGCACCAGAACCTTGTCTGGGACCGGCCGAAACGCCTCCTGCTTCGCGAGGAACGCCCGGAGCCGGCGACGCAATCTGCGGATGGTGGTAACGCCTGTTCGGGAAGTAGAACCCGACGGGGAGGACGAGTTGGGCTCCTCGAGGAAAACGGTGTTGTTCGCCAGCTGCCCTTCATAGTAGTTGTCGGCACTACCATAATTTTCAAAACCTCCCGTAGTTCCAAAACTAGTACTGGGCAGAAACCGCTGCTCAGGCTCGAACGTGAAGTTGCTGAAATTTTCCTGCGTAATGGATTGCAGGTTCTGCAGGTGCGACGCCGAAATGGTCGTGTCTGCCGCCGCTTCCTCCGCCCTCACCCGGTGCTCCACCGGACTCAAACACTCGTAGGCAGCGTCGGCATTTTGGGACGGATTGATACTTGCGGTTGCTTCTGGCACAGCTGCGGTCGTCGGTGGAGCGCAGCGAACCAAAATCGGGTTTCCGGACAGACGCTCGATCGCCAAGGGGGGCGAAGACGCATAGTGTGGGGCGCCGGGCTGGTGGAACATCTTGAGAGACAAGAACGAAGATCTATTACGTATAATCCAAAGGTATTATATACATCATGCTGTTCCGAAAAAAAAAGAGTTCATCACGCAAGAAAGATAAATATGAGTGCAGCTACAACGCAGCTTTTAGCTCTGATATCAATCAAAGAAATGCTTTCATTTTTTGGCAAACACGAGACAACTTTTTTATCTTGACTTCAAGAATCAAGTGCGCGTAAGGATAAGTAACCGCGTCATGGCTGTTGCAACGGAAAAACAGACCATCGCGTGCGAAGATGACGACTGAGAAAGAGATATCATGGTAGTGCGACTACTTGACTTCTTGGGGGCTTGCGAAGGGAGAAATTTGCTATGTGGTGCAGCTGCATTGATTGAGGGGACAGATCCAACAGCGCTGACGGTGAAAACAGCTGAGAATCTCTGCAATTTAACACATTCATCTAAAGTACGTTTGGGGGCATGCGAAACCGCACACGGGGGCTGGTTGAGCCGGGATATCAAATACTCCAACTGGCTCCTCCCACCCACGGAGCTATAGAATAAGTACGATCAGGAGACCGACATCTGCACATAAAAACTTGAACTTGTTCATCGCTCACGTCCTGCACATACTACTTGCAGGACTCTTATCAAATCCTAATCAATATAATATTCATGCCATCCGAACAACACGAAATCTGCCTGAAGTTCGCTATCGCTTCGCAAAAGCGGGCAACGTATCACTCAGTTGCCGCCCTTTGCCTCTCGTTTTCGACAATAACAATTGCATCTTTGTTTCTTATTTGCATTGGTGTAGTTTAAAACGTTCGTGATGTTCGTCTTCGTCCCATGGCATTCTGCGCGCGTAATAAATTGCATGGGACGTCGTCAACGGGGGCATTATGCTGAAAATGAATAAATCTTCGATCGCTACAATGAAGTCGCTCGCTGATACACCCTAGATGGCTGGGGTTCTTCAAATTGTCCTCTTACAACTGGACCATGAAGCTATCCGAATGGAAAACCGTACTGGTATTTCCAAACTGACTTAATCCTAGCGACAAGATGAGCTACACGCCACTACGGTCGCTCTTGTAGTCTTCGCGTCGCACTGGTATGCTGATAGTATCTGCTGCTGTTGCTGTTGCTGCTGATTCACTGCTAAAGCTCTTTCCTCTTTTTAGCTGCTGTAATTTACGTAACTTCTAATTCTGATGCTGTTGCTGCGTAATGTATCTGTATAGAGTTCTTGCTGAAAGATGATGTTGACTCTGACTTCCGGGTATCATGATCAAGAGAATTTGCCACAACAAGTGAGTGTGCAGTGCAAACTCCGAGAATGAAGTGTTCGCGTTCTGGTTCTTCTTACAACCGGAATCCCGAAAGTAAATAGTTCCTCCAAATGAAGCAGGGAAAAGTGGACTCGCCTCTTTAGTATGCTATCTATAGTACATCGTCGTGGTCTTCAAATGCTCAACAACAAAGTCGATTTGAAGTTCAAACTTGGAAAAGCAGCCCGTGTCGATATGACAATGCAATGTCCTATGTGGCGATAAGACATCAACGTCAACGTGTCATGTCAGTCAATGGAGTCGACGGTCCCGCGGCAGTCATCTACACTTGTGTGTCTTCTATGTCAGTGCTTCTTGTGGTCCTTATCGCTATCCTTAATTCTACTTTTGTTTACAATCATGAAAAACTCATCACACATCAAGATGATCGTCTCTTCGCCAACGCCGGGTCTGATTCTTGTGGTTACAGCACTTGGACATACGGTAATCTCCGATATAATTGCCGGCGGACCCGGTCGAGGAAGAACAGGGCTGGATAGAAGTCTTCTTTTGTAGATTTCCTCTTGTCGCTGTGCTTCATCTTCGTGCCGTGTGGTTTACTCTCAATTATGTGCGCAATCGGCGTGAAGATTGTGAATAGCCTACTGGTACCCACTACCGTCCCAAGTCGTGAACGGCGCTGTAGAGAACGAGAGGAACAATATTGCCCGCAGAAGAATTGGGCCTGGGGGTACTACCGGCTAGCAGTACAAGAGCATTAAATGGTCTGAGCGAAGAACAAGATGCGAAGAAGAACTGCCCGGCAGGAGCTGCTGCTGCAACAAGCGGCTACTTTCGTGTTAGAAGTCGTTGCGGACGAGAAAGTATCAAATGTAAAAATGTCTGGGTCTGGAAGGATGCAAGGTTTGTCATGCACATTTTGCATGACTCCTGATGTCTGCGATGCATGCCCTAGCATCACAGATCTTGTGAGGGCTTTCTGATGCCTATACCGCATGAGAAATGCCCTCTCGCCGGGGCCAAAGACCTCTTTTGCTGTTCATGCAATACAGATTTTTGCATAATGCAGACGCAGCATCACAAGTTGCAATCTTCCAGACCCAGACATTTTTATATTTGATAGAAAACTCTTGATGGTTTCGTAACTCGCCCATGAAATCGCGCAGCTGGGAATCACGACCAGCGCCCGAGCGGCGGAGCCCTGTTTTGGTTCAGAAACATCTTCAAATCATTGTCATTCACAATTCAGAATAGGATTTTATCTTTATTTCGATATACTATTCATACGCTTTTATCTTGCAAATACGCACACACGACACATAGAAATGCGCAAGGAAAACGTCAAGTGCTGACGACGCTAAACAGAACTCCTACGCTTTCAAATCGTGTAAGTAGTATTTAAGCAGGCAAGTAACACTGTACCCTGAAGAACGCCCTGAGTCCCTCTTCCGCGTAGATGGTCCGCGCCGCGTCGATGATGCCGTGGTACCTTACCGAGGTTTTGTTCAACAGGCAGGTTTGCGTTTGGATCCTGGTTTTTATCACGTCCAGGGGCTGGGTGCACACGGCGGCCACGCCGCTGCTGACGCCGGCGAGCGTAAAGTACATGGGCAGTTTGGTTTGCATCTCGTCCCACGTCTGGTATTGAGAGGAAAGATCCCCGCTCCCCATATCGAAAAGGTATGTTTCCGAAAATTTGTCTTGCTGATTTGACACCACAAATCACGTCTGTCTTGCAAGAAGACAACTCCGCAGGCTCTGCCGCATTATGCAGGCGGTTTGTGATGCTGTGGGGCCTACAGCATAGACGTTTCTCATGCTAAGCGCCTAGGCCAAAACCTCTCTACTCAGGCTTGGCAGGGGCCTGCAGTCCTCTACTGCAAGACAAACCTGATTTGTATACGCAAATCCAGCATCAGAAACTTCCGTTTGATATGGGGAGGGGGGATTTTTCCTTGTGATATCTGGCAGGTGGTGTTCACGTCGAACTGCTCCTTCAGCTGCTCGTTGCACCCTACGAGAATGGCGGAAAAAGGGACGTTGCTGAACAGCGTGACAGGGAAAGACCGATACAGCGCCAGATAGCCCTCGGTCTTCACGACGTGCTTCACGCACTCCGCGCAGGACCGGGTGTGGCTCCCCGCCCGCAGCTGCATCCGCTGCTTCGCGACGTCGAGCGGGGTTAGGATCAGATCGTGCGCGAAGCTCGCGGCGCAGCCCGCGCCCATGCCAATCAGCCAGGGGTTACTGGCCAAAAATGCGGTGGGGGAGTAGGGGGAAGAGGAACTTGCACTATTGTTCTGGCCGTTTGGAAGATGTTGGTCTTTATGTCCACCCGGGTTATCTTTATCCGCGCTGCTGTAATTCCTTGCGTTGTTCGTCTGGTCCCTAGAACTGTTGCTACTCCTCCCAAAGCCCTTGACTGTCTCGTAGGCGCAGAAGTAGCCGATGTGCGCCGGTACGCAGCCCAGCGCCATCGCCGACACGCCGCGGTAGAAGCCGCTCCAGCCGGCCTCATTCTTGATCGCGCGAAACGCGGCAAACGTGTTACTGTACACCGACCGGGACCCGGGGTTGGCACCAAGAGCAGCTCCTGTTCTTGTACCTCCCGCGGTGCTGGAGCTCGCGACCGCGGTGGTGGGAATAATTCCTGTGGTCGCCGTGCGCTGCTGAAGACTGGTCATGAAGGGCGAGCAGTTCCCGCGGGTTATGGTGCTAGAGAGCGTGGACGACGGCGCAGTCGCTGCTGCGCCACTACCTGCTGCTCCTGTAGTAGTTGCATTGAAGTTCACTCGGCTGCTGGCCGTTGACGCGGACGAGGTCCCCGCTGCTGGTGCACACGACGAGGATGCGCTGCTGGAAGTCGCCGCCCCTGCTTTCGTTGCTGATGTGCAGGAGCTGGTGCCAGGGTTTATTTTAGTCGGGCAGGCGGCGGCACAGGATGATCCTGGCGGTCCTCCCGGAGGTCCTCCTCCCGAAGGAGAGGAAAATTGCTTTGGTCGCTCCGCTTGAAGGTTCGTCTGTTGTGATTATGAATGAAACTACACTTGCGTTCCGTACATCATCCTCGTGCCGTAAATGTTTCTGTGCACACAATGAAATTACAAGCTTTCAGGGACAGTCGGTAACACAAAACATTTCTGGGAGGAGGCACGGGCACGAATCGGAAGCTTGTGTTCTCTTTTGTCATCTTTTACACGCCGTTGAAGCTGATATCATACGACAACGACTAGAAGTAGCTCTATAAAGATAAACGAAGTACTAAAGTACCTTGATGGTGTCAAAGGGGTACATGATGAGGTGCTCGCACACCCCAGCCGACGCTCCCGCCACCGCATGGTGCCAGAACTTTCCGTCTTTGTAGTGCTCCCACCCCACAGCATCATCAATATCCATTCTCGGTTCTTCTTCCAAGTGACTGTATTTAATGGGCGTTGGGGCCTAGGCCTTGGAATGACTATGCTCGCGCTATGTTCTTCCCGTAGGTTTTCCTCCGCCTTTAAAAAATTCGAGAAACTTGTTGAGGACGGCTTTTTCCTAGGTGTGAGTATGTCGTAGTTTCCTTATTTAAGTGCCAAGATAGTCCAGTAAGTAGTATGTCTATGCACCGCAAGTACAGCGAGAGGCTCGCACAAAACAAAGCTCTGCTTACGACGCTGCTACGTACTGGTGTCACAAGTACTAGCAAATTGCAGTGATTGTCGCGTCACCGTCGACTCTGTCCTCTGCTTCGTCGGGCAGCCGAATGGGTGCCACCGACAGAAAGCCCACGAGCTCTTCCCGGTGCTCTTTTGGTCGTCTCGTCAACAAAGAAGCGTCTATCTTCAGTTCCTGATATTAAGAACCTTTGTCAGCTCTAGCTCTACTGTGCGGTCGGGTGCAATGAAATGCAAGGGGAACGCCAAGCCTGAAAATGAAAATCAAGTACTTACTACCGTGCAAGGCATATAAGTACCTTCCTGTGGCCGTCGCTCCTACAGAAAGAAGCAATTTTTCTAAAGACCAGCCGCACTAAATAAGACCTTGTTATGACTTACTACCTTCGCTTACTGAGTGCGCAGCTCTAGGAGCTTTGCGAAGCCGGCTGGATTTGTAGATGCAACTTTGTGCAAGCACGGGAGTCCGACGCTTCGAAACGCTTTTTGTCTTTTTACCACACAGAGACAGTGGCAATATGTAGTTGTTTTTTTGGGTTAATTAAACTGAAACTCATTACTGCCACACATATAACAGCTCACACACTAAACAGGACGAGCACCCGCGCGATGGAAATTTCTACAATACATATGAGAATAGATCTTCATGCTATAAAAGCGAAAAATGGATGTAAGCATAACTCATCTACACAGAATTTCATGGACATCACATACACGGCTGCAATGCTGCATCACAAAAATCATACACAGATCCGATGGAAAAATAGGGCGGGTAGAATAAAACTATAAACTTCTGTGCTTGTGTTGCAAGTGCAGCTACACTCTGTGTACTGTATTTTTGAAGGAAGGAAGTTGATTGATGATTTCAACCAAGGTTGCTTCGTGAGATCATTGGCATCGAGGTATTTCTACTGAGAAAACTACATTTACTCAGATATTGGACCACTTTACACATCGCTACTGAAGACCTCAATGACGTCTGACACGTCATAGCTCAACATAAAAATTGTGTGGATCCTACTTGACCTTGTCTTTCTTCAGCATGATTTAATGTGAAGACTAATAGAAGGGCAATGTCAGGCATTACAGAGAAGGACTTCACTCATATTTGTATGAATTGTATGGAGGTAGGTATGAGCAACTAATTTGTGGGATATTTTCTTTCTGGTTAGTAGGGTAAAGACAAACAAACGTAGGGAACAAGATCTTGTTCGGGTATTTTCATCCTGCTGGTCGAAGATCGTAAGGAACAATGAGTTATTGTTTTTATCCTATACATTTGCAGAAAATCTCCTCTTGCTCTTGCTCTTCTGGCGAAAATAATAAGACGCCAATTTCTCATCTTAGCAGCCGCCACAGCTAGGCGTCGTTCTCGTCAACAAAGATCTGCTGGCACTAGCGCCGTAAGTAAGTAGTCCTGGTGCATCCATCCACTATGGAATTTATCATCGACGGGAGCATCGTATAGCTCTCCTATAGAAAACATTTATTCAATTTTCTGTACCCACTGTTTACTGGTCAACAGTCTCAAGGTCCGTACAAACCAGGGCTGCTCACACAACTAGGGAGCACACGGACCGTATACATATTCGCAGCATTTTGCCATCTCCAGAACGACTAGATCTTGCTCGTCATTGCAACACAATTTTCTTCTTGCACTCCATTGCTTGTTCCGACCTCGAGAGATGACGTTGGTGTTGCTGACCGATGTTGATCTTGTGCGTTTTTCTTTTAGGTTGAACAATCTTGGGCATGTGAAGTATATTGTAGAACACCTCCACTCGTCCGGGACTCCTCGAAGTCGAAGCCAAACCGCAGAAACAGCGACTTTCTCGCTTTCATTTTCATCCGTCGAAGTCTGGTTTTAAGGGGAGGCAGAACCTCGAGTTGGTTCCTTACTTGCTAGAAAAGTTTTTTTGGTTTTTTTTCCGAGAAATATACCGTCCTTGCAAAGCAAAAGCGGTTTTCCTCGGAGGTCTTGGACGGATATCTATGATCATGAGTTTTCAGGTGTTACAGTTTCGGGTGGGTACTGTTTTCTCGGGCAAAAAAAGTGAGTAACTTAAAGTGGGCACACTTTTACCAAAACGCCAAATCACCGGCACGCTGTGAAGATAGATTGTAGCGGCCCGGTGCACGACCACAGAGTTCTTTAGGGGTTTTTGCGTTTCCAGGTCGCGATTACTTTCTTACTACTCGTGCACAACATCAAAGCGAATATGTGAGTTTGTCCAAAGAAAAAAGCGCTTCATCAGCTCAATTCTTGGCAGAAAAAAGAACGTTGTGGAGTCCATCAACGATTTTATTTCCCGGGGCAATAATTATAATTCGCAGAACAAAATCGCGTAAAAAGGTTGATGTTGAATAGATCATCTGTGCGTAAAATTGATGAATGCTGAGTGTAAGCGCGCTGGTCTCGTTTTGTTGCCCATGTTGAGCTAGGGTGGTAAAAAAAGGTAATTCTAATTTCCGACTCGGCTGGTGAAAATAAGCTTGGGGTCCCGCATCGAGTGGGACGAGACGAACTTCGATTCGGTATCTAAAAGTATACGCGTAGGTACCAAACACCGCAGTCCGTGCAGAAATCATTCTGGTTCGCACTCGCTCGTTTTCGCGCCTGCTAGTGGTCTTTGCAAAGACCAAAGCCACGGCAGACGCTCCTCCCTTTCACTTTCTTCTCCTCTTGCAATAAATCTTGCCTCACATTGCTAGTGCATCGGGCTCGGGCGTACAAGCAATAGCAAATGGGATCAATATAAGTAATAAATTGAAGCAAGTGCCCTGAAAGGTAAAAAATCAAAGTCAAACCAAATAAAACAGGCTACTGAAAAAATAAATCAGAGATGGAACCAATCTCTACAGCATTCGCGAAGTCGGTCGTAGTGCGAGGCCGCTATTATACACGAGTGCATGTTGCAGCTCAGTAATCCTGGCGGGAGCGATCACGGAAGAACCGGCGAAGAGCTGCGCTTCCTCGAGGAGCTGCGCTCCCTCGAAGAACTGCGCCTTGTGGCATCTCTGCGTTGCATGTCTGCTGCGCCAGGAGCAGAGCCTGATGGCCAATGCACCGCTTGGGTGCGTTCGAGCTTGGGAAAGAACCCGTCGGCACCTTGTGGCTTCCGCGTCAACGTCATTTGCGATTTCGGCGCTTCGGCATGATGCCCCTCGGCACGTCCCGGATGAACGACCCGCGCTGCTGGCGCCCACGGTGCAAGCAACGTGTTTGTGAAGGGGACGAAGCGTTCCGCGGTATCGCTATTGTCGATCACGTCGGTCAACTTCAGAAGAGCCTCCAGCGTGGCATTCAAGTGCTGCTCCAACCACTCCTCGAGAACCTGGCTCACCGGATCCAGTTTGTTTCGCGTGAATTGCGTCTCCGCGTAGGCGAGAAAACTGCCTTTTGGTGCGCGGAATTTTTCTTCTGCTATCGTATCTAGACCCTTGAGTTCGTTCTCAACATTCTGCATCGCATACTGCAGGTGTGCGCGTCTCTCTTTCTCTCCATCGCGGCCCAGAAGCTGAACTAACAACTTGACGTGGTCTTCAAGCTTCTGGCGCGCATCAGCGAGGTAGGTAAGTGCGTCTCTGATCTGCGCAGTCAGGTTCTGGATTTCAGTGCCTTGACGCGCTGCTGTGGGAGCATAACTTAATTTTCGCTCGCTCTTCTGTCCCGGCTGCGGCCCGGCGTGAAGTTTCATAACGGCCGTCCTGACGTGCCAAATGTCCTTACTGATCTCGTCGCGTGCCTTGTTCATCTTATCGCGTGCCTTCTCGTCTCGCGGCTCGTTGCTCAAGCGCCGAGGAATATCCAGGAGCTCTAGCTCTTCTGCTAGAGCGCTGCGGAATTCCTCCCATGCGCCGACCTTCTCGCAGCTGGGTCCTTTTCCTCGGAGAACTGTCCAAGAGTTGAGGACGCCTTCTTCCCCGATTGTACGCTGCAATTCTGAATTACGATCGAGAAATTTCAGCTTTACGCTGTCGCTCATGTCGACGTCTTTCACCAAATGGAGAAAGAGCTGCTTGACAAAGTTGCTGAGCTGTGGTGTCCAACCGTTCCCTTCGGGCATCCGGTTGTCGGGATCAGTCAGACGGTCGAGTTCCTCAACCCAGCTGATCTGTTCATCCTCAAAAAGAACACGTTTTCCGGTCTCACTCTTAGCCTTGTCAGGAGCACCCTCCCAAGCAGATTGCGGGGTTCGCCGGGTCGGGGACAGCAGTTTGTCCAATTTGCCATCGTGTTGGATAGATCGGAATACCAAATGACCTAGTGACGATCAGAAACACAGCGCGATGCAAATCACGATGTAAATCTGGTCTGATGTCAAATCTCTTGGTCTTGTACAGACCGGCGATCTGAAATCCATGATCCTCCTCCTTAGCCGTAGCCATCCTGTTTGTCATGCATATTGTCCATCCTCTTGATATCTCATCACACCCCTGCAGGTTGCGACTAGTACCCATACTAGTGCGTCGATAACAGATAGTAAACACACAGTGACTCGTAGTCACTTAGTACTGCTAGTGCTTGTTCCCATCTCGTTTACCTCTGTTGTTACTATCGTGCGTCTAGGTTTCTAACAATCTAGTCGCACCTTTATTCAGCCAAAATTTATTAGTTTTCTTGTTTAGAAAACTTGCGCCTGCATTACAAATTTTTACTGATTTTCTTGTGTAGAAAATTTGAAAAACAGCCACTACATCTTGTAAGATTTACTTGTACAATTTCAGAGTTAGCATTACAAATTTGAACGTATTTGTTGAAAACGCACCCCCACAACTTTAAGAAGTTTATCTGCAAAATTTAGAAAAGAAATTAAATGTCACGCAGACATTTTGGTGCTAGTTGCGTAGCTAGAGAACTTGGAAAGCGTCGAGACTTGTGCATTTTAGGCGCGAAGTGTTACGGCTCCAAAGGTTGGAACGTTGAAGACCTTAGCGACCCACAATTTGCAAACTATTTCCACAATCTCGATTGGGATACAAATTGGGAATTTGTATTTAAGCGCGATTATTGTTTTCTTTTGAACACAATGGTCGACACTAACCAGGTGGGAAAGTACTCTATTCCGCCTTACGACGGAAATCCGAAGGGATGGTCGGACTGGCGGTTTAAGGTGCAAGCCTTGTTGCAGATGTTGGGGATCTTGACACTGATCGACAACTTCTTGAAAACGCCTTCTATTGACGGATGGAAGGACGACACGAGGGCCATCGGTGCGCAGTTCTTCGCTCGCTTGTGCGTGGCGTTGACTGGGGACGCGCTGGAGGTCGTGAAGAAAAAGACAGTCGTTTGCATCAGTACGGCTTGGGGTGCGTTGTTGTTGGAATTCGATAAGCGGACCAAATTCGCTCGAATGCGGTCGCTTAAGGATTTACTAACCACCCGGAAAGACAAAGACCAAACGGTAAGGGAGTTCGTTCAGCGGAAACAAAACATCTTTCGGGATGAGCTGGGCGGTGAAGTCTTCCGCAGCGAGTTGATGACTTTCGGATGCTTCTACAACCTCGGGAACGCCTACGATTCATTTATCATGCCGCACGTCATCCAGGACAAGCCGGACAATGATAATTTGTTGAAGTTGGCGGAGGAGTACGAATCCGTCTTGAAAGACGGGGGCACCGAAGAGGACACCGCAAAGCCCGCTTCTCTCAACTTGACGCAGGCCGATCACAAAGCGATCGCTGCTGAAGTTGTTGCACAGAAGGGGAAGAAGGGTGGCCGCTGGGTCAACAAGAACCAGCACCCGTACAAGAACAACAACCAGAAGAACAACAAGGGCGGCGGAAAAGGAGGCAAGGGAGACCAGCAGAAGGGAAAAGGCGGCGGCGGAGACAAATCCAAGATCAAACGTCACAAGTGCAAGCAGCTTGGACATGTTCGTAAGGATTGTCCCAACTGACGAAGCTGGCCGGGTTCCGATGAGAATTGTCAAATTTCTCATGCTGCTAAACGTCGAAAAACCGATGCTGATGATGTTCATGTTGTTAAAACAGGCTCTACTTCTGGTCAAAGTAGTGACGTTACATGCATTCAAAATCTACAATCTCCCTCTATTTACAATGCTACAGTACTCGAAACAAAAATTGATGGTCTTGAAACAGCACCTATATCCAATCACAGTGTACTTGAAACAGCCTCTATTTCCAACGAAAACGTATCGAAATGTATGATGAAAAACGCATCTATCCGCCCTGTTTACGAATCAACCGGCACTACTTGTAAGATTTCCAATGTAAAATTTGAAGTTGATTCCGCTCCTGTTAAGAACGTGAAAGTACCTGAAAAGAACGAAAATTCATTACAAAGAATGCCTATTCTGCATGGGGTTTCGCGCTTGTATGATCTCAGCAATTTAAAAAGAAAAGCGAACCCGCATGAGATGGCAAAGAACAAAAGTTACGAGGTGGCAGATTCCGCCCGTAAAGCAGAAGGAAACTGCATGGATTGGACTTATTTTAACTTGTGCAAGTTTGTAGGGGAATCATGCAACGGGGTGAAAGATCAGCAAATTTTTGATTTTGCCGATACTCCTAAGGGCTTCACTGTCTTGGTGCATGGTCACCACCAGGGCAGGGACAAGAAAAACGAAAACCAGGAGGCACAAGACTGGTTTGGTGATTGGTCAAAAGAGCGGGAAAAGGGTCAAACAGATCAAAACGGCGAAAAGTCCGCCGGCGCTGTTTCGTCTTTGACATTTGCACTTTTGTCGAAGGGAAACGGGAAAAGCGCCCATGGGATTACCATCCGCCCGGATGGTACTCAAACAACGGCAGTTGTTGAAAGTGGTGCCTCGCACCACATGACAGGGGACTTGAGTTGTTTTCAGATTGTGTTTTGGGATGATCCAGTAACGTTAACGGTTGCCGACCGAACGTTAGACACTCCCGCCTACCGTGGTTACTTCCAACATAACTCTTTAGGTTTAATGGGTGGTCTATACCATCCTGACGAAAAGTTGTTTTTGGTGTCGGTAAGTCTTTTGAACGACGAAAATGACTGCCGGGTAGTTTTTGAGGGGAGAGACGCGCTCTACCTCCAAAAGAAGAAAACAGGTTTCAAAATTCCGATGCGCCGGGACACTTTAACAAATTTGCCGCAAATAGACTTTGCGTTTCACAGCTTGAGCGAGCTGGATACGGCTGGCGATTTACAAAACGGAAAGAGCCGGGCCGCGTGGTCCGAGCCAGCATTTGTGAATCTGACTCGTGCCGATCGTCTTCGACAACATGAAAGGTTTGGGCACTTTCATATTGACGGTCTTGAATATGGACGCTGTCCGTTGTGTGACTTAGCGAAGTCGAGGCAAGAAGGGTGTAAGTCAGAACGTCCGGAGCACTGTAAGCCAAAGGCTTGGCTAGATCAAGTGGATTGGGATCATACCTACGGTTATCCTTTGGGTCTTGATGGGGAGAAATTTCTTTTGTCAGGGGTGGAGACATTCCATGGCTGGGTAGAGAATTATCCTCACCGGGAAAAGGATGAAGCGTGGAAAGGTCTGCGTGAGTGGTGTTTAGAAGTTGGAAAGCCCAAACGGGTGAGAAGCGATAACGATCCTACTTTTCGAGGCGAGAAAAGTGACTGGAGAAAGTCTTGCTTGAAGCAGAGTCCTCCGATCGAGCCAACTACGTCTGCGCCGTTCACGCCGCAACGTAATGGAGTCGTGGAACGGTGGAACCAAACTTCGAAAAATGCCTTGCGGGCGAATATGATCGGGGTTGATCCTCGTCTTTGGCCATATTGTTCAAAGTATATAGCCTGGACTTGGAATCGGTTAGCCCGGAAAGAGCAAAAGAGTCCATTTGAAAAAGTTCACGATCGCGCGCCTTCGCTCAAATATTTCAAGAAATTCGGAGTCCTTTGCTATGCTCGGAAACACGTTACGAAATCGACGGACTTAGGTGCGCTCGATGTTCGGTACGAACGTGGAGTATTCTTGGGGTATTCGAAAAATTCCTGTTATTTAGTGGGTGTTTGGCGTGACGACAAACGAACGAAAGTTGGGTTGAAGTTCACTGTGATCGAAAATAGATCCTGCAAGTTTGACGAATCTTGTACGATCGCCGACATTGACGATCTTCGCGAAAAGAACCGTGGCACCTTTGTACCCTTTGCCGCACCCGACAAATTGTGTGCGTCGAACATGCCTGATCCGTTGGTGGCTCCCTCGGGAAGTCATGAGCCCGATCAGGATGCTCCGCGTGACCAGGGTGATTCGGGGCCCAATGGGGCTACTGGAGACCAGCAGGTCGAGGAAGGGGGCAAAGCAGTGGAAGGGGGCAAAGAGGAAAGTGCTGCGCAAGCAGAGGAAGAGGTAGTTACTCCCGAAGCGGAAGAGCTTGACGAACCTCCCGCCCGCCCAAAGCCCAAGGTCGTCAAGAAGAAAAGAAAGCAAAAGCCGAAGCCTGCAGTCGTTGTCAACAACAAAAAGGGTCGCCCGAAAGGTTCAAAGAACAAACCGGGAAGCAAAAAGCCAGGTCCTAAGCCAAAAGCAGCAGAAGCTGGAAACGTATTTCAGTTGCCTGATGATTTTGACTTTGGTCGAGACTTGGACGAGTACCATGCCAAGCGCATTGAGGAAGAAGGTGAAGAAGTTTTTGCTCATGTGGTGTCACTCACCAGAGCGCAGATTCTTCGAGATCCTGATGCTCCGAAGTACATAGAGGCCGACGATGTTGAACGACTCAGACTTTTAGCAAAAGAGTGCTGGACAGTAGACGAGAAACCACAAAAAGGCGACGAAGTTGTGCCGTCGTGCGTGATCTACACGAAGAAAAGATGTGGAACATACAAAGCGCGGCTGGTGGCACTGGGAAACTTACAGTCGAAAGAACTCTGTGGCGAAATTTACAGTCCTACCATTTCGCACGCAGCTAGTAGAGCCCTACTTGTTGACGCTGCTGCAAATGGAAAACGGATCAAATTTTTCGACATTTCAAATGCGTTCATTTGTGCGAGTTTAGGTGACGAGCGAGTTTTCGTGCGTCTTCCGAAGCACTGGAGCACTGATCCGAGAGGTGATGTCGTGCGCCTACTGAAGTCTCTTTATGGTCTTCGAATTAGCCCGCGTCGTTGGTTCGATACCTACAGGAAGACTTTGGAGGAACTAGGTTGGAAGATGTGTGAACGGGAGCCGGGGTTGTTCCGTAAAGGCGTTCTTACGTTGAGCGTGTACGTGGATGACTGTGTCATGAGTGGTGACACGGAAGAAATTCTCGGCAAAGAGATGGGGAAAATTTTGGACAAATTTCCTGGAAAAGTGATCCCGCCGAAAGCGAAACCAGGTGAAAAGGGTTGCGAAGTCTACGACCTCCTGGGGGCCACTCTGGAATACAACGCATCGAAAAAGACCATGAGGATCCACATGGCAGAGGCCATTGACAGAGTTTTGAAGAAATTCAATATGGTTGATTGTCGGGGAGTTGCTACGCCTGTACTTCCTGGAAGACAATTGCCAGAAATTCAGACTACTGAAGTTGATACTTCTGCACCAGAAACGAGTTTCCCACTGCGAAGCCTCGTGGGTAGCCTGCAATATATCGCTTGTATGTGCAGGGTAGACATTGTCTACGCGGTGCAGCGTGTTGCGAGAGAAGTAGTAAATCCGACACCCCAAGCGGTGAAAGCAGCAAAACGGATTTTGGCCTACTTGAAAGCAACTCGAGAAATCGGCTTAGAATACCCTCCCAAGCAGATTGCGGGGTTCGCCGGGTCGGGGACAGCAGTTTGTCCAATTTGCCATCGTGTTGGATAGATCGGAATACCAAATGACCTAGTGACGATCAGAAACACAGCGCGATGCAAATCACGATGTAAATCTGGTCTGATGTCAAATCTCTTGGTCTTGTACAGACCGGCGATCTGAAATCCATGATCCTCCTCCTTAGCCGTAGCCATCCTGTTTGTCATGCATATTGTCCATCCTCTTGATATCTCATCACACCCCTGCAGGTTGCGACTAGTACCCATACTAGTGCGTCGATAACAGATAGCAAACACACAGTGACTCGTAGTCACTTAGTACTGCTAGTGCTTGTTCCCATCTCGTTTACCTCTGTTGTTACTATCGTGCGTCTAGGTTTCTAACACATCGACAATCCTATCACTTCTTTGAAGCGCCTTAAGCACACCCTCGCACACCTCCACGGAGGACGACCACACCGCAAGGAGAGCAAGGCTCGCGGCGCGGCGGCCGACGATAGTGTTGCAGCCGAGACTTCTCTGCATTTTCATTCTTATGAGCAATCCAAAGATATCGCACCTAAAAAAAATGCTACAATTCGTAAGTTAGTATGCAACTGGTCGAAATAAAACAAATTCTAGGCGGGACCAGATCAGACAAATAATATGGGCTTGTGGTCTTTTTTGTCTTTGCAGCTAAAGCAAGAATGATCGACCTTTCTTGTCAGAAAGTTTCTGGGTTTGCAACTACAAGGGCGATGTTGTACTTGCTTGAACAAATTCAGTTTGAGTCTGAGGGTTTATGTTTATCACAAGACAAGTACAATTAGCTAGCAAAAAATTGCACGAACGTCGGCTTTTGGTGGCAATCAATGCAATGAAATAACAGGTTGGGGTTGATGTTTTCAAAAAGAACGAGGGAGTTGTTCTTCCAAAAATTGTTGTTCAGTGGGTTAAGATTCGCTTTTTGTGCGCTTGATAGCGTAATAATTGAAATTTGTGTGCCTTTGCTGTTGGAAGTTTCTATATGATTAGGGTCCTGGCTGCAACATGAAGATCCAGATCGGTTACAAGCACATGAAAGCAAGGCATTGCTGGTACCAATCATTGCGCCTCCCTAGCAATGAAAACACCACCGATCAACTGACTTCGATCTTATACTTCCAAGTGGTGAAAACCGATTTGCATTGGAATTTCTGGCGAATTCGATATGTGGATCCTGCACTTCAGAAATTTTGGAACTCGATAATTTTTTTTTTTCGGAGGACTTAGGCATCCCACAACCTCGCTCAATCACCGAAGCTTTCCCTACCGTTGGAGATCGAATAAATAACAAGGTGGATTTTATTTGTAATAATCAAGAACAGGACATTCAGGGTGCTTTTTATGCTTCTTTTGTCACGACTGCACCACCAGAAATCCTCAAGTCGCTTCAGGCAAAAACTTTATGCTTGTTTTCAGATGCAAAATCATCAACTGAAAGAACAGGAATTGATGCATAGAAACACATCTAGAAGGTACTTGACTTTCATCGCGTTTTTTACCTCCGGTTCAACAACTTCTTGCAGGTAAGTTTTGCACTTACACACCGCTCCTGCCAGTCACATGCTGCATCCCTTTTTGCAAGGAAAACGGCATGAGGCACAAGCTGGAGATGATGAGTTCGGTGGATCACAACGAACCCCTCCGTGGTCGTCAAAAGTGAGCTCCTAGCTACGACCCCTGCTCGCTGCATCGACCCCGCACCTGCGGCTGGTCTCCCGAAAGCTTCGCCGCCGTGATGCGGAACAGCAGTGCTTTTTGGTAAGCCAGGTCGCCTTCCAGCTTGTGGTTCTTTTCCTGCAGCCGCGACTTTTCCTGTTCCGACTGCGTAAACTTCACCTCCAGGTCGAGCAGGCACTTTTTCAGTTCCTTGCTCTCCTCCACGCAATTGCGAAACACCTTGGCCAGGAGCGACGTGTCTTGCAAGATGGAGTCCAGTTTGCCTTGCGAGTGCTCAATCGCGTCCTTCAGCTGGTACACGAAGTCCACCTTCTCCTCCAGCACCGCATTCGCTTGCCGGAAGTTGTTGCTTTTCACGGTCAGCTCGTTGTTTTTCTGCTGCAGGTCCGCGATCTGCTGCTGTAGTTCTGATTTCTCAATCGCAGCAGCGAATTTGTTTTCCCTGGTGCTCGCCTGGTTCATAGTATCCGGCAGATGATCGAAACCAGAAGACAATTCTCGTCCAAGATGCCCTTCAGTATCCGGGGGCAGAGGCAGCTCCCTTTGCATTTCATCATTTTTTGGTGGTTGTGATAGACCTTTTGCACTATTACTTAGCGGCTGGAAGCGGCCTCCTCGTTGGGTGGTCTGGTTAGTGTTATTTCTTGTTGTACCACTGCCAGCATGAGGACTTCTTGATGCAGACGTCGTTGCAATTCCACTCAATAACACCGCGCCAGCACGGGTCGGAGATGCTCCTGCTCCACCTCCGCCATTGACCAGGAGCCTTCGCGCCTTCAAGTCCTGAAGTTCCAGCTCCAACTTTTCGGCCTTTTGGAAGAAAAACGCCGCCTCCTTCCGCAGGTCGGCGGCGGCGATGCTCGTGTGCCTATCGAACGACATGGTGGTGTTGCCCAGATGCTCGGTGCGCAGCTTCTTGTCCAGTAAGGCGCACTGCTTCAGAAGAGACACCAGAAACGAAGGAAACTCGGGGAGCTTTGTCGAAGAATTCATAATTCTCATTTTGTTCATCATCTGCGGTTTCATCTCTGTTTTGCTGTAGTTGTTCACCAGTTTAGCAGTACTGTTCATCGTTGCGTTCAAACTCTTGTCTTCGGTGTGCAGCTCGAAGGAGCTTTCTTCTGCTGGATGATGTTCCTCAGAATGATTCTCGTCGTCGTAGATGTCGCCTGAAGCTGTGGCACCGCCGCGTGCAGCCGGAGTACAACTGAACATCGCCCCACTGCTGAAGTTATCTTTACCGGCGGCATTATTTCCTGCAGTCGCACAATGCTGCAGGAATGAGGGAAGAGACACACTACAGTCCGCAGCTATGTTGATATGAAGGGACGATGAATTGTTGCTCCTCCCTGAAGAAGGTGGAGATGCCGAAGCAGAAGCGCCCTCCGCGTTGTCACACCGGATCCTCAGTTTGTCTAAAACGACGCCGTGCTTGTTTTTGTAGGACAGGATTTTCTGTTGCAACCCGTGCATGACGGGGTCGACCCACTGCTGCTCGACCTTCAGGTCAAACAACAACACCGCCTGCTCGTACAGCTTGGCATACAGCAACACGGAGAGCACTTTGTCTCGGTACGACTGTAAATGCCTGAGTAGCAGAAACTTCTGCGGCGCTAGAGAAGTATTAAACGCACTTTGCGCGGCCGTCGTGTGATCGTCCACTACCTGGCCGTGGAATTGCTGCTGCGGTGCTTGCGATGTACCAGCAGAAAAAGCAACGCCAGAGGGTGCATTTTGTTGCACAGCAAAATTCTTCTGTTTCCAACTGCGGACATCCTGCGAGAAATCCGCATAGGTATTTGCTGTACCAGCCACAGCAGACAAAGACGACCCGGAATGATCATTCCCACCGCAGCTCCTAGATGAGGAGCCAATCCTCGCAGCTGCTTTCGAAGAGCCAGACCCAGAAACTACACCAGAGCTTGAAGCAAGAACATGCTGTGGCTCTTGTTGTCCACCAGAAGGAGTTACTACTACACTGCTTGCCGCGTGGTCTTGATCGAGCGCGAATTGGTTTTGCTCGAACAAAAACTGAAACAAAAACCGGATGTCCCTCTCCAGCTTTTCCAGTACCAGATCCAAACTCTTCATGGTCGATACATCCACAGGCTGTTCGTACTGGCCGTGCGAAGAGACGAAAGGTGAAGACAATCCTGCTGGTGCTGATCCAGACGAGGACGAGCTCGAAGTTGCACCACCGCCGCCAAACTTGTTAATACTTTTCCCGCTTTGATGAAGATGCAGGCTGGGCTGCTGGTGCTGCCCGAGCAGCAGGTGGCTGGTGTTCATACGCTTTTTGCAGCCTTCCAAATGCCGGTACACCGCGTCGACAGCTGGTGGCACGCGGTCGGTCAGCGAGTCCACAAGCAGTGTAACGTCCTTGCGCTGCCGGGCCTCCAGAACCTGGTCCCGCAGCCGGTCCACCTCGGCAAACGGGTTCTTCGTCATAATTCGACACTCACGACGCTGTTCTTGACTTCTGCGGGATACTAGGTGGAAACATAATCTGTTCAAGTAGCTAGCGAAACAGAAAGAAAAACTGCGGCTCTATGGTGCTGCGTTGAGCCTCTCGGGACGATCCTCTGTCGGGCTGACGCTGAGCGTTGCAGCCGGTTTTGCGCTCTCTCTCACAAACGGAAGAATATCAATTCGGAGAAACAAATCGATCTCTCAGCCACAGCCAGGATCCGGATCAAAGATCAGGAGGCAATAATAAGCCTGTTCATAGGTATGAACTTGGAAAACGTTGGTGGAACACATCACTGGAAGTGCAAGCCTTTTTATCATCCTGAATTTTTTGCACCTCATCAACGAGGCATACACATACTTAAGTACAAAGGCAGATGCCTTGGTCCTCGTCGAAACGAAGCAATTTTTCCGGAGCCACGCTCCTCGCATGATCCTGTATCATTGAAGTTTTCGCACCTCAACACGTTCTGTGCGGTTCACGTCTGTCTCGAACGCGTTTCTGCAGTCAGTGAGCCACTTCTGCAACTCCTGGCAGGACTGAAATGGCTCTTTCGTCGTGCATATTCCGCACCGCGCATTCGGTATGTCGAGCAGGGCAAAGCGGAGTAAAGAATCAGCACTTTTTGTGGCTGTTGCACTACTACCTGTATCGTCTTTATTTCCCGACGAGATCAACTCTCGTATCTGCCCAACCGCCCCCTGACTGCTGACCGCACAGTACACCGGGTAAGAACACGACGAGGACCCGTCCTCCTCGTCATCCGCAAATTGCTGCGAATATTCGGCAACCAACATCGCCAGGCGTTGCTTCTCCGCGGGATCGATTTCCGCGTCGTCGAGAAAGAGGAGCAGGCAGACTCTCTGGTTGATCCGCGAGTCCGGAGCGGACAAATTTCCGATCCGGGGTTGGTTTCCCACCGCCTTCTGCGAGGAAGAGATCGCGTGCAGGACGCGCGTGGCCTTCTCCGCGATGGACTGCGTGCGGCCGTGCTTCTGGAAAAATTGCGGCCAATGGCTCATCGCTGCTGCGGAACCGTCGCCCACCGTCGAGTACAGCACGTCTGTCCGGATCACGTACTTCCTCCCCGTTTCCACCCGCGACCCCTCGTGCAACGGTGACAGCGGGTGCTGCCCGTGCCAGAAAACCAGCGCGGCGCCCTTTTTCGGCTTCACCGAAATTCTCACCAGTTTTGTCCGCGAGGACGTGCTGGTTGTCCCACTACTTCCGGCCGCGCTTGGAGTCCCTAGAGAAGTAGAAGTTGCGGCTGTACTACTACCAGCGGCTTCCGCTTGCAGCTCAGCTTGAAGCTCTGCTTCCTCTTCGTTCAAACTCTTCAGAGTTGGGTCCTCTTGCATTGTCATCCCAGAAGCAAGAGAAAGCGAACTGCTGTTCAGGAGAACGTCCCGGTACAACGAGTCGCTGCTGTCGTAGTAGAACGTGGTTTCTCCGCCCTCGCAGTCGTCGTTCAAATACATCAAAAACGTCAGCAGGGAATGCTGTCGCCCATGGTAAAAATCCTGTACCAGCGTCTGGTCATCCCGCTCGAAGTCTGCACTCGAAAGCGCCGACCCGGGCCAAGAGCCGTCGGTGTGCGGCCGAAAAATGTCCTTTGTGTTGTACCGATAAAGTCGCCAGCGTTGGTTAAGCCCCGTAACCGGACCGATCTTTAGCAGTTTCTTGCTTGGTTCGACGAGGTAGTTCTCATCTTCATTATCGGGATCTGCTTGCTCCTTTGCACTAGAATTTTCGCCGTAAAACTCTCGGCTTCTCCACATTGGGTCGTCTTTCTGCGGACCGCGCGCCGGCCCACTTGTCGTCACACTGTATTCTGGCAGTAAGTGCTTGCAGCGGTCGAAAATCACGCGATTTAAGCTCTCCTGGTCCGCGATCCAGACGCAGTTGTCGTTCTGCCGAATCTCCCGGGACAAGCTCACCGGCGCATCCTCGCAGTAGCCCATCTGCTCGGACAGCGCGACCAGCTGCTCACACTCGTGGTCGGACAACAAATTTGACAACAGAAAGACCCCGGGCGCGCCCGGCACGAACTCCCGCCGAACTTCCTCGTTGCGGTCGTCGCTCTTCTCCATTGCGATCGCGTTTTTCCGTGCGGTAAAAATCGGGATGTCGGTTCGGGTCGCCCCGGATTCCCGGGTCACGACCTTGAAATCGACATTCAGCTTCCACGGGTTCGGTAAAGGCGACGAAGTTGTATGGTGTCCTGCTGCAGTTGTGCGGCGCAAAGACGAGCGCCACTGCTTGCTACGAATCGCCGTAGTTGCAGTGGACATGATAGATAAGTAGCGAAAGTTTTTCCGGGTCTGGAGTCGTTTGGGTTGTCGTTTATTTTCTTTGTCTTTCTGTTTTTCTATGAATGACCCGGAAATAACAAGGAATTTCGGAGGCTCACGAAAATAAGCGGCAAGAATTTTTCACGGTTACAACGTAAGACTTATACGTTCTGCCATCACTTCCGAATGGATCCTGGTCGGGTCAAAATCACAAAGTCACGAGCTTCTTTTAGCGTCTCGTGGCATTTTGGGCATCAACGACTTGCGACTTGCAGATTCTGCTCCATACGAACACGATAAAAAACACCGAAGTGGTATTGGTATTGTGCAAGGTAGCATGCGATTGACCAGTTAATCGAACGACTGACAATAACTTCTCCTGAACTAGTAGGAGGACCGAATGTAGCTCGTTGCGACGTTCTTGGCTCCACCTTCTTCAGAACAGCTCCGGTTATGAATTATGTGATCAGAAATTTTTGTATGTCAAGAGCGAACTCTTACTGCGTTGCAAAGCATCGGACCAAAGAGGTATCAAAACCTCTCCGGCATTTCTTTTGCTTTTGTTGCTTTATTCAGCGCTGTGTATGAGTTTTCGAGCAGCGATGAGGAGTGCATCGCAATGATAATGTACCGCGAAAGACAGCAACGCGTGGAGGAGACAAGAAGAGAGGACAGCACGACTTTCGAGAGCCACTACTCATCGCTGCGGCACCTTGTTCTTCTCCGCGTTCTTTCCTGCCTTTGTTTCTCAGACCGTCGCATAGAGTGTGAAGTACTCTACCTGTTTCACCAACTGCGCGTTTTCCGCTCGGAGTTGCGCGACTTCGGCCGCGTGCTGTGTGGGTATCAAAGATGTAGTTGCACTAGTACCAGCAATCCCACCCACGCCTCCACCTCCGGTCGCGAGTTTGTTGTGCAGCAACTCGATTTCCACGAACTTCGCTTTCCTGAACTCCTCGTACTCCCGGCGAAGTTTTTGGTACTCGTCCTTCGCGTATGGAAGCAAACTTCCCCTCTCTCCCATTTGAGGGGGCATAATTTCTACCATTTTTACATAGCGCCTGGAAAACGAAAATGCAAATCCACATGGAAATGCTGCAGCCTCTGCATGACAAATCCAGGCCTGGACTGGAGTGCAGTTTGTGTTTGGCCCTCCTGAAATTGTCATGCAGAGACAGGCTTAAAAGAGTTTGGCGCGTTGCGTCACACATGAGGGAAAGGGAGAGATGTGCACTCTCATATCGCGGCGTCCAACGTGGCAAACGAGCTCGACACCAGCACATCGTCGGCCTTTTGGTCCAGCACGGACGCTCCGAAAGCCGCGCCGCTTTTCTCTAGCAGCCGCCCACCTCGGTCCACGCGACTGGGGCTGCCGAGCTCGTCGCCGTTCATGTTCCTACCCAAAAAGTCTCCGTCGCCGCTCAACGCAAGCTGCAGCTGCTTTTTCAAATCCCCAACCTCCGTTTCGTGCAGCTTCTTGAGGTCGGAAAAACTCGACTCCCATTTACCAATCACCTCCCAGAGCTGGTTCACTTCCTGCCACGTCGGACCGGAGTGACCGGGTCCTCCAGCTCCAGCGTGATGTTGTTGAGCTGGGGAAGTGTCGATTTTTCATAAGTTTATAGTGTTGATAACAGGTAGGTAGGTTTACTCAAAGAAAGATAGCATCTGCATCTCAGCACGCCACCATCACCATACTTCTACAGGTACATGAAATTCGGTTTCGCATTTCGTAATTCTAATTTCTCTATTCTGCAACAACAGTAGTAGGGGCAAACCTCCTCCCAGATCCGCCCCGGAGCCGCCCGCTCCGGCAGCACTCCTTGTGCCCGTACTAGTTGCACTCGAAGATGCTTTTCCAGCACCGGTGGAGCCGCTAGCAGCGGTCGCCGATGGCGCCGCGCGCGTTCTTGCTCCTTTCCCGGAGGCCGGAGTGAGCGGCCGGCTGGCTTTCGCGGAGGTGGAATATGGAGCTCTCAAACGTTACACTCTCAACTGTTACATGATTTGTCATGCAAAATGCGCATCAGCATCCATACGATGAAGCTACTTCGCATGACAAATTTTAGAAGGGCTAAACAGCACTAAAATCTGTGCCAAATTTGTAATGCGAGAGGTGCAAGCTCCCTTCTTTTGCTTCTCCTATTCTTGCATCACAAATTCATGTAACAGTTGAGAATGGAACGCTTGAGAACGCCATATGGAAGACGACGTAGTTGCAGCTTTGTTTTTCCCGGCTGCCAGGTCTGCTATCGACTTGTCTTTCACGTTTGCCGTCCTGCTCGTTTATCCTGTGTAAAAACGTACCCACACCAGAGTTGTAATGCAGATTTGCAATGACAAAGACATTTGTGATGCGCATCCCCATGAGAACCATTTCCAGTCGTGTTTTGGAATTTGTGATGCTGTGAACAGGATCAGCAGGTCGATTTGTGATGCGGCTTTCCTTGCTAACTTGCACTACCTTACGGACTGAAACTTGTCATGCGTGACTCCCAAAACTCCTAGGTTTGCGTTGCAAAATCCCCATCTTGACTATGGTGTGGGGACGTTTTTACTCAGGATATCGTTTCGCTCGAAATCATCTTGTACGCAGGTGGAGTAGTGCTCGCTGCCTTTGCCTTGGCCGCCCCTGCTTGTTTGTTCGCAGTTTGGAGGTTCCTGGCGTGATTCGACGCAGAACTGCTGGAAGGCCTTGTTGACGCGGAAGCTGGTCTCGAAGATGATGATGCAACAGCTCGTCCGGCTGCAGTACTGGAGCTCGCTGCCGTGCCAGGAGCTTTCGCCTTGCTTTTTGCCTTCGCCGGTGTGGTTCCCCCAGCGATTCCACCTCTGCCACCTTCCACGGCAGGCTCCTTGGTGCTTGCCCGACTGCGGTCATCCACGATGGCTTCCTCCACGATCTGCTCCGGCACCGCTGCGACGGGCGCTGCAGCCTTCGGACCCGTAGGAAAGAAAAAGGAGAACTGTTGTGAAGATGAAGCCGCTGCACCAGAAGATTGGGCTAATTGCCCCGCAACTGATTGCTCCGGCGGCTTTTCCGGAATGGCCTGCTTTTCCGCCCCCAGCGATGGCTTTTTACTGCTTATGTCCTCTCCGCCAGCGGTGGATAGTCCCACGGTTGTGGAGTCTTGTATTTTTGCTGCGGCAGAAGTTATCTCAGGAGCGCCGCTTTCTAGTGCAGCCGTAGCTTTATTTCCTGCTCCGGGCGTAGAAGTACTCGTTGTCGCCGGCTTTGCTTCCGCCACGCCAGCTCCTGTCGCAGCGGCGCCATGATCAGCGCTTACCAATTTCTTCTTCGCGGACGCGCTCTCGCCGCCGAAGGTCAAGTTCCCCAGGGGATCTACTTTCTTCTCCGCAGATGCCGCCTTCGATTTCGAAGCTGAGGATCCACTGCCGGTCGACGCCAAAAACGCGGCCAGCGGGTCCTCGTACTGCCCGCGTTTCGTCCCGGGACTACCCCTATGAATTGCAAAAGTATCGCACTCGTACTAATTGCTTTTATGCATTACAAATCTTGGCCTTAAAGTAAAAAAGCATGACAAATTCCAGTTCTCACGCTGAGGAAATTTGTAATGCATTTATACGGGTACGATATTTTTGCAGTTCATACCCCCTGGCTCCCGCGGTCCCCGGCCTCGAAGAGGAGGAGGAGCTTGTTCCCGCGAGTAGAACATCGCTGATGACGTTCTCAAAAATTACGTTGATCGCTGTTACATGATTTTGTAATGCTAAACCGACCGAAACCACAAACGCGACCCATAGGGCACATGATTTTGTATTGCAAGCACCGCACGGCAAAATAGTAGGTCGTGAAAGGGTTTTTATTTTTGCGATTGCGCGTCTTGCTTTACAGATTGAGATTGCGGATTCGTTCCATGCTCTACTCTAGCGCGTCAAGAACTTGTCATGCATAGAAGCAGTTGGATCGTGTGGAGGGTCCTCGTGTTAGAAGTGAAGAGTGATTCAGATTCTGCGTAAAAATACAGCGATGATTCAACACAAATGTTTGAGAATGCCATATCCTTCTTCTCTTTGTTCGGCGTCGTTGCGCTTGCTTTACTCGTCGCTGCTCCGCTACTCTTCGCCGGGAGGTGGTGGTCTGCTGCTTCTTTGTCCTTCTCGGCCGCGAAGTCCTTCTGTTCTTTGCTCGGCCCATTTTTCAGGAAGTCCACCACCTTCGCGGCCCAGGATTTCACACCGGATTTGTCCGCACACTCGATCTTCAGTTCGCTGCCGTCCTCCAGTTTCGCGGGCAGCAGCTGTTGTGCCGTTTTCGCGGTGGTCAGGTTCACGCAAATCGCGACCTTCACGTTGGCCGTCTTCCATTGCGCGACGCCCTTCACGGCCGAGGCGCTGCCGAAGGTCCAGATGTCCACTTTCGAAAAGTCGAAGGTCGTCGGGGGCTCCGTGCGGGGCTGGGTTATCAAATGCAAAAATGTCTGGGTCTGGAAGAGTGCAAACTTGTGATGCGCATTTCAGAACACAGAAAAATCTCTCATGCATAGGCAGCAAAAGTTGCCCGCTTTCTGTCACAAAAGTCAGGGGTTTGTCATGCGGATTCGGCATTGTGAACGCTTCTCCAAACCTGTGATGCTGGAGCTTCCATGCCAGACCTTCTGTGTCATGCAAAAACAGCATTATTCTTCCAGACCCAGACACTTTTGCATTTGATATGGGTGGAATACACCTGAAACACCGTGGTCTCGAAACCCCGCTGCTCTAAAGTGGATTTGCCTGTAGTGTGTGTAAACTCTTCTACTTGTTCACGATGTAAACAAATGATTGCGAAGTAGAACGGCACCTTTCTATGTTATTCAGCATCAACAAAAAGCTGCACTTCCTCACCCTGAAGTACAAAGTGATCTCTCTAGATAGCGCTCGTCCTCCGAATAATATTCCGAAGCAACTATCGGACCTCGTCACATCTTCAAGAATAAGAAGTACATTCGTCTTTCTGCTGCACCGAACAGAGCAGCAGCAGGCGGGTGCCGACTGCCAGGGGCAAGTGGTCCGCTAACCCGGTGCCGTCGGCGGTGGCCTTGTCCGGCAGCGTCACCACGTTGCTGCTCCTCCTCTCCTTCTGCAAGACTTCCAGTGTGCCCTTGCCCACGCACACCAACTTCGCGTAGTCGAAGTGCTTGCACTGGTCCACGTAGATCTTGGCCGCTTCCGTCCCAAGCAGGCAGCAGCAGTCGAACTCTTCCTTATCCCAGAGCCGGGCCAGCCGCTGGAAGTCCGGGCCCTTGATCTGCTCGACACCCGGGAGCTCCTCATACGAAATGTGGTCATCGAACACCGACACGTGCTTCATGTAGTGCGCTCGAACGGCCTGCTCGAGTTGGTCATTCAGACCGTCCTCGCGGGTGAGGGCGATTTTCGGCATCTTCGATTCTGTTTTTCGACGAATCCGAGGCAATCTTGTTTTCACGGTCGGACGCCGAGAGGGGTCAATGCTATCGTGACACCGCGATTCTTTTTCTTGATGTTGTCCGAGGACACATTAAGACATTTGTAAAAGCTGTACCAACACGGCCGTATGAAAAAGCGCTCGCAATAAATTACTTGAAAACACGCAGACAAGCTGTAAGTACTCTGTGCTTCTCGACATTTAAATACAGCAGTTGTTCTGTTCAAATTGTTGATCGTCGATCAGCAGACAGAGCGTTCACTTTTGTCTAAAATCTATCTGCCTCTAGTACTGAGTAAAATTATAGCTGCTCCTCTCGCTCTTTCTCTTTCTCTTGTTTGCATCCAGCCCGGTCGTCGGCACGCGGACCCAGCCGGGGCAAGGACACGGCGCCAGACTACTCGTCCTTTATTTGTACGCTGCTGTGGTCTTTACAGGCGCACAACGCAGTGCTCCTCGAGAGCCACAACGACTTCAGCACACTCGTCCTCGTCAGTGCGAAGCAATAGAAGAATAGAAGCCACGCAACTGAAAATCACTTGGGAACAATCAATGGGAACAAAGCGACGACGCTCCATCTTTTCATCTTCCGAGCTTGGTGGTGGAAGATTCTTGTTCTTGATGCCCGTGTATACAGCAAAAGCAAACTAGAACTTCTTTCGAGGATTTCTACTCCAGTGATCACCACCACTTCCGAGCGTGCGACTGCGCTCCTCCGCGGTAAACCTGCTCATGGCTGAACTGACACTGTCCTTATTCTGACTTGCATCAAACGCACTCACTATCGGGGGCCTGTTTAGTTCTTTGGAAGCAAACTCTTCACTAATACTGGTATTGAAAAATGACGTTTCGCTATAAGCAGCCCTATCCACCTCGAACAACTTGCCCGAAGCGAGGAAAGTAGGACTTTTGCAGCGAGGACTTCTATGTGAAGATGGGACGGCTCGTCCTCCCCGCGGACTGTTTTCCCTGCTGGTTGTCTGCAGCAAAGTTTTGCCCTGCAGTCGCTGAGCAACATCTGTTTCGAAGATTTCGCTTCCGTCCTGTAATATTCCTGCATGTTGCTTCCTCGCCGTGTTCCTGCATTTTGCTTCCAACTGCGCCAGCTCGCAGCGGTGCTTGGTTTGCAGATTCGCGAGCGCCTTTGCCTGCCGTAATTGCAGTATCCTGAGTAAAAACGTCCCCACACCAGAGTTGTCATGCAGATTTGCAATGACAGGAACATTTGTAATGCGCATCGCCAGGAGAAGCATTTTTAGTCGTGTTTTCGAATTTGTAATGCTGTAAACAGGATGAGCAGATGGATTTCTGATGCAGCTGGCCTTGCGAACCTGCACTACACTACGGACTGCAACTTGTGATGCGTGACCCCCAGAAGTTCTAGGTTTGTGTTGCAAAATCCCCATCTTGACTCTGGTGTGGGGATGTTTTTACTCAGGATATGCAGCTGCTGGAACGCATCTTCTTGGTTGCGGCGCAAACAGTCGCGCCCGCGCCGCAGACGGGCCTCCAGCGCGTCGCGCTCAGCTTGGTGCTTTTGCGCCAATTTTGAAGCTTTGGTCTCCGCTTCGAGCGGCAGGGAGGCCTGGGTGTCAGCGTTGATGTCGACTTTGTCGTTTTTAATCTTAAACAAGAAACAGGATTAGATCTTTAGATGATCCACTCGGTAATGCTTCGGTAATGTTTCGTTCACGAACTTGTCCGCAATATTTTTTAAATATTTTTAGTCGGTACTAGGCTTCAGTGACAGTGTCTGAGACACGTTGCTCGCTGCGACAAAAACGAAGCATCTAGTTCTAACCTTCTATGCAACTACAGCAAGCATCTGTACATCTGTGTGTTGTATTAGTACCGTTGCGCGCGCTTCTTGCTCCTGCACTAGCATCTGTTTCTGCTGAGCGATTTTACGTGCTTTGGCGTAAAGGCCTTGGGAGACGATGTGCTTCAGGCGAGTTTCCAGTTGCAGAATTTCGGCTGTCGGCTTTTGTTTCGTCACAGCAGTTGCTGCATTCGTACTACCAGTAGCAGTGCTGGTCGACCTCTCAGGAGCTGCTTCGAAACCTCCAGTTGTGCTTTTTGTGGCGATCTCGTAGTGCCCTTCTTGTTCGTCCTTGGTGCTACAACAACTTCCAGTGCTGTTACTCGTTTCCGCACCTGCTGACGTGGTGGCTCGAGTAGAGCTACGCGCTGGCGGCGAAACATTCTCCAGTTCCTTCGCATGTCTGGCCCGCAATTTCGCATGCTGCTCCGACTCGTGCGCTAGCAGCTGGCCGACTGCGGCTTTTTCAGCCTCGCTATGGAGTTCTCAAACCTTACGCTGTCAGCTGTTCCGTGAATTTGTCATGTTGGAAGGCTAAGGGCAGGGCGACCCATTTTGCTCCGTGAATTTGTCATGCAAAATTACCATCCACATCCACACGACGGAGCTACTTCGTTTGACAAATTCTTGAAAAACTTAAACACCGCCAAAATCTGTGCCGAGCTAATTTGTGATGCGAGAGGTGCAGCAAGCTCCCCCATTTCACTTTTCCTATCCTTGCGTCACAAATGCATGTAACAGCTGAAAATGTAACGTTTAAGAACTGAATACTCGACCAATTCCAGTTTTGCCTGCACCTGTGCGGCCTCCAGAGCTTCCAGCTCGGTTTTGTGGCGCTGGGCAAGTGACCTGCGACGATTTGCATTTACGTACAGGTAAAGATATTTGCTCCTGCAATTGTGAGTTTCTCTGAATCAAGTTGCACCCAACACTACTGAAACAAAAGCTTCTACACGAAAGAAATGAGATCGAAATCTGAGTAAGCAAAGTATCTGTACGCTTTTTGCCGCTTTTGCTCTACGGTCCGCATTTGATGCAGCCGCAGGGCGGTGGTTGCGGCCGTCTCATAATTCCCCGCCGCCTCCGATTCCTTCTTGTGGTTCTCGTACAAGCGGAAGAGATCCACGCCGAAATTCATCTTTTGCAGATGATGATCTCGTCGCTCCTCAGGTCGCTGGGAAAAGCAAAACCACGCCAAACCTTTTTTACTGGAACCCTTGGGGTCTACTTCTTTCTCACGCTCGAAGGTCCCGCCTCCAGAGGTCGACTTGGAATTAGGTCGTGTACAACGCTTTGCATATCATATACGAATTCTCTTTTGTTTCTTCGACAACGAACTTCGGCTTTTTAGTGCGACCAACAACTTGTCGCTCAGTTTGATACCCAGCCCGAAGCACTCCAACACACAGATGACTAGGCTTACAGTTTTTCGTGCCAGGGTCAACATCTTGTCACTCGCGCCACCCATGTCACGGTCACAAGGAATAAAAGCTTTGCTTTTATAAAAAATGAGTTCCACGTCATCGTCATCGTCGTGGTGGCTCCTTCATCGCGAGGCCGTCTTTACACTGCGACCTCTACAAAGTACTACCTATCACGCAGCAGACCCCACGACGAGATGAGCAAAGCAACACCACAAGACCAAGTCTGAGCAGCGACTGCCGCAGGACGAGCTGCGCATGGTATTTCCTTGTGTTCAAATGAAGAAGGCGTCAACTCAAACTTCTTTGTGTTCCTCCAAAGCACACCTGCAACGCATCGTACATAGTCCAGGCTCAAAGAAACACCTTGATGTTTATACTAGAGAAGCGACGATATGAGCGACGTGAAAAATATCATTTCTCCACTCGTCAATAGTTCATTCTACACGAATAGTAGCGAGGCAGTCTGTTTCAGTTTGAAGATACCCTCTTCAAAACGCACATCCAGATACAACAAAATCTCAAACGTCGTTCCTGGAGCTGCTGTGTGCGACGTTTTGCACGGGCGTCGCGTTCCGGTCCGCCACCGGGCAGCACCACCCAAAGAGGCCTTTTCTCTTCCTCCCGCCGCCATCACTCGTGCTGGTCGTAGTTGCACCGGTGCGTGCTGGCGCTCGCCCGGTAGAAGGTTTGCCTGCATTTACCAGGTTGTTGGCCTGTTTTCGGTTCCCGCTGCTCGGTTTCTGCTGGTCTTGCAGTGATATACAGTCGTGCTCCTCCTCGAATCGGTGCTTCAAGCAAACCAACTTGCCACATTTCGGGCACTCGTACCGATTGGTCAGGTTCAGCTTGGTTTTGCAGACCGCGCACTTCGCCTGCTTCTTTGGCGCCCCAGGACATTCGGTCTTCTTGTGCTTCTCCAGAATCCCTTCCAGATTTCGCTCACTGGCCGCCACGCGCAAACCCTTCTTGCAATCGGGACATACCTGTTGTTGATATCCAGCATTTCTTGTGTTTGAAAGATTCGAAATCGAGTGGTAGTGGTTGTGACGAGACTATTAATTTGCGATAGCAAAGAACATCAAATTCGAACCTCTTTCTATAAAAACAACAACCAAAAAGAAGTTGAAGTCCGCACCGAAAACAAAAGAAGTTATGAGGAAATTCCTGCGATGTAGTTGAATGTACCGCTAGTATCGTGATGCACTTACCACGATAGTAAAATCCTTGCTGCTAGCTGCGGTGCAGTTGTGGGCGGCATACGACCGGTGCTCTAAGCAGTACAGCTGGTTGCAAGCGTCGCACTTGAAGGGCAAGAAATCGACTTTGTTGCACGAGGGGACCGAGCACTGCTCCGCATAGATTTCCATCTTTAGCACAACGACAAGACTGCTCTGCCGGCGTGTATTTTCATCTAGCGCAGGACGAGGAAGAACATAACATCGTGCGGCCACCGACCTACTCCTCGGCTACCACGACACTTCTTAGTGCAACAAGTTTTCAAGCGAGCTTTGCTATCTACCGTTGCTCTTAGCGGCCCAATGTATTTGTAGTTGGCTCACTACCACATCGATTGCAGACGGTGAAGAACGACCGGACAGCTCCGCCCGCGGCGCGCGAATGGCCCCCATTTGATGAAGCAGCGTTCGTGTTGCCTTCGTGGCGCTGCTTCCGGTCGCAACTGTTACTGTGGTGCCTGCGTGTACCAGGAAGGCGAAAGCGAATAAATTCATATATTGTATCCAGATTTTATCACTTCTTCACGCGGCGCAAGGGAAAATAGCAGAGTCCCCATTGTAGCAGGGGATTGGGCGACGGTAAATAAGTATTATGACCGTACTGGCTGCGGGACGGCAATTCGGCGCAATGGGCCGAGTCTATCTGGCAGGGCAGCGGCTAAGCAAGCTGGGAGACGCAAGCCTGTCACAAAAATGCATGGCGCGAGGAATTATTCAACCTTATGGAAAATGGGGTGCTATGCTTCAACATCGCTCCACCATCAATGATGCCGTGACGTAGCCTAACACATCTCATAACCGTATTACACTGTACACTGTTGTATGGGTTCACTATTACACAGCTATATCTTGCAGCACCGATTTCCGTGGCATTTCCGGCAATGCTGTTCGATCATGTGCTTGTGATTCATGATTGTGAAGAAAAATGCAACATTTTGTCTTTCGGTACAGTTTCCACCATCGACGAGCACACAAAACACTCTTCGCTCTGCTCGGCAGGAACCACAGACGGCAAAGCATGGATTTAAATACCGACTCCGACAAAGATGCGGAGGAAGTAGGAACACCTTGCCAGAGCAGGAGAGACCACAAGGCACAGAAACAACTAGAACACACTCGGTATTCGCCGCAGAATCAGAGCCAGAGGACATTGGTCGCATAAGAAGTAGTTGCAATTCCTTTCCTTCTAGATGCTTGGCTTCAGAGCACGAAACGATCACGATCATGAGCTTTTAGATCTATTACATATACATTTTCAATACAGTAGCAACGGATTTTCAAGTAGACGACCAAGTGATTCACCCACTCTGTCGTCATCGGAAACTTTACTTTATTGTTCATAAAAAAATGACTCATTCAACACGACTGAACCTTTTCACGACCACATCCTGCCTGGTGCAAAATAAATCAATCGTGTAGCATGGTTGCGCAGATTTCACAAATAAAAACTCTGTACTCTTCTTCTCTGCGTATGTACTTACAATCTCCACCTTTATCATGTGAGTACTTAATAACGTACTTACTTTCCCTCAGACGATGGTCTTCACGTTCCTGCAGCACGAGGACCCCGATGTACTACAGGCTGTAGGGTAGAGGCGGGGATCGGATCCTCTGCTCCGTACCCTTGGAACGCTTGCAACCGCTCCCACTCCTCAGCCGTTCGTGGCACTTGAAAGGACACGTCGAGCGCATCTGAAGGTTGCTCCCCCACACCCCCGTGGGTCCCGGACAGAGTGAAAACGGGCGCCGAAGGTGCCGCTCCGGCTCTTCTTGCCGTGCTGCTGTCATCTTCCGGAATCTGCACGAGAACCTGGTTTCTCACACCGGCAGTATCGGGGCGAAGAAAAGCACCCTCCCTATCCAGGCGGTCGCGCCCCTGCTCCCGCACGGGCTCTACTGTGCGCGGTGGAGGTTGTTCCCACACGTGGTAGGGAAACGAGGAGTTAAGAGGAGCGTTCTTCCTTTTTCTCTCTTCTTTCGGCCGCAAGGTTAAAACGTTGTCGCTTGTCAGCTTGTCCCGCGTGCTTGATGGTGGTGCGCGCGGGGGGCGTTCCGTCGCGCGTCGTGGTGCGGCTGGTGCGGGGAGTGTTTTTCCTGCTCCGTCTACTACGCTGGTCTTTAACTTCCTTGTTGCAACTGTTGCCGCGTTTGAGGTGGGACGAGCCGGAGGTGATACGACTGGATCTCCCGGCGGGCTACGGGACCTACCCGTGCTTTCTGGTACCCGGAGATGCGCACTCCCTGCTCGAATATCATTTCGCGCCTCTTGAGATATTAAATTGACACCTCCTGAAGGTGACCCTCGCAACGCCTCGTCTTGCTCCAGACCGCCGGAAACGTTGTCCCTTTCCACCCGGGTTTCATCTTCGTGATCCTGATCCACATCCCCCTGCTTGTGTGTATTGATTTTTATCCTGTTTTGCAATTTTTCTACGAGGTTCAACTTTCGCTGCTGCCGCTGTCGAAGCTTTCGCCGCTTCTCGCGCTCGCGCAGAAACCGCTCCCGTGCACGCTCCAGCTTCGTCTCAACATTCCGCTCGCCCGAGGCCAGACGGCGCTGCCGCTCGGCGCGCGCGGCCAGGCACTGCGCAACCAGGAGGATCCCAACCACAGCCGCGCACACACCAAGTATCGACGCAAAGGTGACGGCCGTGATGAAGGACGCCGTGATATGCCGCGATCTACATTGTCATTTTCACCTCCATTGTCATTTTCACCTGCACAGCAGGCTGCAGCATTGGAGGTATTTTTTCCACCACTGGAGGTGCTGCGGCCGCCCGTTGCGTTCGTCCGATTGCTCGTGTTTTCTCGTCGCGTGGGAATTGATGTCATCTTCGATGTTCTTCGACCTGGTGGTCTACTCGGTCTTAAACCTTGTATTCTCGTCGTTGTCGAATGAACAAGGTCTTCAGGAGTCGCGTTTACGTTTAGTAGAAGTGGTTGTTGAGCTTGACCAGACGAGTTTTGTATTTCTGGAGTTCCTCGTCTACTATCAGTGGCAGGATCAGGAGGACGCGCCAGGATAGAGTGTTGCTGGTGATCCCCCGCGTCGGCACGTCCTCGACTGGGCTCTTTATCTTTTTCCTGTCCGACACGACCATGGGCGGGGTTCTTCTCGTGATCTTCACGCGCGCCCGCCCCCACTGGAGGAGGCTCTGTGCTGTGTCCGAAGTAAAAACGTCCCCACCCCAGAGTTGTCATGCTAAACAAAATGCGACACACTTTGCCCCCCCATTGCACCACGGCCGCAGATGGCTTGGTGCGCCGGGCGGGTGGGTCAGGCGGACACCAAACTGCCATCAGCGGAGTTGTCATGCAAATCTGCACGCTAGAAATCTTTCTCATGCGGAGCCCCATGAGAAGCGTGCTTTCGTCGTATTGCGGAATTTGGGATGCTCCAATCACCATGATGTGCGAGACTTGTGACGCTGGTGAACTTGCCGAAAAGCATTACACTACGAGGCCAAATTTGTCATGCGCAACAGCCAGAGCTTGTTGATTTGTCTAGCAGATTTGTCATCTTGACTATGGTGTGGGAACGCTTTTACTCAGGATATGCTGCTGCCCCTAACCATTCCGACAAAAAGTTTCGAGCTCAGGTTGGGCACGGGGTCGGAAAAGTTTAAATTCCCCGAAAAAAGAGTTTTACCCGCCTCGTCTACGTCGAGATTTTTCACTGGCATCAACATGGCGCTAGCCGCTGACGTTCCAAAACTATGCAGGAGGTAATTTGTTCTGTTCGTTTCCCCGTGCGCCTGGCCACCCCTCAACATCCACTCCACCTCTTCCGGGCCGGGCGGGAAGGCGTCTAGCCAGTAATGGACAACCGCGTGCAGAGAAAGCAATGGCGTTTCCTCTCTCGGAGGTTCAGAGAACTTCGGTGTGTCCATGATCCCGAGAAAACTGCCTTGTTGCTTCGTCGTGTTCCCCACCTTCACGACCTGGGACGGATGGTAGGCGTCGTAGAATATTGCAATCTGGACCCGACGAAAGTCTGGGTTGTCACAGGTGAGACCTTGCATCCGCAGAAGTTCTGCGACATCTATGCTGCCCGAACCCAGAAAGAATGCCATGTCAGGCGAATAATCGTAATACCGCCCGTCCGCGGAGGGTCCAAATCGCAGCCGGAACCATGCATGCAGACTCTCGCGCCAGCCAACCGGCAACTGGCCTCGTTCCCGCAGCTCCTTTTGCATTAACCGCTGCATCAGCAGCAAGAACTCCACGAGCCTCGAGTTCAGCCCTCCCCATCGGTTAAATTTGACGCCACTCCCTGGATGAGGATCAAATGGATGTTTGTCCCAACCTCTACCAGAACTATCACCCAGTAGAGAAAACGGACGCCCTCCTCGAGGACTCACCGCTCCGGGCAAAAGAGCGTGGTCTCTCGACATCGACAAATCATCCAGGTCTCGCATATACTTCTGCAGCAAATTGTGGTCCTCTGCTGGAAAAAAGTGCACCTCCCGCTCAGGGGCACTACGAAGCGGGGGCGGCGTTGGTCTTCGTCCCTCGCCGTCCGCGTCGTCGTCTGGAGGTGTTCTTGAATGACTTGTTTTTAGCTCTATGAGCCGAACGTGCACGCCATACAGCGGCGCATCGCACAAGGCCTCATCGGGCATATCCTCGGAAACAAACGTGGTGTAGACGTTGCTGTTGCGCAAAGGCCCAACATACACTTCCAACCGATGCCTCGGCAGTGCCAGCTCCAGGGGGGGACGCCAACTCCCCTGCCGAATGTGCAACGCTTTCACCCTCTCCTGGACCGCAACGGCATCTGCGGGAGGCAAAAAGAAGCGATGCACGACGGGCCAAGGGCCCATGACCGCTCTTCGGGGCTCTTCTATCTCCAGCAGTCTTGCTGAAGTCCTGTTGCCGGACCCTTCCTCTCCTGGATAGGAATACTGTGGTTGGCGGCTGCGCTCGGTAATTAGCACACCACAGGTCTGGTAATAATTACGAGTAAACAAGCTACAGCCCGCATCATCGCGGGGTTTAACTGTCACCGTTCCTGGGATCCGGTACATGGCGACAGAGAGAAAATCCAGTATCCGCTCCCGGCCTTGAACGAAGTAGGCGGCAGCAAGGGCCTCACGCAGCGCGACTGCAAACAAGTCCATGGCGCTTTCCGGACTCTCCCTCTGCCTCTGCCTGTCCTCATGCTCCAGGATGACCACGTGGGTGTCCGATATTTCCCTGGGCCTTTCTTGCCTGCCGCCGGACTCCCGCCACCTCTGCTGGCGGCCAAACCACTTGTCCCAATAGCGCAGCATCTCCTTGTGATGGTGCTCATCGTTCCACACAGCGGGGTCGGTCATCGTCATCAGCAGGAAACGGGGGTTTTGCTGAAGCACAAAAGGCAGGTCGAGGAAAAGCCAACTCCGAGGCGAAAATCCTGCTAGCGTCATCTGCGTTCTCACGTCCTGCTCATCATATCCGAGGTGAAACTCTCGAAACACATCCAGTTCCGTGTAAGACCCGAAGCTCGGCGAGGAAGTCTCGTCTGACCGAAACGCAAGAGGATTCCATCGCAACAGGGCTCCCAACAACGCCCCCTGCTGAAGTCTTATTCCGGCTAGTGCCTTATCGAGCGATTCTTCTGTCTCTTTAGACCAGCTTCTGGACTCCAAAGAGAGCGGCACGGCAAGACGCGAGAGCTCCATGCGCACGGCCCGGCTCTTCGCCAAGGTTTGCATCAACGAAACCCGGTTAGCATTCCTATGGCAGTGTCTGGGTAGAAATCGGCAAGCTGGTAATAGTCTGTAAATATAAAATGCATGAGATGCGACCCAAATACTGAACAACAACAAGCGCCCCAGAGGCATTCCTTTTCTTGATTGCACATCCCCCCCCCCGCGCCCCGGCGATCTCGTTTGTGCGTGCACCCTGCGATATCGTGAGACTTGGAAGCACCTGACCAAGCAATGCGTGAGGCACATGCAAATCACAAGGCAACGTGAAACAATCCACAAACCAAGAGCATTAGAATGATGTGAGGCCGATTGTAGTCCTGGTTGGCGTGAAAGGAGGAGAGCTGACCAGCATGACAGGGAAGCACTGGCACTTCTTGTTCTTTGCCCTACACAGTATGGCAGATTCGCATTCGCTTAAACAAGTAGTGTCTCTAAACAATTCATTTATCATACCCCGCCTAGAGACTAAAACTATGGGTCCAACTGGGGTCGATTTCTGCACGGTACCTTACTAATCTTTTATTTTGACGATTTCCAACGAGACACTCCCATAAAGGCGGTAAGGTGTGTAAGGAGGGCGGTCCATCACTCTGAGGCTACTGAGTTGCATGCCCGACAAAGCAGCCGCGAAGAGAAGCAGTGTTTCCGCGTATCAAAATCAAAAATCCCGCCGCCTCCACATACTCAAAAGGAAATTTGTAGTTATGCGAGGTTTCTTTGCGATGTACACTAATCTGTAGTGCAACGAGCGCTTGCAGGCATTCTCTGGACCTGCTGTTTGGGTAAATTTTTATTCTAATGCAGCTGCCGGCTAGCAATCTAGGATGACAAATATCATTGAGCTTGACGCAGGCGAAAGCGCATGACTGATTCGCTGTAGACTGCGCCAGCACATCGCTCCCGAATGTTTTTACTTAGCCTGTGTGTAAGTTGATTTTTGGCCACAAATCAGCATGATCACAGGTTTCCTTGTGGTCTCAGGCGAAATTTTTCGTCGCGATACCGCGTCAGTGGGCCGTTGTTGCTCGAGCTTCAGCCGCGCGCGTTTCTTTTCCCTTGTCCTTTGCTCCAGCTGCTCCTGTGTCGCGAGCGCTACGTGCGTTTGGAGGCGGGTACCCCGGAAAAGGAGCAAATCCCAGGAGGCAGAAACGTCGAAGCTAACGCGTTGCTTCGACGCAGCATGGAAGCTGAAAAATCCGTTCTGGCGAAGATATTCTTTTCCATGGTCCACTCCGTAGCCAGCCAACGATGATCACCAGCACTCAAATCTCCAGTACTAGAAACCTTTATTTTATTTCGTCCTATTTCATCCCCCATCAACGTGAACGCCGAAGTAAATGAAGAGGGTGAGGACGTCGACGCGTCAGCCCCTTGCTCTTTATTCGCACTAGTACCTGCTCGTCGATCGGGCTCAATTTCCGGCAGCCGTCGCATGGAGGTCGTTTCTTCTTGTAGAAGTTCATCTCCCCCTAGTGGCTCTCGTCTTTGATCTACAGCGTGCTTCTGAACAAGACCTTTGTCGGGGCCCCCAGTAATGACCCTGATCTCAACAGCACCGAGATCCGCTGGCTGTACCCGTTTCTCCCGTGCTTGCCGTTCTCTGAACTCCGCCAGCCGCGCCTTCAAACGACTCTTCTCGTGAAAACTTATCCGCAGGAAAAACGCCCCATTCGTCCAGATGGCAGCTTTGCTATACAAATCAAGAGTCTTATTTGCCCTTGCGCTATAACCAGACTGTGCGGCTGCCGCGAACCGGGGTCAACCACAAGTTTGGGTCTCTAGCGTCGTCGTGGTTAGCTAGAAGTGCAGCCTCATCACTACCAATCGGCCCTCATCTTGTGGTCCTTCTTCTAGCATAACAAACTTACCGATAGCATTTTTGGACAATGCTGCTCATCGCCATCGGGCTCCTGCGCCGCATGAGAAACAATTTACTAGGCTTGCAGACTTACATGACGACAAATCTGGAGTTGTGGGAACGCTTTTCTACACGGTAACACCACTCGACGCCAGCTCTGCGCTCCTCCCGGAGACATCAACGTCCAGATCAAAGTGGACCGAAAGTCTGATCGCCACAAGGTCGGCTTCGTCCGGGATGAGCCTCGTCGCCGCGCCGTGCCGCTCCCACAGTTCCGCTGGCACTTCGTCGAGCAGCTCCGCCACCGTGACACCACGCCGGGGCACGGTGTCCTCTTTCTCCAGACCTCCGACGCTGTTATTCATAGTCGTTGTAGTTCCGTTGCTCCTCTTGTAGTTGGTGTAGAGCAATCCTTTACAATGCGGCGCTGGCCAGCTCTTTTCTAGTAAAAGAATCGGCTCAAGAAGAACATGATGTTGGGGCGAAGCAGATGAAGGTTCGGCCGTTGTACTCGCTGCACTAGAGGCGCTGTGAGAATGGTTCTGCGGGTAGTAGCTGCCTCTTGTCTCCAGCCTTAAGCGGCAATTGCGATACCTCCGAACCCGATCCTTTTCCTTTTCTACCTGGTTTATTGGGTGCGCACTGGTAGTGCTCATCCTCTGTGTCGCATTTGCTACTCCTGCTGCGCCTTGTTCAATATTATGGTTCATTTTCAACATCGATGAAGAGGAAGTGGTCTGTAGTGTAGAAGATGCCCGTGATGTTTTTACCGCTGGCCGCGCTGCAGAAGTTTTCCTTTCTTCTGCATCCACGTGTAGAAGCGCTGCCCGCTCCAATTCCCGTTCCAACGTCTGCACTTCTGAACTCCAGGTCGAGTTCCCCATTTCACTCTCATCACCAGTTTGATCGGGACGCGGAGGTGGATCTCGCACAACGAACGAAATGTTGCGCTCGTAGGTGTTGTACTGCCACCTCTCCTGTGTAAAAATGTACCCAAGTTGTCCCCAGGCAGAGTCACGATGGAATTTTCGTTTCTGTTTCATACTCATTATGCGTTTCATCCTGAAATGTTGAAACAACCATAATGGGAGAGTCCTGCAAGCGATGAAATCCAGAAGTATATTTGCTCGGAATCACACATGACAACTGCTTCACACTACGTACATGGTAGAGCACGGGAAGAAGCTACAACATAACATTCAGAAAATGCCTCTCAGGGGGAGCCGCATTGGCACGAGACGCGTCCCCTTTCCTGCACATGAACGGTTTTCAAGACAGGCAATGCTGGGTGCGTTTTTACACAGGATACCACAGATCGCTGCGCGTCAGATACATCAGCGAGCAATTCAGCACAGTCTCCGCTGATCGGTGAAAGAAGCTGGCAACTGTATCCAACAGAAAAAAACTAGTTGTATACCATATCCTTGATGCGATATTATGAATACACTTCTATGATGACAGTAGCGCACGTCGTCTTACGGGCGAGCCCACAGCACGGTGCTGGAGGTGCTTATGCAAAATAAATATGGACGTGACTTTTGACATCCTCTATGCTACATCATTTTTTCTCTGGGATAAACTGTCAATTCTGCGCTCGAGGTTCTCGTGGGGGCTTGCATCTCGTCTCTTGTCAGCGGAAAATGAACGCCCAGATCTTCTTCCTGCTGCTGTTCGGTTTTTTCCGCTGTCGCAGAATCGTCTTCCTGCTCCTCTTGTTGATGTTGTGACTCCACTACTACAGATGAGGATGGCTTAGGAGACAAGCCAAAGATCAGCATTTCTTCGGCTCGGAGCGTGCGGACCCAGGGCTTGGGAACCGAACTCATCATTTTGAAAACAGTTCTTGTATTCCTTTTTTTCGTAGCCATGATATTGGTGAAGGAGGGAGCTGCTTGTTCTACCGCGACCTGTTCTTGGTCAACCTCAACATCTGCGGGCACCCAGCTGGTGACGTTCTGGCGTTTCATATTCCCTCCGCCTCCAGAGTCGATCCCCACTTCTTGCAGCCCGTTGTGCAACGTTTCGCCTCCTACCTCCGCTGCAAGCAAGAAAGACGTCGGATTTTTATGCACATTTTTTTCATTTTCTACATAATGTTCTTCATCGGCGCTTGTTTCTTCTTGGGGGCTGCTGCTGTCGTGAAAAAAAGTGCCGTTGTTCACATCATCTATCTTTACATTATCACTCGACCGGGAAGAACCACTACGATCATGAGAAGCGGAATTGTGAGTCACGAATTGCTGCTGCTCCCGTACTTCGGCTTCGGCATTTTCTTCGCTCCCTTCCACCTCCCGGCGATACCAAAAGTTCGGTCGACATCAAGTGCAAACATCGATCCGGAAGGTCTGCTGGAAGACAGCTGCAACTTTTGTAGAGACGCAGGCTTTCTTTTTTGCATGCAGAATGTAGTCTCTATACATAGCATGATGCCACAGCATCGCATGACAGGGCATCAGATGAACAATGCCTCCCCATTATTTCCTTTAAGTATGACACGTACATCAAACACCACCTTTCTACTATGAAGAAAAAAGACCAACGCTGCTCTCCACGCATGACAGGTTGACCTTGACGATGCGTCGTCCTACAAGACGAACATGAAATGTTTGCATCTCTCCAGATATTAACCCCCAAACATTTGCAATCCATAGTCGATCTGGCAACCCAAAGTCCCACTGCACAAGGCTGCTGCCCAGCGGCAGGGCCGCGTGGGGCAGGTTGCTAGCATCGTAGTGGTTTTTCAGATCTTCCAAATAGTTGGAGTAGCAGAAGTCGTACAGTATATCGCCGGGCTGGGCGTCTACAAAGAACGGAACGTCTCCAATTAAAATGAAAAATCCCCCCTCCCCATATCGAGACAACGTTTCTGATGCTGGATTTCCATACACGAATCACATTTGTCTTGCAGTACAGGACTGCAGGCATATGCCAAGCCTCAGTCTAGAGGTTTTGACGTAGGTGCCTAGCATGGCAGACGTTTATGCTCTAAGCCCAACAGCATCACAAACCGCCTGCAAAATGCGGGGCGCTCTCTGGACTTGCCTTCTTGCAAGACAGACAGGATTTGAGGTCACAAATGCGCATCGCAAATTTTCAGACGGATACGCTTTCAATATGCGGAGGGGGGATTTTTCCTTACGATATCTCCTGCGGCAGACCTTCCTGGTGTCGTGGTCGTGGCTCCACGTATTTTCTGCGTATCAAATGTAAAAATGTCTGGGTCTGGAAAGTTGGAACTTGTGATGCTAACTTTGGACTCTAAAAAACTCTGCATTGCATGACCAGCAAGAGGAGCCACATTTGTGCTACGCGAGGAGGGCATTTGTCATGCGGAAATGGTATCAGGAAGCTTTCCAAAAATCTGTGATGCTGGGTCATGCATTACAAGCATCATGGGCCATGCCAGACAAGCATGACAAGGCTTCCATTCTTCCAGACCCAGACATTTTTACATTTGATACTGCGACCCATTGTACGATTCGAGCTCCTATCAACTGTAAAAATGTCTGGGTCTGGAAGAATCCAACTTGTCATGCTGATTTTGGATCTTGAAAAAATCTGTATTGCATGAGCAGCAAAGAGAGTCCAAGTTTTGCTACACGGAAAGAGCATTTGTCATGCGGTATAGGCATCAGGAAGCCCTCACAAAATCTGTGATGCTAGGGCATGCATCACAGACATCAGGAGTCATGCAAAATGTGCATGACAAACCTTGCAATCTTCCAGACCCAGACATTTTTACATTTGATAGCTCCGGAATGCTGAGGTGAACCTGGCAGGGGGCCCTTTCCGACGTAAGCGTCTATCAAGAAAGAGAAAGCACACGACGTCAGCCTCTTCAGCCACTAGCTGCGTTAGTATCATATAAATAAATTATTATTTACTAATATTGCCATGCTCTTTTTTGTGCCCCTTCTTGGGTGTTCAGCGTAACACATTTGCGTGGCCCCTTTTTTTACCATCACGATCACACCTATATATTTTTTCGCACAGTACCTTCTTCTTATCCATGTTTCTCTTGCACCAGCAGCAGTACGAGAAGTTGAGCATTGTGACACCAGAAAAACACCAACACAAAATCGAGCTTTTTTTCTGGTATTGAGCGCGCGGCGTGTACTTTCCTGTAAGATAGCTTGAAGGTGACCGAGGTCAGGCGCTCCAGTTCCCGGCGGAACAGGGACTCGTATCGCTCCACAGGCAAGAAATATTCCTTGTCAAGGCCAGTTCTCGGCCCTTCGTCTTTTTTTGCCGCTTCTTGTTCCGGTGGACGTATTTCTTTTTCATTTTCTGGAGTCCGATCAGATACACCTACTTTTCTTATGACGTGCTCAACATGTGTTTACAATCACAACTGTCACTATCGTGTGAAAAACAGCGATTTGGAACGGTAGGTCGTGATCCAAATCAAGACCACAGCACCTATAAACATTATTCAGTGTGTTGCATGACAGAGTTGTTGAACGCGAATCCACATTCAGTGCTTCTTAGCGGGTCCATATAGTACAAAATGCCGAAATCATTTTGTAACGGTTGCAACTGTAAAAACTACACTTGAGCGGGTTATAATCTTCTGGCCCGTGCCGTTTTTCGGATCCTGCTCATTGTCCAGTGTCTCGTTCTTGCCGCCCCTTGTTCTTGAGTAAAAATCCCTCCTGGAAGGCACCAGAACAGTTGCCTCCACGACCAGCACGAGTGGCAGCAAGGAGAGAAAAAAAGTGTAGCCACGCCCACGGATCTTCATCCCATTGTTCTTCATCGTGATTCTAACAAGCTCCTGAGTGAGATTGAGAATTATGTAAATCCAGTGAAAATTAAGTACGTCCCCACCTGGTCATGCACATTTGAATGCTCAGGATGTTGTTTCTCACGCGGCTCTTCTCCACCATAGGAGGCGTTTTGTTTTTCTAGTGACATTCCGGGTAATAGAATGAGTGGGTTTCCGTTTCCGATACATCTTGACCAGTTACTCACGCACCCACAACTGCGCTGCAATAAAGCTAAACTTGTCATGCGTGATAAGTCCCAAAAGTTCTGGACTTGTACTGCATAGTTCAAACCATCTTGACATTGGGGTGGGGACATCTTGTTTTCAACATCCGGATACGAAATACTAGATCTTCATCATAAAAATCAACATCCTCATCATCATCATCACCGGTGAGCTCCTTCCCGATATCTTCATCTTCCTTCCGTCGATAAAGTGTTTCTAATTCCAGGACATTCTATCCATCGATCTGCAGACGAACCCCCCGGAGGCCCCGGATGGGGCGTTCCTTCAACCACTGACTTGTAATCTCTGAAATTCTATCTGTGACAAAGACAAGGACGAACACGAAGTACAAAGTTAACAATAATAAGGGAGGGAGTACAAAGTTTAGAGGGGCCACGCGTGCTAAAGTAAACAACTGAGAAGTTCTAGTTTTTGAACTGCCACGTTCGATAAAAAGCGCAATAAATGAAAACCAGTGAAACAAAATGAAAGAGGAATGAAAATGATTCCACACGGCCGCTAGAACAGGAACCGATATGCAGGCGAGACAAACTAACACAGAGACAATGAATTTTAGCATTTTTACATTCGCCCAGCACTACGAATTGTAATATTCCTCTTTCAGCATAACCGAATGCAGATGGCAGACAACCGACAGACACTGTCACAGTCGAGCGTCTCAAGATCTAAGTGCAACTTGTTGACCACTTCTTGCACTAACCATTACAGATACACTGAAGAGAAAAAAGCAGAGAGCAAACCGAAATTTGACTATCTAATCGCCAAAAACCGATGCAAAATAAGTACCAAAGTTGCAGACCGATGGAATGATAGATATTTGCAAAATAACCGATTGCTGCAGCTGCTTTTAATATGCAATACGACAATCAAGACAGCCCAATTCATAAATTGAAGCTTTTGCCCGCCAGTTTGCAGGATGTCTTTCCGATCACTGATTTTAGGATTTGTCTTTCGTACTTAGCCATAATGATTGAAGAAATCTACGCTGACATCTCTGCGAGACACCAGACTGCGCAGGCGAACCCAAAATTTTTTCAGCACCTCGCTTCGTCGTGATACACAGTCGCCACTCAGCTTTATCATCTGCTCTACTAACCCAACAATTTGCAGTAGTGTGCCCTCTGCTCATCATTCCACCATGCAAAAAATAAACAAAAATAGTATAAACAAAACTGTTGCCAAAGCCAAATTAATATCCAAGTATAACTGTAACCGCATTCCACATTAAATCTCCGTCTCGGAGAGTTGCAGTGCGCACTGAATTGCGAGTTGGTTCCTCTTGCTTTCCCATTTCGATAAAATCGTAGTATAAGCAAAGTGAAAATACTTCTTGCGTAGTATTCTTGTAGTCTGCGTGAAACAAAACAGATTCCTCTGGCCTCTCCCGGATTGAAAATGAGCTGCTTTGAAGGCACATCTTTTCACCGCCCAGCAAAGTCGGCCGAATTCGAGGGTATTAGCGGCTGCAATTTCAATATCAAAGGGAAAAAAGCGCCACCATTTCCCGCACAATTCCACGCGAAAACGTGAGTGTCTGCGATCATACTTTCAGATCCTGCATAATCTTCCCTGCTCGCGAATGAACACTTTTTTATCGCATGGCATAATTGGAGGAGAGGCTAGTTGGTGCATCTGACGAAGCAAGGTACCAGTCGACCCAGATCCTTTTGCTCTGGAAGCCCAGAGGACACCCTCGGAACGTACCGCTGGAATCCGCCTCAAGAACGGACTCCTCTCGCTTTCTGGCGTATCGAATTTGAATTTCCCGTGAAGACCGACGCAGACGCAATAAGATTTCATACAAATTTATTCTGGTCGGCCTGGAAACATTAACATCCCACATCATCACATAAATTTACGGTAGTGCGGTGGCGATTTTTTCTTCAATTTGATAGCCGGATTGTTGTTGCCCACGGGTATCAACTTGAAACCAGTCGCTGAGACCTCCCGCCCCGACGAAATAAAACATTTTTTTAGTATCTGCAGCGGTTCTTTATCTGGCGTCGATGCAAGTGCGAGCTTGTCCATGAAACAAGTCATCGTCCGAAGTTTTGGAATCATCAATGCAAAGGTCGATCGCCGAGGAAGAGTATTTCAAACCAATTTTACATTTACTGCGAAAAGGCGAGCAGGAAAAGCAGAGGCAATAGCTTTCTACTGGCTCCAAGTAGAACCTTTAATGAAAATGAAGCTCGCGATCAAGCAACACTGCTACATTTTTGCCAGCGATGATGATATGGCAAAAGTCAGCATGTCCAATTGCTTCATCGCGGCAAATCAAAGATGACAAAACTCTTCTTGGTTGCGGTGTGTATTTCTATTCTAATTTTTCAGGGGTCGCGAGAAGAACGTTAGTTAGTACAACGATTCAAGTTGATACACGACGCCTGCTGATGGTACAGGTTCGGGTAGTTGTATTGCTGCGGCATCATTCCCGGTTGCTGCGGCACCATCCCCGGTTGCTGCGGCACCACCCCCGGTTGCTGCGGCATCATTCCCGGTTGCTGCGGCATCATTCCCGGTTGCTGCGGCATCATTCCCGGTTGCTGCGGCATCATTCCCGGTTGCTGCGGCATCATTCCCGGTTGCTGCGGCATCATTCCCGGTTGCTGCGGCACCATTCCCGGAGATTGTTGGGGGACCATCCCCGTGGTCTGCTGGGGCACCATTGCGGGCTGATTCATCGTGCCATAACCGATTCCCCCCACTGGCTGCATGGTCTGCTGCGTGGGCGCCTATCAAAGCGAAAACTGTCCCCGGCACGCGCGTTGTAGTATTGACTTGGCTTTCAAACATTTGCATGGCGATACACAAAACCAAATGCTGCATCACACTCCTTTGTAAAACTAACAAACATGCGGTAAACAAAAAAAAATCGCCAAACAAAACCATATGCGTTTGAGGCGAAGGGGACAGGTTTCAGATTTTGGTACCACGTTGACGAACCCTGTGCATTGCAAACATGTCTGGGTCTGGACGATTCCAAGACGTGCGATGCTTGGCTACAACTGGCACAATTGAAAACTTTGCTTGTTTGCTTGGGTTTCAAGGGGGCCCACTCGCCTGCCATGCGAAAATAAACGAATGATGTAGCGACATCCTCCGACCCACCTCGTCAGCCGATCGGCCTACCAGCCGTGAGGAGGGGGGTGGGGAACTTCTTGTCATGCACGATGCGCAATGCACACAACTGCTGGTTTGGCAATGAATTTGTTATGCTTAGATGCTGTGCATCTGCAGATGTATCTCAAGAGTGAGCATCACAACTTTCCAGACCCGGAAATATTTGCGGCCCATAAACCCCATCTGGCAAGGAATGTCGGACACCACAGTCACTTGGAAAACCTGCCGTGCGTTGAAAGATGATATCAAAACTTTTTTCACCAACTGCCCTTCCTTCATCTGTCTCGATGCCGACCCTTTCTCATGAAGAGTATCTACATGCGGACACAGTGGACTATGGCACATTTCACACAGACCTGCTGCACGAAGTCGACGCCCATTGACGAATCCATGCATACAACATATTTTTTCATTCAATGAAAATGTCCTGCTCGCATTATTTAGGTTCGCGCGCATTAGAAACAGAAAAAAAAGAAGAACTAACCTGGGGCTTCCAATCGGCGATCTGCGGCCGCATGTACACCGGGGGCGTGCTGTAAATAAACACGGGTAAAGACACCACCGGATCGTTGGCACACGTCACGGAGCCCCGAACCTCCAGCTCGTAGTACACCTGCACTAAGCCACCCTGGCAGGTTGGCACGACGTTGGAGTCCGCACCATTATCGTAGTTGTAATTTCCCCGCTCCGTCGTCTGTCCGGGGAGGGTCATGTAAAACATCTCCTCCTTGGTGATGCCGGCCGGGCAGCCGGGCTTCACGTCCTGGCAAATCATTTTCCTTTCGTTGTACTGCTCATTCGTGTTGGTCGAACGCAATTGGATAACGCGGTGCAGTATCAAATGCAAATATGTTTGTCTGGGTGTGGACGAGAGTTGTACTATATGCTCCGCTGTGAATGAAGATGGACAGTTTTTCATTTTCTTTTTTTCTTTTTACAGTATGTCGTGCACGGCCAAGCATGAGAAATCGATATATGAGCGGCAAAAAAGTACGTGTTGCGCGGCATTCCGCGTGAGGAACAGCGCGCTCGCATGACAATCAAGAGGCCCTCGTCCTGGACGACGAGCAAAGCTCTACCGTCATGGCAAACAAGCAGCTCAAGTCTTGCACTCCCAGACCGAGAAAGCTTTGCCCAGCATATGCAGGGTGAGCCGCAGCTCGTTCAACTCCGCAGTGGTGTTGGAGTTGTCGAATTTCGCCATATCATGTTGAAAAGCGCGATCTCCTGCTGCCCAAAACTATTTCGAAAGTATTTGCAATGCGAAGGCTCCAAATGGACGCACTCCTCTCCTTGCATATGCTAGTAACACGAATTCGTCCCGACCGCGACGACCTTTTGGAAACTTATTATTTGCCTCAGATGAGATATTCACTTTTCGTTTTCAACAACAACATCGGATACGCATGGCGCTTTTTCGCCTGGACATCGCACTTTTCAGCAACATTGGATACGCAAGGACCTGAATTTGGTCCCCGATCCGGAACGCATCCTGGCCCATCTGCACGCACACGTCGCAGGTTCCCTTGCCGCATATCCTGTGCAAAAGTATCGTAGTCGTACTAATCGCATTCATGCATTACAAATTTCTTTCTCAAGTTGAATCCGCACTACAAATTCTATTTCTCACGCTGAGGAGATTTGTCATGCGATTTATACTAATGACGATGCTTTTGCATTTCATACTGCAGCAGCAGCCGCAAATCTTGATTTCCGTGGACATCTGCTTCAAGCACGCCCGCGCGGGCGGACAGCGGTTAATGATCTGGAACTCCTATCACCATGAAAAACGCCCCCACCCCCGAACTTGGGAGCATTTGCATTGCAAACTTTTCCAACAGAAACACTCGCCCTCTTGCATCTAGCAGCATCACAGATTATTTCCAATCGTGAATAGTGAAGATTTGTATTGCATCAGATCCCAGCAAAAGCGGCGCTTGTCATCCAAGCAATGCTACATACGCCTAAACTCTGCATCAGAAAGATTCATACTCCTTTCATGCATGACAAAAAGTTTTCATTCGGAAACTTCGCATCACAAATTTTTGCAATTTCAGGGGTGGGGGCATTTTTCACGGTAATAACTCCTGCGAGCACTTCACGGTCTTCTCCCTGGAACTGAACCAGGACCGGTCCTCCGGGTTTTTCACTATCTCGAGAAACGCCTTGATCTTGTACTTACACATCGCGTGGAAATACTTCTCGTTGTGGCGCAGGTGCGGATCGAATTTCGGGTGTCGCCCCACGGTGCAGGACCCCGGCAGGTCGTCGGGGAGGTAAACTTCGAACGGGAAGGAGTACTGGCCGCAGGACAAAAACGCCCCGCCGTTGGAAACGGGACGAGTCAATTTGAAAAAGTCGTGGCGCCCGTCGTGGTGTTTGATCTCTTCGATCTCCTCGTATTCGTCGGAAATGTTTTTAAACTTGCTGGCTTCATCACCACCAAAGTCTCTGTCTCTTCCTTGCGGGTGGTCCTGATTGAAATTATCCTGATAAAGACCGTGTTCGCGATTGGTCCCAAAGTTATCGTTGTTGTTTCTGTCCTTCCGCTGCCGCCGGACGTGGACCGTGCGCCAGCTGGTTTCCTCATACCCGGTGAGTTTCAGGCTGAGAGACTTCAGCTGGGTAACCTGGTTGGTCACATTCACGTGGATGCGGCCGCGCAAAACCGACCCTGGATACACAGAGTACTCGTCCAGCTCAATAAAGACTCCAGCAGAGTCGTGGCTACTGTGGCCTTGACCCATCTTTTTATGACAGGGGGCGAGTCACTACTTTATTTTTTGCAGTGATGTTGTATTAATGTATTATCGGTCTTCCAAAAATTATGAATCTTCAAAGCGACGAAAGGGACGGACCAGGACCAGCGCAGCCGTTTCGTCGACCTCAACGTAAATCAAAAGTTTTGCGTAGAGTTTGTACCGCAAATAATCGCCATGAAGAGAATTGAATAAATGGATAGCGCTAACACTAAAGTCGGAAATCTAGAAGCAGGACAGCATCGGAGCCACTACTTTTAGCTCCGGCATGCAACGAGAACGATGCATCAAAACATCCAAAACAAGCTCGCTGTAACAAAACATGGTCGGCCATTTGATGCACACATGACACCAAGGGCATCTTGACGCTGCAGGCCACGGAACAATTCTCCGTCTACGGATAAAATGGAAAACAGTACAGGAGGAGCAAAAGTTGCAGAAAACTTACATATACCCGGAACTAAATCTTCATCTATCAGGAAAAAGTGTGCTCCTTTGCATGAAGGCTGCAAAAGCGGAACGGTGAACGTCCGAGCACAAGAGAACAAACTTTTCATAGCAAATTTCGCACGCCAGATCCGATGAAGATCTTTTTCGCAAATTCACATACGTCATCTAGAAGACCATCATCATAGATACAGCCATGCGGTTTGAACCAACACGCACGAGGACCCTTCGCAACATATAAATTGTAAAAAGAACTTTTTCGGCGCATTGCTTGCTACAAACGCCACTACTTCTGACCCTCGTTCATCCTGGCAAAAATCCACGCTGAAAAAAATCGATGAATTTTTTTCCTGGAGGAAACAACTGTTGATCTTTCTAACCTGCCGTCTTCCTTTCTTGGCATCTTGCAGCTTTGCCGCGTGGATGTTCTGATGACTGAAACGGGCAGCTACCAATTTTTCGGTGCAATAGTGCGAGATCATGATCGTCTGACATCACTTCTCGACGCCACTTTTCCCGCGATCTCTTTAACATCAGAACTCGAAACTTCATCCTCCCTAGGATCAGACCCTTCAGAGAAGAACATCAGCCTCAACACGCTTGCAGCTAACAAAAAGCTGGAACGAACGCTTGTAGCTCGAAAATATGCGTACGCTGAGTCGGGTTTTCTTCTTCTTGTGCTCGTGAAGGAAATGCGATGAACGGAATCAATTTACTCATCCATGAAGGGTCTTCTAGTGTAGGCGGCAAGAATAAATGGCGTCACAACCCCATCTCGAAAGAGAATGCAGAATAATCAGCCAGTAGTGGCACAGCGGTCAATCAAAGCGACTTGGTGTTTCGGTTTGTCAGCTGGTGGGGTGAAAATGAAATGATAGTGTACGGAAAATTCAGTAGGTAATAAATAATGCGTGTCTCCTCCTGGAAACAAACTTTCTACACGTCGGGGAAGGTGGAGGTAAAGAGGTGCACCTGTGGAAGAGAGAGACTCAAAGAGGAGAACCGAGGCTATGGCAAGCGATGGGGAAATACAATAGGTAGTATGAAACTCTCGACGGAGGTAGAGGTTGATTCTTTTTTACGTGTTTTTCCACCCCGAGGCTTTTTTAAAAACTCCTAGTAAAACAAGTTGTTAGAGCAGGACGTCGCAGAGTATAAATTGCTGCTTAAAGTCTCCGAAAAACCACGTACAAGGAAATCATGCGTGAAAAAAAAACAAATTCAAGTCTTGTTCCTCGACGAGGGTAGAAAATTGGACACGACAGCATTCCCGTTGGTGGGCCTGCTCGGACTACTTTGATTTTGTCCCGCTGCCGCCTTTTTCGTGGCGTATTGGTGGAACTGGGTGTTTTGCTCTGCTCCTGTCGTCCTGCCCGCCGCTCCGGTAGGCGTCGAGCCGCTCATCAAAGCGTCCTCCTCTCCCGTTTCATCGGGAACAAATTGTCGCTTATTCGTGGATACAGACACGGTTGTCGATGCTGTTGCTGTACCAAAATTATAATTCTGATGCGTAGAAGTTGTACTGCTTGCGATTCTCGCAGCGGTAGTACTGCTTGACGGACCAGCAAAACTACTACCGCCAGCACCCCTTACCGACGTAATAGTACTAATTCCCCCGCCCGTAGTACTAGTAGAAGAGGAGAGTTGCTGCGCTCGTTCCTCCAGTTCGTCCACACAAAAAAAAGCGTTGATGGAATATCAAATGTAAAAATGTCTGGGTCTGGAAACTTGTGATGCAAGAAAGGGAATAGTGAACTCACTATAACGCGCTGCCAAGCATGACAAGTTTTTTCCATGGCTCTGAGTTGCGTACTCCACATGAGAAACTGCGTTTTTGCATGACAGGGAGGAGGAGCTCTTCGCGGCCATGCAACACAGAGTTCAGAGTCATGCCAGACAAGCATGACAAGTCTTGCAATCTCCCAGACCCAGACATTTTTGCGTTTGATATGGAAGCTGCATCCACGATTTTGCTGCTGCTCGTCCCGCCCGACGTGCTGCCCGTCGACAGCGGGCTCGCGGCTGCGCTGGTATTTGTTGCGCTACTAGTGCCCGTAGTCCTTGTGCCGTGCAAGAACGTCGACGCCGTCGTACCAGTTCCAGTGCAGCCGCCGGCACCCGGAACAACTGCCTCGCAGTTTTTGACGAGCAGATGCTCCAAGAACAGCCCCACTGCGTCAGGATACTTTGCGCACACCTTTCCGAGCGAGCTGGCGATACTAGTGGTCATGGTTGTAGTTGTGTTTTTGCTGCTATTTTGCGGTTGTACTCCTGCGGAAGTGCTGTTAGAAGTGGTTTTCAACGTCGCTGCGTTCTTGCCGTTTTGCATGCTCGGAGTTGTACTCTGCTGCGCTGACAGGCTTGTTGTCGTCGACGGTGTGGTCGCCGCGGAGGAGGACGAGGAAGTCGCTTTGCCAATGCTCTTTTCCTCCTGCTTCGACGCACCACTGCTGTTATTGAAACTTGAAGATGTTGCGGTCTTCTCGTTGTCCACGACCATGTTCGTATCTTCTTGTGCGCCGATTTCCGCACTACTACTGCGTGCCTCCGTCGCGGCCGTACCCGCGTACTTCGCTAGCAGCTTGGAGATCACCGAGAGGGCGAGCGCCTTGTTTTTCGCCGCCGACTTTTTCCGGCTGTTGGAGGTCGTATTTGTGACATCATGGCTGCTGCACTTCTGCAGAACTTTGCGCATCCGCGTCACGGGGGAAAGGTTCTTGCTGTTGTACTCACTATCGGACGTGTCCACGCTGGAACCCGAGTCGCTGTCTTCCGAACCTTGCATGTCGGCGTCTGTTGTGTGATGTTCAAATAAAAAATCAATATCAATATGCAGAAAGTCCTCTTGCTTCTTGATCTTGGTCTTCTTTCCGAATGATCTATCTTATCATTCTTCACAAAGTTAAAGTAGAAAAATTCATGAAAATAATCGCTAGGCAGCTAGCTACATGGATAAAAAGGTGTACTAACTTCTGTTTCTTTCCACCAACTCAACCACGTATTAGCTATGTACCTAGATCCGACATGGAGTCGCTCGAAGAACTGGGGCTGGCGTCGCCCTCCGGCAAAAGGGAACGCGGCATGAAGGCTGTTTGTGAGAGGTTTATGTACATTTCACGACTGATTCGACATGACTACACAGGTAGCCATAATTGTTCAATCATCATCATTATTCAAAAAGAGATTCAAAAGTCCTTAGACATTTTTTTACCTGGCGCTTGCTGCTTTGGGTGAGCGAGAAAGTTGGTCACATGATTGAATAAGTCGTCTTTCGCGTCGACCAGCCCGGCCTTGCCCGAACTGCGAGAGGAAGTGGCCGAATCCATGGGCACGGGCATATTTCTTTTCCAATTTTCTTCCTGTAATGACAGATTACGTATTATAGGCTGTTAAAAAGATCGTCAGTATGCTACTAACACATGATCAAGGTCGCAGCGAGAACTCCCTATATCAAATTGTCTTCTGGTTCTGTGGTGTGAAAGTAAAAGAATGTCGCATTACAAATACAATCTCAAGAAATCGCCATATGAAAATAAGATGTGTATCTATTACGCAGACACAATCATGAAACTAGATTCGTTTTCGTAAGCGACTATGTATTCAATTTGTCGCTGCGACTCGAATTTTTATCCATGTTCAATTTATTCAAGTTGTCGCAAATTGAAATTCTCATTCACTGTCCAAGGGAAGTTCACTGCGCATCCACCTCTAGCTCCTCATTTGTGTTCTCTTCCTCCAGCCACGATCAAACTAATTCCAATTTCGTCAAAATTTCGATCTCACTCAAATTGAAAAAGATCCTTGGATTAACCTTCTTCTTTTCGGGGATAGTCGATTGGATTCATTTATCATTTTGAAATTTACTTTATTATTATTTACCGGGCGCTTTCGTGTCGGTCTACATCTTTTTTTGCGCTTTAACACGTTATAGTCAGTAGCAGACTTTCGACCACGATTTTTCTTTATTTGCTTGATCAATCATTTCCATCCGTTCGCAGGGATTTTTGCTTCGTAGATACCAAGCAAAACGTGGATCGCTATGTACTTCTGGAACAATCAACGCCTAACACAGCGGCTGAAGAAATTACACCCTTTGTTTCAGGGCGTCGAAACGCGATTGTTTTTCTTCCTTCATGTAGAGGGCAACTTTAAAGAATCATTCTGTAGCGTGCCTACAAAAATGGTTCGTCATCGAATGCCGTCCATTAAGAAGTTTCACCCCTAGCATCAGCTCGACCGCCGTAGGATTACACCACGTTCAGGAGCGCTAGAAAAATCTTTCCAGATGACCTAGAAGATGAGTGTCATGCTGAAGCTGTAGCTGTCCGAAAAAGCGCCGCCGCAGCTGCTTACTTCTTCTTCATGGACATCATCTTCATCTTCATGCTCATCTGCTTATCACAAAGAAAAAAAGCTAACGTGCCGTCATGTGTCGTGTTCGAGGCAAAAACAAATCGCATGCAAATCGCTGGTCAACGTGCTGTTTGGCTTTAGGCTGTGCAAGACATACTTTTTGTTTCCGGCCCATCCAAACATTTTTGTTTTTCCCATATACGCATGGTTGGCACGCTAGCTTTTTTTTAATGGATACTTCATCATCTTCTTCATGGCCGGCGCCGGCTCGGCGGCCTTCATCATCTTCATCATCTTGGCCATTTTGGTGGGTTGGTGGTTCTGTTTGGAAAAAACTTTTCCGATTCGTTGTCCTAATTTTGTTATATTGCCGAAATGTCAATGGAGGCAGCGGTATGCGAAATTGTGGATAGGGTAGACAGGAACACGGGGGGACATGCAGCCGAAGTTTTTTTTGAAACGCGAAGGGATGAAAAAAGTTCAAGCGATAAAGAGAAAAGGAAAATCCCACCACCACATCCAAGCGCTTTCCAAATACAACGTGGTGCTGCAGCATCTACTTTACTGTCCTCTGATGCACGATATACGAAGCTCCGTTCCCATTTTTGACGAACGTAGTACAACGCATCATGACCGATACAAACAAAATCGACCCACTCACCGAGACAACATCGCAGCGCGCAGTAAGTACGTAAATCAAACCGATTGCGATTCGGCGAAACTAAGTGTCTTGACGATGTGTGGATGAAGTACGATTAAGCGACGGACGTGTCGACTACACTACCAAGTGCTCGAGCGATACGAAAACGAGCAGTCATGTGTGTGATACGTACACGTAGCGAGACACCAGCACCGACCTCCCATTTGTTGGACACGCTTGCAGATGCGCGTTTTTGTTCTTTTCAGAGCAAGTAAGTAGCCTGTCGCGTGAAATTACCGTGACGAGCGCAGCGGGAAGTTCATTTCCCTGCTGTGACACTAGTTTTAGAGTCGAAGGGAGCTACCCCGCGTATCTCGTTATATTTTCATCATCCTTGTTGTCATCATTTTCCCGCGAAGGCCGAGTTCGTGCGAGGCTTCAAGAAAAGCAGCATAAAGAAAAGCAACGTGTGTGCTCGCTTCTCGGTGAGCGAAGGAAAAGCGCAAAGAAAAGCAAAACAGTTCATTAGATGTAAAGGCCAACACTTGTCCATCGTGATAGATCATTGTTCATTTTCTTCTCTAGAATTTCGCTACGCAGAAACTAGATCAAAAAAACTCTTCCCCCAGCACTTCCGCGGCCATTTGATCCTGGCCCGTAAACTTGTGCACTTTCAACGGCGCCAAATCGCCAACGAGCTCGCTGACGTAGCTGCGGATGCACTTTTCGCGCATTTTGGTGTGCAGCATGCGAAGGTCGGTTTCCAGCACGACCCATGTATCAACTGGCAATATGTCTGGGTCGGGAAGATGATTGCCAGGTTTTTCATGCATATTTTGAATGCCCCATGATGTCTGTGATGCATGCCCTAGCATCACAGATTTTTCGAGGGCTTTGCGATTGCGATGCCTCCACCGCATGAGAAAAACCCCCTCCGCGTAGCACAAACTGGAGTCCTCTTGGTGCTGGTCATGATGCAATACAAATTTTTTTAGAATCCACAGACAGCATCACAAGTTTAGAATCTTCCAGGAGACCCAGACACATTTGCAATCCATACCATCCTCGGTCAATCAACTGTCGGCGGCGCAGAATCGCCGATCCGGTAACCCTCAGGTCCGTTGTGTTCAGCCCGGTGGTGCAGAGCAAGTCTCGCGCGTCGAGGCAGTCGACCAGCGTCTTGTACTCCGGGAAGGCGATGCAGACTTTGTGCAGGTTGTCCACGACGAAATTCTTTACGTGCGGGATCTTCAAGGAAACCAACGCGTCCGAGAGCCAAATGTCATAAGGGTATTCCTTGATTCGCATCGCTTGCCGGTTGGCAGTCTATTGAGAGGAAAAATCTCCCCTCCCCATATCAAAAGGATGTTTCTGATGCTGGATTTGCGCACACGAATCAGATTTGTCTTGCTGGCGAGGACTGCAGGCCCATACCAAGCCACAGTAGACAGGTTTTGGCCTAGGCGCTTAGCATGACAGACGTCTACGCTGTAGGAGCAACAGCATGACAAACCGCCTATAGAATGTGGCGGACCCTGTAGATTTGCCTTCATGCAATACAGCGACGATTTGTGGTCTCAAATCAGCATCACAAATTTTCAGAAGTATCCCGGTTTGGTATGGGGAGGGTGGATTCTTCCTCACAATACAGTCAGGGAGTCGTTCACGGACGGGGGCGAGTTGGTGTTCTTTCTTTTCCGGTTGGTGTATCCTGTGTCAAATCGTCCCCACCCCAGAGTTGTCATGTTGGGAAACTAAGGGCAGGGCGTCCCTTTGTAAATTACGTCGACAAACTCTTAACCTGAGGTCCTGAGGTGGGTGACGCGCCCGAATGAAAGCACAGACACCGGCGGAATGGTGACGACCAGAAGGGTCAGGAGACTCACCTTTTTCGCGAGAAAGAAGACTGCTGAACCCGCGCGCGAAACTTCGGCGGGCCGACACAAGTGCCGGTCTTGTAATGTAGAGCAATCAAAAATCTAACGTCCTTATGTTCGCTGTTGTTAGACTCCTGCCGGTGATCGCAGCACCTGGAGCCCGCACGTACTGAAGGAGTAGCGCGCAGCTAGGGACTAACTAGACCCGAACGCCTCTGACCACCACAAGCGGGAGCCGTTTATGTAATTATTCCCCGAGCGGGCAGACACCAAAAAGCAATTTAGTGGAGAAGCACGGAAATGTTGCTACTTACCCGGATTAGCAGACCGGGCCAGGGACTAAATTAGGAGTGGCGTGCTATGATTCTCCACCGGAGATCGCAAAAAGGGCCTGGCTACTTTCTTAAAACCAATAAAGAACTAGAGACACAGCTAGCGATACGGATAAGCCCGAGCGGCAATATCAGGAACGCCCACATACAAAAATAGATGCCCTTTCCTACAACGTAGCCGACCCACGATAAATCTACACGCAAACAGCCGCAGCTGCAACCCCAACCCCTCCACAGGTCCGCTGGCAAGGCGGAAAAAAAACAGCTGCCCCTGCGAGGAAGCGGGATCCGCGATCTAGCGCTACAAGGATGAGGCAAGCAACAAGACAAAACTACACGACAAGGAGGAAGTAAAAGGGTAGAGAACTACATCTACGTGGGCACGATGGGAAGGCAGGGAAGATCGGCTTTTTCAGAATGAGGAGCGCACGAATTTGCGATCTAGCTCCATTTACGAGGCAGCAGGTACTTACGAAGAAAGTGCAGCAGTAACCACGAAGCGCAGAGACTGATACAAATCGCCACACATTTTTACGAAAGGCGAAGCCATGCCAAAGGTGGCGCCGTGCTGTCATACAAAAACATACATAGCAGCAGCAAGTAAATTGGATTCACATTGCTGCGCAAGACCGGTAAATTTACCGAGTAGCCTACGCAACTCGATAAACAGACCCGGTAAACTCGATAAACAGACCTACGCAACTCGATAAACCTTAACCGCGTACCCGGTAAACTCCAAAACAGAAATTTTTGAACAGCGTGATTTCTACCGAGAGACAACAACCGAAACTCCTGGGACGGCTGCGACGTGAGTTGGTTGTTATCTAGGTAGAAATAACTCTGTGCAAACTCCCTGTCTCAGCACCGAGGGAACCAAAATAAAAAGTAAAAGGGTTTGAAGCAGGAACTATGACACAGTTCTACCCCCAGTAAAAAACCATCCAAAAAAGTGGAAGCACGAGGTTGTAGCAGGCGGAGTTGTCATGCAGATTTGCCATGACAGGAACATTTGTGATGCGCAACCCCATGACAGGCATTTTCAATCGTGTTTGGGAACTCGTAATGCTGTAAACAGGATCAGCAGATCGATTTGTGATGCGGCTTTCCTTGCTAACTTGCACTACCTTACCGACTGAAACTTGTCATGCGTGACTCACAAAACTCCTAGGTTTGTGTTGCAAAATCCCGATCCTGACTCTGGTGTGGGTACGTTTTTACTCAGGATATGGTGTTTGCCTTGTTCAACGACGCCAGGCTCTGGCTTCTGTCTTTCGCCGGGTACAGATCCGAACGGAAGAAGTCGTGCTTGATGTTTGTCACGTATTGCTGCATATCAAATGTAAAAATGTCTGGGTCTGGAAGAGTCCGCGATTAGTCATGCTGCTTTTCCATGGCCCATGAGGTCTGGAATGCAGGACCTAGCATGACAGATTCTGCGACACTTCTCTAATGCCTATCCTCCATGAGAAACTCCCTCCCGACTTGGTCAAAACTGGACGACTTTTGGTAATCATTCGTTCGTTCGTTCGTTGTGGATCGGCTCTGCCGACCGGGTAACCCAACGCCTTGCATACAAATGACCGACATAGGCGAACCCCGTTGCGGGCATACATATTGGCCGTACGGAAGGGCCCTAAGCGCTACATACATAGTTCACCCTAAGCGCCTAGCTACCACTTCGGTCTGGGACCTCGTCTACCTGATCCTGGGGGTCCACAGCGCACTAGCCCTTTGCTAGCATAAACAGATTGGGCTCATGCAACACAGATTTTTGCATGCTGCAGATTTAGCATGACAAGTTGCAATCTTCCAGACCCAGACATTTTTACATTTGATACTGCAAGTTTGCTACTCTTCGCTCTGTCGCCTGCTTTCTTCTTGTTGAGTCAGTAGAACTACAGCTTGTTCTCACGACAGAAGAATGGTCAACATCTTGGTCGCCGTAAAAGCTCTTCGTTGTCGTTTCTCCCGACGCTACCGGAGCTGATGTTTCTTCGTCTTTCATCTTCGTGGTCGAGCCTTCATTTCTCCCACCAGAAAGAATAATTTCACGGTAGTGTGTAAAGTCCTTCTCTTCGATCTCTGCGAAAGCCGTTTGCGCCAAGTGCATCCACGAGTCTTTGGGGATTTTTTTGTTCGCTGCTGCAAAGCTCACCGGATCACGTTGCGCCGCAACATTCGGGTCAAACAAGTCCACCTCCCCACCTCGCATGATCTCTTCCACGAGCTTAAGTGGCACAATGCCGGTTTTGTCCCCGACCAGCTCCGGCACCAGCTGCAGCGCCAGGGAAAACGCAAGTTTCAAGTTGGCCTCTTGCGAAACTGGCTCTGGTGGCTCAACATCAGCGAGGTCCTGGTTTTCACCGGGTAAAAACTTCTCCGCTGACGTCCTTGTTGCACCATCGGCGTGAAGATGTCGGTCGACGTCGCTGCCGACCTGCGGTGTGGAAGATAATTCGTCTTTGAAGTAAAGATGAATTCCATCATCCTCAGGCAGGAGTCGCCTCTTCCCGGTGATATATTTCAGTAGTCCCCGCGCCAGGGTCGGGTTCCAATTCAACTCCGACAAACTCCAGATCAGCTGGATCACTTCCTCGTCCTGCAAGCTGCTCGTACTTGGTGCAACACCAAGCCCCTCGGAATTCTTTTGCGTACTTCTCCCACTTATCAAATGTAAAAATGTCTGGGTCTGGAAGAATGCAACTTGTCATGCTGTTTTTGGATTCTAAAAAAATTAGTGTTGCATGACCAGCAAGAAAGGTCCAGTTTGTGCTACGCGGAGAGGGCATTTCTCATGCGGAAGGCGCATCAGGAAGACCTCTAAATGTCTGTGATACTAGGTCATGCATTACAGGCATCAGGGGTCATGAGAAATATGCATGACAAGTCTGCATTCTTCCAGACCCAGACATTTTTGCATTTGATACCACTCCGCGCCGCGCTACTGAAGTACCTGTTTCCGAACGCGACCATCGCCTGAATGTCGCTGTCCAAGAAGAGGCATTCGTCGATCAGCCAGCGTCCGTGCTTGCTGTCGATCCCGAGGGAAGCGAAGATTTTCACCAACTCGACCGCGTTCCGGGTGTTGTACTTCCTGTGGAAGCCGCTCGTGACACTGTGGAAATACGCGTCCAGGCGCTGTTGCAAAGCCTGCAATATTTGCGGGCGGCGGTGGCACGTCGCGCGGATCAGGTAATTCTGCCGCGTTTGCAAGCCGAACGCGCAGAACTCTTGCAGCAACTCCAGAAACAAATTGCTTCCGTCTTCCGTGCTGCTGTCCTCCAACAGCGTGAAGGGGAGCGGGCGCAGAATACACGTTTCCAGTAAAAAATCGTCCACATTCGCCAGGCTCCGGCCGCCGAAGCGGGACTGCTGAATCCTGCGACAACTGCCCAACACCTTCGCAACCTTGTCGCAGTCGGTGCGCCACGGCGACTTCGGCGCCGCTTTGATCGAGAGCAACACCCGATCACATAAGCCGTGAATCATATCCAGCAGATCGTGGGTCTGGAGAGTGCTGGAGAAGGCGCTGTACAACTCTCGGTCTTCCTCTCGTGCGCTTGGACCACTCGTTGCCAAAAGGTGCTCTCCACGACGTCGAGCTGATTCTTCCTGCTCGCTGTTGACCAGGAAAACACCCGTTCCGTTGGTCAACACGTCAGCGAGGATCTCGAGCAACACGATGGCGTCGTCCACGGGAAGTTTGTCGAGACTACCGGAACTCGCTTCTAGCAACCAGGGCAAGTGCTCCCTCGGGTAGTATTCCAAGTTCAGCGTCACGGCTTGCAGAATGTCGATCACATTGGACCGGTACAAGTATCCTGTGTACAAAAATAGTACGTCCCCAACAGTTCTCCCCAGACTTCTCCATGACGAGATAAAGCGCGGCTTTCTAACGGATACGAGAACTATCTGGGGATTTATTGTCGTGCTCACATCAACATGTTGTAGAAGCAGCCGATTTGTGACGCGACTGCACGAGGTAATCTTAACCTCGACTTCTACTACACTAGAGCCAAAAGGTGTCATCATGCGCAACAGTCAGGACGACTTGCTGTTTTGTGTATCTACTTTCCATCTTCTTGGCCATGGATCATTGGGGACGTTTTCTAGTTGTACACACTGGATAACAAGAGATGTCTCTTCTCCCTCACCTCTACGAGCAGCCGGTCGAAAGTTCGCCGGTGCGTGGCGTTGGCGTTTCTCGCCGGCACAGAAGAAGTGGTCTTCTTGATGATCCCGTTGTTGGCCGCGGCCGTCGCAGTTCTGCTATGCTCGTTCGTCAATTCATCGCGTTCGTGGTGGTCAGCTCCAGAATCAACATGATCCGACAGTCTACTTGCCGCCGTACCGCCCCCGGCAGTGCAGGTCGCGGACAGCCCGCACAGCACCCGGGTGAGCTGCATCGGCGAGAAGGTAGGCGCTAGCAGGAACGCTTGTTTGGAAAGCTTCTTCATCAAGGTCCTAAACAGCATGGCTTGCTCTAGGGTAGTAGTTGTACCGCTCGTCATCGCAGGAGCTGCGCCAGGGTCCTCGTTTGCTTTCATCATCATCTTCGTCGTCCCGGTCAGAGAAGTAGAAGCTGCCATAACTTCGCTGTCAAAAGAGGAGAACGCTAGCACCAGAGCCGCGATATCGTGCGCGTTCATGTGCGAGACCTTCTGTTCGAGAAAATGCGCCACGTCCTGCAGAAAAGCAGTGTCGACGATTCGGGCGTGTGCAAAGCCCCACACGACGGCGCAGAGGTCCTTCGTCTCAAAATCGAGCAAGAACGAACGGATCGCCGGCGCAAGCGTAAATTTGTATAAGTCCTCCTCCGCCTCCCCCATCTTCGACAATGCGTACACAAACTGGACCAAAACTTTCGGACTGGTTTGCGCGATGTCGCGCTCCAGCCGCAGCTTCGTTTTTTGAAAAAACTGCTTCACGCTGGCCGGAGGTGTTGCAATTCTTGACGATGCTCTTGATGTTGCTGTGCCGACAGCTTTACTGGCGGTGGATGAAGTTGTAGTAAAGTACTGCGAAAAGCTCCAGCTGAGTGAGCCGAGCTGGGCTAAGTCAAACGCCTCCATGGTTTCCACCGCTTTTTCCGCCAGCCGCCCCATCATCTCGCTGTTGCGGTTTGATGGTGGACTCATTTTTGCAACTGCAGTGGTGGTGGTGGCGCCACTAAGATGCAGTTCCTGCAGCTGGTGGTCAACAGGACGACCGCTGGTAGAACAATCTCCACGTACTAGTTCCTCGTCAGCTCCTGCACTATTGTTCGTCGCGATCCTGCAAAGTCCGGTGGCCACCCCGACGATCTCCATGGGCGTCGAGAAAGACGGCAGAATCGCTTCCGTCTGCAGCAAGCAAGCCTGTTTCAGCGCCCTACCCTCGCTGCTGGCGTAGAGCGCCGGGGACTTGCCCAGCGAATACAAACACGCGGAGAGCTGCTGCGGCTCGAAGCAGTCCGCAACCCTCTCCGCCTGCCGCAGCAGCTGCGGCATCCAGGTGGGGACAAACTTCAACTTCGCCAGCGCATACAGCACGTTCGCTGTTCCGCGGGCAGTGAACTCCGGAATTTTCAAAGCGACCAAATCCAACAAGGTCTGAAAGCCCGGCTGCGCGAGCAAACGGGTGCGGGTGTAGCCGTTCTTGCTCCCGCTGTTGGCGCTCAACTTCGCGATGCGGTGCAGAGCCGTGCAAAGATTGATCGCGTCGAGGCAAGTGGCAGTTTGGAGACAGCTGGTGGACGTCGTGGTGGTCAAAGATGTAGTCGACGCACCACCAGAATAAACGACAGCACCATCAACTACGGTGGTACTATTGCTGCTTGCCGTCCTCGTGGTCCCAGTTCTGGAGGTTGTCGTCCCACTGGCCCGACTCGACGAGGTGGATGATGATGAACTACCTCCAGCACCTTGGTCCGCGACGTGCTTCTCCGCTCCTGCACCACCGCCCGCACCGACAAGCAACTGCTTTTTCTCGAAGGAGCTATGAGCCGCGCGCACCACGCTGAGAATCTGCAAAACCGTTTTTGCCTTCGTCAAGTCCTCATTGTACCCTATCTGATCCGGCCTCATATTGAGCAAATGCGCCTGCTCCTCTTGCAACTGCAGCTCCACAAGGTCGTTGCTGGTGCGGAGTTTTGGGTTCACGGGCTTTTTGTCCGGTTCGCGCTCCGGTGGCGCCTGGATCGTGGCATTGGACGGGGTGATCACCGGCGCTTGTTCTGGTATAGTAGCTTTCGTCAGTTCTTGCGAAGAAGCACTATGATCCTCCACGCCGTCAGCACGACCAAAATAATGTTCCTCGGAGGACATGTAGTCAGAAACCGGGTCACTGCATCGTCCGGAAGATGTTCCATCACGACCTCCGGAAGATAACTGGTCCCAGAGACGGTCAACGTCAGTGGCCTTGTTATCCTCCTCGTGAAGTAGGAGACGCGTTCTCTTTGTCTCCTCATCTCGAGGGTTTGTCTTCAAGTCTGTTGCATCGCCGAAGACCAAATCCACTACTCTCGATCTGGATGAGGAGGAGGACTGCGGGTTTCCGCGGGCTCCCTCGAAGAAATCTTCCTCAACCACGCCGGCCCTTTGGTATACGTCTGCTGAGTTATCGAGCACACCAACATCCGCCTGTCCACTATGCCCGTCCTGAGAAGGTGCTCGTTCAACATGATCTTCAGCTGATGTCCCGTCCAACGTAGACGAGAATGCTGTAGCCGCTTCTGCATCTGTTCCTGCGTGTCCTGCAGTATGTGGCACGATCGGACGACAGGCATCGTCGACATCGAGCTTTTCAATATCCGTCTTAACAGTACAACTTCTTTCGCCATCAAGACGGTCTTGCCCTGGACGAGGACCCGCAGCACGGCCAGCACTACACCTCTTTTCATCCTCGTTCGTTGGCTCCTTTCGATATGTTTTCGTGTACATTGGCGCGTTCTCGTCGTCCCCGTCCTGGGTTTGCTTGCTTTGGTGCCAGTGCGGGGGCCGCGCTGCGGTGCGTTTCTTTTTCCGCCGCATCAGCTGCTCGTCTGGCGGCCGGATCGCGTCCCAGAACGGACTCTGTGCCGGCAGTTTCCAGGAAACCTTGCTAGTACCCGCAGTGGACGAGCCCAGGCTCTTGGAGCTCGGCTTCAGCAGCATGCGAACGTTGGTGGGCATGGTGTCTTCCGATACTGTGACGCGTTGGCGCGTCGGTACGACGGAGAAGGGCGAACTGTCGAGAACAGATTGAGGATCTTCTTCGATAGTACGGGGGACGGACAGTAGACCCAGAATCTGAACCAACCAAAAACAAATGCGAGAAACGATCTTGATCGATACAGGAGCGCCTCCGATCAGCACCTCCGATCGATGTTGAGACCCAAAGAAGATGTAAGCAAACGGATCGAGCATCGATCCCGACCAGGGTCGTTCTGACCCGGAGTGAACGGGAAGGCAAATTAGTTCGTCAAAGTCATCGCGGAGAACACGACTGGTGGCGCGGGCTTCCACTTGCACCCTCTCGCGCAAATTATCAAGCAGAAACCTTGCGGGTAAACTGCAAGGGCAGCCCGCATGATGTTCTCTTCAAACGGAATTGTGAAGTGTTTTTAGCTGTACAGATGCAACTCTAGTATTTTTAAAGGCCTTCTGTCCGCGCGTGAAACGTTCTTCGAGGGGTTATTGTTGGCACGCTTTCTTTTCTTCTTTATTATTGGATCGCTTTTCTTCTGAAAACCTCGGGGATACCGAAATCGATGGTGCTTGACGAATTCGGGAGACTAAACGAGATTCACTAGTCGCTGCTAATGGGTCGAAAATTTTTCTTCACTAGTCGATGTTAATGAAAGAATTAAAGGAATCAAAGTGGGAATGAGAAAAATGTCAAAAACAACAAGTTCAAAGTTCTTCAATTCACGGGGAGGGAAACAAAAAGTACAGGGATTACTTCTGGGTCAATCTATTATGCTGAGATAAAAAATGCGAGTCAGAATTATGTATAAACAGTCAGAACAAAAAAAAATGCTGCGCGTGCGCCTCATCGCTGTCATAAGATTCTCAGGTATTAGAGACGAGTAGAGGGTAGTTAGATGAGCCGAAATTTATTTGCCAGACGTCGGCGCCGCTCTTCTCCTCCTGCTCCTGTTATGAAAAACTTCGTCGGACCGAGAGAACTTTACTCTTCGTCGCTAGAGGACGGTTGACCCTCCGCGCTGCTTTCTTCGGAATACGGAGCCGAAGATTCCTGGTCGGATGAGACCTCCTCCTCCTCGCTGCCGCTCTCCACATACGCAATCTCGACGACGTGCGACTCGGAGTTATTCTCCCGAGGACGGTGGTGGTATAGACGGTCCTCCGCCCAGGAGCTCTGCGCCTGTTCTTCCTCTCCTCCTGCCAGCTCGCCGTAGTAAAACAGACTCTGCTCCCCCTCGCCACTCTGCGGCTTGTTCTGCGACCGAATGTCGGTCGTGCCCTCGCTGAGTAAGGAATTCAAGGACATATTCGGATTTTCGATTTTTATGGTATGCCCGTCCTCACCAACTTTCCGGTAAAAGTTCCCCAGAACCAGGCTCCCTTGCGAATTGGCGTTGAAAATCCCGGTTTTCTCCTTCGGCCCGCCGGCGTTTTTTTGGTGCTTTATTTCCGTTTTCCTGTTTTGTTGCTGTTGGTCCGAATAATTTTCATCCGTTTTGATGTTCTGGCTCCGGTTCTGTGATTTGTTCGCAACCTGCTCGGTCAGTCGTCCGGCGCTGGTGTTTGCGGCCGCGAGCGCCATTCCGGCGCCCGCACTCGGACCGCTCAGCCGGCCCACGACCGGCGCACCCATTGAAGACATTGTGGCGCCACTGTTATTTCCTCCAAGCGCCATTCCCGCGCTGGCCCTCGGCCCCGTCGGCCGGCCCACCGGCGGCGCAACAGTTGGCTTTGTCTGCTTCGCGCATGGGGATGCACGCCCCTGCTCCTCCTCGATCTTGGTCATCTTTCGGCTCTTGTTCCCGGCGTCTGACGTCTTCATCGTATCGCTCATGTTGAAGGGCGAACTGGCATAGGGTTTGTCGGTCTTCCGTCCCAGTGAGCTTAGCGCCGACGTCCCGATGGCCGCCGCGCCCGACCCTTGTCCTGCGCCCGCGCTGGGCCCCGTCGGCCGCTCCACCATCGGCGCACCGGTTGGCAGTATCGTGTGATGTTTCGAAGAGGAAGACGCAGCTGCAGCTCTATGATCCTGTTGCTGCTCCTGTGTAGTCTGCTTCTCTTCGCGTTTCGACATCTTCGAGCGGATCTTCGAGTCCGAAGCCGCCATCATGTCGTTGAACGGCGAACTTGCGTAGGGCTTGTCGGTCTTGCGTCCCAGTGAGCTCACCGCCGAAGTCCCGATCATGGGTGCTGCGTCCGCCGGGCCTTGTCCGGGGGGAGAGGACAAGTTCAAGTTCTGCTGCTCCGTCCGGTTTTGATGTTGGGTCGTCCCGATGGCTGCTGCTGCTGCTGCGTCCGGGGCCGAGCCTACGTGTCCGGACGCGGACAGGGGTCGCACCTTTTCCGGCTTCACGGTCTCCTCCTTAATGAAAAAAAAATCGTCATCCCCAAAGCCCGGAAGCGCGCTCTCCAGCCGGATCGGGTGACCCTTGGCGGACACGTGGGTGTGGTCCTGGTGCCGCTCCTTCGTGTGCGTCTTGTGTTGGTGGAGCCACTATCAAGCTGAAAAATATGTTTACTTACCCCTACTTAATCGTGACAAAAACCAGTACCAGTTTGCATCAATCTACACGCAACAACATTCATCTCATCCACATGGGGTTGATGTAGACCACCACCATCGCTTCTCTCTACTAAACATGAAGGGAAAAATCATGCGAGAACGGGCCGCGTTATTTTTGGTATAATTGTTTGTATTCGGATGAATGTTGTACACTCGTATTTAAAAAAAAGCGAAGAAGAGATAACAAGTAGGGGCAGTGTTATAAAAATATTTTCATTTTGATAGGCGCTGCGCATCGGTTTCATGGGCGTCGTGGTCGTGGTGCGGGGTCATCTTGAAGGAGGCCGCCCCGCCGGTGCCCAGCCCGAACGCATGCGACCCCGGGCGGGAGAGCACGATCTTCGGCCGCACCTTTCGCCGGCGTCCCCCCTCGTCGTCCGTCTCCATGGAGGAGTCCGAGCCGGAAGACTTGGACATCATGCTCTTCCAGTCCATCCGCCCGTCCGGCCGCGCGGGCTTCTCGTTCTGCGGGGTCCCCGATTTCAGCAGGTGCTGTCCGAAGGACACCGGCCCCGAAAGCATGTCTTTCTCCGCCGGTTTTGCCGATTTCAGAAGCAAGCTCTGCCCCGACTGCGCCCCACTCAAGTCTGTGCCGGGCGGGTAGGACAGCAGCACGCTCTCCAGCGGCGGCTGCTGCATGGACTGCAGGGCGCCCTTGCCCACGGGAAACATCCCGCTGGAGGCACCAGCGCCGGGATCTGCCGCTGGCACCGCTTTCATCACAAAGCTGAGGTCCGCAGCCAGGGCTTTCTCCAGGTCGCCCTCCGGATCGAACCCCGTACCGGGTGCGGGCGTCGGGACGCTCATCATGCCCCCGGAGGGGTCTCCGGAGGCGGTGGAGGGGAGGTAGCTCACCACGTAGTCCTGCGAACGCACACTCTCGTTGCGCGCGCTCTTCTTCGACCGCCGGTCCGCACCGCCGGACCGCGGGGGCTCAAATACCGCACTGCTGGGTGTACTTCCTTGAAGATCTGACGCACGACGTGCCGATCTTTTCCGGTTTTGTTCTGGGTCGCCGACGGAAGACAGTGCGGACAACGTCAAAAACTCCCCCGACGTTGAACCAGTCGCAGGTTGGTAGCCGGCGTTCGTCACATCGAGGTTTTTCTCGACACCCATAAACGGAACCACCGCGGCGGATCCGAGATTGCCATTGCTGCCGCTTGCCAGGTTGCTGTTGGCGCGCGCCAGATCGCTTTTGGTGCGCGCCAGGGTTTCGAAGGTGCCTTTGCTCTTGCCCGCCAGCAGCGAGAACAGGCCGCGCTTCGTGTCCCCCGGCGCCCCGTCTGCCGGGAAAGCACCTTTCTGCGCGGAGTTGTACGGGGAGATGTGCGTGATCGACCGCGGTTCGAAGGCCCCCGCATCGTCGATCCCCGGCGCCGTCATGTACACAATGCCATCTGGGGCTTGCATCAGGTCTTCTGCTCCCGGTCCATCTTCGTCAAGAGCGGCCTCCTCGTCGCCCAGAGCAACATCTTCGACATCCGTCACCTCCTCCTCCTCCAGCGGAGCCTCCTCATCTCCCACGAAACCCGCGGCCAAAAGCGCTTGCTGGTACGAGCTCCTCTGGTGCCCTCCATACAAGTTGTCACCATCTTCATCTGCTCCCGCTGTGTAGTCGTAGCCGGCCCCCATGGGATGGCTGTGGCTCACCCGCTGCCCTTTCAAGATTCCTTGGAACATCTTCTGGTCCTGCTGCGCTTTCAACTTCCTCTTCTTCACGCGCCCAGCCAGGCTCTGCTGCTCCATGATCTCCGTCACATTCCACCATTTATTCTTCTCGCCAAACGCGAAAATCAGTGTCGCAAGAAGGCACAAATCGATGCTATCAAGCTGAAAAGTGCAGCCCCGCCCCCAGGAAGTAGAAAGTGTCTGTATTGCAATAAAGGTTTGTTGTTCCACGTGGAAATTATACCATGCTGTCCTGCTAATCCAACCACAAACGCAATGGCAATCAATTGTCGTGCATGACCTCTTAGCAGCTCGGTGAGTCCGTCGAGTTATGCACGTTTAGTGCCACCACGGACGTCGCTATCTAAATTTGGCTCAACAACAAGAATTTGATTATTGTTGATCATGTTGATGCATCAAGGTGGTATTAATCTTTTAAGTGTTCCCATTGAGTGGCCGACGTAGTTCTGCCATGCAAACACTTCTTCCCCCTTCTGGGGCCGGCTGCACATCAACTTTTGATAGACGCAGGGGATGAACCAGGCGACGAGCAGGAACCTGCGCTCCAACCCCACCGCCGTGTCGCCGTGCAGACAGAGGACCAGGTGGGAGGCCGTGCGGTAGGCAACGAAGAGGAGCGAGGCCCAGAGCAGCGGCCGGTTTCGCCCCATCAGTGCCATGAACAGGTGCCAGATGGCGAGCATCAGCGTCGCAACGCCGGCGTAGAGGAACACGTACTCGAGCTTGCCCTCGCTGTGCAACTTTTCGTGGTTGTCCCGCGTGTCCTATCAACTGTAAAAATGTCTGGGTCTGGGAGATTCTGACACTTGTCATGCACGTTTTGCATGAGCCATGATGTCTGTGATGCATACCCTAGCAATACAGATCTTTTGAAGGCTTCTTGATGCCTATTCCGCATGACAAATGCCTTCTCAACGTAGAAAAAATTGCATTCTGTTTGCTACTCATGCAATACAGATTTTTTTAGATTCCAAAAATAGCATCACAAGTTGCAATCTTCCAGACCCAGATATTTTTACATTTGATATGTCCAGATCCAGGACCGCGAACTCGTAGATCGCGCCGTCCGGCGCGATATCAACTGTAAAAATGTCTGGGTCTGGAAGATTTCCAGGTTTGTCATGCATATTTCGCATGGGCTATGATGCCTGTAATGTATGACCTAGCATGACAGATTTTTTGCGGGTATCTTGATGCCTATCCCGCATGACAAATGCCCTCTCCGCGGAGCAAAAACTGGACGCCTCTTGCTGCTCATGCAATACAGGTTTTCCTAGATTCCAAAAATTAAAATAGCATCACAAGTTGCATTCTTCCAGACCCAGACATTTTTGCAATCCATACGCGACCTGGCCCCATTGGCGCGTGGTGATGAAGGCGTCGAACGCACCGTAGTCCACGAAATGGAACATCGCCTGCAGAAACCAGTAGAACCCGAAGAACATCAGTTGCATGGTGACCCACTGCGAGAGCTGCAGGCGGTGCCCCTCCGCCGTCTTCGGTGTTTTCACGTACAGCAGCCCGCAGTACCCGAGGAAGGTGCCGAACAGGATCCCGCACAGCAGAAACTCCACCAGAATCGCCACCGCTTGTTGCGAGGGGCTGAAATACTCCGTCCACGTCACCTTTTCTTCCGTCGCGTCGTACAGAACCGGCGGCACCGTGGTCATCTCGGCGGACGTCGCGGTGGCCGAGATATTCTGGGCCAAAATGGTTGCGTGCAGCAGCGCTGCCAATTCCGCCGGGGTCACCAAAGATCCCTGCGCCAATGAAGGCGATAGCGCGTTCGCCACAGAAGTAGGGGCCGACATGGTAATCTTTTGGTGGTGGTGGTGTTGGGCAGATGCCGCCGCTTCTTGTATTTTTTCGTCGCCCGGATGTAGAGCAAACTAGCACGACACCTACTGGAACTTTTTGCACGAACAGAACAAACGGCCTGGAGCGCTCGTTTGATGACGAGTTCCTGACAGACTACAAGCTAGCTTAGCGTGGAGGACAAGGAACTCCAACACAACACGTCAAAAATAAGTGAGAACTTCGATAAGCAATTTGGCTTTCCTGGATAGTACTATGATATGATACAAACTACAAGTCAGGGGGACATCGAAATTGATAAATGAGTTCGAAATAATTTTTTACTGTACATGGGAAATACAACCGTTGCGCGAGGGGTCGCGAATTGTTACAACAACACGAAAAACGATCTCAGCTGCCACTGGAAAATTAGCCAGGACGAGAGAAAGTTATCGGGCTCCAATTGGATTATACCCTGTTGCTGTTCCTGTCGATATAAAATAAAGTCTTCACAATTTCAGAAGAAAGCCATGACGTGTGGAATTTCGTTGCTGAAACGTCTGTTGGACGGAACGAGCACGACATTTTTGTACGAGGAGAGGCAATACCGGAAATTCGATGTCCTCCAGAATGAACGATAACCGACCAGAAGCAGGTGAGTTGAGTTCAGCTGTCAAATATTGTCTTTCTACGGTCAGAAACGAAAGCAGCACCAAGTTAGCACTACAACACCGATGCATTTTATGTGTAGTCGTGTGAGGGCAAAACAAGCGCAACCGACGAAATGCAGGTGTTGAAACCGAGACTCTACGAAGGTATGGGACACGAAACGAGCAACACATGCGTGCGTTCATTTTTTTTGTGTCACATGACGCCAAATAAAAGGACGACTGCGTCTCGAAGGACGCAACTACGACTCTGCTACGTCCGACCGCACTTCTTTCACGCGTTTTCGCGAATCAAAATCATCGTCGAAGAAAAAAAATTCTTCTTTACGAGTGACCGTGAGCCGACCGAAAACGAATCCAATGGCGCAAGAGGACGCGCATCCGGCGGGCGCATTTTTCAGGAGCACACCTGCCAGAAAAAAAATAAAGACTACGGAGTGTGCGGCCCGATTTTCAAAATATCAAAACGAAGACCAACAGCTCGTAGGTGTATTCTGTCTACACGAAAAAAGAAAGGCAGAACATCGGTGTGTGTGGCAAAAAATATCGAAACTGCTCTTCTCGGCAGCTCGAAAAGCCAGAATGTCCTGCATAAGTGCGATCAAAATGTTTTTAGGAAACTTCCTAGGGAACATTTACTGAATATTTACTTATGTTGTTGGTTGTGCTTTATGTTATTATGAAATTGACATGGAACGGGAGGAGCTCCAGGGAAACTTCACAAAATGCTGCATCTACAAGCGTGACCGGTGTCTGAAAAGAAACCCATCAATCGCCCCAGGTCCGCGCGTAGAGAATAACAAGCAAATAGATGATTTACAACAAAAGAGTACAAAAATTCAAAGATATAGTTACACGGCGATTCATGCATCTTTGGAGATAGAAGTCGAGAGTTTTACGCGACTCAACTAGCTCGCGGTAGAAGATTCGCCTATCTTTTTACTTACATGATCAGTGCAACATCGCACTACCTGTACTTGCTCAACGTCGATGTCTAGTAGTAGGATGCGCATGCACCATTGAAATGCAAATGATGCGTAGTTTACTCATAAGCAATCAACTCGCCTACGTCACCGCGGAGTTGTAATAATGTAAAACAATAATGTGTTATGTAAAAGGCCCCGCCCCGTGCCTCATTGCCTGTGGCTGTTTCAGGTTCGTTGCAGCTTCGTCTTCGTCCTGTCGTCCTCTCTGGTGGCCGTCATCTGTTCACTGGAAAGGCCCGACGTAGCCGCGGCTGAAGTTCTGCTCCTGAATATCCTGAGGAAAAACGTCCCCACACCAGAGTTGTAATGCAGATTTGCAAAGACAGGAAGACTTGTAATGCGCATCCCCATGAGAGCCATTTCCAATCGTGTATTGGAATTTGTGATGCTGTGAACAGGATGAGCAGATGAATCTGTGATGCGGCTGCACTTGCTAACCTGCACTACACTGCGGAGTGCAACTTGTCATGCGTGACTCCCAAAACTCCAAGGTTTGTGTTGCAAAATCCCCATCCTGACTCTGGTGTGGGGATGTTTTTACTCAGGATACTGAAGGACGTCCGCACGCAGCTGGAAGGTACTACCGCTGCGCATCGTAGAAGGGACCTGCTGCGCCTTCGCCTTGCTGGTATCAAAAGGAAAAATCCCCCCTCCCCATAGTCAAATTAGAGATTTGTGATGCACATTTGTGGTCACAAATCAGCTTTGTCATGCTAGAAGGGAAAAGATGCGGACTGTAGTGCTGGTTGGCGTGGGAAGGCCTTGCATCTTCAGCATGACAGGGGGCAGCTGGAAGTGGGAAACAGCATGACAAATTGCCTGCAAACGAGAACACAGCTGCGTCTCTTGGCCTTCTAGCATTACAAGTCGATTTGTGTACTCAAATACAGCATCACAAATTTCGTTTCCCATATGGGGAGGGGGGATTTTTCCTCTCAATAGCTGGCCTGCGGCGAATTGTTCGCATTCGGGGTCGCGGATCCCGATCCCCGGGCGGCGTCGTACAGCATGCGCGTCTCCCGGTAGAGGCGCTGGCCCCGCTCTGTCTTGCCCCCCACCGGCACGAAGACGCCCTGGAACCCGAGACTCGCACGCGCTTGCTTTACGCAGCTATATGGATTGTAAAAGTGCCTGGGTCTGGAAACTTGTGACGCTGGGTGGCGTCTCATGATGAGGCTCCAAATGCTGGCTCAGCATGACAAGTTTCTGAGCTCCTCGGTGTTGCCTATTCCGCATGACAAACTGCGCTTCTGCACCACAGAAAAACGGAGCTCTTGGGTAACGAGCATGACAGATTTAAGAGTCATGCCAGACAAGCATGACAAACATGAATTCTTCCAGACCCAGACATTTTTGCACTTGGTAAGCTAGACCACTTCACGATAATTTTCGCCTGCGGCTTCTTCATGGCCGCGGCCGAGGCCTTTTTGGACACCATATCCTGTGTAAAAACGTCCCCACCCCAGAGTTGTCATGCAAATGTGCAATGACAGGAAGATTTGTAATGCGCACTTCCATGAGAGGCATTTCCAGTCGTGTTTTGAAATTTGTAATGCTGTAAACAGGACGAGAAAATGGCTTTTTCATGCGGTTTTCCTTGCCAGCCAGTACTACACTGCAGATGGAAACTTGTCATGTCTAAAACTTGGGGATTTGTGTTGCAGACTTCCCATCTTGACTATGGTGTGGGGACGTTTTTACATAGGATACACCACCTTTCCCCGCTATCCTCTTGAAAAGCTGCCCTAAGCACCCCGGAAAGGGCACGGGTTTGCGTTTGCGATGCTCATGCTGCAAATAAGCTTCCCTATACATAGGGAAATACAAATAAGTATCTGCCTTGGTATGATATGCTGCGCTGGCGTGACAAATGTAGTAGCTTCATATATGCAATGGAAATAGAATACAAACTGTTCGGTCTTTTGAGAATAGGGCACTTTTCATTTTGATACCCGCTTGTTTACCTTCAGGTCCGCCTTGGTAAGGCCTCCCGTGGTTTTTGGTCGCTTTCCCTTGTACACTAGCGTCTTGCTCTATGAGAGTGCAAAACTTCGCCTCCCCCTCATTTGAAGGGCGTCACCAGCAAGAAAAGCATTAACACTAGCGAAACTGGAGTTGCACGAGAAATTTCAATTCATGCGCCGCATGCATGATTTGCGTTTTTGCAAGACACATGAGGGGGAGGGGGGGCGTGTGCACTCTGATATGCTCTTGGTGGGTTTCTCCTTCGCGGACTTCTTTTTCATCGTTTTCATTTTCATTGCCATCTTCTTCTTGGTGGTCTTCATCTTCATCTGCCATCCTGTCAAAAAAACGTACCCACCCCCGAGGTGTCATGTACTAGATTTGCATCTGCGAGGCTTTCTAGTCGTAGTCGTGTTTTGGAATCATTTGTACATACTGCACTAGGGATGTTGGCAGATGGCTCTGTAAAAGTGCGGCTTTCCTTGCTATGCAGAACCACACTACAGATAGAAACTTGCCAAATATGTTGAGCAGGACTCCCAAACGAAGAACTTTTGGACTCGTGTTTCCTCAGAGTTCCAACTCATTGACTGTGGGGTAAGCACTGTGGGTATCAATTTTTACTCAGCATATCTGCACCATCTTCTTCTTCGCGGCGGACATTTTCTTCATCGGAGCCATCTTCATCTTCTTTTTTTTCCCACCGGCTTTCATGGCCTTTGTCGCGGCCGCGGCCTTCTTCATTCCCTTCTTCTTCGAGGAAGTTGTACCAGAACCAGTCGAGCCGGCATTTTTCGCCCCGGCCGCTGCCGACGTGGTCTGCGACAACGCGTAGACACCGTAATTGTAGTATTGATCCCAGTATCAAATGTAAAAATGTCTGGGTCTGGAAGCGTGCATGTTTGTCATGCTTGTCTGGCATGACTCTCAAATCTGTCATGCACGTTACCTAAGAGCGCCATTTTTCTGTCATGCAGAAACGCAGTTTGTCATGCAGAATAAGCAACACCTAGAAGCTCAGAAACTTGTCATGCTGAGCCAGCACTTGTGGCCTCCTCATGATACGCCACCCAGCATCACAAGTTTCCAGACCCAGACATTTTTGCATTTCATACCCAGTCCTTCTTGGTGTAATCACTCCAGTCTTTGTAGCCCTTCTTCTTCCATTTTTCATCCATCACGCCGACGGACGTCGAGGTGAAGCCGCGACTCCCCTCGTCGCCCATCTCCTCCTCATGCAGTTCGTCGCTTGCGGAACTCATTTCTTCCGCAAGAAAAACAATGCTGTGTGGAGGCGCTTCTAATTACGGTGCTGGTCGTTGATTAATGTAATTACGTAAATTTGTTATTCGAAAGTAGAAATTTTACGATGGTATTCAAGTATCAAGTGCTCCTCACGGACGAGTCCGATAGTAACAGCGCCAGTGAGCAATCGAAATAATCGAAAGGTGGTGAATATTACACCCTGGTCTACTCTTAACTTATCCCAGCCAACAGGTGTCAGGAAGGTGATGATGACAGAATATTATGTCGAAATGAATGTCGAAAATTATTACTACGGGAGTAGGAGGTCGCGTTTCATAATCATCCTGCGAGCATGATTGTCATTACAGTGCGTCGTGGCCACCACATCAGTAAGGCGAAGGCGGTCCTTGAATGTGATCTTTATTCCGAAACAGACAGAGGACACTCGTTGCACCGACCGATTCACCGTTGATTCGCACATAGACTACCGATCAGCAGAGTGAGCATGTGTTGGAGCAGCTGGGGCTGTTTAAAAGTACTTTATGCAAATAGTCACCGAATACGCGGACACGGAGGTACTATAATGCGGTCCGTTTTGTTTTTCAAACAACAGAAAATAACAAGTGAACCTCCAGTAACGCTCTGAATTGTAGAACATCTGTCTCCATGAGAACCAAGGTCTCGGCAGCAACAAGAAGAAACCAAGCACGGCTTCTCAAAAATAAACGCGTGCTTAGCTGCCTGCACGTGTATTTGTTTCTGTGAGAGCAGAAAGCGAAGTGAAACAGCAACAGTCAGTCAATCAATCCGATCACGTTTTTGGGAGGGTCAACGCGAGCAGGTTCTGCGCCTTTGCTCACAGCGCTGTCTTCATAAGTTTTGCAGAAGAGGGTAGTTCAAGCCTACAAAGATGCTGCAAGACAAAGTATAAAAATCTAAATAAGCGAAGTAAAAATCTGTATATTCTCTAAAACAATTTTTCTCTCTGGAGGTTCATAGTTTCAGGACCTGTGATTTTCTACTTAAAAAGTACTTAAAAGAGGGACAAAAATGAGTCTGGATGCATTAACAGTGAACTTTAAAGTCGCAACTTTCCGCAAACTTGATTGAAGTTGGTTTTGTTGAAGTTGGAAATAAAACGAAAGTAAGATATCAAATTTTGAAACGATATAACAGTATGTTTGCAGTGCGTCAAGTGAATAAAGAGACAGTTATGCTTTAAAAAACTTCACTCCTTGCTGGAAGCCGTTTTCATCTTGATGTTTTCTGACTTTTTCGTTTTTCCGGACTTTTTCGCCTTCGTCCTCGAACCCGAAGATTCTGCGGAGGAAAGAGAAAGTTCTCCTCCCGCCGCCTGCCGTATTTTCTTCTTTATCCGCTTCTTCTTTTCCAAAGCGGTTTCTACTGGAGCTGCAGGGTCGTCCTCATACGCCGCCATGCCATCACTTATCAACGACCCTCCACTCTGCAACCCGGACTGCATCATACAGGACTGCAACACACTGATCGACCCGCCTGCCTGCTTGTCGTGCTCGAAGGCGGCGAAGGAGGTGGGAGAGAGTGATTTCACAAAGGCTTCCGGCTTGCAAGAAATCAGCTCCGTCGCTAAATCGCGTAGATTTTCTATCTTCACCTTCTTCTTCCCCGCGACCTTCTGGAAACCTTGTGTCGCAACGAGTTTCTCCGACTCGCCGAGTTTTATTCTCTCCCCCCCGGAGACGTCCGTCGCCACCAACTGCTTCGCGATCTTTTTCGCGGTCGCCAATTGGAACCCGATGGATTGTAGAGCTTGCAACGCTTCCGATTCGAACGCCTGGTGGACTCGGTCGGCGGACCGAGAAGCGGGCTGTTGCTGCACCACGGCCGCGCTATTGGGAGCTGAGGCGGTAGCCGAAACGTCCTCGAACATTCCGTCATACATGCCACTTGTAACTGCAGTCTCCGCTTCGCCAGGCGCTGCGATGCTGGCAACTCCCTCCTTCTCTACGGACGCGAGTTTTGCACCGGTCTGCTTCTTTTTCAGATCTTTTTTCTTCTTGGGCCGCCGTGGGCTCGAGGACCCTGAGGACGCCGTCACGCTTGTCCCTGTGCCTGAAACACTTTTTCCCAATAATTCGGCACTGGTTTTTTTCTTCTTCGAAACTTTTTTCGGTTTCTGCTTCCCACTGTCCTCATCTTCTTTGAGGGTGTCCGTTGTCCCAGAGAAGATGCCATGCGTTGGTGCTTTGAGGGTGTCCCACAGAAGATGCTTTGAGGGTGTCCGTTGCACTGCGTTGGTGTTCGCACCATCGGCGGGCGGAACGGCCCCGGGATCGATTTCTGCAATACCGCCTTGTTCCACCGCTCCCTGTGATTCCGATCGCCGAGACTCTTGTCCTGCTTGCAACGAAGGCGGAACGCTTCGATTGTCTGCTGCCGCCGCACGCCTCTCAAATTTCTTTTTCGCCGGCAACAGCGTTTGGAAGCCCGCCAACGGGCTTGCCACCTCGGTACTGCCAAAGTCCGCCCCAGGGTCAGTGAGGAGCGTCCGCAGGTCAAACACCATGGCGGACTTGCGCTTCTTTTCCGACTTGCCAGAGGTAGCGGACTGGAAGCCTTGCACCCAGGTGGCCTGTAGAGGCGCCTCACCGTCGTCGGGTAGAACGATGACAGGAGTGGCCATAAGCACTTGCACAGCCGTCTCATCCTCCGGAGAAGTGCGGCAAACGTCCTGCCACTCCTGCTGTCCCTGCAGCTCTGCGAGCACGGCCGCCAGATCCTCCTTACTGATAGCCAAAAACTTCGCGTCGCCGGCCATGCCAAAGCCAGCCACGGCGCTGGCCTTCTCAAAATTCCCCTGCGCGGCTTGCACCAGTCTGCTGGCCACGAGGTCCGCCGCGGGCTCGGAAAAACCCGCATTCTTTTGCAGCCGGACCCTGGCCTCCTGGAACAGTTGTTCGACCGCTAGTGCCCTCTGCGCCTCTTCCTCGTACGTTCTCGACATCTGCTTCTCTGCGGAGTCCTCCACGCCCAAGTCAATTGACCTCTCCCGCCTCTGCGTCTCGGCCAGATTCTGCAGGAACCCGCGCAGACGACCGACGGCCTCCACCCCCGAGCCGTCGTCCGCTCCATCCGACGGATCCTGAAACAGGCCGAGTTTGCGCATGATCTCCAGATCGGGCCCGTCCTCAGGTCGGGCCAGCTCCTGGTAGTCGCTGATCCGCTGGTCACAGATCTGCATCGCGAGCCGCTTTGCGAACGCCGGGGTCAGGCCGGCCGCCTGGAAAGCCGTCTCCGCCTCGCCAAAATCAAAACTCGCAGCAGCATCCTGCTCCGCCGTGAGGTCTGGCGCCACGTGAAGAGCAGGCTCGGGCTCTCGTTCCTTTACTACACTCGGTTTATTTTTTGAATCCGCCGGATCAAAGCCTTCACGATCCGCTTGCGCTTGTTCTGTCATGATTTCCTGGGAAGATGAGCTGCTACAAAAGCAGCACGACAGTAGGATAATCAAACCCAGAACGAGGCCGACGACGGTTGCCACAATTACCGGCACGGTCCATGATGCATCAGCATCTCCGCTGGTTGTGCCACCATCCCCCTCGCCAGTGCCGTTCGTGAAAATGATCTCCGCTGGGGCTTCCGCCAAGGCGGCTGCTCCGCCCAGAGGCACGCCAGGAGTCGCTGTGCCATTATTGCCGTCCCCGTCATCCGTGGCGTTGGTAGTCGTGCCGCCCTCTCCAGCTCCAGTGTGGTTTTTTACAGAGTCCTCTGATATCACGGCTTCTGGTACTGTGTCGTTGGTGTGGTTTTCTACAGAGTCCTCTGATACCACGGCTTCATCCCCTGGCACTGTGTCGTTGGACGGCGTGGCTGCCACATCGCACCCGACCAATGTAACCGTCATCTGCGTCTCTGGTGGGCAGTAGAATCGGGGCGGGTTGGCTTGCGCGTAATCGTCACTGCACTCAACAAGGATTCCGCTGACAGTGACCGTCTGGCTCTCCGCAAGGGTCGTGGCGGTGGTAGCTTGCATTATTTCGGTCATATGTGACCCTAGGTTGATCCTTTTTTGGTCCGCGTCGCTCAGGAAATGCACGCAGGGACTGCTTGTGGGCGGCCAAGCCTCGGGCGTACCCGTAGTGCCTCCCGGCGTACACTCGTAAACGAGTTGCGGATACAAACCTCCCTGAGGATCGTTGCTCCCGATCTCCTCCACACCTTGCGGCACATCGCAGCTTTGGTTGTCACTCCGGGAAAACATATGACACTCAGAGTAGTTCTGCGTATCATCGGGCAGGTGGATCACAAAAAAATTGCACGTCATCTCCAAATTGCAAGAAAGTCGACACGTCTCTACCAGATCTTGATACGAAGCGTCAGAAAGGTCTCCGCCAGTTGAAGTGGACGTCGCCGTGAGTAACTCTGTTCGAAAGTAACAGGAGGTGGCATTTGACGCAAGCGAGCCAGATAGAGCCACGGTTTCCTCCGTACAAGTACTCGGTCCACACCAATCAACCGGTTCGAACGCCTCCGTTCGGTTCAGTAACTTGCTTCCGGCGCACCCCCCCGCTTCACCGGTCGCGGACACTGGTGTAGTCCCAGTCGCGCCGCCCGGTCCAGTGCCACCGTTTACAGCGTCGTCTGTCGATGCCGTTTCTTCCCAAAACGAGGTAGTTTTACCACGACACCCATAGACATTCATCACATAGTCTATCACGTTGAAAACCTCTTTTCCCCTCGAAGTCGAGAGTGATCAGACTCGCACTTGCGACGAAACGATCGTTCGTCCGCGTGGAGAAACGACGCAACTTCTTCAAGAAGCTTCCTCTTGCCTCTTTGGTGCATGTAGCTCTCTGTCTTCTTCACAGGTACAGCGCATGACTATGACAGATAATGTTGTACAAAACCTTATTGAGATTTACAGATGGATGCCGTTGCCGATCCGCAGAAGCACAGGAGAGCTCACTTATACATCTGTTGCAAATATTTCTTGCTGGGCTGCGATGACTCTCGGAGCGCAGAACCAACATCCTCTTTCCCCTCACTTGTGAATGCAAAACAGCAAATACGGTTCCAGCCTTCGTGTATAGTAGCCAAGAGAACTATAGTACTTGCAGCAACTAGGGTCAAACCTGGAACCAAAGAAGGCTCAAAGAAGGCTACTTGCTTTGTTTCTGAAATCTGCATGCTACTGTGGTGCAGACTAGGCTCAAATCTGGGCAAAGAAGGATCAAATCTCTAGAGATGACCTTATTTTTTCTAATTTTTTTTGGCGAATCACCACGCTACTGCGAAAAAAGATTGATAACGATTAGGGCGAGCGCCTCTATAGCTCGAAAACCTGTAGAGCTCAATCTCTAGAGCTGAATCTCTACAGCTGTTTGGTGATGCTCTAGAGCCAAAGCTCTACAGCTTCCGCCTATAGCGAGCATCTACAGCTCGACAGCCAAAAGCCTTTTTTTATCGTTTTTGACACTGAGCAACCGCAGCTACCCGGGCGATCTGCTGCCCCTGATGCTTGCCTAGGAAACCGAGCACAGAAACAACGAACCAACCGCAATGGGGCTGTGGCTAACACATCAGAAACAGCCAGCCGCATGGCTGTTGCCTCCATGCTTTGAGGTGTGGCCGCCGGCGCCGAGAGTAAAACTCAAAAACACCCCTGGCAGGCGTGCCTCTTACTTAGATTTGTTGGGAGGCAACCGCCAGCAGTTGCGTGGTCCTGCTACTTGCTACAGGGTATCGGGCCAAGCCTCGCCGATGGGCAGCCCGGATGGAAAAGCATGCACACAACAAGCGCAAGACCAAACGCAAGAGAAACTCTCGGCGCACAGGGGGCGGCTTGATGCGAAGGCAACAGATGCCAGCCGCCACAGAGATTACATCCGTGCAGCGGCGCCGGCGCCTTCGGCAGGTTGCAGCGCTTTGGCCGGCCACCTGCTACGACGAGTACCAGCGCGGCGGCCAGGAGTCGCACCTAAAAAAAGAGCCTACCTGCGGACCCCAAGGGCTCGCGTTCTCGCCCTAGCTGCCTGCGCTTGCTGGGTAGCTGAAGTAGAAAGGGGGGACGCCGCCCGGCACGGGTCTGCTTTACATTTCCTAGAAGGTAGGAGGCACGGCTACCGTGCCGCGCACCAAGCGGAAGTGCGTGCCCTTATCTACCTCTACCTGACCCGGCTTTTGGCACTACAGAGGCCGGCCGGATCTGGCGCGCTAGGCGTTGGGCTGCAGTTGGTGGGCCGGTCGCTCTACTGGCCGCCATTTCTTATTCATTTTATGTTCCTGGCTACGCGTGCTCTTCCTTTTTGTTTTTGTACTTTGTTGCCATCAAGCTGTTTGCCATCATCGCGCGGCGTTAGTGCGTCGGCCGCCCTTCCGGGAACAGTCAGCCCCAGAGAAAGCACGCTCCAGCTCTTCAACCAAGCCTCTTCGAACTGTTTCTAGTTGCTGCAGTACTGCTTTTTCTATTGTTATGCGCAGATCCCCGCGCCGTTGTACCAACACGGCGGCGCGAGCCCCAAATACTTCTACTTCCAGCAGGAGCAAGCATGGTGACAAACTGGAGCACTCAGACAATACTCGTCCGCTTTGCACCTGCATTGGTCCTGCAAAAGCTCCACATCTGCCCTTCTGCGGCCGATACCATATCTGTATTTATACCCTGCCAATAACAGGCCGCGGAGATGTACAAAAACATCATGATACATATAACTAAAACGCTATTTGGTTTCCACGCAGCGGTCTTGAATCAATCTGGGTGGAAAATAGGTTTTTTTCGCACTGATATAATTCGCAGTTGTCGGGGCTTGATCCACTCCATACCGGATTCCCTCAACATCTTATGCGAGTACGCAACTTCCCCTCCCTCGTAGTTAGTGGCATGAGCCGCAGCAGAAACAACAGCAGAACCGTGGCTTCCGCATGACAAGTCCAGACACGAAAGCTAGTGCAGTTTGGAGTTCTGTAGCCTGTCACCACGCAAGCCAGGCCTGAAACGAAACGGCTGGCTATCGGTACGCGAACGCGATTGCCATTCTGCACGACAAATGACGAGAATGGGAAGTAGTTTCGCACTCTCATAAACCATCCGGTAACGGGCAGCTCACGGTGTCGTCCCGGGAGAACAAATGACACCCAACGTAGTCCCTTTCGGTACCATTCGTGGGCCCCAGCACGACCGGGAGGTGGATAAAGAACTTGCATTCCCGCCAGCTATTGCATTTCCTTTGACAATTTTCCGCGATATCTTTATAGTTCAATTCCCAAACCCATTGTTCTCCTATGGGCATGTTCTCTGGCGGTTCTGTTGTCAACTCCACTGTCAGAATCTCGCAAGGGGGATCGTCGATTACTTCTCCGACAGGAGACCACTCGCTTGACCCAGTTTCCGACATTTTCACACTAAGGTGAGAACAAACACCCCGCTCCGTCTCGCGACACCACACGAAGGGGTTAAACAGCTCCGCTTGGTGCAGTAAATACCTATCCTGGCAGTTGCCTGGCGGAAGCTCCTGGAGGGCCTGCGTCAGCTGCACCTCCGCTCGCTGGACGTTTGATACTCCTTTGCTCCTCCCTTCCCCGGGGGTGTGTGCGTCGTGGGCGTCAACATTCATCGCATTTCCGTCACCCATCAGTGCACTTGCTGAGAACGGGTCTTCCAGGAACAAGGGCCTTGTATTTTTATCATAGGAGGCGTGTTGTTGGTTCTTGTTCATCTTCCCCGCCTCGGAAGCACCCCTCTCTCCTTGGGGCGGCTCGTCCTCGTCGTGAGCAGGGTTTTTACTCCACACACGGTTCTTCCTAATTCCTTCCACTGCGACTTCCAGAGGCTCCTCTCCATTTCCGCGCAGCGACGACGAGGAACCCGGCCCGCTCAGGATGAAAGAAGTGGCGGCTGCTGGGTGCTGATTGCCACCCGACGACGAGCTCTTCGCTGTGGCTCTGCCGACCTCGAGAGCCGTGCGCGAGGAAGTCTCCTTCTGTTTGTAGGTCCTCGAGGACCTGGCACCTGAAGTCGGGGGAAGCACCTTCAACGACCGACGTGTAGTGCGCCCTCTTTGCAATGTCGCCACTCTCTTTTGTGTTCGTTTCTTGACCTTGCTAAACGACAACGAAAAGGCGCCAACGATGGTTGCGCATCTGCTGTAGTAGTTTTGGTAGTGCACCACTAAGAAAACAAAGAAATACGTCAGCGCTGCAAGGGAGGAATAAAGGCTGGACCCACTACTACGAGCGGTGATGCACGGCGCCAACATTTTTTCCCGTGTAAATAGGTATCAAAAAGCGGAACGCGTAAAAATCGATTGTGGACGTTCGCCTGCTGTACTGGTGTGCAACTAACTACAGCCGATCAAATTTATTATGTCTCTTTTCGCTTCTAGTTTCCTCGTAAAAAAAGTCGATGAGGGGAACTGCCAGAAGGTTTTTTGATAGATGTACTTAGCTAAACGCGTCAGAGCCTTTCCCCCGGTTGCTCTTCCTCTTCCGTGCATCAATACGAGGATAACGCTTGTCTATATGTATTAACGAGTGAAGATTACTTGTTCTGCAAACAACAAAGTGCATGGATAACATTCACATTTCAGAAACGCGTGAAAACAAAGAGCTCGGCTTCGGCACGCCACGGAGGAACGAGAACGCCAACGTGCGGGTGAACGATAGGTTTAGTTTCTTCATTTCGAACGAAAACGATATTAACGAACATACGAACCACATCCTACGAAAAGGAAGACGACGAACGATGTTGCAAGAACTGGCTTGTTGGCACAAGGACGGTGAGTCCACGATTTGCTTGTTTGCTCCTGTGTTTGGTGTGACCCTCTGTCTACAAACAGCAGGGTTATGCAACTACGACGGTAGTTTTCTCTTTACTTTTCCACTATGTAGCCAACTTGGATGCGAAGCAAGGTGATGCACGAATAAAGTGGTACGACACGCAAGGAACACTGGTGTCCATCAAGTCTCTTCTCCATCGTTGTGGTACGCTTCAACCGCGAAACTGCGCACTCGTGGCTAGAGATGCCTTATTTTGCTTTTCTACTCAGACGCTTTTAAAAAGTCTCCTTCACAGTAGAGTAGTTGCACAGCAAGTATCCATTCGGGACGACACGAGGTTTCATTTTGGTCTCTCGACATCAGGATGCTGCTTGTACATCAACCGCTTATTTTTACCATTCACGATTTCGCTGCTCCTGGTTGATGAGACCCGCAGCTTCATGGCTTCACAATTTCAGTACGTACTTTTGTCATCTTTAGGTTAATGGATTTTGAGTTTACGCTTTCGTTGTGGGTGATCATGATTTCTTTGGTAAGTAAGTATCTTGGTCTGTTTCCGCGATGGACTTCGCCAACCACGATCTACTAGTACTTCCAAGGAAGTTCCAATGCACACGGGAAGAGCGGGTGGAAGACGGATTCTTATCGTGTCCGCAGTAATGGATTCTTCTATCTTCGTCACCAATTATGTTAAAACATGGGAACAAAGCACGAACGCGCAGTCAAACTTCAAACTCGGTTCAGCGCGACCGCACAAAGAAAAAAGATCCATTTCTCGAAGAAGTTTTATATATTTCCCATCACGCTTAGTACGGTCCGGATCTGGCGGGGGGTCGACGGGGCCCCTGGTCGGCTTGCGGCATGGCCATCTTGCCTTTTCCCTTCTTGCCCCCGCCCTTGTCGCCCTTCTTGCCGCCGCCCTTTTTGCCGCCCTTCTTCCCGGACTTGCCCTTGAACAGGCCGAGGGCTTGCTGGATAACCTTCTTCGCGGTCATGCCGCCAAACCCCTTGAGCCGCTGCATGTCGTCGAGGTCGGACTGGTCCACCACCTGGGGTTCAAACGTCGCGTTCTCCAACAGCTCGATGGAATGCGTCACACGGTCCGGGAAGTAGTACTTGGTTTCCACGCACTCTGACTCGTCCACCTCCGCCAGACCCTCGATGGGCGATGGAATCTCTTCGCCGGTGCCAAACTGGCCCTGGACGAACCTGCATGATTTTGCGTGTTCATTTTTTTCTGGGCGTCGAAATTATGGGGGGAGGTAGAAGTGTAAGCAGTAGAGTTTTTACTGCGTCACCACGCTGAGGAAAATCAGGCCGAGTTCGAATCGCAACGAAACGAATTAAGTTTTCGTCGGTATATTAGCTCAGCGATGATCTCGCTTTTAAAAAGGAGAGAACTACATCGAAGTCAGACTACGAAGTAGAACATAGTACGTCAGTACACTTCTTCTGCCATAGCAAATCCAAACTTTCAATGCAAACAACATAAGCACTTGACTATACCCGAACAGAAACGCGTCCCTGAGTAGCCTTTTGTTTGTTGATCCCTTTGGTGGCACCTTCTTTTTGAGATCGGATACGTGGCCGAAGAGGCAGTTTATGCTGGGGTTGTTCCGCTTCTTTTCGTCGCCCTGGAGCTGCGTCATCATCGGCGCCAGGATGCGCAGCAACCGCGGTTCGTCGATGAAGGGCAGCAGCACCACGCCCTGCCACGCGAACCGCTTCCCGTTCAGGTCGAGCCCGAAGTCGGTGGGAAAGAAGTCCGCGATGGGGGAGTCGTGCTCCTCCATCAGGGTCATCATCGCCTGCGGAATCCCGGCCACCTTCGCGGACACGGGCGGCAGCACCGCCATCAGCTGTTATGGATTGCAAAAATGTCTGGGTCTGGAAAGAATGGAATTTGTGATGCTAACTTTCGACGATGCAAAAACCTGTATTGCATGAGCAGCAAACGGCACTCAGATTTTTGCTATTCTGAGAAGGCATTTCTCATGCAGTATAGGCATGAGAAAGCCTTCACAAAATCTGTAATGCGAAGGCATGCATCACCAACATCGCAGGTCATGTAAAATTTGCATGACAAACTCCCCCAATCTTCCAGACCCAGACATTTTTGCATTTGATAGCTGCTGCACGGGCTCGAAACCCTTACCCAGGGCGAAATACTTCTCGTCGCTGCACTTCAATATCAAATGTAAAAATGTCTGGGTCTGGAAACTTGTGATGCTAAAAATGCATGATGAAAACACTTTCGAATGCAGTCCGGCATGACAACTTCCTAAAACGCTTTCTCATAGGCAATCCGCATGAGAAACTGCGTTTTTGCATGACAAAAGAGGCTGCGACTTTTGTTGGTTATGCAATACAGATTTTCTAGGTATGGAAAGCTAGCATTACAAGTCCCAACCTTCCAGACCCAGACACTTTTACAATCCATATTCAAACTGCTCATACCAATCAAGTCGGACCCGAACGGGGCGTAGTGGTACGGGTAAAACCACGTCCAGGATACCACTCCCTGGTAGTAGTACTTCAACACCTGATTTTTTTTGTAGCTCGGTAGAGCTTCACCTTCGAGTGCATATCTACATACAAGATTTATTTTGAATATAAGTACAAGAAACCGCTTCTATCGCAAATTCACACAATAACCACGTCGATGTGGGTCGTACTGTACTATTCGCCATGGTCATACTCATAGTCAGTATCGGTGCATAGAAAAAATATCTTCAGTACCCAGCACAATCCCTCGATGTACGCCTTTCGGATACGCTGCAGAAAATCGACCAAATCCTCTTGCTCGACCTTGAATTTCTCTGCGTAGTACCGCCTCTTCCAGTGCGCGCCCTCCCCGAGCCGGATCGTGTCCTTCATGGCCTGACCGAAATCCTTCTTGTCGTTCAGATATCAAAGTGAAAAATCCCCCCACCCCATACTCAAACTAGAAAACTGCGATGCAGATTTGTGGCCACAAATCAGCTTTGTCATGCTAGAAGGGAAAAGATGCGGACTGTAGTGCTGGTTGGCGTGGGAAAGCCTTGCATCTTCAGCATGACAGGGGGCAGCTGGAAGTGGGAAACAGCATGACAAATTGCCTGCAGCCGAGGCCACAGCTGCGTCTCTTGGCCTTCTAGCATTACAAGTCGACTTGCGTACTCAAATACAGCATCACAAATTTCGTTTTCGATATGGGGAGGGGGGATTTTTCCTTTTGATATCAGACGATTTCTCACCTGCTTCAAAAACGCTTCTTCCATCTTCTCCTCGCGTCTCTTCGAGTTCACGACGGGCTGTGAGTGATTTTTGAAAAAAGTTGTTTCATGCGCTTGTTCACAGGACGCCAGAGTCGATGTCCTCGGTCGTTAACCGCTTTCTGTTTCTGCCTTATGCAAAACTCAAGACTCTTGCTACCACTGTTCCGATAAAAGTAAATACACATCTCCACCTTGAACCAAGCACTAAAGAGCTGCCAATCGATAAGATTATAACTATATGCATGGGGTTATTTGGGGTCTGTCTCTGTATCCTCATACGCAAACGCAGACGGTAAAATCTTCTCTAGTACCTTCGCCATGGGTGAGGGTTTCTCTTTCGGCTTCTCGGCGTCGCTGGCCTCGTCATCCGTGACTTCGACTTCTTCTTCGGAACTGCATATCCTGTGTAAAAACGTCCCCACACCATAGTTGTCACGCAAGTCTGCATGCTTAAAATGTTTCTCATGCGGAGCCCCATGAGAAGCATTTTCTAATGGTGTTTTGAAATTTGTCATGCTCCAATCAGCATGAGAAACTAGATCTGTAATGCTGCTGAACTAGCTCAAACACAACTACACTACGCGTCCAAATTTGTCATGCGAAACAGCCAAAGCTTGTGGATTTGTCTAGCCGATTCCCCATCTTGACTATGGGGTGGATACGTTTTTACATAGGATACTGGATTCCGCCTCGTTGTCGAAGAGCGCGGCGAGCTGATCCGCTGCCGCCGTCACGTCGACCTTCTTCGCGGCCTGCTTCGGCGAATTCTTTGGCGATGCTTTTTCGTCCTTCTTTTCGCTGGCCTCCTTCTTGTCCGCATCCTTTTTCACCTCGATGCCCTTCTTTTTCCGGACGATTTTTTTCTTCTTCTTCCCCTCCGCCATGCCCTTCGCGGACTCGCCCTTGGTCTTCTTCTCCTGCAGTTCCTTGTCGCGCTTTTCCCGCTTGATCCGCTCGATCTTCGCCTCCTCCTCGTCGTCCTCCACGTTTTTCTCCAGTTCCTCCAGCCCCTTGCCCCCGTCCCGCGCCTCGTCGAACTCCTGCTTCTGCTTGGCCTCCCGCGCGAGCCGGTTTTTGAACACCTGATCCTCGACGGACCCGAGGTCCTCCAGAAACTTCTCCGTCGTTTCCAGGTTCAAGGTCCCCGCGTCGGTCAGGTAGTCGCCGAGTTTGGGGAGCGTTTCCAGGTAGAGCAGAATCATCATGTCGATGCTGCCGTCCCTGATGTTCAAGGAGGGCAAGTGCGGTAAAAAATCGTTCCCGACGAAGAAACAGAAGAAGACGAAGTCGTCCACGCACCGCTCGAAGTTGTACGGGAAGGGCAGCTTGTCCCGGAGGGGTTCGAACTCGAAGTACAAATACTGGCGCAGCACGCCGATGTTGATGAACTGGAAGGGCTTGGCCTTCGCGACCTCCTCCGCCTCCTCCTCATCGGCCTCGAACTGCTCCCAGGGGTCCTGCTTCTTCTCCTCTTTTGGCAAGACCACCTCACGAATGATGTGGAAGTGCGTTTCGTGGCTGGCCAGCGCCAGGTGGATCAGATCCGCGTCCGCGCCGTAGATGCAGTGCCGCGTGTTCGGGTCGTACTCGGGCTGGGCCCGCTGAATTCGGATGAAGTCCATCAACTTGTGCTCTCCCTCCCCGGGAATCTGGCAGTCGGACAGAATCACGCGGAACCGGAGTTTTTGCCACAAAGGATCGAAGTTCGTTCGCTCGTGGATGTAGTACTTAATAGCCTCGTTCAGGTCCCACATAAACTTCGTTCCTGTGAAGATGTCGTGATGATGATAAGGCATAATTGTTTCTATGTTCTTGGTTGCGTGATGGAAAAAAAAAACTCGTCTTCCTATTCCACGACGGAAAAAAGGTATAGAGATGAACAAATCATTCGCATATGTTAATCTTTCGCGCTAGTAGTTGTACCTGGTGTGATAACATTCGAGTCGAACGCGGCTGCCAGTGCCTGTTTCGGTGGCAATTTCCTGCCTTCGGCCTCCCACTCGGCTTTGAGCTTCTCCTTTTCCGCTGCCTGTTCGTCGCGTTCCTGGGCCGCACGAAATCGACGCGCCCGTTGCTGGTTCATCTTGGCACGCGGCGCGCAGCCGTCGACTGCCATGTAGAGCAGCTTGTTGGGTCGGACGATACGGATGATCCTGTTTTTTTTTTTGAAAAAAATACCTTCGCACACGGGCCTGCGGAATCAATGTTTGGCGATTTTTCTCTTTTGCCACGTCATTTAGTGCAAAGACATACACGACGACCGTAGCAAAATATTACAAGCGAGGCGTTTATTTTTACGTCCAAGGTTTTGCAATTTTGCAAAAATTCTAGTAATGTAACTGTTCGTGTTCCTCCTCGTCCCACCAAATAATTACGCCATGCTTGTTCTACCGCACAAGCACAACTAATGAAATGTTCACCATAATATTATCGTAAATTCATCTGTACCTGTCGATGTACAGGAAGATCAACTCAAACATCTCCCCCTCGTTTTTTGGCGGTTTTCCCTCCTCGGGGTGGGAACAAGGGTGAATGATTGCGTTCATATCCAGGTAGAGACAGTCGAACCCGCCGTTCGGGTATGAATTGCAAAAGTATCGCAATCGCACTCGTATAAATGCATTACGAATTTCCTCAGCATGAGAAATAAAATTTGTAATGCTGATTAACGTTTAAGAAAAAGATTTGTAATGCATGATTGCAATACGAGTGCGATACTTTTGCACAGGATATCGGGTTTTCCTCGTTGATGTCGATTGGCACGAAACGACCATCCTTCTCGATCAGCTCCTTCTCCACTGCGTCCCGGATGGTCTTGGGGTACCGGGTACACAGCCAGCGAAAGAAGGTTGGCACACCCATTTTGTTCTCAGCCTATTTCTAGGAGGATACTTATCGACTTTGTAGCAAACAGTCGTGTTATTTCGCCGATGTGTTTCAAATATATTGTAATCGTCGAATGTATTCCGAAGTTCTTTTTTCCCGTAGCCAAAGTTGGTCTAAGCACGTTCTTGGGTAATTGATTGGGTCATCAAGGAGTCGTAGTCGAAAACAGGTTCAGTTTTGGTGTTCGCTGAAAGACCACTACAGTGAGACTGTGATATCAATGGATGAAGATAGCTAGGTCGCTTCTTGTTCCTTCCTTGTTTCGGCGAAAAAACAGAAATGGAATGCAGCGGAAGAGGACGAGAGAGGTTTTGAGAAATTGTCCTCGCACTTTTTCTTTCTAACTCAATATCAAATTTTCATCATAAATCGGACTTCGATCCACTGCTCTCGTACGATGACGCGACACTGCGAGCAGAACCCTTGTTCTGAAGAACCAATTTGGACACTACTAAGCAGTAGCTGTGGTGGGGACCTCTTTTCCACGACGGTGGTCCTGGCAGAAGATTTTTATGTGATTTTGGTCAGGTAGCTTTCAAGTATCGATTGGCGACATCAACATTTCATTTTTAAAAGGCGATGAAGATCCACTTGTTCGCTCCTCGATTTCTGTACAAGAAATTGTGCAGCTTTAGCAAATATATTGAAGATTTCGAATCGGATCAGAAGTTCTTGGCAACGTACAATTTGTTTTGTTGCAGGAGCGTTGGCCTTCTTGATCTGTTGTACATACTCAGAGACACACACCATGTGAGGACCACGTTCCCTCTCTTACCTTTATTTGGATACAATCTCTGCCGATCTCTCTTTTTTAAGCCTCGTTTTTTTGCACAAGACCCTTCAAGTATTTTTGATCTCCGCAATTTTGGCACGACCAAGCTGGCACGGTTGTCAACACCCCTAACTTTTTCGTTTGAGTTTTCAACTTAGTTTTACCGACATAGTAGACCGATCACGCTACAATCAATACAGGCGTCACCGACGTGGATAATGATCTTTCTACCGACAATCTGATCTGTCCACGCTTCCTGTCAGAACAGCTGTGTTGCATTTCGAATTTTCACGCTTGATATTCGGTCGGGAACGCGTGTGTGAGATTTTCCTTGCCTACGTGGACTTAGAAGTGCATCAAGTTCTTTCGAACGTGAGGCAGTTTTGGCGAAACTACCTTGTTAGAACCTATCCCACGATCGCGTTCGCCCAAAAATTTCGTTTTCGCGTAAAATAGCACTGTGCGCCTTCCCGCTGCAGCGCATCAGTGGGCTTCTTTCGAATTTATACGATCATTTGGAAATAATCGTATATTGCCACTGCGAAACAAAAATGAATCTTAGTTGTGTAGTCAAAAAAAAAACAAAACTCAGCAACCGCTGATGAAAACCGGCTCTTCATGCAGAATTAATGTCTTGAAAATTTACTACTAGATGTAGAAAGTCAAAAATTCTTCGCTGACAAAGTATAATTTTGATGCTCGATATATGTAAAGTAATCTCGTCAAGAGGGACTGCCGCCCCTGTACAAGTAAAAAAGTGCATTTGCGATATCTTCGTCATCCTTTATTTCCAATACAAGTCAGTGAACCCGTCGGTTGCTCCGCCTCCGCGCACCGATTTTTACAAGAACTGCATCATCGCCCCGAGCCCAGACGGAAGGCCGCGGAAACTTTCGCCAGCCTGATTACGCGTACCCCTTTATCCTGAGTAAAAACGTCCCCACACCAGAGTTGTCATGCAGATTTTTTTTTTTTTGATTGGGCCCCATTCGCATATAAATTCATCATTTTTTTTAAGCTAGGAGCCGGTGTGCGTTACTTAACATGTGAATTCTGATCTCACGGACACCGACCTGCGACTAAACAGGACCGGGCCGACACAATAATTCACACAGTTAAGCAGATGGCGCGGGTATATTGGTGCTTGTTTTTTGTTTGTACCATTTCCACTCTTGTCCTCTTCTCCAGCACCAAGGTCTCGCTCCACTTCCGTCAATTCCCCCCCTTTCACACATACTCTGCTGGCAAGGCAGAAAAAAAAGACGCAGCCCCTGTCGGAATAATTAATCAGAAAAAGCCCACACAGAAAATTCCTGCACCTACCTAGGGGCGACTAGGCAGATGAGGTGTGCCGAAGCGAGGGGAGTCTATGTGATTGAGTCAAACGTGTTCAATACTGCGCGGGAATGGCATGAGGGATCTGGTGCGGGGTCCGCTAAAAAAATATCGCAAAGGCGGCAATGGAGTAACGCTATCACTAATTTTTGACGACAATCTAATAAGTGGGGGACAGCCAAAAAACAAGCTGCCGGATCTTTTGCGCAGTGTGCTTACGTCTACGATACGGATCAAATTTGCTTGGGTCGGCAACGACAGCGAGGCCACTCTCCTCGCTGCGTTCCGCCTCTTTTTGTCAGTGCGCCCCGCTGCCAGAGTTGTCATGCAGATTTGCAATGACAGGAACATTTGTAATGCGCATCGCAAGGAGAGGCATTTTTAGTCATGTTTTGGAATTTGTAATGCTGTAAACAGGATAAGCAGATGGATTTCTGATGCAGCTGGCCTTGCGAACCTGCACTACACTACGGACTGCAACCTGTGATGCGTGACCCCCAAAAGTTCTAGGTTTGTGTTGCAAAATCCCCATCTTGACTCTGGTGTGGGGATGTTTTTACTCAGGATACCCTTCTCCCGAAAGGCTGCATCGTGCGAAAAAAGCATTTCACTGTAGAGATATTGGAGGATAATTCGCATGACAGGTTTCTTTCGCATGCAACAGGTTACTTTCGCATGACATAAGAGATTTCGTATGCGCGCTTTCTACTGGAAGGCACGGCTAGAAATGGAATTGCATTTCAATTTCTCGCAAAACCATAGGAAGTTTCTGTGATGTCGCAGTTGCGTGATACCTACTATCTTCCTGCATCGCACAAATTTCCAGTGAAGCAGTTTTCTCTTGCGATAGGTGTCACTAGGATGGTAATCGTCTTTTTTAGGACCAAGCTGGTCAACTCGATCTCCAGTGCCTGCGTCTCCCACTGGTTCCGCTCCGGGTGCTCCATAAACGGCAGAAAGGGAAGGTGCCCATTTTTCCCGACCATGGACCGCGCACGGGCCAGCGTGATCTGCTCGTGATTCGGAAAAAATTGCGAGCCAAACTTGCCCAACGGGTCGCCTGGAGCTGCTTCCTGCTCCCCTGCTTCGTGAGCAGGAGCCTCCATGCCTAGAGCTTTTCGCAGCTCCGTTTTCAAAGCCCCCGGCGCTTTCCGCCACACATCGTCCAAAATGTTTGCGATATTCTCAATCTTCCGCCACTCGGTCACTAGAAACTTGTCCTTTCCCAAGTCCACGCCCGAAGCGCAGTTTTTGTGCACGTAGTCGTCGCGCACGCGCTTTGCAATTCGTCGGCAGACGGCGGGTGCTCGCCTTTTCGGACAAAACCTCTTCTTACAAGTGGACGCGAGACTGCAAATGCCGTCGTAAGCAGCTTCCGGCACGGGGACCACCAGACGTCGGCCAGCGCCGGGCCCATGACCGGGCAAGCGGAAGAAACCGCGGGTGTGCTGTTCCAAGGGGAACAGCCTTCGCAGCAGGTCCCAATCGCGCGCCAGTCGACGGAAGCGGTGTTCTACGCTGTTGCTCGCGTGTTGCAACAGTTCTGCCCGGGTGGTCGCCTCGACACGGTACTCAGGACCGGGGGGTGGATCACCTTCAACATCGCGAGCGCCCTCTCCGAGATTAATGTGAAATTCCTGTCGCAAAGCCTTTGCGATCATGTTTCTCCAAAACTGATCCTCCTCCGCAATCACCCCGCTGCCATAGAACCGCAGAATGTTGCAACCGATGCCCGGGCAAGCCTGCACCTGCTCCCACGCCGTCGGCGCCGGCGGTACAACTCCTGCGCATCGAAAGAAAAGAGCTGACATCACAATCTTCCCAGTCGCGCTTTGGTACACCAGACTCGAGCCAGTTGTAACAGGCAAGCCTAGAAATTTCTCCAAAGTTTCGAAAATGAGAGCCGAGGCTTAAGTGTGAGTCGACAATGTCGATGCAAAATTGAACTTATATTCGGCTTCATAGACAGCAAGCATACTCACTGAGAAGAACTGTTTGTAGAGGCAACAGAAAGTCGCACAACCAATTTATTTGATCCTCGTCGAATAAGATGACTTAATATTACGAAATCATTACGATTGCAATACGCGCTTTTCCTCCTCTTATATTGGAAGGCGACCGCCACACCGTCGCTCTCAGCCCGTTCATCACAGACCCCACCAGACGGCCTGCTGCTCCTTGGAACGGCAAAACCAGGTTCTGCTCTATTTGCTTCCCCACCGGCGGAAAGCGTAGCCTCGTTCTCGTTGGCGGTCGTTGCCTGTGGTCCTCTTGTGCGCTAAAAATGCGCGGGAGCAGGGTGTTCAGAGCGGACTTGGCGGTGTGTTTCACACTCCACGGCAGCAGCGTATGGTCGTGCAGTTGCATCGTCTGCACGGCCGCGTCTGCAAAGTCGGGACCGGGCAGCTCCACTTCTTTGGACACGTACCAACGCTCGCACAGCTCCCTGTTCTCGTGCCGCGGCACTGCCCAATCAGCGTCCGCAGAACGACGCGCGCGGATCAGCGGGTTCAAACCTAGTGTCCTGAACAGACCGTGACGCATGTCCACAGCGGTGTCTTCGCCCGCAGGTATGAAAAGGAACGATCCGCGGTTGTGCGTCACATACAGTTTGTAAAACCGCAATTCCACCGCCAGCCTGGCCCCCATATCTTCCACGTAGACCAGGGGGTTCGGGGCGGTTGGAGGTGGCACGATGGGCCCAAAGCCCATCTCGCCCCCTTTTCGCGTCGTCAGGAATTCCACCGCATAGTACGTCGTCGCAGGGTGTCTCTTCAGCGAACTGAAAGAATTTCTCTCCGTGAAGAAAGGAATTTCCTGCAGCGACTGCAGCAAACGGTTCGTCTGGGTATTGATGTTCTTTTGCCGATTTTCCTTTTCGACGTTATGATGCAGCTGCGATGATGAAAATGACCCTTCACGACCTTGTTCACCCGGTCCTCGTTGCGCGGGGTCGATCTCGTCCTCGACACCAGGCGCCGATTGATCAATCACGAAGAGCTTCCGATGCTCCCGCGTTTCCGTCTCGTTGAAGGGCCATGTTGTCGTCGAGGCCGACGAGGACCCAGCGAAAGACGACTGTTGACCGGTCGACGGTAGAATGGTTGCGTCGAACACCTGTTCCTCAGTCCAAAAAAACTCGTCGCGCAGAACGCGAACGGCCTCGAACCAGTTGGCCGCCCGGTGATACTTCTCCCGCAGGGCCGCGAACATCGAGCGGTCTTGCGAAGTACTTCTAGAGGAGGTCGTGGAAAGAACTGCTTCATGCCCCGCTTGCAGGTTCGCTAGGTAGGTGAGAATGTCCAGCGCCTCTGGATTTTTCCAGCGCCGTTTCTCGAACAAAAAGTACATTTTCTCCCTCGCACGCGTGGAAAGACCCTCTGACCCGTCCGTCACGCACTGCGTGATAAACCGCACCGCAGGCAGCTCGGCGTCAGACGTGTCGGCAACGTTGCTGTGGAGGTGGTCCGCCGCAGGTTCATGCTGATCATCTTGCTGGTGTGGTGCAGTCGGGTCGGCAAGCACCGGGACCGAAGATCCTGCTGGGAGAGGACCAGGACCATTTCCAGCAGGATCTGTAGCACCAGCGAGAAGCGCAGTGGAAGAGGAACTGGCTGCACGAACTGCACGGGTCGCGGCTCCTCCGAGCACAACCGCCAGAGCCAGAGCTGCCAGAAGCCCCGGACTTTTGAGTCCCGGGCGAGGCTGCATGACTTTTTTCAGAAATTTTCTCATTTTTAGACTTGGCCGCGGGTGATCGTGCAAGAGCTCAATTCGCGGCTTCCGTCTTCTGCTGCAGCGTCGTCGAGCTTGCCGGAGCCACACTGGGGATGAGGATATCTATTACCTGTGGGCCCTGAAGTAGGCTACGGCTGTGTGCCAGTTAAGGTTCCTCAAGCGCTCTCCGAAAAAAATCGATAGAAAAGAGTTTACACGTAGAATAAGCGAGGACTCTCCTCGTATCTTGAAAACAAAATGTTTGCGAGTAGATGTAGAGTACGTCTCAGATACAGATTAAGAATCAAACTTTTTAACTCATTCTCATGGCCTTAGTTTATCATCTTGAACCTGAATTACATCAGCAAGGAACTGGCAGGGTGACCGAGGAAGCAGTACCAGGAGTAGGATGTTGTCATGCAATGAGAAAAAAAGTTCCGCATTCGGATATCGTACTCATGGGGCGGCTCGTGGAGCGACAATTCTCGTTGTTCTCCCCACAATGGATCTCTTGTTGTACAATTACCCACTAGGCGGGGCAGTCGAAGTAGATATCAACCTCATCATCATCATCATCATCATCTCGTCCTCCATACAGGATCATCTTGCTTCACGCAAAACGCAGTAGTTGCAGTAGATCTGAATGGATCGTCAGTTGCTGGCAGCAAAATGCACAACAAGATTTCGGTGACTATAAGTGGAGAATTTGCTGTAAACTTTTTGCCTATCACGCGGAAGAGACCGCATTGACACAACAGATCATGATCTTGGTACGACCATCAATCGCGCAACGAAAGACCTTCAGGAGCTGGGATCTTTTTCCTTCTTTCTAGCATCCCTATCTATCATCTTCCAAACGCAACCGCTTTTCTGGAGAACGATCCACTGGAAATCTTCCTGGAGAGCGTGTATGGTAGTCTTTGTCTTTCTAGCGCAGGGCAACCGGACCGCTTCGATGACGGGAACAATATGGAGTGCAGCTGCGTGGACGTTGCAGAACAGAGCGACTTCGATGTCTAGATACTACAGAAGGACAAAATCACAGCACTTCCGTCGTCTCCTTTTCGACCATTGCAATGTGTTTTTGATGGGTTACATCCGTATTCTACTTACTTAATGCAATTCTCGTTTTGATAACACAAAAATATCTATCATCCAGGGTGGTTCTTGTTAAAACGCGAGCAATGGGACGAGAAAAAACTTATAGAGGACCGCGATTGCTGTTTGAACTTCATCGCGCAGAATACTATGACGAAAATCGAAACGGGGATACAAGAGAAGAAGAACAAGAAGTTCGAAGATATTTTCAAGTTTCCAAAACTTAGCGTGGGCGTAGATGGTGCAGATTCAGCATGGAAACATCGCTACAAAAACCATCTTACCCGGTATCAGGATCACTTATTCAAACATATACTGAGGACGATAGTGCGATGACTTACAGATCTTTGCGCAGTAAAAATCAGGGAACTTCTCGGGCAACTTCCTCGTAGATGAAGCTGCTCCCGCTGGGCGGTGCGCGTGACGACGATGCGCGTGTGCGTGGTGAGGGTGTGCGTGAGCGTGTGCGGGGTGTGAGCGGCGAGTCACGATTTGCTTGCGACATTCCACGTCCTTTGCCATCAGCTCCTGCTTTGCTACCGGCTTCTTTGCCAGCAGCGTCTTCCCCCTTGCCATCGAGGCCTTTGCCACCAGGACCTTTTCCACTAGGTCCCGGACCTTTGCCACCGGCAACGGCGGTTCTTGTCTGCGATCCAGATCCCTTCGAGCTCGACCCGCTGCTCGTGGGCAACCTTCTTCGTTTTGGGAGGGGATCATTTGCCGTCGTTGCCGCAGCCTGGGGGCTCCTTGAGCGGCGCGTTCTGGAATATTGTGTATCCGGCGACCACGAGGACCTCCTCCTCTTTAGCGAGCCGTGACGTCGTGCTAGCGAAGTGCTTCGGGTACCTCGTCCTCGAGGTCTGCTTGTTACCCTCCCGAGGGCGCTGGACGCTTTCCTTCTTAACTCAGGTGTGCGGCTTCCACTGCTCCTCGTCGCAGGAGCGCCGCCATTTGCGTCTCCACTACTTGTCTTCTTCATCTCTTCCGCTGCTCCGGAATCAAGCTCAAGATCAGGAAAGTAAAGTGTTTTACACGACGCCAACGTCTCGGCGACGCTTTCCCGTTCGAATGCAAACGCGTGCTTCTGCACAAGCTGGCGCAGCTCCTTCTGCCGCTTCTGGTCCCCCTCCACATACTCTCGGATTTTCTCAACGGTCGCAATTTTTTCGTTCGTGTTCGGTTTTTCGACCGGAGAATTCTTGAGCTCGTCCAAACGCACCTTGAGGTTCTCCAAGCGCCCCTCAATACCTTCCCCGGCGTTTTGACTTGCGCTTGTCAGGTCCGCGCCTTCCAGAATCTCGACTTCGAACCGTGGCGTCGGCAACAGCAAGGGCGCGAGCAGACGGTAGGCCAGCTTCGCCACATCTCCTGCGTAACTTGTTGATTTTTTTTCCCCCTCACCGACCCCTGCGCCCCGTGGCACTTGGAGCACGCGGCTGCATAAGAGCAGCTCGATCAAATTTTTGCCCCCCAGACCAAGTCGCTCCTTGTCTCCTCCTTCTTGCACAATAGCAGCTCGCTCCTTGTCTCCTCCTTCCTCTTCCCTCTCCTGATTCGAGTCCCAGCCCGGAGTTCGCATTATCGTTTTCGGTGCAAACCCCGGAAAGCTGCCACACGGGATCGTGGATCCGCTGCTTGAAGATGAAGGCTGAAGATCGTGGAGCCGCTGCTTGAAGATGCACGGCACGTCTCTTCCTGGATCCGGTACTAGGTGACCGCTCTGCGCGTCCCCCTCCGAGCTGTAGTCTACAGTCGTACGCGTCGGAATGTGATACTTCTGCGTGCTGCCAAAGTCTTTTCGCAACAGGGACAGGAACGAGCCACACAGCGCGGCCACGCCGTCAGCTAACTCTCCGAGCCGCTCCACGGGGTCGCCAAAAAAGTGGCGCAAGCAAGTCCAAATATCTACCTTCGAGAACCAGAGCGGGTACTCACTGGCGCACGAGGACTGCTCGGCGCCGAAACACGGGCCGCCGTAGCCCATGAAGACGGTCATGGACACCGCAAACAAATCCGTACCCGGATCCAGCAGCACGTCCTCCCGGTTAGAAAGAATAAGAAGGTCCTCGGAAAAAGGAGGAAATAAACTTTGCCCAGTGCCGTCCTGCGGTCGTGCTTCTACCCCTGCGCCGGGCCGGTGCCGGTGCGACCCGTATTGCATGGCCCACCGCAGGGGATGCGCGCTCCCAGGCGTGCCGATCATGCCCCACCCTTTGTTCTTGCCCAGCGCCGCGATCGGGCGCAGCGTGTGCGTCTCGTCCTGTTTCAGCACCGCGGCGCCGTCGAAGTCGAACAGTTTGATGCGCGAAAAGCGGATGTCTTTCGGCGTCAGGGGAGGCGTTGTTTCCGGCGCGGCTAGCCCTGTTGAAGATGTTGCGGCTAGATTTTGAGGAAAGTTCCGCTCCAGCATGACGTTCTCCATTTTGATGTCGTTGTGGAGCACACGCAGCGTTGTACCCAGCAGGTTCGTGCAGCTGAGGAACGAGTCCACGGCCGAAAAGGCGTGCTTGTGTAAGGCGGTTTCCACGGCAGGGTCATCCGCCGCCAAAGCTTGCACATCGTACAAATCCACGCCGCGGGGCATCTCGAAGTACACGGCATTAGGTGTTGCCGCAATGCGCGTGATGGGGACGAAGCATCGGTGTTCGGTGGATTTGACCATTTCGGCCGTCAGCTTTGGTTTATCCGCCTCGGACGACCGAAGGTAACTTTCGTAGCTCTGCAATGCCCGTTGCAGGGTCAATTCGGTCGCAATTTGGCCGAGCTGCGCATTGTAATGCGAAACACCATTTTTGTCGTCTCCGATTGGTGGAAGTACTCCTTCCACCGCCGGGGCTGCATCTTCTGGGAGTAAGATCTTCTTGATTGCGGTAGTTTTGCAAAAGGTCACTTCGCCCGTCGTCCCAGAAATGGTTTCGTCGGCGGTGTGCTGACCTTGTGGGCACTTTAGCTCTTCTGTCTGGATCGAGTTAATCAAAACACCGTCACGAAGTAAGTCGACGTGTTCCTTGAGGGACTTCTCATCCTTGCCGAATGGCGAAACCCAATGCTTGAAAACTCCTTCTTTTTCCAAGACCGTTAATTTTTTCTCCATTTCAACCTGCAGTGTGGTCCTCTTTTGTTCTGGGCGGGCATCAATCTTCCGCTTGTCGAGATCTAACTCCAAAAACGAGCCAGCATCGCCCTCGGAGTTCACCTCCAGCGCGAGGCCCGGTGGTCCCCCTAGCGGGTCTGCTCCTTCTCCTTCAGTCTCAACAGTCGGTGAAGGATCGAAAGTACCTGGTGGCTGTACAATCTCCCCGGCAAGTTCGAAGAAGCTTGGACGTGCTGCTTGTTCCAGTACGTCGCCCACAAGAGTTGCTCCTTCGATGGCATTTTCGGCGTTATTGCCGCTCGCATCAATTGCGAGGGCCGCGCCCTGTCGTGCAACCGTCGTGAAGACTTCTTCTTGCCCGAAGTCTGGAGAGTGGTCTTTTTTCCTCTCCGTGTCTGTCACAATTCCCACTGTCGCCTCCTCGTTTGCTTGCTGTTCGCGCCGCGCAAGAAAATCGCCGGATCTCACCAGAATCGCAAAGACCGCCGGGTGCAGAGCGATGGAAGAGACCAGCCACCGGGAGGTGATCGGTGATCTATCGTTGAACAAACTGATCATGCTGGACGTGTAATGCGGGGGGTGAGAGCTTTATGTTCTGACTCTGGGTGCGGCACGACGTTTTGTATCCTAGTACGGGAAGGAGCTGGTTAATGTGTATTCTCGTAGTAGGGTGCGGTTGTATTGTTCCAGGGTCAGAGCGTCGAACTCAATTGAGAAGAGCGACTGGTGAGCAATCTGAGATGATTTTTGACAATGACAAAAAATTTGTGTTACTAGTGGGTTCGGAAAACCTACACGCCTCTACGAAATGTTACGTTCTGGCTGCCAATGAAACAGGCTGGGCCAGGGCCAGTACTACGCTAGAACAAAAGGACGAAAAGAACGACTGCACAACGTCGACACCGACGGACTCACTAAAAAAATGTACGACCGAAATTTCCGAAGCAACGAGGAAGCTGCGCAAGACACTACCGCCACTACAAATATCGGATTTGTACTAGTGCAACAAGCAAACCGACTTACGCCTAAATCTTTACAACGATGACGGGTGCACGAGGACCGAGCAAATAAGCTGAGGAGCCGGACGAATATAAGTACTTACTCACTTAACCGACGCAAGAAATTCTGTAGCAAATGAGGGACATCAGCACGAACGGCAGCTCGCAAAACCGACCATAACGCCAAGGTTAGGAACGAGTGTAGCAGCTGTACTCCTTTGTTTGTTATCCGACTTTTCAACGAACAAAGCTTTGGCATCGACATCGTGCCTGACACGTAGGAAAATTGCTTCTGCTAGTTCTTATGTCGTTTCTTGTCGTACAACGGGAGGGTGTAGTGTAAACTAATCGTATACTTGTCGTGTTATCATCATTATCATAAAAGGGTCGCCAGTCATGTACAACGTGAATGACAGCAGCGGATTCATTTTCAGACGTAAAAACAAGTGATCCCATCTTCGCCAGTGCATGCGCTGAAGTTGCTACTGCGAAAATCTTTCATCTTCTATGTGCCACATGTATTGAGTCAGGGTACATCAACTTGATGAATTGGTTAGTCCAAAATTTGTGAAGACACTCTGTCATCATTTCCTCTTCTACGTGGCTTCTCCTTTAGGTACTTCCCCTAGTTTCTCGTCCTTCGTTGCGGTGTGTATTATTTCCGCTTGCATCGATGCATCCGCGTTCGCTTCTTGCTCTACTACAGGAAGAATATTCCTTGCAGGCGCCTTGGCTCTAGTACTTGACGAGGATGAAAACTGTGCAGAATCTGAATTTTTCGCCAAAGAAGTTTTCGGGCTGAAGCAGGTGAAGAGGAGAAAATCCAGGAACCGCGCTGCGTACTCATTGGGCTCCACGGCAGAGATGTTCTTTTGAAAGAGAAAAGTCGACTTGAGCAAGTTCTCCATGTTCTTCTTCAGCGAATACACCTGCAAAACGTCCACGATGCCGAGAAAAAGCAACACCGGACGAGAAACGGAACTGCTTGAAGTAGATGCTCCCTGAAATTGCGCGGCCGCTGGGGTAGTACTTCTACCGTTGGCATTGTAGTTGTAGACCGCCGGCACGCCGTGGTGGCAAAACTGTAGCTGCGAGGATTTATTTATTTCCAGCCCAGCAGCAAGAAAGTCATGGTCTAGAGAACGATCGTGCCCTTCAAAACCGGTGTTTTTCTTTAGAGGACCACCTGCCGGATTAGTTGCTCTTTTCCGCTTGGAAAAATGGATGCCGATCAGGAGCGAGTAGTCCATCAAGTCGTGCTTGGCTAGCCAGTCCGCGTCCTTCCGCAGTGCTTGCCGGAACAGCTTGTTGTCCTTTTCCGCCGTAAACGCTAAGTTCCGCGAACCCTTCTCCCGAAAAGACCCCGCACCGCTACTCGACAGGAAAAAGTTCAAATCTTTCAGCGTCTTCGTCTCCCGCCGCTTCTTCAGGGTGGTCTTATTTTTCGAAGATGAGTTGCTTACGCTTTGCAGCACGTCGACGTCCTGGGGAGACACTGTTGCTGGTGGGTCGACTGGCTTTATTCGTTTTTCGTCGTCTGCCAGCAGTGCGGAATTCGGGACAGGAACGGGCTCTATTTGTTGTCTTGTTTGTTCATCCCTTGCTTCACTAACTTGATTGCTAGCAGTCGCCGCGGGATGGATGGAAGAATCTATAACCTTCTCACCAGGTGGAGCACTCAGTAGAACAGCTTCTTTACTCCTACCGTTTTGATGTTTTTGCGCGGCGTGGTCGGTTGTTCTTTTACTCTCCAAGATCAGCTCTCCCGCTCCCTTCGTCGGTTTTGTCCAGCGGTTAAAAAACGACCCCTTCAAATCGTACCGCTCGTGCAACTTCAACCGCGTGTGAAACACGTTCTGCATCACCAGGAGCCGAAAACAGGACTCTTTGCCAGAAGATGCATGCGCGGTATAGTACGCCGGCGCAGAGCCGGTGGTGCCTCTTCTGCTACTTCTAACAGATGGCGTTGCATTGGATGTTGACGACCCACCGCCCAGAAAGAACTTGCTTCTCGCCGTCGTTTGTTCCACTACAGGACCATCTTTTTCTACTTTCGCGGAGGTACTATTGACACCAGCAGAATTTACGACGACCTTGATCAACAGGTAGAAGTGAGGCAGCAAGGTGTGCTTGTTTTCCTCGAACACATACTTCCCGTACTCCTCCAGCAGATTCCCCGAGACGAGGAGCCGGTGCTCCTCCTCCTTCACCGATTTCAAACAGAACTTCCCCGTGGCGCTGTAGAAAAACGTGCTGTCGGACTTGCCCTCGCCCTTCTGCCCGCCCGTGAGATAGGACAATTCGTGTTGGAATTCTTCCCTGGTGAGGTTGAAAAACGTGCGGATCTTGTTGGTCAGGTTCGGACAGTAGTTCACCGCCGTGATGGAGTAGCAGGGAAGATAAGCAGACGACGAGGAAGAGGAAGATGTTTTTTGTTTATTTTCCGGTCCGGAATTCTTTGGCGCGCCTTCTTTATTTCCGCCATAATTCGAATCAGTATTCCTGGTCAAGCTACCAACCGCCCCGCCACTCCCAACATCTTCAACCGTGCTGTGAGGAAGACGCTCCTCCTGTGCGGAACTTTTAGTACGACCAACGCCGTTTGCTGCATCTTCGTCCTTCTTCAAAGCGGCAAAATTATCGATGTTGCCCACCTTCCTGGAGTCTTCCTCTCGTTCCCCACGACTTTCATCTTGTACAAAACCCTCTTCTACATGTTGATCCGGGTCGTGCACAAATTCGAAACTCACTTTCGTGTGCTTTCGGGCGTCCACCGGCGGATCCGGAATCTGCAGCAATCGCACGACGGCGGAGCTGATACAGTCGCACAGCTGTCTCCGACTCTCTTCCTCGGGAGATATTGTTTTCGTTCTTGTTTTGTAGTCTAGTGGAGTAGAAAGTTCTACTGGTTCATCTGCATTCAACAAATGAGCAGGCTTCCCTTTAATATCGACTTGGTCGTTCTTGTGCGGCTCGTCGCTGCGTTTTGTCGTGGTCGGAGGGGAGGATTCTATCAGACTCTTGAAATTCACCGGGTTCATCGTAGTTTTGTTCTCAACGGTACATGAAGAAGACCGCGAAAGATGTTGTTCTACTACGGATGCTGTACGTGGTTCTTGTAACGATTGCGGCTGCTGTACAGAAGTCGAGTAGAACTCATTCCCGGAGAAACAAACAGAGGTACTCGTACCACCGGCTGGTGTACTGGTAGTTTGGATTCCGCTGCTCAGGTGAAGAGCAGAATTGGAAACGACGGAATAGTCCGTGAAGGGGATGGAGGAGAGAGACTGGTCGTTCACAGCGATGGGAAATAGCTCCTCTAGTTGTCTACCACTTTCGTCATTTGAAGAAGACACGACTGGTGCTACTCCTGGCCCTCGTGTAGTTTCTGGTACAGGAGCTACTTCTTCCGGTATTAGTTCTACTGCCTTAAGACCAATGGCACAGTCTGTCGGGTCGTAGTCGCTCTTTGACCCGGTTCTTATTGAAGTAAGGTCGGAAACACAACCAGAGAACCCTGCAGTTGTAGTTGTTGGATGAGGAAACGATAATTGCGCTACGTCTTGTTCTGAAGTTGGCACACTGGACGAAGAGGCGGAATTTATTTTTTGGGGAGCGCTGGATTTGGAAAACAACGGACCACCAAGACCCGAGCATCCGCCAGCAGTTTCAGTTGCATTTAAAAGATTCGCATTTATTGCGAAGGATGAAGATGATGAAGAACTACCCGATGAATTCTGTACATTTATTTCCGGGACCGACACGACAGAGGAAGGCGCTGCAAGAGATGAAGCGGTGTCGATCAACGTTGTTCGTTTCTTGAACGCATTCTGATCGGCAGATTTGTTCTCGGTCACTGAAAGTGCGTTTTCATAATTTTGATCTTTTTCATTTTTACTGCACCAACTGGTTCCATTGTTGGAAATCGAAATTCTCGTCGGCGCAGCTTTGATCGCACCGACAGAAGTCCCAGCACCACGATTTCGGTCGTTATTGCTGTTGTTGTTGTTCAGCGAAGATATTGTAATTTTCCTCTTCGCTTCTGCCAGCAGACCCGGAGAAGACGACAACTGCTGTTGCTGTTCTAGCTCCTGCAGTCGTTTCGTCACTAGATTGCTCGTCGAAATGCGGCTGATGTCGACAAAATTACTGCTTTTCTTGCTGTAAGAGTCTCTGCTCCTGCTCACGGTGGTGTTGCAAGAGCCCCCGCCGTGAAAGAACGCTGCACTGGCGGTCGTTTTCGTGCTGTTTACGGAGTTGCGATTTGAACCCGCATTGCTGTTCAGGTGCTGATTGGATTCAAATAAGGAAACTCGCTTCGCGAAGTCCCGCTGTCTGGCACGGCTTCTTTGCAATAACGAGAAAGTGAAATCCCCGTACTTTTGCAAAACCTTGGCGGGATAGACAACGCAGCTATCGAGAGTACCAGGAGAGGAAGAGGACAACTCGTTTACTTCTCCGATTTCGTGTGGTTCTAGCTTCGATTTTTCTACCTCGTTTGTTTCTAGTTCTCCCTCAGGCTCGTTCGTGCGAAATTCATCTTCTGCTGGAACTACAGAGTCATTCTCTTTCTCGACGGTGAAAGGTTTGTGGCCGTCGCTGTATTCAACATTTGCTTCATCTCCTTCATCGGTCGTTGAGGTTTTGCCCTCCACGTCTGCTGCTGCTTTCACATACGCACCTGGCGACGCAGTTCTTTCTTGCTTAGACTCGAATGAGAGAATTCCTTCGCCACCAGCAGTTCTTTCGCGTTCCTCGGCGGCTGTTTGCTGCTCATTCTCTGTCTCCTTGTCCGCCTTCGATTCAGCGACACTGTGGTTGTTGACTACCAAAATATCATCATCAACGACTTGCGCAAGCTCAGCGCCTTCCGCGTCGCTTGGACTGCTGCAGAGATGATGGTCGTGCTCTTTGGCTTCTTGCACAAGCACCTGCCGCAACGGAGAGATGACTTCTAAGCAAGATGTTGAATTCTTAGGTAGACCGCCACCACTTACTCCGTTGTTGAAGCTGGTTTCGACTAAATTTTCTAATTCGAGCTCCAACTTCCGATCCTCCTCCCGGTCATTATCATTTTGAACTAAATCGACTTCTACCTCCCTCACCGGAACATGATCACACCCATCGTCGTCCTGCGCTTGCTGCTTTCCGACGGCGGTTTCCGGAGACGAAAAATCATGTTCGGTGTTGTTTTCTACCCCTTGGAGTGGTCTTTTCTTCTGTGATGACACTGCTTTTACCGACTCAACTTCCACATCGATTTCCAAGTGCTGTCTGTTGTTGCTAGCATACTCGTCTTCGCAGCTAATCGACGTTCTTTGCGCTCCTGGCCGAAGTTCCTTATTCGAGGTAGTCCCTGTCTTTCGTTCCTTTCTTCCACTGTTGTTCAGCACATCCACCTCCTTCAAAAATGGCACGGGCGGTCCGGAGACGATGATGCTGCTATCTTCCTCGACTACTGCGGTGACTTCCACTTGGCTCTTCAACTTTTCATTTTCTTTCCGCAAAAACGCGTTTTCTCTCCGGGTGCTCCGCAGCTCCTCGACCAATTGCCAATTCAAAGCCCGGAGAATGCGCGCCTCGACATTAAAAGCCTGCTGCTGCTGCTCGTGCAGGAAAGTTGTCGCTGCGGTGCTGGAAGAACGTCTTTGCGAACGGTTTTTGCTGGCGGCAGGGCTAGTGGCTGGCACAACACTTGCTCCAGCAGTGTCGCTGCAGCTCCGGCGTGGAGGTCTAGTGGAACAATCTGAATCTGTACGAGGACCTGCAGCACTGTAGTTCGTCCTGACGGCCCCCGACGTCGCAGGTTCCTCAGCTACAACCGGGGACGCTGTGCTGCAGGAGCTGAGGCGCTGCAAAAGTTCCTGCTCTGCGTCGTTTTGCTGCTCGGCGCCATTTTCGGAAGTAAAGCTGTTGAAGAAAGTGCTTCGCCTGAAGTTGTTGAATAAATCGCCCTCGGTGCACACAGTGCTGCGCTCGGCTGTGGATGACCGAACAACTTCAGGTTGTTGTAGTTGTCCTGCAGAGGATTTTTGAGCCGGATGTTGTTGATGATCTAGGGCTCCTGTATTAGGGATTCGGAGCGAAGGAATTACTATCTCCTCGGTGGTCACTACACTATCAGGAGGAGCAGGGGCTTGTTGTTGATGTTCCGTATTGGCAATTATACTTCGCTTGGCCTGCTCGCGCTCGGCTTTTTCCTTCAATTCCTGTTCGGCTAGCTTGGTACGTTTCTTCGTGAGTTGCTTCCTCTTTTTCTGCGAAGGCCGGGGCATACTTTTTTCAAACACAGTGCCAAAATTGGGACTTTGTAGCGCCTGCGGGAAATGTTTTATCGTACAGCGTCAAAAATTTATTGTTCCCGACGAAAATAATAGCATTTTTGAGGTCAACACCATCAGGAGGATAAAGCAGGTGAATATAAGCGTTGTACAAGAGTCGCACCTTGTGAAGAGAATGTACACGTATAACCACTCATAGCAAGTTCAGTGGCCGCTTCTTAGTCCGTTACGCTACCAGCAAAAATTCCTAATCGTTTTTGATAAAAATGTTTTTCTCCGAACTCAAAGCACCATGAACACGCGACGGAACGCAGTCAAAGAAACATCAAACACACTCACAAAACCAGAAGCCGCGAATTACCTCGTGAAAAAAGGCTGGTCACTTAACTATCAATGAATAATTACTGTGCTGCCGCTGCTTGTGCTTATTCGGCGACTGGAAATTGCAGCCCCTTTTCTGAATACTTAAAGGCGCGCAGGCTTTCCAGATTCCCTCAAGCTACTTTCGACTCTCGCTAAGACAATAGAAATTGCACAATAGACAGGACCAAAGCGCCACGATAAGGGAATGATCAACCAGAAGATTCTTCACAACCCTGAAACGACTCCTCCAGAAACAAAAACGCCGCGGTCTACTCCGCCGGCTGCAGTACTGGTGACACAATGGAGCCATGGCATCGGTACACACGTCAGTTTCTTGATGTAGTCAGTGTAGTTGCATTGTTCATCATTCCTACCCTTTTCCGTTTGTTCGGAGTCATCCATTTTACAACAACATCCAGAATCTCAACCTAATTGCTACCAGCAAAGAGGACTTAAAATCATACCAAAACTTGTTCGTGACACTACCAGGTAGTAGTTCCTTGAGAACTACTCCTTCCTTACTTTCGAAAATCATACAAAACGACTGCACCTTCATCGCTGCTCTTATTCACGACGAAGATTTATTCAAATCTCTGATCGTCCGTGGTGTCGGCAAGGGCTCCATCTGCTCCCGTGATGCGATATTCGTTTCATCCTTTCCGCCCGTTGAAGTGATAGAATTCTTCTCCTGCTTCTCATTCCCTCCTCCTCCACCTGTCGTAGCCGCAGAAGCTGCACCCTGCTCCGAAACCGGCGGCACAATCTCCACGAATTCTCCCGCCCGGCCGCTCCCGTTTGAATTCAGTGGCAATGGGGACCCGAGCGGCAGCGGCGCGCCCGGTGCGAGAAGCGCGACCGGGGAAGATGTGGGCTTTTCAATTTCGTGCTGTTTCTTTTCCTCCATGGAGGTAGGAGAGAGCGGCTGCTCCTTCTCGATTTTCTTCGCTGCCGGCGTGTCTTCTGCTTTTATTTGCTGCTTGTGATGTTCCACAACCACCTGTGGTGCCGGACCCGTTTCTTCCATCTGACTGTCCCCCGATTCGTTCTTGCGCTCGGCAGACGTGGCAACGCCAGCGGTAGGTGGGGCTGCGGCAGATTTTGTCGCGGCGTGGTCCTTGTCTTCGGCATCAGTCGGGGTGGTACTACTTTCCGGGTGCCCACCCAGGAGCGGGAAAAAAAAAGAAGGAGCTTCTTTCGCTTCGCTCGTAGTAGTTCGCTCTTCCGCAGCCTTGGCGTTTTCCACTGTCGTAATTGCAGCCTCCTCTGCGACGGACTTGGCTGCGTCTGATTTTGATAGATTTCTTGGTGTCTTCGCGATGCGCTGCTGCAGCTTCACTTTCTACTAGTAGAGGATCTCGTTGGATTAGTACAACACCATCTTCTGCGCAAGCAGTTTACTCCAAGTTGCAAACGAAAAACCACATAGTACCTGGATTAACTTTCTGTGTCAATTCCAGAACGTTCTCCAAAATGTCCGCTCTGGAATTCCGAAATTTTTGGAACGCTACGCTCACTGCATCCGCGTTGCTCACGTCCGCTTCCCGCATTTTTTCTAACAACCCCGCTGCGTTCTCAGCCTCCGTTTCCACTTCCGTCGACTCCGAGGACAACTTCTCCAACTCCGGCCCCAGTTCTTTTTTCAAAGCATTCGTGACAATGGTGCTGATTTTCTCCAGTGGCAGCCTCTCTTGCTGCAGTTTCACCACTTCGTTCTCTAATTCGACGATCTTTTTCGCGTACTTGTCCGCTTTTTCCGTGTTTTCCTTGTTATCCGCTCGCATCTTATCCGTCGCAGACTCGAGCGATGCGACATTCTGCTTCACCACGGCGAGGTTGGTGACCAGTTTCTGCGAAACCGTATCCGCAGTTTTGGTCAGCTCGGCGGTTTCCTGTTGGGCAATTTTGATGATTCTTATACAGATACTGTGCTGCAGCTGCTGAACTTCAGACAGAACAAGACCAGAATTGTTCTGTCATGCTGTGAAAACCCGCAATGTGAACAACTCAGCCAAAAAGTAGCAGAAATTCTTGGCTGTTAATGCCATCTAAGTCTACCTGCTTCCTCTCCTCCACCTGCTGCAATGCCTCCTCCTCCTTTTTCCGCGCTTCCACCGTGTCCTTCTCCGCCGCTTTTTCCGCCTCTGCGACCACTCGCGTCTCCGCTTCCGCGGTCTCTCGGGTCTGTTTCGCGGCCTGCTGTGCGGCTTCCTCGGATTCCTTTGCGGACGCGAGCTTGTCGGTTAAGTCCGCGAGTTCGTCGTGCAGTCTCGCGTTTTCCGCTTCCAGCCGCTTCACGTTTTCCGCCGACTGCTTCAGCGCAAGTTGCTGCTTTTTCTGCAACTTCCGCAGGCTCTGGTTGGCCGCCTCCACCACGTCCGCGGCCTTCTGTTCCTCCTCTGCCGCCTCGATGGCTTTGGTGACAACGTTACCGCTGTCCTCCTCCTCCTCGGATTTCAAATCGCCTGCGCCCGATTGATGTTCCACGGAAGCTCCGGCGGCGAGTTCCTGCCCGTCGGTGGAGGCAGCGGACGCTGAGGTAGTTGCAGCGCTTGCTGCGGAGGAAGATGATGTGCCTCCATCGAGGAACTCTTTCTCCAGTTGGTCTAATGTTGTAGCCTGTTCCTCCGTCGTACTCGCTTTGCTGCTGTCCTTCTCCAAAGTGGTGCTCTCTCCATCCTGGAACAGTGCCGGTGGGTCCAGGGAGGGAAAGGTAAGACTCGAGGCCGTCGTAGCCGCAGCGCTGTCTGGCGGTGTGGCGTCCGGGGAAAGGGAAGCGGGGTTGCTGGACGAGGAAACACTACTCGAAGTAGAGGCTGTTGGGGAGGCTGCTGTGGATTTGACTGATTGCATGCGAAGATGAAAAAACTCGAATCTTGCGCGCATAGAGAAGAATCCGACACGGAAATTTCTATAAATTTGGCAAAATTCGAAAAGGAAAAGATCATCAAAACGCAAGGAAATAAATACTAGTTGGAAGAAGGAAGTCTAGCGGCAAGCGCAGCGCACTGGAGGCGGTGCCCCAAGACCCGCAGAGAAGCACTCGGAGATCCTTCACCCGGGGCAACATGTCACCCGCTAGGTGGTCAACAAGACTCACAGACTACGTTGCCATCTTTTCGTGCAGATGCGTCGTTGTGGCATTGTCATTGTTTCTCGGGTTCGGTACACCTAAAATTCTGAAGCAAGTATACCAAGCAAGACAACATGAATTTCATGCGCGATTCATTCGGAAGCGCCGCGATGTACTGCCGTCCGCGCCGGTCATCTTGCCACCTACAGCCGTCCTCGCAGGGTACCAATAGGCTCTCGCCCTCCAAAAACATCAACTCAATACGTGTCTGGCCGTGGGGCCCACGCAGGCTCACAAATGATATGAACACAACGAAAGTGGCAGCATCCAAGGATGGCGCGGCCAAGCGTGTCCGCTCTGTCCTTCTCACGTATGATGCCAAAAAATTTATCAGTATCCAAGGCCGACGACGCGAGAGTACGTGCCCGCACCGGGGGGCAACGGCAGCGCACCAAACGCGCCCCTGTGCTCAAGGCGCGGCCCGGGTGTGCTTGCCTCCCAATTCGCGCCGGACGCGCAACCGGAGGGAGCGCAACAGCCAATGCTTGTCTATAATGATAGAAGCCAACTCCTGGCGCGGCGGTGAATATACGAAATGCGGCGGGCGGCGCCCGCCCGCCCAGCAGGAAGGCCGCGAGGGCGCCGGCCCGACGGCACTAGCGGCCCAGCCGGAGCGGGCGCGCGGGGCGAGCAGGCCGATGGGGGCCCCGCCGGAAATGCAAGGGCCGTAGGGGCCCAATCCTCTTGCTCCACCAGGTCGCCGGGGTTCTTGTTCCACCAGGTCGCCGGCTCGCCGGGGCGCATCCCGGGGACCCAGAAGGTGGCCGACGTGTTCGAAGGGCGGCGACACCTAAACGGGGGCCGGCGCGGCCAAGGAGCGGCCGCGCCGCCCGCGCGAAGCCTCCGGGCGCCGCCTTTCCGTTCGCTACGTGCCTCCGCACTCTGCCGCTGGACGCACAGACCCGAACACGCGGAAGGCCGTGCGGGCCTGGGGCAGCAGCTGTCCCAGAATCGGGCACCTGTTCAGGACGCTGCGCGCCGAAGCGCGGACGTACTAGCCCCAGCGCAAAAGAAGCGCGCAGCGCCGCAGTGCCCTTGGCGGGCCCTTAGCGGCCCGGCCCGGCCGCGCCGGCCGGCGCGCTTGGCGGCCCGCCGGGGCTCGCAAATGCCTCGGCCGCGGAAGTTAGTGCGCCAAGCAAGGCAAACCCGCGGGGAGAGCGCCTGCGGCGGCCAGCAATGTCATCGGATATACCTGTGGTTCGTGGGGTCGATCCGGTCCCGCAGACGTCGGCGATGTGGCCACCATTTTCATCGGCGCAACCTCCCGCGACCCCTCCGCGCGGCAGCCGCCTCATCTCGCCGCGGCGCCTGTCCCAATCTTCTCTGCTAGGGTTTCGTCCCAATCTCGCCCGGGCGCATACCTGCGGCCGCAATCGTCGCCGGTCAAGGAAACCCCGGCCCGCCCACCGTGGCAGAGGCGGGCCACGGGAAGCGTCGACGCGCATCGCCAAGATAGGCGAGGGCAGCAAAACGAAGGGCAGCGCCCGGCTTTTTTCGCCTGCCCAAGGACCTCCGGCGCAGCCCTCTGCAGCTTTCGCCCCCCTTCGCCAGGCCTCCTCTTTGCCTCTGTGCGTATTGGTGCAAGGTGGTATGAAGACGAAACCCAGCTGACCTAGCACTACGGTGCGAGGAGCTAGGCTAACACAGCCGCTGGCTGCGTTCGCGGCAGGTGTCGTAAACGGAACACATTTAAGAGCGATAAAGCCGAAACAGTAATTAATAGTTCACTTCTGTTTCCTCCTCGCAGCCATATTTCCGCATGGCCCGTGCCAGCGGTAAAAACGGCTTCGAAAATATAAGTTCAGCAGCACTGCATCTGAAAGCACTTTTGGAAGCAACTTTCTACCGTCCATCCCACTAACAACAGCAAAAGTAGAATTCTCACTCAGTGTTATTGGACTATTAGCAAAAAAAGCAACAACTTTTTCTTGTTTACACATATACACCAAAATGAAGCAGACCTCCTTCACGCACACACACAAAACGCGACCACCCACCAAGTCGCGAAAAACCGCTCCCACCTACACCGCCATTTCCATCGCTACTTTAGGGTGCGGGTTGTACCCGACGATGGTGAAGTCTTCGAATTTGAAGTCGTCGATTTCCTTCACGTCGGGGTTCAGTTTTAGCAGGGGAAAGGGTCGCGGCAACCGGTCCACCTGCTGCTTCATCAACGGTTCAACGTGATTGCTGTAGACGTGCGTGTTGCCCATGCTGTGCACAAACTCGCCCGGTTTCAGGCCGGTGACTTGCGCGATCATGTATGTCAGTGCCGCATAACTCGCAATGTTGAATGGAACACCCAGACCCATGTCGCAACTGCGCTGGTACCTGGTACAAATGTTGACATCAACATCTTCATGCAAAACAATGACGCACTTCTCTTTTTCCAAATGTCGCTGACAGACTGAAATTTAATTTTCGCTTCGTGACCAATAAGATGAAGATCATAGCGCATCGAAAAATATTCAGTAAAAACACCAGAGACAACGAAGACGAACTTCTACTGAAAGTACGAAAATACAGCAAGCAACTGAGCTCGTCCCCCTTGCTGACGTAGAACTGCGCGAACATGTGGCAGGGCGGGAGCGCCATCTCGTGCAAAGCCGCGGGGTTCCACGCTGTGATGATCATTCGGCGGTCCGCGGGATTGGTTTTCAACGTTTTGATCAGTTCCGCGACCTGATCGACCCCCTTCCCCGCGTAGTCAGTGTGCATGTCCTTGTACTCCGCCCCAAAGTGTCGCCACTGGAACCCGTACACCGGTCCCAAGTCGCCAACCTCCCGGTGGCCCAAACCTCGCTTGTCGAGGAACTCGCGGCTGCCGTTGCCGTCCCAGATCTTGATGCCCTTTTCCGACAAATGGTTTCCGTTGGTGTCGCCCCGAAGAAACCAAAGCAGTTCCTCCAGCACGCCGCGCCAGAAAACCTGAAGGTTGGAATCATTTTTGGGATATAAAATGTGTATGCGCAGTTCAAAAAACTCCGCTTACATAATAGTAAAATTCATCATTCATGCAACAGGTTGTTCGCTACACTCTACCTCTTCCTCTACTTTATCTAGAACCTCCGTATGCAGAAAAAGCGCACCGAAGACCATTGTCACGACTCATTCAGTACCCTTTTCGTGGTCAGCAAGGGGAACACGCCGTCCCTGAGAGAAAAGCGCATTTGGCAGCCAAACTTGCTGTAGGTGCCGACGCCGGTGCGGTCCTCCTGGAAGTCACCGGATTCTACGATGTCTTTAATCATGTCCAAGTACTGCAACTCCTCATGCAGCATCTGCTTTGAGTCCACGATAGCGGCGGGTATTGACTCCCCACCCGCTTCCTCGGCGGCCGGGACCCGCACGTACTTGACGAAGTCAAAGCTTTTTTGTTTCATAAAACTCAATGAGAAAAGCGGACTCAGTTTCCAAATTTTATCACATTATACATTCACATGCACTTGCCCACTCCTCGTATCGCATGACTAAGGATGAAAAACTTTGAACAAGCGATCAAGAACCAAATAAAGCATTAGAATAAATAGATGATACGGAATTTCGTCGTAGCTCTTCGTCTTGGACACCTCTACCGGCTTGAATTCTTCGAGATTTATCTGGGGAAAAAACACGTCGCAGTCGAACTGCTTGCCGACGCGGGTGAGATAAATGTTGCTGTAAAACGCCATGCCCTCCGTGAACGCTCTCTCCCCGCCAATCACGAAAATTGACTCGACGGAGCTGTCCTCCTCGCAGTACGCTACCGCGTCAGAAAAGGACGCTTTGGCGACGGCTTTTCCCTCGCAGGCCTGCGTAAACCCCTCGCTGTCGGAGGTCAAAACGACGTTCAGACGGCCGTCCAGCGGGCGGAACCTGTTATGGAGATGATAGAAGTTGGAGTTTTAGTGTCACTTGGTTGATGTGTGCATGACAAACTTCTATCACGGCAGCCGGTGAGAAATTATACAACCATACGGAATTTTCAAGAACCAGTAAATCTAAATGTTTTATTCGCGTCTCCACAATAAGTAGTACTTTGCCGGTATGCTTTCCCAGGTTTTCCTGCCCATCAGCACCGCGTTTTTCTTCTCTTTCCCCTTCGTCGCCATGGTTATCGTTTTGAAGCGCTTCATGTCCTCCGGCAGCTTGGCCCAAGGGAGCTGTCCCTGGTTCCCGATGCCGCGGTTAGGGCATTGTGCCACAATGCAGTTCACCGGCTTCTTGGAGCCGGAGGCGGACGACATGATGATTGTTGTCAACCAGATGTTTTTAGCTTTCTTGGAACAACACGAGAAACAAAAGTAAAAGCTTTTCGGTACAGATATCTTTCTCCGGAGAAAGCAAAAAAAAGGAAAACTTCTTTGACTAGATGAGAACTGATCGGGTTTTCTTTATTCGACAAAACAGTCTTTCTTTTTGTCAAGAGACCACACCCGGATCATGAAAAATATCGACATTCCTAATCGACGAAAAAGAAGCCACAATGCGATTTTTCAATCTCCAGCCATTTTACTTCCAGCATTTGCAACTCCAACTCGAACTCAGCGCACATATGATGTGGGCACACGTTTTTCGTGCGCAGATGTAGAAATGCACAGACACATAATTTCTTCACACGACGGCACGCAGCTTATCTCTACATGGTCGTTTCTCCACGACGCGTCGGAGTGTCTCCAAAGATGGAACACGAGGACAACGGGAGGAGCGGCAAACGCAAGCATTGGATCCTGCTAGACCTAGACGTCAGCAGTGATAATATACCTATCACGTTATATATATATTATTGTTGAATCTTGGATTTATACTAGTAGAAGCCTTCTACTTCTACATGTGCGTAGATCATCGCTCAGACCAAAAAGTCCGCATTTGCGTCTGTGAAAATGCGGCCATCCTCTACCATCATGAAACCACTTCGAGCTTCATGTCTTCGAAGGACTCCGGTGGCGCCTCGCCTCTGTCAAATTTCTCTTGCAGGACCTGAATGTGCTGCGCGTCCGGGGCGGATTGGATCAACTTAAAGTAGCGCTGCTGCTGCGCTTCAGTGAGTTTACTTCTCCTCTCCGCCGCTTCCTCTTCCCTGCTGAGCCGCACTGGGGCGAGCTGTTCGAACAGCCCGGGTTGCTCTTTTTCGAACAGTTCGATGGCTTTCTCGCGTTCCTGTGGCGGGTATGGTGCAAATGAGGTTGCTTGATCATCTCAAAAACGATGCATCTTCATATTCCATATAGTAATCAAGTGGAAAATAAATCAACGCGGTCTGTTGAATCTGTCAAAATCACACACGGCATCACACCAGGCAGAAAAAACCTCCGATCAAGTAGTACCTTGTCCCCGATCTTTTGGAAGTCAAATATTCTGAGGTTGGTGTTCCTCAGCAGGTATACCACGAACATTTTGTAATGTTCGTGCACGCAGATGTCGTTTTCCTTTAGCGTGATTCTCTCTAGCTTCTTGCACTTCGCCAGCGGAAGGAGGTCAACGAGGTTCTTGATCCTGTTCCTCGTCAGCACGATCGACTCCAGATTAGGAAGTTCTGTAGTTTATTCATCCGGGTTTATTTTAGATCTCAAAAATTACGACAGGAGCAGATGCGGATAAAAAAACAGAGGGAACTACATTCGGAACTACCCAAAAATGCACTAGGTCAAAGACGATTTCAAGCTTTGGCTGAGTTCAGGATGGCACAGGAAAAAGAATGCCTCTTTCATCTTGACGAAAAAAAATATATCGCATTTTATTTACCGTCAAATGCATCGGGAACGATTCTCTGGATGTGATTTCCGGAGAAGAGCAGAGTCTTGATCTTCGTAAGTGGTGGGAATTTGTTGATTTTCATTATCTGGTTATCGGACATGTCGAGGCACTCGTAGTGGTCTCGTGTACACCCCAAGTTCTCCAGCACTTCGATGTGCTTCCTGTTTAGTTTTAGAATGAAAATAAGATGGGCATTTGTATTGCAAAGCAAATCTTGTTCCTTATCGTGCCGGTCGACGACGTCGTGATATGAAAATCAACAAGCATGCTATCCGGGGCAGGTGCACTCGCAATTTTCACAAGTTAGTGAATCAGAATCATGTTGCAGGAGCATGACAATCTGTGTTATACCCTCGCATGGACAACTGTCGCTGCTTGGCCGCATTGATTCCCTGCGCGGAGAACTGCACAAGTTCGAGCGTTATTCGTGGCATTATCGCGGGTACTAGGCTGGAACCGGAAGTAAGGGTCGAAGTTTCGGTGGACTAGTGCTGCTGTGGATGATGTCCTTCCCGTTTTCGTTGTTAATCCGGTGCTTTTCTCTCTGCGGGTCGTGAAAAATTTCTGTCGCAAACATGTACCTACTTTTTCCACCGAGTACTAGGGGAAGTGCTCGTATACGGTACTGGTAATTGCGTGTGGACGTCGCTAGCCTTCGGTATCAAGCAAACTTACTCACAGTCACAATTCGATACAGTATTACTTCAAGGTGAAACTGATAGCGTACTGCTGAGCAAAAACTATGACTCCTACGATTCGCCTACGCTGTATTTCTCCCGTGCCTTTTGAAACTATGGCAGCCTGATAGTAACATTTCGCATTCGTATGAAAATGATTTTTGATTTTTGAAACACAGCAATTTGCACGGTAAACAAAGAAAAACTGAAACTGCAAAGCTAGCACCATACAAAGCAAAGCTTCTTCAGTGGCAAGAGTAGATCACATCTTCAAACCTGTTTCGGTTTCCTATTACGGTCTCGGATCCAATGTAGTAGCGCCAGATCTTTTTATTGTCAGTGCAATTGCAATTTCACACAGTATCAGAACTTCTGCTCGCGTCTAACATACCAGGGATCAAGTCTTTCGAGCTAAAGGTCGTCCTTAAAGAAATCGCGCAAACGATCTGGTTTCTGAACGGAACTGCCAGTTAGATCAGCACCAGGTCTCCTTTTATTGTTTTGTATTTGTGGCAGTGGCCCCGCAGCTGCATGAACACTTAGCCTTATGTTATCGATTTTATTAAGATCTCATTAGCAACGACGGAACTCGTCTTTCGTGATATGAACCGATATTTTGAAGAACTGGGAATGAAAAAGCGTGGTCATCAGGTTGCAAAACCCACCACGACCTATGTCGGCGCAAACATTTTTTCCAGCTGTCTCTTTTTCTTTTGGAATTGTTTGTAGGACATCCTCCCTATCGCGTACTGCTCTGCCAAAATCCGACTCTCTTCCGTAAACGTTGCCACGTGCCCACTGCTGGAAGAGCTCGACATGACCTGCTGCTTCGGCGCCAATTGCAGTTGTTGACCACTCGCGCTCGTCGGACTGACGTTAGTACTATTTGTTCCTGCTGCTCCGACAAACATTTCTTCCGCGACGGCCCTGGAAGATAAAAACGAATGCTGTTCTTCGGTCGTAACCCGTGCGCAGTGCTCTTTCAACAGTTCTAGCGTCTTCTCCGTGTCGGTCACGTACATGGTGAAATTGCCGATCAAGACATTTTTCTCATCGGATAAGATGCTGTCCCGGGGAATCTCGAGAATCACACCCTCCAAGTACAGTCGCTGCACCATCGCCTCGTAGACGCAGTTGTCTTCCTTGATAAGTTTTGTATTGTTTTTCACGATCGTCGGGAGAGTCTCCTCGTTCTCGATGATCGTGATGGGCTTCAACTCGGTCAACTTCACCCTGCCAGAGGTTGTGCCGAGCCGCAGGATTTTCTTCGATTTGTCGTCCGTGCTTATTTTCACTCCTCGTTCCTGCAGTTGTGTAGAAGTCGTGGCACTGTTCGAAGATGTCGTGTTCTGGTTGAAAAACGCATGTTTAGAGGGCCTGTTCAACATCTGACCGCTTGATGCCGCCGAAGTGTCCTTTTGGTTTGCCTTGCTTGATGTCCCACGCTTGATATTCTGCTCGTAGTTTCCCTTCATTTGCAACTTGATTGCCTCGATTGAAGCGCTCTTGTGTTGGGGGTCTTTAACATCGCTCTTGCCTATGATCTCCTCGGTGGTCGCTTTCTTGCCTAAGTTCTGTTTTGCTTTTGTGCCCGATGATTCCTCGTTGCCCCCGCTAGGACTACTTTCTCGCTCTTCCCGCGTCCTACTATCACTATCTTCCGCACCGTTCATCGCATCACCGCCTGGGCGAGCACTACTACTACCTTCCTGCCCCGTCGTCTCAGCAACTTGCTCGTCGCCCTCCTTGCTGTAACGCCAGACATCTTCGTCGTCGATGATGATCCGGTAGAAATGCCGTTCTGTCAGTACGTAGACCGTGCGTAAACACAGTTGCCGGTTCCGGTAAATCGCGGTCAACAAACACCAGGAGAAACAAAGCCCAAACGGCCAGCAGCAGGGCCAGACCAGCTCCGGGCAGGTGCCGAGACACGAGGAAATTTTCGCGCTGTTGGTACAGGAGACTCGCCATATTGCGATAATTCTCTCCGCAGTTGCTCGTTGGAGGTGTTGTGGACTATTGATTCCGCCTGTCAGCATGGTCTGCAGGTCCCCGTCGGCGTGCACTCGCGTGTCAATGTCATCCCACTGCTCGGGCTCGTTGTTCTCAAGAACGCTATCATTGTGATGTGCAGTGACGTTCTGCATTGACGTTTCTGGTCCCTCTTGTTGGTCCACGGTCGTCCTCTCGGCTGCCAAGTGGCCAGCATTTGGATCATTTTCACGACCTCGCGCAGTGGAATTCGGATCTAGGAGTCGTTCCTGTTGTTCTCGCCTTTGTTGATTCGCCCCCTGTTGCTCCTCCTCTTCCTCTTCAGCGTTGCCCGTGAAAACGAACTTACGGTGCTTCAAAATCCTCTCCACAAGTCTCAGATCCTGCTCGGTCGCACCCGACAAGAGTTGCACGGGGGGAAAAAATAGGTGGGGCCCTGAGGGGGCCAAGTCTACCACTTCGATTGGCTTTTTAGATTTGCCATCGTGTCCTTTCCTGGTTGTCGTGGTCGCCGAGCCAGCAGCATCTTCCCTGGTGTCCGACGTCCTTGCTTGTTCCCGATCCCGTGCGCCGATCAACGCATTCCCGCTCTGCAGTGTGTCCTTGCTCCCAGTTCGCAAAGTTTCTATGGTTCCGCTTCGCGCAGAGCTCCCGCTCGCATAACTGTACAAACTCGCCGCAACGTCACTACTTACCTGCCTCGACCGCTCCGTGACTTGCGACTCCTGGCTCGCCGCACTCCCAGCGGTTGTCTCTCGGATCAAAGGTAGCGCTGCCATGCCGGGAGCGGCAAACGGAGGGGCGGTAGCCACGGAGGACGACGCGTTGCTGTTCGCCTGCGTTTCGTGATCTCCATCGAGGAGGAGAAAGTCCCGGGTCACGAGCGACCTCTTCGCGCCTATCGTTTCGGGATTGGGCGGTTGGCTTGGTGTTTTACCAGAGGAGGAAGGGGGCATGGTTCGAATGCTTCAGAAATTTCAAAGGGGAAAAATATATTGATATTGGGGCCAGATAAATACTAGGTGTAGGTTTAGCCGTAAACACCGTTTCATGTGGAATTTGATACAGAAACTGCCTCCTAGTAGGGCGAATTTTGATCCAACAGATATCCTATTGTACGTACCAAAGAATGCGACGCGATTCGTTCAGAGCTAGTGTAACTAGAAGGTGGACGCGTCGCCATGGCAATCGCATGTGTTGTAACTGCAAGACTATCATGGATGAACTTCATGGGGTTGTGCTTGACTTTCTAAGCTAAACGAGCTCTATCTGGACAAAAAATCGTGCTTGGGTCCTGTTGTACTCTGACACGACGATGGTGATAAGTACAGGAAAACGCGATACCGAGCAAGAGCATCGTGAAGAGTGCTTCTTTATCTGCACACGAAGTGTTGAAGACCGATAGCCACACTCGAGGGCGTGTACACTTGTAGCGGCCGACTTTCTTCTATCATATCTTTTCAACTCGACACCGAATACTTTTTGGTTTGTTCACAGGAGATAACCGAAGCGAAACTAGATCTGTTATGTTTAGATACTACTGGTGCAAAAAATACGCAGTCCACTTTCACATCACGAAACCAAGCCGCAAAAACGACGACTCAGACCGAGGACGGCACTAATGCTGCAGTGTAAAGGCCCGAGACGGGCGCTCCCAGTTAACGTGTCGACGATTTAGTTCGTCGCGTTACTGAAGTTTACATTTACAGAAAATGACACTGAACACGACTACAAACAGAGACTGCCATCCGATACAAACTGCCGGAAAGTTACGAAACCCCGCCGGCCAGGGTGTTGCGCGGTTTCGTCTACTGAATTAACACACAACGCCTCCCTCGCGGCGGAAGCCTGACATTGCCGGCGACGGGCCCGGGCCCCTGCGCGCACCAGAGCCAGGGCAACAAGGCTGTAGCCCATGCATCCGACGCAAAAATCGCGCGGCCGGTGGCCGCCTTGGCTACAACAAAACGCAAGGGCAAAAGTGGGGGGGCGCTGCCGCGCCGGCGCCAAGCGAGCGCGACCGCCTGCGCGAGCCGCGTGCCCCTCTTTACGGCGGCGGCCGCAGCGCCAGGCGCTGCGCGATTACCCTAAGGCGCCCGCCAGGGCGGGGGCTGGGCTGGCGGCATGACGATCAACCGCGTCGCGCCATGCCAGTGCATGCGACGCGAGCGCGCGGAGGCAAGCGATGGCCGTCGGTGTTTTTCGTGACGATCCCGCCCCGGAATCCCTGCAGCTGCGCCAGCTCGTCGGAGATCTCGACGAGCTTCGCCCGCCCCGCACCCGCGTAGGTCTGCCGAGCCATCTGGCAAGTGTTCCAGTTTGCGTCTTCGCTCGGTCGTCCTGCGGTGGCCGGGGCCAAACGTACCCGGAACCAGTTTGCGCGCCAGGCCATCATGGATATCCGCGCGCGAGTTTACTTAACAGCGCCGAAAGATGTGCGCGCTGCACCTTGCGCGCCCCGCCCGCATCACACACGTCCAAAGCATTGCTCTCCCTCGCTTGTGGCAGCGCGCCCCCCCTCCGCTTCCGCTGGCGGTGGGCTGGCTCGGCCAAGACAAGAGCTGCGCACGAGTACAGGCGCCCAACCCGGCGGCAGGCGCAATGAAAATAAGCCCAAGCCCGCTCGGTGACCGGGGCGGCCGTACATGGCCAGCAAACCAGCGCGGCCCGCCGGCACCCGGGCCCCACACTCCCGGGCGAGCATCCTGGCAAGACGGCCCCGCGGCTCTCCCCGGTTCCAGCGGCGCTCTGGGAAAGTACAGACATGCTCTCCCCTCTTGGGACTTGCAACAGTTACGACGTAGCTGCTCACGCCCTGACGGCCCCGCGTCTGGTGCTCGCCAAAGCCATCGGCATGCTGGCGCGGGGCGCTTCGTCCTTGTACAACTCCCGCAACAGCGTCAAGCCCTTCCGCTGCACTGCCGGCCTACCGTTCCGCGGGCCCTCGCGGCCCTTTTTCGCCACTCGAACGCGGCACACGCGGGCGCGTTCGTGAGCCAGCCCGCTGCTGTGGCTCCGCGGCCGCCGCCCCCGGAAACCAACCCGCGCGCCACGCCCGCCGTCGCTCTGAATCGGTCCCGCAGCTCAGCAGCGTCTTCTTGCCGGCGTCGGTTTCTCCCTCTGTGTTGGGAATGAATCGCCTCGGATATTTCTCTGCGTCACCGGTCGCGCACTGCGCTTCCCGCCCTGTGCTTCCTGGCTGCGCTTTCTTCTGCCCCGAACACTTTGAGCGGGCGCCCGCTCTTTTCCGCCATGTGCGCTGCCGGAGTGAACTGGCCGGCCGGCGTCTTGTCCTGCGCAGCCAAGTTACCGACTCGGGCAACCATGGATGGGCGCAAGAGCGGAGGCGGCCCCTGCACCGGAGCAGTTTGGGGCACATTGGAAAAAATCCGGCCAATGGGACTGGGTGCAAGCGGCGCCAGCCCGGCCGAACGAGAGCGCCCCCCACATCGGGCGCGCGAAAGGCAGCGGGGCGCCGCGCGCCGGCGCCCGCGCCCGCGCCCAAAGGAGCCGGCGGGGCCCCACAAAAAACGCACAAGCTCCCACCTTCGCGGCCGGGCGCAGAGCGGCAGCGCCGTCATTCTTTGCGGCGGGCCCCGGCTCGTTGCGGGCCCGACGCACAACGTCGCCCGCATGCGCCCCCGGCCAGCTGCAGGCCACCCAGGCCGGCGGCTGGGTGCCTGCTGCGGGCCGGCGGCCGCCTGTCGCGGGCTCTTGTCGGCCACGCCTTTGGGGACTTCCCACCGCGAGGCTCCCCTTCAACCTCTTCCCCTTGAATCGCGCGGCCCAGCCACCCAGGATTTTCCTCGCCGCCGGCTTCTCCAATACATAGCCGGGGGATTTTCTTCTTCGTCATGGGGTACATTGCGAGGAAACTTTACCCCGTGTTGCCGAACTCAGCAAATATGGTGGCTCACAGAGAGAGCACGGGAGAAACTATCCACACCTCCTCCACTCCTCCACAGCTGCTCGAATTTGCCGGCGATTCGAACATCACCACACTGATTGGACGTTAGCAAAAAGAACACAGCGCGTCTCTGTGTGCACGTGAAGCATGCGCAATTCTTCGCAGGTGTGGGCTTTTCATCTCTGCCATCCTTGTTCCTCGTCATGTTCATGGATACCTCACGCTTGCCCCTACTCGATATGGGCACATGAAGCTATCTGGACAAGTTTCCTCTGATTCTAGTAGCAACACAAATCTCCTGTCCAACAAATTCCTCGACACCGCCCGAATCGCCACTTCACTTCCGTAACACGGACTACCGACCATACCCTCACCCTGAACCAAACTCGCCACTCCGCTGCTCGGCCTCACTTGGCGAAAGCTGAATTTCGCTTCGTGCACAACCAGATTGCGGCTGCCTTCGAAACAGTGCGTGTCCTGCCTCGGTTCATCTATGCGCTCCTTCGCCGGCGACACAACTACACTATTCTGATTGTTCTTGCTCTCCGTCAAAGGTGAGATTGCTGCACTCAATACCGTGGCAGCCGGTGTGTAGAACTTCTGCAGGATCTTGTGATTCTTCGGATTTTGCTCTGGAATGTCCCCGTCGCAGTCGGTGGAGACGTAGTGACTCGGGTTGTCCATGTCATCCCCGCCTGGGTAGGCTTTTATGCATCGCAACTCCAACGCGGTCGAGTCCCAGCCAGAGGGGATGTGCTTGAAGACCTGTATGTTTCCGTTTCTGATGTTGACATACTCATAAATTTGTGCCGTCCCTCACAACCGAGACTCATTTAGATTTCAACTACATGGACGCCACAGGAAGACCACAAGATGGTCTCTGGAAATAAACTAGCTCCTGTTTCTACAACGCTATACCAACACGTGAAACTTCCACTGCCACGACACCACCCTCGGCTTTCCGACGCACGAACCGACCATGGCAAACGTTATGATCCAGTGCGTGCGCTTTCCGTTCGCCTGTTCGTTGTTGCCCAAACACAAAGTCACCACCGGATTCTCTGTCATTCGCAGCAACCCGAAGGAAAATTTATGCTCGAACCCATCGCTTTCATTAGTGCAATTTGCCCCTCGCATCAGCCGCGAGCCGACGAACGAGCGGGAGTCCTTTGCTAGGGCGGGCTTTTCGGTTATGATGTTATTCTTCTCTTGCACAAGGTTCATCTTGTTTTCAACCGAAGGCGCCGCTGCGTTTTGTACTACACTCGGTAGCCCTGGTGGCACCGCGGTTTGTTCCTCGCTTAAATTGTTCAGCTTCGCAATGCGCCCGGGCAGTCTATCTCGGAAGCCGACACAGAAGTCGTCCCCCTCGGGCACGTACAACGAAAACGGCTCCTGGTCCCAAACTAGGCCGTATTTCGTCTGATTTGACCAATACCCCTCTTCGACGAGCTGAGTATAGTAGAGCGAATTCGACGCGAAGGAAATGCGCTTCCAGTTTGTGGTACCTGAGCTTGACGCGATTTTTTGCGAAGGAGGTTGCTGGTTCGGAGTTTGGGCCTGCTCTTCTGTTCCTAGAGATGGTCTCGTGGATGTTGTTGTACTCAAAGTCGGCGGCGCGACTGGCCTATGCATTTTTTTGACCTTCGGATCGTCTACGAAGCCCCACTATGCATTGCAAATATGTCTGGGTCTGGAAGGTTGGTACTTGTGATGCATGTTGCGGATCATACAAAAATCTGTGTTGCGTGACTTGCAAAAGGTGCGTACTTTTGGCCATGCTGAGAGGGCATCTCTCATGCAGAACAGGCATCACCAAGGGGCTGCGGATCCTGTGATGCTAGGCCCTGCATTCCAGACTCGGCGGAGCTTGGAAAAACTGCATGACAAGTCTCAGAATCTTCCAGACCCAGACATTTTTGCATTTGATACCCACAGGGTCAAGTCCGTGATATTCCAACCGACGCTGCAGCCCTGGTATCGTATTTAAAAACGTCCCCACCCCATAGTTGTCATGCAGATTTTTTTTTTTTGATTGGGCCCCGCTCTGTTGATTCAGATTCGGATTCAGATGCGCATTCCGCTCGTGATTCGGCGGGGGTTGCGCCGTGTACAGCAGGTCGACACTGCCAGGAAACTCGATGTGCATGCCGCATTGGTCCATACAAATCAAAACCCTAAACCCGTCGGAAACATAAATCCGCGCATGCATACAGGGGGGCCACCCCTGAACCCTTTTTCGATTCATCACTAAAACAAGGAGGCCGGTGTGCGTTACTTAACATGTGAAGCAGTTCTACGAATTCACCTGCCTGCCGCAGCAGGTCAAACAGGGCCGACACCTTTCACACAGTTAAGCAGTGCGCGTGTATGCGTGCAGTTTTCATCTTGTTTTGATATTCTTACTATCTGCTCTGCAGATTTGCAATAGCAGAAATATATATTATTCTTAGTTGTCATGCAGATTTGCAATAGCAGAAACATTTGTCATGCGCATCCCCATGAGAGGCATTTTCTATCGTGTTTTCGCATTTGTAATGCTGTAAACAGGATAAGGAGCTGGCTTTGCGATGCGTCTTTCCTTGCTATCCCCGCACTACAATACAGGGGAAAGTTTGTCATGCGTGACTCGCAAAAGTTGTGGATTTGTGTTGCACAGTTCCCAACTTGACTATGGGGTGGGGACGTTTTTACTTAGGATACCTGGAGAAAGTGCGTCATCGTGTTTTTGTCGATCCCCGCGAGGTCCACCCCGATATCGGAACTGCACGTCTCGTACAGGGTCGGCGAGTCCCACACGCGATCCTGCGTTGGGTGGTGGAAATGGGTGATGATCTGCTGCTTCAGCGGTAGTGGTGAGTTTTCTTCTGCTGTTTTGCAACTCGAACCGACACCAGGGTAAACTCCAGCGTAGATGCGGTTGTCAGTTCGCTCGACGAAGGTGTTGGTCGTGCGCGTGTCGAGATTTTTAGACGAACTTGTGCTATCTTTACTCTCGGCATCAACACCAGGACTCGAACCTGGCGCAGGAGGCGGCTTTGCCGCACTACTCTTCCCCATTGGTGCGACGTACACATACAGTGCTTGTTCATCACTTGGGTGCCTCCGGGTGCTGCGGTAGAATTTTGCTAGTTCTGTGTCGTTCTCAATGAAAGCGCCGATGTTCCCCCACAGATTTACGCCAATGATGGAGATCTGCACATCGTGTAAAGCGCTTCCTCGTGTTTCGTCAGATGTGCCACCTTCTCCACTGCTACCCTCTTGTCCGCAATTCTTCTCCTTTTCCATAAGTTCGTGGACCGACTCTTGTGCCTTCTGCTGAAACTCGGCAAACAGCTCTGCAGTCGAAGGCTTTTTGTGCTTCCGCTTTTGTGCCGGTACAACTACGTTTTTAGAAGTCATTCCAGCATTATCCGCTCCTGGACCTCCGGCTAGTAACATCTCGCGAAACACTTTGACTAACACGTACAACCTCTGCACCTTGAAAGGAACCTTCTTCAGGTCAATTTTCGCCTTTTCCAGCATCTTGTCCCACTTCTTGCTCAGACTTTCATGCTCCGATACAGTTGCACTACTCCCAGAGGAAGCAGCAGCACCGCCACGTGTATTCCCAGCAGTACTTCCCGCCCCATAGTCCTTCGTGACCCGCCACTGAATCAGCTGCAGCAGCATTCTCAAATCCAGCTCGATATTTTCGTTGACCAACACCAGCGGCACCTGCAACAGATCAAACCCCTTCGCGGATTTTTTCACCTTTACGTGGTGAAAGGTTAAGGAACTATCCCGCAATGCGCTGTCATCGACCTCGTAGTCCACCACGTGGAATTTCAAAGTGGACAGGCCGTCGGACAAATGACGTTTGTTGTCCTTCAACTTGTATTCGTTCACCAACACGATGTTCCGGTGGTAAATCAGCGCGTTTTTCACACGGTGGGTGTGGTTCACACTGTGCATGAACTCCGTGTTGAATCTGCCGTGCGAGTAGGCTGCTCGCTTCAATCCGATTCCGTAGACCCCTTCCTTCAAGTCCAGTTCTGGGTTTTTCTCGCACACCGGGCTGCAGTCCCCGAACAACAGGGATTCGAATTTGAAGCGCAAATTCAAATCGTCGTCCTCGCAGCACCACCCGAAGTAGCGATTGGAAAAACCGTTCACTTTGCGCCAGTGCGATCGGTGCGCGGTGACGATCGCGCCCGCGAAGAGCACGTAGGGCCGTTCCCAGTTGTACCGGTCAATTTCGTTAGACAGACCGGTCGGCACGTCGCAACTGCCGTAGTCGGTGCGGAGATCTGGTAAATAATCGACGTCATGAACCGTGACGCAGTCGCGCGTGGCTAGCAGCTCGTCTTCGTCAAAATTATCTGCATTCATCTCGCTCGTTCTTGTTCGCATGGGAGATGTTGATGACATCAGAACCTCCTCGCAGTTCAGGCAAATGTCGTTCATCCTCCCCGAAATCGCGAGGCCCGCGTTGAACAAAAAGCCCCGGTTGAAGGGTAAGTCGTCGAACTGTTCCACAAAATAGATGTTGAACTCGAAGACCGCCCGCGGGTTTTGCGCGAAAACGGAGAACCACTTCCAGTAGTGCTTCATCATCTCCATGTGCTCTTGCCGATCCCGAAACGGAACGATGATCGTCGCCCGGGCGGGAGATTGGTGGCGGTAGTGGTGCTGGTAGGTGGCGGACAAAAACGCAGGACTGGGAGTGTGCTGTTTTTCTGGCGAAGCACCGGCCGGCGGCGCGCTTTCTTCCTCGGCATGAATTATGCCTGCCGTTCCCTGCCCTGCGGAATCAGGCGCCGAGGAGATGGATCTCGGTCTTTCCTTGGTGCTGCCACTATAGAATTCTTCCTCGAAGCTGTCCCGCGCATTTTTTCCAAGAACCACGTCGTCCACCGACAGCAGCGGACTTTCGCCCCCATTCGTGTTTGTCAGTAACGCCGAGTCGTAGGGGAAAGGCAGGCTGTCGCCCGGTCTCAGAGGCTTTTTGGTCGAGGCAGAGGATGCTGAAAATTGTAACTCGGTCTTGGCCGGTGCGGGAATGACCCGATAATCGACACAGTCCGCGCATTCGCAGAAGTCCGCACCGAACCCGCACTGGTAGTGCTCGCCGCAACAGGGGCGGAATCCCCAGGCATTGCAGGTTTTCAGAGTTTTGCCTTCAATTGCGCTTTTCGTGGGTGGGGGCGGCTTCATGACCGCGCTGCTGCTGTGGTGCTCCTTGTCATCGAGCTGCTCAACGATGGATTGGTACAGCTGGTACTCGGACGAAAGACGGTTGTGGCACTCCAACTCGAAGGTCGCATGGCGATTGCTGCTCGCCGGTTCTTCTTCGACTGGTACTGCCTGTGCGAGAAGCACAAGCACTGGTTGGCTGAACAGTAATACCGAAAACGTTGATAGCATCAGCGCCAGACCGCGACATACCCTCGTCTGGGAAAGAAACAAGCACACCAACATCGCGGACACAACTTTTCGGCACGGGTAAAACGTCGAAAACACTCGGTCCCAGTGCGAGAGCGAGTACGTCGTGATCATTAAGTTTTAATTCTTTATTTCACGGTAAAAAGTAAGAAACAAAAGTCAGAACTTTCGATAAGAGTAGAGGCAACTACAGAAACAGGAAACAGAAACAAATGAAACTAGTGCGACTTGCGGGGAGAAACGGCCGTCCTACAAAATTAGGAAAAAAAGACCATTGAGGTGCATGTAATGAAGATGAAAATTGAAATCAGTACACTGATTGAGTACGGTAGCAGTATTCAAACTGTCGGCGGCCACGGGAGGAAGAAAATGCGACTCAACTCATTTCATCCAAGGGTGATCTTCAGATCTTTGGGTGTTTCCTCGCGCCACGAAAGATCTTCCGTTACGACCAATTCGAACACGAACAGCAAACGACATCAACAAATCTTCATCCCCACGGCGGAGCGAAGAAACTCCTATTCATGCGTTCAACAAAGCACGGACAGGGACACTGATGCAAAATGCCATTTGATCTTCCCAGAGGTTCGTTTCTATCAACTCGTCCACGCGGCCAAGCACTGTTTACACCACGTGACCACCTCCTGTCCCGTGGCCTGCATGGCCAAGCAACTACTTTGGAGCTGCGTACACAGCCTTTGCTTTTGGCTCTTGATGTCCTTTGGTACCGCTTTATACTGCTCCTCCCGGCCCCACTCCTCGAACAACAGCATGTAATAGAAGGTGCCGCAGGTCCAGGACACCGTCATGACCAGCCACATCAGAGGACGGCCGATGCCGCGGACGTGCTCCGCGAGCAGCTTGAAGTTGAAAAGGCTGGTTAGGACGGTGGTCATTTTTCCAGCTGGAGGTATAATTTTCATCACGCGAGATGAAGACGTCGAACTCCCTGCAAGTGCCGAGGGAAGATGAAACGCTCCTGCATGCGGCAGAACCGCGGCGGTTCTTGTTGCGGAGGAGGATGAGGTCTGCATTGTTCCTGCTGTTGCAGAAGAAACCGCAGCTGCTTCGCCAGTTATTGTCGTAGTTCTCTGGCTCTTCTCGGCCAAGTACGCTTCCAGATGCTGTCTAGACCAGGCGCTGCGGGATCCATAGATCTTCCCGCTTGATCGTAAACTGTTCGGGGCAATGCTGGTCGTCAAGCGGTTGGACAGCGGGAATTTCGTTCGGGAAAACAAGATCTGCCGGTTCAGGCGACCGCTGCGGAACATCATTTTCTGTTTCTTTTCAATTTCAAAACTAAACTGTACATGGTACTATCGACTGTAATCTTCACGCCACCGAAGGAAGCAAGGTTACTTCCACCTGTGAAACTCCTCCGAGAGTCAACTACTCGGTCTGCTGCTCGGGGTGGAGAAAATTATAACACAAGCCCGCCACGTGGCGTGCGGCAAGTCAGGACGAGACCGAAAGTATGAAGTGCTCTCGGTCGACGCAGAGGACCGAAGTAGTGGAAGTAAATGCTGACAACTGCACCACACATGAGCAGCTCTCTTCCGTTTCCGTCTCTTAAATCGCTCGGTGCTGTTTTATGAAAGAAAAACCCAAACCCCTTTCAGATTCAAAAGAAGGAAGAACAGATTACAGACACGACCAAACGTTTCTGTGCGGCGTTGAGACACATATTTCGCAACAAACAAAACCACGCAGCGATTCCATCACGCGGGACGAGGTATAGCTTCGCAAAGAACAAAAAGAGTGAACAAATTTGATTCTCGAAAGCTCGAAGGATTTAGGATTTTTAAAAAGTCCGGTGGATGTAGTTAGTGAAGATGTAGATGTGCCCAGCCTCGCCGGTCGCTAGAACATACTACTGTGGACACGTGTCGTGATATGTGATTGTCGTAGAATGTACAAATTTGGCTCTAGAGAAGGCTGAAAATAAAAAGACAGTTCCAGAAAAAAACCATTCATAAATCAGCTTCGGCTCCGTCTTAACCGATCTGGTCCCGACTCTTCTTCATTTGCACCCCAGCCCGGATGATCTCGTCTACCAGTAGTAATTGCTGGGCCAAGACCGGAGCCAAGTTGAAAAGTTGCTTCTTGACACGGTAGTTGTCGTAGATGCCCTCGGCCTCCGGGGACAAAGCATCCCCCGTGCCCACATCGAGCCCTACTGGCACCTTCGTTTGGTCGTGTTCGGCTAACAGGTTCAGAAGCTTCTCCTGGATGTCGAGGCCTGTGTATTGGAAAAAATTCTTCATGCACGAACGCCTTGTTTCAAAACTGTACATTTTGTGAGATCATACTGGTGACGAGACAGAACTCATGCTCCCTGATGTTGGACCTGCATGATGAACAATGGAAATGGTATCAAACAGTATTGATTAGTTGAAGGTACCTGAGTTCTCGATCAGCACCTTCGGGATGACCAATAACGCTTTCGCGAAAATCTCCACGCCTAACCTTGCCTTGCCACTCACGGTCTTCTTGAAATCCTCCAAGTGCGCATGGGCTGCGACCTCGAAGGAGCCCGCGCCCGGCACGACGGCGCCGTCCTCCAGAACGTTGACGAGCTATTTAACATTTGTGATGATGATGGCTTTCTTTCTTCGTCCTTTGCCTTGAACTCCTGCTCGTTCGCAATACAAGATGCCGTGAAAGTAGCGCTGAATAAATCTGCAGATGTCATGTCTGACAATATACTATGCTGAAATGATCGCATTGGAAAATAACAAACAGCGTATAAATAAAGGTCATACCGATTTCAGCCCGTCGTTGATTGCGTCCTTCATCATGTGTAAGGTGTGTTCGTTGGGTCCTGTGACCAAAATCGTGCAGGAGTGCGGGTTTTTGGGTTGCTCGATGAACGTGAACTTGTCGTCCTCAATCTGGTGCTCGTAAACCACGCCCGCGTAACCCAGATCCGATTCGTCTAAATCGTCTACGCTGTTCACCGCGTTACCCCCGCAGGCAAGCACCAGCCTGTAGTTGTTGCGGTCACATTGAATGTAAACTTTTGTTCTTCATTCCAAAAGGTACGGCACGTCTCTTTGTTTATTAGCCCTTCACGCACTTTCTCGCATGTTGAAAAAACCTATAGAATAAACGAAAAGACGAACTACAACAAGAATATTAGATGCAAAAGCCTAAGTATAATACCGCTCCATATTTCTCCTCTTCGCCCGTCGCAGCGCGATGATTCCCTCCCTGGCGAAGGATTCCAGACTTGGTCCGTCAATGCCCTTCTGGTTGATCACGACAAACGTTTTCGGGGGGTCGGAGGGGTTTTCGTCGCACACTTTCCTCTTCAATTCGATCACTTTTCGCACTTTGTCGTCCGTGAAAGCACGCTCCGACTCCACCAGCTTGTCGCGCTGGTCCGCGGACGAATAGAAAAACCCGCTGTTCACCTGTTGGGGAGATGACAAAAAGAAATGCCTTTCTATAATAACTGTTATGTGGTCATGCATCATTTTCTTCATTTTCTTTCCACTACGCAGAAATTTATTTCAACAATATCATTGAACAGTAAATCGACGTCCTCCTGCTACAGATCTTTCATCTATTGCAGGAGCACATGGAACGCACTAGATCTATGATGTCTAGAAACGACAGCAGAGACGAACATGAGCAACATCTTCTACACGATGGGTACTAATCGAAGACTAGTTTCAGTTACCTCGGTCTTCTCGTACTCGAATGAGACGTTGCAGGTCAAAATGTAGCAGTTTTCCAACCGCGCCGGCATGTCCTGGTGCCTGCTTCCGTGGTCCATCACCATACCCCGGACAAGCCTGGTTCCGGACACCAGCTTGTGCTTCATGGTGATTTTCTCGATCATGTGAAGATCGATGGGCTCGTCGGCGATGTGTCTTCGGTCCACACACAGAACGGACTCGACGCAGATGTCGAGCAAGCGATCCGCGATGTCCTGATGTTCATTTAGTAGTTTACTATTTGGATATGTTTTCCGAACTTGAACATGCGACTCAACAGAAGTAAAAAGTAGATGCCATCAACATCTGCAAAATTCGAATACAATTGAAATTTCTTCAAGCTATTAATAAATCTTGATCTTCTGATAAGATACGACTTACCTCGGGAACTTTTGTCTTGAGCGAGCACCGTGCGACGTGTGTAAGGATTTCTTTGTCGATGCCCTTCACCGGCACCTGTTCGATATTGGTTTCGTGCTGGGGAAAATGCAAATCACTTGTCATAGGATGTTGCTGGGAGAAATAACCTACCCGACGCTGAAAAACTAAGCTGTCATGCTGTGGAAGTTCAAACACTTCTACATCCAAAGCCGGTTGTTCAATGAAACGTCCTCTAAACGTACCTTGAAGGTCTCCAGGAACTTCAGAACCTCGTCTCTGGCAAGATCGAACCCCTCGACAATCATTCTGGGATGCAACCCTTCGCTTAAATATTGTTCGCTTAATTTCATCAATTCCCCCGTGAATAGCACGTTGCTTGTGGTGCCGTCACCTGTTTCAGTTTTATTGTATGGGGCGATAGATTGGATCTACAAAAATGTTTCGTACCTACGCAAGCAAGAGAGATCAAGCGGCTGTGCTCATGCAAAGGCGTGCATCGCACTGGATGGAATGGCCGAGGAAAAATTTATTCCTGTGCCCTCCTCTAAAGCCCTCAGGAAGACTACGCATCCACATTTTACCTGTCATGTCGTCCTGTGCGGTGGCTGCGCGCGCGATCATGCAGGCAGTGGGGTGTTGGATCTGCATTTCGTCCAGGAGCGCCTTGCCGTCTTTGGTGATTTTGATTTGTCCTGCTCCGCCCACCAGCATTTTCAGCGTGCCCCGCGGCCCGAGATTTGACTTCATAATGTCCTGCAGGGATTTCGCAGCGTTACAGTTCACCTGCAGAGCCTGGGTGGCCTTCAGGACGTCGGCCTTACTGTTTACCACCGTCACCATGTTGTCGAGAGTGGTTGCAGCAACTCAGAGTGTAGTCGTGTGTACAGTGACGATGAAAAGTCTCCTTCTATATTCGAGTGACTACACTTCGATGAAAGTTGACCACTCTACGTAGGAAATGAAAGCGGAGAGGACACTTGTTACTTCTGTCGCTATCTAAGACTATGAATCACACTTGTGTGTCAAAAAGAATAATTCTCCACAATGTCTACTCTATTTTCTACTGGTCTCCTTGTTTTTCCCGCATACCATTATAGCCTATACTAGTAAGTACCAAGCTGCTGGCTGTAAGGTGGTTGCGTTTCGAGATATTTCGATTTCGAAAATGATTTTTTGAATGACATCATAGAGCGAAGAGCTCAGTCATGTGAATTTCAAGAAAGAAACGCCTATGAATTTTTTTATTTCGGATCTTGATTTTTACAGAAACTCCGGATTTTAGGATCTGAGATGAGGAGACTCTACAAGATGTTGATGTTGAGCAGGATTCGCTTTATTGAGTGACAGTTTCAAGATCTTCGGCAATTTATTCCGCTAATTTCCATGCTATTCGTATAGAGATTGATAAAGCATTGCTTTCACTTTTAGCGTCGTCGAGTGAACATCTTAGGGGCTACAGACACGCATCAACGCGCAGTGCCCTAACCTGCCAAAAGCAGCCTGTAGTCGTAGAAAATTGCGTATTCTGAAATTTTAGACGTACAAAACTCGGTCGTAACACAACTACTCTTTGTCTAGTGGAGATAGAAGACCCCTGCAGTGCTATGACATGGCTTGTCCACCGGCTACCCGCTGTCCAGCGAAGCCGCCCTGGAAAAAAAGCTGCCAGAGACACAAGTCTGAGTCCTCAATCACTTTCGTCTTTTTTTTTTTGGGTACAGCCATTCTGTCGTCTCTACTTGATGAATTTTTGGGGGATAAGATTGAACATTAGGTACTCTACGCCGGTCAAAAGACCTGGACGAGATATCTAACCTGCGTGGTAAGTATGGTCGGAATCATATGAAAGCAACTACATGTGTGGCCATTGAGCAAAGCACTTTAAGAAAATGTATGAATTTGTCGTACTACAAGAACTCCCGAATTTTGCTGCTTCTACTCGCAAGTGAGTCTGTCGCCTCGCTTGGTAATCCTTCATGCGTCTTCTCCTTTTTTTTATGGCAGAAATTTAGTACTAATTCGATGCTTCGATAGTCCAAAACTTATCAAACAACTCCTCGTCGTCGCTACTTCAGTATAAGCAACCCCGCTTTATGTTTCAAGGAAACATCAACTTCATGCGGATATTGATTGCAGGTCTTTGGAAGAAAGAAACGACCTTCTAGCGACAAAAAAATCATGCCATGAAGGACGCATTGTTCTTCTGGGAAAGCGAAATCCGGACGGAGTGCGCGTTCTTGGCGGAGTGCGTCGGGATTTTTTCCAGCAGGTCACTGACGTTGGGATTGTACCAGGACAACACCCGCCGGTCCTCCTTCATTCGCCCGATCCAGTTGCACAAAGCAGGGAATTCCCGGAGGTGGTCGTTGGCATCCAGGTCGCGGAGGCTGTTTATTTTCATGTTCATCTTCTCATTTCTTGCAATAAATTCAAGTTCACTTCTACTCATCGCGTGTCGTTACTTTTCATCTGAGGAGAACAAAGGAAAAGCGAAAAAATAGAAAGCTGAAATTGAAATTGAAAAAAAAAACTTTGTACTTGCAGAGCAAGACGAGGTCCGCGATGGTGATGGTGTTTCCCGTGAGAAACCGGGCGTGCGGCTGCTGCATCAGGGAAGCTTCCACGTAGGCAAGCACACCCGTGACTTCCGGAAAGCCGAAGCTTCGCTCGTCAAAAATGTCGAAGATCGCCATCAGCTGGAAAAATATTTTTGTATGATATACTTGACAATGTCAAATTGATTCCACCGCGGAACATCTGGATCTGCATCTGCCTACGGCTACGCCCAGCAGTGCCAATAAATACAAGACATTCATGATCTTCTTCTTCACGACCATCAACATGTCATAATCATATTCAACATGCACATGGAACGACGAGAAAACAGAACCAAGGCATGAAAACAGCAAGCACAAAACCACACTGGCGCACACAAGGAAAAAAAGAACATCGTATATAAAAATAGTACCTCGTCCACCGCCGCGCACTCCACGGGTTTGTGTTCCGGGTACAGGGTGCAGGCGTTGTCGAAAGACCGCGCAATGTAGCGCAGCATGGCGTGGGACCGGGTCAACACCATGCGGCCCTGGGAGCTGTCAACCTGCAGCACCGGGACGGCGGAAAACCGGTACTTGTTGGTAGCGGGGTTCTGCGACCACTCATAGCGGTCCAACCGGATGTCTTCGAAGTCCTTATTGGCGAAGACCATGGTAAGTCGCACCGCCTCCGCGGCCCCTTCCAGTTGGTCCGAGTGGTACAACTTCAGCTTGGCCATCGAGTAGCCCGGCTGTCCGCCCGCGCGCCCGTGGGCCAGGGGGTGCTTGTGGCTCGAGTCCGCCATACTTCTGTTTGCGAGATCTTCGTACTATAACTTGCGCGGGTAGGATAACGAGAAGAAATTGTTTTTTTCCTACTTTTGATATTTCAATAGGATCAGGGTGTTGTACTTGTTGGAAGGATATGTTTTTGATTTGTACGAGCCGTGGGCGACAGTACTCTGACTCTGAGTTCTATGCGGCTAATTATAAAGCGGTGTAGAGGTTTATTTTCACTGTATGAAATGATGTGCAAGACCACGATTTATTTTTCGTGCTGCAAACAAAACACCGATGAGAATAAAGGACCACGACGTAATACATTGAATTGGATTTCGCGTTGGATCCAGCAGGACTTGATCCTGTAATTCTCTTCTTCTGGTACCGATACATTTGTGCGATTTCTGGTATATTACCGATCGTTCTGCCATGAAATTGTTCTGCTGTGCAGCTACAGAAGGAGAAGTACGACCGAACGAATCTGAAAAACGAATGTCATTTAGCGTACGATTTGGAAGTTTCTCTGGACGAAGGCTTGCGCAGGAGCGAAATTGATGCACGAAAAATTTTTTCAAATTAATTTCTTTCGTGGACGAAAAAGGGACAAAAAACCGAAAAAGTAAATGTCGCCAATATCTATGAAACTCGAACTACAATTTCAGCAAGGTTTTTGTTCAAGGGAGTCACTACCATGATGAGATTCAGGGAAATACAACAATAAGCATTACCGACAACAAAATCTCCGGTGTTTCCACTTCTGGCACAGTAAAAGTCGACACGAGATCATAATATTTTGTGATTTGAATCATACCTCTGACACTTGTCTTAACCGAAAGCAGTGGCCAACACCGATCTGTCGTCACTCTGCGTATTGACTTTTGAATGATGAACTGCGTTCTCAGGAGATGGCAGAAGGAAAGGCAGCGGAGTTTTTTGCAAAATTTAAACTCGCCCTGAATTTTGCTGAAATGGTATCAGTAGGAATGACGAAGGAGACTAGTATGACGAAGCAGCAACACGGAACAAAAATAAACAAATCCAGCGCAACCTGTACGTAAGCGTAGCAGGGTTCGGTGAAGAAGTTGTTTTGATTTTTTTCTCTGTGTTATCCCAAAAATTTCGTACATGTACGATGTTCAAAAACGATCTTCTGAAGAAGAGGATGTCGTCCAGGCATGGGCATACTTTTCGGCCGCTCCTCCTGATAGCCTGAGCCTTGTCGCTTCTATCTAATGGTAGAACTATCGACAACTAGTGGGTACATCCGTCAGATGGACAAAAAAGTCAATGTATGACGTTTTCACCAGTCGACAATTCATTGTGAGACTGAGGTCAGATCGAAAACGAGGAGGTAAAAAACGAATGCCGATGCAATGTCAAGCAGTAGTAGGAGTAGCACACGCGGCAGAGTGAGCAAAAATGAAATCTTATCCTGGGTGATCGAAGACGGTCTACCTCCGAGTCCGAACCGCCGGCGCTACAATTTGTATAAGTAGGTCACCAGTCATTTCTGCCACCTCTGCTTCGATCGGGCAATAGTCTTCCTAGATTAGTCGTCGCATATATCTGGCGTGCAATTCCACAAAGGAAACCTAGACGTGGGACCGCGACTTCTGGCTGGAAGATAGCTATAGGTTTACTTGTTCCTACCTGCATAGACAAGAACTCTTCTACAAAAAGTGGGGAATCCTGCTGGGAAATGGAATTTTTTGACACGGCACATCATGCAAACATACACAGAGACACGCAAACTAACGAGCCTCCTGACGCACTGTACGAGCCATGTGCCAGAGATCGTCGCCGAGCAGGTCAGACTATGCGCTCGTGTTCGTCGACAGATGAAATTTACGCCGCTTGTAACTGGGCTACAGCTTTTCCGATGTGAGGTAGTTGATTCGGTTTCGGAATGTGGGGTTGCTTAGGTAAATAGAATTCTAGGGGTAGATGAAAAGTTGTCAACGTCGAAGTAGAGAACGGAATGTTAAACTTGTAAACTTATTTGTATTTTATGCCGGACGATGTTGAATATTTGAAATTGATGAAACGTTCGAACTTGAAACGCAGCTGTTGCATAATTCTGAAAGTGAAGAGTTGTGATTTAAAAGAACTGTAAATATCCACTCGCGGGTTTTTTCATCGAAACTCTCCTTGCAAATTGAAAAATGCTTTCTAGAAGCTGAAAAGCGATGAATAGCACTTGGCTTAGATACGTTTTTATTTTTTGATCATCTTCTTGCGGCTAGGGATACTGCTGTGATTGCTGCGTAAAACTTTAGTGAAAATTCTTCTTGTACGATTTAGAAAACCTGACTGCAAAGAAGTAAAACGATGCTTGAAGCTGATGCGGCGAAATTTGTTATCTTCTTGCTTGTTCTCCTTCTTTCGTCACCTTTTGATCACGCCCCTCGTTGATTGCTTGAAGTCCGTCATTCCCAGGCTCCAAGCCTTTGACGTTGTCTGTTTTCGTTACATCTTGCGATTTCCACCACTGAAAAGCTATCATACTTGTTCTACGCAAAAACATAAGGGTGTTTTTGAGAACGAATACTGACAAACGGCCACGCTTGGAATGATCTGAGTATTTTCTATCTTCTCATACGATCATGCGTGACTTCCTAAATTTCTTCGGCAAGAAAACGAAGAACAAATGGCAAAAGGTAGTACCGTTTCCCCGTTCCTCCGAGGCTCCGCTCAACGCCCGGCGTGACTTCTCCGGCGGTCCGCTCAACGCCCTCCGTCCGGGCCCGACGGCGCCACCGCGGCGGTCTCCTGATCCTCCATCCACGCCTCCTCCTGTGCCTCGCTGATCTTCTCGTCCGCCAAGAGAAACATCTCGGACAGAGCCAATTTCGGCAACACGCCCAGCGAGACCGCCATGGCACCCAGGTTTTGCATCATGCATTCACGACACTGGACCATCTGCTGCGCCTCGTCCGGGTTCTTCATCTTAGCCTCGGGATCCGCAATCATGGCCAGGAGCACCCCGGACATCATCTCCCCAGCGGCCTGGACGTTTTGGATCAGCGCCTGCTGTTCCGCAGGGTTTTGTTCGAAGTACGCCGTCACCTGCTGGTCAAGCAGCGCACCGAGTATTACAATGAAAAATGCCCCGGCCAACCCGGACTTTGCAAAAGTTTCTCATGCAAAGTGTCCAAATGAAGGCTTTTTGTCTTGCATGAAAGGACTGCGAGCCTTTCTGATGCAGAATCTAGATGCGCAAAGTATCTTTTGCGTAACAGATCCGCCTGCTGTTGGGCTCCGTTGCAGCACAAATTTGAGCTATTCAGCATGGAATAAATCTGTGATGCTGCTATATGCAAAATGGGGATGAGTGTTTCCATTGGCACAAAGGTTTGCAATGCAAATGCTGCCAAGTTGGCTCTGGGATGGGGGCATTTTTCACTGTAATACCGAAGAACAAAAACCCGGCGTTGAATTTCGTGGCGAGCATCTCCACATGGTCCTGGTATTGTTGCCCATCCAGCTGCATCAGGTGAACCAGCGTGTCACGCACAGGGGCCTGCGACTCGTACCCGGTAAGTTCCGCCAGCGCCCGCACGTCGGAGTAGAACTTCTGCTGCAGGACGGCGCCGTTCGCTTCCAGAACATCCGGCGTCTGCGGGGTGCAAGTGTTCCACACGTAGTCGCCCCCGGGTTGCTCCAACGCTTGCTGCGCCGCGTTCCCGCCCAGCACGGCATCCACCGTCCCCAGCGCGGTGGCCACCGCTTATCAAAATGAAAAATCCCCCCCCCATATTGAAACGAAAACTTCTGTTGCTGGATTTGTGTACACAAGTCAGCCTGTCTTGCAGCGAGGCACTACAGGCAAAGCCTCAGCCTGCGTGGGGTTGTTTTGTTGTAGGCTCTTGGCATAAGAGAGGCCTGCCATGTAGGTGAAACAGCATGACAAATCGCCTCCATAAGGCGGCGGATTCTTTGGGTTTGCCTTCTTGCAAGACAAATGTGATTTGTGACCTCAAATCCGCAACACAAATTTTTGGGGCGCATACCTTTTCGATATGGGGAGGGGGGATTTTTCCTCTCAATACCGCTTGATCCGGATTCGCATCGATCTTGTCCAAGTACGCTTCCGCCGCGTGACCACCATCCAGGCTGTTCAACATGGCCTCCACGACCTCGGTATCAACTGTAAAAATGTCTGGGTCTGGAAACTTGTGATGCTGAGTGGCGTAGCATGAGGAGGCCACAAGTGCTGGCTCAGCATGACAAATTTCTGAGCTTGTAGGTGTTGCCTATTCTGCATGACAAATTGCGTCTCCGCATGACAGAAAAATGCGGCTCTTGGGCAACGTGCATGACAGATTTAATAGTCATGCCAGACAAGCATGACAAACATGCATTCTTCCAGACCCAGACATTTTTGCATTTCGTACTCGGGATGGACCGTCCCCGGCAAGAGGCACACGACCCACGCCTCCTTTAGGCAACGGAGCTGAAAGCCGTACGCTTCGCTCAGGGGGTGTTCCGGTGCATCCGCATTGCACCCGCCGAGTTTGAGCTGCTCCTCCAGACCCGGGCAGTTCGCCGGCTCCATCATCAGGGCCACGGTGTGACCAAAACTGAGAGCGAACGCGTGACGGAGAAACTCCTGCCGCGGGGGCAGGTCCTCGCCAGTTTCCAGCAGTTCGTGCTCGTGCTGCGTCAACTGTTGGTCGAGAACCTGCATCGCCAGCTGTACCCCGGCTTCCGTTGTGAGCGAATTCATCGGGGACATGCCGGCAGAATCCGCCGGACTCATCATCTCCTGACCGGGAGTCGTGTGAGAAGGGGGTTGGACCACAGCCGCCTGCTCCAGCAGGAACGACGAGGAGGTCGAACGCGCGGGCGAGGTCAAGGCCTTCTTCGTGGCGGCCTTCTTCGTCATTTTCAACGTTTTGGAGGAGGACGCAGTGTGAAGATTATCAAGGTTGTTCTTCAAGTGCGCCACTTTGTGGTATTGGTACCACATGGTCCCGTACATCAGCGTGCCGAGGGTGGCGACCCCGCTGACAAACACCAGGCCCGCCGGCAGCGCGGCCACATCGTTCTTGAAGCCCGCCAGCTTCTTCTTGGCGACGCCCGCCGCGTACGCGACGTGCGAGCTGGGACCCGTTCCCGCCAGGGGGTGCAGCTCGAAGTCCGCATGGACATCGTTGGACAACGGGTGGTTCTTCGCGGGAGAAGAAGACATGGCTTGTGTTTATCTTCTATCACTAGAAAAAAACAAGTTTACTGTCCAAGACCGAAACGGTCGTACTCGTAGGGTTTTTCTGGCAAAAATAGCCGTAGATTTTCCTTACCGCTGGTGTGGTGTTGAACCACGGGAACAAATACACCAGAAGAAAAAGTGCTCTAGCTGCTCACTGGTTTAATGTTGGATCTGGATAGAGGCGCAGAATAAACATATTACAATAAACGATAAAGTCGGCGTGCGGCGGGAATGCCCGTGTGACGAGGTGAAAACGATGCCTTCTCGATGTCAATATCAATAATTTCCCTAGCGATTCCAGTATGTAAACGGTACGAGAATTCATAACGAGTGCACGACAACGAGGTGGACGACTTCTTTCTGCGAAAGCGCAATTTTCTGCACGACGCACGACAGTGTGGGTGTTCTTCTTTCTTGGAAACGAGCACAATAAACGAGTCTTCTATTTTTCACGACTTCAAACGAGATAAAAGCTCCTTCGACCCTACGACTTCACGAAGCTTCTAGAAATCCTTGAGCGATCTCATTTTGCACCAGTGGCCGACGAGCTGAATCAAGTGTCTTTGTCCTCAGAGAGCGTAAAAATAAATCGCGCTTAGTTGCAAATTTCCACTTTGGGGCAACGTGGTCGCTTGTCCAGATGCGTTGAACACAGAACGTCTTGAGAAGGTACTAAAAACGTTATGCCAAGGGCTCAGAGGCTCCATGATCCGCGGAACTTCATTTTTATGCCACTCATGGTCATTTGTTTCGCTGAGGAACTCTGTTGCAGAGCAGTTCGGCATCTACGCAAATAAGTACGTGCCCTTAACATGAAGCAAAGGGAGCTACAAACTTGCTTTGTTGCGCTAGCACTTGCTCCATACCCACACGACAGGGCTTGATGTCCGTACAAGTAATTCCGACATTTACCATGCTGTTAGATGTGCTTACTCGTGTCGAAAGTCTTAATTGTGGTAGAAAATGCTGCCCGCGTCTCAGCACGAGGGTTACATACTGCGGAAACATGAAAAATCATACATGAAAGATACTACCAAGTGCGCGTGGACCTAGATATTACTCCACGTTCTCTTTGTCGCACCTCTGAAGTGTTGTCACGACGCACCTCCGCCATGTCAGAGAAACAAAAAGTTAAGTGACTGCTCTCCTGGTGCCACCCTACTTCATCACAAAATTATGTCCCAGGTGGATGGAGTACTCGTCTTGTAAGTACTTAACTCAACGGTTCTGCCAGTGTCACCCAGTTAGATATAGACGGCCCCGAAAAAGGATGCTGATAAGAATTGCCACTTCACCAAAGGCTTGACTTGCGACTTCACGGCAATCGCGATCCGTTCTCGATCTGCTTCACCATATCGCACCATAGAAAGTGCCATAACTGATTCAGACGCCTGACCTTCACTTCCAACCTTCCACGGGTCACAAGATTATCATAGCCCCTCATATCCTTTTGCTCGTCCAGCTCTTTCTTCACTGCTGCATTTTCTCTCTTTACATGCTCTCGGAGTTGTTTTATTTCCGCGACGAGTCTGGAGCGGTCGTTTGTTCCCTGAGAATTCGATACCGTCCGGCCCAAGAGCGTCCACAGCGTCCGCATGTAGCCGTTCTCCCAGCTGAAGCCAGTCTGCTGACCTCTGCCGCCCCGCAGGCAGCGGTTGAACAATCGTGTTCCGCACCTATAGAGGGCGGTGAGGTCTCGATTCATTTCCGCGGGTGCACCCTGCAGGTGGACGGTCCGTTGAGCTTGAGACTCCACGTCTGCATCAATATCGCCCAATGGCCGATGCGTGTCATCGCTTCTATCTTCGATCTCGATAGCACGTGGATACGACCGTAACTCCTCTAGCAGCTCGTCGGCGGGGCTCGGCGACGAGTTGGTGCTACGGGAGGCAAAAACAAGGCGAAAAACCAGGACAAGCACGACACAAAAACGGGACATCCACATCTTGCGTTCCTCTTCTCCTTCGTGGCGATAAAAAATGATTTTGATTTCGTAACAAACTTTTTGGAAGTTCTTCCGTATGAAAATTCTTCACATTACAGAGTTGGTACTGATTCAAAATAGGTTTTCGTTCTTTACTCAAAGCGAAAAGTAAAAACTGTCTCGTCCCTGTTTTTTCTGTATTCGTTTCCGATGCCATCTTCAGTAGAAATGTCGCTACTTCGCTGCGTGGCACCCTCGGGACTGTAGTAATTGTAATTCAGATGCAGCCTCACAAGCACCCACATTACAACAGCGGTTTCTACTTTGCCGACAAAGACCGACCAGGCGCTATTTGTGTATCCCATGGAAATGCCTATACTGGATCCGCGTTTCATTTTCAAAGCAGTGATCTTCTTCGATTTCGCGGGCTCGAGAACTTCTTCCGACTATGGCCGCTTACTGACCAAATCGATAGCAAGGCAACTGCGCCATGATATCTTTGATTGTCTCTCGGCATGCGCAAAATGACGTGCCTTCTCAACCGACAGAATGAAAAGGACAAAAAGCTCTCTGATCTTCAGCTCGGGATCTTCATTCTGATTTTCATTACGGTCTGCATTGTACAACATGGAACGCCGTAGCTTGAGCCCTGACTTTTCTATAGACATCTCTTGCTCTTACTTTTTTTTTTGCCGATCGGATCAGTCTTTCTTTCTTCGAGCAGCATGATCGATGATGTGTTTGATGCTGGTGCTCCTACATCTGAGATATCGATCCAGACACGAACAGCATCTTTCTTCTCGGACACGACTCACCATGACCGTGGTGTCCTGCAACGATACTATGCGTAAGTAGCCGCAGCACGAAAATCCCGATATCTTCTTCTTCAACATCTTCATGTCACTGCAGGAATGGGGAAATCCAGCGCCTTTTCGTTTGTGCGCGACTGGATAGAAATTTCGTTTCTGTCGTGGTATAACTCATTCTTGCAATGCAAATGCGGCTGGCTGCTTCCGCAGTTTTCCTATGTACGTACTAAATTCAGACAGCTCTTGCTCGCTGCGCACGAGCTGAGCATCCTCGTTTCTCTGCGGTGCTACTAGTCCCTCTCGACAAATCTCTCCACCACCGAAGCTCCTCGATCTTCCGATGTCGATGCGCCGAGGGGCCTCCAGCCTGCAGTTACGCAATTCCGTCATGATCACGGACCTTACCGCTACGCCCCCGCCACGCCCGCAAGTCCGCGTTGCTCCAACTTTACGCCAATCCGGTTCCCCATTTCCAAGAACTCGGCCCAGGTCGCGAAAACCTCGTCTTTGCAGCCGTTGTTCTCGGCTAGCCGCGTCAAATTCGGCACTCCCCGCTGCTTGAAGTCCACAGCGTCGGCATGCGTGGCGAACTCGAGCACGAAGCAGATCGGGTGCAGCAGCCGCGACGTGGATGCTGAAGCTCCACTTTTCATGCTTCCGGACAACTTCTCACGAGCCACACCCACACCAAAGTCGGTCCACCCGGGCACCAGAAAGAGACTCAGCGTGTTTTCCACCACCACAACGGAGTTCAAGTGCGCCCTTCCCTGCTTCCCAAACTGCTGCAGCTCGGCCAGGTCCTGTGCCCGCCACCCAATCACCGTGCCGCGGTAGCACCGCAGATCGATTTCATAAGGGTGCACGTCGTGGTCTTGTTGCAAGAACTGGACTTCTGTCTTGTTCCCCTGCTCTGCCGCAAGTGTGCAAGCGGGCTGGTCCTCCTTGTTGGTTATTGTTGTGTGAATCCGCAGCGCCTGCGCACTTAGCCAGTCCTTCTCGTTGAAGGCGATCTTCTCCCGGACAGCAGAGACGGAACAAATCGCTCCTGCTGCGGAAAGATGAGCATCAAGGTGTCGATGAACACCTCCAACCGGCTTTTTTAGATTATTTCCGCAAGAGCCACTAGAAGAATCCTCTCCGTCCGCTTCGGTATTCAGAGCGCTGCGCTCAATTTCTTCTGGTGCACTGGTTTCGGTTAAATCATCCAATGCATCCACGAAAGACTTTTTCGCGCTTTGATTCTCTTTGTTTTCGCAGGACCGGAAATATTTTCCCAATTCCTGCAGCCGGAACTCGTGCAGGCTGATTTTCCCGCTAATCTTGTAAAAGTCCTGGTAGTCCAGCGAAAAGTTGCCCGTGTAGCAGTGCTTCGTCGCAGTTCTTTTCTCGATCCGCGTGTGGGCTCTTGTCCTCTCTACTTCTTCGGAGAAATTTTTATACGAGGGAACTCTGATCGTTTTGGTCACCAGCTCTTCGGTTTCGGGCGCTCGAATCGTGAAGCGAAAACCAAGCATATCTTCCCCCTTCTCGCCTTCACTCGCGGAGGAAATTAGTTCTTCCATATCTTCCTGCTCTTCTTCCTCTGGACAGGAGACCGTTGCCGCTGTACTAGATGACTCGCTAACCAGCCCAGGCTTGGATAACTTGAAAGAAAAAGAACTTCCCCTGTCGTGGCAAAGAGGACCTTCTTCGTCTACTCCGGAAGGCCGTGCCAGAATCTTCTCTGCAGGGGAGCTCTTGCGGCCTACATTTCGTTCCATCGGACGCCGCTTCACACAACCATCGCCAGAACCGCCCGCGCAGTGGTCCACCTCCGGTCGTGTCTTCGTCGTGGCGCAACAAGTAACCTCAGCTTGCTTCTCCTCGTTGTTCATCATCCAGGAGCCACGACACAAAAGACGCCCTTGGCGAGGTCGTGGTCCACCTCCGCCTCTAGAAGTAGGCGCTGGTTTGTTTATGATCCTTCGCACCAACTGCAATTCTCTGGTCTCCGGATCATACCCTGCGACGACTTCAAGCGGCAAGAAACCACCTCCCTCAGGCTTTTTTTCTTCCACCAGCTTCTCCTCATCCAGCAGATCCTCGCCGAGGAGCAAATTCACGCGCTCGAAATGGATCACGTCTTCGGCCCCGTTCCGCGCATTCAGGTATTTCGCGATGTTCAATTTCAGCTCTTTTGAAGTGATCTTCAGCGAATACGCGGCACTGTCCGCATCCGGAACGAGGATTTCGTCATCGGAGAAGCCGAAAAAGATCTTCGTGTAGAGACACAATTTTTCGACAGCCAGCAACCCGTCACTGCTTCCAGGAGAACCTGCTGTCGCGCTGTGAGCCTGCATTCTTCGCAGGGCGGCATGAGCATCGTTGTTCTTATTTTCTGCTGCTGGAGGACATAAAGCAGCAGGGAAAAAGAACCTCCGAAGCGAACTTCTTCGCTGATTTGGTTCGGTGCAGTTTTGTTCTGCTTCTGGTTCTTGTAACACAGACATAGTGTAAGTGTTTTCGGTTTGCCGGTATTTTTGTGCGACTTTCGCTGCAGGTTGAAATCAGTATCAGGTTGGGGGTGTTGTTAAGTATTTCAACGCTCAAAATGATAGGAAATAAACGCTAACGCAACGAAGAGGGGCATAAAAAACGCAGATACGGGGTACGACGAACTAGGCGAGGTAGCAATAAACTCGAAAAAATTGCATCATTGTCCAAACGTCCTGCAAGACGAAATCGATAAGGAGAGAGACTTCATCCATTCTGGCCATTGCTGAGTATTGACTTTTAACAAAAAGCGCACACGCAGGCACGATAATTTTGTGGATTGGCAATAATAACGAGCCCGAAGGATACCGAAATTAACAACCGAAAAATCAAGGCGATCTTCCATTTTTTTCCTCTGTTTTTATTTTTCACGACGATCGGGGATCATGATTTTCATCCCGAGCTGCAGAGAATTTTCACCGACTCGATGGAACAGGAAAAATTTCGATTTGACAATGGAACGATATCAACCGGATTATCAATAGCGACGTGATCTAGAAATTTCAATTTGCTGGATCCTCTTGTACATGCAAAAATCTTTCGTGAGTCCGAAACCGATCTGAGTCTGACTCTGAGCAATTCGCTGCATAAACAATAGCGCCGATTCCGACGAGGACAACATGAACTTCGGAAATTTCACGGAATGATACGACCATGCGAAGTTGAAGAGATTTTACTTGGATAGACTTCTGTTCTTCTACAAAATCTACTAAGCCGCCGAACGCATCCGAGTCGTACTCGCGTACAATTCAGTCAACGCAGCAAGTGCCGCCAGGTAACAAACGAGGATGCTTCTGGATTTTTTGTCATCATCTCTTCCTGTTCCTCCTTGAGTCCAAATTTTGGAAAAACAGTTACATCAAGTGCCGGGACATAGACTGCGCTAGTACTACCGCGGCATTTACTGCCACTTTCAGACTGATTTCCAGCATTCGTCATATTACCACGACCTGCCCTTGTCGAGAAAGAAAAATAATTTTGCCGCTTTTCCAGCCATATCTCGTTTACAACTTTTGCAGTTACTAGAGAGTTCATATTTTCCGACGGGCTTTCGTCTTTCTCACCGTCGCCTTGTTTTTTCGTGGCTGCGATCTTTTCAATCGCTCCGTCGAGACCTTTGCAGCCCGTGTTCTTCGATGCTGTTGATTTTGCCGCACATGCGCGACCAAGTGAATTTCTGCTTTCGAAATCCACGCCAAAAATTTCCGAATCCGGATTCCTCTCGGCGTTCTGAGATTTTCCAACTCGCGCTCGGGTCTTCTTACGCTGGACAGGTAGATGAAAGCGCGCATCGCTGCCCTTCTTCCCGCCGGCACTTCCACGCCAGGAAGCGTCCGACTTTGCTGCTGCAGACGCAAACTTTTTTCCATCCATCCGTACCTGCTCTCCCGTCATCGGGCGTTTTCTGCTTGTTTGCTCGCTCGTTCCGCCTACAGCGGTAGTGCCGCCTGCACCGCAGTGATTCAACATTTTGGAATTATTCTCCCCCAACGCAGCACTCAACTCCCCGCCGGTTTTGTTTTCCAGGGTCTCCTTCCGCAGCTCTGCTTCGAATATTCGCTCGCACTGCGACCGCTTCACCTCGTCTTTCTTCAGCAAGAACGACGCCCACTCCTTCATATTGCAGGGAAAAATCCCCCCTCCCCATATCGAAACGAAGGAAGGCTCTGATGCTGGATTTCCATACACAAATCAGATTTGTCTTGCAATAGAGGAATGCAGGCATATGGCAAGCCTCAGTCGAGAGGTTTTGACGTAGGCGCCTAGCATGGCAAACGTGTATGCTCTAAGCCAAACAGCATCACAAACCGCCTGCAAAATGCGGAACGCTTTCTGGACTTGCCTTCTTGCAAGACAGACAGGATTTGAGGTCGCAAATGCGCATCACAAATTTTCAGACGGATACGTTTTCGATATGGGGAGGGGGGATTTTTCCTTACGATACTTCAGCTTCGCCAGCGACTGGGCCTGGTACCGCGGCCCGGACAGCACGAAGGTGTGCTGCTCCCCGCAGGCCACTTGCAACACCGGGCGGGTGATCAAGTGTAAAAATGTCTGGGTCTGGAAGCTTGCCAGGTTTGTCATGCATATTTTGAAAGACTCATGATGTCTGTGGTGCATGCTCTAGCATGACAGATTTTTAGAGGCCTTTGTGATGCCTCTACCGCATGATAAATGCCCTCTCCGGGTAGCACAAACTGGAGTTCTGTTGCTGGTCATGCAATGCAAATTTTTTATAGAATCCAGAGACAGCATCACAAGTTCCACCCTTCCAGACCCAGACATTTTTACATTTGATACGGGTGATCAGAGGCTGGACCAGGTGCGGCAGGTTGTACACCACACCAAACTATGCAATGCAAAAGCACCGTACTCGTATTGCAATGATGCATTACAAATCTTGTTCTTAAGGCAAATCCGCATTACAAATTTTATTTCTCATGGTGAGGAAATTTGTAATGCATTTATACGAGTACGATACTTTTACAATTCATACAAACTGCTCTTTCGGCGTGGTCGCCGCACCAGCACAACTTCCCGGCGCACCGGCGGTGGACATCACCCCGCCAAACAGCTGCTCCTTGTCGTTCGCGCCGAACGCGTACACCAGCCCGTACAAAGTCAGCGCGCAGGAGTGCCGCTCCCCGAGCGACAGGCTGCAGACGCCCTTGCCGTCGAAGAACCGCACCTTCCGCGGCTTCTCCTGGTAAAAACCGCCCGCGTACCCGAGCCCCAGCTGGCCGAACCGGTTGCACCCCCACGTGTACACGGAAAGGGACTTCTCGATGAAGCCACTGTGCGCGCCCCCGGTGGCCAGGTAGCGGGCGAAGATCGTCTGAGACGACGGGGGCTCTTGCCGTTTCAACACTACTTGCTGTTTATTCATTTCTTTCGCCCGCCTGCCACCAAAGTGGACATGATCTTGATTTCCCCCGGCTTGCTCCACGTCGATAAGCAGATCACCATCGTCGTCTGCAGATGAAGTAGTAGTTTTCGTTACCTTTGTTCCACCCGCCCTATGAAGATCATGATCACGATCTTTACCATTGTTCCCTTCCTGACAACTGCTGCTACTCTTGATTGGCTCTTCGATCGGCAGTATCAACTGCAAAAATGTCTGGGTCTGGAAGAATGCGAACTTATCATGCGTGTTGCGGATCATACAAAAATCTGTGCTGTGCGACTTGCAAAAGGTCCCCATTTCTGGCCATGCTGAGAGGGCATTTCTCATGCAGAATAGGCATCACCAAGGAGCTGCAGAACCTGTGATGCTATGTCCTGCATTCCAGCCTTGGCGGAGCTTGGAAAAACTGCATGACAAGTGTTGGAATCTTCCAGACCCAGACATATTTGCAATCCATAGGCAGCAGCAGGTTGGATTTTCCGCTACTCCGCCCCAACCGTCCGTCGTCCGGATGCCCGCAGGAAAGCACAAAACTGCTATCCTGCTCAAATGATCCAGGCTGTAGTTGTTCAGCACTCGTCGCAACACGAAGATGAACCCCGCCATCACTACTGCCGTTTGTCGTGATGCTAGTGGTCCTGCTTCCCATCACAGATACCAGCATGTGCGCGCGACCGCACGCCACTTGAGACACCGAGAAGTTGATGTGTTGAGCAGCCGGTGTAATAATTTCCTGTCGCCCTGCTTGTTGTTTTTGTTCGCCTGGAATCGTCGTTGAAGGTGCAGCAGCTCCTCCTGCGTGCAATTTCGATTTTGAACCAGACTTCTGCTTAGAACACGTCTTCTGGTGCGCCGTCGTTCCATGACTCATTCCGGAAAAGCTACCACCGTTGGATGATGTCACGCTTGTCTTGCTCGCCAGATGATTCAGCTGCACCCGCCTCGGCACGAACACGTCGTCGTAATTTCCGTGCCCCAAGATCCCGGAGCTCCCCTTTCCCCATGTGAAGAGCGCGGTCTCATTCGTGTTCGCCTGCTGCACAATCAAGGCGCAGCTTTGCCCGCCGCAGGCAACCCGGCGGACCAGCGCCTCGGGCCCAAGGCCCTGAATCGGCTGCGCCTGCGACACTTTGGACCACGACTGCAAGGGCTTCCTCGGGTGGACAGCCGGGTCTTTTTGCTTGCTTGCAGATTTTGATCTGCTTGTTTTACTGCTCGTGCCATTTTTGTCAAGATTTGTTGCTCGCGACGTTGGCGAACTCCTCCATGTTTCATCCGCCTTCGTGGTCAACAGCGGGTTGGTCATATGATCCTGCTGTGATCTTCTTGTCGGACGATCATGCTCGGCCGGCGGGCTAGTACTTTTTCCCCTCATAATTCCGCCTGCTCCACCCGCACGAACTGCTGCGCGACCCCCTTTCATCTTCTTCGGAGAAGCTGCATCTTTCAGCATCAGCGGGCTGCTGGCCTTATGTTCTTGCGGTCCACTCTTGAAGTTCCTCCCACCCGCCCCGGGTGGTGAAGACGTCGAGTGGGCTGATTTTGTGCCGACGACCGGGGAAAAAATCTTTACCACTCCACTTCCCTGCTGCGCCGCCACGGCCGGCGCCGCCATCATGTCGCCGAAAAAATAGGCGATCCCGCTGCTGTCGAGCGCCAGAGAGTGGCTGATCCCGCAGCTCACCTCGATGACCGCGGCGTGCGCCAAACTCAGGACCGGCCCGAGCTGCGCCACGATGTTGCTGCTCGCTTGCTCCACGTTGCTGTTTTCCGCGATCTCCCGCGCGGACGGGATGAACCGGCCGAGCTTCAGCGCGCAGTTCTGCAGGTTCGCTTCCAGCGAGTTGGAGTGTGCGCCCGCCTTCACGACCGCGCCCGCGGGTCCGGTTGCGCCGGCGGCAGGAACCGCACCAGAGGCGGCACCTTTCTCGTTCAGGGCCAACAACCCGAAGGAGTGCACCCCGCCAGCGTTGCAACAGCAGACGCTGTGCTTCGGTCCAGAGGCGATGTGCACCAACGTGCGCGGAACGTTGGAGCCGGCGAAGGGGTGAAACTCCGGGATTCTCGGTGCAGCTTGCTGGTTCATCTGGCTGCGAGGACCAAAGGCCTTCCGTGGAGAAGTTGCGGACAAAGGATCTTTCGTGTCAACGCCGGTTAAGAAAACTCCCTGCTGTACTAGTTGCCCTTGTTGTGTAGCCGCCGCGCCGGAATTATTCGTAGCCGCTGCTTGCTGCTGCGGCAGTAGGCTCGCATCGAACGTGCGTAGCTTTTTCTTCCCCGCAGAGGTGGAGACAGAAACCACGGGGTAAACCGTTGCCGCGCTAGAAGCAGTGTTTTTGCCTCCCACGGAGGAAGATGATAAAGCGTTTACAACTCCCCCCGCGCCGCTCGCATTAGGACCACCTTGATTCGCGTTAGCGGAAAAGTGGCTGCCAAAGGCGATCAGACTCCCGCCCTCGCGGTCGGCCACGTGGATGGTGATTTGAAAGGAAACCGCGTCAAAAGCCGGATCCTTACTCGAAATGTAGTGGAGCAGGTTCAGCTGTTATCACGTGCAAATGAGTAGGTTTTCGGCCTGGAAACTTGTGATGCGGGGTAAACAATCATTCATGAGGACGCGTCAATTGAGATTGACGCTCAAGCACGACAATTTTTTGAGTTCCGACTAGAAGGAGGTGTTGCCTCTTCTGCATGTCACACTGCATTCCTACATGACAGAATATTGGCGTTATTGGTTAAAAATGTGCGTGCTAGACTCGAGGGTCATGCTGGCCGAGCACGACAAGCCTTGCATTTTTCCAGACCCAGACCAGATACATGCATTTTCTTAGCTGTTTCGTGCCAATATCGACGTAAAAAGCGTCCACCGTCAGCTGCCGTGGCTGGCTCCAAGCTAAATCTAGTTCCTTCACTTGCTGGGTGGAGTTGTTGTAACGGTGCTGGTGCTCTGCGGTGATGCCCTCGTCGTGGTGGGCCTTCATCTCGATGTTCTTCACGCAGGGGCTCGTCGCGTAGTCCTCTCGCTCTACTTCCTCGTCGCCATTACAACTGGCCTGGGACGATGCTGAAAACTGCGAGACCAGACTGGACACCGAACGCGGGGACAGGAGCGACTGCTGGTTATTTGCGCCGCTGGGACTTGTACACGTTCCACTTCCACTGCCCCTGAGTCGTGGCGAAGCTGGTTGCTGCGGCCCACGGTGGAGATCAAAATGATCAGCACCCCTACCACTGCTCTTCTCGCCCTCACTCACCATCTTCTGGTGCCTTGAGGATGCTTTTTCCTTGCTCGCGGTACAACTTTCATGCACCGGAAACTGGATCTCGTTCGGCCGAATCAGTACCGTCTCCACGGTGGTGCGCACACTGATCATCACCTTGTGCTTGGGCCTCTTCTTCAGCTGGATCGTGTAAAAATCTCGCAACCCGCAAGGCAGCACGAGTAACGGCTGCTGCTGGTGATGTAGTGGGCCCGGTGCATTTATTTCTCGGGATGAACCCGCTCCCGGCGGCGCGCTCGGATTTGCGGGCGACGAGGCAAGGAACTGCTGCTGGTGGTGACCAACTGCAGCAGCAGTTTTACCGCTCGGGGACGACAAACTTGCGTTCGCCCCTGGGGATGAAGCCGTTGGCGTAGACCCAAGTTTGTTGTTCAGCATTTGCTGTTCGTGCTTCATTTTCGTCTCCGATTTTTGATGGACTTCCAGCTTCTTAGCCTGATTTTTACCACCTGTTGACGGTGAGGAACCTGCACCTCCCGGAGCTCCCGCAGAGGAGACCCTCCACACAGTGTCGTCCTTATTTTTGTGGATATCAACGTTGTTGCATGTAGAAATGAAGTTACTGGTGCAAATCTGCACCAAATCGTTATCCCACGGGTCGACTTGCCGCACCTTCTTCCGTAGTGTGGATTGCTGTTGCTCATTTTCTATGAACTGCAAAAGTATCGCACTCGTATAAATGCATTACAAATTTTCTCAGCATGAGAAATAAAATTTGTAATGCTGATTTGCCTTGACAAAGAAATTTGTAATGCAAGACCTGCATTTATACGAGTACGATACTTTTGCACAGCGTATTTTCGATCATTTCCATGATCTCATTGCTGCGCCGGCGGTTCCCCAAGGCGCCCACCATGGTCCCGCTCGTGCGCCGCGGGGGAGGTGGCAGAGAACCGGGAAGCATGATTTTGCGCTATATCTTTTCCCACTCGTCCACAGCTAAGTACAGTTCATGTAGAAAGCAGAACACTGTAAGTCAGAGCAAGACGCTCGCAGATGAATATGGCGAAATCACAAGCATCGCGGCGCCACCATCTTGAACACGACCGAAGATGCGGCACCGGCAGCACATGAAAACTTTTATACCGGCAGCGGGCCCTGCTGCACACTCAGTAAAGTCGGAAAGCCTCCTTTCGTTCCGCATATTTCGACTCTCCCGGTTTACGACAGCTTCATTTCATTTTGCCCAGCACCACACGTCGACTCAGGAGAATGACAGGAACCTCGGCAGACATACGTACTTCGGATTATGCCTCAACAAAAATCAATCGCCACAAATTTCCTTCGATGTCGGTGTTTATTGTGCTGAGAGACAGTGTTGCCACTCTCGTCGGTTGCTCTTTGTTGCCTCTCTTCCAAGCCAAGCCGTGCTGGCAGCATTGACATCCACAAGTACACGAGGTATTACATGACGAGCACTTTCTCTGGAGGATCCTCGCCATCTTCATCACCCCGCAGATACAAACGCATCATCATCCCGCAGATGGCTTGCAGAATAGAATTATGAATTTTCAAAGGCCGTCCACGTGGTCTTGACGTTCTTTCTTATATCGGACTTGCAGAGCGAGGATCTGGTCGAACAAAAAAACCGTCATCGCAGTATTGGCCTGCTTAATATTTTTGTCCGAAATTATCTCATGTCGTAAACACTTTGTTTCTTTCTGCTAGTCTGGGGAAAACAAATGCGTTTTTCACAAAAGTAGCGCAAAAAACAGCGGGGGAAATGTGTTCTTCAGAAAAGCGGACCATCATCACTACAGCTGCGGCATCTAGGTGAGCAATGACTTCCAGTTCTAGTTCTACTTCTTGCAGTTGTCGGTGCGTATTTTTATAAATTCTTCGGCGCACTATTTCTAGTCTAGATCGTAACCGTCTTCCTGTTCCTCGTCCCCGTTGCCAAATAATAAATTGTCCCCGTGATACACCATTCGCGTCTTCCAACTGCCAGACCACTCACCACCTGCCGGTCTATTTCCCGCTGATGGCGCACCAGGACTTCCGGTCCTGCTATTCGCCATGTCGGTGGTCTTCATTTCTTGCTGCGACGGCGGTCGTGATGCGGCGCGGCCCTGCAGTCCTCTAGACCCACCGCCACGCTGCCCCTCGCTGTGCAGCTGAGACTGCTGCTCTGCGTGCTCAGACTGCTGTGTGGTACTATGCGGGGACCTCCACTGCCCTTTGGCACCATCATAGTAACTGGACCCGCCGTGGTCTCCACCCGCTCTGCTGCCGCCGTGTTCTTGGTTGTGCGATGCGCTCCTTTCCGCATTGTACTGGGACCACCTCGCCGCGTCGTCACCCGCTGCTTGTTCTGTCTCTGGTGCGCCAAATCTGCTAAGCTGCCCGCCTCGCTGCCCGCTGAGGTTCTGCTGGGATGTACTGTCCTCGCGTGTATCAAATGTAAAAATGTCTGGGTCTGGAAGAATGCAACTTGTCATGCGCATTTCAGAACACACAAAAATCTCTCATGCATGGGTAGCAAAAGCTGCCTACTTTCTGTCACCAAAGTGGGGGATTTGTCATGCGGGTTCGGCATTGCGGAAGCTTCTCGAAACCTGTGATGCTAGAGCTTCCATGCCAGACCTGCTGTGTCATGCAGAAACAGCATGACTCTTCCAGACCCAGACATTTTTACATTTGGTAGCGTGTAGTCTCGTGGTGCTCCGGCGATCTCGTCTCTTCATGCCCGTCAAAATAACCGAGCGAGCGCAGCACCGCGGCGCGACTCGGCACGTCGAACATACTGGCATCTATCCCCGTTGGAATAGCGCTGAGCAGCGTTTGCCGTCCCCTATCCGCGTTCGTCAGAACCTTACTGATGCAATCCTCATGATAGTCGCCAAGAACAACGCCGTCCCACCGGTTCAACCTGGTCTGGTAAGTTTGAGAGTGAGCATCGACCTTACCGTACGGCTTCCATTTTTTCAGCCTTTCACAGCGGGTGGGCACACCGAACGCGGCGATACCGGTGTTCACGCTGGTGATTGACAACGCCGTGTCCCACATGTCGGCCGCATTGCTCCAACCAATTTCTTCCTCGATCTGCTGTCCCTCCGCGAATTTTCCACGCTCCATCATGTGCAGGCGGTCCCAGGCGGCAAGGAGCGGCAGTCCGAACACGCACAGCATGCAGATGACTTCAGTCGTGAACACGAGTCTGGGCAGCGTCAGCGCATTAGCCCGCAGCCGCGACAGTTTCTTCATCAAGATGGACCTGTGCTCGGATTCCTTCTCCACTACAACGCGCGGGTCCAAGTCGCCCTTCTTGGGGGGACGGAAGCGGAGCACGAACCGCAACACGACGAAGAGCGCGGCAAACACGGTGCCTCCCCAAACCAGAAAGCACCGCCAGGCCAACACGGGGCGCCAGCTGTAAAAGGGCTTGCTCGGGTCGTCGGGGTCCAGGGAGTAGTCGAGACAGGTGGTCTGCTTGGTGAAGTACCACATCTTCTCGTAGTACTGCAGATTGTCGTAGCGCCAGGACAAAAACTTCCCGGAAGAGTCGAAGGCGCGAAACATGTAGCCGAGAGGCACGTTCTCCCCGACGAAGAGCTGGTAGGCCTCGAACCCCAGCAAAATCGCGGTGGCCGCGGGGGCGGCGATGTTGTGCAGCACCACGAGCCAGGTCGCGAGAAATCGTTTGTGCAGACGCGTGCGCTCGGACAAGGAGTTCCGGGCTTCGAACTCCGCCGACGTCAGTTTCTTGATTTTCCGCCTCGTCTTCGACCTCAGCAGCTCCATCTTGCCCCCCATTCCCTTCTTGACGCCGCCAGCAGCTTCACGGGTTACCTTCTTCAACTCGCGCCGCGCTCGCGCAACTCTACTGGGCCCCTCCCGGTCCGCGGAGCCTTCCCCACTGGGCAGCTGCCCAAGCTCATTTGTTCCTGAACTACCGTCATCGAGGCTCTTGTTGCTCAACTCTCTGGACAGAGTGCGCGGAGAAAGGTCACCAGAAGGGAATCCTTTAGAAGATGAAGCCACGTCGGCCCTGGTCCTTGCTGTGCGCGCCTCTACTTCAGAGGAAGAGATATCTTCCAGTAACTCGTCGGAGGAAGTTGTAGAGGACATTAGGCGGTCATCGCTGTGGTCACCAGTGACATTCTGATCACTCTCAACACCAGCATGATCATCCCGTTCTACTTCTTTGTCCTCTGCTGTCGTCCCATCCGCAGCCCGTTGTTCTTGTACTTTAGCTACAACAGTGTCGCGGTCGTCGTGGTCTTCACCCGCCGATCTGAGAAAGGAAAAGCTGGGCACGAGCGCCACCACCGCGAATAGCGTGTAGGGCGCCACCAACCAGAACATGCGAGAGCGGATCTCGACATACGTACCCACTTGGGGTCGCCGCAGCACCGACTCCAGCGCGATGCGTCCGGGGAGCCGCGGGTCGTATTCGCGGCACCAGGCCGTGTGGGCCTCGAAGGTGTAGTGGCTCAAGAACGCGGACGCGCAGTAGAGCAGCAGACACGCCTTCCAAATCAGACCCTCCGGGGAGTCTTGCACCTGACACACACTAGACAACGTCCCCCGATACGCGAAGTCCCACGGAAGCAGGTAGGAAGCCTCCTGTTCATCCGCATCCGTGGCGGCCAGTAAAGTGACGGACGAGTTTCCCACCGTGGAGCTTCGCCGGCGCGCCCGGAGCTCCTCCCGACTCAGGCGCCGCTCCAGAATGCGGATGGGAAAGAACACCAGGCGGCAGGGCAGCAGCAGCCCGACCAGCACTGCAAAGATGCCCCCGAACAGACACATGCATGCGAAGGTCACCTTCTCGCGTGTGGTGCCCAGCCACATGGCCTGTCCCCGCGCCGCCTGCAGGGCGAAGTACCGCCCCACGAACCGCACGCGCTCCAACGCTTTCCGCTGGTCATCCTGCGTCCGCAACACTTCGCTTACTTGCTTCTCCAACGCGGCAATCCGGATTTCGGCGGAACCGGGCGGTGGCGGACTCTTCTCTCCTCGTCGTCCCGTTGAACCATGATGTTCAATCTCTTCTTTTTCCCCCTCAGAAATATTTTCACCAGCTGCACTAGCCCCTCCTTCCCCCTCAGAAAACTGTCCACCCTCCCGCGCAGAAGATGACGTCGCAGCAGTAGTACCGGAGGCAGAAGTCGGAGCCGCGTAAGAACCATCGGACGTCGCCGGCGGGGGACGCCGGTTTACCAACATCGGTTGCAGCCCCCGCTGCGACCTTCTCAATTTCTCCAGATCTTCGAACGGCGCTACGCCGTCAAAGATCGTGGTCGTGTCGCGATTCGACGCGCGGCCACGACGACCTTCGAAGGCCCTTAGATGTTCATGCTCGGGGTCGTCCTCGGAGGTTGTCTTTAGCAAGAAAGAGCGCGCCATGAGTTCATCCGGGTCATGATCTCCTACGAAAAGATTTTGGCTTCTCATCGCCAGAAGCTCCTCTTCGAATCCATCAAAGTGGTCGCTTTCAAAAACAGAACCGTCGCGCAGCTCCCCCGACGTCTCGTCCGTGCCGGCGCTGTCGAGATCCTGCGATGAAAGGAGGGCGGGGTGGGCCGGTGGTTGTTCTTCTCGCGGTCGACCACCAGCACCTCTACCTCTCGAGGTGGTTGTACTTGCACGACCGTACTCGTCGACGAAAACACCAGTCTTTTCGTAATTTGCGTGGTCAACACGCTCATCTCCTTCACTGTGTGCAAATCGCACGAGAAATAAACCGGAAGCGGCGAACAAAACCACCAGGAAGAGCGAGCTGAGCCAGGTCGGAGGGGCTCGTCCACTTCGCGTACTGAGGCGGTGCCGGAAGTTGTAACTCTCAATTATCATACTGGGAGCAGCAGGAGAACCTGAACCGCTACTGGTAGAAATAGGTCGTCTCGCCGTCTCTCGAATATTGAAGAACGACGGCAGTGTTGTACTAGATTCTCGCCCCTTGAGCGCGGCTTGTTTCGACGTACCGGGCAGCGGAAGAGCGGAAAGGCCGCGCGGACAAGGCGGAAAGAACTGCGGGGTCCGCGACATCTTCTACTGGACTTTATTAAAACGGAAACGGACTCATCTTCGTGGATCTCTTTTCTATAATGTTGGACGGTCTTTGACCAGTGCGGTTCCGCTTCGATGACAAGTAGAACAATTGTGATCTTTGCATTCTCCCCCTCGCAAGGTATGCAAATAGCCACTATGCCAACTCTACGGCCGTACTAATGACAACTCTCCGGCCGTACTTGTGTCTGTTATTTTGTCCCTCATCCGCTCGACTTCTCATCTCTCGTACTGGGTTTTTCTTTTTTCCGTGTACTGCGGTGTGAACGGAGATAATAAACACTTACCAGCTACCATATCTATGCACCTGCTCGACAGTGCTCTCATGGTCTTTCTTGGAATTGGTTTGTTTTATTTTCGTTCCCCTTTTTTGTCTTTCTTACAGATTCCGGTGATTGTGCATTGCAAAAGCGACGGGGCTTTTTGTGTGTAGGGTCTACTATCATTTCTGTTTTCTAATCCGGCTCCGGGCTCCTGAGGGTTTTACTTCGTAAAGAACTCGCTACAAGAACATCTCAAATTGTTTCGTATTTTTATGTGTACAAGAATTCGTATACAGTAGACTGCTGGTATGGGGTTGAGACTTTCTCTATTTCATCGGGATAGAAGGGATTGTGTGTTTCATGTTATGTCTTAGAAAAGTAGGGAATAAAACAGTACGACTTCTTACAGTCTCTTCCGGCAAAAGGGCACGAGGCCTTTCCTCCAACAAGAGTCTGCTCCATGCGAAATAGAGGCGAGGAAAGGAACCAGCGATTCGAAGGTTAACATTGCCCGCCCGAATTCATTCTTATTGCCTTCTTGTTGCACTTGAGCAGTTCTTGGAACAGAAAAATGCTCACCTCTCGACCACGTCCCTTGCAGCAGGTTACTTCCGGATGCTGGCGAGCATGTTAATGCTTGTATGATCTCCGTACAACTTCTTTCTAAAAACAGCCTAAAAAAAATAAGAATCCTTATTCTGCTCGGAGACTAGAAGATAGAGACGAAATAACAAGGACGAGCGTCCTCTACCGCCACTTCTGACAGCGGGGAGCAGGACGAGGACCACTCTGTGCTGTATAATCTCTACTCTGTAAGTTTTCACTTTTCAAACACTGGATCATATGGGTTGAGACTTCGCCGCGGTGCTGCGTTGCAGGACTTTAGTATTACTTCGGCCCGACCACCGGAACTGGGCTCGCGCTCCACATGGCGCTGGCAGACCGCGTGCGGGTCCGCGCGAGCCTTTGCTGCTCGTCCTCTGCATCATCCGAGGACGCGGTGGTGCTTGGCACTCCGCTCCGTCGAGGGTCAGCTGAAACGTCGTGCACGTTAATGCCAGTACCTTTGACCGCACTAGTAGTCCTCCCGACGGTGTAGTTGCAGTTGACCGGGTACAGCTGATGCTGGACAACGAGCGGACCTGCTTCCCCATTCACGCTGCTGCTGAGTTCGCCATCGTCCGGACTGCGTAGCATATTGCCGGTGGTCGGTTTCTGGTTCTGGGGGAAATGAGTCGACGTAGGTGCTGCTCCTGTCACAACTACGGCACTCGTTCCGACGCTGCCGTAGCTGGACAACGTGGTAGGACTTTGATGGCGTGGTTCTACACGTAGCACGCCTTTATTTGTTCCGCCCGGCACCGGAAGATTAAAGTGTGCTCCGCTACTAGTCGCGATGTAAGTGGTGTTTTTGTGCAGAATTCCAACTTTCTCGTCCTCGTCCTGTTGCTTGCTATTGCCCGCGCTGGGCAGCTCTTCTTGCTGATTTCCGGTTTTGCTGGTTCCTTCCTGGAGGTGCGTGGCAGATAAATACCCACGGATGAGCAACGCGACCAAATTTGCGAGCGTGCCCAGTCCGTTCGGAAGCATGATCTGCACCTTGTGTAGGTACAGCGCTCCCTGCAACACCCAGGCGATGCCGCACACCAACAGCGTCACATTCATCGTCACCGTGCCGAGAACCTTGGCGTTGCCGGTGCGTATCGCCTGTTATTGTGGTTAGTTTCCTCACAAAAATCTTGCCCAACAAAGGACAGCAAATCATTTTCTGCAGGTTTACTTCATTCATCTGCGCCCCCTTTCGTGTTTATTCGGTGTGCTTGTGTAAAGAGAAAGACACTGCCGGCGCGGCGAATCATAGCACAAAATCACGCAGCGGCTTAATACAGCTTGTTCTGGTAGAGCAGTCTTGACCTACTAAATATCTCAACCAAGTAATTTCAATATACCTCATGGAACGCGAAGACTGGGCTGGCGTGCAGAAAGCAGCCAATGAAGGCCGCTGTGTAACCGATCGTGTCGAGACAGTGGAACTCAAACAAGCCCACGCCCAACAGGCAGATCGCGACCAGCACGAACATCTGCACGCGAAACTGCTCGGAGAGCGGTGCTGCTGGGGATGAATTTGGTGCACTTATCATGTTGCCGCCAGGAGCTGCGCTCATTCTCTGCTCTCCACCCGCACGCGCCGACACGTCCTTCGAGAGAATAAACTTCGGGTACAGGTACACGAAAACGACCCCGAGCAGCAGCCCCGCCAGGTTCGGCAACACGACAACCCAGGGGAAGGCCGCTGGAGGAGGAGGTGAAGCCGCGTTTGCCTGTTTCGCTACTGTGGGGTCATCACTTGCTTTGATTTTTCCCTCCTCAGGTTTCACTTCTTGCGGGTCGTGGTGCGCCAGACAGAGGCCGAACAGACACCACAGAAAGCACTGGCCGACCTGCGAGGTGAAGGGCAGCGGCGGGACCTCAATCCACTGGTTTTGCCGGTACGCGGGCCAAAAGACGGTGACGGGGGACATGAACACGCAGATCGGCAGAACGATGCACGCGAAATCGACGACGGCCTTGAACGCGGGGAGGGAGTGCGGTGCCGCGCCGAAAGTCTCCTGCACCGGAACCAGGTGCTCCATGCTGCTGGTGGCGCGCATGGTTTATTTGATGTGGAATTTTTACTCGACGTCTGCTGGGAAAGATAGTCCTTTGACTTTCCGACGCCGCGTGGGTGGTTCTATTTCAACATAAACCTCCTCCAGTCGTCGAAAGCTGTGTATTTCTTTGTTAGGAATCAGAGGTTCGCAAGGGTCTGGTACTTTTCGCTGCAAAAACTCCCCGAGAAACCGAATGTTTGAATATTCCGAATGATACTACACCTGAAGCCCCTCGCTTATTTCGGAATGACACTCCGTCTCGTACTTTACACGAAAGAGAGTAAGTAAGACAACCGAAAGGAAGCGGGTCTTACTCGTACTTACTACAAATAGCCCTGCTTGACCTTAAAACCCTTGAGATGGAAACTACGAAATTTGAATTCTATAGCCCTAGAGGTGGACACGAAATGTGAATTCTTTTACGAAAAAAAAGCACGAGGGGGCTGCTTCCGTGCTTGTGCGATTGAACCGGGTCATATAAAAAGTGTCGAGAAATTCATACTTAATGAAGCGACCTGTTGTTTTGTCACCATGTGCACACGAGTTTTTGGGTGTAGACTAAATCAACTGGACCTGCACTCAGACGAGAAAGCGAAAAGCAGGAATCAAACTCCACAGGACGAAGGTACGACGGGCACAGCTAACGTTTCTTACCGAGTGCTGCGCGTCGGTGTCGCGGTTTTATTTCACAAAAATTATGCGGAACGAAACCGACCAGAAAAATTGTTGAACGACGGCGAATAGCACACTGGCTTGTTTGAACGACAACGACGGCAAATGCTTAATATACCGAGTTGGCTTCGAGTTGTGTTCATTGCGAGTTGTACGTGCCACGAATTACATTCCGATCCCGATGCCAAACATGCATTCGCATCAACCGCTTTTGCGTACGCGCATCAACCGCTTTTGCATACAACCGAATCTTATAGATGCAGATATGTTGATCATCAGAAGCAGCTAAATTGTATATGATATCGTTTCCGCGTGATAAAACCAGCGAAATCTGCAACGGAGGACGCAAGCAAATCACTTCTTGCAGCGCAAACTCACTTTCATATGCGGAAAGTCCTTACTGTGCGAACACCTCTCCTGTGCTACCGCGGACGCATGTTCGCTCATGTTCGAGCTTTGCTTCTCTTTCTCGGCCCTAACAAAAAATATAGGGTAGATGCGACCGGCGCATGAAAGCATCAATGCGAAAAAGATCGATGACAGAAAGAAAACCAAATGTGCTTCTGCTCAACTACTGTACTGACACAGACACGAAGTGTAGACGTATGTTCAACACGCCGAAAATTATCCCGCCTTCAAGCGCAAATTCTTGGCTTGGCGCACGGGAACCGCTGCGTAATAGATGAAGGTCGAAGTAGAACTAAGCGGCCTACAGAATATTAAACTACTCGTACTCATTTCACCAGCAGCATCAAAAATAAAAGACTATTCCGCCCTACTGTACTGTTTCTCTTTTACTTCTTTATGGGCCAGACGACGAGGTGTTTCCCAAACATTTTCTTGTACGTCTCGGGCGTGAACGGCTGGTCGCCAGTAGTGCTGTTTCTTCCAGCACCTCCGTCGTCCTCGGAGTCGATGCTCATGCGGCGCGCAAATGTTTCGTCTTCTACCACCGACATGCGATTTGAGGACCTCCTGCGCGAGGTCCGCTCGGCCGGAGGTTGAGCCCCGGCGCCCGACGTGCTCAAGCTTTGCTCTTGCTGCAGGAAGAGAAAGGGACTGCCAAACTGCTCCCGGATATCGACGGAAGGAAATAAAACGTCCCCACACAGTCTGCAACGTCGCACGTGTAGAGATTCTGGGGCTCATCATCTTCACGTATCAAGAGGACAAGGCTGAATTCATCTGTAGCGAGGTTGTACATAGCTAGTGCAGCAGCTCCATCACGAGCCTACTTCTTCGTCCACGTTAGAAACAGCACAATTTTCCAACCGGGACTAGGAAATGGGTCTCATGGGTAACTAAGTAAGTACTTCGCCGCAGTAGAACAGACATACTGGGCAACGACCAGATTTTTTTGAATGACAAAGAAGGTGTGGGGGCGTTTTTACTGAAGATACAGGATTTTGAAGTGGATCAGGAGTGCGATGTTCCCGTTCTCCGGCTCGAACAGCTCCGGGGAGTTGTACTCGTTGAAATAAAACTGCTGCGGATATCAAAAGCAAAACATGCCTGCTCCTGGCACCCCTCAAAATAACACACACTCAACTTGTATTCGACTTGCAAATGACGGCTCTATATGTTATATCTGACTGTCGGGTTTTTTTTATTACGGTAGACAATCTTCCGGCAATAGCAGAGAGCTACGATATAGATGCTAGAGCCTTCAGTGGCTATTTTCAAAGTACAAATCTACTGAACATGATCACAATTCCTTCCCACACGCCAAAAAAATTATGGAGTGCTAATAGGTAAAATCATGCAAGACAGCCTGCGCGTCATGTGGCTGAGTACTATCAAGGGTGGAGTGGCTCTTTTCCCTTTGGTAGCAGAAACGGTAGGCTCAGCGCCTCGCAGTCCACCGAGACCTGGTCGAACTGGCCCCGCATCGTCGGCTCCTCCGGGTCGTGCAGCTGTCGTGGCGTATGACCACGCACAAGCACAACTCTCCTTCCCCTCATTCGAATAAATGTAGCATGAACAGCAATAGAAGCGTTAGCGAAGGTGCAGCCTCTGGAGCACCAATCCATGCAAGAATGTAGTAAGTACTGTTTGATGGGCTGCAGAAACCTGCAATGCAAGCAGCGCCAAAAGGCAACAGCTAGAACTGCGTTTTTGCATGACGAACGACAAGGACGAGAGGGAGTCACGTACTCTCATACGGTGTGCCGTGGAAGCAGAACCTGCAGGAGCCAGCCTGGCACTCAAAAGCTACCGCTTCGGAAACCTGCTGCATCTGCTCCCGGTGGTGGAGCAAGAGCACCTTGGGCGGGAAGGTTTCCACCGCCGCGTTTTTGCCTGGGTCCAGCCAGTGTACCTCGCGGACCCGGGACCAGAAGGCCTGATAAGGACCGGGTTGCTGCATCGGTGGAGAGGTGTTTTCTGTTGGAGCAGTAACGCCATGTAATAGCACCGTTGCGTTGACCAGAAGGGAGTTCAACACCAGATGCCCCTTGGAAAATATCCCGCAGAAAAACAGCTAGCACATTGCCGAAGTCGCCTTGCATAGAACGAGTCGTACACCATAGAAAAAGCTAACAGCTTGTCCGCCCTCGACGGCCCAGTACAACTACCTATGGGCTCGCGCTTGCGCGCGTTCCATGGATTGACAAGTGCAAATCTAACTTTTTATGCCAGTGAAGGTTTTCTGCATGTTGATAAAAAAGCCGAGCAGGACGATGTCTTCCACAATCAAAGGATCGGCGTTCAACGCGGAGTTTGGGGTGTAGTGGTGAAAAATTAGGTCCTCGAGCAGCTTCGTCAGGTGCCCCACGGCGTCCACGACGCACGCGTTGCGCGGCGACCGCGGCGCGGACTGGACGGAGATGCGGGACGAACGGCTGCCCTTACTCATGTCGGACCCGGTCGAGTTGCGGTGCGAACCTGGAGGTGGTGCGCCCCCTATTCGTGGTCCAGCATGGTGCTTGTAGTTCTCCTTACTCGACGTCCTATCGTGCAGCGCGTGGTGAAAATTCTTGTCCAGGGCCTTTAAATTGTGCGCCGTGAGTGTAGTGGGGGACGAGGTCCCGTGGTGGAAGTGCTCACCCGCGTGGTGCTCCTTCAGTGGGCTGGTCGTTTTTTTCACGTGGTGCAGCTCTAGCTTGAGTCCAGCGGCTCCCGCGTGCATCTTGCCGCCCGCGTGGCTCTCCGGCACGGTGAGCGTGAGGCCGGTAGCCGCGCTGTGTCCCGCTTTGGTGTTCGCGTGCGCGGACAGGTGGTGGTGCTGCAACTTAGAGTGAATGCGGTCCGCGTCCGGACCGTGAAATTTGGGGTTGCTGTTCGGAGCCACCAGGTGGTGGCGTGCGTCCTCCTGCACGAGCGCCTTGGCTATTCCCGCCGTCGTTCTCGGTGCGAAGAGAATCCGCTTCGGGGCAGGAGGTGGAGCCACTGCAGCTATACTCTCTTTCATCCCAGAGGCAGTCGTTGTCCTGTAGTTGTCTTCCACGAGACTCATGCGCGTCGCGCCGCCGGCTGACTCGGAGGCCCTCGGCGGCGCCATGAGGTCCGAGCCGCGGTGGTGGTGGTGCGAGGGCAGGTGCCGCATGGACAGCCCATCGACCTGCTCCTGGGTGTAGATGTGGATCAGATTCTCACTGCTCAGCCGCAAAGGCTCGCCCGTGTGCGACCCCTGCTGGATCCGGAGAAAGTTGCGGTAGACCGCGGAAAACTCGGAATTCACGGTTTCGGCCCGTACGACAAAGATGTTCGCGTGGTCCGCATATCAAATGTAAAAATGTCTGGGTCTGGAAGATTCTGAGACTAGTCATGCATATTTTCCATGACCCATAATGTCTGTGATGCATGCCTTAGCATTACAGATTTTTTGAGGGCTTCGCGATGCCTTTTCCGCATGACAAATGCCCTCTCCGCGTAGCAAAAATTACACTCCCTTTGCTGCTCATGCAATCCAGATTTTTTTGGAATCCAAATTCAGCATCACAAATTTGGACTCTTCCAGACCCAGACATTTTTACATTCGATACCGCAAACCGGGCACTCAGCAGCCACATCATCATGTCTACGCTGTACTCCCTATGCACTGCAAAAGTTGTTTTGTCCAACGCGTATGTGAATAGCATGTGGTGATCCTTCATATATTCATCGTACTAGAGAAATAATGCGATCTGTCACGCAGATTATCCTTCAGGTATAGATGAAAGCAGATCTCCTGTCTTCAGCGCACGACAGTACAACTATTGCAAAAATTCGTACGTGCCCAAGAAGACCTACACTTGTTTTGCAGTGCATACTCTTCCCCAAACGGAGATTTCTGTTTCCGCGCGGTCCCCGCGAAATCCGAGATGTCGTATAGAAGCGTCAGGTTTGAAATGGTCAAAGTTAAAATAATTTGTAATGCATAAAATGGATGCCAGTTGGAACCCAGTTCCCAAGTGGCGCATGACAAATTTCGGTGGTCCCTAAATCCAGTTTGTCATGCTGTTTAGGCAAAGAAGAGCGATTTTCTCATGCTACTTTAGCAGCTCGAGCTGTAACCCCAAACAGGCTTACAATCGGCCTCACTTGCCTGCTCTGGAACACACGTGCCTCGGGTCATGCATTTTATGCATTACAAATTATTTCAACTTTGACGATTTCAAACCTGACGCTTCCATATGTCGCCCGAGAAGAAAATGATCCAGGTTCCTCGCGCCTTCCGGTTGCGCGCCTCGTCTTCGGACGACAGGTGGCCGTGGGCCTTCGTTTTCACCAACGCGGGCCGGAAGTACACCCAGTTTTTCTTCCGGTCATCCCCCTCGAGCAGCTCCACCTGGGCACACACCGGCATGATTTCTAGTGCTGTGGCGATCCTCTACCGTCTACATCTACTACGTGACACCGGAAATAATTTCGTGCGGGTCCGAACGATGCAAAAGAAGATGAGCAGAAAGGTTCACATTCTAGCATGATGTACAGTCATGATCGTTGTAATCATGTTCCATTGCCAACAAAGGCGTGTCAATCTTGCGCCGTGCCTGTTTAGGGAGAAGGAAAAATTGTGGAAAACGAGAATCGTAAAAACTGACTCAGGCTGCTACTAGATCCGTGACTTTAGAAAATCACAACATGCCGGCTTTTGCTACTCCTGACAAGACCTCACCGACGACACAGATGAATGGGTGATGATCATGAAGCAATGACTCTTTGCAACCGAAAAGTAGGAGCCATTGGCGGACAGATCGCGGCGTGTGTAGTACTAGCTTCCGACGTGTGACCAACAGCAACACCAATACAACTACAGGGGCTACGTAAAAAATACAGAAATCAATCTTGCACTTCACCGAAAATGAGACATCTTTCTCTAGCAACTCTATTTGATTCGTTATTTTTTCTTTGCAGCAGAAATCTGATGATAAACACCGAGAAGGACAAGAATTCGCAATCGTAGTTTCGAAAAACATGATACATAAAACTGCTAATTCCGAACGTATTATTGTCCAGTACCGATCTCGTACGAAACCGAGCGGGTATAGCTTACTTTCAATTTCGCTTTTATTTCAAACAACGAGTAAACGTAAAGCAAATTCCTCATGCTGACGCTGCATATTCGCAACGAGAGCAACACCAGCAAGGAAGAAAAACTGGAAAGCAGTGTCCATATGACAGTACAGCAATTCTTTTGAAAAAAGGGTGTCAAGAGCAAGAAAGGTCCCTTATTTCATCGGCGAGGTTGTAATAGTTTCTGGAAGTTCATTTTCGCTTTTCAGTATCTGCATTTGCTTCATGCCTCAGCCTCAATTTTGTGTCGTGTCAGTGCCGTCTGATGACAGACAGACACACGGGTGCATTGTAAGGTTGGTTTTTGTTTTAGCACGTAATATCTGTTCTTTCCTTTGACTAGCTCACCCCAACCGGCTCACAACATCGGATGCCAGCAAAAATATGCCCACGACCGGATTGCTTGATGGCACTGACCAGAGATATTCTTGTTGCGTCTAGTCTTTGCTATGCTAGGTACTACTGATCTGTACGAGTCGTGACGCAGACGCAGGGAAAGTGCCACGACTGGAAAATTTCGTCGCGTCGCAACGCAATGTTGTACTATCATTTGCAAAACCACAGACCAATCTCCTCTTGCTTCATCAAAACGGTAGTGAGCTACTTTTCCTACGTAAACTGGTTCGTTCTTTTGTTCATTTTGTCTTGAAAGAAACACATAAAAGTGGCTTTTAAAAATCTCAACAACCTCTGCATCAGGGCCGCGGTTCTTGACCGCAGCGTGTCAGAATAGAATGAAGTCGCTTGTTTCCGCTTGTTCTAGCGTTGTCGAGGAAAAAACTATAAATGCAAACTGTATACTTTAAAGGGTCGACTCCGTCGTCAGCTACGTCAAGAATAGTCGGCTTGCTGCTCCTGTTTTCCTCCCTGTACACACGATGGCGCTGCTGGCGCTCACAACTCGCTTACCAGAATCTACTATGATCTGCTCTGTGCGCTCTACTATAGCCCACTGTCTTGTTTCGTGGGCTATTCCCGGGGGTGCTCTACTGCTGGTAAATTTTTTTAATTCTCTAGTAGTGGCGATCGTTCTGATAGCGTCAGAAGGACGGGCGAGCTACCAGGCACTTCACCAGAATCGCGTACAGCATACGCACTCGGCGGTAGAGGTAGAAAGCAGAGATGCCAAAAAAACGGGCAGCTTTGCTCCCTTCCCCCTCCGAAGAAACGCGTCAATAAATGCCTGTGCTATCGCTGTGCTATTGTCTGCATTCAAGCAGAACGAGTTGCTGCTAAAAAAGGACGACCCCGGCAGCCATCAATCGTGTCTCAGCCGGACTTTTCCCCCGACGATATATAGTTCTGGGTTAGGATAAAAATTTGGGAAAAAAAAAGACCGCCGACAACTGTATTGCATATCAAACGAGATACTAAGAAAAAGAAAAAGACCCTCTATGACTGGGGTTCCTAGTCACGTGAACAAGTCTAGCTTTTTAAGAAAGTCGGAAAAAGAAAAGAAAAATCTTGCAACATGAAAAACCCCCAATTGGACGAGATTCGTTTTGTGTGCTACACAACTACTACATCGGGGGTCTTCTGAAATCGTCTTCTTGAAATATACATCTTGTGGTATAATCGTCTTCTTTGTTGCTTGAGACTTTTATTGGTCTGTTGTACTTAGTTTTATAAACCGGATGATATTTTACCTAGGTGAGCCGAATGTGCAAGAATTGCGTTTGCTTGACTGCTTCTTTGTCGTCGCATCGCTTCACCGCTGGACCCGCATGAAGAGGCGGATTCAGCGAACAGGGCGATCTGTGTTGATTTGTATCCGTGGTAGGTGCGGGTAAATCGTCGAAGCAGGCGCAATAAATTGTTTCCTCGCTCACTGCTGCGCACACTGGACCCCCTGGCCGCCGCCCATGCCGGCGCGGCGCTCGTCATCCTCGTCGTCTTCGTACGCCGCAGCGTGCTCCTTTTCCGAGGTGACGGGGTCCATATCGACCACATAGTGGTGCTCAAAGTGCTCGTCCTCCTCATCTGGGACCTGCATCGGGTCCGGGCCCGGCAGCATCTTGCGGAGTTGCTGTTGTGGAGTCGGGATGAGCGAAGTTGAGATCATCATTCTATGGTACGAATTTCTTTTCCCAGCCTACCAGTTCTTACAAGAACCTCAGTAGTAGAAAAGGAGCAGACGAGTGATGGCAGTTTTTATTTCTTCAGGTTGTTGACAGTGAGAAGAAAAAGAACCAAAACTTGATGCAAAAGGACGAAAAAATCAATGCAGCATAAGCATTGGAGGCAGAAGTCAACATGGCAAGAAATGCAAAAGTCGGCAGAAAAGTATACCTTTGCGGCGTCTTCGGAGATGCTCTTGGGGAAGTCGATGGTGAGCTCGATAAACAGGTTTCCCTTGAGCATGGGGTTCTTGAACACGGGCATGCCCTCCCCCTTGACGCACTTTCGCATTCGGCCGGCGGCCAGCAATTCCGGGTCGGGAACCACAAACAGTTTCATGCCGGCCTTCTTCTTCTTCTTAGACAAAAACTCGTCGCGCGTCAACTCCCGGAAAATGGCTTTGTTGCTCTCCTTGTCGAGCACGAAACCGTTAAAACCCTTCTGGAGGCAGACCTGCGATTATTAATTTACAAACAAAGGTCGTAGAGTGATGACTTCGCTTTCTCGCGAACATGCAAAAAAATCATCGAGCTGTTATATATTAAGCACCGGTGCCACAAACCCAAGATACAGTCGCAACATTAAAAAAATCCACCTATCAATCGCCGAGAACAAAAGTATCTAAGTACCTCCTTTAATTTTGCCGGGTCGCTGTAGGTGCAGGTTGCGACGTCCTGACCTGCTGATTCCATCTCGTCGAACACTTCCCAGTCCGCTTCTACGTTTTTTGGGGGGCAGATCACCTCCCCGGGTGCGCTCTTTACCAACAGCTTGCGGCCATCCAGGTGCGTGATTTCCATGGTGAATCCGGTGAGTGCCTCTAAAAGCGTGATGTTCTTCTGGACGGTGAGATCGGCCTTGTTACGCTTGAACACGGTGTGTTCCTTCTCCTGCAGCACAAACTGCACATCGCCCGCCTCATAACCTGCACAGTTTTGATATGCGAAGCGTGGCCCTCATCTTCACGAGAAGAAGATCCGAGGAGAGAAAGTAACACCAACAAGCAGTTGTAGTTTGTAGTTCCCTGTGCTTTCGAAGATAAGCGGATTTTGTGAACCAGAAAACGCCAGTGAGGCAACATATCTGAAGTGGAGAAAAACATGAGCAAAATAAACTTTTGCGCTATCATGCCAAAATTCTTACCTGGCTGTTCGTCCGCCTTGGCGTAGAAGACGACTTTATTCAGATCTGGGGCACCCCGGTCCACAAACACCTCAAGAATTTCCTTCTCCTTTTTCGTCTTGTAGATTTTTCCGGAGCCGCCGCACTTTGTGCACTGCTGCTGCATTTGCTGGATCATGTTCCCCATTCGCATAACCTGGATCACCACCCCGCGCCCATCGCACGCGTCGCATTCTTTTACCTGATAAGGTGTACGATCGAAAATAAACACTTTACTTTCACTAATTACGTGCTTCACGCGACAGCGCGCTAACCTATGTTTTCATCATCTTCCCCGAGCCACCAAACAGGTCCTTTCCCGACCCAAGCCACAAGAACCGCCTTCAGAGATTTTGATTTTCTACATTATTGTTCGTCCACGGCAGTATTACGCCGAAAAAAACTTCAATACCCCAACTTTCTGGTCGATGACAGTTCGGTTAATTGCGAGTTTCTTGGTGTGTCCGTTGTAGAGTTGCTCGAGTGTGACGTCCATTGGGTGCACCACGTCCTTACCTGAGGTTTTAGCATCAGCTCATGTTGTGACTACAGAGGAAATTTATTATCCACAGCATACAGTGAGAACAATTCCCTGCGCTTTCCAAGAAATTTACTTTTGATTCCAATTATTTATCTGCGCGGCGACGAAAAATCATCCAGGGTAGGAGCTGTATCCACACCTTTTCTCTTCGCGCCCCCTGCGCCGCCGCCTCGCCTGCGGCCACCGCCACCTCCGAAGACCATGTCGAAGATGTCGGTTGGGTCGGAACCGCCGCCCCCTGACTCGACGCCCTCCTCACCATATTGGTCGTACAGTTTTCGCTTGTTTTCGTCGCTCAACACTTCGTATGCCTTGGTGATCTCCTTAAATGTCTCCGGGTCGCCACCTGGTGGAGTTGTGTTGCAAAAAATTTCGAGTGCATAGCCTTCGAATAAATGGAAATGTCCATAATATCGCCGTGAAGAATTCTGCTACATGAGCAGGAAAATAAATGGACCATGCTTCTGGTCGTGCAGCAAAAAAAAAACACGTCTAAATGTCGTGTTTCTTCGTCTCACCTTTATCGGGGTGGTGCTTGATGGCCAACTTTCGGTAGGCCTTCTTGATATCCGGCCCTGAAGCGTTCTTGTCTACATCCAGCAATTTGTAAAACGCCTCTGTGTCGACGTCCTTCTTGCCGCGCCCTTTGCCGCCCATGCCGGGAAACCCGTCCCCGCCGTCCATGCCAGGGAAACCCCCGCCCGGAAAACCACCGAAAAACATGGTCAAAGATGTATTTTTTAAGCAACACGGGACGTCGAGAGCCTCAAAAAGTTGTTGAGGACCACGCGCGGCTCTACCTTAAGTTATCAGACCGCGTCGTAAAGCTGGTCTACTTGCCGCAGTCAACAGCTACGAAAGGGATTTAGTTTTCTAAAAGCGATAGGTTGCAAAAACTTGCAGCTGAAAAAAAAACGCGGCAAATAAAACAATCTCACTTTTAAAAACTCTTTTTCGCTATTGCAATAGTGAAGATACTAGGGTAAAATAACCTGCAGCGTGGTAAAACAACTCGGCGAGAAGGGAGATATGCAGACAGTTATGCAACGAGCTGAAAAAGCGCAACACCTGAATATCTGGAAAAGCTAGCGTGAGTGCTATGCTAGAACTAAATTAGACGTGCCTGGTTGGATTGGGCAGAAAAAACCTTTTGAAAGAGCACGGACAGGTCGTAAGGTGTGAAACTTACACATACGTCTCGTTCTTTTCAACAATTTGCAACACTACTCGAGATCGACATACATTCCATTTTGCTCTTGGTACAGCACTATCAGGTTTCAAATGAAAAAAACAGAGATGAATTTGTGGATCGAATGCGAGGCAAAGTGAGTGGAGGGAACTGTGAAGTGGATAACGCATTTATGATTTGCCAACTTGCTACACATCAGGAATCGTGATGTCCTCGGTTACAGTCCGACTTTCAATCGGCTGCGAGGCTGCACGCCTCCAAATTTTTCGAAAGATTCTGATCTGATGTTGTCAAGGTAAGATCTTACTCTTCTGAAGTCGCGTCATGGCGACTTGTTACAGTTCTCGTTTTTTGTGGTTCGTCATTTCTTTCTGTGATCTTGTAATTCTGATTTCAACTTTCTCGTCCTTATGTCATCTCGGAACATGTTTAGCCACCGATGTGCGGCAGCTGCCTTTCCGCCTACAGAAAAGCTGCCCTCCAGTGCTCACCCTGCTGGAAGTTGGGCCGCATGGATTTGTGAATTTTTGCACAGCTTTTGCCAGTGAATATCTTCTGCTTTTATTCTGTTTTTTTGCAACAACCGCACAATGTCAAAACTAAAAGACTCTTTGCCGCATCCCCATCCCCGGCGAGCCGCAGCACTGCCCCGATAAAAGCTATCAACGCGAGTCGCTGCTCTCCCCCGATAAGGACTTTTACGGCCACTGTCAACACGTACTTGAAACGCAGGTTTCTTTTCCTAGTTTTTCTTTTTCTTGGCAACTTCGTGTATGGTGATAATAAAGACCTACGCTACTTTTCCGACAAAAGAAATTGCCCTCCGTGCAACATCAAAATTTCGATGTCGCCTCGGCTTCGTATACCAACCTTGTCTGCAATTTTTCTATACTAGTTTTGCCCACCGCAGTGCTTGCCGCGTTTCAGACCTAAATGATCCATCCTAAACATACGGTTTATCTCTAATATCTTCTGCCAACAATGATTCACACATTGAACATCAAGTCCGGTCTGTTTCATGCAAACTTTGGCACGGCCATCAAATCGATGAACAACGAAATTATTTTCTCTTTTGTAGGGTGATTGCAGCTAGTAAGTAGTACCTGGAAAAAAACACAATTTTTTTTGTGAAAATTTGGAAAATTCTTTTGAACAGACCGGCCAAAAAATTGTCATCTAAAAATTTCGTCATACTAAGTTTAATATGACCCAAACCAAAATAAAAGAGTAAAATGATCACATCCAGACGCCTCAAGTGCAACCCTGCACCCCCGCAGGTACAGAGCTCCGACGGCGAAGAAATGTGGTGCAACATGAAGTGATGCAGGGACCACGAAGCTTTGGGAAAAAGTGTCTCAGTTCGCCTCTTCGTCCTCCATGTTTACGTCCACCACATTCCCCGCACAGTCGCCGGCCTCAACCTTTTCCACCTGCACGTTCACCTTGTGCACCTGGGCCGCTTGCTGCTCGGTGGTGGTGACCGCCGATGAACTTGCCACCGTGCCGTCAGTGGTGCTGGAAATAGCGTCCTTGTCGCCCGGCGGCGAGATCGCCAGCGCGTTGTTACTGTTGCTGTGGTCCTCGCCCCCGCCGCCCGACGCTACCCCTCCCACCACCGGGAGGTCCAGCGGTGCAGCTACCGCTCCCGCCGGCGTGTAGATTTTCTGGAGGTCCGCCGCGACGGCCACACCGGCCTGGTAGTGGTCCAGGTGCCGTGAACTACTGCTCGTCGCGCCCCCGGCCGCGTTCAGCGCTAGGAGGTGCTGCTGCTCACGGAGGTTGGCCTGCTGCTGCGCAAACAAAGCCATCGCCTGCTCCTGCGAGAGGTTGTTTGCCCGCGCCAGCTGGTACACCTGTTCGTACACGATCCGCTCCTCGTCGGTCGCGTATGCACGGAAAAAGCAACAAGACAAACCCCTGCAAGAAAAAGAATCCAAAAAAGAGGCTCGCGACTTGAAATACTTTTGTTTCCGTTGATGAAAAATCAGGCTAAGTGTCCACATAGAAGAGCAAGGTCAGTCTCTCCCCTCGCCGTTTCGAACGAGGCGAATGGTGACGGAGGTCCACCTTTACGGCATGACAAAAGATTCGCGGCGTCCTTGCGCTCCAGCAAATCATGCAAAACTCAAACTATTTTTGAGTAAAAATGCAGCGTCCTCTCGGGTTTGCTATTCCTGGCGCACTTGGATACCAAATTCGGCTGCACCATCGTTGGTGGGAAATGCGCATCCAAGTCCGGCGACGGGAGCCCTCGAAGCCATGGGTGCTGCAAGTGCTTCTGGGCGGTCACGCTGTTTGATTGTGTACAGAAAGTAGAACATCTTCTTCAACAACTTCTAAGTTACGTTAGTTTCAACAGCGTGGTCGCAAAAAAATGACACAAAATGAATCGCTGCAACGACGTTGATGATGCACGGTTCTTGTCAACAAAAAACGTCCCACTTTTATCCTATACCGATCTGAGGGGTTGAGCGCAAGCATGGGGATGAGGAAGGAGGCTAAATTCCTCGCCTCCAGAGTATGCAAGAAAAAAAGTCGTGTGGAGGTGTAACTTTTCTTTGGAAAATGATTTGTCTAACCAGGGACAAACATTTTATTGTCCAGAGAGATAGTAGTACGTGAAAACACACAATGCAGCATAAGCAGCATGACACACGCAGGTATCTTGCATGTTGCGCATCACAAGAAAGTTACAAATCAATACTTAAAACACTTTTTCTCTTGCGTAGATGATATCCACGTTGTATTTCTGGTTCAGCACTTCCTCGATCCCCCAGTACCATCCTGTGCAAAAACGTCCCCAGCACCCCAGCACAATTTGCAAATGTGCAATGGCAGACACGTTTGTAATGCGCATCTCCATGAGAGGCATTCCCAGTCGTGTTTTGGCATTTGTAATACTGTAAACAGGATGAGAAAATGGCGTTCTCATGCAGCTTTCCTTGCTCGCCGGCACTACACTGCAGATGGAAAATTGTCATGCAGAATTCCCAAAACGAAAACTTGAGGATTTGTGTTGCGGACTTCCCATCTTGACTATGGTGTGGGGACGTTTTCACATAAGATAAGTACCGCAGCGTCTTTATGTGTCGGAGGTCTCCGTTCCGGTTGAAATAGGTGCGCCCGTTCCGACCCTTGGAAACGAGGTGGGAGGGGATCTTTCCCATATGAGAGTGCACAACTCGTCCCCCTAAACCCTCATATGTTGAACAGCAATGCAAATTATACCAGCCCACGTCGTGGAGCCTGCGCATGCATGAGAAATGAGAACGAGGGAAAGTATCGCACTCTCATACCCCAGGAGCTCAATGCACAATGCGAGGTGGTCTTCGTCGCGGGGGTACTCATCGCTCGGCTTCGGGTCGAACAAGTAGTCGCCGGTGAGCAGCTCGAACGTCATGCAGGCGAGCGACCAAATGTCGCTGGACGTGTCGTACCCGTATCGTATTTAAAAACATCCCCACCCCATAGTTGTAATGCAAATCTGCATGCTGAGGATGTTTCTCATGCGGAGCCCCATGAGAAGCGTTTTCTCTTTGCGTTTTAAAATCTGTCATGCTCCAATCAGCATGCTACACTGGATCTGTGACGCTGCTGAACTACCTCGAAGAGCACTACGCTACGAGTCCAAATTTGTCACGCAAAAGAGCCAAAGCTTGTGGATTTGTCTAGCCGATTCACCATCTCGACTATGGGGTGGCGACGTTTTTACATAGGATAACCCGGACCCGATCATCACCTCGGGGCTCCGGTACTGCCGCGTCTGAAAAGCTATGCTTGCGTCAGGCGGAGAGAGGTGATTCTTCTTCATTTCACACGGCTCAAGTAGATACTAAGTCCAAATGTCGGGCACAACGCCGGACCTCAAAAATCACGCGGCTGGAAGTGAAGTCTTTTATTTCATGCGCTGGCTGAAGTGACGCTTTATTTTTTTTTCCCCGGATGGGGGCGATGCATGAAAGGAGCGCCGTCTTCTTGTTCTTTATTTTTTCTTAGTTGTCTTACAGCATCACAAATTCACTGAAGTGGCTTCGGTGCAAAAAAGCTTCCACCGCCAGGAGAGCAGCTCATAATGTCGTCCGAAAAATGCGTGTGCGTCCAGCACGCGTTTCCAAGATCGACGACTTTATACCTGATAAATTTTGAAAAAAAACGAAGTACTTCAACAGCTTTATCGATATTAGATCTTCAGCGCATGGGGATAAATACCAGCACTTTGGCTGCGGTTCGCATGACAGATGAAAACAAAAAACGATAGACAAAAAATCAGAAAACACTGTGTCCAAAGCAGTAGTACACGACGTCGTCATGCGTGAAGAGGTCGAGGTTTTTGACCACTTCGCACTTTTCCCGCAGCTCTTCCACGTCTGGCGTGCACATGTGCTTCTCGTTCCGTCGGTCTTTGGGGATTTTTTTCCCGTTCTTCTCGTCTAGCGGCACTTCCCGTGGTTGCTGGAACATCTGCGCCATGTGGTGGTGGTATGGTGGCTTCAGCAGCATCGTCTCCGCTTCTGCGTAAGACGACAACAGGCTCGGATCGGACCGAGAAGGCTTCAGAAACGGCTTCACGTAGGGTGGCGGCTGCAACGGCTGCTTGTCGTTCGACTTCGAGATGGAACTCGAGTTCTGCTCCTTGTTCCGCCGATTCCGTGCTCGTCGTTCTGAGAATTTTGTTGTTTTCAATGATCTCATTTGACACATGTCCGATGGTGTGACAGGAAAAAACAGTACGATAGTCATGCAATCACGACACAAATCCAAATACGCGTATTATTTCTCCAACTTCAGATCTCGCCTAGTACATCTTGGCTCGAGAAGATCTTCTGGACGAGCAGTAAAAAACTACATCAACTCAGCTAGGTCAAAGCAAAACAGTACTACTTTGACTCTTTGTGAGCGCAGACCTCCCTCCCGGCAGTGCGAGCGAGTCGGATTCCAGGAAGTCTTTTTTTCTGTTGATTTTTATCATCTCTGGGGTGATCAACGGGGTCCCGTGCTTGTCAACCGGAGTATGCAGGGGGATCAGGGTGCTCTGAGTCGCGTCAGATTTTTCTGTTACAACTCTACTTATGCAGTGAACTACGCCGATTGCAGCTCTACCGGTACCGCGGCACGAACCGCGCTACGTCGCTCTGCGCCGCAGTCAGTAGCCGAGCACGAGGACGTGGCGAAGCTCTTCCGGTACGTTGTGCAGAGGGTCTTCGCTTACGCAGTGACTAAGTGCCTATTTTCCCCGTCCGAGGTGGGCTCGCTGCAGTTACTTACAATCAAACTAACTTACGGACTCAAAGCGCCGTTGGTTATTGTGCGATAAGGTATTCCGTGTGGACACTGCACCAGAACGTTTTCCGGCTTCAAGTCGGTGTGAATTATGCCACAGACGCGGTGCAGGTAGTCCAAGCCAATTAGGTTTTATGGAAGGAAAAAACATGGAAAAACGCCACTGTTCTTACCCAGACGGACACTTATTCGATGAAATGAACGTTCTTGATGACACAACAGCATAATTGTTCCACTTTTTTTGATTTACAAAAAAACCTCACTTTGGTGTGTTCCTTTTGAAGAATAGTGCGGGATTTCTCGGGAGGCCTGTGTTTTTTCTCCACGCGCGTACTGTGTGCGCGGTGATTTTTCGCACCAAATCGGTTGGGATGCCCTTGAAGTTGTATCTGAGTTCATGTGGTAGTTTACCGTTGATGTCTTTAAGCACACGTCTAGCGCAGGGTGGAGATGAAAAAACTCAATGCGCCGTTTAGACAAGGCTATTTTTTGGGAAAAGTAGCAACACGCCACTGTACCTTTTTATGACTGAGAGCACGTTGGGACCCATGGGCTCGAATACCATGCAGATGTGTCTGCCGTTGGCTCCATTGTGCTCAAAGTAGTCTATGAGCTGCACGACTCCCGTGTGCCCGTCCCCGAAATTCTGTCCCAGCAGCTCGCTCAGGGATGGCGTTATGCAGTTGTAGAAGAAAAGAGTGATAATTCTTTTAGTGCACTTCATAAAGTGCCATCATTCGGCCCGCCCGTAGCAAAAGGTACTTCGTTCTTAGCACACGCGGGCACTCTCACGAGGTTCCAGTTCGTTTTTCTACCGATACTAACAGAGCCAAAATAAATTTCAAACCACAATAAAGCGATCTCTTTCTTCCCATGCGATACTCATGGCGGTTTGCCACGTGTTTTCGTAGGCCTTCCCTGCGGCGTCGTTGAGCAGGTCGATTTCGTCGAAGGCCGCCTCGACGTAGTGCGGTGCGGACTTCTGTACCTTCATGGCCAGAAAGGACTGGATTTCTTGGTCCTGCACGAGCCACACCGTGGAGAAGTGGCCCCAGCCCAGTTTGGACAGCACCTTGTACTTGTTATTGTAGATCTCCCCCACCTTGACCTGGTGGTAGCCGCCCTTCCGGTATCAAATGCAAATGATGTGTCTGGGTCTCGACAAAAGAAATCTGTGTTGCGTGAACGCCACAAGCGGCAAAAGGCGGACTTCTCATGAAGTAGGTCTCGCAAAATCTATGCTGCTTCTGTGTGCACTCCAGACTATCATAGTCTATGCGCGTAGTCCGCGACAACATGCATCAAAAATCTCGCACTCTTCCCGACCCAGACATATTTGCTGCGCTGGATATTCGGTAGCCGTCGGTGCCCTCGTCATCGGACTCGGGCTGCATCTGCGCGGCCGTGTATGAGAGTGCGCAGCACCCCCTCCTCCATATTCATATGTTGGCACCATGATCAGCAATGCAAACACCAGCACACGCGGATGCTGTGCACAGCAAGGTCATGCCGGCGCGCTGAAACTCCTTAGTATCGTTTAGGCTTCCAGAATTTACTGCAATGCAAAAAGCGCCCCGAGGCAGGAACAGGCCGCGGGATTTTGCATGGCAAATGAGGGGAGAAGGAGCTATGCACTGTCGTACTGTCTGCAGCGCGTACGCGGACGGCGGCGCGCCATCGTCCCCTCCGTTCAGGTCGATCTGCAGCGAGGGGTCTGTCAACGCTAGGTCCTTATCCTGCCCCCGGGTGCTGGCCTCGCCCAGCTCCGAGTCCGTCTCCTCCTCCGGCTTGTCACCTGGAGTTGTGCGTCACATGTTACATGAATCACGACACCGGCCTCGATTGGCTAGCAGGGCTAGCAACAATCACAGAGAAAAAATACTAGTTGAACGAAACGAAACTGATGACGATGCTTTGTGTGTCGAGGAACTCGTCCCGACATTTTTTCCATTTGTAGTATACAATACTTTGTGCATCGGTTCTTGCCCGGCCGGGGGCTTGTGCCCGCTGCTTTTTCTTGCCGGGTTTCTTTTTCATAACTCCCTCAACGGGAGCGGGCACGGACGGAGAGACGGTAATTTTCAACAAAGTGTTCGCACAGTTTTCTCCGTAACGCCCTGACTTCGGGTTGCCGCGTTGCGGGGTCTGTCCTGCTGCGATGGACCGAATTTGCGGAAAACTGGATCGCGCGTCACCGTGGGATGAAACGACAACTGGTAGCTATCGTGCGGCAAAAAACGCAAGGCGGCGGATCAGGACGCGACGAGGAGGAGGCAGACTTACCGCGGCAATGCCCCGATCCGTTGCGCTGGGTGCTCGTCGTGTTTCAGATCACTTACGCTGCTATCGGTGGCGCGCCAGTCGCAGGAGGTCGTCCACCCGGGGTTGCGCAGCTGGAGGGTGACACTGACATGGGGTTAGGGTGCATCCTCGATGCCTCCTGGAAAAATGACCTTCAGATTGATACGAGCGCTAGACTACTAATACTCTCCTGCAATGGCCTTCAAATACAACCGCTAGAGGACTTCTAACGCTTGAGCACGAGAACGTTTGATGCTTGCACGGGCGGCAGAGACGCCTGCGCTCTCCGGAGGGGCAGATAAGAATAGACCAATATATACGATCACAGCCAAGGAAGACTAAACACAATGCGGGGACGAGCTGCAACAGAACCGAAAAATGACAGAGCCGCTTCTTGGGAACGGAACCTCCCGAAACGCTGAGCCACAAAAGAACACCTGGTAGGTTAGTATATGATTATGAAGTCGCATCCCACAGCATCTATCTCCTCAATTTGCATTCTCATGAAGCCGGGAAATGATCGGTTGAGCGGACGGAAGAAAGCTTTGTATTTGTCCTTACGCGGCGCCTGGGTGAAAAGTAAACACAAAGTAAAGACGGCGGCACCTTCTTGGCAGATAGGCTACTGGTACCCTTTTACATGCAAGACAAACGTGACTGAGAACACAGACAAGGACGGCAGCAGCAAATCTATAGATACTACCGGTCCTCTTCGGCAGAGAAGTGCAGGGAGCCCAACATTAATATTGCGACCATTGCTACCGAAACGAATCGGAAAACTTTGCATCGGACGGCTATTCTTTTGACCATCGGCAAGAGGAGTCTTCGAGCTTCCGGTACGCCCGTGGGTCGGGTAGATGGTAAGTCCGACGTGTTAATACCACGAACAAAACTACTACAAATGAAGTACATACGGGATAGCACTCGTAAAACAGGGCCGGTGAGCCTCCGGTCTCGACGTGTCCCCCCACGTTCCTCCTGTTGGGGCGGCTACCCGGATGGCGATTTTTTGGCGGCCCGCGCGCAGACGTCCACTTTTGGGCGGTCCGCGGGGCGAGAAAAGATTCCTTAGCCTTTTCGCGAAACTCAGCGAGCGGGGCGAGCGGTTTTGTCGGGATCCCCGCGCCTTCGTGGCCCCCTTGGTCCAGACAGTAGCCTTTTAGTGCTCTAGGCGCCGCCGTCGCAGCTACTGTGAATGGTCCGCATGTCCAAGTAGGACGCTGCACAGGCCTGCGCACCCTCCTTGCAACTCTTTTGACTTCCGCGTGACCAGATAGCACCTTAAGGAGATTGCGACTTCCGCGCACCCACAATACAACTAGAGTAAAGCCTGTGCGCCCCGATTGTTATTTTTATGGGGTCCGCGCACCCACATAGTAAGTCTTTGGGGGCCCCGCATCTGGAGCAGGGCTTATGCAATGGCTGGCTACAGCCCCACCACACAAAAACTTGCCAGCTAGTAGCCCAACCCCGCGAAACCTTCTCATTTGGCAGCCAAACCCTGGAAAAACTTACCACCTGGTTGCCACCGCGCAAAATTGTGCTACCTACTCGTCTGGCCGCTGAAAATCTTCCCAAGTGGTGGCCCCACTGCACAAAATCTTCGCAGCTGAAAAAGAAACCTCCACAAAAAATATTACTAACTGGTGGCACAACACCGCAAAACCATACAGACTGGTGGCCTGCCCCCACAAAATGTTGCAAGGGGGTCGCCCACTTTGCGAACGATCTAGAACATCCGACGACCAGAATCGCGAAGCCGCATGGTATTCGCTTCAGTTCTTTCATTTTATTCCAAAACAAAAAGAGCTCTCCCGAGCTCACCACTATGGTGGGAAAGTTCCAAACGAGGCCCATTCATCATCATCATCAGAGTAGGTCCCTCCTCTTTTCTTTCTCTTCTTTCTCTTTCTTTCTCTTGATTCTCATCAACGAATTGCATCGCGTACGATTCCCACGATCCCACCACGAAGCCCCTGCGCTCATTTCACGAGCTACCGAATTCGCTCAGGCAAACAACGAAAGGTGGCCCGCAAAGCAGCTTGACAGCTGCTGCCACGGACTCCCCCTCGAAATTGTCAGTCGCGGGAGCGGCAATTTCGAAACTAGAGCGAGGCTTGTGGGTCGTGTTTCCTCAAAGAAATCTCCCCGATTCGCAGGCGAAGCTTGTTCTCAGGCCGCTGCTGCGTAAAAAATTGCTGATCTCCACCGAACTACTAGTCATGACTTTCCGCGCGTTTGTGTGGTTGTGGTTTTATATCTGGGCAACGCTCTCAGTTTCGTCACGCGTGGATATTATGCACACGACCTTCTGGTCCCAAGTGCGATCGCGACGCGCAGACACTCACACGGCGTGCGCGGTAGGCACAACTACACGCGACTCTCAGGTCGCTCTTTGACATGAAAAGGTGGTGGGCGGCCCGCTCAGCACATACGTAGCAGACAACGCAACCATCTCAGACCACCACCTTGATAACTCTGAAACGCCTACCAAGAACGCCACGCAGTGGCTACGACTCGCGATCAGTGCACGCCGCGATAGAAGTAGAACCCTATCGGCGTGCCAAGGCCGTGTACACATACCTCACGACACGACCAACAGAACAAATCACCCGTTTATCCAGACGAGCGCAGCATCTAAGTGGACTATGCTAGAAGTTACTTCACAAAAAGACTTCACAAAAAAACCAACTGTCACGCTTGCTTACATTTTACACGTCGACTTCTTCATCCGAGGAGCCTAACAAGCACGAATTAATTCTAGCGCGATCTCTAAGCGGCTCTGCAGCAGCGAGCGTGTCCGCGAGAGCTATGACACCAGCAGAGACGTCACCAACCAGAAGCTTCCCGAGGTACTCCCTCATGCCAAAACCTTCTATCACTTCTTCAAATAATCCCGGAAAAACTCGGAGGAGTGCCTCCATCTTCTCGTCCCTCGTGGGGTAATCTGCAATATTAAAAGCAGACGGAATACGAGTATTCCAAGGACGCGTGGAATGCTGTGCAGCAATAGTCCAAAATTCGGCTGCAAGCCGAGTAAATGCCCATTTTTGTCCTTGCTTGGATTTGCCTTGCGCCAAGAGTGACTCTTGGGCGCATTTATTATCTATACCATGATCAAATCTTCTATTCTGCAGCTGCTCGGCATAGAAGCGTAGTGAGATTGGTGCCGCAACGGTCTCAAGCACATTTATGGGATACAGGGCGTAATCCCGATGAAGCTGGTCAAATTCCACATTTTCCCGCACGCAATAAAACTTCCCGCGTTGAATCAACGCCGCCGCTAAAACTCATTTCTTCGCACTCCATTGGGCATCGGTGTGCAATAGCGTGTTGAGCTCCCCCGGAGTCTCAAACTGCGCCGCACGTTCCAGGTTTAGCGACATGGTGCGCTTTACTGCTTTTAACGCGTCCGCCACGTCTTGCGCGATGACGGTGTCCTCCTTGGAGAGATGTATTCGCAACGGCTTGAGGACTGGGCTGAGCGCCCGGTCCGCTATCGCCCCCAAAACGAATGCTAAACGCCCTAACAATTCGCTCGCACTAACGGGATCCAGCATCATGACCGCAAGCGCTGCGTCACAAGCAGCATTTATTTGCTGCTTTTTTCCCTCCGTTACCGTGATGGTCGGCGACCGCTTGGTGACGTCGAAGAGGAGACCCAAGACTTCGAGTACACACGCGACGACGATTGTATCACGCATTGCTGGGAGTCCTAGGAGCTCTAGTAGCTCCAAAAGGATCTCCCGCACAGCTTCTCCGAGTCCTAACTTCGTGAAGTTAGGATAATCATCCACATAGTCGTCACTATTTAAAAAATAGTGAAGACGAAGCACCGCACGCAGCAATTTCCCCGGCCTACGCCATCCCGTCGCCGAATGTCTGCTGCCAAAAATGGCAGAGACTCCCACAAATCTGCAGTATCTGGACACGTGTGGGTTGTAGACGAGGATGGTGTTATACTTGCGGTGGGAAGGACGGATCATAGTACTGCTGTAGCATTTCGCGATATCCAACAAAATTACTTCCAGGTCGTTGAGTTGATCTGCGCACACTCGTCTTGATTTACTGCTGTTCATGTTGGAGAAGGAAGATTTTACACCACGCACAGGGTGTTTTGCACCTGGCTTGAGCAAGCTGCTGTCCATTTCTTTACCGCTGCCTTGTATGAAGTCCAGAAACTGCTTCTCATACTTTTGTTCCGCAGCTCTGCATTTTTGAAGGACTTTTTTGCTGTGCCGGATGACGCCGCGACCTGCGAGCGCCGGGTTGCGGGCGACGGCCGCATTTGTAAGTATGTCGACGGCAGCAGGTATGGGGACGCGTTTCCCCAATGGCGAACACTTGTTCGCACTCGCGGCCGGTTCTATTAGCCGGCATCTCCGCACTTGATGGCGCGGAAATCTGCGGTAGCCGTAGTAGATCTTTTTCAACTCATCGGGCTTGCTGGCGACATCATCCGGGATGTCGTATGGTCCCTCGAGCAGGGCGTAACCTAACTCGGGGACCCCCTGCGTTTCCTGCAAACTTCGCTCCCACACTAGTTCCACATCGCCATCTTTCCACCGTGGTTTCACATGCCTTCCTGCGATGATGTCCTTGATGACCTTGCTGGGCTCGTACGCCTCAATCGGATCTGCCATCTTGTCCTTCCTCTGCCTGGGAGACCACGTCTCGTCTACATCGCACGGCCCGATCATCTTCGGGCCGTCTCGCCATACCTCCCAGGCAGTAGG